ATACTAACCTACTATAGGAGAGGCTAGAGAGTATTTCCTTTATTCGTATAGTAAATAGATTTTCTCTTTTCCTTTTCTCTCCTTAGCTTTAGAATCCTCGTTATACGGTAGTTAGACGAATTACTCTAAATTCCTAGCTAAACCCCTATACTACGTATAGTATCTACGAATCTATTACCTTCGTAAGTTATTAACGATACTTAGTCGAATTCTATCGTTATATAGAACGAAGAAGAATACTAGATTAAAAGAATTATTTACTATAAATTCGTACGAAGAAGTCGAGGGTCTTAAAGATAATATTTAGTAAAATAGACGGAATATATAGAATTAATCTAGAAACCGAAATTATCGCTCTAGAATACCGTAGCTTTAGATATATACGAATCGATAGCGAGATAATCGACTTCTTAATTACTATACGAGAATAAAAGAGAAAGTATATATAAAGGAACTATAAAAGTAATAAAATATTTAATTATACTATATATATTTAGCTTATTTAGTTACTATACGATAAAGCCTAACCGCTACGTTAAGGTATAAACTATAGTTAAGTATAGAGAATATTCCTTATCTACTAGAATTATACTAGTACTAATATAAGTATTATACGAGAATAAGAGAATAAAAGAAATATTATATATACCTACCGCTAAGAGGCGAACCTTTTTATAACTACCTCGCCGAAGCGAGAAGGAGAAGGAGGAAGAAGGAAAGCTTTATAGATAGGGAGAAGAGCGCCGTCGTTATCGAATAAATTCGATAATAGTACTATAATACTACTATCGTCGTCTTTATCGCGCTTCGTATAACGAGTACCGCGGTTCGACTACTTATAGTTATCGTACGTACTACCGAAGTATCCTAAGATACGTTAATATTCTAGAAATAAATATATTAAGCGCTTATAACGATTATAAGGACTAAAAAGAATATTTCGGCTCTAAATAAGTAAGGCGTTAATATACGATAGCCGATATAATTAGATCTATACTAGAGTAACTACTCTTCGTACGAAAGGTACGTTCGTTTCTAGTATAGCTAAGATCGTCCGTTAAGAAGTATTATAGTAGTACGATACTAGCGATTATTCGAAAGTAAGGAAAATAGGAATTTAAGTTAACGCGAGCTATTCTAACTAATACTAAGTTATAGCGATATTCTATACTACTAATACTATATTATCTTAACTTTTCCGTTCTCCTATTAGTATATACGACTAAACGGAAAGGCCTAGGGCTTAGAGTATAGAAGACGAATTAAAGAGGAGGAAATAGATTAGTTCGCTTACTTATTTACTATATCGACTACGAGCGTTTAAGAGTTAGTAATAACTAATAATTATACGTAATAGGAGTAGAAATAAGTACTTATAAAAAACTTTCTCTATAATTAGTATAAGAAAAGAAAAAGTAGGATAAAAGTAAGTAGAAATAAGAGTTTTACTTTATACGCTACTCGGCGTCCGACTAGTCTCTATTAGAAGTAGCGGCTTCTTAGCGCTATACGAAGAAAGGAAGAGAATAATATTACGAATTAAATTCGTATAAAGCTCTAGAGTACGCTCTAGAGCGATTACTTATAGTATACCTTTAGGCTATATAACTATATAGTTAAAGCTATATAATTTCTTTCTATCGATTATCTCCTAGGAAACTATATTAATCTACTATAGAAGAGGATAGAAAGTATTTCCTTTATTCGTATAGTAGATAGATTTTCTCTTTTCTTTTCTCTCCTTAGCTTTAGAATCCTCGTTATACGGTAGTTAGACGAATTACTCTAAATTCCTAGCTAAACCCTTATATCTAGAGAGAGTACGGCGTATCTAGGTATAGCTAGAGATAATAAAACTTAGAGAGATATAGTATATATAGGTATACTAGCTATTAAACTTAAAACGATAGAATAGAAGGGCGATAGAGGGTTTACTATATAGACTATAGGAGTATAGGGAAAATATCGATTATATATAGGAGTATAGGAAAAATATCGATTATAGTATACTTATAGGGTAGAAAATAGTTGCTGTAAGAGCTTAGTTATAATGTATAAGCGTAGGGAAAACTGTCCTTGCTGTACGGTAGCCCTAGGCTCCCTAGGCTCCTATAGTAAATTGAGTTGCGCTGGGCTGCGGACTAAAACACCGATATAATAAAAAGGAGGATACTATAGAGTTTATTAGATATACGCCTCTCTAAGATATCCCTATAAGCTCTAAGGTTATTTCTATAACCCCTCCTCTATCGGAAGTTATTCCTACGAGTAGTCCTCTACTAGAAACTTTAGATTTAGTAATCCTCACTCCGGAGCGGCCTCGGCTACGGCGCGAGCCCTCGCTAGAGGGTTCTCCGCTATAGATTACGCTAAATAAGCCTCTAGCGTTAACTACGCTACTAGTACTTAGTAGGATAAAGAGACGGCGAAACTATACTATTAAATTTAACTAGGGTCGATAGCAAGGGTTCATTCCTAAGTCCCAGGAGCGATAGTAATTTAGTGACCCTAGGGCTAGTAAATGAAGCGGAAGAATATTGATCCGGAGGTCCTGGAGTGGCGTCAACACTAAGGTTAACGCCGACGAGGCTTTATCAAACCTCAGCCTTGTCGACGAGGGTTCACGATGACAGTGTAGTTAATAAATGGATGAATAATGGCAGGATATGCAAAAGGGGTTAATTTTACAGCCAAATTAGGCCTAGTTTACATTACTTGGCATTCGCTCGCATTTCCGTTCGCTCTGGCCATTCGCTCCCCCGAGACATTCCCGATACCTACGCCTAGTCTTTGAGAAACGAGTAGTTAATTGAACGCTGGAACTGGCAAGATAGCTGTCGAACTCTATGTCTGATGGGGATGCGAGTGTCGGTTACTAGATACAGATTTGAAGATTCTAGCGATCCCAAGGGAACAGTCCCGGCGACCTTGGGCACCACAACTCATCCCCAATTGGAAATATCTGAGCGATGAGAGGCCTTGCCAAAATTAGCATTGCGCATATATGGGAACCGATCTCGATACGTGGGTCGTTGAGCGAGATAAACTATTCATATCGGAAGGAAGCTGCCGCCCTCATAAACATCCAGCAAACCTCTCCTATGTGCAATGGCAGGGCGCTGACGAAAGTATCATCAGAATGTTCGAATGCCGTCTGTCCTTCGGCAGTACAAAGTCCATCAACCCGGGGTGCACATGCACTTGTGATGAGCAAATTCACCAGAGCATCAGACAACAGAAGCTCTGGATACAGAGGATCGAAACTTTAGAATACCAAGCTAGAAAATTGACCTCAGCTGGCTCAGATATAATTTGAAGTTTTATCAATCTCTTCTTAGAGGGAGGGCGTTTGTTTTAGAAAGTAACTTTTTGCGAGCAGTCGACAGGCTGCTGGCCAAGATATCTGGACAAGGAGAGCGCGCTTCTCAGAGACTGGTTCCTGTAGTCGATTGTATCAAGGTATGATGGGTTTTTGGAAAGAGCCAGGTAGCATCACATGGTGATAGCCTCGTGCCTGCCTGGACGACGATCACCTCCGCCCGAGCGGCCCACTCAGAAGGGGCAAAGAGATGAGAGAGGCACGATAGAGTGGAGTAAGGGCTATTTGAAAACGCGGAGAAAGGGCTGATTCTCCAACCGGAGTCGACATCACACATCATTCGGAACTCACGTCTAGGCTTCAATTCAACTTCAAACTATCGGAACCGATCGTGAAGAAAGAATCCGCTTGAAACTGTGCCGGCGGCGATAGCCACTTGGAAAATCATGGCTTCAGAATAGACTCCTATTGTGAACGGGCCAACATTTCTGCGAGGTACGGCTATGCTAATCATTTGGGGTGGGCTCGATGACGGAAAGACAAATACAGAAGAAGAGGAGCTTAACGACTGGTGGAGCGACGAGCATCTCCCCGAACGCCTTGTGATCAAAGGGTTCCTGAGGACGTGCCGGTTTCATGCGCTTAAGTAAGGAATATCACAATACTTGGTCTGTTATGAAGTTGAATCACTAGACACACTCACCTCGCCAGAATATATGGCAGCGCTCCACAATCCAACGCCGAGAACGAAAAGGTTCATGCCATTTCTCGCTTCAATGAACCGTTCAGCTTGTCGTATCCTGTATTCAGTGTCTCGTCCCCAATTCGGTAAACGCAGAGAGGGCGGTATAGGTGGTTCTATTGCGCACATTGTCTTTCAACCACGTTCATTTTCAGAGTCAAGAAAACAAACACGTCCAAGATTGGATTGCACATAGACGGTGGCCTTCTCTGGTCAAGCACGTTATCTGGAAGTTCGACAAATTCGTACGACGGCGTTCGTTTCCAAGAGCGATAAAATTATTCCCAAGGCCGCAGCACCCTGCTGGTTGAATGTGCTGAACCAATTCCGTCGCCGTTTGCAAAGCACCAGTCGACGACTGAAAGCTTCGTGGAGGGCATTCGAGGCTGTGGAACTCAAGGCGTGGGAGTCCATTTCTACAGCCTCATTTGTATCGCATCAGAGTAGAAGGTTGCACAATCCCTGATAAGTCGGAATTACTGCTACGCCTTCCATGAGTCGAAATGGACTTAGACGTTGGCTGCAGCTTGCGGATGTAGATCTTGGCAGAGTCGAGCAGACTTTACCATTTCTCTATGTAGCATAAGCCAATATCAAGCGGCATGACCAAGGATTATTTGGCTTTTACTGCCCTGCAGTTACAAATATAAGAAGGCATCGGCCAATGTCCTTAGATATAGAAGTGCGGTGGACATGAGTGAAGGCAGAGGGAGCGTGGGTATTGAACCAGATCCTTAAAAACGTCATCCTCTCGACGATATCGGAATTATATTAATCCGAATCTCCCTGCGAATGCCAAGCCTTGAGGCTGCCTGTGTAGAGCCTCGCGGTTTACCTTTTCCTCCGCAGCTGCAACTGGTTCAATCGCGTTCGTTCGCGTGTCAACCACCACAAGCCCAAAAAAAAATCTCCAGCACCTTTTGAGCCAGACATTGGGCAACCACGATCAGCTTCATTGCTATCGTCACGTATCGCTCGTTGCAATTACTTCTTCAATATGTCTTGTTGATGCCCTGTTGGTCGACGCTTCATCATTGCCCACGTTTTCCGTCAATTCCTGACGCTGTCGCTCTTCCGCTTCTCCGTCAATCCACAGGATGAGTTTCTTCAATAATCCTCAGGCGCAGGTGCAGCCTGCAAAATCTAACCTTTTCTCTCAATCCTCAATATTCAACCAACCGCAGAATCAACAAGCCCAGCAGACACAGCAGCCGAACCAGCAGCCGAGCCAGCCAGGCGGTGGGCTCTTCGCCGGTTTCAACTTCGGCAAGCCCTCCTCGCAGCCACAACCTCAAGCAAGCATCGGACCTTTCGGTGCTTCTGCTACTCAAAGTCAGCCTCAAAATCAAACCGGAACTGGATTATTTGGAGCGGGTGGGGGTGGGGTTGGAGGTTTCGGCGCATCCATGCAACAGCAACCGGCCCAGACTGGAGGTATGTTTGGACTTTCTACACAGCAGCAACCGCAGACACAGCGTCCTCTAGACCAAACACTACGGTTTGGCCAATCTCAGCAAGGGCAGTCGGCCTCTCCGTCCATGTGGGAAGAAGGCCGAGGTTTGAATGTGTTCAGATCCATCCCCGCGCAGATGAACATTGTCAAAAACAAATGGGACCCACAGAACTTGTCTTCGCCATTGCGCGGGTACCTATACCAGCACGTTGGTAGCGAGGCGGAAGCATTTAAATACAGAGCCGGCCCTGATGAAGATGAAGACAAATGGGAGGAGGCCGTCAATAAACGCCCTGGGCCTGAATGGGTCCCGCTTCTGGTAAGAGGGTTCTTTGAATTGGGGCGCAAAGCTCAGATTCAGATGGAAGCCATTCAGAGGTGTAATATGATGCTCCAAGAGATCAATGCGTCTCTCGATGCCCAGCTCAATACGCATCGTCAGAACGTGGCTGCACGGCTAGAGGAGTGCAACCGACGACAAGTTTCAGCTGCGCAAAGAACTCTAGCTTTAGCAGTCAAGGTGCAGACTCTGCGGAATAGAGGGTATGTGATGGATAATGCGGAAGAGGAACTAAAAGCGAAGCTGGAAAACCTCCAACGTGAAGTGTTCGACCCCAGCCTGAACGCACGCGAACAAGAAATCTGGGCTAGAATGTTGGCTATCAGAGAACGAACAAAGCGAATCAAGGTGGAGATGGAGAGGATTGCACCAACGGCGAATGAGGAAGACTCCACCCTTGATGAAGAGACCATCGTGGCTGCTAGAAAGGTACCGTCCACAGCTCTCAGTTGAGGTCTATCTACTAACATAACATGCAGACATTGGAAGCATATGATACACAATTACGACATTTGCACAAGGAATTGAATTTGGTTTCACAAGAATTTGCAGACTGGGAAGCGATCTCGAAGGATCGGGATAGTGACATCCCTCGACGGCGTTGAGACTCAGCGAGTGTTCAATTCAGCTCCGTCTGGTCTATGACCCCGTCACTACAACTAGATGGCTGGGGTGAATCTTGCATAGCGACAGGCAAACTTGGGTCAAACACCTTGATGAATTGAGATATCATTTTGATGCTCTACCATGTATTGTAGAACATCGGTCCTAGATCCCAGCGATCTCTACCGCGCAGCATACTGGACACAATAACTGTACATCGAAAGAGGATGTGCTCTCGTCTTGGTTGTTAGCTGACCTTGATATGACAAGGAATCCTATTTCCGATCGTCACATTGCTTCCACTGGGCCGCCAAATCCGTCTAGCCCAACCCAGCTCAATGAGCGATGTAGAAAATATACAAAACGCAAGCCTAGAATAGTTTCTGCGCCCAATCAATCACATGCGGAGCTGTCCAATAATATAACTGGTCAGCAAATCCTGTCCCTCAAACACTAGCAATAGTAAACCCTGATAGGGCTCGAATTCAAAACGAAGTATCATAGATGTGGCGTGAGAGGGGAGTTCCGAAGCATGTCCATGTCTCCCGAAAAAGTACACAGCGACACGAGGCGCCGCAGGATGGAGGACTGGGAGAGATATGTGCATATGTGGTCAAATAGGGGACCGCAGGACGTACAGAACCACAGTGCAAGACAAGCGACCGAGAAAACCTGCACTTCCAGCGTGGCGCGCGCTTCGCCGTCGCGGATTTCTTTCTCCGAGAGCTGTTCAGGGGCTGTATCGTCGAAGAGAGAATGTGTTAGCTACATGCATCCGTGGTGAGTAGGTAGGGCATTGTGGTGTTGGGGATATCGCGAAGATAGGTATAGGTTGCTTGCGGGAGATGGGAAAGGACCTACGGCCTCCAAACATCGTGTGTGTTGGTAACGGCTGCGGCAGCGGATTTGATCAAGAGGGGAGGGTTGGTGAGGAGTCTTAAAGTGTGAGAAGGGTTTAACGTATTGAGATGAGGGCAAATTCCAAGATCAAATGTTTGTTCAATGTACAAAAAATCCCAGATACATAATGCGGCGCAGGTAGTTCGCGACCATAAAGTCCACCGTACCTACTACTGTGGGACATTACTACCTGGACCTCCAAGCGTTGTTCTTTCGTGCGAGATATTGTCGCACTTGCTTCATGCCACCGAAGGGCTTCCCTGTGTCGGTGGAAGACTGGAGATGGAAAATCAGCCGAAGCTGTGTAGATGGATTCTGGGTTCGGAGGCCCTAGATATGCAGGGATGGTATTTTTTTGGTTATACCGCAGGCCTCGTCGCACGTCGGGACGACTGAGGTTCCCACGAATTGATATCGACACCCATCTTTAGGATATATACACGGTGATCAGCGCTGTAGTCATATATAACCAGCGCTCACACAGGGTGATCTGAAACTAATTGGGTGTCTGCCGTTGCCTTAGTATCATCATATCGATTAAGCTCCGTGCCTGTTGGAGATAGCCGAAGCGAAGCAAAGCCTCATCCCCTTGCCAATGTCCCCTTTGACGATCAATACGATTTTCTTGTCGCTGAAGCGATCTGCATTCATCAAGGATGGGACACGTTGTTGGAAAGCTTGGGCGAAGTTCATTAACGCTTAGCGAAATGTCGTGGCTGTAATGCTTAGGACCTTGAAACTGTCATCCCTTAGACCGAGCTTCTGTAGTCGCTCCAGGACTCTATCCCTCTCATCCTCCAAGCGCGTGGCAAGGTCGTATAGGGACTGGATTCCCTGCAACTGTAGCTTAACCGTTCGATTCTGGCTCATCGAAAGCTGAAAAGCCCGAAACTCGATCGAAAAGATGCTCGGCTCAGACATGATATTGGTGCGGAATACCGGCGAGGTAATGGTTGACATGTTCGTGTTTGTGGTCTTTGTAGTAACTTGGCCGGTCGGAGTCGTTGGTGTCGGAGGATCACCGTTTACGGCCTGGCCATTCGAAGAGCGCATATAGTCCACTGGGTTTCGAAGTTCGGAGAGTTCACGCTCGCATGACTTCCTAGTTTCTGCCTGTTGATTCTTGTAGACCAATAAGCCTTGGCTGTAATCACTTACATTATATGAGAGATCTCGAAAAGCTTGGAGCGCAACTGGCGATACCTCAAGCTCTCTAACAGTCGTTCAACATTCCGAATTTCAAGACTTGCAAACTCAAAATGTTCAGTCGCCATCCTCACCCGGCTTGCTATCGAGAGTCGGGAAAACTGTAGCATTTTCTCTGAAATTAAAAACAAACGAGCATATAGTTGTCGGACATGTATTTCGCCCTCTCGGGTCGTGTAAAAGTCCTTATCTGATTCGAGCAATGAGGTGTCCCTCAGGATGAAATAAAGCGCCTTCAGGTGATCTAGAAACTGCATATCGGCCTGCAGCTTGTTTCTGAGCCATGATGCTCGCGCGTAGAATCCAACTGCCAGAGCAACCACAAATGTCAGAATGGCCAGGATATTGGCGGTCATCGACAACGGGCTATCCTGAGCCATTCCGATGGGCTACACACTGGCAGTCAAACATGTAATATCTAGGCAAACACAAGTATCATGAGAGAAAGCGGTGAAGCGCCCGACCTCAATAGCAGAGCTTTGAAGTTCAACAAATTGTGTTCCCACGAGAGACCCATGCGTATCCAAGCTTCGTCCGACTCTGGTGGATGGCTGCAGCCTGCTCGAGTTGGGATGGTCATGAGGCTGAGCTCTAAGCCACGTCGGCAGGGCTGTAGCTCCGAGCGGGGTGTATGTAGATAGATTGACGCATGATGGATCTCACCGAACTTTACCCTGGACGCTCCAGGATACTTGTGCCTTGCCATCCCTCTAATACTCGGCATAGTGGTGGCTTTATTATCCCAAGGGACCTCACAGTCTCGACATTCATGGCATGGCAGGCATGCAAGTGATCTAGGCCGCTGAAAAAAGTGTTCATAAACCCCTGCAGGGCCACGCCAACAACGCTGAATCAAACAATCCCTGTTCCAGCAATGACCCTGGCCGTTGCGCAGCAAAATTGGTACCCCTGACTGCCAAGAGGCGGGCGATTCTCTGGTCGTCTAGCCAAGGCATCTGCGTACTGTTTAATTGGAGTGGCTCGGAAACTACCTGTCCACACTGGGTTGCCTTAAATACTTCAAATAGCCTGGTATCGATTGAAGTCGTACAAATCAATGCTTCAGATCAGGGGACGGTATCGATCGAATGAGCCTCACACGAGAAGGCGAATTCGACTTCGAGGTTGTCAATCGAATGGTGCGCATGGTTTAATAGTAGACCACAAGGCACGTATAGAGTCCATGGTTGGAAGGGAGCCCCATTGATACGTAATAACATCACCGCGCTAGCCCCGATGATCTGACTATGGGTACCAGGTATGAGATGAGCTTTGAATGGCTCTGCTTAGTCCACGAATCTGGGATTAAGGAGATTTCGCGCGCTTGTATAGCCTGTCGTTTGGGCTGTGTTTTGGAGTATTGCTTTCCTAAGTCATTTCTTATTTTAAAAGCTGATTACCGAGATTAGTCATTGTGCCTCGACTTCTCCTCCGACTCGAGTCAACTGGATCGGCCTTTCATTGAGATGTCGAGATCAACAAATGTCCGATCGCGAAGCGAGCATGAAAGGAAAGCCCAAGGTCCAAACAAAACGTAACTGCGGTTACGCAGACATCTTGCCAATACTTTTAGCCAATTGTTATCAAACAGCACGACGGGGACAACTTTCTGTGTGGACCAGTTCATCGTTAGCTTCGGGAATTTGTTGGATATGGACATAGTACAATGCTAGTTTGTCTATCTTCCATGATGCAGAATCTCCCTAGTCGACGCGCTTCAGATCAGATGGTTCTTTAGGTCAGGCCTGGGGGGCTGATCGGGGCGTTGGACTTGACCCCTGCTCGTTTGGGTTCAAATCTTCACTTATTGGTCGGTAAGGCGTCTCATCTATATTGCCGCAGAACGCTGCAACTTCAAACACTATGGACGGCACCAAATGGATCCCGAGACAACAGGACAAGGGCATGAAGATCCCTCCCAGCTAGAAGACGCTCTCTCTGTTCAAGTGTACTCCTAGGACTCTTCTATAGCACTCACGCTCCGTTCGTTCCCAGCAACCCTCTCGTTCTTCATCCCACTTACTCGCCTGGAACTCGTGCATTCTTTCACAAGCTTGCTGATTGCCGTGTACCAACCATCAATTGAAGTAACCACCCCACCAAGAGGTCGACTGACCCTCACGCTGTGGGCGAGAGACAGCGAAATAGATGTCCCAGTTTGGCGCAAAGACAGGGTCTCAGGCCTCGGGAACGGCAATGGGATCCCCCGCGTCCACAGATAAATATCCGGCTTCATCAAGCAACGAGAATTACCCAGAAGTTGCCACTCGACTGAACCAACGACCACTTCAGACTTCCTACTCACAACCTTCCTACCCACAAAACTCTTATCCACTACCCAGTCAAGAGGCGTTCACACCCCAGACAACATATCAATACCAAGTACCACCGAAACAAGATGTCTATGAGCCTCAAGAAAAGCAGAAACGTAACCCTTGGGGCCTATCTCCCCTTGCTTTCGGTCTTTTAGTCGCCATCATAACAGCACTGGTGGTTGGTGGTGCCGTTGGTGGAGGTGTTGCTGGTGCGATGTCTGGTAAAGACGATTCAAGGTAAGTGACATACCGCTGAACACAGTGGATGCTTCCAACAAAATCAAAAAGGCCTGGACGCTAATGCAGGGCCCACAGTTCAAATGTGACTGTCTCAACGACCACAGTTACTGCAGGCGATGCGGTAGCGACACCAACAGCGTCAGCATCAGGGACGGCGACATCCTCGGCCCTGCCAGAGCCATCTTCGCTGAAGTCGTTTACGGTTCCCGAGCCGTACTATGTCGGTACACTCGCAGACCCCGGCTGTCAGCAATCCAGAATAGACGTACAAAACGACGAAAGATACGACCTTAGCTGTGGAGTTGACATGGGCAACAACATCAAAGATCGAGATGACAGCACGAAAGTGGTGGCTGATATCGTCGGGATCTTTGCATACAGCATTACTGACTGTCTATATGCTTGCACCAATGTTAACCGCTTCACCGAGACCTGGAAAACTGGCACCGCGCAGCAATGTAAAGGTGTGACGTGGACTTACAATATGGCACAGAGCAATACGTCGAACTCTGCGAACTGCTGGTTGAAGAATGGAACGTCGACAGGTTACCAGTGTAACAGTTGTATCAGTGGAGTTCTCGTTTGATAGGACGTGGTGTGACCTTTCTAGACTAATATCCACTTTGGACTTTTTGAGATGCCAGAGATGATGAGCTTACATGCGAGCAGAACAGGATCCCTGCTTTATATGTCTAGATCCAAAAATTTATAGGTCTTTGCGGTGAGACCAAAACTTACCAATTGTATTCTGCTTTTCACGAAATTTTTAGATCAATCGAATGCACTGATACCTGGAGGCTTGGGGCTTGAAATATTGGTGGGCTCTTTGATCGGCCTTGCAGCCTGCACGCCAACATGGTACTTTGAGGCAAGCTGGCCAGGGCAGTCCACAGCCTCGTCCCAGTTGTAAAGCCAGATCTATTCTCTTGTGAAATCGTCCGGTCCTTCCTTGTACTTACCGTTCATTGAATGGTTTCTGATCCGGGAGTGAGTGAGGAATTCTGATGTACTACCAGTCACCGCACGCCAGCGAGGTAAACTGTTCATGAATCAAGCAAATAGTAAGCACGTGACAACACGAGTCGTGCACAGACTCCCAGTTGACTTCAACTTTCATTGTCACTGCGTTCGTGAATCTTCAAAACATAATCAAGCATCCCTTCCTACACGAGAATTTCTTCTACATTTCGCCCGTGCCTAAACTACGACTTACCTTTGCACCCCGGAAATTCTGCAGATTCGATCCCCTTTCCCTCGATTGAACCATCACTATCATCATGAGCGAATCTGGCGATGACAGACCACCAGCAGATGTTGGAGGGGAAGATCGACCTTCCGAGAATGAAGATCAACTCAACGATCTAAACGACGACTTTGCAGATCGCGCCTCGAAGCATGCCGCCGACGCAGATGACTCTGACGACGAATCACTTCTGTCTGAAGTCGATGAAGCTCAATTCGCCGACTTCGATGCTTCTGCTGTCCAGGTGGCTCCTGACTTCGACACCCTCAACAAGAGCATCAAGGTCACAAAGCGGAAACGAGTCGAAGGTGAAGACTTGCCGCAGAAGAAGAAGGGGGTAACCCGAGAGAAGGTTCGAAAAAACAAACGGAGACGCGGTAGCGATGATGGTTTTTCTGGGGGTGAAGAGGTCGAGGGTAAGAGACGAAGGGCCAGGGGTGGAGCAGATGGCGAGAGGAAGCCTCGACCTGCACGAGTTGAAATCAACGATGAAGATTTGACACCGGAGGAGCGCAGACGACGCGCGCTCGATCGGGCTATGGACGCAGCGGTCAAGAAGTCATCTGGCAAGAGGATCAGAAAGGGCGAAATCGTAAGTCAATGCGCAGGGATATCCTTTCCATCTAACAGTTTCTAGGATCTCGAACAAATGGCAGACCAGGAGATCGAAGAGATACGGAATCGCATGGTCGCAGCAGCAGAGGCTGATGGAGATTTAGTACGACAAAATCTGCCTGCCTCTCAGAAGCTGAAGATGCTGCCGGAAGTACTTTCTCTGCTCAACCGCAACACTTACGTCCAGTCTATTTTGGATCCAGAAACCAACCTCTTAGAAGCAGTTCGATTTTTCTTGGAGCCCTTGACAGACGGCAGTCTTCCAGCATACAACATCCAGCGTGAACTACTTGCAGCACTTGCCAAACTGCCGATGAACAAAGAGACTTTGATTTCTTCTGGCATTGGGAAGGTGATCCTCTTCTATCGAAAATCGAAGCGTACCGAGCCAGCCATTAAACGGCAGGCAACCAAACTGATGGAAGAGTGGTCGAGGCCGATCTTGCAGCGAAGCGATGACTACACCAAGAAGACCTGGGCACGTGCAGCTTACGATCCTACAAAGAAGCGCGACGATATCCAAGCTGCATCAGTATTGGTTCCCAAGGCGAAAAGTAATGTAGCACCAGGACACAGGCCGAGCAACCGGGCAAGATTGCTGCCCGGAGCCACGAGCTACACCATTGTACCAGAGGTTTCCATCGTTCGACGTTGAAAGCGGCCTGTTGTCCTCTTCTGGTTTGGACTGCCTTTTGGGTCTTCGAGAATGGCTGTCCCTCGGTAATGACAGTAGTAACGACAGTAGTCGTGCGGGAGACGCGACTGCGAGGATAGACAATAGCTCGATGGGTGTTCTGACCCTGATTTTATAGGTAATTTCATCAGAGCTTCGGAACAGGATCCAGCTTGCGACTCATGCTTCAGCCTGGAGTCGAACACTCCAAGGTCCCAAAGGGTCAGCACTGGGGTGAGTTCAAAAAGCAATGGACCACTCATATAAATGGTCAGCTTGGCCACAGGGATGTAACCAAGAGACAACGATAGAGCTGCCAGGAAGTTACTTTGCAGGGCAACTAGAACCGTGGTGCGACAAAAATTCGTCCGAGGCTGAACCCACGCTCTCTGGCCACTTTAGCCATGTCCTACAGGCGCGATCATTAGTGCAGAGTGCGAGCAATATCATTTTCCATCTACATTTTTGATTCAAGGTTTTCCTTGCGAAAATAAGTCGGTTGAAGGACTGTCTACAGGATGAGTGTGAGCCTCCTCAAGAAGGAGGAATTCGTGCTGTCATGTATCACGCCATATTTGTTCACCGACATAGGGCATCAGGTGTTCACGAGCGAGCGAGAAATTGGGTGCCACAAGATGGTAGTCTTCGTAAGGAGGCTAGTCTATCTACAAAAGGAAGGGGACAGCGACGCGAGGAGCCTAATAGGTAGTCCAAGTAGTCCAGAGGCGAGATACCATTGCGCCGGAGACCATGAATTGCCAAAAATGAGCGAAATGTTCCGGGGGCTCTACCCGCAGAGGGTAATTTTGCAGAATGCCGAAAGAAAACCGGAGTGGACCGCAATAAATAACAAGAGTATCCGTACTTGCTCCTCCTGTATTGTACAAGTAAGCCTCGAGTCAGGGGCCGTGGAGATGGTAAACAACGCACCAGACAGGCGGGAAAACGTTTGGATTAAGTAACAAGTGATAACCAGCCAGGGCCATTCGGCGACGCCCGGGGACCTCGTTTCCTCATCTCGCAGGGGCCACGGCCCATAGGGAGCACGTCCGGAATGGCCTAACCGAGTGATGGTTAATCTTTATGGCCACCTGATGCGAAAGTCAGAGAAGCCACATGCGACTCGGATCACCGTGAGTCGAATGTTGATGCGTGATTATTCACTTGCAGACTTTCACGGGAAACGAGGTGACTAACGGCTTCCTTGCCAGGACGCGGTACGAGGGCAACAAGGCGAGGAGGGCGGGAAGGAGGGAAGGGCGCGGATATGCTTTCCCTGCCAGTGCTGGTTCAAACGGCAGGAGCCACGGCGAGTCCAGCTGGGGGGTGGCCCCTTCTGGCTGATGTCATAATGAGCCCAAGCCTGAGCCTGAGCCTGAGCCAGGAGAGCGAGGGAAGACCACCAACGACCGATGGCAAGAGCAAGAATTTGTAACCCCAGTACTCTATGCACACCCTATGTAACAGCTTGGTGGTGGAAACTAGATATATCTGATTGCAACCCACATTTTGCGGAAATCCATTTGTCTCCCACACCAACCCGACCACCGTAAACATTCTTACCCATCTACTGTCCCAACCTACGTCAAAGGGCACGGCTTCTAGCTTGCAGTTTGAAGCTCGCTAAACCGCCCAACCTAGCGACGCGAGAGCTCTCCGGCGAACACCCGGCCTTCATCCTAACACCCACCCTGTCCCTGGTGCGGAGCAGTACTGGGGTGTAATTGAAAGATAAAACCCTTTGGTCACCTCGCCGACCTTCACCTACTCATCTTCAATCGGTCCCGCGCAGGACCTCTCTGCACACATCCACTCCTCCACGACACATCCTCATCCACCTTCTCGAACCCCACATAAACACACTCGTCGCCATGAAGATCCTCACCAAAGAACAAGAACGCGAACACTACAATGCCGTGCTCTACGGCGGTGCGGTTGGCGGCACTGTCGGCCTCGCAGCCGGCCTTGCTGGTGTTGCACTCGCTCAACGTCGTTACCATTTCTTTCGGAATCTCACCCTCCCATTAAAAGCATTTCTAGTCACCTCCAGTGGTACTTTTGCTGGCATTGTCAACGCAGATCATTACTCCAGAAAATATGAGAGCGAATCCAATCCTCTAGATGTGGAATACAGGCGACGAGAATCTCAGAAACTGGAGGCCGACCGAGCAGGCAAGACATTCACCGAGCGAGCCATGGACTTTGGCCGCCGGGAACGATATAAAATTGTCGGTGCAAGCTGGATTGCATCTATGGCTGCGGCGTTCGCCATTGTCAATCGGAATAAATACCTGTCAGGACCACAGAAGATTGTTCAGGCAAGAGTATACGCACAGTTCTTGACGGTCGGCGTTCTCGTGGCCACTGCAGCCTTTGAGATCTCAGACTCCCGGAATGCAAAGGGCCGATACGAGACTGTGAGATACCTCGACCCCAGTGATCCAGAGCACAAGCGATACCTAGAAAAGCAGGTTGAGCGCGAGGTAGGCAGCCAAGGCAACCAACCTGGCTCCGATGATCTGTGGAAGGATATGGTCGCCGCAGAGGAGCAGAGGATCAAGGAGCGCGAAGAGAGACATAAGGAATTGGAGAAGCAGCACCACAAGAGGAATGGTAAGAAGTCTGAGAAGAAGCAGGAGAAATCCCAAGACAAGAAGGAGGACGAATAGTGAGCGAACGGGCGGCTCCCCGACCCAATCAGTCATATGAAGGGATCGATTCAGCGATAGCAGTCCCTCTGATCCAGTCGACTTTGTGCTTTTCAGCATCACCGAAGCATAACCAAACCTGTACACCAGAAAAGGGCCAGGCTATTTAATGAGTATCTAACGATCAAATTGGAATGTCCCCCTTCTCCTTTGCCCGTCTACACCGAACAAAAGTCTGTACATTACCACCCTCACCGTCTTACCTCCATCTCCTGCCAAATGCGGCGGAGGGAAGATGCACATGCACATGGAAACAACGGCAAGCCTATGGCTGAACATTTCTTTAACTACTCTGGTGATGCTTCCCTTGAAAGAGGGCGAGTCTGATATTTTGGGGATATGGATAAGGCACGATGGTCCATGGCATTTCACTACCGGCGTTTCGAACACAGAAGCTCAGGTTAGGGCATACATGGGAAGAAGTCTTATCTTGATTGTTTAGCCATGCTATGCTAGCTATCAGTTGCAGTCACATATTATCCAAATCAAGCTGAACATTACCACTGCAATTAATATACTATACGACTATACGTTGCAAAGAAGACTGCAATCTAGGTATACCGGAGACATGATTTCTCTAGGTATTGCTGAGCCAGCGAGTGATTCTATGGTCATTATGGGGGAGAGATTGGAAAGGCGGAAGAACCGTTCGTGCAGCGTAGGCCGGAGGGAGGTTGTTCCGGAGAGAGCTTGCTCCGTTAGTAGTAGGCTAGTAGCTTCAGGCTAGACTAGCCGCTGGCTAGCCCCGACTGGACTAGTCGGTCAACACTACTGGACGGAGATACTCTCCACCGAGCCCAGAATGCGGATGAGCAAGACGAGGGAGCCAGGTCAGTATGCATGACGTTTCGAGCTCCACATGCAGTACATACGTGCATGCCAGTTTGAGAACATGCAATTGTTGCCTACCAACCCACCGACTCTGTGACCACCACATTTATCACAACTACCACTTCCACAATTGCACCTGTTGACTATGCCATAGCTCTATTCACCACCCATCCCGTCTACAATTAAGTGCTTCGATAACAGTGGCCCCTTGTCGCCCTTCCACACCCCACAATGTCCTTCCTCGCTTCCTGCTGTGGATATGGCCGTAAACGTGGTGACGACACCGAGCCTCTGCTCCCACGGTATGAAGACGATACTGCTCGTCAAAGAGCTCTCCACCAGAAACTGCACTCGTACCAGATGGTGAGAGCTCTTTCCAAGGGTTACATGCCATCCAATGAACAAACCATCATCAATCTTCGAACCCTCCTCGCCTCCGACCTCCTCAACCCCGGTAACGCTGAGCTGAGTGATTCAGGCCGCCTACTTGTTCGAAACTGTCGAGGCTGGCTGAAGCTATTCATCGAGCTTTTGAGAAACAAGAACAGCGAGGACCAGATCCAAGATTTTATTTGGTACCTTACAAAATCCAGAATCTCCGTCGATATCAGTGATATCGCTCAATCCGCCTCAAAGGTCAAGGCCAGGGCCGACGCTCGAGCAACTTATGATAGTTTTCGAACCGTCGGGAGTCTGCTCCTCACGAACTCGGACTTTAGGCTTTTTGTGAATGACGTTGCCACGATAGGCAGAGAAGTCCTGGCCGACACTGCGTTCTCCCTATCGGCCGCCGCAGAGAAGACCGGCAAGCAACTTGTATTGTCTGCTGAAGAAGAAAACACCCTGAAAGAGCCTGGAGCAGATGAGGGCTCTCTTCCCTCCAAGCAAGATCTCGAACAAGGGGCCGAGGAAACTGCCAAAGTCGTTAGCCAGCAGGGCGCTCAAGTTGGAAAGGATACAATCGAAAGTGCCAAGCAGAGTTTCACTGGCGCTCAAGGGGAATCCTTGCTGTACAGACTGAAACAGACCGTCATACACTTGAGAAAACGGACCGACTACCAGGACTCGGTTTCCACGATTGCGAAGCTGATCCAGAGGTATGCCGTTGCGTACTCCAGGGTTGCTGATACCGCTATCGCAACCGCGCAAGAAGATGTTGACACCAACCCAGCTTTGGATCGTGCCGTCCGTAATTTCTGGGACCTTTTGAGCAGTTTTGGTGATAAGAAGGCCTGGCAAGAACTCGAGAAATATTTCAACCAGGTGCTTAGCCATGCTCAATCTGATCCTCAGTTCGAAGATTTCATGGTCGACATTGGGAATTCAGTACAGAAGATGTTGACTGATCCCGACTTCTTTGAGAACGCCGATAAGAAAATCGAAGAACTAAAACAAAAATCTGCAAAGCTTGGGTCTGAAACCACCTTCCGCGATGATCTCGATAAACTCTTCAAGCAAACTCAGATCACACTCACTTCCGTCGTGGAAGATCAGGATGTCAATGCCCTGCTGCTGGCCACCCGCCGCATCTATAAAACGCTTTCACCGCCCAATCAGATTACAAACCCAGATCTGATAACCGATTCCCTCCACATCTTCCTTCCCTTACTCATCAGAAGCATCCAGCATATTCCCATTCCTCGTATTGAGGTGTCCGTCCCCGAAATGGATCTTCTACTAGAAAACCTGGTTCTTGAACCTGGCCGCAATGTGAACTCCACTTCTTTCTTACCTTATCGCCTTCTGGTCTCAACCCAGAATGACTTGGAGATTCGCAAAGCCCATTCCAAGAAGACTGTCTCTCGCACAAAATCCCTCATTACTGTCTCTGTCAACGGCTTGTCGGTCGCCGCCCAGGATCTGGGCTTCTGGGTTCGAGGCCACCCAGGCTTGATTCGTTTCGCTGATGAAGGGATTGCCTCATTCTCCTTGGACGAACGTGGCATTGACATCAGTATCGATATGGAAGTTGGTCGCGAACGTATCGAGCAGATCTTGACACTTCGCGGCGTGAGGGTTCACATTCACAAGCTGGACTATACACTGCGCAAAAGCAAGCTGTCATGGCTCGGTTGGCTGTTTAAGCCGTTCTTGAAACATCTCATTCGTCGATCGTTGGAAAAGACAATCGCTGAAGGCATCGTCTCGACCCTCCGCACTGCAAACAGGGAGTTAATCTTCGCACGTGAAAGACTCCGAGCAACGCGTATTGCCGAGCCACAGGACGTACTCACCTTTATCAAGGCGGTTTTGGCGAGATTAACTCCAGAAGAAGATCCTGATGTATACACCCGTGTCGGAGTCGATGCTCCACAGCAGGGAGTCTTCAAGGACATTTACACACCAGGCAGCATCGTCAAGCTATGGCATGAAGAGGCCCTGCGTGCCGAAGAAGCGGTAGCAGACGGTGAGGAGCGTGGCGGAGGCTGGAGAAATGATATCTTCGATACACCTGTGATGTAGTAAAGCTTGAATCCATGCGAGGAATGGACTACTGGGCGTTGTTCTTTGATTTTCGGTCTTTATAGCGGGTGGGCGGCGATGGAATGCAATAACATCCAATGCAGTTCGACGGGAACTTGACGCATTCCAAATTGCGTATACCTCCCATACCTGTTTTCGCGATTGTCAAAATACTTGGTGTCCACGAACACGAACTCGAACAGAATGTACACATAATTAAAGGACGCACAGGCATATACGTAACAGGAACCTGTACTGTATGCAGCGTCCGCTCCCATCCAACAGAGTGGTAGTAATCACCATATTATCCGGCCGTCAGGTGAATATGACTACTTGTCGTTTTTCTCCTCAGACAACCCCCTTAGCTCCACAGGCGGACACCGTCACGAGCGAGCAATGGAGCGACGATGTACGTGAGGTTCACATGACACGCAAGGCCGGTGAACGCACCCAAGGCTGGCCGATTACTTAAGCAGCCCCCCTTTTTTTCGTGTCACCTTTTTCTGGCAGGTACTCCTTCCTCGATAGTCCATTATCCAATTCTCGAAACAGCACCATTGACGACAAGGCAGCCTCTATGAATCAATGCCTGCCCACCTCGCCTCTCCTCTCTTTCTCCCCTCTCTTGTTTGCAGTATACTCAGACAATGGGGTGAACTTGTTCCGGGAAGGGAGCAGGTAGCATGGGTGTCTGAGTCTGCACTTGGGTGGCTTGTCCTAGACATGTTTCCGTCTCTGTCTTCGCCGTCGTTGTTTTCATTGTTGCTGTGGTCCTCATGGCCATGCTTGGCTATCGACCAGCAGCAGTGCGCGACTTGCGAATGCTCCCAGGCAGGTCAGCACGCCCCGATGAGCAAGACATCACACGAAATCATCACAACCCACCCCGGGTGGTTGAGGTAGGCAGTGCGGTCTGGTCTCACGGGGCGATGTCTTGCGAAAGCCTTCTTTTGTTTCTCGGCGAGATCGATCTTGGACAAGAGTTTCACACTTGCCCGTCCCACCGCTATCAACTTCCCACTGTCTCTCATTCATTGTAGTTGAATTTCGTCCACCAACACATTATAAATGATGCGCAACTCACAACAGCTGCATGTTGTGCTCTTCCAATCGCCTTGCCTCGCACGCACAGCCTCGCCTAGCACATGGAGATGCCGATCAGTGCCCACAAGGTCCCAGATGGGGCTGACGACGAGAACAAGGCTGACGACAATGTTGCAACCAAACGCCAACTCAAAATGGAAGCCGAGGACTTGAGGCACATCATTGACACCCTCCAGCTCACAGGAAATACGAAACTAAACCTTCAAAACTTTGTCAACATTGACTGGCCCCCTTTCGGTCCACCATTTGTGGGAGGCACCCCACCGTCGACCTCAGAGGGAGGATATGCAGTCATACGCTTGCTGGCAGACCTTCATTTTCGAGAGCTGGAGTCCCGCTTGGCGAAGGAGGATGTCTCGGCGCTGACACAAGAGCTCAACTCCACCAAAGAGAAGCTCAAGGATGTTGAAGGCTATCATAAAGCCAAGGTTACCCGGCTCTCAAACCTACTCAACGCAGAGACTAAAGATACTCTGCGCTTCACAGGCGATTACCTGCAGCTCCGCATGAAATTTGGTGCAGCACTCCACCGTGGACACCACCTCAAACAAGAGAATGAGAAACTCAAGGCCAACAATACATCCCTACAGTTGAGGGCCAAGGAGGGCCAAGCTGTAGCTGATGAGGCGGCAAAGGTGAAGGAAGAAGTCTTATACCTCAGAGGAAAAGTCCAAGCTCTGAACAATCTCAAGCACGAAAACATCCAACTGAAGAAACAGAAAGAGCGTTCACGCATCAAACAGCGAGATGAAGAAATACAGCAGTTGTGTGCAGAACTTGACGAGCTGCAAACTTCCTTGGTGGAAAAGAGCTTGACACACGCGCCAAATGATGAAACTTTGACCCAGCGCTACTTCAGAACACTAAAGACCACGAGCTCGAAGCTGACGGCAATGTCCCAAAGAATCTCCGCCATGACTGACGCCGACAGAGCGGGTGCAGGCTGGTGCCTCGTCGAGCAACAAGAGAATGTAGTCAAGGCTCACACCCGTGACATAATCAAGGATATTGACCAGAGCCTTGCTCTTGGCGGCGAAGCTGGCAGAGGGCAGGCTCGGGAACTCGATGAAAATGAATTTCCCGCCTTGGGTGCAAGCTTGAAGACCACCACGGCAGCAATTGCTGGCAGCAGTGGTGCTCCGTGGGGAAGTTCCAGTCGGTCCCCGGCCCCAGCTGGACGGGGCGTCAGCGACGCAACAGCAGACGACCGCGACCAAGGCTGGACAACAGTCAGCACCCGGACGTCTCCTCGGAAACTCAAGCACGATCCTATCGACACCGCTGCCAATCCCACCGCGAGTGCCAGCACTACCTCCAACAAGAATCGCGTCGGCCAGAAATCCAAGACCTAGATCGCAAAAGCCATCAAAAAGGATCTTTTACTTGCTTCGTTGGTTGATGTCGGGCCTGAGATCTGAAATCTGGTCGCGTATGGGCATGAGGCTAGCTGGGCGAGACAGAGTATCATTATAAGGAAGGGGAGATGTGATCCGTGTTTTCGATATTTTCTTTTGTCAGTTGCATGCCATCCACGGGCCTCAAATCCAAAAAGGGGGTAATTGGATCGATTCAAGGTATTCCGGATTGGGATTTTCTCTTTTGGGTTTGGAGATAACGAAATCGGATCTCACTTGAGGGATTGTTGTGAGCGGTCGCGCTGGCGAAGGGGTCATCAGACGGAGTTTGATGAACTACCTGTCTCTCTGACTAAAGCCACTGATACCGCCCGCCAAGACCCTTTCATTCCAGCCTTCTACGCAATGCATGTCGTGCATTGAATCATACCATACCCTGGTAGCTAGCCAACTGGTCACCCCTAGGTAGCAAGGTAGCAAGTTGAGAATTAATATTTTCTTTGAACTTGGATGTCAGAGCGCAGACAAGGCCCGTGCTACCGATGAATAGCTTAAAGACTTGACTAGGTAGGTCGTGATCGCTGGGCCTGGCGGTCATGGAACGACTGTGTTTCTTCTCCCAGACGCAAACGCCTTCGATGGCCCTAAGCGCCTATTGACCTATGCCTAGGTAGTATTACTAAACAACTCACCAGCTAATTCCCGAACCGTGAACCATCACCATTGCTTTTCACTCCGAGGCAGCATGGCCTCTTTGAAGACATGTCATAGAAACGACCCGCGCCGCCGTTGCCATCAAGGACCGTGTGCCTTGGTTACCCCAGTCTAACCCCATGAGTCGGCCATCTAGGTATACATGTGGAAAAAGAAAATAGAGAACTCGTGGGTCGTCCCGATCTGCGGTTGTGGCGATAACCCCGATCCTGCTCCTCAAGGTACGAACACCAATCGCTAATTACAATAAAATTCGTCTTGTCTGTTCCATGAGTTCTAGAGGAGTCATGATTGATATCATGAAAATTCGTCATCATTGGGCATGAAAAACCCCGGGTCGTGCTCCTGTCGGGAGCCAATTCCCTTGCGGCCGTGGTGTCTAATCGACACGATCGCGTGATTCAGGCCAAGATCGGCTCTCAATAGACTGGTGCAATCCGGAAGATGTTCAATCATTGTTGTTGTCGCTTGGGAGTTTTATTGTCTGCGCCCAGCACGGAGTTCTTGAGTCCCGCCCAACCTTTCTTGAGTGAGCTCTTGATCTTGTCGCCTGTTGATTGATTGAGCTTGTTGCTGAGCTCGCGGTACGAGTACATTTCTGCCCAGCAATCCCGGCCCCACTCACACCCTGCCATATTGACGAGGAAATCGCGCTCGTCCTCATTGTAATGAAAGCGTGAATTGAGGAGAGGGTTCTCTCCTGTCTTAGCTTCCCCACCACAAGCTCCAGGAGGAAAAGAATTAATCTTTCGTTGCGCAATGAAAGAAAAATGTGTTCTCATGTACGGTTGAGATGCATAGAGGTGTTCTAAGGCGTCCTGCTCTTTGTGTTCCCAGTCCATATGCATTTGTTCATACAGAACAGGGTCCCACCACATGTCGAGCAATCGATCAGTGAATGAGGACCTTCGAACGAAGAAAGATCCCAGGTTAAACCCGTCACAATCTTGAGGTATGATGATGTCGATGGAGGATGTGAGGTTGTCTCCCGTTGGCGATCTGGCTACGAAATCGAGAAAGTCCGTTTCCGGTGGATGTGTGAGATTGAGTGGATTGTACACATTAATGTCTCGGTAGACGTTGTTTGCGAGGTCGGCGAAAATGTGCGACTGTAACGAATAAGATGGTTCCATAATGAAGGTATTCAAATCGAGCCACCAGAACCTGGAGTCAACAGGTTAGTACGGGGGGTTGGGCAAAGTTCCGACTTCTCCTACCACTCAGCCTTGGGGTATTTTGCCATGGCATTGCGAACAAGGTCAACCTTCTCCCAGCTCTCTCTCCATTCGTGGGCATATCTCTTCTTGGTGCTCATGTCGCTGACCTCCAAATGGTAGCCCCAGCGGTCGGCATATTTCCTCTTATTCTTAATACTATCCCGCTCGATGGCCCACTCCCTCGGACCTTTCCATTCCATTACACCTCCACCTTCGTTGGCTCCCAGGATGATGACGAATTTACTTCCGCCGCCTAGCCGAGAACTACTGCGGTATTTGCCTCGAACATCTGTAATCAAACGTTAGCGTGAGAACAACGAAAGACCCGAACCAGGCCCCTACTTGTTTGTGACATGATGACAGTTGTCAGTGTGACGACAGACAGAATAATAAAAAGAAACTTGAATTTTCGTAGGACATTGCCAACGAAAGTTTTCAGCTTGGACAAGGCACTTCCACCTCTTGGAGTCCACCGACTCCGGCCCAGTTTCTCGGGATCTTTCCAATTCGACGACAGAGGTGTATATGGACTGTTGAAAACTGGTAATGTGGATATCTTCCTCTTGGATCTTTGAAAGAACCCTTCATTTTTGGTTTGGATGCTAGGATAGCCTCTGAGTTGGGCACTTCTCGCCTTGGCTGCAGCCCATTGATCATCGCTATTACTGAAGCCGTTGACGTTGCCATATAGACTGTTGGGCGTCGAACTGCGGTCGGTCAAACCTCTTGAAGTCCATCCTCCATTTGGTAGTGGTGACGGAGACCTCGACAGGGACATTTGTGCTTCCGGAGACAGGCTTCGAAGGGGAATAGAGAGACGTCGGACAGACACACATTCAGGGGATTCTCAGGAAGGAAACGGAAGGCGACACTTGTAGACACGTCGACACCGGAGAAGGAAAACTAAAACCAAATGTCCGTTGGGAGTGAAGTGGAGAAGCATTGGTTGATGAAACAGATCAGCGATCCATTGTCGGGAGTGTGCAAGGACAGGGACAACGGAATGACTGGGATGAAGACACGCCTAACGAATCGGTCTTGATCCAATGCACATGCCCGACAGGAACGGCGTGGCCTGGATCTGAGAAGCAAAGGGAGATGTTGATATCTCGTGGAATTCACCAGTCTTCAAGTTGATGGGAGCGGAGGTTCAGCGCAGTTTGCGGCCAGAGGCAGGCGCAGGCGGAAATCCATATGGAGTCAAGGTTGACGCTGCTTTCTTCCGGCTGGATTTGTCCTGTCCGCTTCAAGACGGATATCCCGCCGCCTTAAGCCAGGACGTGACACACCTTATTTATACTTCGACAACCCAAAGCCATCCTTTACAGCAAATACTTGGTCAGAAAGAAATCGAGTGCTGGAAGGATGTTTCACTTAAAGCGTTTGATTTGCCCACGTAGCCGTGCTCCGTGAGGAGACTTCTTGTACATAGCCCACGATATCTGAGGCATCATCTGGTGGAGAAAACACAAGAAAGTCTGCATGCTGGAAGTATATGAAGAAGTTCCTCCAACAAGGATGGTCCAGCAGTTGAATTGACTATCAGCAGTAGATGCTTACTAGATTGTAGGAAAGGTATCCAGCGGGCTCCAGATTCCTGGCATCTGTGTGACAGTTGAAGATATCCTCGCAAGATTGGACAGTCATGGCACTGTGCATCATCCAACTGCGTTCGCACTCTTGCCAAGGTCGTTCTGGAAGTGCCTGGAACAGTGCCACGTTTCCATTACTCGACCAGTGACGCCACGTTCTGCAAGAATTCTCTTAGTTGGCCATAAGCGTTGTGAGATGCTCCGACAACTTGTTAACGCCTCTCTCGGTTGTTGTCGCGTAGAGACAATGGCGTGCTCCATAGGTTGCCGAAACCAATAATGCGGTGCTTTGCCTAGTATGTTGTGGTCTCAGTCCAGCTTAAAAGTGAACCATCATCTTCGGGGTGAGCATATGAGCATTTGAAAATTTTTGTCTGTGCTTATTGTAGACTATTAAGACATCTGCAACCTTGAAGCGAATACTTTCCCTCGCACGGGAGCTCCAGGGTTCTGCTGAGGACTGTTCCTATCAGGGCACCGCAGCTTCACGCACTGAAGCTCAGCCACTGTGATGGCACAATGGGGCCGACATACTCCGTACACGGCAGCTGTCCGGTACCTGCCAAGGGTCGGGGAAATAACACCTGGGACCTGCAGGGATCAACAGCCTAGTCGCCTCAGGCTTGACAGGGACCATTAACGAGGACAGTACGGAGTACTCCGTACTCCGTGCCATTGATCAGAGCAGCCAATGGTTCACTTGTACATCAGCTAATGGAGCCGGCCCGCGCGTATCGGCATTCCTCAGTTCGGAGAACAACCTTTCGTCCTCTTTCAAGTTCAGAGTGACAAGACACGCCTCAACAAACGATGTTGAGCAATTCGAGTTTGCTGTCTAAGGCGGAAGAAAGAATCACAACCAAAATTAGTTGTAACGACGGCCTGTCTGGGCAAACGCAATCCAGCATCATTCAGAATAGGGCCGCTAAGGTTGACATCGAAGCTACTGTCCAGGCTCGACGGGAAAATATATCTCTATCAACACTCTACTCCGTGGGAAGCATAGCCTATGTCGAAATGCAATAATAACGTCGTTTACCGAATAGTTAGTCTTCCGGAATGGCTCGTCTTGGAATGAGGATCTCCACTTACCATTCCTCTGCCAATCTTGCATTCTAAATTGTTCAAAGCGAAGGGATCATTCGGCACGATGCCCGTCCACCGCGTGGCAACTAAACTCGATCTGCTTTCTCGTGAATCGAGAGCCTGCATTCTCCATATATATTGGGAAATTCTTCGACCTCGACTGTGCCTCTCTCATCCTGCATCCCAACTTTCTCTTCTCACAAACATCCCATTATTGAACGATGTACGTTTTCTATCTTTTGACAGCTGCGGTGGCGGCGTTCGCACTGCCTCAAGACTCGACAACATCAGTGGACTCGGTAGATTCGACATCAACAAAGCTTCAGAATGTCAACTATGGTGCATTCACACAAACGGCCACCTATTCTGTAGCCAATCAACTGGGGTTCTTCAAGGCATATGGCCTCAATGTCACCTACCTCCAGGTTCCAAACTCAACATATGGTTACAACCAGCTACTCAATGGCGGCTACGATATCATGACAGGCACTATTGACAATGCCGTCAATCTACGTTTCAACCAGCAACAACCTCTCACTGTGACTGGTCAGCTTGATGGCGGGCCGGAATTGACCATTGCCTCCATCGCTTCCATTACCTCCATAACCCAGCTCAAAGGAAAGGCGCTCATGGTCGACTCACCCATCAGTGGTTACGCATACATTCTTCGAAAAGTACTAGCCCTCCACGGCCTGTATCTCGAGAACGGCGACTATACTTTCCAGGTAAGAAACACGCACGTGCAGGTGGATCTCCCTACTTACCCTCGCTAGGTTGTTGGTTCAACTGTGATCCGTTATGCGGACCTTGTAGCTGGAAAGCTTCCAGACGGCACACCAGTCTACGCCACAATCTTCACATATCCATTCACAAGCCAGGCAGGCGATGTGCCAGCGGCTCAGCGTCCCAACATCCTTGCCAAGATTTCCGATTTCATCCAGCCATTCTCTTCATCAGCGTTCACTGTCCGTGAAGCGGCACTTAGCAACAGTACGCAGCGGATTCTCCTCAGAAAGTTCATGTCTGCCATGTATGCCGCGAACAAATACCTTGCCAGCGTTGCGAACAAAAAGTGTTCCATCACTGCGATCTCCAAGCAACTCAATGTCTCTACATCCGTGGCAACCTCGGCATACACCTCAGCCAATGACCCCATCACCGGCGAGACTTCCTCTCCAGGTGGTAACTTCACTGTAAACCGACAAGGACTTCTCAACGTCATCGATGTTCGAGGCCAATTTGGCGGTTTTGCATCAGTTTCTCCCAACTTCAACTACGCCGAGGCAATTCTCCCTGGGGAGGGAAAACTCATCGATTATACTCTGCGGGATGAAGCAGTGAAGAGTCTTGTTTCGTTCACCGCGAAATGTTAAAATTAGAGAGAGTAGCGCCGTTTTTGACGCTCATATCGAACCTATGACCTATACATGGAGAATGTCGTGCGCAAGGGGCTCGTAGTGCCCTGCACAGTAATATAGTAATCCTAATAGACTTTTATCAAGCCAATTGAAAGCGCTCCATCTTTTCAAATCCCAACCGTCAGTACTTATGCACGTGCAGGGGCGATCGTGGTTGACTCACTTTGCCAATAACTTCAACAAGGCGAGTAGCGATGGGTGCTTCCTGCAAAACGTCCTGCGGTACGGAGTACGTGACAAGGTATACATGATACAACAGAGCTTCGGGCGAAATGCCAAACTTGCACATCGGCAACAGACTTTGAGCATGATTAGCGGTGGCCTTACAAGGCTATCCCTGATCAAATCTCCATACGGATGCTTCATTCTCCGTCCTAATCAGGGAAGCTCGAACCTGCTCAGTCCGAGTACTTCGTCCTAGGCTTGCTGGCTATCGAGTACGGAGTACCTCCTCAAAACTCTGCGATCGAGTTCCAGGACGGGTGCAATAAATCGAATCTGGGATCCTGCTATGCTTCTCGTAAGAGACTAACAGTCACGCCTCATAATTGTGCCCACCCCGCTATTCATGAGTTTCCGTGAGAGTTGTCTGCGTAGGGAGCATCCGCCATCGGCATGGAAAACAGCTTGTGCCCAGATCAAATGCAACTACTGGTATGGAGTACCTGTAGTGGTGGTGGAGCTCACCACCGGCACAGCCACACAGCTCATCTAGACTTGGGATAAAGTTCGACAAGAGTCCTAGCACGGAATCAAGCGCCATCAAGAGAACAATCCCGATTCTTGATCAATCTTAATTAGAAAGTAACGTTCACTGGACAGGTTCTGCCAGGGCTGGGGGAGAGATGGCGCGCCCCATGTGAGACCATGGTGTGGCGCTATAAGCGGGAACGTAAGCATTCTGTCCCAGGAACGGTAATGATCCGCCAACGGCCTTGCGGGGAAGATGAGCCAGGGATCCGGAACGTCGCCCTCTCTTCGATTGCGGCTAGCTTGCAAAGAATCAATGGCAGTCGATCCTGTCAGAGACTTGGGAGAGCTGCTGAACCGTCCAAGGAGTCATAATCTGGACACACACCCCTGCTTGACACACGAGCGACCGACGTTGGAATGCCGAAATCAACACATCGATGGGGCTATGGAAGATACTCCCGTGAACGGCCATGGGCTCACGTCGTGGCTCGCCTTAGAGACGAAAAACAAGCCAGGATGCTTCGCTGAGGTGGGTTTGATATGTTGGGAAATGGACAAAGGATGCCATGACAAGCGGACATCCAGCCCAGTCCTAACAACCCTTAAATCGAGGATACAATATTCCTGTCACGTGTAAGCCTTTGCTTAGCTGCAGTGACTCGCCAGCGAAACTGAAGATTGTATCTCCTAAGAGAGTTCGCACCCGCCCATCCTTGATCACGATCCTCTGATATGACACCCCTCCAAGGCATCCATGAGCGAAACAGCACGAAGCCAAACAGCACCGGAAAGAGTCTCTTGCAATTGCTGGTGGAGATGCTCGGCATGATCTACAAATGCTACTGCTGATTACCGGCCCTCGTCTCGCACCAACGGTTCTCAACCCGGCATACTCCGTTCGGCAGCCTGGTATTTCGTCGAGTCTCGACCGTCTCCACGTCCTCGGGATGGCAGATCCTTGCTCTTGGGAGCTTTCTGCTTCGATTCTTGCATGCAGGACTAGGAACTCCGTGCCATACTACTACCCTTCTGGCAAACCGAGAGAGGCTACTCTGCTCATTTCTAATGCAGGCTTCATGCAATTAGCGGAACCAGACTGCTGTTAGATCGGCCTAGGTGTTGTAACTTTGGTTCACTCCCAAAGCCTGGGGCAACAGTGATGGCCCGCTACCGATACTCTCGCACTGATTATCGGCCTATGAGTACATGTCGCTTTTCCGCTGTGCAATACCTCGTTCCATCATGTGTTCCTGCAAGAAGAGCACTCAAGCTCGGGGCACCTTGTAGTAGCCCCAAGTCTTAGGAGAGCAGACATGCACGAATATCACGCTGTATTTAGTAATTTACGAGGTGCATACAGCTACATGCTATGTGTTATTCTACTATCCTCCATACAGGGAGAGCAAAGCGTGTTTCAACCCTCGCAAATCCTGGATAGTGGGTTTAAGCGAAGCCGCCTTCCTCTTGCATATGAGGTCCTAGGCGGGCGTGCACTGAAATCACAATCAGGTCACACCGGCCTTGGCTCGCTCGAATCAATGGTGTCTTCAAAGACTGTTTTAGTGCGCAAGGGACGTAAGTCTCTCCAGTCTGGTACCTGGCACATAGCGCTGTCCCCATTCCTCCTCTAATCCTGACTCCTGCAATTGCACTTCTAGCCAGGGGCCCCATATTGAGCACTACAGTCTCTCAAAGGTCTAAGCCGTTAGCAGGACATTTCTCGCAAATGCGACAAAATCACCGCCTTGCCCCAATGCCCTCCGTTGCAGCCTGGTGTTTTCACTCTACCCTGCTCTCGAGGATTTGATACTATTTGCATTGTGTAGTTGGCCATGATAGAACCACGGGCTGCCGCCGGGGTACCACCCAACCCTCATGGGCAGCAACTTGCAAATGTCAGTATCATCATGTGCGCTCTTGCCGGTGTGACCGTCATCGCAAGGCTTTGCGTTCGGATTTTCATGCAACGGAATACTGGCTGGGATGACTACACCCTTATCGCATCTTTGGTAAGAGTCTCTATATCCATCTTCGGTCTTGGTCACTGACTGCTTCAGGCCTTGGCCATTGGGATGACGATCTGCTTCAATTATGGTCGGCATTTTATTCTGCAGGCATCTAACTTACGGCTGACTTGAACGCAGAGGTATATTACGGCATGGGTCTGCATACTCATGAACTTGATGCGGCCAACAAGGTCAAAGCATTCTTGGTGAGGGACTCTAAAGCCCACGAACAGTGAACACACCGACTAATGGCTATCAGTGGCTGTGGGTCGCTCAACTACTATATAAATTTGCCAATGGCATGACCAAAATTTCTCTTGTCTTGTTATACCTGAGAATCTTCCCGAGCCGAATATTCAAGATGATTTCCTGGGGCGTCATCGCATTTGTGATTTGTTACTGTACTGCTGCAGTATGCACAAGTATCTGGCAGTGCGAGTATGTCTCGCCGCTTTGCTATAATCAAGCGGGAGAAGCTGACTGAATCTATAGTCCCATCGAGAAAGCCTGGAGGAAAACTCTTCCAGGTCACTGTATCAAGATCGGTATCCTGTGGTACGTGAACTCAGTGTTCACCCTCCTAGCCGATCTGATGCTCATCATCCTCCCAATGAATCAAATTGTGCGCCTGAAATTACCACTTTCTCAGAAGATCGGATTAGCCTTCGTATTCAGTCTAGGAATATTGTACGCTCTTCATCCTGACCAGACCAGGTAGACCATGCTAACAACATTTCAGCGTCATGGCTTGCACCATTATTAGATGTGTGGCTTTGGGCCCAACAGTCTCTCAAAATGACTCAGTCTGTATGTCGTCCACGTCGACCCATAATGCTGCATTCCATCAAGATCAGTCAACTAACGATCGTGTTCCAGATTACCAAGCCAAGTCTAACAGCTGGACATTTCTCGAAGTCGACGTCTCCATAATTTGCGCGGCTCTGCCCATCCTCAAAGCCCCCTTGAGCAAACTGTTCCCACGTCTCTGGGGCAACAGAACAACAGCTGCAGAAACTGGTGCTTCTGGTTCCGGCAGAGTCAGCCATGGAGGTCACAACATCGGGATGAAGAGCTACGGCGACTCTCAGATTCGATCCGGCCACCGACATTCGCGAAATCTCACCAACAACAACGATCCTGAAAGTGACGAGGAGGGCATGTTGGACTCAAAAGGCATTCGTAAGACAACAAATATAACTTTCGACTATGAAGAGGGGGAATCAATGAAGGGTTCGGAGAAAAGAGGCGTTGGTGCGTTCGACTTCGAACTCAACCAAGACATTTCGCGAAGCCGCTGATTGGGAGATCACAACACCGTGCTGCATGCAGGCACTACTGTGTCTGCCATCCAAAGACCAGACGATATCAATAGCACTAAAAACCAGCAACGAACAGGGAGATGCTCGACAGCTAACCCAGGAAGCATCATTTAGTATTTGAACACAACATTGCCGGACATTACGAGCGTCACCAAGTATCCACCCACCCATGCCACAGCTCATACAGAGTGACAATGCAATTGTCCTTGAACATTAATGTATCATGCACAACGACGAGAAAATCTCAACAAAGCGTTTGTTTGGTTTTTTTGTGGTATCAAACCAGCTTCCATTGATGTGTATAATAACAGTTGCCCACCACGGAAACTAGGGAGAAAAGAATCTACATCTTGGAGGCTACACAGTCTCTTTCAATCCAAATATGACGAGGCCGATTACCTTGGAAGAAAGCCTCCATCCGTATATGTTTGCGCACGTGCTCGTTGTGTTTTGATACCTTAGAAGTCAACTTGCTGCTACTATGTGTTAGGTAGAGCGTTGGGCCGCTGGATAGCGGGTCGACCATCTTCTCCCTTATTCGCAAGACCTAAGAAATTTGAGGGATCCGTCCTGCCCAGCTCTGCGGCCCACGGATCCGATGCCCTGTACGACGCACTCGCCACGGAGCTGATTAAGGGGGCTTAGATGGATTCTCTCGAATCGCCAGAGTGCCGACCTTGACGGGTGGGCAAAGTAGAAGCAGACCGGCGATTCGTAAACTCCTTGTTTCACTCGTCGCGAACCAAGTATGATTGCTGATCTCGAATTTGGATTTACACTATTGGGCTATTTGCTTGACGAGCTAATATGCAGAGCACTACGAGTAAGTATCCATGCTAGAAGTATCATCGCCAGTCGGTATCGGCCTCGGTTTGACAAGAAGTTTTTGCATTTTGGTTGTCGGTGTCTGTGATATCGGAGGACGCGACCTTGAATGCTGGGGGTGCAAATGATGTGGGTGTTGGATGGCTACTTTGCGGGATCGAACTTTGAGGTCGGTGGGTGCGATCAGTGGAAGGCTATCTTGCTGTTGTGCCTGACTTGGACCCTTTCTGGCGGGCCTGGATGACATACAGCATCGTCCCACCTCACATTCAAAGTGGTTTCTGCTATACTGGAGGAACGTGGATCTAGCGACGTTTCCCCTGCCGATATGCGGTCGACCTGGCCGTTGGCACCGGACGAAGGTGCAAAGCCTTGACTGTTGAGAATCTGTGACCACCAAGAAGTTCCACTTTCCTCAGCCGATATTGAACGTCCTTCTGAAACCAGATTCCCATATTCCAAGGTCAGTGCTTTCTATAATCTTTCATCGATAAGCATTACCTGAGCTGAGGCCTGGAACTCAGGTGCGTCAACCTTCCCTACAGCGTACCTGTCAGGATATTCTTTTGTCGTTTATGCGGCCTGACTGGTTACGAGGCCGGACGCAGCTGCTAGTCCTTCGTGACCTGTGCCCCTGAGTTCTTGTTTGAATGACAGTGATATTTAGTTACAGTATGATTTCTAGTTCAGAGGCTCATAATTCGAGAATTGACAACGGACGTTCTGCGCTATGTGACAAAGCCCGTACCACCAATGCGGCCCGGCTCGCGAATGCTCCGATTCCCCCGTCTAGATTCGTGCCTCTGCCGCAGCCGAGTGCTGTAGCAATTCATGGTTTCTGATTACTTTCCACCGTCATGTTACGAGGTTGTTTTTGATAGTACATGGCTGATTGTCCATGGTATGCTTCGCGACCAGCGGGCCGGCCGATGATCGTTCCTGGTTGACTTTTGTTGCGTAGATGATACTCCTCTGCTTCATGTTTCATGCCCGATGATGCATGGTTTGCACAGCACCAGCGGCACATCCATGTCAAGGGAAACCCTCCATCGTTCACATATTGGGAAGCTGAGTAGCTGTGAGTCTCCCTCATGGTGCCGCGAGATCTGCCGATGCGAACTAACTGATGAAGGCGATGGCACCGACTACCATCGACTGAATACGTTTGAGTTTGAATAATGAAATTGGACCAATGCAGCCTCGGCTTTATTTGAGAAGAGGTGAGTCATCCGGGAATCTAAGATTCAAAGCTCTGATCTGATGTGACGTTGACGTGGAGTTGGGGTGTCAGCGCCAAGGAATATCTCGTACTCGTAATTCCCGAGCCTCGTTCTCGTATTACTCATTCGGTAATTACCTGACCCCGTAGCTGCCAGTACGGAGCGAATATTCTGTCCCTTGTACCAATTGCTCGCATTGGAAAATGGCTCGGACCGTAATTATGTGGACGTTCATCCAGCCCGCTCTTCGTCTTAGTCTTCTCATTTCAGCTCACGCTTCTAGACGGTACAAGCATTCACAGGGCTTCTTCATTGACTACAATTGAGGTCTTCGAAGTCCGCACATTCAAACTCGATAGGGAGTCACTACAGCCTTCTGCGGTGCAAATATTGTGCTTGGACGACAATTGAGAATCAGGGGTTTGATTGTTCAAAAAACGCTCTCATGTGTATTGGCTCCCAGAATGCAGGTCAACTCATACTGTCGCCGAGCGATTCAATGACTTCCAGCGTTTAGTTGGAATATCGCCTCAAGCGCAGCTTGATGGAACTCCGAAGTGCTGATTACTGATTCGTCATATCGAATGCTCAATAGAAGAGTAGCCTCGGGCTTTGGAGCCACTTATCCTGCCTGGAGACCAGGGACTAGTCGCACAAGAAACAAGTATTCCGCATGCCTGAACTTTACAGGGATCTCGTGTATATTCGCGTCCAAAGCCACAGGGTAGACGACTTTTCATGCAGAGCATTAGTGAATCAATTTTCACTCTCCGGTCAAGAAACACCCTGTTGACGGCAACAGCGAGGTCATCGAGTTGATTGGTGGCATATTTTACGCGGTTCCCTGCAATTGCTCTCCCTTGGAATTTTGCTTGACTGGATGCTTTGTGGGCGACTTCATTCATGACAAAGGCTTGTGCTACCTGCGCCCAGGAAGGTCCAGCTGGGAGTGTGTAGACGCAGAATCGAGGAAAATTTCCCACATCGTTTTACCACCTCGAACGCGCTCAACACTTGGATCCGCCCCCATATTCAAGGAAAACAGTGGCAGCTGAGTCCAGAGGCATGGACAGGGATATCATGAACAAGATCCAAAGATGTGGCCAAATTGGTTGAGACAGAAGAGGAGATCAGCAAAGATCATCTTTTCCCAAGTAGCTATCATGAAAGTTCGGTTGGCGTGATTCAATGGTCGTCAAAAGGGTCGTACTCGGCGTACAATGCGCTAGTCGACCAGCCTCAACAAGCACCTCCTCTTCCGATCATTGAGCGCTGGAGATCTGCTTGCCGCGGTCTCTGATATGATCTGAGCTTTTTGAGGAGAGGCCCAGCGACAGGCGCTCATCTCTCGAGCATGACAACTTGACAAGATCGGGCTCCTTTTTCAGAGGCAGATGGGCATATTGGGTAAACTTCACCTATGCTTGGGACCATTCTTCTGCATCATCAAGAGAACATCCCATTCAAAGTTCGCCTGTGCCAAGGGTCAAAATGAACTCCTGAGTCCACTGGGGCGCAGTCAAGCATAAAGAGCAAACGTTTATATCACTCCGCTCGGGCCATCCGTGCCGCATTCCGAACCACGTTCCGCTGTACCCACGTTCCAGGGCCCGCTGCAGGTACCTAATCCGCTTGCACGGTTTTGATCTGGCTTTTAGTCTTTGGCATTGGCCAAATCGAGTAAGCCCAAGCCACAAGTGCGGTTCAAGGTTTGGGTTGCGAGTGGCTTCAAATGTACACAATATGGCGGCGGAACACAATTTCCGCACCACGCTGTGGCAGTGCTAATGCTACACATCGATCTATTGGGGTTAAGGACAGCCGAATACGCTCAAGTAACGTAGCGTACGCCTGTACATGGGCTAATAGCTGATTGACGCCAGACATAGACACATTAATACTCTCCTATGCAGATGGTATAACTCTTGGGTTACATTGTGACGTCGTCGAGTCCGCCAGAAGGCTCTGCTATTCGAACCTTCGTTTTAACATAAGCTCCATCTGAGAGACTTGTAGTACCGGCTTGGCAGCCAGCGAGAATGATACTCCTTGTCAGCCTGGTTCCGCTGGTACTCCTTTCTGGAATGGCCGTCACATTTACTGCCGCCACTGCCAGAATCCGTGGCAAGGGTAAGTTGGGCGCAGCGGAATGGCACAAGGCTGTCATGACGGCCCTGCCTAGGCCATTGTCCTTGCTCGGCAAGAGTGGGCTTGTGGCTCCCTTCAAGGCTGACGGCATAACTTCAACTTTGCAGCCAGCCTCGTTCAAGCGATGTAGAGACTGGTGGCCTGCTAAGGTGAAGGTCCAAGCATCCAAGGAATGGGAAAAAAGGAATAGCGCCTGGGCAGAGCTTCTACAATAGGTCATAGTAGCGTCTTCGAAAACGGAAATTTCAAATCCCAAGCGTATACAACATGCTCCACCCTGCGTAAAGGGTTAGCAATGCCACTCAGTTAATACGAAATGGAACCACACGTCAATCTCGCTATGGCTCTATATAGCTGCAGCCTTTTCGCACATCTACGAAATATGTTGCACTGTTCAAACCGGAAACCTGTATACTACCACCACCATGGCCATAAAATTGCTCGCTCTCGCTTCCCTTTTCCCCCTCCATATTTGGGCTTCGCCAGCGGGGGACTCAAGACCTCATGGGGAGTGCAAACAGCTCAATGTCTCTGTCACCGCTTCGTCGCATGGATACAAGTTTGATATTCCCAGAGTCGACAACGACATCGACGCCACAGCCTGGGCCCTCAATTTCGATACCTGGAGCAACAAGCCGATGCCCGAGCCGGTCCTTCAAAACACAACCATTTCCGGCACTTATAACATCCATGCCCAAATCTGTACTCCTAAATCCGGCGGAGACGTCCTTCAAATCGCAACGCACGGTGCGTACTACGATGGGAGATACTGGGATGCGAAGCTCGAAGGGCATTCATATGTCAATGCCGCTCTAGAAGCCGGATACTCAATCCTCACCTACGACCGGCTGGGGACAGGTCTGTCCGATCACCCCGACGCTTACACCGTGGTCCAAGCACAGTACGAACTCGAGATCCTCCGAGAATTGACCATGATGGCACGGAGCGGTGCATTCGGTGTGCAGCCTAAGAAAATCGTGCATGTCGGGCACAGCTTCGGGTCGATCGTCAGCACGGCCTTCATCGCCACGTACCCAGACTTGAGCGATGGTGCCATTATCACCGGCTACGTGCTCAACAAGTACTTGGGCGCAGTTGGCAGGTCGTCTTGGAGCGTACAGCACTCCGCCGGCTGGCCCAGTGGCTATGTGACCATGCAAAAGAGCGGCATCCACTCGACCTTCTTCGGCGGCGGCTTTACTTCAGATCTACTCGACTACGGCGATGCGATCAAATCGCCTACCGCTGTTGCCGAAATCACTTCTGGCGGTTTCCTTGTCATGGCTTCGGGTCCTTTCAAGGGTCCGATACACTATATCCTGCCCGAGCTGGATTTCTTCATTTGTGCCGGTGACTGCAAGAATGTCACCAGCCTCGAGGCACTCCAGCACACGTTTCCCAATGCGAGTGCCATCCAGCTCGATATCCAGCCCAACACTGGCCATGCTTTGCCGCTCCACAAAAATGCCACGGCTGGGTTTCAGGTTTCATTTGATTTCTTGAACAAGCACGGCTTGTAGTAGCCGGGGTGGTCTAGATATGGTGCGACATGCATTGTCCAATGGATCGGTGCTTGATTCGGTGCTTGGACTCTTGGAGGATGTAGACATGGAACAAGGGGGCTCATATCATTCGAGAAAGAACCAGTGGGATTAGCGAAGGACATGGACCAATATATCTGCGATGGAAATATGGAAATTTTTGGGTAGTAGCGTTCGCTTTGTTTAGTACACTAATCAAATTGTTTTGTGCGTTTACCACGAATTCTCCCGTGCCGTGTGATGTTGAGCTTGGGCTATTCGATGGTCAACAACGCAAAACAAGTCGCTCTGGAAAAGCAGAACTTGCTGAATAGTCTTCTTGTGCAGAGTCATAACTATAGAATAATAGCTGTACATTTGATAGGATCGAAAATCATGTAATTTGGACCGTCATGTTCCAAGCTCCCACCACCTATGTCGGCAGAAACTTAAGCGCCACCAGGTGCCATCTTGTCTAGTCCATAGCTCGACCTTCCCCGCTCCCCCCTTTGACGACGCAGCCTCGTTTCATCGCCCATCCTCTGTATCCATCCTGTACAGTAACACACCGACCCTTTCAACGTCAAAAGTCATGATGATAAACCTCAAGTCATCCATGTCCATGGTGAGTCCGCAGCGGGCAAACAGAGGCTCCCACAACGCTCCAAAGCACCGCACCTGCCTCACCTCCGTTTACATCAAAGAAAGTGAGGGGTCATACAATCATGCTGCAAACGACGATGATCACTCGGCTTAAACAAATCGTCGAACGCGTACAATCAACCAGCCGTCATCTCCGTTTTTAAAGCTGATCTTCACTCCACCCGAGGGGGTTGCATTGCGTGTCGGTAGTAGTAGTTGGCGTGCATGCGTGGTTGATTGCGGACTTTTCTCCGGGCTCGGGAGCAGCAGTGTTAATAACGGGTGGGTCAGAGTAGAGGCGCATTGGTAGCGTGCTTTTGATGCCGACCTGCGGTGATGCTGCTGAGTGTGCGTCTTCGTGTTATTCGGTGGTGGTATGGTCGTGCATGAGGGCATCTGGTGTCGATGGTACTTCAGGCTGGGCCGAGGGTGCGCTGAGTTTGGCGGGCAGCGAAGCAGAAGAGGGCGAGGATGGGAGAGATGATTGCGCCGCCATGGTTAGGAAGAGGTTGCAGTATATTCAACACCGGTGAGCGTGCTGTGGTCTTAGTGGATGGTTCATTCAGTCGAACGGGGGGCTTTCTTCTTACTACCTGGGTCTGAATTGGAATCGGCAGGATAGGTTCGTTGGAAAGGATGGGAAAGAAGAAAGGGAGAACGTGTGGACTAGTCTCTGCATTAGACGGGCGGAATTTATAGCTTTGCACTACGACCTTTTGTTTGTAGTTGACAAGTCACTTGCATGCACATACGTTGCCACAGTTGTGAGCGATTTGATCAGGACAAAGACGGGATTGTTGGTTCTATGATATTGGCACATTGTGACAATAGCGACAGCTATTCGGAGCTCGTAAGGAGCAGTAGGTGCTCGAGATTGCTTAACATGTCTTGGTCTGAACGCCGTAGAGTGCCTTGGCGTAAAAACAGGGCAGGTTGCTTTAATTGCCCTGATTCCCGCTCAATCCAGGGCGAGCCCAGGTCTTTCTTTATCCGGGATTGTTGCCTCTAGGCAGCTGGCTTGTTGAATGGGGATGTTGAGTTTTTCTTCCCATAGTCATCAGTTGAAACCATGTGCCAGGAAGCGTCAATGATGTCGTCAGTGTCATCGACAATCAGTTCTGGCGGACCAAGGTCGATCTCAGTAAAAGTGTCTGCAACCTTGCTTTCCTTGCTCTCCTCCGACCTCACGACCTTGCCTCCACGTATTTGGCCCTCCTGACCGGCCGCAGTTGAGGCAGGTGGACAAGGAGCGGACATCTTTGCCTTACTGGCGCCCTGGCGAGATTCCTTCTTGCTGTCACCCATGCTCGAAATATTCGGCATACTGATAACCGTCTGCTCCTTGCGTTGTTTCTCGTGGCATTCGAAGCACAATTGGCCAGTTGAGTCCTCCTAGTACCCAGCCAGCGAATTCCAGGGCGAGATGCTTTGAGTGTTTCCCCAAGCTACACCCCAGATGGTATAGCAGCGGTGGGTGGTACAATGGTAGAATAAGGCGCCAGATTTGGGATTTCCAGACAGCCCTAGCGGAGGAGAGTCCAACTTAAAGACTGGAGGGCTTACTCTGAAGAAGGACATTTTGTGTGGGCTATAGCCTATAGGACGAGTCTGGTGATATGTCAGGCGTGGATTCGAGAATAGTTCGCAGTGGCCGTTTGTTGGTGGTGGAAGCAAAGTAAGGTGAAAGCACGCGTGCCTGGATCCAATGGTGCAGAATAGGTTGAGCGCTCTCAAGGCGGCCGTTTGCTAGACAGATTCTCCCCATGTCTAAGGGCATCACCTTTGCGAGTTCGAGCGCAGCGGACATCCCATCAGCAAAATTGACACAACAGCCCACAACAGCTCTCATCAGAAAACAGTTTTTGCGCTGTTTGTCCGTGGTGTGCTCATCCCCGTCATGTATGCCAAGGATTTCATGTCTCGACAATGGGTGGCAAGGCACAACAAATTGCAAACAACTTCAGATGAAACGACTTAGCATCACCTTGTACCAGTCGGTGCGGACACATATAAAGCTGTCCCGATTTCGGAAGGGTATAAAAGCGAGCATGGACCTTGGCTCCACCCATTACACCAGATCTGCAGACCCTGTATACATGAGATCTTCCCTGCAAACCACCACTTATTCATAGATTCCAATTTGTACCTAGCCCTGTACAACAGCCTAGTCAAAAGAAATAGTAGAATGCCGTACGATAAAGAGCCCAGTGGTTCGGGCCTGCGCAGAGGAGGATATGACACCACAGGCATTCTGAAACCCTCTGGACCCTCTGGGCCTCCCCCTCCACAGGAGCCGAAGGAAGTCGACAAGAAATACCACACAGGTGCTTGGTACAGGAAGTAAGGAGCGCCTTACACAACGGTACCTGGAGACTGTGAGCTCCGAGGAAGGACGTGGTGCACCGGCAGAAACAAGCCGGACTACAGCTTGGGGGATCATGTGTAGCATTTCTTAGTGGGCGTCTCAGGGGTTTGGAGCAACCCACAGCCAGGTCGCTGTTTCAGTGCTGCTTTGGAGAAAAAGGCCGCATGATTGAAATGCATAGTGCTGGACTGGTTCGTAGGGGATGAGGTAACCAGCCTGCTGGCTCCATGTTATCGTTTGGTCGCACCGGGAACCCACGCTTCAGGGGTCCAGGTTGCGCCCGAACTCGAGCCACCTTTGGAAGCCGAAGCTTTGCTCCAGGGGTCTTCTTCCTCAACGGTATTCTTGGTCTTTTCAGCTGCGGGCGTGCTAACTTGAGCATCACCAGTAGCCGCAGGTGTTGGCTCCGGTTTCTCGATATACTTGGGCTTTGCAGCCCATCTTTCATCGGCCAATCGGGCATTATGTTTCATCTGCTCTATCCGCTGCACATCGGCCATCTGCTCTTGAATTGAAGGAGCATCTGGTCGAGTCTGTCGCAACCATTGATGCCATTGGGGGGAGATCTTAACATCGGAATGGTGGGTTTTACGACCCGCTTGGACGATGCGGCGCCACCGGTTGTGGTTGATGGCGTCTTTGAATTCCCAGAAGGTGTTGCCGTGAAGGTCCTGGCCTGGAGCATGGGTTAGCATGGGACTATCCTGTATGAAGAATACCGAGAAATACCGATCAAGAACCTCTTCCGCCATGGCAGACGGAGCATCTTCCATTTGATCCAGAGGTCTCGAGCTGCGCCCATGATGGTGTGGACCGGAGGTGATGGATTAATTCGTCCGCTGTTGATTTGAGAGGCACAGAGTATGTAGTTCGTCACAGAGTATGTAGTTCGTCACAGAGTATGTAGTTCGTCACAGAGTATGTAGTTCGTCACAGAGTATGTAGTTGGTGACGGGCAGTCGAGAGGCCGATTAAAATAATGATGGTCTTGATCGACGTCAACGTGCAGGGATCATCGAATGGCGGCCGCCTTGAGCCACAGTCCTGTTTCCTGATCCCGATTCCGCCGCCAATTCGAAACCCATTCCACATCTCACATCTTCCCCCTCCAGCTGCGCCATCCATTTCCACCCCATCCCCATCCTCATCCTCGCTGTCGCTGACATATACATGGGTTCGAATATATAACCTGCCTGTGCCATCACTCCACTCCCACTTGGATCACTTCCTCTCTCTCTATTCTCCCTTCCTGGCCCTCAGCCATGGCTTCAGTTACTAGCCTCGACCAGGACATGCGCAAATTGCGCCTGGACCGATATACGCCTGGCGCCGCTAAAGAAGTCAGAGCTTGGATAGAAGAAACCCTGGGCGAAAGATTACCTCCGGGGGACCTGATGGATGCCCTGAAAGATGGTGTCGCTCTCTGCAAGTATGCCAAATTCCAAAGAACACCACACCACACCAGCCTAATTACCAACAAAATGCTGACCCTGTCAGGCTTGCCATTCGCGCTGGATGTCCCGGCGTTAAATATAAACAGTCCAATATGCCCTTTGTACAGATGGAGAATATCTCACATTTCCTGCGCGCCTGCGAAATGGCTCCCTTGAACCTCCCATCCCACGATCGCTTTCTGACCGTGGATCTCTACGACGGCAAGGACCCCGCCCAAGTGCTACAATGTATCGCTGCTTTCAGCCGAAGAGCCAATGCTGTCAATCCGTCTACCTATCCTACAACCCTCGGCGCAAAGAGCAAAGGCTCATCCATGAGCCCACAAGGCACTGGCTCCAGCGGACCACGATCCCCCGCCTACATTACAACCTCCACCACTCGCTCCCGTGGAACCAGCAATGCTACGCCCGAGAGCCCGTCAATCACATTCAACCCCCTAAACAGAGCCGCCTATTCCGGTCGAATCAGTCCTACCAAGTCCACCCCAACAAACACCCTGGCCCGTGGTGGTCTCGCTTCCGGCGGTGCCGTCAGCACGTGGAGTAACGCTGCCGATGAAGGCAAGACTGCTCCAGCCTGGAACATCCATCAATATGGTTACATGGGTGGTGCAAGCCAAGGAAACCAAGGTGTCGTATACGGTGCAAGAAGACAAATCACCTCACCTGCTCCGAATGTTCCTAGCCTGGCAGAGAAAGAGAAGCGCCTTAAAGAAGAAGCCGAGCAGAAACGTCTGGCTGAGGAAGAGTACCAACGAGCCCAAGCTGCCCAACGCCAGGCCGAGGAGGAAGAAGCCAAGCGCGAGGAGGAGAGGAGATGGGCGGAAGAAACCCGCCGCCAGAGAGAGCTGGAGGCCGAACAACAGCGTGCTGCAGAACGCAGACGCCTCCAAGACGAAGAACGCGTTCGTCAAGATGAACAGCGACGTCAAGAACGAGCCTATGAGCGAGAACGCGAGCGTGAGGCTCAGGATCAAGCCGAACGAGAAGCTGTCAGTACCCGGAACCAAGAGCGCGCCACCTCCGATGCAAGATTGAACGGTCAGTTCCTCAGCCAGTATCAATCCGACCAGGCCCGCAGTCCTCCTCCAGCTCAGCCAATTGCCTCCCAAGCAAATAGTGAGAGCCAACGTATTGCAGAACTCGAACGCCAACTCGAAGAGATGCGAGCCCAACAAAGGCGTGGCCCTCCCCAGCCCTCCCAACAATCTCAACCCGAGCCACCAGCTCCAGCGCTTCCCATTCGTTCACATGCTTCCACAGCAGCACCGGTGCGAACAAGCCATGAAGACGATTGGGCATCTTCAGAACGAGATTTGCTCAAATCTGAATGGCAAAAGGCCCAGCACGACCCCTCCTCTCTCCCTCCGAAACCAAGCCGTGCCGATCAAGCCTCCAGACCTCTACCCGACCCCGCGACCTACAGTGCCAATAGCAACCGCACCGACCGCTTTCTCTCATCCAATGCAGCTCCTCAAGCTGCCCGACCCAGCCAACACCGCTATCAAGATTACAGCACCACCAGTGAAGTCGATGCCGAGAACGCCCGACGAGCCGCCTCACAGCAGAAGACCAAAGCCGGGGCCTGGGCCAGTAAATCTCTACTCGAGCGTGAGATGGAACGCGAACGTGAGCGTCAGCGAGAGTGGGAGGAAGGGCAGCAGGCCACACAGGTGGCGGCACGTGACCTCAAGGAAGGGTCAGGGCCTGGTCAGACCTGGGATGTTCATCAATATGGCTATATGGGTGGTGATAGTCAGAATCGAGGCGGGGCTGGGCTGGGTATTGGCGGTGCAAGGAGGCAGATTATCGGGCCGAGACCGCCACCTTGAGCTGAGAGTTTTGGGGGAGGATAATGAATGGACGACTCGCCTTGTATAGATTGGGCGTTGGTGGTGCCAAGAATGCGATCCATCCTTTGGCAGGAAGTACCCGCCGGCTGAGGAGCAGAGAGAGGAGAGGAGGAGGGATGGCATGATGATCATGATGATGCAATGCGATCCGACATATGATGAGCTGCGATCGAACGAGGGGATGCGAATGGTGATGAATAGAAGTCATGACATGATGAGACTAGTCCTCGGTACAGCGACAGTTAGTGGGCGCTCAGTGAAAGCCTCGTCGGTAGCCAGATGCGTGCACTCGACTCGGATGCTGGATGCAACTTGAATATGTGAGAGCCACCACGACAGTGCGATCGCAGCAGAGATACATTACATACCCAAGCCATTCTGCCCTCGCAAAAGACTAGGCTTTTGAGGCTACCGGTTCTGTGTTATAATGTCGCTGCGTTCGAACATAGGAGGTGCCGCCGGAGGAGGGCAGTGTGACCACGACCACCAAAATCAAATCAGGAGGAATACTGGGTTTCGCTCATGAACGCTATGCAATGATGCACTTCGACCATCATTGGTCTCATCGCTCATATCGTCGTCACCCGAACAGTCTGGGGTATGTATGTATACATGTCTCGTCTGATGGTCCGGTTGCACCGCACATCCGCCCACCGCCCGCGAGCAATGCGGAACCGAAACTCCCTCAGCTAGAAATCTGTCCCTACTCGTACAGTGGCAGAGCGAACAAGATCCGCAAGCCTGTCGCCACTCTCCACGAGCCAAGCCGAAGCCTCATCCCTGGCATCTCCTCCTCCAGCACCCTTCGCCTTCCTCTTCCCCGCGGTACTCCTACTCCCGCCGCCCGCCCCATCCACGACCCTCGCCAACCTCCTGTGCACACCACTCCGCACAGCCCGCAGCATTTTCTCCGAGGTTGCCTTCAACGCCCACTCGTCACGATCCATCGCAATCAAACACCTCGTCAGACTCTCGAGCAGGATACTGACTCTGGCGTTCGCATCGGCGGTGTTCTTGCCCGCCGCGAACGGGAGATACTCCGTCTCGAGCTTGCCGCGCGAGAGCAGTGCGTGCGAGCGGATGCTGGGTGCGGAGGCTTCGAGGAGGCGCTGGAGCAGGACCTCCGCGAGCATCATGGTTGTTTGGAGGGTGAGGATCCCGGTGGGTTGGGATGGGGTCGCGGTGGGAAGCACGAAGTGTGCGAAGATCGGGAGTGGGAGCGGTTTGATGAACTCTACGAAGAGTGTGAAGAGATCCTCGAGGTCCGGGAATGTCGTTGGTGAGGTCGAGGTTAGGGTCGGGTGGGCCGAGATGTGTGTGAGGAGGTTGAGAAGGCGCAGGCGCAGGTTGAGGGACTCGTGGTCGCCGAGGTTAGCGGAGACGGAGGCCGTGGTGGTGGTAGTGGTGGTGGTGGTGGTGGTGGTGGTAGTGGTGCTGGAATGTGGAAGATTTTCGTGGCCGGTCTCATATTCGCTCCGGAGGCTGCCCGTACTGCCTCTGGGCGTCACGCGACGGGAGGATGGTGTGCGAGTACGCGTGCGTTTCGAGAGGCGTCCGGGCCCGCGCGGCGCTGTAGTTTGGTCGCCTGCCTCGTCTGAGTCGTCCGAGTCGTCCTGCATCAGGTAGTCGCCAAAGACTTCTTGATCGATGTCCACGTCCACCTCTCGTTTCTTGATCCCTCCTCCCTCCTTGTCGGCCGCAGGCTCCTTCAGCTCGTTGGCGAAGATGGGGCGAAACTCGTTCGTCGAACGCGTCGACCCGTCCGCGAAGATCGCCCGCAGAATGCGTCTCTGTCGAGCATGCCCGCCCGCCGCCAGCTCGATGTAATGCCAGAGCAGGCTTTCCTCGGCTGACTCGGACTCTTCACGGATCTGCCAGTCCGTTTCCAGCACGTCGAGCAGGAACTCGAGCAGGCCCTGATATCGTCGCCAGCGTTGTGCGTGTATACCAGGGAGGCAAGCACAATTGAATGCCCAGCCGACTAGATGCCAGAAGTCATCCGCACGCGTCCACAGTCTGTGGGAGTCTGCATACATCGTGTTGAGGTCTGATCTTGGAATCGCTGTATTCTGCGTTTGATGGTAGTCGTCGTCGTCATCATCGAAGCGGCCACGTCGGAGGACTCGCGCGTCATATCTTCGAAAAGAAAATGCACCCAGGAAATTGCCGTTCACAGGGCCGACAGTCTGGTAGACGAGACGTAGTAGACGGAGGGCGAGCTGGGCCTGCTCCCACTTCTCACGTGACCTGGTTCGAGTGGTGAAGGTGGGGTGTACAGACACGGTCACCGCCAATGCCAGATGAGGCGCCGCTGGAATGGTAATGGGGGCTTGTCGATCGATAGAGGACACGCTGTTTCCGATGATGGAAAGGAGGAAAGTGTATGCCTGAGTGAACAGACTCTCTTCATAGTAAGTTTGCACATGTTGAGCCAATTCAAACGGGAGTTCTCTGGCAGGCCGGTACTTTTTGTGCCCACGTGCGCCTTCCGATTGCCTGGAGAAAGATTGGTCTGGTGGAGGGCAGGATAGGGGCGAAGAGGCCATCAAATGGGCCATGAGGGTGATGTTAGGCGGAGAGCCTTGTGCGAGCCTCGCATTGCACGCGTCAAAAGGGGACGTGACACGTCTGGCTCGAGCCCGCTGAACGTGGGCAATTTGAAGGCTTTAATGGCTCATTGAGTGCATCTGAAATTACTGATCAACATCACCTGCACGCAGTCAGAGTGTAGACACGACGCTGGCGCGGTCCTAGGATCAAAATGACGAGACTCGCCTGGTGTCCAACCAGCGGACCTTTGTCTGAGTTCGCTAGACCTTCCGTAATGGTAATGGCTCAAACGGGCGTCTTGGCACAGCCTCGCGGTCTGGAGGCCTGATGCGAAGACCTGTAAAGACAGGAGTATTGATTGACTACAAAAGAGCTACTAGGCTTCGCGACTACGTGTTTTGCTTCTCTCATTTCCGGACTGGGCTTCCAAATACTTCTTGACCCTCGGTCCTAGGATGGAATATATATTCTTCCGCCGAATCATGAAGTTGTGCTGTCCTGTGAGCGTGAGCCTGAACATCCTAGCACGCGGATTGTGGAGAGCGTGTCTAGCATACCTGCATGAAGACATGTAGCTCCGTTGAAGCGCGTAGCGGTCATTTCCAGCATCTCGAGATTCTGCTGGCCTGATCAAGTTCGAGTTTCTATCGTGGATTTATCTGCGAGCTCCAGCAACTTTACACTTCATATATCGCCGATAGCCGAACAGGCGTGCTGATTCAAGGATATTGAGGTCCGAGAAGATTATCAGGATAAAAAACTTACCCCCTCAGGTACCTTCCTTGGTAAGTATGATCCTGACGAGGCACGAATGGCGCGAGATGCTAAGAAATCACTGCCCATTCGTGTACAGGGTCGTCGATTCGCGTATGTACAGGCTCAGCGACATGAGAAATATAGTACTAGACAGCCCCTCGGCGAATCGACCACGCCGCACGCGAATCGCACAGAATTCCTCTGTACATAGTATCGATAGGCCCTAGCCACTAGCGGCCTACTCTATCAGCGCTAATGGTACTTGCTTAGTAGCGGTACGGTAGGCCGGAATATCTAATAATCCGTGACTAGGAACGGCGGACGTGGTGGACGATCAGGGCGAGGTGGACGAGTAGGACTAGGACTTTTAGAAGGTTAATTCTTTATATATCGCTAAGCAGGCCTTTATGATACATCGTCACTATTCTAAAAGGCCTTATATTCATAGGTAGTCAGTTTAAGAATACCTACTTAGGCTAGCACCAATAGATGCCCGGGCCGTACTAAACTTGCTGACCTACACTACGCTACGACCTTAGCTATATTATATCCTCGTATCGCCCAGTTGATTTACGGATAGGCCTACATTATGATTTGCTTTTATATGTCACCATGATTTAAGTTTAGTGTGGCCCCAGAGCCCCTTGTCGGGCTCTCGAGATAAAGTGGTTTCAAGGTCATCCATTGGTTTTTAGCTAGTCATAATTGCCATGCTATATACAGGAACAACACCGTTCGTTCATCGCGTCAAATGCTGAAAGGGATATCCATCCAATCACCGATATTCAAAACTTTTCCAGGAAAAAGAAAAGATAATAATAATACTAATTTAAAACTTGTCCTGGTTCGCGTTACCCATCAACATGGTGTTGTCTGGCTTGTACTTTTTCGACAGCAGGCGAACGTCATATTCAACGTCGAGAACGGCGCCGTGAGGGTCGTTCTTTGCAGGTTTAAAGTCCAAAAGCAAATCGTCCTTGACCGCACAGACGGTGTCGGTCTCTAGCCATTGATCATCGTTGGGGTATAGCTGGGCAGTCACACCGACATAATCGTCATGAGTGACCATCATGTGGATGTGGGCTGGTCGGTTTGGATGCCGGCCCATCAGTTTCAGGAGATCAGCTGAAGGTCCAGATGTGTCGATGGCGTATTCGGTGGGTTTCAAGCAGTAAAACCAGAATTTGCCGTTCTCGTCGGTTCGGAATTTGCCTCGAAGATTGTGACGGCTCTGGTTCTCGGGATCGAAGACGTCGTACTTGCCGTTGGTGCTGGCCTGCCACATATCGAAGACGGCGCCTGGGATGCCTTTGCCGGTTTCGGCGTCTTTGATCACGCCATGGAAGAGTGTAAGTTGACCATCCTTGGGCATATCCTGGACGACGCTGGCGCCCAACTCCCGGAATGGTGTTTCAGGTGACCAGAAAGGTCCAAGAATGGCTGAAGATGTTGGGGACAGGCCCTCATCGGTGACAATCTTGTGGTTGATTTCGTCAACGAGGCTGTTGGAAAGTTGTCAGCAGTTGGCTATTTTAACCTCTGAGAATGATACTCACGATTCGACACCCAAGACGTCACACACTCTCCATGCTTCATTCCGGTTCTTCTTATAAGCTTGGCCGATGGCGTTGACGTAGTTGACTCCAATAATCCACTCGTCTTGCGTGAGCTCGACATCCCGGATAAAGTCGTGTAGATGTGAAATCAAGGAGCTGAGGATTTCTCGGTGTCTGGGTTTCGTCTCGGCGGCCATCAGGCCAATGACATGTGCTGTGAAGTTGGGGTCATACTTGCTGTTGTTGTTCCTAACACCGTTGGTGCCGTTGGTCCCGTTGGTAGCCATGGTGATGTAGTTATTCTATAATGTGGAATGAAAAAGCTTCTTATTAGACTCAATCGCGAAAGAGGTCATACGAAAGAAAAGGGTTGTGATGATCAAACTACCCTTGACAGGAGCGGCCGGGAGCTCCTTATTTAAGGGATGAATTCTAGGGACCAGAACTATGTGGATACGGAATCCTCTGACTGATCGAGCAGCGAGACCGCGAGAACTTTACCATGGTCATCTGGAATTGCTGGACCACATAGGGCGGCAGTGTGAAGCGGAGACTTCGGCTCATCAGTCGGCAGATGCCCTGAAGGTTATCGACCAACGGGGCTAAGTGTATTTCCGACAACTCGCTCTCCAAATGCGGGGAGCATGTGATGGGAACCAGCAACGGCAGTGCACACACACCTGGGGTGGTTCCTTGTATTCCCGTCTCGGCAAAGATTATAATGAAGTTCGGGGAAGAACTTTATTCGTAATCACATCGCAGCAAGAAGACGTCGAGAATGAATTCTGTCTCTGCTGTACTCCGTACGAACTTGGACATACCGAACACGGGTACGATTGAGGCCGAGAGCCCGGATGGTGACGTTAAGCCAAGTATCACGTGGTGCCCCTTCGCTTCTCCCACGTGACATCCGGAACCTGGGGCTATTCGCCTTGACTCGCATGCGTCGCCGTAGAGTAGCCGTAGCCTAGGACCCACCGTAGAAGCCCCACCGCAAGGATCGCCGTATCTCATCGTGTTGATTCTTTTCTCCTTCGACGCGGAGAGCTTCTTTCTTGTGCTTTATGCCGAAGTATGGAAACACATCGATGCCAGTCTCACCGGAAATCTCTTTCCAGGTTATTGCCCGTAAATGGCCCGAGTTCCTGAAGCTGAGAAGACGGTCGTAATAGATTGATGACTTCAACTATGTGTCATCAACGAGTCCCACGAGAGTATCGGCCTCGTCAAATACTGAGCTCGTCGCGGCTTGCAGATTGGATCCAATTATCAAGCAAGCAAATTGAACCTCGTGGTTCAAGAGGGGAAGTAGCCATTCCTGCTTCTGCACCTCGTTGTCATCCCGTGCAAGAGATTTTTCTACAGGTGCCCCAGCTAGTTCAAGTTGAACCCAAGATATGACTTGGGGCTTGGTTCGACCAGAGGTTAGAGTCTTATTACGTAGCGGCTTGGTTGGTCTGCAGGTATGCGGCTTGTGACTTTAGTTAGGAGGGCTCCATAGTTGGGCACAATTGCGACCTTCCTACTTCCTACAACTGTAGGTTGCTCAGCCGCCTAGCTGCGGCCACGCAACCCCCTCCTGTCTCTCAGCATGGCTCAGCCTCGCAGAGTGCCTGTAGTGTTGGGTCCAAATGTGGCATTGGATCATCATCGATATTTTTTTTTTCTCACTGATCGAACACATCACGGGCTACTCGCTCTGAGATTCGGCCTCTATCAACGTGAGTAGGTTCATCCTTTGCAAGCAGGAATCGTATTACAACCGCTGGAGTAATACATCCCTGTCACCCCAACCCTGGAGGCATGGCCGAACTTGCACTCGCCATCGCCGGAATAGCGCTGACATGGAAAAACATACTCGATTTTGGGAAAGTCATAATGGATCTCCTGGCGGACGATGATTGGGAACGACGAGGACTTTGGTACAACCTCAAAACGAAAGACATTTTGTTGAAGGACTAGGGAGACTACTACGGCGTGGATCGTGATAGTGGCACGTTCCACAAATTTGAACTGCAGAGGAAAGAATTTATTCTCCAGGTTATCTTCCGTCTGCATGATTCCCGGGTGAGGGCATTCAAGATCCTCAGGGAAAGGTATGCGCTATCGGGTGTCGACGATGAGGAGTACCAAGGGCCTGATCTGTCCCGAAAGGCGAAAGGGTTTGCGAGAATGATTGACAAGGCGAAGTCGGTCTCGAGGAAGACCAAGGACAAGGGGATGTGGCTCAGCCACGATCAGCGCGCCGTCAAAGAGCTGATCGACGACGCTGATGAACAATATCGTCACCTGAAGGAGTTGACTTTTGAATCCATTCCCTTTATTCTGAATGTTATTGGCTCGCAGGGAAAGAACCATGATGTTCAAGAGAACCTTGCTGTCCTCCAGACCAGGGCGAAGCAAGAAAACCAGAAGGAACTGGCTCATTTACGCAAGACCTCGAGCCCTCGTGGTGGAGAGGAGAGCTCTGAAAGCGATAGAGCAACTGCAGTCGGCTATGCCACCCAGAGTATAGCCTCGTGCAACCAGGCAGAACGGGTACGAGAGCTGGTCAACGAGGGCTATGCGCTGTTCGTCGACACGAGAATCATAGAAGGAGTACACGATTGGTGGCTGGATGAAGGGTCAGGCTCCTTGGTACTTGAGACCCCGTACTCGGTAGGAGACAATACTTCTGCTGTGGCCTGCGCCGCGGTATATTATCTGGCGTCTTGTCACAAAATCATCTACGTGTTGGACCTTGACGACAAAAAGCCGTCCTCTGTTCAGCTTGCAGAAATGGTAGGCACTGTAACCATGATGCTCACATACCTCGCCGGGGAGTCAATCGATGCTCGTGACCTGCCCTTGCTGGATGGGATCACTGGCTCCATGACTGCGGACCATGGAGATCTCCAATTGGCCGTCGGTGCATTTGAGAAACTGATCGGTCAGTTTCTTGCTGGTACTGATCAGCGCTTCTTGATCATTATCGATGGACTAGACGATTTGGTCGACCGAAATACAGACGAGCCAGTTTTGGCCGCCATTCGGTCGCTGTTGCAGAGCCTGGCGAGAATATGTGGTAGAAGGGCCGCGAAACAACCTGTAGTTAAAATACTCTTAGGGTGTAAAGGTGCTGCGACAGTGATATCTGAATATGTTTCCGACACGGAAATCTTGACCGTGATGGATAGACCTCAGAGGAAGGAAAACGTCATGGAAGGCCTTGCGGAGAGGTGGTGATCGTTGTGGGTTGGTATGCATGCTAAGTATCAGGCAAATAAAATAAAATGGAGAGTAGGCAAGAGGACGATATCATTTCGTTCCAAGGAAATCGAGCAACCTGATCCCTTGCTTTTAATTCGTTTCAGTTGGCGAGGCTTTTAACATTGTAGCCGCCTCGCTTCCTCGCTCTAGCGAACTCATCTCTTCCACCCATGCTATCCACGTAGGTAACGAATCTAATGGACCGCCCGATTGCACTAGCAACATGATGACGCTCCACTTTGATAAAGTCACGGATGTTTTGCGGTTGTAATCGTCGTTCTTGAACCTCGGCGATTGAGACAGCGTTGTGCAAAGCTAATGCAAGTGGATCAATTAGCACGAGGAGTTTGCCTAGGTGTGGGTGGCTTTATGGTTTATAAATGACGCTCCACTTTCCTTGATAGTCACAAACTTACTGTTTCGTAACTGTCGTCCATTGAGATTCCCGCAGTTGTCTATCAAATACTGCTTCGCTTTGGAATCTACCAGGATCGTACCGGTCTCTTGGAGTTTTCGGATGAGCTTCTCAATGATGGGCTTCTTAGTTTCCGGTTGTAGGCTGGGATACTGAATCGGGACGGTTATCCGTGAGATGAAAGAATCATCAATATGCCCAGCACGGTTCGTGGTCTAGAGCATGATCAGTGGGGACGTTCTGGGATGTATCGCGTCCTTACCAGGAAGAGAGCTCCTTGGTAGTACTCCATCGTTCGTAGAAAGACTAATGAGAGATCGAGTCAGCGTGCATCTACATGACACCAAGACAAGACTCGACATACCAGTCACAAGACTGTTTCGATCAATATCTCCTTCCCGCCTCCGTTCAAGGAACAGATCAGCTTCGTCAATGAGGAGGATTGCATCCCATTTCGCGGCGAGAGTGAACCATGTTCGTAGTTTGGCCTCGCTATCCTCTCTCAATCCAATATCTGCTGCAGTAAGGGCTAGCAGTGGACGCCGAGTGTCATTTGCAACGCATTCCACCGTCATAGTCTTGCCAGGACTAAATCCGGAAAAGTCAGTGAGCTTCACAACAGATTCGTGAAAGCAATCAATCTCATTCGCTCGAGCGAGTGCATCCGCCCTACAGTCACAGTTCCACACTAACAGAGATAGGTTGGAGTGGTCTCGCGAAGTTAGAAACTCACCCTGGTGGTCCGTGGAGAAGGAATACCTTCCCTTCACCCTTGTCTTGGATGAGGTCCGACAGGACACCGATAGGCTTCTCTCCTTTTGGCAGTACAGTCCGCAGACTTTCTTTATCTTCATCGTTGAGTAAGACCAGCTCATTATCTAATTTATTGGGCTTTCGTATCGGCGGGTGGTCGGAGATATGATCCACACAAAAGTTCACCCAGCTTTTGGTCTTTAGCAGGAAACCTCCGATTGTAGGTGGAAAAAGAAGATAAATATCTTCAACGAGTCTGTGGGACTCACAGTTTTCGGGGTCAATTTTGGTGATATCATGGAATCTCGCACCCCCTCCTCCATCGGGGATCAAAGAGCTGGATCCTGCGAGTTGACTCCGTGACTCATGCGCAATATTCTCTCGCACCTCATCGGCAATATGTGATGCGAGTGATGACGTATTGACCCATTGTAGCATGGTCTCTAATTTCTCCCGCTGCGCATCAATGTGGTATTGCTCATACGATGCTGCATCCACGATGACATAGCCGTGATTACCCAGGCCACTGTCTTCATACTGACGATATGCTGTCCTCGCTTTTACAAGTTGGAGATATTTTTGGCCCCGGCATTTCATAGCCGCTCGGCGTTTTCCAGAATCAAATCTATCATACACCTCTCAAGGCACAGCTTCCAAGTCTCTGACAAGTCTTGAGCCGTCAAATCGTGGAATAGTGATGCGCTTTGAGCGCCGCGCGAACTTTATGCCATCCGAAAAGAGATACCAAAATGAAAGATTGGTTCGGTCAACCATTGATTCTGTGGTGCCCATTCTGCTTCTCTCCTGTTTTGTTAGATATTGTGCTGACTCGACAACGCAAGTAAGCAAGTTGCCATCTTCTTTGACGTATACAAATGTTCCCGGCTTGTAAAGCAACTAGATGCTTTCGTACTTGATGCTGGGGTCACTGTTCAAGTGCAGTGATTCGAGTGTTGGTATTGCCCTACTCCGGTACCTCGGGGCAAAGTGTCTCAACAAGACAGCAATGTCGTAAGCTGTAGCAGAATCACAAGGCTTTGAAATGTCAAGCGTCCCGAAGGTAAGCCCTCGATTGATCCTGTCAGCAATCTTGCTATCACCACAGTCCCCTATGTCCAAGGTCCTAGCAAATTCTGGAGAGTTGCGCCGAGTGTTGTCATCCATCGGGATAGATTAGAGGTATAAATTGTGATACGCCTTCATCTCAGCGTAGCAGTGCATGATGTCGACATAGCAAGCGTCGAGTACGGAATCATACTGTTCAAAGGCTCCGTGTTTCGCAGGATAGTAGTCCATGATTTGTTCCATGACATCAATAAGTCTCTTAGAGTGAATCTCAACACGAGGGGGGCCCATGTTAATGGCCATTGCATCCCGACCCAACTCGAAATCGGCAGGCTCCTCTCGCCAAGTCGCGAGGCTGTTCCCTGATTTGCCTGTCTTGTCTAATATGTCAACTTCAACCACAAGACTCAGGACAGCATTGTCTTCGTCAAATTGGCCAACCTCGGAGCCTGAAAGACCAGTTCGAACGCCCTTCCAGATCTCGTCCTTGTAAAACTTTCGTTCTGGCTTGCCCTGCTCGAGAAGCGTCAACCCATACAAAATGTCAGGTTTCTTGGGTCTAGCACCTGATGCATCGCCGTTTTGAGAGCTAAGTGGCGTTGGCGATTCGGCCATCTGCTCTTTTTGACTCTGGTCAGTGCAATCCTGAACCATTGTGGTGGGCTGCTCATGTCTATGCCCCTCGCCATTTGCCATTGTGGATGACGATGGTTCTGTTCGAATGGGCTTTGACATTGATCACAGGGTGGCGGGTATGTATAAAGCACAACACGAGCGCCTCTCTTCAAAGCAGAGTCTGTATATTCTTCAACTAGATTTCAAGAACTTAATAACCTGATTAGCGCACGAAACCTGAACACGGGTCGTCTGAATCGACGTGGTAATCAGAACTCGGCATTGGTCCCAACGTCGGCTACGACTGGCAACCAGCAGGATAATCTAAGGGCGGCGATACGAAATGATGCAAGCGTGACTGAAGAGGGGCTCGTAGGGGATCGACTGTTTGACGAAAGCGATCAACAAACATTTCCTGTTGATGGCAACCGAGTCCATCTTGACTCGTAACATCAGGCCCAGGGACACCGTCTCCACGATAATGACAGCGCACTGTGTCTTCCACCGGTCGCACCTGCCACCCTCCGAAGGATTGAGCCTGTTTATGTCGACCTCCGGCGACTACCACGGCTGTCTCTGCCACAGGAGATGATCAATGAGTGGAAGGAGCGCGAGAATTAAAATGGATCCAGCATAAGGAAAGAATGAAAACTCGGTTTCGGAGGGCAATGAGAAAGAGCGTGATGGTGGCGCTGCCATGCAAAGAACCCTGTGCAGTCTACCATAGGACAGCGAGATGATGAAAAAGACGAATTTTCCTTGGTAATGGAGGGTGGTCGACCGAAACCCACTGAGAATTACCAAAGACCAGCAGAATGTCAACGAGGTTTTCCAACCCTAGCGAGACCCACAGCTGCCCTTTTTGCCCTTTTTGCCCCAAACACACACACGAACTCCCTTCGTGGGAAGTCCCTGCTATCGTGGGTGAGGACCATGTCGTGCATTGCGCTTGCGTTGACGAGGCAGGGTAACGAGTGATGGAGGAGATCTGGAGGGGCTTGTTTGGAATCCAGAATGGGCTTGGTATTTCTTTAAGGACTGATGTGCGGACTCGCAAGGCTGGGGGGGTTTGTGATATGACACCACGTGACCGGGAGAATTCGAGAGCTGGGCTGAGTTGCGCTCATGATACAATGTATCACGAGGTCTTCGAGAAGTCTCTGTACTTGGAGTCCATTATGATATGATGGACGTCAAGATGATAGTAGTATTGGTTTAGGAATGCACAAGGTATCTGACCCACCGATACCCACGAGTCTCTGTGCAATATACAAAGTGACAGGAGACTGTACGACAGCTGAAAGCCTTATAGTTTTGGAGCCTTCGCAGAGTTAGTTTAAACCTGGATGGAGTTGTCAGCCTTTGCTTCTAGATGGTGCAGCTGAACGCGATGGCTCAAATGCTCAAGGGAGGAAGTAATGAAGTGTCTGGGCTTTGAAGGTTGTGTTCACACGGCAATAGCTGGAACTGTGGGCCACGCTCAGACCTGCCAGCGTCGGTGGCCATCTTATTGTAACTTCCGGCCTTCTCCAGTTGGCAACAAAGAGGGTCGACCTTATGCTCGTACGCGAGCATTTGGAATAGCGGAGATTATAGATCGGACTTCATCAGCAGGTGATATATAATCATATTGACTTCCAAAGGACCCGCAGAAGACATATGCAACCTTGCCGTAAAGGATTGTATGTTGTATGAGGACGGAGGATCTACGAAGCCCTTGGGTGCTGGGAGCGAAGAGTGCTGTTGGTGCTCTATTGGGCCAAGTCTTGATAGCTAATCCCGAACATTACCGAGTGCGGAGTACTGTACGGAGTACCGTACATACAGTATAAAATGGCCACGACTTGTGGGCAAGCGAAACTGCAAGCCGAGACCTGGGGAAGGATTGCCTCGTGATTGGCCCCGGAGAACGGCCGACCTGGCAATGTGGTGGTTATGGACGGTAAGTAGGAGGGTCTCATGATGGGCCTTCAACCGAGGGGTTGCGAAAGAAGGGCGGCTGGACGGCGTATCTGTTCTGCTAGACCGCGTAAAGGATAGCACGGCCCTGGAAGCGTATTCTGACCCGGGGCTATGCCAAGTTGATCCTGGCACTGCAACCCGCTGTCTAAAGCCTCGTTGGGCTCAAGTGCAATCGTCAATGTCATCACTGTACTCCATACTGCGCACAGAGATCGCCGGACGTTCCGCAAGGATGTGGAAATATTCGACGATGACAATGACGAAGCAGCAGACAACAGAGATTTTGGCAGTTGCATTGTGGTGATGAAGCGCTCGTCGTGTTCGCCACTTCGACTTGCGTACGTTCGCAGCTATCTTTGTGCCAAGTGACAAGTGACGAGCACAGGTGGGGTGGCACTTTTAGGTTCTCGGCGGGTCTGGGGGGGCAGCCAACCCGAAACTTGGCCCCTCTTCTGCCCTGGATCGTGACACTATGGGCGCCGTTCAACTCTGGTTCGGGGGTGTTGGGGAAGGACACGGGCGCATCTGGCTAGGCTAGACCTCCTGCTGCCGCCTGGGACAAAGTTAGTGTGCCCTTAGGACACGGCAGGCTCGCGGACGCGTCCACGGCCCTGGCACAGTTGCACTTTGAACCAGACCCAGCCTTTTCCGGAGGGCAAGTGCCACCAACCTCAGTCAGTATTGAGTAGTTTGCAGTACTCGTAGTGCTCGCTCGCTCGTATCCATGCCTGTTTCCGACGACGCATTCGATCCTCCTCGTCCCTCCGCTTCGCACCTGCACCTGCAGCTGCGCCATTTCCTTTCTCTCCCCGTCGCCGTTCACCATCGTTACTTCCTCTTTTCCATCGTTTGCAGCTCCATCTTCTCACCTCTTCTCAGCCCCTCTTCCCATGCTCGCCATCTCTCATTCATCGCATCAACAAAGGCTCACATCTCCTTGATCTTGCGTCCGTCCGAGCTGGTCATCCTCTCCTCAACCGCCTGTCCTAATCGCCTAGCTGACGAATCGCTCGTGTCCCTGGTTAAATCCGGCCGCCAGCCCACCAATCTTCCGCTGACCTCCTTGAATCATCCCCCGACTCCCTTGAAACACCTGCAAATCCATTCCAAAATCCAGACCCACGCCATCAGCGATCCTAATCTCACCCTTGGTACACTGCTGCCATCGACCTCACATCAACACTCTCCCTCGCCTTCATCAACTGTCGTCGTTCGATGCCTCCCCTTCGCCGCTGAGGTTCAATTTGTACATTGGTGACCTTCACAGTATAGATGGTCACATCTACCGTCGCTGCCTTGTCTTGATTCCGCAATCATTGTATCAGCCAAAATGTCGGCTACAACAACAAGTTTGATTTCGACCACTTCCGCTACACCAGCTCCTACAGCGACCAACTCAGGCAATTCGGGAAATGGCCCCAGTTCGCCTCTTCTCTTCTTTGTCGCTTTGGGGTTTGGCGTGGTGTTCACTAATTTATGGTCAGTATTGACTTACTCTGGGCCCCCAAATACTCATCAATTAACCATCAACTAGGATTATCGTCGGGGTGAAATACTGCTTCAGATACAACCAGCGCAACCGGCAACGTATGAATGGAGAGGATCCAGATGGTGTTGATCTGGGTGCGATGCCCCGACAGCATCGCAGGCGGAGGGAGAAGAAATTAATGACCATGGAAGAGGTCAATGAGAAATTTCCCCTCACAAAGTACAAATCGTGGCGGGCCTCTCGAGCCGATGAAGGGCTACCTACTGCAGGTGGCATCAATACCGCCTCCCGACCTCCTAGTCGACCTGCAAGTGTACATGAACAGGATCCATCGTCGAAAGATCTCAACGATACTACTGAAGCTCGAGAGCCGGCACAGACTCAGGGTGCCTCGACTGAGAATGAGAAGTCGACACAGCCCGAACACGTGACGCCAGAAGTGGTTGGCAGCAAGACTGCTCCCGATTCTCGGCCTGACACCCCATCCAGACCGAAATCCACACAGTCCACGATGGTCCCGGATTCTCCGGTGGTTCATAAGGTGACCACCAACGATGAGGACGACGACGACGATGATCATATCCAGACGGCGGTACCCGCGGAACAGCTACCCGACCCGGGTGACGCCTGTGCCATCTGCATCGATACTCTCGACGACGACGACGATGTCCGTGGTCTGGAGTGCGGTCACGCTTTCCATGCCTCTTGCGTCGACCCTTGGTTGACCTCTCGGAGAGCTTGCTGCCCTCTGTGTAAGGCTGACTATTATGTTCCAAAACCTCGGCCAGAAGGCCCCAATGGGGAAGGTCTGAGTAGGTCCGCGACCAATCCAGACCTTCCCCAGCCTCCGCAAACAACATATTCGATCATGGCAGGCGCTCGACAGGGTCGCAGGCCTGCAATGTATATACCTGGACGGTTCATGAGTATAGTTTATCATGACCGTGATCGTCACGGATTCCCGGTCGTGGTGAGAGCGGAAAGAGCCGGCCAGGGCGAGCGTCAGAGAGAAAGAGATTTGAGTGCTGCCACGACCGCCAACGGTGATGCCCCCGAGACGCAACCGCAGACATCCACGTGGAGATCGAGATTGACGGGTCTGCGCCTTCCTGGCCGTGCGAGACCTCCTCCAACCACCGGCACTCAACCCACCAGTACCGGCACGCCGGAGGTACAACCCACGCCCTCACAGCTTGAAGCTGGAAGGTAGAATCTGATCCACCCCAGAAGCGATGATTTAATGACATGATTACGAACTATTGACGACGAGGCGCTGCACCTTTATTCTCTCTCCAGCCAGGAAGCATTGGATAGAGAGGAGATAGTCAGTCCGGGTTGGTGGTGGTTGCGACCGTTGTGGTCAATCGGGTCATGGCATGTAGCAGCATAGCGTCGGTGACTGGTTGCAAAAACAGCATACCGCGGACCCTACAGGCAAAAGGTATCTGCATCTGAGCACGTTTCCTGATACGGTACCAATATTTCCACTTCTTGGAGCATGCTATGTACGCTTAGTTTCTACACCGCATACTAACACATCGATAATCTAAATCCGTGAATAATAAGCAATCTTGCTTTCTTCAGAGTTTCCACAGGCTCGCGCAGTAGGCAGGGTTCTCATCTGTAAATTTGGCAGGCTGCACTCCATACTCCATACTCCATACCTTCAGCTCGTAATGTCATGAGGCGAGACCACTTGTAGTGCAAGGCTCAACGGAGATCCCAAGTCCGAAGATCGCCATCGACAATGTCCTCGTCCGAGAGAGAAGCTTCTTGGAAAATGGGACTAACAACCCCAAGGCCAACGTCGCTCTACAGGGGTCTAAATGCAAATTCTAGCGGTGTACTCTGTATATAAGTCCGGATAAGCTGCCGTTCCGGAAGAACTAACCAATTCTAGCTTTTCCAGCCCCCACTCTTTTTTAGAAAGGTTATATATTTAATGCACAACAATGCTTTCAAAACCAAGGCGGTGGTATGGTGGTGAGTTTACCTCAAAATCAATATCTCTCTCAGCGCCCTGGCAGCTAATTCATGCCTTCCAGTAATGGTTAGCATGAGTCGTTGTGGATTGTGTTTAATGCATAACCAGCTCCGACTCGATCCCTGTTCGATTCTGGGTACCGCCATAAGAACTTTAGAGGCACTGAATCAGTGTTATCGAAATCTTTTTTGGCCTCGTGGAAGAACTGTGCATATGAGCAATATTCAAAAGTGCGTTGAGTGTTAGAGATGGCCTCGGGCATATTTTTGCTTGGCGCTTGTCTGGCGCCCGCCGCCTTATTGTGACAGCCACAAATGCTGCTGCAGAATCATCCATTTATTCTTCTTCTCGGTTTCTCGTCGAGGCTGCGGCCTGCCTAAGGCTTTGAAGCCTACCTACCGTGCCTTGCCTGAAATTACATCACTTTTTCTGAGCCTGGCACGTCCTAGCACTTACTAACACAAGTGGTGATTGGGCTTTTCCTTTGAGCCTATTGTGCATAGTGAGACCGACATTGCATGCCATGATCTTGTCACGACTGGCGAAGCTCGATCTTGATATAGGGTCGACGAAAGAAGCAGAGGTGTCCATGGCCTTTTACGAAGCATAATTCAACAAGAGGTCTTCATTCTACTCAATATTTCGTGTTGCATTGTGCTCAAGCTCAACCAGCGAACATTTCCCTTCCCACCATGCACTCCTCCATCCAGCATTGTGGGTGGTGAAGCACGAGCTATTTTTCGAAGCCGCCATCATGATGATTTCAACACAGAAGACTTATGTATTATACATCCAATCGCCCGGGAAGTCCAGTTCTCCAGAGACACACAACCACCGGTATCAGCTATCGTAAAGCCGCACCGAGTCCTGCGTCCAGCAATGGGTCCTCGTCAAACGATGACAAATCATTCCATGCTTCGACAATCAGTCTCGAAGAAGCCATTCATTTGCGACTGGCGTCTGTATCTAGGCAGGTCTCGATACTTCCCACCGATGGTTAATTTTTCGCCGACATTTCTGTCGGACGCAGCTCTTCCATACATCAGCATACCACTATTTGGGAGTCGTATCGCCGTCCCACTACGAGACATTTGTTCTCTTTTCTTGAATTGGCAGACTTGCGCACCATGCCACAATCTCGCCCTTTCACTATGCACATGGCTGATCTATGGGTGACATCTTGAGATACCGCCAATCCCCCCTTTCGAGGCTTGAGCCCAGTTCTCGATGACGGAGAGCATGCGAATATGCTGCGGCATCAATCATCGAACCCAAGCCCGACAATTACCCAACCATCAAGTGTAACAGGCCTTGCAACCAGTGCATTTGCCCGAGTTATACGAATGATTCTACCACCTAGCCATTAGCACAGTATGGGGCCCCACCCCTGGCCACTTCTGTCCTCCCTTTGTACAGAGCGTTCCACAGAAAACTGCAGCAGGTGTCGAGGAAGAAAACCCAGCCTAGCTCCCTAGCCAAGAAAGTCGTGCTGAGGCGGTGCTCGCAGCGGAAACCTGGCCACCTACCGAAGTACCTACCTATCTAGGTATATAGGTAGACAACGGATCTCTGGGCCCCGCGTGAACACCTATCCCGGTACCATGATACAACACACAGCCTGACTGCAAGGCGGGAAGCCAAGGCTCCGAACAACACAGCCAGCGGCCAAGAGTCTTGGCCTGTCAGCAAGGGTTCGCCCCATCGGCCACGATAAACGACCTCATTTATACGGAGTATCCATCTATTGACAAAACGTCAAAATTAGACGGGTCTGTATTCACCGTCCGGCCCTGGCCCCAGGTAACCTTTCAAGCACGCAGTTCCTGGATTCCGCGAATCCAACAACTCAAACCATTTCCCTGAAAAGATGAGGCAGCAAGCAAGGTCATGGCTCGGGTTGGCACTCTGCGGCACATAATTATCTTTTAGTTAGCATCAACTTGGCATCTCACTCTGACTTCTCACTTCTCACTTCTCACTCTTCAGTTCTCACATTGTGACGACATTCCACCCGATTAGTCGTTCGCTCATCCCGATCTCACTCACCATGCCTCTCGATCTTGATATATAGATGTTTTTACTCCATCTGGTCTAAGCGCACCAGTATTAGTTATCTGGGGAGGAGGGGACTGCCCCGAAAACCGCACCAAACTTCAGCATGGTCATCATTGGGAATGACCATCATTCAGCCGCCCCCCCCTGGCTCCCAAGTCTGTTCACCCCAAAAGTCAGGACCAAACTCCCAAGGACTAGAGAGTTCAGGCGCGTAGCCAGCCTGGCTATCTATCTATATCGCCGACTCGCGCACGCATGCGTACGCAAATACCCCGCCGAAGGAGTAGAAATACCAAGACAAATTGGCGATCGGGCCGCCCCCCCAGGGAAGCAGGACTTATAAATAATCTTATCATTAGCCGGAAAAGAAACCACCACGATCGGATCGTAATCAGGGGTTCGTGTTCTGTCAAATCATGGGTCGTACATGCTTCGAAATGATCATGGCGGTTTTGCTTGGCCATCTTATTTTTACCTACCTACCTGCCTCCCTCTCTTACACTCATCATCACTAGTCACTAGTCAGACCTACATAACAGTAATCCGTAGCAAACCCGCACCAGTCCCGCTTCCAGCCTTGATCTGACGTGCCTTTGGTTTTTCAATTTTTGGAAATCTTTCCAGGCTTCCAGTTTCTTCGACACCTCGGTTGGCAGTGCCTCATTCGCCCTCTCTTTCTTCTTAGGACCTCGATCCTAGGAGAAGATGGATGAGGGAGGAAAGCAGTGGAGACGGGGCGGAGGGTGGCTTTCGAGTCGCTACATGACTAGTCACCTTGGTAGATATAGCTATAGATATATATCTGGGAATCCATCGTCTTGTGTCTACCGAGTTTCACATACGTAGCACATACCTCCTAACTTATCCTTTCCATTCCATTCCATTCAATATATCGACCGGTCTTTTGTACAAGAGAAAAGCCCCCCCCAGCCCCACAACACAGGAAACACTCCTTAATACCCATCATCCGCCCGTCCTCCCTTCATTCGTTCATCCGCCGAAACAAACACCAGGACCGCAAGAGCCATGGATTTCCTCCGCGGCCTAGGCGACGCGCTCGAGCACTTCGTCGACGAGTTCGACCCTGACAACCAGGGGCAGGATGAACAGGGCCAAGATGACGAACAGCATGGAGGGAAGAACCACGGCCACGGCGGTCAAGGACAACACGACGAAGAAGGCCATGGAGGCGAGCACGGACACGAAGAAGAGGGAGAAGACCCATCTGGGCATGGTGGGCATGGACAACATGGGCAGGAAGAAGAGGAAGATGGGCAGTGGCATGGAGATGAAGAGGAGGACCATGGACATGGACAGGGACATGGAAAGCAGCACGGTCAACCGGGAGATGAAGAGGAGGAGGATTGGCAAGGGCAAGAGGGAGAGGAGGACGAACATGGACAGGGACATGGAAAGCAGCATGGTCAGCATGGAGATGAAGAGGAGGATTGGCAAGGGCAAGAAGGAGAGGAGGACGAACATGGAAATCACCATGGTCAAGACGGCCGACATGGCGATGAGGAAGAAGAGTGGCAATGCGGTGAAGAAGAGGACGAGCATGGTAACGGAAACGACCGTGGTCAACATGGTCAACACGGGGATGAGGAAGAAGAATGGCAAGGCGATGAAGAAGAGGAGGAGCATGGCCACGGCGGCGGTCACCAGCACGGTCAACATGGTGAACATGGAGACGAAGAGGAAGACTGGCAGGGCGATGGGGAGGAAAATTGGCAAGGCGATGAGGAAGACGACGGACGGGAATATCATGAATGTTGTGGCGGCCAAGGGCGACATCGACAATATTGTGGTCAGGGCGAAGAAGAAGATCAGCATCACGACCAGAACGAGGACGAGCATGGGCACGGTGGACATGGTCAGCACTGATTGACTGCGACTGAATGGAGACGAAGGCTTCGATAATGACTTTATATTAAAAGTGTTGATTTCGCAGAGCGGTATGGAATAGGACGGCGCCAAGGAGCGGGGTGGTGAATTGGTTGTATGTACAAAGTGCGTTGAGGACTGCGTGAGCGTTGGCGTCTCGACGGCCCAAAGTTCGCTCCTGGCAATAAATTCGAATGCCAACATGAAAAATTTCAGGACGAACGTTGATGTTGCAATATCCTCCAACCTTGATCAAAGCGCCATCTAAGCGAAGTGAAGCGCCGATTGGAGGCCAGCGACTCCAAACTCTCTCCTCGATCCTGGATGCATCAAGTCGTCGGGATGAATGCCACAGAATGTCTATCTCGATTTGACACTTTGAGGATTTCTAAAGAGATTCTTCGGGTCTCGTTTTGCCTTGATCTCTTGCAATCTAGGTAAATTGCCTCTCCAATACTGCTTCTGCGCATCCGGTAAAAGGGGATCCACGTAGCCTGGATAGCTGCCTTCCACCTTCGGATTATTGTCGAGAATCACTTGATTCAGCCCGTCCAAGAACCCGCGTTGTTGTTTGGTGAAGAAGCCGAGAAGATCAACGGCATAACTTTGTAAAAAGTAGATCGCGTCGCGGAATGCATACGCCGTGGCATCCTGTGCGACTTCATTGATCTTTCCTGCTTCGAGATCAAAGATGACAAACCAGGGTACACCGAGGAGTTCGAGATTGCCTGATGCTGCACCAAAGTATTGGAACATGGCGTCGATGCCTTCGTCCGTCATCAGCGTGCTCTCGTTGAATGCGAGTGATTTCGAATAAAAGTTGGTGGGAAGACCGCCGAGGAGATCGAGTCCCAACTCCGAGAGATCGTGACCGACGGCAATGGCCGCATCCACCACACGGATATTGTTGGCCGGTACATCGAGACCCGGGATGGCAGATTGGAGATCGAGGGCGCTAAATTCCTTCTCGCTGCCGAAGAAAAATCCGGTAATGATGGAACCAAAAGGGAACACAATGAATTGAGTGGAGATTTTCAAGGACAGCTTGGGGTCGGAAATGAGTTTCTGCCAGGCTTTGAAGGCCGATGCTTGGAGTTTTGCATCTCCCAGGGTGACATTATAAGTGTATGCAATCGCGTTTCCAGGAGCGGGATGGGTTCGCACGTGAAAATCGGTGACGATGCCGAATGAAGCTCCGGCACCGCGAATGGCAAAGTAAATGTCATCGTTCTGGGTGGAGGAAGCTGTGATGATGGAACCGTCCGCTAGGACGACCTCGGCGTCAATGATTTGATCGGTGGCGGCTCCGAATTGGCGCGAAATACGGCCAAGGCCACCAATGGTGTAATGCCCACCAACCCCGACCTGGGGGGCATCCCCGTGAGGGACCAGGCGATCGTATGCCAGTAGGAATTCGTTGACGTCCTCGAGATGGTTTCCCGGTCCGAGGTGTGCCGTGTTGTCGGAAGGATCAAAGGTAAGTTTGTTCAAGTATTTCGTGTCGACCACAACGGCCCCGTCATCCCCTCCAAGACCTACACCAAGTCAATATGGATCATTCTATCACAAGAGTCCGACCAACCGTAATTGCCAAAGGAATGCCCGCCGCTCCTTGCCTGGACGAAAACGTTGGCAGCGGCGGCACATTTGACGACCGCGCTGACCTGTTGAGCCGTTTCCGGATACGTCACGGCCACGGGTTCAGTATCGTAGGCCAGGTTGTATCTCTTGACGTCCAGAAGATCGAACAGGAATTTGTTCGAAAACGCAGCCTGACCGGACTTGCCATCGAGTGCCTTGACTATACAATCTTTCAAGGCCTGAGACTGGGCGAAAACAAAGATTTGGGGACACAAGAGGGTCCAGGTTACCGCAAGTAGGATGAACGAGGGAACCATATTGACATCCGGACTGAGGATGATCAACAAATAGCGAATGGAAAAGGGTCTGACTCAACACAACCGTAGGAGAATGAAGGGAAGGAAGAAGGCTCCCTAGAAACCTGAGAGCATAGGAATAAAGGGCTAGGTACCCTTGGATCATGGACAACGAAGTGACGGTCGATATTTCACTGTCAAGAGGGAGCAGATCAACGTCCTGCCAAGGAAGAAGGGTCGAAGGACGCGTGAGGCCCGCGGCCGCTCACACATTTCAGACACATCTCAGAGTCCAGAGCAATTTCAAGGGTCCTGCTATCAATACACTCTGGACGCCGTACAGGGTCAAACGAGGTGTTTGTAGGGATACTAATAGCATACATGCGCGAACCAATGGACTGCATAGAAGACGGAAGTAATTTACTCGGTGACCAGCGGGAGGCGAAAGGAAGGTGGAAGAAGGGAAAACAGGGAAATGTGTGGATGAGTTCAAGGAAGGAGCACAGGACTCAGCCACAAGAGCCACCAGCCTCGCGTGACTTGCCGCCTTGGCACCGTGGGTTAGTGTGGCCAATCGACTGCGGGGAAGGCACGAAGCAATTCATGGCAATTACAACTCGCCCCTCACCACCATGGAACGACTCATTGTTGGAGGATGGTAATGTATTCTGCTTGTAACCTCATTTCGAGCGGTCGGTACAGGCGACTGCGGACTCCGCAGCTCAGCTAAAAATTATGCACGTCAAGTTCTCACCACTAGAGACTCCTTCGAGTGCGCCCACCCAATTGTGTATGGGACCAAGATTTTCCACGACTTCCGACGGCTGGTGCTCCCCAGGATGATACCAAGCTCTCGACCATGCTCTTTCAGAAAATCTAGTCCTTCAACAGATGGTACACGAAGAGAATAGAAGCCACAATACATGCGTTTTCTATCGAAACCGATGATATGCAATCTCTTTCTTCCCAGTGACCGCACAAAGGAACCAAGTCGCATCTCCAGGGCACTTTTCTTCCATTACCTTCAAGCGGCTCGTCCGCTCATCTTCATACATTTCGACGCCACCTGCTTCGAGACAACAAAATAAGAGAAATTCCCCGGCCCGCCCGTGAGACTTTGAATGAACGCCAATGCTATTCCTGCCTCCAGCGCTTTGATCATGGACAAAAGAAATTCGGAGCTTGTCGTCGAAACAAATTCAGATAAAAAGTCAAGTATCGTAGTCATGTATACATTGGAACAAAAAGAAAAGGTTGAGACGTGGACAGGTTATGGTTTCGCCTGTCCTGCAGGGCTGCCTTGAGGCTTCGGAGTGGGTTCCTCTTCCAGGTTGATGGTTTTGGAAGGGACCGGGGTAAGCTCACTGTCCATGGCGATGTCAGTGACACTCGTTCCGGGTTTCTGGGGAAAGATGACGGGTGGTGTGATATGCCCCCGGCTGAGAGGCCGGTCTGGTGTTGTCTGCTCTGGATGTGAATGCTGTGAGGCCACCCGTTCGACGGTCTTCCGTGGTTGGATCGCGACCAAGACCGATTGAGGCGGCTCCTCGGGAATTTTGAGGCTCTCCATCCGTTCTTCCAGGATCTCAACCGACTTCCGCAGACTCTCTGAATCTGCCGTGTTGTCATTATTCATCGAGATGACACTCCCACGGCTGTTCGTCCGCATCATTTCGATCCCGAGCTTGGAAGTTGGTCTGGCACTTTTCCCGATGGGGGACCGAGCCCGCACTTGCGCGTCACCGAGTTCATCGTCTTCGTCGTCTCCTTCGTCCGCGGCACCGTTGAGGTTGTGTAGATTGATTTCTAGTTGCTCTCGCTTCTGTCTGACCGCCTCTGAGGAGCGCTGACGACGGGGAGTGCGTAGCCCAAACCCACTGGGTTCCTCGATGCTGGCACTCGGAGGCGCTGACTCGGTATGAACCAGGTGAGGGAATCCACTCTGAATGTAGGGTCGCCGACTCATCACTATGTCGTCAGAGATGCCCAGACCACTGTTGGCCCAGTCGTCGGTGGCTGCTCGGGAGACAATCACGGGGATCTCATCTGCTTTCAAAGATTCCATATCACTGAAAAACCCACCACTGCCAATGGAATCTTCACGACTCGAGCCCTTGTAGGAGGAGTCCGGCATGGTCGGCGCCAGGCTCGACGCCACCGAGCTGGGACTGTCCTGGGTCAGCAACCCATCGAGGCGACTAGTGATGGGCTGAATCTGCAACGGCATGGCCAATTTGAAGTCCTTCGGTGGCGGCTTCCATGAGCAGTACTTGCAGAGCATCTCGGTCAGCTTTTCCGTAGTGGGCGGCTTCTGCATTAATGTGTCAAAGTGGTGAACATCAGGAAGGTCTTTCAGGTACCCGGTGATGCACACGATCGGGGTGTTGGTATTGGCACTCTTGGTGTCGCGAATCATTCGAGCGGCATCCACCCCGCTTATGAGCGGAAGCTTGAACTCCATGAAGATGATATCGAACTTGATCTGGCTCACGGCAAGTCGGAGAGCATCTGGTCCATTGCTGGCGCTGACGGTGCGGCATCGGAGCTTTTCGAAAAGCCGTTCCATCACCATGCGAGAGACCGGATGATCTTCACAGATCAAAACATCGAGCGGGTGATAGGTCGGGCCGTCCGAGAAATTGATCTGGGACATTCTCCGTGAACTCTGTCTCCGACGCTGAACCTTGAGGATGGCCTTGGCTTGCGAGTTCTCGTTGTCCGACGACGACGGCGAAACATCCCGCACGAACAACTGGCTCTTGCGTTTGTGGTGGCCAGGCATAAACCCTTCACGAGCCGACTGCCCATCGCTTTCTTGAGAGCCGACCGTTTGAGATCTGGTGCGTCCATTGACACTGGACTGCCGGGAAGGCGGCCCCTGCATCTGCTTCGCGGGGGAAACGGCCGGTAACCGGTGGGGCTTGATCGGTGAAGCGGCAGCAGTACCGACGTGCTTGAGGGCATCATGAGGAATGTCGAAGAAACTGCCGGGGAGGAGAGAATTGCTTCCACTAGAGGATCCCGACGTCTTGCGCCGTTCATGATGCTGGGCGGTCGAGAATTGAACCAACAGCGGCGATGATGGTTGAGAGGGTCTGCTTGGAGACGAATTGCTCGTCGCCAGACTGGCGGGCGAGCCGGGCCGGTGGCCTTTGCTGATCGACAGGGCCCGCTTGACGGGCATGGGCATCATCGGACTGCCCTCAAGAGATGGCCCTGGAGACCCCATGGCTGGGCTGTTAGCCGCGGACATAGCCTGCGAGTGCGAGTACCCACGCGCTTGGGCCTGCATGGCCTCTTTGCGCATCTTCTCGACAATGTCCTTGTTGGCCTTTTCCAGCACGGGCAGATTTTTGAACGTGAAGTTACCAAAATCATCGGCGACGACCGGTTCACTCAGCCTCCGACTCCGAGAGTCGCGAGCGACGTGTGGAGGGATATGGAGGGGCATGAGCCCTCGCTTTGCCGACGCCGTCTGTGTCCGAGCTCGGAATAGTGCATCGTGAGGCCGGTTGGGGTAATCTGCACCATTGGGGGTGGGTCCCGAGGGAGAGATCTGATCCTCCAGCTCCTCGGGAAACGACGACAGTGTCGCTCCACGAGAGTCAAAGTATTCGGTGTCCTCTGGGTGTTCGGGTGCGGGGATAAACTGTGCTTCATCTTCGAGTAGGGTATCCCAGTTGATATCGGCAAACCAGGGGTGCGCCTGGATCTCCCGCCCTCCGGTGGGGTATCTCTCCTCGATGTTGGCTCCGAGTCGCTCACGAGGGTCGAGCTGAATGAGTTGATTAACCAAGTCTTTTGCCTCGACGCTGACTTCAAACTCGTCGTCCTCGGGCCAAGCAATCCGGCGATGGAGAATGTTGTCAAACACCTCTTCGGTGGTGTCGGCATTGAAAGGCGGGATGCCGTAGAGGAATTCGAACAAGATGCATCCGAGTGACCACCAATCACACATCTCATCTTGGGTTTGACCATTGATGGTCTCGGGGGCCAGATAGTCAGGGGTTCCCACAAAGCGACGTCCACTCTCGTCGGGGTCAAAGAGCTCTGTGGGAGGTGGCAGCATCTGTGAAGAGGCCGGAGGCGGAGGAGGGGCCTGTGAGATATTGCTCATGGATTGGGACAACGGAAAGAGGTCCGGGGAGTTACTACCTTGGCTATAAAGCTCCTCCTCGAACGCATGATTCCGGAGGTGGGATGTTGGTTCGGCACCGTCCTGCACACCCAGCTTTCTAAAGAGATTATGCAGATCGAAACTAGAGCCACTATCACTGCGATGCCCTGAGCTCTTAAAAGACAGTTCGCGACTCAGCGAACTCTCTCGATTCAAGCTAAAGTACGAAGGCTGGTCAAGCCCTCCTGCGAGTGCCGGCGTCATGAGCGGAGTGGGGGCCGGCGAGTGGGGGCCTTGATAGTCAAATGAAGCAGACCTGGAAGTGGGATTCGATCCATTCCCCGACGGCTGAGTGAAAGGGCCTTGCTTCAACAAATCAGGAGCGGGCTCGTCGGGTTGAATGAGGGCGCGTTTTTGGCGACCGATCAAGCCCATCCGTGAGAGTCCAAAGTCAGTGAGCTTGAGATGGCCCTTTGAATCGATTAAAAGATTGTCAGGCTTCAGATCACGGTGCACGATGCCTCGACTGTGCAGGTGTTCCACCCCGAGCACCACCTCGGCGATGTACTTTTTGGCCCAATCTTCGCTCAAGCCACCGAGAATTTTGACGAGGGAAGCGCAATCACCGCCGTTGAGAAATTCCATGACCAGGTACAGGTAGTCCTTGCTCGAAAAGGTCCAGTACAATTTGGCGACGAAATCGCTTTCACCCTGCCACATCATGATAGCACGTTCGGCTTTGACATTGGTAACTTGGTTCTTAGCGATCATGTCCGACTTTCGCAACACCTTGATGGCAAAGTACTCGCCGGTGGCCTTTTTCTTGGCCAGGTAGACGCTCCCGAAGGCGCCCCGACTGATCGGTTTGATGACTTCAAAGTCTTTGATCGAGGGAGGTTGAACACGTTGTTGAGGCTGACTAATGGAGCTGAGCCGTGGAGAAGACGGTGTGCGTATATCAGACGAATGCATCGACGACTGCCTCCTATGCAGTACCGGTACATGTGGCGGTGGCATATATTCCCCGGTGGTCAAGAGAGGTGAAACGATGGGGGATTGTGCGTTCTCCCCACTGGGGACTCGAGACTTGTTCATACGTAGTGGCGAGGGTGGCGGTGGAGGATACCGGCCCGGGGATTGCTGACGATGAGGCGATGAGGAGTTGAGACCGTGGAGATGCATGCTCCTTCGCTTTCTGTCGCGAGAATGTGCAGACCGACCGTGTTCGGAGATGGCGGGAGAATCAGCTCGCCAGTTGCTGGCCGACGGCAGACTGCTGTCGCTGTCATTACCGTCATCGATATACATCGACCGACGGTTCGATAACGGCTGAGGTTGCGTGATCAGATTGCTCTTGTGCGACTTCGGCGTCGGGCATTCGATGGGGCTGTTGGACCCCGTCGACACCGCTTGGGAGGAGGAACGTCGTTGGTCGGTGAGGGCAATGTGGGACAAGTCTCTCGAAGTTCTCAAGGCCGTGGCCATAGATCTAACACCGACGTATGGCATTGACCGTGTCGCCTCGGGTTCCAAGACCTCGGTCGAAGATTCGTCAGGTTTGATGGGGCTTTCAAGAATGTCTTCCAAATGGCCATCCATTTCGATCTCCGTCTCACTCTCCGTCTCACTTCCGCCGGACGACAGGTCCTCCCCGGCGGCCGCTCTTTCGGCTTTGATCAACGCTTCACTGATGCAAGCATCGACCTCTGCCATGTACTCTTGACGGATACGCTCCGAGTACTCGAGGATAAATTGTTGTCGGTGGACAGCTTCGACCTTGGCCCGTGCGAGTCTTTCGGTATCGGCGCTCAAAGCGGCCAGGCCCGGTTCATTCTCGAGACTGATGGGGGGCTGCCATTGATGAACTTGAGCGATCCTCGATTCAGACTGCGGTGACTGAGATAGGAATTCGTCTTCTGAGTTGGACTTGCTGTCTTTGATCGAGGGGGCATTGATTTCCAAGGCGGTGTCACAGAGATCCAAAATCAGTTCCACCAACCGCACTAGTGGTCGACGAACGACGAACGACCGAGCACGATTGTGACCCAGGCCTGCTGCCGATGGGCTCCTCGACCGGGCGGGACTTGCGGTATGGGATGCCGAGGCCGAAGACACAGCAGAGGACGTGGTTGGTGAAGGCCCGATGGGCTGGCCTTTATATTCCGGCAGGGGAGCCATGTTGGGTGAGCCCTCAGGTCCGATGCGGCCTTGACGAGCTTCAAAAGCGTCTAGAACCTTGACGATGGCATGGCGCTGTTCAGAGAGATTCTCCTGGACCATTTGAACGTCCATCTCCGCGCGATGTTCTTGAACGCACAAGTCGGAATGTTTTTCGAACCACCAAGGGATGATGGAGCGTTCGCATACTCGGCAGAGGACGGGGAGTGGAGGAGGGTGGTTTTCAGGGTCATTAGCCCCTGCTTCTGCTAATTCAGTGAGATATTTTGCCAAAATTTCAGCACCGACGCCGAGAGTTTCGACCAGCTTCTGGGGAAGGGCGATCTCGATGCGTACAGGCTCGGTGGCAGGTTGTAACATCCACATGGTATGGGTGCCACCACCTGAGCTTCGGTCATAGACCATGATTCCTTGACCTTCCAGGTCAAGCGTGGCGCGGCCAGCTTCGTCCAGGTTGACATTTTCCGGACCAGGCTTTTCACCATCTTCGATGGGGATCATCGGAGCCACGTCGGAGGAGGCGCCGACCTTGACGGCAAACTTGACGATGTGACTTTTGGAGTCATTGGATTTCAAGGCCTCGATGGCGGTGTCAAACACTGTTGGGTCGTCACTGATGAACTGTGAGATTTTCTGTCCTCGGACAGTGTTGAGTTCGGTTCCAACCATGTCGGTCCACGACGGGCTGACCCAACGAATGATGCCATCAAGGCTCAGATCGAGTATGATGTTCCTGGTCTGCTCCGCTGCCTCTTTCAAGTCTTGAGTTCCTTCTGAAATATCCTGACTGAACGACCTCTCCATGGCAGCTCGGGCCAAAGGTCCGGTTTGAATGGCATCGTGCTTTATGGCGGTAATTACCGGGGGTTCCAAGTAAGAGGCGGTAGAGCCATCCTGTGCCATTACTTCTGGTATCGAGGGGCCCGGGATACAGGTGTAGCGGCCAATGGTAGAGTGGTTGAGCTATTGCAGGACCGGCTGCGGTTCTCTAGGGCTTTTGACCCACCATTGGGGAGCCAAAAAGTTCCCGTGCTATCTTGACATTTTCCTCCGTTGCGAGACCCGAGTATCTTGTTGGGCTCGCAAGGGAGGCAGTTGGGGATGTCGACTGCAGAACAGAAGCAAGGGAGACTGTCAGGGTCGAGGAGGAGGGAGAGGGAAGAATGAAGTGGTGTGGCGTGGAGGTGGCGTGGCGGGCGTGACGCGAGGAGAAGCGTGATCCTTTGTTGAGAGAAGAAAGCTCACCACGACTAACAATCTACATGAGCGACGCGGATATTCTGGATACTCTGTATGATCTCAATGTAAACGAAAAAAGTTGTCGACCTGGGAAGCGAGTGGTTGTGTACAGAGAAGCGCAAGGTACGGGTGGTAGTGGTGGTATGTGGACGTGGACGAGTAAACGTGGACGGCGAGAGAGGGTCTGGCTTGTCTGTCTTTGACTCTTTGCTTGCCTGGCTGGTCAGGGATTAGAGGCAAGGCAAATAACAATTCTTGGGGGGGGGGACAAAAATTAGTTGGACAGGATGAAGCTGCAGGAGGAGCCGGAGCAAAAGAACTGGGGCCCGAGAAGTGCTCTTTAGGTAGACCGAGGGGGGCTTAGCTTGCGCCTGCTTAGGCTCGGGATCATAGGGCTTCTAGGGAACTCTAGGGTCTCTAGGGAGGGCCGCGAGCCAGTGGAATCAGCCGGACGGCCGTTGAGGTGCTCCCAGTGGCTCCCACCCGCGACAAACCCCAGTAATCAAAATACCAAGCACTGCAGCACAGGGCAGGTGGGGCAGCATACAAAAGGTGCTTTCAAAGCAGGAGCAATGGAGGGAGGGAAGGGGAAGTGAGATGTCAGGCCAGTTCTGTTCAGTCCGCGTCAATGCTCTTCAGGTCGTGGCCTGCCTCTCCTCTCCTCTTGGCCCCTCACGAGCTGCTGCAAGTGTTATAGCACTCCGTATGTACGGGGGTAATCAGCCAACAAACTACCAGGGACAACCCAGGCAGTCAGCATCGTGATCGCGAGGAGCAAAAGTCTCGAGATAACAACGGCCCCTCCTCTTTTGTACTTGGATCCTTCCCTCTTGTAGTCGCTTTTTTGGCTGCTGGCATACATTTATTCTGGGTTCACACCCCTTCCAGAGATGCAATGCTGGTGCACTCATTTTGTATCCGTATTGTTCCTATTAATTCACTCACTCACTCACTCGCTCACTGCTCTCGACCCTCCAAGCCCTGTCCGGCAATTCCCACCACTCCTTCGAGACAGGACAGCTCTACGAATGACAGTCAGGTATCCTGCTAGCCCTGTATTTCTATGTATTACCCTCCTCTCCCTACCTGCCAATGACCTCGCTCCTTGCAGCTCGGCACCTCAGGCATCGTCGAGAACAGAATAGAGCCAGAACGACACACTTTTCGGCTCTATTGCCTCCTCCAATACGATGCTGGTATGAGGGACAGTGACAGGGCCCTTCCTGCAACTTGCCATGGCCCATGCAGAGAAGGCTTGTCACTGCATCCATCCACCAATGCACCCTTACTTCTCCTTCAACCTATCCACTTTCCTACCAGTCATAACGCGCTTTCGGTGCCGGATTTCCAGGGCCTGACTCTCCCGCTTGGAATTGACGTATTGTCTCTTGGGTGTCCTCTAACAGAGTATGAGGTAGCTAGCAGCCTTCTTCCTCCTCGTGCTGGCATCTTTCAAGGTAGCATCCCTCCCGTCCACGCGAGTCACGGCCACGCCTTCTCCTCTCTCGGATAAGTTGGACTAAAATAAAAGGTGCCGAAATATTTTGAAAGTTCTTGCCGCATGATTTTTATGCCCAGGGGCGGAGAGAACGGTGCGGTTATCAAACCTTTTACGACTACTAAAGTGACCAGCACTATCAATTACACCCGTCATCACCTCTGCTCGTCTGGAACAACCTACTCCGGGTTCCTCAACAAGTAGACGCCATTGGTTGGGATGATCTACCGGTTTTCTGTCTTGTCGACAATTCACAATTCGGATTGACCATCCCATACCAGGGGCCGGATTTGCACAAATTGAACCCGTCAGCCCTGGGAAACAAGCAAGAGAGGGGCCCAAGGCCTGCCGCGTCGACAAGGGAGCGAAGGCACCACCATCCCAACCGTGCACACACCAGGGATCCGATTGCGCAAGGCCCGTGATCAGACATCGATGAAACAAGCCACCAGTAATTCATGATGGTCATAATATCCAATCAGCCACTGTATCGACGCTGAGAGGGCGGTTGTGTGATCATCCAGATTCGTCGTACTTGGAAACACACACAGCTCACTGTGTAAGCGCCTGCACAATCCAAAAGAAACAGCATGTTCCATCAATCCCCGCTGTCATGACCATTCCACCCATATTCGCGGGCGAGTCTGCCGCAGGGAAGTACAGCGAATGAATATATGTGCCCGTAGTCCCCCTGGCTTCAAACACACCCACCAACGAAATCAACCCTAAGCCATGTTTCTGGATGCATGATCCAAACCAAGACATTTCGAGCACAAACGAGTGAACTACGCCGTTCAGATACAGACTATCTCATTGTGCATTACCGGCGGAGGGGTCAGAAATCACTCCCAGAAACGAGATAGCACCAATCCTCGGTATGTGATGCATAAATCGTCATCGAGCTTGGGGTGTGACTACCCAGGAATTCTTTCTAGTGTCCTGGCTGTTCTATTCGTACAGTAGTGGTGGTGGTGCATCGTCCTCCCTGCACGGAGTACTCGGAGTGAGGAACAAACGCTGCCACTCAAACTCAGAATGAAATAACTCTAAACCGGAAACCCGTAAGTCCTTGGGATTGTTTATTCTACACTTTACACTTTGCGAGCAGCTGGCCCAAAAAGCAAAGTGCGTACTGATACAGCCACCGATGGGGGGAACCTGGGAGCGAAAGGTAGTTTGTAGAAAGAAAGAAGAGAAAGAAGAGAAAGCACCACCGACACCAGCAGAATCAGCTGACCCTGACCCGGCGTGACGGCCGAACCCAAAAAGAGGGCGCCAATCAACACGACACACTAATGCCCTCGGCCTCGGGACCCATGCCTGAAGCAACCCATACGACTACTGTACTCGTACACTACGACTATGGAGTTCTAACACCAAGAACCCCCAGCACTACCATTATGTACCACTCCCATTCCCATTCCCATTACCATTACCAACCAAAACCAAGGCCATACCGCCGTCTCGTCTCCTCGAGGACGGCTCTGCGTCTGCATCTGCATCTGCATCTACGAGATAGATACATACATGCAGACGTAAGGCCTCACCTGCTCCGTGAAGACGTTGCATGCATGCATGCATGTAGGAGAAGCTCGTGCTCATTCATTCTTTCCGGACGGCTGCTGCAGCCGCCTCGTCCCCATCATTACGACTCTGGACAGTATACTGCGCATCGCATCCACCCAGCGATCTGGCGCTCTTTCCCACCTACTTAAAGGATCTGGGTACCTGGGTGACGGCACATAGTAAGTGACGATCAGCCTGTCTGACATGGATGGACGAGTGCTTGGACGTTCCCAGACCCTTGGTCTCACGCACACACCGGGGGAGGGTAGTCCGGGGATAAAATGCCTGATAGTCCAATATATGTACCTGTAGAGATAGCCACATACCCGAGGTAGGGGTATCTACTATACGTGTCGACACGAACGATGAGACGAGATGCGCATTTGGACTGGCGGACTGGCGGACTGGTGGACTGGCGCGGATACACCATGCACTGATTATTATTCTTTTACACCAGAGGACTGTTGCTTTTCACGCAGCGAGGATGCACAGGTACAGGGAGACACATCCTTAATGTTGCGGGTAGATAGGTAATTAGCTACTCGTAGGCGTTCTATACCCGGGCACGTGCAGTACAGCCATCGCCATCCCCAAGATACCAATATACAATGGATTGGTCGAGTCGATTTCTCGAGCGCCCACCCCCATCCTCCTCCTTCTCCCATTGAATCAAAGAAATCGGGTTGGGTTATTCTTTTGGTTCGAATTTGTTTTGGGCGCTTTTCAAAGGCCCTTCCTCCTCGATCGCTCGACCACCGCCAGACCCGGGACATGCGAGCACTGTGTAGGGCAGATGTTTATACGATACATCAGTAACTGCCGAAGCATGGGATAGACCTGCAGGAAGCTAGGGATCCTGGGGACCTTCCAAGAATATTCCTCGTACTCGAGTGACCAAGCTAGCTATCTCCAGGTGGGAAGCGAGATGTCCTGTCTACTTGTACCCCGATACGGAGTACTCGTAGGAGGATAGGCTCTCTGGTCATAGGTAGACTCATTGCTTAACGACCTGCTTACGGAGGACTCGTACTCGTACTGCTAACCAGGTCCCTGGAGTCCCACCATGCTCCTCGTTGGTGGTGCATCAGAGAGGCATGGTCTTCACCAGACACGTCCACGTTCTTCAAGTTGGGTCTCTCGAACTTGGTTTGATCCCGGCTTCCACGCCTCTGAGGGGTCTGTTCTACTTCAAGGTCTAACGCGCGAGATCGCGATCATTGCACCTTCGGCGGCCTCGGATACCCTTTTGTGCCCGCTGCTGTCTACAGTATTGATCGGTAGGTGCTTTCCGCTTCTCCTGCCAATCCTGATAGACTCGTTCACGGTCGATATGCAAACGGCTCAAAGCAGAATTTCGGGTAGATCCCCCAAGTCCGTTCATTTCTCCTGCTGGAGGTTAAACGTTGGGTAGCGGTGATGCTGGATGTGCCCTAGCATGGCCTGTGTGCAAGGGGCCGCCTACCCAGATGCTGGATTTCAGCCTGATCTTGCCATTCGCCTTCACACCGTGAAGCAACCAGTCTTGCTGTGCGTTGCGCTGCGGCTGTGTCAGCCAGGCTGCTGCCCAATGCCCTGATTAAGTCGGTCTACTGTGCCTTCTTCTCCATTGAAGCCTTTCGCTTTTCTTCCGCCTCGTTGGCTTTGAACCACTTGACCGACCTAGCGAACCCTTCATCCACGCCGACGATCGGCCTGTACCCCGTCCGCCTCTTGAGCTTCTCGCAAGAATAGTACCGATGGATGCAGGTATATTTAACCGTCTGTCGGTTGAGCTTGCCCTTCCTCCCAGTCAGCCAATTGAATGTCTCGGCTGCGCCCCCGACGAACTCGGCCATCCCCGCCGGCAGGATCCAGAGCTTTTCGAGTTGGATGTCCCTGCCATAGCGGCTGTATAGATATCTGCTTGAGTCCCAGAAATAGGCAGGGCTGTTGTTCGTGACGTTGAAGGCCTCGCCGTCGACCTTTTCGAAATCCAAGATGGGTGCCTTGCCATCAAGTTGTCGCTGTCTCGTCGTGAGCAATGCTTGCGTCGCACACAGGAGACCATATACCACGTTGTGAACATACGTGTTGTCGAACAAGTTGTCGTTGGAGCCCAGCTGAATATGGAGTTGCCATGCTGGAGCCACGGCGGCGGTCTTGAGGATCCCTCCGCTGAAGCCCCCCAGGTCACCTTCGCCCACAATCCCCGCCGGTCTGACGGCGCAGGTCAACAGGTTTCCGAACTCGGGCTTGTTGTTGGCCGCCAGGACCAGCTTCTCTGCGTGCACCTTTGTTTCCGAATAATATTCCCTCGGGTTGGGACAGACGTAAGGGTAATTCTCGTCCGCATTGATCAAGTTAGCCTGCCCGTCGTGAACCACGCTAGCACTGCTGGTGTGTGTGAAGACTTTGCACGGTCCGCCCCAGTTTCCATGTTTTCCGCCCGCGACTTCCAACAATGTTTTGGTGCCCTCGATGTTGACCTTGTTGAGGAGTTCCGGCGCTGCTTCCCAGGAGGGAGATGCAGTATTGATCACAACGTCGGGCTTCACCTTCTTGAACACTTCAAGTAACGAATCTGCAGAGGTGATGTCTGCATCATGGTAGGTACAATTGGAGAATATGTTGCGAGTACACCGCAGGTCGAGGGCATGGACTTCGGTGTCGATCGTGGAAGGGTAGCGAGATCGCAGGCTCGGGAAGGACTCGGGGAGGAGCTGTTGGCGGCCTAGAGCATGTCCACTACTGTGACCGTTTGCTGTGGGTATATCCTCGTCCTCGGAGGGGAAGTTGAGAAGTTGGTCGACCAGCCTCGAGCCCAGAAAGCCACAGCCACCCACGACGAGGACTGTCCCGTACGAGTTCGGGGGAAGAGATTCTTCAGCCATCGAAAGAAGATTGTGTGAGATGTAGTACACTGTAGTTCCTGACCGCTGTTGGGATGTGAATGAGCAGGAGGTGGTGCGAATGCAACTGCAAGTACAATTCCGGTTCTTTTCTTTTCTTTCCTTTCTTCTTTGTTGGCGTGGTCCCCGGGTTTCTGGCGGTCTCGCAGTTTGGGATGCTTTGAAGGCGGTACCTGAAAAAAGGGGTCATTTCGGGGCTCGGAGGGGGTCATTCTTCAGTGGCGAGGTTCCAGTGCCGAGCAACTACGGCGGTCCATACCACTGACAGGTACAGTATCTCGTAAGGCACATGAGGTACGGAGTATACATATCGAACTACAGTAGGTGGTGAATGGTGGATGGTCATGGCATGCCATCACGCTCCCACCAGCTCCTTCGCAAAGGTGGCCTTCAAAAAGACAGGAGAGGACCCGTCCGGTACAGATGTCTTGTGTCGGTACGGAGTACATCTGTCAATGGAAACCTCCCGACATCTGTACACAGGTATCCACTTCTGGCAGCGCTACGATAAGATAAAAACGGCGTACTGGGTACAAACGACGAACAAAGGCACCTGTCCTCGATCGAAGCGCACGTGACTTCTAGTGTGAACCATGTGACGTCTTATTGCTTCCTTGTATGCCCTGCTGTCGGCAGACCAAAGTCTACGAGAGCTAAATTATTGGTCTTCTCCCCTTACGCCACGCCATTGCTCATGAATCAACGCCCATATGTCATGCTAGCTCGGTACTGTATGTCACTCACCCGCCGATTTGACCTGTTCAAATGCCACGAGTACCAAAACGCCCTGGACTCCCCGCTCAAATAGTTCCAGCCCGAATTAAAGCCTAGTCTGGTCGACAGCGTCATATCGTGGGGACGCCATGACTCAAAAGCCACCATCTTCGGTGGTTCGCTGAGCAGATCTTCGCAGTTGACGGTAGTATTTCTTCTTGTCGCTGTCCGATCCCCACAACAGCTTGCTGGCCTCTGGATGAACAATAGTTCGAGGGTCGTAAGGAGGCGACTCCTCTTCCAAGGCTTCCACAATGCATTCAATATGGTTTCGGATCTCGTCTGGTTTTTTGGGAAAGTAGCACACGACGCCATCTCTCGACACTCGGTGATGGTAGATTGGTGTTTCCACTTTGACCCGTGGTTGTTGGTCTGGGAAACGTGGGCTGATGCTGATCCGGACCTTGAAGACGCCACCATCGAGGTGAGTCATGGGCTTGCCAAAGTAAGTCATCATCCAAACGTATGGGTTGTGATCTTCCAGCTCCACCGACAGGTTATGACATTTCTTCTGCCTCAAATAGTCTCCAATCTGTTCAAATTGACGCTGCATACTGGCCGCCTTGGAAGACTCGCGTTTCTTCAGTGCGAGGCCCTCAACCGCCCACTTCTCCGTCTCCTCGTTGATGACTTGCTTGACGCGAACAAGACGTCGGCCCAGATCGCCATAACGGAATTTGCCGTCCATGGTGTTCCCACCACCTTCAAAGGGCATCTTCGTGAAATCTGAATTGTCTTTGTGCTTTGGGGTTTGATCTTCGATGGTGGACATGTAGGTTTCGTAGTACCAGAGAAAACGTCGCTTGAAGAGATCTCGGAATGGTTCAAACTTGAGTTTCATCTCGGCCTCGGCCTTCTCGTCGTGAACATCTTCCTCTTCATCTCCGGAAACCCATTTGGGGGAGTTGGCTGGTACCACCGAGCCATCGGCCTGGATGCCTAGAGCATCTTCGAGCTTTTGTAGGACCGCGATTCGGATTGTCTCATGCCGTATCTGCCTCCAATTAGCATGAACGTCACCTCGTCGTGTTTCAGATGGCTATGGGGTGTACCTTTGCACAGTAGAGTTCGTTCATCTTCTTATCTTCGGCGCCTTTGGCATTCTCATAGCCTGGCTCGTTCTCATATGGGTTGTTGGACATCAGGCTCTGGATGGACCATAGGATGGATTCCAGGCCTTGAGCAGAGGACCACTCTTCACCCGGACGCTCGCCATGCCAGGTGCCCAGGATTGAGAGGCAGACCTTCCCACCTGCATATATATTTGGGTTGAACCGTGTTCGGCCTTTGTTCGTCGTTCGAGCCTCGACCTTGGGGGGTTTGCTAGGGTATTCGGTGCCAAAGTTGATGGTGAATTCGAAGAAGCCATACTCGTAGGGCGTGCCGTGAGGACCAATGATTAGCGCCTTCACATGACGGACATCTTCTTCCTGGCACGCTACAGCAATGGCTGCCATTCTGTTAGCAACGTGTTGATCCCACGTCGTCAGCCCCAACTTACAAAGGTCACTCCCTTGCTGGATAGCAGAGATCTCCTAGCAAACAATGAGTGATCAGGGCATGTCAAGTGGGATGCGTTTGCAATGTGACCAATGCTTACTCTGTTGATCCTCAGGATTGTCTGGTTGGACATGATGTTGTTGGATGAGACAGTGGGTGACGAGAAGCATGAAAGTGCGTAGAAAGAAACCGAGGAGTTTCTAGATCATGCAAGCGTGGGGTTGTCAGAGACATGGCTAGAAATTCCTGGGACCCAAATGGAAGCAATTAATGAGGCTGTGGGTTGCACAGCGTTGATGTGCCAGTGAAGGACGCCTGCGCCTGCAGAAAGACAGCAGTTGCACTTGCACTCGCGCCTGCACTCGCGCTTGCACTCTGGAGTCACACCCACACCTGCACCTGCACTTTGGGGCCCGAGGAGGGGGAATGGGGGGGTGGGGGGGAGACGCCAGGCACGTGCCAGACCTTGTTAGCAGCAGGCGCCCGCCAGATGGTGCCTTTCTCAACCGGTGAATGGTCACGGCAGCCTGAATTCTCGGCTGCAAGAGTCGCGCAGTAAGGCTGAGAGGGAGAAGAGGAAAACGAACTGGTGGGCTCCTGTCAGGCACCACTCATGCATCATGAAGCCTTGAAGCCTTGAGTGGAGGCTATCGCATGTTTACAGTTCTGGCTCCCTGGTACGCCGTACGAGGTACTGCGTAGTAAAGCTATTCTAGGCTGTGGTCTCTGGTTCACAATCGAAGATCACCCAAGAGGCACAATGCAAGAATACTGTCTATAACTAATAGTAACTAACAGTAGCTAACAGGAACTAACAGTGATTATGACTCCTACTGCCCGCCGGGCTGGATCTATCATCGTCGAGAGCCACCAATACAAGTGGCATTTCATGTTGATCAGACATATAAAACAAAGTAGCAGTCAGGATTTAGGATTTGGGCCTGAAGCCTCAACCTGAAATGGCTGCTGGTGAATCACACACTCCCACTGTCCCACTTTATTCTCTGTCATTGCCCCCCCCCCCCCCCCGGGCAGACTAAGCAGTCAGTAACCAGCAAAATGCGATGGGCGACTGCCCGTACCAATCACTGGTCCTGTGGTCCGTGGGAGATTGGAAGACGCTTGGTGGCCACTGATCGGACATAGACGAGGCTCCGGTGTGTACCATGCATTATCATTTACACGTGGTTCCATACTGGGTAGGGACACCAATACAGGGCATGAATGGGATGAGGTGGAGTTGGACTGGACAGAAGTTGAATGAGATCTCTACGGACGGACGAGAATAACCCAATAGTACATCCCACCTGGTAAGCCAAGCGTGCCTAAGATCACACTCCTCCCGCCCTGGCTGGCACCTTGGGCTCACGCCTCCTGCCAATGTGCAAATCGTGACTGTGGCTTGAAGGAGCACTTCGGAGACGGACACTCCTGCTGGCATTGTTCGACCAAGCAATCGGCCAGAGGTGGTGATTCTGGTGAGTGGGAAATCCGAAGGGCGAGAAAACAATCATCGGCCGCGCCTCAGCGCTGCCTTTGATGATAATCATTAAAAGTGATGCAAAATGCGCTAAGCCGCATCAGGATGCGTAGTCGCCCGGCCCTCTCCAAACCAGAATAGAAACACTTTCACCTCCAGCGTACCCAGTAGAGAGGCTGACTCTCGAACACATCAACGACGAGACTGGTTCTTTTACCCTTCTAACCACGGCCTAGCCATTGTTTTCATTGCTGCACATCCGGCTCCTCGAATCTCCTCACCACCGCGCTGCTGGTGGAACGACGCCGCGCCCAGACTCCTTCACCCTCCTCGATCAACAGCCAAACGCATCCTCGTCTCCCAGGCAAGAGTCCCATCCCTCGATTCTGTTGCCGTGCATGGCATCGCCCAACACATCGCTCGCAATCGCTCCCGCTCTCTGACCTTGCTGAGCTTGCACCATCGCGCTGCAGAACCCATCTCTCCCCTTTTTTTGCCTGCTCCTCGTCCCAACCACACCGCTCGACCCCATTTCCCGAGAACATTCCTCGCCGAACCCTGGTTCCGCTCGACCACTGCTCGCCTGGCGGTCTCTAGCCTGGTCGGAACCCTGAATGGAAACCCATTGAACCACACCGATTACCCAAGAAACACAAGTTCGAGCACGGTTTTGGTTCGTTCAGAACCCTCCATGTCGGATGCCCAGCTGTTACTATCCGAGTCATTCTTGTTTGAAGATTAATCATGGCCGGCCTCTATGAAGACCAACACCAGGGAAATCCTGCAAACACCAGATATACAATAGGCACACCTTGGAGCCCACACGACCCCACGCACCTGCCGTCGAATGGCCAATATCCTCCCCAAAACAACCCACCCTCTGGAAATCCCAACGATGCTCAGTATGACAGCGACGCCCGATATTCCTCCGACAGCCGTACGGGAAGAAAGAGGTCTCAAGGTGGGCCAGGACCGAATGAGAGGAGCAGATCAAGAACAAATGGTAGCACCGGAAAATCCTCCAATAGTGGCATGAGGACGTGCAAGAAATGTGGTGAGCCACTCACTGGACAATTTGTTCGTGCTCTTGGGGGCACTTTTCATCTCGACTGTTTCAAGTGTGCCGACTGTGGACAAATCGTCGCCTCGAAATTCTTCCCCGTCGATGCGGATGATGGCTCCGGCCAGTTTCCTCTCTGCGAAACCGACTACTTTCGCCGCCTGGACCTGCTGTGCTTCGACTGTGGAGGTGCTCTCCGCGGCTCCTACATCACAGCCCTCGATCGAAAATATCATATTGAACATTTCACCTGTTCGATATGTCCGACCGTGTTTGGAGCCCAAGATAGCTACTACGAACACGATGGCCGAGTTTACTGTCATTTCCACTACTCGACCCAATTTGCACAGCGATGCAACGGTTGCCAGACCGCCATTCTCAAGCAGTTTGTCGAAATATTCCGCAATGGGCAAAATCAACATTGGCACCCGGAGTGCTATATGATCCACAAATTCTGGAATGTGCGGCTATCCCAGAGTGGACAGGTCCCGCAGAAGATTGACATCTCTGCCCCTGTGAGGGAAGACCAACGAGAATCGATTAAAGAAGACGAAGAGAAGATGGAGGAGAAGGTCTACCGGATATGGAGTACGCTTTCCACCTTCGAAGAGTCCTCTGCCTCCTGCATCTCCGACATGCTCCTCCACGTCAGCAACGGCGTCTACGTTGATGGAGTAATTGTGGCTCGCAAATTCATATGGCATGTTGACATCTTGTTTGGCGCGATCGACACCTTGGCTGCTCTGGTCGTTCGAGCTGGCCTCAAAGAACTTGCCTATGGCCGGGAAGCAAAGTTACTGTGTAAGAAGGTGGTGGCCTTCTTCACATTGCTTTCAAAGACTCAAGAAACTGGCGTGCGAAAATTGGGAGTCACCCAGGAATTACTGTCCTTGGTCACAGGTCTCGCTCACTACCTCAAACTTCTCATCCGAATAGGTCTCCAAGGGGCGTTGAAGCTGGAGCGTGAACGCGGCTCCGCTGAGGGTCTGCACGCCTTCCTAGACGAGTTGGCAGACCTGGAGACCATCAAGGAACAGGAAATGAAGTCCTTGGACCTCTCTGAAAGTGTCGCCGGCTTGGCAAGCCAAGAGTCTGACTGCTGCGCGTCGTGCCTTGATCCTATCGATGATGAGTGTGTGATGTTCTACGGCCGACGCTGGCATGCAAGGCCACCTCATCTGTTGTGTTCTGTGTGCCAGAGAGATTTGACAAATGACTTGTCGAATGCTCTGTACAGCGAAAGGGACGAAAAAGTCTATTGTGTTGAGCATGGAAGGCGGACACAGGATGCGTTTTCGGGTTTCTCGCACGTCACCAAATTGCAACAGTACGTCTTCTTGCTGCGCGTGGCATTAGCACGCCTGCTCGAGGTCCTCAAGTCGGGAGGAACATTGCCTCACACCTCTGACGATCCTAATCTCACTCCTTATAACACCACAGAAGGTCACCGGGTCTCTCCGACTGGCGACCAGTTCACCAGAGAGCAGAAAATGGGGTCAAGGTCACGCTCCTTTGCAGGCTCCTCCACTCAGCAACAACAAGAGTCTTCACTGGAACAGACTGTTGGAGAAATGAAGCGGTTGAGATCAACCAGGAATGAGCGAACTCTTTCCACAACTTTCAGAAAGGCGCGGGAGTCCAAGGTGCTCTATGGCCCCTCGGGCATCCTCTCTGAACCCTCGGAAGGCCCCGACGCCAGGAATCGAGGCGGATTTCAGATTGTCGAGGAACGCGATCTCGATGGCAGGATGAGGACGGAACTGACCTTCGGCAACCAGGACGGATTGACACTGGATGACATCCCGCGGATCGTTGCCGCTGAACAAGCAAAGGAACAGCGACCCAATGCCTTCCGCCATGCAGGTACAAATCTCATTGGTCATAGAGGAAATGAGCCGAGACTCGTCAATGGTCATCAGCGAGCCACATCGGGTGGCAATGATCTCCTGGCCGGCGAACCCAGCCCTCTTCGGACCAAACGCTACTTCTCGGAGTTATCTGCTTTGGAATACTTCATTGTGCGACATGTCGCGGTGCTTTCGATGCAACCGCTATTGGAAGGGGAGTATACCTTGGAAGACTTGCTAGGTCTGATCGAAACTCGGAAGCAAACCTTCTGGGGCAAAGTCAGCCGCGCTCTACGCAACGAGCCGAAGACCAAGAAGAAAGGTATCTTTGGCATCCCACTGGAGACCCTTGTGGACCGCGAGGGTGCAGAGTCTACCAACGGAATTGGCCCTGGCGCGCTCCGAGTTCCTGCGATTGTCGATGATTGTATCTCAGCCATGAAACAAATGGACATGTCCGTGGAAGGGGTCTTCCGCAAGAACGGCAACATCAAACGACTCAAGGAAGCCGCGGAATTGATCGATAACAATCAGACTCCCGACCTCAGTCGCGAAAACCCCGTCCAGGTCGCTGCCTTGCTGAAGAAATTCTTGAGGGCCATGCCAGAGCCTCTCCTCACGTATAAATTGCAAAAGCTGTTCATCACTTCACAAAAGATCGAGGATGAGGAACGACGTCGTAGAGTCTTACATCTGACATGTTGTCTGATGCCAAAAGGCCACCGTGACACCATGGAGGTACTTTTTTCTTTTCTCAAGTGGACCGCGTCTTTCTCGCAGGTGGATGAAGAGTCTGGCAGCAAGATGGACATTCACAACCTTGCCACTGTGATGGCGCCCAACCTTCTCTACGCCAAAGAGAAGGCAGCGAATGGCAAACAGCCAATTGTGCCACAAGTCGATGACAGCTTCCTCGCAATAGAAGCCGTCAACACGTTGATCGAATACAACGACTACTTATGTCAGGTAAGTTGCACCCTCAAAGTCAACAACAATACTGAAATCTAACCGCACGTACATAGGTCCCCGAAGACTTGCAATCCATTCTGACGGATACCGGCCTGCACAACGGACCGGCAGAACTTACAACGAAGGAGATTCTCTCGAGATATGGCCATATCGCCAAAGGTCAAGTGCAGAAGCAGACCGTGCAAGGACCTGATGGACCGGTGCATAGTCCAAGTTCAGCCTCGAATTCGATGGGTGGTCCGGTTGCAACACGTGTCGACGTCGATCCATCCCAGGCAACAGCTTGGCAGAAGCAAAGCTCTGTCCGCCCGGTACAGAACATATCATCAGGACTGTCCGCCCCTCAGAACGACTTCAACTTTAGTGCGCCAAATAGCCCGTACGCCCGAAATCGAGCGGGCAGTTCTGGTAGTGGTGGGAGTCAAGGTGCTACTCCCGGCGGCCGGCAGAGTTATCAACAGAAACACGGACAAATGGGCATCCCAGGTTAAGAAATTGTTTATGCATGAACTCGGCGTCAGCGTCTCCTTACGGTTCAATTGGCATGGTTGGGCGAACTGGACAGCATCAACCGACGAAATGAAAAAAATTCACATGGAAAAACAGGGGTACACACTGGGACGAACTGATGACAACCAAAGCTTTCTGTCTTTATTTTTGTTGATGTCTCGAGGATGCCCTCGATTTTCTTGCCCCTCGAGGGCTCGAAAAGCTCAATTTTTTCTTGTTGCCTTGCGGGCAACCCCCAAAGTTGTTGCGCAGGCATATTCTATTCTTTTCCACCTTGTTCCCGCTCAAAGCCTCCTGCCCTTCATGAGTGTCATCTTTATCCCCTCGATGGTGTTGCACGGCCAGCCGACTTCTCCGCCCTCAAGGGCGTTCAAGCATGGTTCAGAACGCACAGCAATTTACAGGATCGTCCTCAGTTTGGCACACCACTCGGCTACTATCTCTGTTGTCTTTCTGCATGCTTGCGATCTCACCCGGCGTTCCCCTATCATTTCTCGTCAGATGGGTCACGAAAGCGAGCCTAGCAATACACTCAGATTGAGCTTCAACTGGACGTCTGGTAGAAACAGAACAGGCGGAGAGAGGGGAACCGTGACGGTGGAGTAGTATGGGGAAGGTGAAGTGTTAAGCAGCTATTATGCCTCCTACTAAGCACACGTTCGCAGGGATATTTGGCTACTTGGATCAGAGCTTGAGAAATAAAGGGTCAATCAGGTGGACCGCCATTTTGCTTTCTTTACTTCTTCGATCTCCTCCAGATCCTGGTTATTCTCACCTTCGCATGCGAGTATTGGACACGGGACAGGCTTACGGTTGCGTTGGAGAGAGAAGATAAGAGCAAACCGAGAGGATGTGGAACGCAAGGGCATGAGAGACTCGTGAGCCCGCAGAGGAGAATCACCGTGCCGAGGTAGTTAGGAAGGTAGATTATCACTAGGGTGGCTCTTCAGCTTGGGCTTGCCAGACTGTCGACCTGATCCCATCCTTTCCTACCCGATCAGGTAGGTAGGTAAGATAGTGGTCAGTTAGTGAGGCTACCCCGACAACCTAGCTGAAGTCTAAGGAGTCGAAGTCAAAATTCAAAAAATCGGATTATGGGATAAATGCTATTCCTCTTTCTTCCTGCTGGTGTTTCGCGCACCGATAACACTCGACGATTCGCTAGAAACAACCGAACTAAACTCTCTCTCTCTCTTCTTGCATTTTCCCTTTGTTTCCTTTGAGATTGGGCCCTGCAGACAACGAGGAAGCTAAGTGGAATGAAAAGAAGTGAAACGCAAAGAGGATCGTAAATTGTTTATAGTGGCCATTCCCAGCTATGCGGGATTTGATGGATTGATCTACTTGAGTAGTAGTGAGTTTCTTGGTGCCAGAGGCGGCAGTTTCCTTGTTTTCCAGCACACGTGTAACGATCAGGAGACACGTGTCCCAGTCCGCGGTCCTGGCTGCTGAGAAGGTTTCTATACATGTGTTGCAGGCAGTGCGTGTCTAATGTCCGCTAGACGCCTGTTGGGCCTCTGTACGGCGCCTCTTGCCCTGCTCGAGCACCTCGTCCATGACGGCCTCGAGCTTGCGTACCGCGTCGTCGCTGATCTGATAATGGATGACAAGCCGGCCTCCCCTAGCCTTCAAGCCTTGCGAAGCCGCCACTTCCGCAAAATCCTCTTGGGAGAAGCCCTCGTGACCAATGTCCAGCCAAACCATGTTTGTCTCAACCGGTTTGGCGAGCACGCCGCCCTTCTTGGTCCAAGTGGCTTCGATGGCGCGGGCGCGGGCATGACTGTCTCGCAGTTTGCCGCCGATGCCCTTCGGTCCTTGTCCGAACGTCTCGTCAACGGCCACGCGGCCCGCGGCTGAGATCACGCCTGCTTGTCGAGTGCCGCCGCCGAACATCTTGCGGATCCTGCGTGCGTGGGTGATGAAGGCGTTCGAGCCCACGATCACGCTGCCAATGGGTGCCCCGAGACCTTTACTGAGGCATAGGCTAACGCTGTCGAACAGAGTGGCGTACGCCGATAGAGAGCCCGCGTCGGCGGCGACTGCTTCCCATAGTCGGGCGCCGTCGAGGTGGAGTTTGATGCTGTGTTGTCGCGCGAAGGAGGCGATCCTTCGGACTTCGTCGAGTGGCATGATGACTCCATCGAGAGTGTTTTCTAGGGAGATGACACGAGTGGGGCAGGCATGCACGTCATCGGACAGGATGGCATGCTTCTTGATGTCTTCGAGGGTGAGATGGTGGTCGTTTCCCGGGTGGATTGGAATCACCATAGCGTTGGAGATGGACGAAACCCCGCCAGCTTCATAGTTGACGATGTGCCCTCGAATATCGGCTAATACCGAGTGTGGCGGCCGGGTGAGGTGTGTCCGTAGTGCAACTTGGTTGCCCATGGTCCCTGACATGACGAGCAATGCTGCTTCATGGCCTGCCAGCGCTGCAACGTGGGCCTCGAGGTCGATCGTGGTTGTGTCCTCGAGAAAGACGTCGTCCTGAAGGGTAGTATTGGATATGGCGTCCAGCATCGAGGCGGTCGGTGTGGTCATGACATCGCTGCGGAAGTCATAAGCTGCAGGGCCCGGCTGTTGCCAGGCGTTAAATTTCCTGTGCGTTGCTGCCTGTGCATTCGCCGCCTCAACTGACTCTATTGGCCTTTTGGAAGGCATGTTCGCGGTATGTGCAAAATGTTTGGATGACCTTTGGGGTCGTAGGGTTCGGTGAGCAGAGAACTGACTACTTCGTCGGAGAGGGTCGATTGCGTGCTCTTTAACTATTCTAGCGAGCATAGTTTTGCAGTGCACTAGAAAGGATTAGAAACAGATTGAGTCTTCATGCAAAGGGCGTAGGAAGCTTCGACGGCATTAACGACATCAGGCTGTGATCCGCTGTAAGGGCCACTAAGGGTCGTGGCCATTGCCATACATAGTTTGCGTTACGAGTAGTTGTTCTGCTCCGGTACGACGTCCCTGGTGCTTGACCGGACGAGATAATCACTGCGGAGGATTAATTATTGCCCGAGTCGGACTGGGCCAATGCCAAGCCATGCAAGCACTTTCACCTTGTCCAGCCGCGCACCTGCCTTTCTGCACCAGGCAAGAACGCGTCCGCGTTTGGGCAAGGGTTCCAACGCGTCCTTTTACGAGGTACTGTACTCGGCACTCGTGTACACTTTTATCGTCAACCCCTCTCCCCCTGCACATTGTTCTCCGGTCTATCCTACGCCGTATACAATCTGAACACGAAATAAATCCCACGTCGACATCGCAATGGCGGCCACCGTCCGGCGCCAGTCTCGCCCACCTCCAGTGTTCGTCAATCTCTACTGTTCCCAATGCGACAATCATCTCGGCATATTCGAAAATGAATGGGCTCGACTTACCTCTTCCTACATGCGACCTACTCTCCCGGGACAGCACTTTGCGTCCGAAATTGCGCAGAAGACCCAGATAGTCCCTAATGGAGTCGTTGGACAAGCTGCGGAAGGCTGCACCATGGCCGAGGTCTTTTGCAAAAAGTGTTCAGTGGCAGTCGCCCAATATTGTAAAGCTGCCCCAAGGCCGGACCAAGGAAAGCTAGTGTAAGTAATCAGCCTTCACCCATCATCGCTCGTCTGATGTGCCGCCCGCAGAAATCAGTACTTTTACAAGTCTTCGAGAACCTACCTTCGCACCAGCGACAACAAGTCCCGGGTTGACCCAATCTTCGGCTTTTCTGGAGACTTGAAGCAAATCAGCAGTCGCTTCAGTGTACCACCTCGTCCAAAGCTGTTTTCAGTCCACAGGTGGCCGCAAACTCCCTCGCGAAGTGAATACACACCCTCGCGGGTCCAGCCCTCTCCCCAGTTACACCTGCAGAGTCGAGAATCGTCACTCTTCCACACCCAGACACGTGCGCAGCCAGAAGAATCGCTTGCGCTCCGGCTGGCCGCTCAGGAAGAGAGGCTCAGACGCCAGGAAGAGAAAATGGCTGCCCAGGATCAACGAAACCAAGAGCAGGAAGCCCGGGTTCAGGCTGTCTATGGGAAGTTGGACGATTTCCGGGAAATTCTAGAGGACTACAAGGTTAAGTTTGAGGAAATACAGGCACAAGCAAAGATAGTAACTACGTCCTCCCAGCAACTCGATCAATCTCTATTTGTCAGCAATCTAGAGCATTTGATAGCAATGTCGAAAAATGCGGGCTCCATATCAGGCGAGATCGAAAGGCTCCGGGCTGAGAACCAGGCACTCAAGATAAAGCTCGATGCTATTAAATCGCCTGCTGGGCTGACATCGGCAGAAATGGAAGGTTCCCATGCGCTTGGCAAGCGAAAGCGCACGAGCGATGTCGCAACGGCTGGCCACCTCCAGCTGCAGGGCATCACCATGGGGCAAGCCAATACCGGTTATCACGACCAAGCATCTCTGAGGCGTATCCTGACACCTCAGTCCAGCGTTGCTTCTGCAAGTGGTAGCCAGGCTTCTGAGAGGGAGGACCTTGACCAGAGAAACCGCGTGGACTCTTGTCTTCAAGGGGTTGCAGATGCAGATGATCACGCCCGTGAATACGAAATGTTCCAGGCTAAAGATGAAACGTCGTCGACAGAGAACGACCGAGCTGCACCAGAGACGTCAGGAACTGCTCCGACTATCCAAACTGGCAACACTGAATCATCATCTCTAGTTGCGTATATTGACTTCAGTGACGATGAGCATCCAAGTGAACCGGTGGTGAGAACGGTGCAGTTTAATTCAATTGCGGGTGACACAACCCAGAGAAGTGTCCCCATAGAGACAAGGGGAGTCGACATCAGGAGAAAACGAGCTCTTCAGAATGGCCAGGATAATGACACTGCTGGGCCAAAGCCGGAGCCGGAGACCAGCTCTAAGCGCCCGCGAAGGAATCAGAGGAGTATACCTAGACGAGTCACTGATGGTGAAGTCAACTATGAGGGTCGCAATGACAGCCGCAGCTTAGCGCCAAGTATACCGCCCACACCTGTCGTCCGGCGCAGAACCCTCCCGCCAAAGCCGGGCATCGACACTCCTAGAGGAATGGAGCATGTCCAGATCGTCACTCCCACCTCCCATGAGAAGGAGATGAACACAGCTAAGGAAACACGGCCCGAGCGGGAGATCGTGCAGAGCACGGAGAAACTCTTACAATTGGAACTCATAGAACTCGGACTTGAAGAGTGGGTAGGATGCAAAGACAAGACTACCAACTCTGAATATCGAAAGGCCGTGGATGCAGCGAGAAATCAACGACGGGAGCAGAAGAAACTCGAAGCACTGGCGAGTGTTGGGTTGAATGTATCGCCAACATCACCGCAAAGAGCCGAGGCAGATGGCCCGGTCGACTCGATCCCTGGGGCTGCTGACAATGGGACTGCATCTTCTGGGGAGACCACTGGTGAAACGGCACAGAGCACCGCGCAGGATACGTCTGTTGAGGTGAGCAGACCAAGTATAGATAATCTTGAAGGGGATGCGCTGGCCGAAAAGGACGAGGGTGTGATGACGCGTAGAAAACAGCGCAGGAGAGATGAGATCCGCAGAATGGACCAGTTGGCAAGAGAAGCGCTGGAGATGGATTTTTAGTCGATGTCTCGACGTCAGCACATAAAAGTACCAGTATGATCTGACGCCTGTTGTATTACTGTTAATTGGAACTCGGGCATGAGCCTAGCCAATGAGACAGAGACTCATTCTAGACAATGCTATCGTTATGGTCATAGCCATGCTGTGCGTACGAATAACAATGAGGCCCGAACGACAAGTGCCCACCCTGACCAGAGTCCTGGATTCGCAATGGCGCGGTGCGCAGTGTGTGAACGAGGGACCGTTGCACATCAAACAACTAGATGTCGTCAATGGCGCCGAAAACGCGCTACTTTAGCCAGGAACGGGGAGGCGGAACGAGGCGCGAAGCAGGCGCGAAGGCGTTGGACTAATCACGTCAAGGACAAGGAAGAGGACACCGCCTCAGTCATCGCCTCTGTCGGTGAACCGCGGAGGACGGCTGGATTTTCTGCCTTCTCGGATGCAGGGGTCTTCGTTCGGTTGGCGGGGAAATTCAGTGCAAGGCAGTCTTAATCTTGACTTCATCACCTGCGTCTGCACATTCCCTTTTTTCCTCTTTGGTGTTCCAGTTTCTTGCAAGCGGCCTGGGTCTGCGTACGGCTGCGTTCTGTCAGTCTCGTTAACTTTTTTGTGTCAACTGTCGTCCACAATCGTTTGAGGAGCTCGCTCAGTCCAACAGTGGTCGATTGGTATGTGACGCCTCCCGCGTCCGTCTGTATACTTGCTAATAGTTGATGGCAGATATTCTTGATCATAGCGAATGCACGCGAGGTACGCCTTTTCATTACGATCCTGGGGTGCGCTGTTCTCCCTTTGTAAAGAGAAAGAAGCCGAGTGCCTGCACATATTCACTGCTCCGGCCCTCGGAGAAATATCGAGAAGGCAAAATGGTCGTTCCGTATGGAGTCGCCATGTCTGATCACATGACATATCCGGCATGGTTGTGGTTGTCGTTATGTACGAGCAGCCATAGAAGATCCTCCGTCCGAGGGCTGTTCGGGGAGCTTCTCCTGGGACAAAGCCCCGGGCGGAGTGATTGCCACCGTTAAGCTTGCCTGCTTGATATACAGACCTATATGATCACTGCTGGCGTGAAGGGGAGACATGGTTCATCCCAGCGAAGATGGGTTGCAAATCTGTATCTCCATGAGTTGCTGACTAGTGCGGTAGGAATTAGCTTCCGTCCTTGTTTAAGGGAAAGTGAGAAGGTCAATTCCTAAGGTAAGGCTGTCCTAAACTCTCCTATCCTAGGCCTTGTAACCATGACATCGTTGCCTGAGCGCCGCCTCAAGGAGCGTGTGTGACTCCGGTTCTTGAAGAAAATAGCCCCTCGCACCCTTCTTGCGATCCTACAGCCCCTCCTGCTACCCACTCTCCACAATCAAATCATCTTTGTCCTATCCAGCTATGGAGAAAACCGCTGACAAAGGGCAAGGCCGCCTTGCTGATCAAGGCTACCGGTATCCGACACTCAATCTTCCACAAGAGACAATCGTAGTCTCTGAAGAATACTATGAGAATCGAGTCGGTGATCTTGCAGCATTCATCCCGGTGGGTAGTTAATGGTCTTCTGTAAGCTCCGAGACTGATTCCGTCAAACAGCGAGGAGAATCACGCAGAGGACGGAGCGCAAGATCACCCTCAAGCCTCCAGTTCGTGAACTTGGCAGGCGTAGAAGCAACAGTCAACATGGACGCATCGCAACCTACACAGCAAGCCACGCAACAAGTCGAAGACCCTCGAAAACTAGGGAAGAACCTCTCTAATGTCTCCGAAGACGATGCCACAGATGTGATTTGTCTTCTTCACCCCAACTCACCAGCAGCATTCGACGCGGTCAGAGCGAACCTGATCCTTTCCCCTCAGCATATCTTGCAAAATGACGACTTACAAGACCTGGACGAGGAGGACCTACTCTTCAATCAAGACTTCAAAACCCCACGCGACATTGCCCTTCGAATGACGTCAGACGTCAAACACCCGAAAGATGGCTTCCGCTTCGGTCGCTACGGCACAATGTGCGATGTGCTCTTGACCCCAGCCCAAGATGACAATCTCATCAGCAAAGTTCACTTCAAAATCTTCGTCAACAGTCAAGGAAGTCTTATGCTGCAAGATCTATCCACAAATGGCACAATGGTTGACGATGTCCATCTCACGACACGAGCGAGGGGGGGTAGGGCGACGCTTAAGCCTGCAACTACTGTTCTTAAGAATGGTTCGATCATATGCGTCATTGCTGGACTAGCCAAGGAGGAAGTCAAGTTCATGGTCCGAATTCCCAATCGCGGCGATGGCGAAGACCTTTATGAAGAGAAGCTTAAAAAATACCTGTCCGCGCGAGGAGCAGTGGCGAAGTTTGCTTCCATGCGCGAAAGCTCGTATGGTAATCACTGGAACGGTGGTAGTATGTACAACTTCACAGGCCTTCTTGGCAAGGGTGCGTTCGCGACCGTCTACAGAATCCAGACGAAGAAAGAAGGAGACGTGTATGCCGCAAAGGAACTCGACAAACGCCGATTCATCAAGAATGGAGTATTGGACACCAGGTTTGATAGTGAGTTGAACATCATGAAAACACTGTCACACCCAAACATCGTCAACTACGTTGATTGTCAAAACTACCAACATTGGATCTACATCTTGATGGAGTATGTCCCATATGGAGAGTTGTCTCAGGAATTAAGACGTCTGAGCAAGATCCCGGAGCATGATGCGCAACAAATCACACGACAGATGATGCATGCCCTCGGCTATCTTCATCGGCGAAACATCACTCATCGGGATATTAAACCAGACAATATTCTGATTGCCTCCAGATCACCCCTGATTGTCAAGTTGTCAGACTTTGGACTGTCGAAATGTGTCACGGACCAAGAAACTTTTCTCAAGACCTTCTGTGGCACCCTCCTATACTGTGCACCGGAAGTCTACCCCGACTATGTCACTTATGCCCAAGGTCCATCTACCAAGAGACGCCGTCTAGGCGAGCCGGCAACGAAACCAACACCGTCTCCCTATGATCAATCCGTCGATATGTGGTCTTTTGGGGCTGTGATCTTTCATATGCTTTGTGGCAAACCACCCATTGCAGGGAGAGGTGATGATAGAGGGGCACAGATGCTGAACAACATCATGACCAAGGATGTCGATTTCGATCCACTTCGCACGGCCGGTGTTTCAGGAGATGCAATTGATTTCATTCAGAAACTTCTTAACAGAAACCCATCACTCCGACCGAATGAGTCGCAATGTCTAAAACACCCTTGGCTACGCGACGTTGAAGACTATTTGGAGTATGAAGACAATGAACCTATGTTAGAGCACCGCGAACGAGAATTAGGTGTTCTAGATGAAATCGAGGAAGACTTGCTTGATGATGATCTCATTGCACATCTTCATCAATTAACACAGGCGCCTTCATCCGCTCCGACCCCGGATCGCCCACCTAAACGACCGCGCAGAGACATGAGGCAGCAACCAGAGTTAGCTCGCGAGATCACCTACCCTGCTCTACCAAATCCTGGTGCTAGTTTTGCACCCTTGCCCCCAACTCTACCCTCAACTGCTCCAGCTGAAAGGCTTTTTGGAGAAGTCACTCCTTCAGTACTACGTAGTTCCGGAGTATTTGGTGAAGTTCTTCGCCCCCAGGCGCAGGCAGACCTCCCAGACATACGCAATCGTGTTGAGCGGATCAGCGTGAATGATTTTGTGACACGCGGTGATGTGAATAATCCAGAGAGCGCCGACAACTTCGGTCAACCTTTGCAATATCCCCAGACACTCGGCATTCCACAATCTTTTACTGGTTCCGCTTTGAGCCTTATGGGGGCTGAACAACAGATCGGGCAACTCAACATGGCTTCGCCAGGGGCAGAAGTCTCGGACGATGCAACTTCGGAAGCGACCAACCCAGTTACTCCTCGGACTCGCGAACTATCTCCTTGGACCGGGGCCAACCAAACAGCAGAGACAAGAATCGCAGACAATACCCGTGATAGCGAGGAGCCGGTATTTACACGTCGCATTGATCTAGACCTCGTCAACGACCCAGAAAACTTTGCAGCAGAAATTGAAGCTCGCAATGCTTCAAGGGCGGTCAAAATTCGCACAAAGGCAGAGACGTTCAACGGCAATGACAATGGCAGAGCACGTCCTCCCTCGATTGAACTGGCAACCACTATCGATGCAAAGACGGGAAAAGAAATTGCGAACCCGGATGATGCTGATCGCCTCATCCATACACCTGTCGGTAGTTCAAGTCCACACTTCATCAAACCCCCAAAGCGTTTTGGCAAGTTGACATCGCTGCCGGGCTCCCTAGCCAATGTGGCCATCAACTTGGAAAACCGCCTCACGATATGGGGTCGGGGGATTGACTGCACAGTTCCATACTCAGATCGCAGAGATACTCGCATCCCACAGTACGCCATGAAGATCAACTTCTGGGCTCCGGGTATGGAGAAGTTTGTACAGCAGGGAGGGGATTGGACTCAATTGCCTGGAGTCAGAACTCTGATCTCTACCTCAGCCAGTAAATCCATCTGGGTCAACGATGTTCAACTGCGCAAAGAGACACCAGACGGTGAAGCCGCTTTGTTCGGTCAAGTGTATACGGGTGATGTCGTCACCATCTACGATTCTCCTGACGGAGAGTTCCTGAAATTCAAGGTTGAGATCACTTTTGGTGACAGTGCACGCCTTCGCCCAGAGGGTGAGCACGGTTTCGTGCTTCAACAGGAACGACAGCATCACCAGCGTGCCATGAAGGAACGTGAAAGCATGAGAGCCAGCAGAGCTGGAAGTGAGAACGGCGATGGGACCACCCTACCATTGTGAGACGGGCAGCTCACCATGGCGCACAGTGGACGTTGAATTGGAATTGGCTTTGAGTACTTGGCAGCGAAATCCAAGTTTCATGGGACAGATTGATTGTGCTTGTGTAGTAGTTTCGAAGTACAGCAACGAAACGAATGTATTCGATGTGCATGACGGCGGTGTTCTTTCTCAGTTCAAGGTTGGAATGTCAAATTCCGGAGAGGTAAAGCGCGCATGCCTCTCATACGCATTTCAATGAGGGACATTCTTGTGTATTGTCACATATCCGAATGCCAGTCATTGCCAATTGCAGGGTCTCAGCCTGCATGGGTGAGACTCCTTCAACCTTGATTTCAAGTGAAAGGAGAGGAGCCACCTTGCCATCACGGTGAGCTGCGAATTCAAGTAATACCTCACTCCTTGCTGCTCCTGCTCGAGTATAAAAATTCCCCTTCTATTTATGCCCTTTTTTCTCCCTTGGTTTTCGTCGATTGCAAGCCCTGGCCCAGATGGTTGATTCTCCCAAAGTGAAATCGAGAAAGGCTTAATTTATCCCACCGACAAACTGATCTACCTCATACGAATTGGACCGAAACCAAATATCAAACCCAGCTACCAACAGAGGCCGTGTCGAAGATGGCATGCAAAAGGATCCGGGTCCCTCCATCCCTCAAGCCCGGCGATGAAGTTGATCAGTGGCTGCTGGATGCGGGTATCGTCCCGACGTCGATGGATTCCATCCTCACGACCGCCGACGGCAAGCTTCGCGAGGAATACTATTGTACCAAATGCGATGAGAGCTGCAATTTCGACAACACAGTGCCCGCCGGCCCAGAGGACAGCGAGGCCAAGCTTCGTCGAGACCTCCGAGTGTGGAAAATTAACAAAGATGCCGAGCAGGACAGGGAAGATGCTGCAGTCACCGCCGCCGAGCCGCATGCTCGGGGCCGGAAACACAAGAAGAAAAGCAAGAAAAGCATGAAGAGCGGTCAAAAACACAGACGCCCGACTTCAAGAGAGCGCCGCCCGAGAGGCAGAAGCTGGACTGCCGCGGACTGTGACACGGATTGCAGCTGTTCTGACTCTGACGATCTTCAAGAACTCGGGGAGCGTGAATCGGTGTCCTTGGAGAGGGCGCATCGGAATCGGGAGAGGGGGAAGAGAGGTGGACGGGCTGGTGGAGGATGGCCTCGTGGAGGGTATGGAGGAGGGCGCTATGGCAACAACCGCAATTCTGACTGGGGGTACGCCTATTCTTATGACTATGGCTATCGAGGAAGCGATGGCACGTTCGACTTCTTCTCTGGCAGTCCCTTCAGACTCGGCTTTGGCCCCCGATTCTAGGCTGGACCCGGTTGGGAGGATGGGAGAGGCGGTGCTGGGCAACGTGATATCCGTGTGGCCTAAAGCATTCATCTTCATGGGCTGGTTGGGTATCCTCAAAGGCAATCATGAGACTGAACTGAGTACGGGGAGGAGAGAGCCGTAGGTCATTATGTACTCTCCCCTTATCTACTACAGCCGCAAAAGCTGGCTCTGGAGGAAAGAGATACAGGCACTTTTAGCCAACCGACAGCAGGCAAATATGCGAGCAGCAAGCTCTACTAGTGACTAAGCAAAGAAGGTACAAACAGATTCAAGCACCCAGACTCACAAAGAAAACACGAACAAAGCCAGCAATGTAATGGCCATACCTTCAAGTTTGATGGAACTGAGTTGTGCTATGTAGGCCAACAACGCACCACATTGGTGACTGGGTCCTGCGCCGATCGCCAAAACCCAAATCACTTACGGTACGTAAAACAAACCTGCACTTTCAGATCCATCCGGGTGCAATGCGTAGACCAGCTGTAAGCCTGTCCAACAATGCCAATGCTCGAGCCCATGACGCCGAGACCTGCCAATAACCATGACCAAACCGTAGACCATCCCAATGGTCCTATCCCTCAAACCCTCAAACCTGTTACCCACGAGGGCGAGATACCCGATTGGAAAGACTTCTCTATCAACTTCGAAGCAATTGACAAGTTCAGCTCTCCTTCAGCTTTCCCTTTCTAGCCATTTTGGGCACTCGTTCACAGAATCGCTGTAGCCTCTGTCTCGTGACAGATCAGCGCATAAAAACAATGACAGCAAAAGCAAACACAACCTGATGCCAAAATGAACCCTGTAAACCCTGGTAACCTTGCCGGAGTCTCTGGGACAAAACTGTTTATCACCCATTGACTCCCTTCCAGAATAGTTGTCCTACCGGCGTGCAGATGACCCCCTTCAAGACTAAGCCATCGCCATCCAAAAACGCAACTCATTGTCCAAATACTATCATCGCTCGCTGCTGCCTTCAACGGCGGCTGCGGGCATATCGAATTATCCCAAACAAGACAAATGCAGTCATAGTCGGATAAATGATTGCCATGGGGACACTGATTGCGGCAGTGGCACTCAATACTGTGCGCAGAGACCACTTGGGGGCTCATTGCTGTCGACAGTTGCGTTGGCCTCATTTGTTGCGGTTGGGAAAGCCCCTAGAAGGGTTTCAGCTCCCTCGTTTGGCATGACTGCGGCAACGGGTTCAAGCTTCTTCTCTCTTGTCTTTCTGCCTGTACCGCTCCTTCGTTGAACAGTGTCGACTCCTCTGCAATTGAGACTTTCTCTGCTAGCTCTTCCTGCAGAGACTCTTTCTCTGGCACCTTGGTGGCATGCTGGCTGTTCTCGGCCGTCGCGTCGAGGTGAGCCACAATCACCGTGGTGGGAATCTCGTTATCTTCTTCGTCAGAAGAGCTGGCCAGGAAACCGTCAGCTGAGTGGAAGTCGTTGAGAAAGTCCTGATCTTCCTTGCTGAGATGGGAGGCACCTTCTGGGGGAACATAGTTATCCGAACTATCTTCACTTGAGTTGTCGTCGGCTGTGAGAACAGGAGAGAAGATTTCCGGCACAGGGGACGGGTGAGCGGGAGTGTCGGGTTGAAGGGATTCTTCATCGTTGCCCGTGGCTTCTTCGTTTCCTTGGTAGCTGTATTCTGTGATTGAATCCATCAGATTCTCATCGTTGGAGAGGCCCAGTTCTGGGAGAACGGGTTGAGGACTGGACTCAGTATTGTCGATTGCTACAGCTGAAGCCTCTCCGGAAACGACGCTCTCCTCTAAGTCCCAGTCATTCAGCATAGGGATACCGAGGCGACGACGAAGAAGAGGAAGAAGAGGAAGAAGAGGAAGAAGAGGAAGAAGAGGAAGAAGAGGAAGAAGAGGAAGAAGAGGAAGAAGAGGAAGAAGGGGATTTCTTCTTCATCCTCGACCTCCTCAACTTCTTGACGGGAGCCTTCAGGAACTGATTCCTGCACAATCTCCCCATCTGTCAGCTTCAATTCAAAAAGAACGAGGTGAGAAAGTGGCTCAATGTTATTTGGTACTGCAATTCGTTCTTGTGTGGTTAAGAGAGCAGAAGCTGACGCGACATTCTCTTTTAAGTCCCAGTCGTTGAGCATCGGGATGCCGAGACGGCGCAGAAGAGGTATTTCTTCATCTTCAATACCTTCATCAAGAGTTGTCATGACTGATTCCTCAGCAGCAGCCATTTTTTCATCCTCATTCTCTTCATCGAGCGTACTTGTCTCTGCTTCCTTGTCATCAGCAGACTCTTCGTCACCAGCCGCTTCCTCATGCTTTTGATCCCATTGAGCATAGGGACTCCAAGGCGGCGGAGTAGAGGCACCTCTTCTTCTGCAATCTTGTCATTGTCTTCTAATGGTATATTCTGAACTTCTTCCCTCTGCATAGGTAGGTCGGATGAAGAAATTTCTTTCATCTCAACTGGAGTCTGCTCGGAGGAGGTGATTGTCTCACCAATAGGAAGTGTCAAAAGGTGCTAATTCTTCCTCAAGCTCGTCAGTGATGATGGTGGCTTTGTCTTCGTCATCGGTTCCTTCTTCGTACTCGGCATTGTCCTCTTGAATGTCTCCCTCTGATGCCTCCTCAAGCATTTCACAAATGCTGCGCTTCAAGACAGGCTTTTGAGCTTCGTCACTGCCGTTGTCACCAGGTCTTGGATTTTCTGGTTCTTGAAGGGCGGGCTCGATTGTAGCTTTAGAAATAGCATCTTCAATCAAGATTTTATGGAGATCTGTGTTGGATGTTGAAAGTCCTTGGATGTCTGAGTTTTCACGGGCGTTTGGTATCTTGCTCGACTTTGTGCTCGTCCATGCTGTCTGTGGCTTCCATGGCAGCACAGGCATTCAAGGCTGCTCACGCTTGGTTGTTCAGACATTTCTCCGTCGACTCAGTAGTGGGAGTTTGTGGCGTGGTTATTGCGATGGGTGGATATTGATAGAGGGACAGGATTTCCAGATCAGCATTTGAAGTCAGGTTTTATGTGATGGGGGCCTTGAAGGCCGCAGCATTCTTGACAAGCTCGTGTCGGGCATCCTCATCAAGCAGACTCAGATTCTGATCCATGGCTTTGAAGAGTTCAATGCCGCTGGTGTCAAGACTATCAACCATCTGCCTGAGGCGGAGTCGACGGGTCTCGATTTTGTCGGCTTCTTTCGTGTGGCCGGACCTGTTGAGCTTCTGAACCGTGGTCTCATAATAAGAAATGACATGATTCATGTTGTTGATGAAGGCATTTTCGCCATTTTCGATGATTCGACGCAACCAAGGGAGTTGTGCGGGAAGTTGGGAGGACGTGAACGTTCTCTACGGCTTCTTCGCGATAGAGAGCAACAACAATGGGGCAACGAAGGGCAGCTTTGGAAGCCTCGAGAGTTGTCATCGTTGATGGGGAGGCCATGCTCGAAGCTGGGAAGGGCAGATGGCAAATTTGTTGATGTCGTGAGCTCCAAGTTGTTCGAAATTGATTGCTGCTGTCACGAATATCAACTGCTTGGTGACGCTAATTGTAGGTCAAGCTTTGCCGAGGGATGAGAGGGAGATAGAAAGGTTTGTAGGGTGGAAAGAGGTCAGAGGAAAGATTGAGGTTCAGGGACAGATATATAGTTGTTTACATATCAGCACTTCATCGAGGCAGTAAAATCCCACAGGCAGTGTACCAGCGAGCAAACAGTGGGTTGCGTGCAGTCGTCGCGTCATGATTCGTTGCTTCCCGGCCAACCGCCCGTGAACTGCACAGTGAAGTCTTCACATTTTGACCCTGGCGATTTTCGTAGATCGGGAAGCCTTGTGCTAGCCCTACTTCACTCAAATTGCAGGTCGACATGTACCACATGTGCAAGCGTCTTCAGATGTTGTATACGGACGGTGTCGTATCTCAGCCTTGCCAAGGCCTAAGGTCAGGGGCTCCGAGTGAGCAGCGGATGTTCGAGTACTCATGTTCGTTGGTTGAAGGCCAACACGTACCAAACCATATCTCAATATGCAGGACAGAGCATGCTGTCTCGCCTTCGTATATGATTCTCAACAAAAATCAGAAGTGTTGAGTATGAATTTTCAAAAAGAAGTGGTCAATGATTCAAGTAGGAATTGTTGCTACGATGAAGGCTAAAAAGACCGAGGACATGAATTGAACCCCTCATTGTTAAAAACAGGTGTAGGATTACAATAGCAGGCCGAATCTAGTAGATCCTGAGCTTTGTACTGTTGAACAATGAGATCTGTTCTGATTGTTCCAATCCTTACTGTTACACCGATCCCTTTGATACTCGTTCACGAACATTCGACCCTGCCTCTTCCAACTGAAACCGTCAAACCCCAACTTTGAGCATTGTAATGACCTCTTAAACCTCAAATGATATGTAAGTTTGAGCAAGATTCTGTCAGCCTCGAAAGTTTGAGACTGGCGTCGCGGCCGATAGTTAGCAGTGGATCCCTCGGGCCCGCACCTCAAAACAACAGAATGGCGCTGTTGAAAATCGCCTCCCATTCCAGAAATTCGACAGGTAGCGGTCCAAGAGTCGAAAATGCGATGTATAGCCATAAATTGACCCAATAATGCAGATGCAGGTGTCCGGCGTAGGCGGAGATCGGCATCAAGTTCCAGTCGAACAAAAGTGAAACAAGATCCAGAACCAAGAATGTGGTAGAATGATACAGGAACTGTCTTGTGTAGGGAATGAGGATGAGAATGGCATTGACGATGGCAAGGTAATTGAATAACTTGAGTTTCTGAGGATTGGGTTCCTGCAATGGATGTCGTTTGTTTCCGAGCACTTGGAGGTACTGGCATTCAGTAGGCGCATCTTTCCCGGTGTCCGCAATATAAAATTGAAATTCCAGAGGATTAATCTGTGGAATATCGCTGACAACTGTTTCGTACGCCTTGTACTCTGGGATGATTTGTTGCTCTTCAGCAATGAAGTCGGGCCATGGTTTTCCTCGTATGGATCCTTGGATCAATTTCAATCTCCTCGAAGACTTGCAAAAGGTCTGGCATTGTACATACAGAGATTTTTGTTCAACTTCCCCTTTGAGTATTGTCTAATGTGATTCCCAGAACTCCTGAAGCTTCATCACAGGAGCCTGAAGATTGCGGTGGGAGCTTCTTCGTCGTTAGGTGTAGAATCTCCCCCTTGGATGGAATCGCGCTTCCATATGAGTTCTGATTTGCCCCCTCCTCTGCTTTTATGATGATTTAACTCGTATGCGAAAAGAACACTTCTGAAGCTTCTTGGGCGCTTGCGATACCAAGCAGATTTTGGTGGATTTCTCATAGTCGCTGCTCCTGGTGACATACGACAGGCTCGCAACGCGGGCCATGCTGAAGTTTATTATACTCTTGGAGGCTTGAAGCGATTGGTCGAAGTAATAAGTGAGACGATGGAGACATTGTTGGAAGAGTGTGTAAGGGCACTCTTGCAGCCATGGCGCAGGAAATCACCTGCGATGCAGACAACATAAATATTGCGCAAGTCACTGCCTGCTCTGAAACTAGTAATGAGGAGGAAAGGTAGGCAGTACACTAGGGACAATTTCAACAGGTTATGTCGTAGCAACTGCCCAGCTCGAGCGACGCTACAACAGCGGTTACGAAACAATTATGCGCCCGCGCCCTCTATCAGCTGATCATCTATTCAACTTGCCTATGCAGCTGGCGGAATCACGATATTCTAACAGCCTTTAGGCAGTCTATGGAACAGACCTAAAACGAGCAGCAACAAAACTAAATAGGTATAACATCCGTTTACAAACAGTCGAACTCAAACTTCATCCGACTCCTTTTTACGTACACATTAATTTTTGACAGCCATTTGACTGGCTAAGCGAGTTTCTGCGAAGACCGATCCGTGACCTGCGATTGCGACACCGACTGCGACAGTGAATACTTGTGGTCAGACGGAAACTCGAGGGATTCGACCCTCTGGGGCTTGCCCGAGCTGACATGGTGCAGACCAGGAGCGGGCATCTCGTGTGAAACTGGCGGCGACGAGGGCGGCGACGATTGCGGTAGCTCTTGTGGAGGAAAGTATTGTTGTTGTGTATACATCCCCCCGGGTGGTGAGACATTCGTGGGAAATGGTTGGTAACCGTACCCGGGTTGGTGCATGGCTACTGGATAGAATGGTTGCGGTTGGTTGGGATGGTACGGCGATTGTTGGTATGGTCCATATGGCATTGGCTGACCGGGTAAAGCCGCACTATAAGGTGTTGAGGCATGAGAGTTAGAGCTTATTGGGGAGCCCAAGCCGGTATTGATCATGGTGAGTTTTACATCGCCAGTTGGGCTTGCTGATACTTCGTGCACTGTACTTCCATCACGAGTTTGCCCGGTTGTGCTATTCAGCCTGTCTCCGGTGGCTGCCTTTCGCCGTCGAAGATAAAAGAACAATGCAACTCCGATGATGGCCAAAAGGGCCGCCGCTCCTATAACAGCCCCTACGATTGTTCCAACATTGGACTTGCCGTTCGGAGCGGCAGCGGGAGTTGTTGCGACAGTGGCTGAGGCTGCTGCTGGAATGTAGCGAGTCGGCGTTCGCTCTGCAAATTGTGCTTTCTGCCCGAAGTATACAGACAAAGCTGCGTCACTCCATCCATCGGCAGGCGCTAGGTTGATTGCACCTCCACTAGATGTCCCACCCGCAATTGAGACAATAGCAGGAGGAACGGAATAGTCTGTGAGATTCGGTAAGTACTGGTACCATTTCGAACTCTCAACATTCACTTGGCCAAGATTGAGATTGTGTTGACCGCCGAGTGTAGGGACATCGCAAGCAGTGGAATTGGTGAAATTACCGCCCATGACCATCATTTGAGCATTCTCAATAACATTGCAGGTCAGCAATCCGTGTGGTGCTGAAGCCCCTGGAGCTTCAGGATACCACTTGATCCACTCAAAGGTTGGTAGCGTTAGGATCCAGACATCGTCGAAACCAGTGATGTTCTCCCCAAAGCCGAACCCTCCGTAGATATAGATGTTGTACGACGATTGATCTTTAGCCCATGTCGAGCCAGCGCAGAACTTCCGACGATTTGGAGGAATTTGGCCAGAGGCTTTTTGTGTGTACCATTTACTATCCCCCACTATAGAAAATAGACAGTTAGCAGTGTCCATAAGGAGGGGTAAAACAATGAGCTAGAAAGAACGCAACTCCAGCTCGGCACTGCCTTGCTCAACCCATGTGAAACCGAGAAAATAAACACTCCACTGGGATGAAAGCCTGAGGCCAGACTCACCATCATACAACATGATGTCAGTCATCTCCATTGGAACCTCGGTCGAGTTGCCATATGGATAAGACACACCTCCGAAATGAATGAGCATTCCTCCTGCCGAAGCTGGTATGGAAACCATCACTCCCTCAGCCCGTCCGGTGCTATCGGGTCCTGTGTTGTTGGTCAAGGTGTTGCCGTCCATATCAAAGATGATCAAGTTGCTGGTCGCGAGAGGTTCGGCACCCCACAAGGGGTTCGTCAGGTTATTGAGGTATCCGCCATAGTAGTATCCATTCTTCCCAAGAGATGTGCCTGCGCCATATGAAACTCGTTTCACTGGCTGACTTGATGGTGTCGATGCTGAGGACAGATTCCATTGATTCAATAACACGTCATATCCCCAGAGCTGGAATGGACTGGGCGCAGTTGAAAATTCGCCCCCGTAAAGCCAGAATACTTTGTTCACCTCGTCCGGCCACAGAATTCCACCGGCCACATCGGGCACTGTGCTATTCTTGGACAAGTTGGCATACTGCTGGGGCATGCCATCGTTCACTTGGTCTAAGTCACTGTACACAAGGACTTGATCTATCACAAGGTTGGTAAAGGTAACCCAAATCTTATTCTTGGGTCTAATACTTATGGTTGGGATCGGATTGTCCGGAAGAGGATTGGCATAAAGCCATCCTCCATCAATGTATAGCTTTCTATCGACGATTGTCGTTTGATGAGCATACCGCCGGCATAAATCTCTAAGCGGGTCTTGAGGTGGCTGAGCGAAGGCTAGAGATATGAGGAGCCAAAGCAAGAGAGGAAGCTCAATAGTAAACTGTGCCATGATGAGAAGAGTGTCGTCGTGCCGACATGAAGACTGAAGATCCCAAATACTTTGCAATTAGAATATGAGTAATGTGACGTGGCACCTCCTAGCAGCCTATATCAGGAGCTCGAGGGTGACACAGAAACTTTTCCAGTCGTGGATCTTTTGTCAGAAGGAGGCAAGATACGAGGTTTTGGCTGCGACCAGGAGTCTTCAACGACCCAGTTATAGGGTCTTAGGAGAAGGATGAACACAATGCAATATTAAGGCCGCTAGTTGGTTAGGTCTTATCTGCACCCTCCTGCAGGGCTGCCAGACCAGGCGACACGAGATTGTCAACAGACAGGGAATAGGGCCGACATGGCTAAAGGTTGAGCGGCTTCAATGTTCAGGACAGGTTAGCCTTGCTCTGAAAACACACGTGGGGCCAGATGAGATCTAGCCTCGCCGCTCTAATCCACGGGACCAAATTCAAGACGGGGCCGGATGGGTTGGGACCCGGTTCGGAGTGGTTCCTGAAAGAGAGAAAGAAAGACCCAGGAAAGGAGGCTCAACGTTAATCATTTTGCTATTCGAAGACTGGACAAGATTTTTGGTGCCATGATCAGTTTTACCTCGCAGCGACGCAAAGCTTTACGTGTATCTTGTACCGTGTTTCCGGTCTTAACGTCCGCATACGAGGCTCACCGGTCCCAATGATGCGCTCTCATACTTTCCGGCCCGACCGTAAGGGAGACCTTGAACAGAGCGTCTGTAGGGATCACCAGACTCTCACTTGGCTTGAGGCTGTGAGTGGACAGGGTCGGTTCGAACTGTGTCGCACAAGCTAAGCCAACAGCAAAGATTGAAGGGTTGGTTTTTAAACACACATCGTACAGGAGGCTGCTTTGGGTCCCCTCCGGAATGTTGAATTCAATAGAAAGCTGACATTTCAGACTCAATTCTGATACAGACTTGGAAGGGAGCCACCAGTAGTACAACAAGCAACCCTGCCTGTTCTGGGTTGGGTTGCACTAGTATCAGCTTTGTAATGGACCGACCAACAGCTGCCACATGATTGAGGCAGGGGTAGGGCATCTAAGCGAAAAGGTGGGAAATCCAATCCTTATATATGGGGCAAAACGCGCCCGGCAAGGGTCGTCTGCACGAGAACATCATAGGGCGCCCTGCGCAATCAATTCAATGTTGGAGTGCGCTTTATTTGAAGACGTTCCCCATGCCCGTCTGTCCGCCAACAAGACTCGACTTGGCTGGACCGGACTGGTCCTGTGTGTTGTATGAGCACCTCCCGCAACAAGACTCGAATATTCAAGCGTGTGCATGTATAGGGCAGGGTAGGTACTAGGTACTCCGTAATGAGTTATTGATTTCGTGGGCCGGGGTAAATTTTTGCTCGGGCTTAAAGAATAACGGGGGCGGCTAGTGTCGTCGAACATCAACGAACAGACTGTGATTGATTCCAGCCCATCGGCCCCTCCATCATGCCTCCTAGATGCATTATGCGATTACATTTCCTCTTCATTCTTGAGGCACCCAAAGTTGTAGTGAGTACGTAATTATGGGGATGTTGGTCAAATGACCTGGCTTGATTTCCCGACCGAGTTGTAGAGAGCAATTTGGAGACCAAGCCTCGAAGTCATTTCTTTTTGGCACTAGACTGGTGGCACCGCCAATGTTGATATCTCCCGTAATACACGTGGCCGACCTTGGTGTCGTCTACTCAATGAGAGCATATCGCCATTCTTTCCATTCGTAAACCGGAAGCATGCATCGGCTCCCTGACCAAACCATAAAAGGATACTGTGAGTGTATATTGAGTGAATTCCCCAAGAAGCTTCTTTCAAATAGGGGCTCACAGCCTTGTGATATGGTGATGGAAGAGAAACTTGGTTCAGATCAAGACTTTCGTCCTGAAACTACACTGGAAACATGCTGTAATCAGGATCGGCTACCGTAACTTAGAGTGGAAAGCTGGAGGAATTTGGCGAAAAACAACTGATCCCGTCGGCATTGGTGCCAAACACGTGACTGCCCTTCGGATCACGTGCCAAGCATCTTCAACCACCGACCAGGATTAACTGTTGTTCCTGAGTCGTTTGAATCTGAGTTACTCGGAACACTTTGCGTGATTTACGACAACTGAAACCAAACCACAGGCCTGCAGGATGCCTCCGAGAAGCAGAGGGCCGGATCTCCAGCCGATATCTCTACTCCTAGCTTCCACAAACCTACAGTCCCGCTCTTCAACAAGCTCCATCTGCAGACAATGCCGTCGGTTACTCCGCCAGCAACGCCAACAACCTCTCTACGATAGCCTGGCAACCCGACCGTTCAGCACGTCCCCAGGCTTCCAGAAGAAATCCTCCGCGTCATCCAAATCAGCCCGCTCCAGCCCAGATGTCACGTCCCAGAAAGAAAAATCCAAACGCATCCCAGACAACACCAGCACCAAGGAAAAGGACGCAGAGATCGACCCGTATGATTTCAGGGTCCTGGAGCAGGGCATTGCCTCTGCAATTGCACGGCTGAAGGATGCATTGCTCAAGACTCGAGACGCTGGCAGGATCACCCCTGTCATGGTCGAGGAGCTCCCCGTGGACCTGAATGTCAAGGGCAAGGAAACACACGGTGCTTCGCCGCACAAAGAGAGGACCAAGATTGGCGACCTCGCCAGCGTGGTGCCCAAGACCGGCAGGATGCTGCAGATATTCTGTGCGGAGGAAGCTGTGAGTCTCGCAAATACGTCCTCCCTAGCGTGAAGTACTCCCGGCTAACGCTCCACACAAATAGCACGTGAAGCCCATAACCTCAGCCCTGCAAGCCAGCTCACACAGCCTGGCGCCACAACCGGACAATCACAACCCACTGGTGATCCTGATCCCCGTACCCCCCGCGACGGCCGAGACACGCGCGCAAGCAAAAGCTGAGGCTAAGAAGTGCTTCGAGCGCGCGAGCAACGACGTGCGGAACGCGCGCGGCGATGCCCAGAAGCGGCACCGGAAGATGGAATTGGGCAAGCTCGTCATCGTCGACGAGCTCCGCAAGGCCCACAAGCAGATGGAGGAGGTCGTCCGCAAAGGCCAGGACGAGGCGAAGAAGGTCTTTGAGCAGGCGGTGAAGAGCTTGGATGCTTGATTGAAAAGTGCATTTACAGTGCCCAAGGGGATGGATTTAGAGAGAGAAAGATTGATGTACGATCAGATTTAAGATTTGCATGTGTACAGTGAGAAGCCGCTGGAGCGGAACAGGCTCTTGACCATGCGTTGCCTTGTTGGGCATTGGGACCGCTGTACAGAAAGATCGACTTCTCTTCGCAAGGCACATCTCGCCAAGTGAGATATCCGACAACCAAAGCCGCAGCACCTAGCTGTGTTCAAACCTCACTGCCGTCCTCTTTCTCCCGCTACAATCCCCCTAATCTCTCCCTCCCAACATAATGCAATCCATGCTTCTCCATTACCATTTCCCCGTTATCCGGACTCGGCTTCTGTGTTTGCCTCTGCGCAAAAGAGTACCACACACCACCCACGATGGTCATGAGGGCGCCAGTCATAACGCGCCAGCCATCACCACCAACATGTCGTCCAATCAGCAAAATCAATACCTGCTTCAAGTTCGCGGCGACTGCCATCGCGAGCGGCCCACAACGGCGGTTCGCCTCGAATGATGCCAGGTTCAGGGTCGCGGCTGCGAGCACATTTGTGGCCGCGGTGGCTAATATTCGTCCCTCGGTGGATGTGGTGAACAGGGAGCTGATGATGGACCGCAGGCGTTGAAATTCTCCTGTCCATAGGGCAAAAAGCAGGGCTTGTGCCACTGCGTAGGGTGAGAGGTAGCGGATGAGGGTTGTGGAGGGGAGGTCCACACTCAATCGTCCGGCGCGTCGTTGCAATGTATTTGTAAGGACTGTCTTCAGGACGGCGAGGACTGCGCCGAGGAATGTGAGCGCGATCCCTGACAGGGATGCCTTTGGACCTGGGGATGTGGTATTGTCAGGGTGGGGCGATGTGGTGGCGAGGATGACGCCGATGGTGGTTGGGATGAGGCTGAGGTAGGTCGATGTGGAGTATGAGGTGAGTGGCCGGCGCAGGAGAGTGACGCAGAGCAGGACGGTGATGGCGGGTGCCGTGGCGCGGATGGTCTGGTGGAGGGAGAGGCTGACGAGTCCGAGGCTGAGGTTGGAGACGGCGATATTGGTGATGTAGAGGAGCGAGAAACAGACGAGGATCGCGTGGGTGCGGAGGCTGAGGTTGGTAGAGGTGGACTTGGTCTGGCATTGGCCGTCGGAAGCATGCCGTTGAAGTAATGCAATGACATTTGTGGAAACGAAGGTGCAAAAGGCATGTGAGGCCGTGAGCAGATAGGGGCAGGAGATTAGAGAGACAAGCTGTTTATTCGTCAAGGTCACAACCAAGTTGAGGAAGAAATAACAAGTCACCGTCAGCAAGGCGGGGTTGAACATGATGAAAAACTAGCAGAAAAGAGGGTAGAATAAAGGGAAATTGGGACGTGGAGTCAGTGTTGTAGTTGATGGGAACTTGAAGAGGGAGTAGATATGTGTTTGTAGTATTGAACAGTTGAAGCAGTGCTCATCGTTCTGCCATCCACTAGAAAAATACTGCCGACAATTTGTTCAAAACCTCATAGATAAAACTCCGCCAAACACCTCGCTTTGCTTTGCATGTTCAGAAGTTCATATCAAAGATAGGCCTTATTTCTCTTCACCTTTAGCGGGGGAAGAAGTCGGTGTTGCAGTCTCCCGTGGTGGCTCTATGCCTCGCACGGGCCTTTTGGCTGCAGCTGTACCGGCCTGGGGAGTGTTGGTAATGGCAGCCTGAGGTTTCTGGCTCTGGTTCTGGCTCTTAGTGCCATGCCATCTAACAACATCCGGGACAATTTGAGCTTGCGTGATTACTGGCTTGCCTACCAGGGTGTTGGTGGCCACATCGTAATAAGCATTGACTTCAAAACGAAGCTTGCCTTTATCACCGATGCAGTGAGCAATGCACTTGAGTTGCACGAAACTGCCAGGGTTCTTCAGTAACTCGTTGGGTTGCCCAGTAGTCCAGCTTGCACGAAATACTGCACAACCCGTCTCAATGGCGTTTTTGAAAGTCATTGACCGCACTGCCTCTCGGTACAGCTGTCGGGACTCATTCTCTCCATATTCGCCTCTTAGGAAGGGGAGCGTGTGTTTCAACTCTTCGTCGCTGGTTTTGGTGATCATCAGGCGTTGATTGACCTTTTCTTCCTCTGTTGATGCCTTCACTGACTTGGGAGAGGACGAGTCCCAATGTGATCTAAACGTATTTAAACGGTCAGTCAGGCGCGCTTTAGTGATAAGGTATGTCACATCTGCAAATGCAAGGCACCCAGCATAGAAAGCTTTCGAAAGCATCACGGGATGAAAGATTCGATCCATCTTGGCCCCAATGCTATCAGGTAACCGTCGCCAGCCATAGGTAACGTCTCCGGACTGTTGAATGAAGACGCATGGAACTTCGTAGAGTTGTGGAGGCTTGATGGGGATGATCACTTCCGTGTTGACCATCATTGTCGCAGCCTGTAAATGTACGATCCAAGGACCATATTTCGGGGCCTTGAGTCCGTCGGTTATGTACGTGGCAATTTCTTGACTAACTTCCTGTATGCGTTTCTCATCTTGAGCAAAGCTCTGAAATGCCTTCCACCGAGGATCGTTTTCTCTGTAGAAACCTCGTTCTGTGCGGCGGACCCAGATAGGAAGCATCAGGTGGATGGTGCTTTTGTCCTCTGCACCAATTCTTGAATCTCCATTTGCGGGTGTTTGCCGCTGAGTCTGCCTCCAATGCTCTGCCCACCAGTCTTTACTCTTCAATCTTTCCCATCCTCGCTTAAGATCACGATCAGAGAATACATGATCGACTGTCCGGACAACACAAACACTTATAATGAAGGTCGTTACGAAACGTGAAATATTGATACTGGGACTTTGTTCAGATCCGTTCCAACAGGCTAGCATAGTGGGCATACCGTGAATCCTTTGTCACAGAGACCTTCTGTACATTGAATCGGCCATTCTTGAGCGGAAGGCGGATGGAACGCGGACTACGGAACAGGTAGCGTAGCATTGATTTGATGGTGCGTTAAGTGGGAGGGCATAATAACGAGGAATTCATGGAGCTGAGGCAGAAGCAGCCAGCCCAGATCAGCTGCAGGTAGAAGACGGGCCTGGCTATAGATGGGATAGTACAAAATTAGCAGAATAATGTTGCGCAGGCAAGATATTGGATATCCTGTAGTGCTTGTCAATGTCAGTGAGGGCACAGGCTAGATTCCCTGTCGTCTGCCCATCAAATTGGGGAAATTACGGGTAGGGAGGGGGACAGCCAAGGAAGCACGTGCATCCAGAACTGTGGCTAATGCAACATGTGATCTGTGGCTGGTCTCCTTTCCCCCCTGTGGCGTCCATTTCCGTATGCTTGAGGTCACTCACTGGCGGCCGCAGATGCAGCTGCACCCGCAGGCCAGGTAGAACAATTCCCCGTCCTCTTTACCTAGACTTCCATTCTTCACCACGCAACTCGCTGCCATCAATCGTTCAGCAGCTCCTGCAAGGACTGTTCTCTGGCAAGCATGAAGTCTCTCACCTCTCTACTGTCATGTGCAGCTCTCATGCAATATGCAGCCGCTCAAGGCGCATATCTATTCACGATCGACCGTTCTGTTGCCTCCTCCTCGACCGCAATGCTTGATTCAGATTTGGCGAGTGCCATTATTGCTCGGAGGAGAGCTTTGACAGCCGATCGACATCTCGGCGCCATGAGCGAGAACGCGTTGGATGATCTCAACATATATGGTGGCTATCAAGCACCCTTATTCGGCGAAAGTCAGACCGAGGAAGCACCAGGCAAACTATTCATCAGGATATCAGAAGTCGACATGCTTATTGGCGACTTTGATCAATTGCCTGATATCTGGGTTGAAAAGCCTACCAAAGACCTCCTCACCGACTTCAAGGCAATCCCCGATCGCCAGACCAAGGACGGTGTCTGCGAGTATCTTGTCCCTCCAAGTTTAAATGCTCCGAACAGCAAAGGCGTCGAGCTCATTTTCTCATATCCTCTCGATGGCGTACGTTGACCTTCACCTCTTAAGAGACTTTTGTATTGACTCGGAACTCTAGGAACCAGCATGCCTTCGCGCCTCGGAGATCCCTCACATCCCCATCATCCTGTCCCTACATAACTTTCTCCCCACCAGCCCATCCGGAGTAAAGACTGGTCTTGCTGGTCTGATTCGCATCCTCAAGCACTTCTCAGCCACCCAAAACGTGGAGTCTACCCTTCTCCTCCTTCCTTCTAAACTCGCCAAACCAAACCCAAAACCTCAACACCATAATCATGCCCGAGCCGCTCAAGACGCAGAGGAAGAACTCCTTGACCTGTCATCGATCGCACCGATTCCCTCGGGGTCGTCCCCATTTATCACGCCACAAGCCACAGGCAATGCCTCCGCGAACTTCACCCTGCCCCGGGTGATTCCAGAGTGCTTTAGCTCCCAATCAGCATGTGAAAATACCACCAATTTCTGCTCCGGCCACGGGTCCTGCTATTCGGCGCATTCCAAGTGCTTCAAATGCCGCTGTGGCACTACATTGGCACGTGTGAACCCTGATGGAACTTCCAAGACAACACAATGGGGCGGACTGGCCTGCCAAAAGAAGGATATCAGCGTCCCCTTCATTCTCTTCGCGACCTTCGGCGTCTTCATGGCCGCCGTGATCGCTGGCGGAATCGGCATGATGTATAGTATGGGCGCAGAGCCATTGCCTAGTGTGCTTGGTGCGGGTGTTGCTGGGCCCAAGGCTGGGAAATAAATCAGCTTCCGAAGGGGGTTTCAGGTGCGCGGATATCTCACCCAACAGATGTTATCCCCATAGAGAGAAGACACTACATGGTATCAAAGCTACTATTTTCGTCATGACAAACCAGGACAGGACAGGCGTTCACTTGAGTAGCTACTAGGGTATGTAGTAGGTACCTAGGTATCCGATGTATATTTGCATGATTTCAATCTTCAGATGCCAGCCTTCACCTGTCTGACGATCTGCCTCTTCGGAGGACTTCAAGTGGGAGGTCTGAGTTCTAATTATTTCGGGTCTTGATATTTGTTGCGCAAAGCGTATGCAGAGTCACGGGCAGCAACAATCTTGGGGGCGCCTCAAGACTAGCACTAGCTTAGAAGAAACACCACTTGAAGCTAAAATACAGGACAATCCACGGCCACAGGGCTCCCAGAACATAAAAGCGTTGCCTGTGTGGACACCAGTTTGTCCCACTATTCACCCACCTACCCATGCGTGCTGATCTGAGAAATGGCAAGTAGCAGAAAAGGAGGAGCATTGCCACGTTGGAACCTGTCTAGGCAATCCATATCAGGGCAATGCATCAACGAGGCTCACTGATTATCCAGCGGTGTTCGGCCTCGTGTCAGACCAGGTCATTGCCACGAAAAAGTGTCCCGCTGCAGTCGAATCCTCCCCGAAAATGAATCGCTTGCCTCCGAAAGGTAGGACGTCGCCAAGATTGAGATCGGTGCAGGCCTGTTTTGCCTGACAGCTGTAGCTACGGTCTGCGTCACTGCGGAATCACCCATCGATCGGCACCAAGCCCAGGTTGATGAGCATGGAACACTTCTCGTAGTCGAGCTGGAGTTGAGGTGGTGCATATTCCTTCTTCTCTCCTTCTTTCAGATCGGCCACGACCTCTACGACGATCTCATTGTCTCCGAGTTTCAACTGCATGTCATAGGCACCGTCAAAAGAAGTCGAGTTTGGTTCTTCAAGAGTTTGTCCGTTGACAGTGACATAGAGACGATGGCGTCGGCGGGAATGCAGCTCTCGAGTAAGGTGTGGAATGACCCGGATGTACTGGTGGTTCATTGGAAGGCAGATAAGGTAAGATGTCTGTGTCCTGGCTGGTGATGCATAGCGGATCAACTTCCATTTAGGATCAGACGGGCTGTTGGGGTTGGTCATCCAGGTGACTGACGCGATGAGAGCGGTGCTAAGATCTGGGGTTTGTTAGGCGTGAATGTCAGATCGATAGGAAATATTTACCTTTGCCAGGATCGCGGCCACGCCGCTCAAAAGGATTGTTGGATTGTTGTTTGGAGAGATCGGCAACTTGGCGCTTTGGAGAAGTGGCAGGCTGTTCATGGTTGTGGACGCCGTTTGTTAACGGGGCTGCCGGGTCTTGGAGCTCGCTTTCCTGAACTGGGGTTGGGAGTTGTGCTGGGCCGGGAGTTTGAGAGGCCTTCAGAACCGCATCTTCGGCTTGAGGGGTGCTTCTACCATTGGCATCCGACATGACGGTGTCTTTGGGTTCGGTAATGGCCGACATGCTACGTCGAACACTGACTGCTGCACTCGACGGAACTGGGGTTGAGCCGTTGGCTTGATGGACGCGCGAGTTTGCCCTTTGTGCGCGACTAAGCGCGTGGCCCGTTTCCTCCCTTTGGCGTCGTAGAGATTCACTGTCAATAGTACCGCCAAGAACTGTCGGGGTTGGAGTTGAGGAGCCCATTGTGAGTCTCAGGGCTTTTGGCTTGGTAGGCTGAGAAAGCGAAAGTTTGAGATTCCGTCGTGGTGCTGCACCTCGATCCTGCAGCTCTGGTTCTGACCAAGACTAGATTCCAGGTTTAGCAAGACTAGATGTGCCGTGCAGATTGAGTGGACTTACTTCGAGTTTTTCTGCCATGGCATAGATATCAGAGTCCTCTTGGTTGTATTGTTTTGCGTTGTCCCAAATCAACCGAACTTCTCGCGCAAGGGAATCCCAATCCTGAATGGCATCCTTCTGTACCATTGCTCTAACGTCCGAGATGGAAGTAGGCTTGGAAATGGTTTTGTAATAATCCGGGTAGTCTTTTCTAGAGACTCTCTCCTCAAAATTTCTGGGACAATGATTAGTCCGCATTGATCTGGACAAGAATCAGAGAACTTACATGGCATCGTCTTGCTCGGATAACTCATCAAGAAAGGCAACCAATTGAGTCTTGACCTCTGCTTGCAGATCCCGGGGCGTACTAGGCCTTGCTTCACTACGTCGTCTGGCACCGTCTCTTGAGAAATGGAGCTTTATCTTCTCAGGTTGGACCAATACCTCCGAAGAACCGTGTGAGGACTCCCTCACTCGATCAGCGAGCTCCTGTGGAATTGGTGTCGGGTATGCTCGATATTCCGGACGCAGATAGGCAGGATTATGTTTGGGCATATAGTTTGATAAGGCCTTGCGGATTCGCTCGGCGTCTTCGAAGATGGGAGATCTATTGTGGTTGTAGTCCTTCGCATTCTGGACCATGCGCTTGAGATCTGCCTCCAGTTGTTCCATATTCTTATACTCGCGCTTCTGGAGTCGCAGCTCGATCATATTGAGAGACAGCGGCATTGCTGTCTGTTGGTAGTAGTCTGGGTATTCTTCTCTACTGGGTAGATCAATGAAGTGGATTGCGACATTGCGGCCATTTTTGTCTTGAGACTTTTTCAGCTGAGCGATCAATTTGAGTCCTTCCTCAGTGGTGGTCTCAGCAGTTTCTACATCGGGGAAAAAGGTGTCCTGCAGACCACTAGAATTAGCCAACAGGGTCTAAGTGCGTGCAAGAGCGATACCCCAAATGCAATTGTAATGCAGTGCAGCACGTCGATGGTGTGCGCGGGGCGGGCATGGCGGGCAAAGCAGTGAGATGCGCGGCGGGCAAAGTGGCCATCTTGCGAGGGGTGCGCGCTGAAGGGAGAGGTGGTAGTGATGGCCGTGGGTGCTGCGCGGTGAAATGTAGGAAGAGAAGAAGGGGTGTTTGATGGGCGCGATGCACTTACGTCGTTACGCTTGCGTCGCTTGGGATCTGGCGTGGCCGCAAAGTCTTCGGGCAAGCCTGCAGGGCCGCTTCTGCGCTTCGAGCTCATGGTCGCGGGCGACTCTCAAGTCCTCAACTCCCACAACAGGGAGGGATTCGGGGTTGGCGGTACGCGCCAGGGGTCCATGCAATGCAAAATAACGTATTGGACTGAACAAAACTTGTCCCGGGCAACGATAGACCTCAACAGCCTCAGAATAGACAAACGGGCACTATGGGCTCATTCCATATCCTCGCCTCGTCCCAAAGAACCACAACGCGACAGACAACTTCACAGAGCGAGTCCACGTGACTAGTCTTATGGGATGATTCTCAGTGGATCCTTGTTTATCCGGCTCCGGCCTACGCCTGTGAAAGCGCGAGCACGAGAAGCGAGATTTACATAATCAGGCTGCACCTGCCCACTCACCCACTCACCGACTTGCCGTTTGCCGAAGTCGCTGGTGGCTTGGCACCAAGGCTCCTTCCTGCAATTTGTCCCTCCAACCAAATCTGTTGTTTACCTGTTTGCCAGTTGACTTTAACGGCCACCAACTGCACCCCTCTGTCCGCTTGGTTCTCGTTTATACATTCCTCGCGCTCAACTTCCCCAGACTCGAACCTACAGTCGACCCTTGTACCAACTGCCTCCCGTTTCCTTTGCCTGGACAACCCGATCAACATCTTTCTCCAGCCAAATACTCGGTGTGCGCGGTCCCTGTCCTCGCGTCTGTACGCGCACTAGCAGGGCACGAGACCAACGCATTTGATCGTCGGCGCATTCAGGCCCCACTGTCGGTTGCACAAAACATCGCACATTTGCGTCTTGTCCGTGCAAACCGCCAAACCACTGAATCTATCCTCAACTTCTTGAGCTATCAGGTGGTGACTGATATCGCGAGTCAAAATGAGCGACATTGACGGCACAAGACGAAACAAAAAGCCCCGCCCATTGCTCGACACTGAAAGGGCTCGGCTCGAGGAATTTATCGATTCCATCGGGTATTCCGCCAGGTAATTCTCGCTACGGAAAGGGCGCAAACCCATAGACTTTTGGCTGACAGGTTGTTAGATACTCAGACTCCGAGTATGAATACCGACATGTTCAACTTCCTAAGGCAATGCTGAAGGTCATCCCACGTGATTATTTCGACGATCAGAAAGGTACTCTCAAGCTCCTATGGGAAGAGGAATGGAGGGCTCTTGGGATCACGCAGGTAGGCGAAAATATACCAGCCCAAATTGAATTTCATGCCTGACTGGGATTTTAGAGCTTAGGCTGGGAACATTACGAGGTACATGAACCAGAGCCGCATATTCTACTCTTCAAGTGAGTACCCCCTAGCATGTCATACGATCACATTCCTCATTCACGCCCTAGACGCCCGATCGGCTATCAGCCCCCGGCACAATAAATGGAGATTCTCCACAGACCCAGTCTACTAGCGAAGCATTGGGACGGCGTTCTTGTTTCAGTAGGGAAAGGATATTCAACCGTGCATTCAGCGAGCGTGCTTACTACATCCATTGTATGTCTTGACGAATGAATGCACCCGAGGCGAGAAATCTAGGCAAGATGGTAGATGTTCGTTCAGGTCTAGCAGAACCATGAGAACTCTAGCATATTACTTTGCACCGACTTGTCCTCTAATTCATATTATTCTGATAGCGATAAGATACATGCCATGCTCACACCACAACGCACCTCCGAGCTTGTCCTTTCTTCCTTTCAGAGACCGGACTTCTACGGATCCGACTGGCTGTTGAGTCAACTGACATTCTTCCTCAGCCACTCTTCCCACTGCTCAACAGTCCAGGACGAGCCGATACTGCGTTCTTCAACGCCATTGAAAAGCACCGTTGGAGTGACATGAACGCCAGTCACCCTGTTGGCCTTGACTTGGAACTTCACGTCATCAGTCACCTTATTTCCAATGTTGAGGCTTCCATCCGGGCCGGGCTGATCGGAAACCACAAGCAAGTCGTAAATAGTTTTCTCGTCAATACCATCCACTGACCCAGCCAATTTGGCCAGTCTTTTGTATGTGTCATTTCGACTTTCGTTAACAACATTGACATCAAAGTACTCCTTCTGTTCCTCAAACAGCTTCTCCGAAAACGCCCAGAATGATTGAGGCGCTGTGCGGAGGACCGCCGCGCCAGCTTCATGCGTGAGCGTCGAAGAAGGGTGCCATGGCTGGATTTGCTGGCGGAAAATCACGCGGACTCCAGGTGAGGCGTACTGCTTTTCTATGACTGGCTGGACTTCGGTGTAGAATGTCTTGAAGATCTTGGCGGAGAACGGGCAGACGTAGTCGAGGTACAACTCGATGGTGTGCTTTGCCTGTGAGTTGGTCGCCGTCGTGAGCAATTGCCCGGAGAACTTGGGTGGGAGAGCCATTGTGTGAAAAGTGATATACGAAGTAAAGTTGGGGGGATTGGGATTTCGATTAATATGGAGGCTGGGATCACATGGGGATGACAAGGTCAAACCCCGTGATATGGTTCACGCACTGTGTACTTTAATACGTCATGTCCCAGGTCTTGTTCAGCGGATTCCGTCATCACGCCTGCCAATTATGCACTCGATGATCAATGTGGAGCCGGCGCCATATGGCGGCTTGCATCGCTGCTTTAGTATGCCAAGAGCCGTAAACTGCCGCTGCTTTTGTTCTTCATTCCAAACAACCTCCCCATATCCTTTTGAACGGTCGATTCTGCGCTCATAATGTCTTATGTTTTCATTACGGCAGCAGAGGAGTTGGCGGCTCCTGCTGCTGCTGCTGCTGCTGCTTTTCGGCCTGCAATGCGCCTAAAGACTGCGCCCTTCGTCAATCCTGCCCTCCGGGGTAATTGTGGTAGAAGACACCACCAGCTATTTCTCCAGTCGCCCATAAACCTGGCATATGTCTCGCCTCATTATTGAGCACTCAAGCAGTGACATCTGTGGCAATCCCACCATATGTGAATGTTATGCCACAAGCAATAGCATATGCCACAAATGGTTTCTGTTCGATCTTCAATGCCCAGTTTGACTTGGAATATCTCAAGTTTTCAGACGGTTTGGTGCACAGTCCATCCAGCTTGGTTGGTTCGAATGCGCTGCTGTCATCCGAACAAGTGGCATTGAACGAATTGATCGTCTTCTGTAAGCCCATGAAGTCGACTCCCATCTTGATGGCCAACTCCTGGATGCTCTCAGCTTCTATGGGCTTTGCCGTCTCGTACCGCTTAGGTAAGAGCTTCAAAGTGGTCTGGTCGAAGATCTGAAAGGCCTTTGCTCCCGGCTGGTCGCCGATTTTCTTCCCTATCTTTGCATATGTATGACTGAAGTTATGCTCGCCTTCGTCGAAGAAACGTTCTCCGTTGATGGTGACGGTGATGCCAAATGGATACGCATATCGGGGCATGTGCACTGAGATGTTGATATCCCCTGTCAAAGGCCCATTTGCATCCTGTGGCGAAGCATGGCAGGCGCCCCAGTGTCCAACCGGATGTGCTCCCGCAGTGATAGCACAGTTGAGCATCGTGCCCATGTTAAACTTCGTTCCTCGTACCAGAACCAAATCCCTGCCTTCTCCAAGATACTGCCGGCGCATCGCTGGATTCGACGAGAAGCCACCGCTGGCAAGAATGACCTTACCAAAGGTGTCAGCGAATCCATCACGACCACGAACTCTCACACCATGGATCGTATCCCCAGTGGCAAGGAGATCATGTGCAGGACTGTCATACTACACCGACATGCGACCATCTGGAATAAGCTTCTCGACCGCAGCCCACAGGCTATCCGTCAGGCCAACACCTCCTCCACGAACCATCACGGGTCCGCCAGGCTCCAGGTTGACTTTGCTATGCTTCTCTTTCAAAGCGTCAAGATTCTGGTACTTGTGCAAAATCAACTCCCATTGGACAACTTTGGACTTCATACACTCGAGTCTCCCAAACATGGTTGAACAAGACCTCCGAGATATCTTTATCATTGCGACCATCCGAGGTTTTGGAGAGGTCATTTCGATAATCTTGGTCTGTATATGGTAGCATGTCGCACAGTGCGGCGTCCGCCATGGCCTCCGGACAGAGCAGACGTTTGACTTGGTCCATCCCTGTGTGAGACGCCCTGAAAACCGTACCTGCGAAGCGACTATTACCGCCACGAGCATCTCGCGGCGCTGCCTCCAGCACTAGAACCGTGGCCCCACTGTCGTGTGCTGAAAGTGCCGCACAGAGAGCTGCATTGCCACCTCCTACAACAATTACATCGTATGTTACTCCTGAGCCGGCTCCAATTGTATATGAGATGCTTCCCATTGTGGCAGACTATGGATGTTTTCAACACGTTCGATACATACGAGTGATGCCGGGGGGCCTATGCATTATGTGGAGAACCTATGGGGTATCTGGTCTAGATATAGATACTACATATTGCCGAGACCGGGTGCAGGTCATGAATACTGGAAACGCAGGCCTACCGCGGCTTCAGTGGCGTGTTCGTCGAAGGGTATGTCCCATGCTTAAGAACCGATGCAGTAGATCAATCGGTGGCCGGTACCGGAAAGGTCGCCAATGAGTGTCTATCAAGGCTCCTCCTATCAGCGGTGTATATGATTCTACGGTCAGACGAGCTTCGAGCGGAGCCCCAAACTTCCGGGCCGCAATTCGGAGCCATTCCCAGCAGCTCAAGCGCAAACCGGCACAGGCCAATTTCTGATTGGTGCACCCGGGGTAGGAAAGCCAGAGGACTTCGGTCAGTCTCATACCTGCTATAAACCGTAATGTTGATCCTAAGCAAGGTGGGGGGCTTTCCAACTAGGGGATGATAGCCCAGGGATAGGGTTTTGATTGGGTAGTCAATGGGCTGCCTTGCTGGAGCACAATGTTGCTAAATACCTGCCTTAACATCCGCAACATTGTTATCATCCCTTGGTGGCTTTTCCTGAGCCATAGTTGTGGCCTCCCCAGACTATCCACTGAATTGAGCCCCTAACATAATACAAGAGGTGCGAATCAAGTTCTGTACATCTGCCTGGTGAGCAGCTTGTACTCATAAAGCCGGCTCCTTCCCTGGCCGAATTGTCATATCTTTTCCCCCTTCAAAAAAGCATTTCGGCTGTCTTCTTGCTTGGCTCCTGTGGTTGACCATCTGACACAGGGTTGTCTACGTTCACTATAATCTTGCCCTTTGCTCCCCGACTCATCATCCTCTCATAAGCCTGGAACGTAGTCTGTCAGCTTATGCGACTTTAGGAGGGACGTCAAACGAACCTTCACAACATCATCGAATGCCCATGAAGAATCAATGGGAACCCTCATGTTCTGATCCTCGCACATGGCTTTCAACCTCTCGAGTCCCTCGAGGCTGGAGGTTGAAGAGACTTGAACGTATCTTCTCCGATCATGGCCTCCCCATGCTGAGACGAGGATATTTCGTAGCATGTCCTTAACCGCGACGAACATGCTGCCGTAGCTGTACTCCAAAAAGGCGATTCCGACAGTGACAAACATTCCATCGGCTTTGAGGAAACTTGCGCAATTGGTATATAGTTCTTGTACACCATATGCGTCGATGATCACGTCAAATGGCTGCTTGGAGTGCCTCTCAGTCAGGTATTGTGGCACCGATGGGACTGACTTGCGATCGAGAACCTTTTTGTGTAGCGACACAGTCAGCAGAATAGATCGTAAAGATAACAGCTGTTGCACGTACCTCGTCAGCTCCAAGCTCTTTCAGCAGCGCGAGCTTCTCGCGAGAAGAGACTGCCACAATGTGGCTTTCGGGTCCAAGAGCGTGACGTGCCATTTGCATGATCAAGGATCCGATCCCACCAGCTGCACCATTTATGAGCACCTTTTGCCCGTTTTTAAGATCTGCCCCGTCCAGTAACGAAAGCGCAGTGCAGCCTGCAATTGGAAGGCCAGCTGCCTCTGCCAGAGGAAGAGTTTGGGGGGCCGCCACGATGCATTCACTATCCACCACGACATACTCACCTAGCGCGCCCTGTCCCTTCAAATGTAAGCCGACAGGAATACTGCCGAAGACTTGTAGTCCTGGTTTGAGGCCGCGATCCTTCGATAATAACGGCACCGACTCTGAAGTTCCAACGCTCACGAGCTCGCCCGAAAAGTCCATTTCGGGGATACATGGCTTGTTCCGCAGCCATAACGGGCACAGCCGCATGAATATCGAACCGGCTGGATTGAGAGCTGCATGTCGCACCTTAACCAAGACGTCGTTGGGTGCTTGGGTCGTCGGTAGCGCGAGGCTGTCTGATAAGGAGAGGACCTCGGATGCCGGTCCTCGGCTGGTGTGGATCCACCCTCGCATGTTCACTCGCTTGATATGGCTAAATTGTAGGATACTCGGCAATCACACTGAAGATTGATGAATGGGCGGGAAAGGCGTCACTCCCAAAATTGTCGAGTCCACTCATACTTCAAGTTTGATGGCGCCCAGGCAGCAACCATGCCAACCACAACGTGTCCCTTGGCAGCGCCTTGAGGTAGTAGCATCGTATTATTTAATTTCTCGTATTCACGATGCCACGCCAAAACGGACTACTTTTCTTGGACTTCAGGCTGCTAACCTATGTTTTGATCTAAGTGGGCAATTGAGTACTAGTATCTTCTTAACTTCATTTAGTAGCCCAGGCACCCCAAAACAAATGCACCTCGAAGATGTCGAGATGAAGGGGAGGCTGGGTGACATCTGCCTTGAGGCAATAAGTGCCTAATTTGCTGCTTTTTGGTTTGGTCCAGAGGGCGTACATCACCAAGTATTTCGGAGCTTCCACCAATCAGCCATTGCATGGTGTTTGACTTGTGGATCTGCTTTCCGACAGCTGAATACTTGTTGGAGAATCTGTACTAGGCCACTTTTGGTAGTCGCTTCAGGATATAAGATCTCTATTCTTTTCAACTCTATAGACTCCTTTCCAGTTTCCATAGGTATTCACTAGGTATTTAATCTCTCGGAACCCCTTTCCATAATGCTAAATTATTCTAAATACTTAGAGAGTAGCGCTTTTATGATCACTACTGCAGCGTTTGGGATTCAGATATACTGATTGACTTTTTTGCGGAATATGTGCTAAGGTGGGAACCTGAAGACCGACTACTCGAGACTGAATGTTTGAGAAGAGGGCGAGAGATTGGTTACTTAGATGAAAAGTTATGGCGAACAGGAATTACCACTCCACGGTTGAGGCCCGAGTCAGGCGCCAATATCGTGAACTCAGAAGAAGTGTCAATTATCAGAAGGTCTTTTGGTCAGATCGAGCAAATATATTTCGGCTGAAAGAAAAGACGGTAAGAGAAAGAAAATCATTTCCAAGGACTCTTGAGAAAGGCTCTGTCGGTTATGTCTGATCCATCCCTCGGTTTGCAATCCAGCAACATCGTGATCTCCTCAACATGATCAGCGGGCTTCGCTCGGAAGGCTTCAGTCATTACGGCGACCTACCCCAGATCATTGTTTGTGGCGACCAATCCTCAGGCAAGAGCTCGGTCCTCGAGGCAATATCTAGGTTTTCATCTCCTCGGAAGGATAATAATCTGTGTACGAGGTTCGCAACAGAGGTCATCTTACAACGGGGTCCTTCCGAGTATGCTAACGTCTCGATCACTGCAGGCCCTGACTAGTACACCTTCCCATCCTCGAGGAGGACACTTCTTCCTGGGTGCCGTTTCACGTAGACATTGAAATCCAGCTGCTTGACGAACCACATATCATGAAGTTTCCACTCTTTGTCTGGCTGCGCGAGCTCAAGCTATCAGAAGGTTAGCAAAGCGAGACTGACGATTTGAAAGCGGAATCCACTGACTTCAAAAGTCCAGAGTAGCTGCGGGACAATCTTACTCATCTCAAGCAGTGATATGTGCTTTCCAACGCAAGTGCAAGGGCTAGCACCGAACTAGATTGTGTCAACAAGTAGAGTTCTTGAAGAGGCTGGGTAGACACTTACGGCCAGGTTAGATCTTTCCATCACTTTTAGAGCTTCTGGGCTGGCCTCGAGCCACCTCTCTGGGCGAAAGGTATCGGCATCCTCGCCAAAGACTCGGCTGACCCGGTGTAATACCCACGGACATATGCCAATAATTGTGCCAGCTGGCAGGAAAGTGCCAGCAATGCTGACCCCATCTTCTGGCACTACCCGTTCCAGTAGCATACCAACTGCAGGATGCATTCTCATGGACTCTTTAAGGGCCGCTTGAAGATATGGCATCTGGTTTGCCTCGTTAAGTAATTGGATTTCGGCTGCAGTCTCGATCACCAACAGTGGTGTCAATCTCAACAACGACCTTCTTGAGGACATGTGGTGTTTTCAACATATAGTAAAGGATCGAGCGGAGGGAAATGGCTGTTGTATCGCTACCGGCAAAGATGTTCGAATTAGAATACGACAGGACTTGTCGATCATCGAACAACTCTGGCCAATCCTTCTTGGCCTGAAGAAATGCTCCAAGGAATTTCTTTCGATCTGTGGGTTTGTTATCCGCTTCTGGACTTGTTGCACAGAGAAGTTGACGACGTGGTTATTAGGGATGATGCGCATCGCTAATGGGCTCTTGAGCAGAAAGCGGTCCAATGACGGCATCTGGCCAATCTGGATGTTCCTCGTCAGTCACCATGCTGAGCTCGAGATTGGCGTAGCCTACCACGGCGAAATAGCCCAATCTCCATTCGATGTCTGCAATGATTCCCTCGATATCAGTACCTGTCTCCAAGAATCCGAGTCGTTTGCTGAAGGTAATCTCGCCTCTGAGGACCGTCAGTTCATCAAGAATCACCTGCACATGCAAACCTTACATCACATCAAATGCATAATACTGCAACCATGTCCCTAGGTCGCATACTTCTCTTGGTTCTGCGTAGTTCTGTACCAACTTTCTACAGAATAGCTGTGATGTTGTATCGACAAATGTCTCATACTGTTTTAGAGATGTCATGCTATAGGAATGAGCAACCGGTCGTTTAATGGCAGTGTGGAAGTGTTCATCAGTTGTATTAAATATGTTCAAGAGCGGCTTTCCCTGGCTAACATTTTGCTGCACATGGTAAAAGCTGGACTATTTAGGCTGTAAGCCGATCTTAGTCTGTCTCTTGAAAGCAGCTGAAAGACATACTTTGGTAAAACCCTTATTCAGTCCATATATAATCTTACCCGCTTCTAGATCAGCAACTGAGACCGCGTTTGGCCCAATTCTAACGAGATCTGATGCGTATTTACGATGTAGGTTAATCAATGTTTCCTGGTGCGACCCTTTAGAGACATCATAAAGACGCCACCAATTAGTCAAGGAGGCAACCACTGGGCCAGGTAACTTGCGCAGTCCTGGTCTGAGGCGGATTTGTCCCAAGTAAACCACAAGACCAAGACTGAACACCAGCGCCCAGACTGAGACTGGTGTCTTCGGCACGAGCTCCGTGAGCGGCATTGCTTCAATCGAATAGTGCAGTCGTCGAAGAAACTGGTATGCATATACGTCGACAATATAGTGTTTGATACTTAGTACCTGGTAGATGTGAAGTGATAGGAAGATCGAGAATGGCAACATCAGTCAAGACGTTCTGCACTCCATCACAGCCTTTGTGCCGACATACAGGAAATGCACGGGATACTCGAATAAACCCTTGATGACCAGGGCTTGAACCGCATGCAACCACAACTTCGCATAGCATCAATCTTGTGATTCACACGGATCTGAACCTCGGGATCAAGTCGGCACGCTTCGTATTACGGACATACCTTCCAAAACTCAGGTACGACCGAGGACTTCGGCAAACCGCGGACGAGTTGCGTGGCGGAGGACCCGATGAAGGGAATTTCGGAAGTGCACCGATCCTGCAGTGTGTCGTGCGCGTCGGCTCGGAGGACCAATATATAACCTTGTCATGGAAATGATCGAACAGCATTTCACCCCGTGAGAAATCTAGCTCCAGCAAGATTCTTACGAGAGCTCTAGATATTTCCAGTAATAAGACACCAGGGTCTGAAGGCGGAGATTTGGCCAGGTCGAGTTTGTCACTGAAATCTCGATAGTACTGATCGATCTGAGCATACTCCACCTCTATTGCACGTATAGTCTCCGTGGAAGGCACAACTTCAGTCGCCAACATTGAATCTGTAGCTTTCTTGAAAAGATGTAACAATCGATTCAAGCAAATATCAACCGACACTCTAGCCTCCTCAATTGTTTGAAATGTGGGAGGTAATGCGATAGTCCTCCAGATATAAAATGTCTTCGGGGCGGTCTCAAGTCCATTATCATCAAGTTCAAGTGCTTGGGTCTCCAGTCGAAGGAACATTGTACGTATAATATCCCCAGAAACGTAGCCATGTTTACGTGTAGCGGGCTGCGCTTGTCCCTCTGCAAAAGTGTTAATGCCGCTAGCGACGTGGGTAACTGCTGATTTGTAACGACCTTGCAGGCACTCGAATGCTGTGAAAAGAATGCATGCGATCAAGACTGCATCAGCAGCCTGGCTTGGCCTCGAGGTATCCACTTTTATTATACGTTGGATGGCTCGGCCGTAATGTTGGATGGCGAACTTGGAACTGGTCTTGTCCGCCTTCTGTGGATGCTCGTAATTTTCATATAATGCGCTGAGCGCAATGACCGCATGTCTAATACCGGGCTCGTGCATTGATATTTGCATAGAAGTCTTGGACCACAAATCTGTCGAGAAAGACCCAGCGAACTGTGTAGCTGTTGGAGGATTTGGACTGTACAACTGTACGGGCCAATCGATACAGGCAAGTCAGCGTAGTTGAGATTTCTGTCTTCTTCTATTCTATGGTTACCGTTCTGGGTTATATAGATAATTACTAGGCAAGATGACCTCTTGGAGCCTATTTTCCATGATTCTAAAGCATTCCAGAGGCTGTAGCACTGACTTATTGATCGTCATCACGAGGTTGTCTGCCTGTTCCGTTGATAGTCACTTTGGCGCCAACAGGAATGCACTCGCCGATGTGTGCGCGGTTTCTTGCGCCTTAACATTGCACTCTCGGAGTCAGACCACCATATAAGGGTCCTAGATTTGGCAGCCTCGTGGACCGCTACCAGCCGGTTGAGTACGGCATCTGCAGGGAGGATATCGAGCTGCATGAATGGCTGTTTCCGCTGGCCTATCGCCATCAGTTCCACCGCTGCTGTTTTGTGTCTTGGCTCGAGAATGGCTCCTCCCGGTCCTGTCCCATGTGTCCCCGGGACCTGCTCTGGATAAATGGAAGTACTGAGCCTTGAGAGGGTAGTGCACGCAAGGTGGAATGATTATTGATAGAGATAGAGTGCCCAGGTGGCTGTGAATTGAGTAGAAGTATCTACTAACCATATAGATTCCTAGTGATGGTTAGCTGATGCAAAATGATAATGCTTTAAAATTGCCAGTGCTCTGTCTGAAACGAATTCTCTGACGCAGAATTATCTTACTTTCTAAACAGAGTCATACTAATATAATGCACTTATGTAGAAAGCATTAGGATTTTGTAAAGTGCCTACCACCCTAGAAACATCTATCGTATTTTGGTACAACGATGGCGTGTACCTCGACCAAGGCAAGCTATCTTACTTATGCGTCTTCTACTGCTGATGGCCGTCCTGTTATTATCGTTGTGAGGTCATGCTTGCAATTGCTTTCATGAACTGTTCACTTTGCATGGGATTGTATGTGTCATTGTTGCGGAGATTGCGAGTGATCTGGTCGAGGAAGGGCATCTTCTGCTTCTCCAAGGCCGGATATGTGCCTTTGACATAGGCATCAGCCAGAGTATTGCGTTCATCGGATCGTGTGGAGAGATCATCAAATGCCATGTCCTTCGCGTGTACCTCCACACCATTCTTCTCAGTGATTTCATCTGCTTTTTGCTTCGAAACTTCTGCTGCGAGCTTCAACACGGTTTCCTTCTCCTCCTCGGACTCAAATCGTGTGAGCTTGCCCTTTCGATAACGCTCGACGAGTTGCATTGGCGTCTGATAGCCATGAGGAAGGCGGTGCGCTAGGAACTCAATTCTTTGTTGTACACTCTCAGTCAGACCTGTAGCAGAGAGGGGAATGTTGGGCCAATCCTTGCGTAATTCTTCAATGGACATGTTTTCGCCAGGTACATGTTCGATGGGTTCTGTAGGGTTGACTGGACGATCGACACATTTCGCTATGTAATCATCGGCCTGGGCATCAATGTCTTCTACCTCCGCATCTTGCTCACTTTCCTTGTCTTCTTTGGCCTTTCCACGAGCCAAGGCCATCCGCTTGTCACTCTGAGGTTTCCCTCTCCGACCACTATCAGGGGCGCCAGTCTGTGATTTTCGGATAAAGCGTGATCCTTGAACTTGCCCTGATGGAAGCCGACCAGTGCCCGTTCCGGTTCGGCGAAGCACGGTTGGAGGTGATCCTGGGGATTGTCCTTGTCTTTGACCTTGGTATTGACCGCCATAGGGCGTCTTCCTCGAGGGTACTGATGGCCCTCCAGCTTTCATTGGCTGATCGGGTCTAGGAGGGTTTGCTTGTCGAATGATACGTGGACCTTGTGGACGTGGATTGATATTCTTTAAGCCCCGTCGTGGCTGGGGCTGTTCGGATGGCTGCTGAGAGCCTGAGGGACCTAGATCAATTAGCAAATGAGCGGCATGAGGTCAGGCTATGGGCTCGTTACCATCTTCATCGTTTCGAGCAACGCTGGAGATGGAAAAGGGTTTTGCATTGGCGACACGAAGAATGGGCAGAGACAAATTTCGGATCCGAAGGCTCATGCGAGCACATCTTGTACAGATGTTCTGCATGCCGTGCAGAAAAACGAGTCGTCAGTTGTTCACCAAGATCAACTTCGCCTTAAAGACTGCGATCTCATCAATTGAGCTCCCAAGTTTCGGAGAAGTAGTTAGTATGTCTTGGCATGCCCAAATGCGCGCTAAGCCAAGAAGTTTTAGCGCTTGCCGCCTTTACCCCGAATAACTACGAGTACATGTTACCTGTTGATTTCCTGTCTCCTCCTCTATTCGCGCGTAGGAGCAATATTTGCGCGTCCCGCTTACCTCGTGCTTGAGGTAGCAAGAGAATTCTGAAGGAAAGTGCATGTTTTAGTGGGCCTGCGGCTCGTAATGCAGAACTTCAATCTTCATGCGTGAAGATGCCCCCATGTTGCTCAAAGAGTGCTACATCTTCCGCTCCTGGAAAATATGCCTATTGAGACCCTTCTGTCTGTTGTTATCCAAGGCATGATCATGCGCCCTTGTGATTTGCAAGACAGGTGAGATTCTCAAGGCATTCTAATTCTCTATAGCGCTCAACACTCAACAATCGGCATCCTCGAGCCTCCTAGTACTAGTCATACAAAGGCCTGGTCTGATCATTGATAATATTGCTGGCTGGGGCGCAGAGCATACGGCCTGCTGGGCCAAGGAGATTGGTCTAGCCAATGGCGATACATGTCCAGAGATCAAATGTACACATGGATGAGAAGTGAGTGTCTGCCGTTCATGTATCGAGACGCGTGACGGGCGGTGACAACTGAAGGTGGGAAACACGTGTCGTCGCGCACGCGTTTACGGTATCTTGCCGCCATAACAGTCCGAGAATGATGATTCAACTACTAAGGGCTGATTTCACAGCTTCAAGGCGGTCGGGATAGTGACCATTTGACCGATTAAAGCCAGCCCTATAACCCCTTGCGATCTCCCTCTCAATGCTAACAACCAAACTTGTAACCCCCCCCTGCAATCAATATCAACCTTCGGACATATTTACCCACCTGGTCCTCAGAGAGACACCACCAAATGCGTTGACTCTTGAAAAGCTGAAACATCATTGCATAATGCAATTTCGCTACCTCTCCTGGCTCTTGAGCAACTTATTCCTCAGTCCGCTCTGCAATGCCTCGCTCCCGCATTTTGTATCTACAGGCCCAAGCAATCGAGTACCGAATGCGGACGCGAAATTGCGCGTCGCCTTTGCGGATGCGATCTTGTTAGCCAGAGTGGCGGCCATCACCTTCAGTCCTTGCGATGAAACCTTTCTTCGATATTTCCGACCTGAAAAGGCTGACTTTGTGAAGCACGTCTTCATGGAAGTCGCCAATATTCATGCCAATCATATCGACTCGCAGAATGTTGAGTTCATTCTTTCTGCATCTTCGGTTGCTTACTAGTTGCACGAGAAGTTCGACAATCTAGAAATCGCTCTAGGCGACCATCCCGAAGTAGAAGAAGAGCGACTATGCGGGCGAATTCTGACTGCATCCGGGTTTGGGGTCTACTCATACACAACGCTGGACTTTGATGGATTAGATCCTGATGCCGAAAACGGTGGGCAGTACGCGTGGCAATCTTTGTGCGAAGAAGCCTTCGACTTTCCTTTTCCCTGGGAGACTGAACTCCTTGTCACTGATCTATCCGGCCACGTGCTCCCAGAGCACACTTGCGCTGGCCTGGGAGACCGCGATAGCGATTATATGGACAGTCCTAGAGGCATTCTCCTCCATGAGCCCATGCAATAGACCTATCTTCTGGAGACTGTTGACAGGTTTTCATCGCTGAATGAGCCCAACGAAGGCGGGATTCATCAAATCAGGGATTACTCGAATCCTAATAGCGTTCCCATCAATGGACTAGGTGCCTTCAATGCCATGCAGCTCAAGAACCGGGGCGTATATGCTGCTATTCGAAATGCCGACAACTTCAAATGGTATGCTCTATCAAAATATTGGTCTTGGAGATGCGGATAGACTTTTGGTCCAGCTCTGGGTGATGAGGATGTCTACAAACAAGGACCGAAAGGTCGAGAGGCTGACCCTGAGATTCAACGAGGTCCTAAGGGTCGCAAACGTATGGTGGTCACATGAGCACTATTATCATCATCGTCTCGCCGCTATTTATTGAAAGCAGCAGCATTGCGAAGCGACAAGCACATACGGACATAATGTGAGCTGTAAGCTGTTGAGTTACTATCAACATTAGCTGCTGTCATGAAGACATTCGTTTCGTTCTGTTTTACTCTTCGGGTGCTGAGAAGTAGCCCTCAGATCGAGTTGGTCAATGCAATTCAGCTTTATTATATTATGAATAAGCATGGTCCATGCCTTCTAAGTCTATGCATTGAGCTCCGGAGCCGGAACCAAGGCATACTCATTTGGCAGGGTCTTTTTGTATTCATCATGCTAAAGCTATCATAGCGGCGTCAATACCGATATCTTACCGTCTCCCTCCTATCCGAGGAAAGGATTTGAACGTACGGAGTAGTATCCGTAGTGAGTTGGGGAAAGCTGAACCATTACCTATTCATAGTAACGTCCAATCCTTATCCCTGAAACCCATACAATTCTAGGACACTAAATCTGATTTCTCTTCGGCAGAAACTTCCGATGGAACATCGGCAGGTTTGCGGAGCCTTCAACGTTAATATGTAAGCTTTCTCTAGCTTTATCATTTAGAGTACAAGCCTCGTAATGTCTCCTGGCCCAATTTTAGTGGTCCCAGAACAACCGCCACAGCCAACATTTGCCTTGAGACCCCATCGCATTTAGCCCACTTTTCTTATCCTCAAGCCAGATTTTCTCCATATGTCATAATTGTGGATATCTTTGCTTTACACTGCGCCTGAGTGGAATCACATACCCCTTTGTGCGATTATGACCTTTAACGTAGAGTCTTCTGGGGTTACAGCACAGGTGGATCAACTCAACAATGTTTCCATCCCGGGAAAATGTAAGGACCTTCATAGAGGTGGAGGAAGATGAGAGTGAGTGATAAATTGTCTATCCTACGTGCTGTCTCATATTACTGTCCCTTTTGTGAAGCCATTCATCTCCTCACCTCTATGAAATTTGCAAGCCCTATATTGTGCAATTTATAGGTGATCCTCTACTGCCCAGTGGAGATTCCGTTGAAATTTCGACAATGGTTTCACACGAAGTTGGCCACGACTATGTTCAAAGCGACTCAAGCCGCCGTGACGGCAAGGTCTCCACGACCGAGTTTCAAGAAGAACTCCCGAGTGTGGCAGCGACGAAGCATCAAACTCCTCCATATGTGAAATCACTTAGTTCAGAGCAACGGCAAATGGCAGAGCGGGCGCCCGTACGGAAAATCGATCTTCGCTTATTGCCAATGATCGTTCTTGTGTACGTATGTGAGACTCTTCATGGCTCTATTCATCTAATGCCAAACATAGGTATATTCTCAACTGCCTAGACCGCAACAATATTGCCGTAGCCAGTACCGCCTCAGAGAGAGGCGTGGCGACTTCTTATAATATCTCCCCTGGAAATTGGAGAGCTGGCCGCTGTATTGCTGTAAATGCCGCTATCATCAATACTACAAATGCCGGTGCCATATGCACATCAGCTATACACACTTCCACTATGGAACTGCTCTACACCGCACACGTTCAAGCAATGCACCAGGAGGCCTACATTTCCCGATGTGATGTCGTCCATCCCCTGTAAGTCAGCCGATAAACTCCACCAGCGTTACTACTGTTATAAAATGTCGCTGCTTGCAGATGGCATTCTGCTTCGCAAAATATTGCTTCCTACCGTAAATTCTGCCACTCTTCTAGCCCCCTCTCCAAATATCGCCTCGGCGGCACTACCGTCTCTTTCGGTTTGTTCTACGGACGCTTCAGCCCTTCGACCCCCGACCTCGACTTATAATTTGACATTCCCCATCGCCGATATAATCCTCGCTGGAACTACCACTGTCCACCATGGCAGTTCAGCCATGTCTGCCATTAACAACCACTGCGGTCCACCTTCTCTACCGTGCCCACCGTCGCCCACCGCAGTAAACCCTCGTGAATCATCTTTCACTCTAGTCTACTAACCCCAATCCATTCTTGATTATTTTCAACGGTCGCCCGTTAGAATCTCACCCATTATTATACGTGGCGCCTATCTATCATTGTCTATCTCAGCTATTTTTAGCATATTTTACTGATGGGGTTGTTATATGTTCCTCCCTAATTCTTCTTTCAATCCCGATCATCTTGAAACTGTGGAAAATCCATCGTAACGTATCGATTGACCTAATTTATCGCTATACCAGCCGACACACCCTAAATATGGCCCCAAGGATGTGTCAATTGACAAGATGCCCACGCGATGTTGTCCCTGGGCACGGCTTACCCATCCGACACGCAACGTCTACGCCATTCTCCGCTATTCTACAAGACACCAAGCAGAAGACATTCTCACTCGCGCAGACCATTCCACTCATCTATAAAGGGGTTTTGGTTCAGCATTTTGAGTACCTCGAAAAAGCCCTTAAATCTCCCTGCCAGTCCTCAAGGTCGCAAAGTTCTTATAAATCCTATTGCAGAAGAACTGGGACGTGAGCTCGGAAAAGTCCTTGATTTGGAAACAAAACGAAGTTCTAGCCCGACATAACAACCGCTATTAATACCGGTGTCGGTGGCCGAGCCCGAGTCAGAAGCTGCCGCCAATACTCCAGGCGTCAACCTGTCCTCACAGTCCTTAGACCAGAATGAATAGGTTCAACATCCAGCATGATGGGAAAGCTGAACCGTTTCCTCTTCTACTTTACTCTACCATCCACTCCTCCTTAGCCCTTAGACCCTTCCCGTCTTTCACTCTCGTCCCGGAATATAATTCATCCTATTGATCCCCTAAGTAGATAGATATTTCCTTCCACTGCTGGCACTTCGCCACGTCTTCGAGAACATGGAGCCTGACCCGACGCGGGTAAAGCCGATGGTGGCATGACATGGCTTCACCCTCGTCTGAAAGTGGCTCTCGCTCTCTGCCGATGCCGGATGCTTATTGAGTCCCTCACGATACTGTACTCGATTCGCTACGCTTTTCTGCACAGCCCTTCATGCCCGGGTCTTTCTATCAGACGTAGCATAGCGACCTATCTGGCCGACTTTCCTTGTGCTGCCAAGTATCGTCGTCGATACTATCTAGTCTTCGGTCTAACTTCAGTATTTACTAAATCCTACTTGCCGAATACTACTGCTGAATATTACTACTAAACAGCATTTCCTAAATACTACTGCTAAATATATTTGCTGAACGCGATTGCTGAATACGGGCGCGAAAGGCCAGTGAATTGCTACACGTTAATCGCCGAATAATAAATGCAGAATGGTAAATACGATTTGCGAAATGCGACTACTGAATGGGCCTGGCCTAATACCACCGCTTAATATATTCACCTAATACTACTCGATGATTCCATTTCCTGAATGCCATTGCTAAACACTAATTAATGGATACTATTACTAAATACTGCTTACTGTGTCGCTATTTATTAAATGCCACCTCCTGAATGCGAACTCGGAATAAAATAAACTGCTACACGCCGGTCGCCGAATGCTGAATGCTGAATACTATTGCCAAATCCTATTTGCTAAGTGCCTTCACCGACTCCTACCTATACTTGTTCTTGACGTGCTCCCCGCCATATCCGTGTAAATGCTTGATGGCCGCTCCATCATGGGACGCTGGTAGATTCATCTCGGCTAATCGTGTCCAACACTCTGATGACTTGCGATATGCTGCAACGCGTAATCGGCACCAACGCTCAAGGCGCTCTGGCAGTGGCAACATATCAATGCTTGCTCTGGACTGACAACTTTGAGCCCGTACTAGTCCAATAAATTTATTCGCTTCTCGACAGCCATGACGAAGCCAAAGATACCGTAATTACACCCCTTCAGCGAGGACTATGCTACAAGGCTCGCGTTCGGCACTGCGCGTTTTCATTTCGCACTACACACGCCAACCCCTAATATTTTGCGCTACACAGCTAAAGTGGGTCGTCTGCCTGCGAAAGTTTTGGCGCTATGTTATGACCCGAACCGCGAAGCAGTACCGACCAAGGGGGTTCCTTGATAAGGGGGTATCAGGAGGGGTAGATTAAGGATAGACTGAAGGAAGCTATCCTCGTTTGGGTATCCTAAAGGGAGGTATAGGATTGTTGACGAAGTTGACTACGAATAGTCCTATATAAGGCAGTGATCGAGTATATATCATGCCAGCATGCGTGCATTGCTGCATTGGTGCGTTGCTCCAATGCACCATGCAATACATCAAGGCATCCAGGGCTGTGGTCACGTGACGTAGCCTCGTTCTCCATCGGCTAACTTCCCCTATGGGCTCAGGTCTACCTGTCCCAGGCGATCCTTCAATTGACAGTAATGTATCCAGGGCCTTTGGCGAGTAAACATGCAAAGCGACGCATGAATATACCTGCCAATCACGCGGTTGTTGTCAACTCTCCATACCATGCTCCTTGCTACAGTGGCTTTCAATGACCTCTTGGCTTGCAGTACGGAAGTTACAGGTAACGGCGTTGCATGCAAACCCTTCTTTATGTGCCAATCCGGGAATAAATGGGACATGACACGACCACGACCTCCATAATTTCCTGGGACTTGGTTGATCCAGGCTTGAATCTCCTTCACTAACTTGCCCTTAATCGCGTGCTTCCGCAGGATATGTTCTCGAATATTTTGAGGCGTGTAACAGGTCTGGTGTGTCCAGTGCAGAGAAGTACACCGTACTGTGGCCCGTAGGGATTGAGTGACTGACATGGCAGGGTTTGTGTGCCACTGATTTTACGCCAAGAACCGTGTTATTTAGCGACCTTTTGACAAGGCCCCTAACTGTGGGACAACTCGTAAATAGCGGACGGGAGGGTCCGACCCATGCCGCTTATCCACCAGTATGGATGCGGAGCTTAAACTCGGACTATTTAGTACTAATGCCGTATTCATGGAGCAAAAAGTATAAAATTGATGAAACTATCAATACGTGGAAAGTTACGATGACAACTATTAGATGGGAATGTTTAGTATGGAATCCTGGACGTGGAATGGTCACCGTGGTTTTAGGCACTAGTAAGTCTTGGCACTGATTTATACGTGGAATGGTCACGTTTCCACGGTCTAATATTGTTAGGATTGTGCCTCTGAAACCATAACTAAATGACTCGGTCGCGCTCGTCTGGCTTCCTTGGGGGAAGGGGGCTGCTTAAAAAGATCGCAAATAAGGAGAAAAGGTAAAGCCATGATAATGATTGAGGAGGGAAGATCGGAAGAGTAAATTAGAGTCGGACTTGGGAAAATCTTTCCTTTCTTAAAACGAATCGAGGTGCCTATCCTGGGCACGGCGAATTGTGGTTGTCATCAGCCACGTGCCCCTCATGCATGCTATGGTGCCTCACACATAGTCGTCGGCAAGGATACCGGCACACTTGCGTATATGTGGATCAATTCTGGCCATGTAGGCACCATCGCATCGCTGCATTCCTACGCCCTTGTCGCACAACATACTGCTCCCTCTGCAACCTTGTCAAGTAAGACCAACAGAAATATTGGCGGTGAAATATCCGACCCGGTGGACGGCCGAACGGTAAAACGATAGTGGTGAATCCCAGATGTTGGATTCCAATTAGGAGTATATCTAGATTGGCAGATACGCCGCAACACAAGACGACTCCTCGCAGGGCGCGGACACGGTGATTGACCGTGTAAGCGGGATCGAAATCGTTATCTGGGCTTCTGGCCGTAGATGACGTGTCGGGAGATGCAATGTTAGCAGGGTTCTTCGGAGAAAGATCCAAAGACACTTACATGCGCCAGTACGAATGAATCTTGGTGTCTCTGATGTCCTTCCGGACGGGGACGAGGAACGCCTGGATTTCCTCAGTGGTCATCCCGAGGGCCGTCGTCCACAGTCTGACGGTGAATCCGTCCAACCCGTTGAGCATGTTGGCCATGTTCCACAATCCCATCTCTTTCAGATTCTTGTCTTTGGGCCACGGGTTGATGGGCCACTTGAAGATGTGTTCTTTGACATTCTCGAAACCTACCCCCGTGATCCATTCCTTGTACTTGGCTGTCCAGGAGGGATTTCTCTTGAGGACTGCACAAGCTTCTATATATTTCTCATTCCATTCTGCAAATGTAGTGCCCTCCAAACTCCCGTCGTCGGACAGAAGCGGCATGTACAAATCTTGCATCTCAATCCATCCACCTGGCTTCAGTGAATCGTACGCCCGACGGAACAGCTGAGGGAAGTCGGCGCTGGCAGTGAGGAGCATTCGGCCATGGATCAAGTCGAACTGCTGGGGAAATGTCCAGGAGGTGTCAAAGTCGTCCACTTCAAACTTGCAGTTTGGCGGGACCCATGTCGGCTGGATGGGACTCAGGTCGATGCCGAGGACGCTCGACTTGGGATGTTCGTCCGCAAATTGAATTGCCCACATTCCAGTGCCCGTCCCAAGGTCCAGGACCTCATGGAGCTCGCAGTCTATGGGCGCCAGATACAGCTTCCGGCCAAAGGATTGGAGGAACATCTCGTGCTGTAAGTCGAGCCTCTCTTGTTCTTTGTCGTCCTCCGGTAGGATGTACGAGCCATCTTTGTATCTGTGGTATTTTCGCCCATTTTCCTCGACCCCCTGGAACAGGCTGGATTGGATAGATTGGGTATGTTGAGAGATCTCGTCCCCGACTGCCGAATCTGCTTCATTCGGTTCATCTGCCTCGATTTCTACATTGGGATGGTCTTGATGTTGCCATGGTGAGGTCATGGCGTCACTTACTCGTCTCCTGGCTTAATGGTTGACTGCAATGGCAAGAGTTTTGAAGCACGCGTCAGTGTCAGCCGCGTGATAGAGAGGATCATATAGATACTTCAACAACGGGTTTCAATGGCAAGCTTTATCTAGCCCTTGGCCGTAGATGAACGCGGAAAGGCGTGGTTTGACTAGCTTCGTTGACCCCGCACGGCTTAATATTATTCACGGGCACTAACCTTGGACCGACCTCCGCCGGGAACTCTAACACTTCCTTCCGCAGCGGCGCATCTATGTTGTTGTATATCACTCAGGCCAGGCCCCGTTCGTCGGCTTTGCCTCAGCGGATGTTATACTAACGCAGGGTTTGTCTCAGGGATTATTCGCCCTCTGAAGCCTCTACCGCCAGCCTCGAGGTATCCCGGAATCAGCCGTTCTCCCACAGACCAAGCTCCCCTCCACCGCCTGTCCTGTCTCTACCACATCCACTAGCATGATGGTCACCGGCCCTATGCTGCTCAATTTGGGCTTGATCAGCCTCGTACTGGTCGCCATCTTCTACATACGATTGTACGCCCGTCTCAGCCATATTCCGGGCCCGCGCCTCTGGGGATTGTCCGTCTTTCCCCTGTTCAAAACCCACCTCGACGGCGAGATCTACGACAGATTCAGACGTCTCCATCAGCAATATGGGCCGTTGGTCCGAATAGCTCCAAACACCCTGTTGACGGCAGACCCAGATGTCTTGCGTCGCATGTCGGCGGCGCGGTCGCCCTATACGCGGTCCGACTGGTACATCGCCATGCGTTTGAACCCGGGACAAGATAACGTCCTCTCGAATCGAAATGAGGCCAAACACGAGGATCTAAGGCGGAGAATGGGATTTGGATATTCCGGCAAAGAAAATCTCACTCTCGAGCAGGACATCGACGATTGCATGCAAGAATTGGTCCATCTCATCAACACGAAGTACGTCAGCAGCCCGGGAAAGATGATTCCGATGGACCTGGCACGCAAGATTCAGTTCTTCACCAGCGACGTTATGAGCAAAGTGTCATTCGATGGCAAGTTCCATGATCTCCGGGACGATAATGACAACCTGGGGTATATCCATGAACTCGAGACGATCTTTCCCAGTATCTTTTGCACTTGCTGCCTCCCTCGCGTCATCGAGTTCCTCACCGACATCGGCTTCCTTGGTCTCTTCGCGCCCTCTGCTAACAGCAAGCTTGGTCTAGGCAAGGTTTTGGCCATTACACGAGAACAGGTGGCCAAGCGGTTTGGACCTGATGGCAAGGCCAAGGGCGAATACAGTGACATGCTTGGTAGCTTCATTCGACATGGACTCAGCCAACAAGAAGCTGAGTCGGAGAGTGTCATGCAATTGTTTGATTTTGCCGTTTGGCCTGCTGTTAACGACATGCTGACAGGGTAGACAGGGCCGCCGGGTCGGACACAACTGCTACCGGACTTCGAGCAACGCTGCGCGGCATCATTTCCAGTCCGTTGGTTTATAAGAGATTAATGACCGAGATCGATGAGGCAGTCGCGGTTGGAAAGATACCTTCGGGTGACCTAATCATCTCCAATGCCCAAGCGAGGGATCTTCCATACCTGCAGGCGTGCATCAAGGAGGTAAGTACTTTTGGTGCCAGGAGCTGAGTGCTCTGTTGACACTGGTGCAGGGGCTGCGTTGGTATCCACCCATTGCAGGCATGTTGGCGAAGAAGGTAAGTACCCGTAGATCGAAGGTTTGTGGTTGCTGAGGACAAAAGACTCCGCCTGCCGGTGACACCATCAGCGGTCACTTCGTTCCTGGTGGCATCTCAATTGCGTAGGTTCTCCTTGCGCTTGGATTTCCACCTTACTGAGTTCACCCAAATCTAGCTACTCGGCAAAACAGGTCCACCACTCGACGGCTCTTTTTGGGCCCGACGAGGACGCTTTCCGGCCCGAGCGATGGATTCTCCAAAGTGATGGCGGAGACGAACCATCTGCCGAGAAAATAAAGGCGATGGAGCAAAATAATGAGCTCATTTTTGGATATGGGAAGTATCAATGTCTGGGTAAGACCGTGGCCATGATCGAGCTGAATAAGGTGATCTTGGAACTACTCCGTCGTTTCGAGTTCAGTCTTATGAACCCCTTGAGTCCCTGGAAGACGAGATGTTTCGGGATTCACTTACAGACCGATATGTGGGTGACGGTCCACAGACGGACGTTGCATGCCACCGAGATATAATGAATATTCTCCCAGGGCGGATAGTGTTGAGCCTTGATTTGCTGATTTCATCCTCCGGCCGGGCTAAGCCCAGAGGGGCCCAGCTAATTCTAAGGAGTTTGTCTGCGGTCTCCCAATTCATATCATGTCCTACTCTCGGTCCGTCCGTAGTCAAGCGGACCGCTGGTGAGATATGCCTACGATCCTTATGCTTCACTAGCCGTCGCGCCATGCTAGAAATATAACCTTCTTAGCCTCCTCCCTTCCTGCGTTGCGCGTAGACATCTCTTCGCCATCCGCACGGCGTGGAAATGGTAGGGCAGTTCTACCTCTGGTGCAGCCTTTTCCATCGCTTCTCTGTCATCCGGTCTTTCTTGGTCCATGGCACCATCCATCTGCCGTTTCCTCATCTCATTAGGAGCCGGCCTCTTTTGTCTCACTCTCGGCCAAGGAAACTGCTCGTAATCATTAAGTCGAGGCGGGTATGTTGACCTCTGAATCCTTTGAAGATTGCAGTTGATAGCTGTCAGATAGCTAGAATGACCTCATCACTGGGCATCTGAGAGGAAATCCGAGCGAGGATGGCGTGGAATTCATCTGGGCTTATAGCAGGCCATTCGACAACCAATGGGAAATGTCCCGGAAGCTGCACGAAATGAGATTCCAAATTGCCTATCACATCGCTAAGTCTCTACTGATTCAAGCAAGGGCTTTGAGAGGTGATGCGAATAGAGCCAGTCCCGGGCTCGCGGGAGTCAGCCTTGGGCTTGCTTTAGCATTGGGGGAAATAGTTGAGGCCCATTGGGAACGTGAGCACCGGCTGCCAATCCTCAAGGTTGTGGTTTGTGCCCTTCTCGTCCCTCCGGGCGGCCGAAATGTTGAACCACTCCAGTGGACCAGTGCTAATGTCACCGGATACCAAGGGATTATGCTTGTACCAAAAAGACGTCTAATCGCCACGAGTTATAGCATCCGTGGATTAAAGCTGGCTGTCTAGGCCATTAAGATATAGACTATCCTGTTGTTACTATTCTACATTGTCGCATTGGGGTCCGTTACGAATTTCTTTCCAACAGTACTAGCTACGCTAGGATAGAGAGATACTGCTTCATTGATAATGACTGCAACAACATCCACGGCGCCGCGGTACGTGGCAATGATGCTCATGGTTCCTGGGGTTTACACAGGCTATGTCGTTGCGTTGGGTTGCATAGCCCCCTTAGGCGGTCTTCCGTGCCTCCACGCTCGCAGGCGTGATCGCTCTCAATAAATGCCTAGATTGTGCGCAGAATGCCGTTGAGCATTGTCCTCAGATCATCCTTCGTATCCTCGACTTTACTGGAATCATGTAGTCCAGAGAATATAAGGACGTCATAGTGCGGCTGCTGACATATCTTGCTGTGCATTGTGGGGCTGGTGCCTGTTGCCATAGATGTGGCCAATCAGAAGGAGCAGGAATACGGTCGAGTTCTGGCACCGCAAAGATGCGCCTTTCCCCCTCTCAACCATTGTGTTTCTCTGGCCCCTTCCCCTGTAGACCATCTAGGTTGTGGTGTTTGATCGGAGCTAGATGACCTGAGGCCTGGTAACGGTAGTGGATTTCAAGACCTGCAAATCAGTACTATAACCCGCTTCGATATCAAGTGTGAGTCGTGGACTCCCTCCTCTTTACGCGATGGGGACGACTCTGCTCCCAGCCTCGATAGAGTCGCTCGCCACGGCGTCATATTCATTATTCGACGAGGTCGGGGGCTATACGGACCATGTCTTGACAGCTCGCGCCGCCACACAACCGCTTTCCGCGAGCACACCCCAATCAAAACCTCAACCACGCCAACCCACGGCCCCGAATCGCTACTCCACTCCGGCAGCGCGATGGGCAGCATTGACTACGCGCGACCCGGCCGCCAGTAAAGCTTTCATCTATGCCGTGCGGACAACGAAGATCTACTGCCGCCCAGACTGCCGAGCAAGACTGGCCCGCAGAGCTAATGTCGCGTTCTACGACAGCGCTCAGCTGGCGAGACAGGACGGGTACAGACCTTGTAAGCGGTGCAAACCCGATCCAATCGTACCAAACATCAGAGCAGCCCCGACGCCGTCGACTGCGGACGTGAATGGAAGCGACCCGTCCATAGTAGCCCAGATATCAGAAGTGATCCGAGAGGAAGCCACGGATCCAGAGGACGTTCGGACGAAGATCCAGCATGCGGTGCGAATTGTCAGAGAATCTGCACTACAGGGCCCCAAATTGAGCCTCTCTCAGCTCTCCAAGGAGGTTGGCCTGAGCAAGTGGCACTTACACCGTGTCTTCAAACGACTGCAGGGCGTGACGCCCCGCGAGATGGCGGAAAACCTGCGAAGGCGCTCACATAGTGGCAGTGGTGTAAATTCTGCACCAGTAGATGAGAATCTGCCAGTGCTGGAGGACGACAGTGGATGGATGGATTTTCAGCTTGATGGACATGAAGGTGACGCGGGAGATGTGCCTTTATCCCTCTCTTATGCTCCCGGGCCTCCTCCTTTGACTCCAATGTTGTCAACTCCGTCTACGGATCAAGCGTTGACGCCCATGCCCTGGGGCGATGACATGGCTTATGACCCGGTGCTTTTCACACTTGACGGAATCAAGGATCAGCATGTCGATATGGACGGGCTTCTCAGTGACTTGTTTCCTGAGTTATATGGACCGTGTGACTTGGATATTGGAGGTTGGGTTGGGTAAGGTGAAGTTCAGTTGCCAGCGTGAACTTTCATTGGCACCATCAAATTATCCACACCCGGGTTTCAGGAAACAAGAGAATCCATCCACCGATTCAAGCGTCTATATACCGAAATATTCCATGCCACTCGCCATTCCTCCGCTTCTTCCATGCGGTGACCCTACACCCGCCAATAGCATCCGAAATGTCTACCTCAACATCACTCAACATAGCTTCTTCTCTCACTGCGGCAGAAACCCCACTTGGCACTGGTGAAAAGCTTCGCCCCTCTTCCATCTGGACTACCCATCTTGCCACGCTTGCCAACAACCGAGAGTGCTCAGAACTCGTACCTGTCACCTTCTCCAGCGCCTCAATCGCCCGACGCCTCAGTAATGCGTCTCTACATTTACACGCGGCGAAGAACAGTGGCTGGACCACCGCGACATGGAAGTTTGAGCCAGGCTGCGTGCGAATCGGCGCTGGGTAGCTCTCACGCTGTGCTTCTAGTATAAGGTGTCCGAGGTCGATAATGGAGGAGAATCGCGAGACGTGTCTGTTGTAGTCAATTTCTGATGGGCTGAAAGGTGACGGGGACAGAGACGATAGGTTGATCTGCAAGATGTGGTATTGGATGAGCAGGATCGGTGTGCATGTTGTGGTTTTGGCGTCGCTGAGAGGGCGGTGGGATTTGTATACTGTGAAAAGAGCGAGCCAGGAGTCAAGGAGATGCGAGAGCGCGGATATTTCTTGCGGCAGGCTAAGACGAAGCGAGGACTCAGACTGATTATGTTGGACTTGGATTTGATGCTCGAGCAGGAAGGACCGTCTCCAGGTGAGAAAATTGAATGCACCGAGGATCGCGTTCAGCGAATCCCGTGCAGCTTCGATGCTTAGGAAGCATGGCGGAAGGATTGGGCGCTGTAGGGGGAGGAGGAGGCCACCCTGACCGAGCGACCGCAACCGGGACTGGAAATCCAGGCGCGAAAAGGCGTCGATCACACGGCCCATAGCCCCCCTGCTCTCAGGGGTGAGGTATGTGGACGAGGCTTCCTGAGAGGACTCCCATATTGCCAACGCGCCGCGGAGATGCATCCGCGCCACATCCTCATCCCCTTGGATAGCTTCGATAGCAATGAAGATCAGACTGCCTAGGACAGCAAGCTCCCAGCCTGAGCCGTCCTCGGACGAGGCGTTGACGCCACCCAGGCGCCCGTTCATCTCCCGTATCGCCAAGCTGTACTTGTGCCACGAGTATCCCGAGGGACATCCAGGGAAGAGGGTCGGTTTCCGCCTGGATGAGGGCACGCTAGGATTTCTCGGAACGACGTTCCGACTGAGCGCTCCGAGCGCGAGGACGCCTTGGAGGATACAGCGCTCAGTGAAAGCAGCGCGCAGGATCAGCGTCTCCCACACGCCAGGGATCCCGAGAACGAGCGAGAGCTGCGCCGCGCACACGACGCGGAAGTACTCAAAGTGCCAGACGTCCAGCACATCCAGTCCAGTGGTACTAGCGGTGCTGCCCCAGAGTCCTGTTGGAAGAGAGCGGAGACTGAGATCCGCATCTGCATCCACATCCGTCGGGTCGATGAGTGGTGTAGGATGGTGTAGCCTTGGCCCCGGTAGTACAGCAACGAGGTCGCATTTCCGCCCTGTGCTCGTACACTGCGAACAAGCAGGGCTGCGCTCGTCGCATTTCTTATGTCGGATTCTACGTCAATGATAATACCCCGTAAGTAAGTACAGCATCGATAGATGAAGATTGTAGCCCACACAGTTTCCTCTAGTCCTCATAGGTAGAACGTTCCACCATCGGACCGCGATTGCCAGCCATGCACCCAGTGCCACAAAGGGAGGTGAGGCGGACTTACTTGCATGTCAAACAGCCAGTCTTCACCTTCCGGGCCCCCCGAGCGCCGCGGCGCTCCCTCTTAGTTTTCGGCTTGATTAATTGCTCCATTCGCCGTCGGAGGCATTTGCGTGTCTACGGCTCTGATTTCGTGTCATGTTTAGGAAGGCTTGTAATTAGTTAAGAAGAAGAAGCGCTCACGATCGGTAGCGATGAGCGTGATAGAGCCACGGTGGATCTCCAGCCGAGGACATGGGGGCCTGGAACCAATGTTGATTGGCTAGTGCGTAATCTGTAACGCATGTTGTCCTTGGGAGGTGTTCCTAGACTACATCTGGATATAGTTCCTTATAGTTCCTCTATGAGAGTCACTGCCTGATAATTGGTCCCGTGGCATAAGACCGTATCATATGTACCGCTGTTGCTCCTCCGAGGACTAAATAGATATAAATACATCGCCACGCCACGCAAAGGCATCGGATAATGTCTCAAGCCTCGCTCAATAATATCGTATTCATCTTGCTATCACCGCGTTGAGGGATGGCAAAAGTACTGACAGTCTTTGGCGCTACCGGCCAGCAAGGCGGTGCGCTGATCCGCTACGTGCTCGGGACACCGTCACTTTCATCCATCTTCACCTTGAGGGGAGTTACGAGAGACGCGTCCAAAGCAGCTTCCATCGCCCTCAAAGATATGGGCGTGGAAATCGTTGAGGTAAATTAATACTTTGAGAAAATGCTAGGGGTTGAACGGGTCTCTGGATCTTCCCCTCCGCCGGACGCAAAGCGCGCTGATACGCTCTTTCTACGATAGGCAGACCTCGATGCACCTCCTACACTGGCCAAGGCGGTTGCGGGTTCCTATGCCGTCTTTGGCGTTACCAACTGTAAGACTCCCTCTCTGCTCCAGGGCTCTACAAATAGTCCCAACGTTGACCCAATACGGGAACAGTCTGGGAGAAAGCCTCGGCAGCCGTTGAGGTAGCGCAGGGGAAAGCCATCGCAGACGCAGCTGTGGCAGCTGGCGCAACACACCTCATCTGGTCCTCGCTACCCAGCGTGGAGCAAATGACCGCTGGCAGGATGTCTGGAGCCAAGCACTTTGAGAGCAAAGCCGAAGTCGAAGCATATATCCGTACATTGGATATCAAGAGCATGTTCTTCATGACTGCGTGGTTTATGCAGAATCAGTTGGGGTTTATGAGGCCTCGAGCGAAGGTGAGCATAGTATTCTTTCGGTTTGGGAGAGAGCTCTTTTGCAGCGGCGATGACTCTAATGCGAAGATCAAAAATAGGCGAACAACGGCACGTATATATTTTCCCAACCATGGGACCACGATACGCCGCTACCTTTGATCGACATACGGGACACGGGCAAGTTCATTGCCCCCGCGCTCCTCGATCCGGATCTCTACCATGGGAAAAGATTCACTTGCGCCACTGCCTTTTATACTCCAGGTGAGATGGCTGCAGCCTGGACGAAAGTGACGGGTAAAAAGGTCGAGGTTCATACCGCTGGCAGTGGAGCCGAGTATGACATGCTCTCGGAAGCGCAGAAGGAGGAGACGAAGAATGCCAGGGACCTTATTATTGAGTTTGGGTATTTTGGCCCAAGTGGTAAGGAGGATCTGGCTTGGACTCTGGAGCAGTTGAAGGAGAAGCCGACGACTTGGGAGGAGTTCGTAAGGGACCATGAGCCTTGGTTCGAGTAGATCCCGCCAGACCTAGAGTGAGTTAGAGCGATTTGGGAAAATGTGATTTAGTCTGTAGCGGTGAAGAATGCAAGTTGTTTGACTGTTGAACTAACACGATTTCGCTGTGGTCTCAGCGTCCTTTAAAACCACCGGGAAGTCAAAGTTACAAACACTCACATGAAAAGAGACACACGTACACCAAGCTAAAAAAAACAACGCAATTCGCAGTCTTATTTCAAATCAAACCTAAGGCTCCGACCCCTTGGGGGCCCATAAAGCAGGACCGCAAAGATCAATATCGCTGTCAGAATCGAACTCAGCAGCGCCGTGAGAATCAAATGCTCGGAATGATAGACTGTCTTCACGGGTCGCAACCCATTAGCCGGGGGCGCATACTGGCCGACCATTTTCTTGATCGGCTTGACATTGTCGGTCTTTCCTGTTTCAATCCCCCGTTTCATTCCTGGAAGGCCGTCCATACTCCATGCGTTTTTGAATGCCCAGTACCTTTTTAATGGAAGAATCGATGTTAGTAGACCTTCACCAGAAAAGAAAGAACGCGGAGAGGAGGAGAGGGGAACATTCGAGAGGTAAAAGACAAGCCGAAGATGGGAAATCGGGGGTAGGGGCCTAGGCAAAGCCAACCTTTCAATTCCATCAGCGCGATTCCCCGACTCCTCACTCTGGACCCGCTTCTCGAAGAATTCGTGTAATGTCGTTCTGAAGCCTGTGAAGTCGTAGGTGGGGACGGAGTAGCCGCAGGACGTGCCCACTTGGTGGATGTCGACCATTATAATGGAGCGTGTGCCCGGGATGATCTTGATGCCCTCGGAAGCGATCAGGTCGTTGAATGCTTTCGTGCCGTACTCGAGTGGTGTGCCTTTGGGATTGAAATAAGCATCCGCAGTATGGAGACCAGAGATAGAGATCGGGTAGCCAAGCCGAGTAACTGAATACTAACCTTTACCATAAATCCTCACAATTCTCGGCGGGCCCTCAAAAGCATTCAACATGACGGTGATCCTGCCGTTACCAGGCTCATGAAGGTGGCTTGTGGTCTCGATCCCCGAGCCCGAGAGGTCCATGTACCAGAACTTGCGGATGACGACTTTCTCGTCATCTTTGGCGGGTTCTTTGATCACGCCGAAAAAAGGCCCGCCTTTGTCAGTGATGCCCTTCGGCGATACGTTGACATATCCGGAGCCTGAGAGCGGCGCGGATGCTATGTAGATGAGTTTCTGCGCTAGCAGCCATTCGACTAGCGAGGGCGGGAATGTTTCGAAAAATGCGCCCATCGTTGATCTGCTATGGAACAAAAGGTGGCCGTGGCGATAGTGAACGGTGGCTGTATTGTGCTGTTCTCCCGGCGACACTGGTGCTGAGGTGTTTTGGCTCGAGGAATGACGAACGTTAGTAATAAACCGGATTTCAATCGTTCCGTTGTGATGCCCGACTTCTTTAGTCCGCTTGATTGTCTCTTGAAGCAGAGGATGAGTACTGTAGGCTCCTCTCCGGATGATACTCAAGTGACTGGCAACAATAGGTCTAGAGAGTTGGTTTCGGGAACCAGTCTGTGTCTGCGGGTGTCTGCTAGAATCCAAGGAGATAAGTCATGTACCGTTTGTAGTATTCGATCAACATAAAACGACGGAGAAGGCCGATATCGGTGAAATTGTGCCAACGGCAGTGGTATAGGTCGGCGCACTTCTTGAGTCAGTCCTGAGGTTTTAACTGGACCTAAGGGCGGCAGTAAATCTGACTAAATGCGGGGAAGTGTGATCACGTGTGATAGCATCTTGAGCGATCCGAAAGGCTGTGAGCATTTGGCTATCTGATTGCTGGAGGCACCAGACAATTGGCTGGCATTGACGATCACACCGCACTGAGGAAGTTGCCGATGTTATGTGTTATACCAATTACGGATGCAAATCTATTGGTGTTCTTTGAAGAGTGTCACATTAAGGTGACTACTTGTACTCAGTGCCGTACCAAGTACTCCGTATTTCTATCGCGAAATGAGCCACCGAAAATGCTTGTTGACAGGGCAGACCTTTCCAGGGCAAAATGGATGAAAACACATAAAATGATGCACGCTGATCCTCTGCTTATCCTTGCCATCAATTCTCAGCGATGAATGAATGGTGTGTGCACAGAACCCAGAGTCATATCTTGACCCGTTTCGCCATCTCAGCTGCATCCATGAGCTGATCGTCTTCTTCCTTGCGTTTACAGAACTCTTCGAAGCTGTTTCCTTCCTTAATCCAAACGTCTTTGACCTCCCAGGTCCGCTTGTCCCACTCTGCCGCCTTGACGGACCATTCTTTCATCCCCTTTTCGTTCTCTTCTCGGTTCTTGTTCGTCTTCTCAACGTATGGCTTTTTCCCCTCCTCGGTGAGAGAGGACCACATCTTTCCAAGCTCCACTCGAACCTGGTCACGTTCTGATTGTCTGGCTTTCTTGCCATTCTTTGCTCGTTGGTCTGCAAGTCGAGACTTGACTTCTTCCCAGTGTTCACCAGAGAAGAGCAGGAAAGAGTTGATATTTGCCTTGACCGGCTTGACTGGTGGTGGGCCAAGGTCATCATAGATCCTGACCCACATGGCGGCATCCCATGCTTCTTGAAGAGTATTGTCTTTCTCTTTGACTGGTCTGGTGAAAGTACCTGCAGGGACCAATTCGTCACCCTTCCGCTTACCAATTTGTGCCATATGGGTTTCCATTTGTGTCAAATCGATTGCGCTGGTAGATGATTTCTTCGCTGTCGTTGACGCAGGTACTAAGGTCGGAGGAATTGGAATTTCGCCTACCATTGATTGAAAAACTTCATGGGCGGCACGAAGCCCAGAGAGATAGGCGCCATGCACGGTGGCAGGGTGGGTGGCTATGGTTGCCTCTCCTGCAAAGAACAAATTCGAGATCGGGGCTGCAATAAGATCATAATCACCAGGACGTGCCTCCGCAGCTACAAAAGAGTAGGTTCCTCTAGCAAAGCGATCCGAGCCCCAGCGAGTGACGATCGATTCAACTGGTGGAGGTACATTTTGTGGGCCAAAGACATTTCGTAGGAGGTGGACACATTCGCCGACAAGGATCTCATCACTGACCATTTCAGCTTCATAGGCAGCTTCGCCAGCCATTAAGGCGATCAAGACAGGCAGACCCGTAGTTTCGATACAGTTCCAGAAGAGGTAGAATTGTCCACGCGTTTCTTTATAGTCACTGTGGTCGAGGCTGAATGCTTTGTCGCGTCGAGGGGCCCGGAGTAGTCCAAACATGTCTCTCTCAACATCCCAGAAAGGTCGCTCGAAGACAAGCACAACTTTATTGAGTAAACCAAATCCCATTCGTCCGACGGCATCACGCTTCCATTGAGGAAGTGGAGGGTCGAACTGAATCGACTGCTCCTTTAGAACTCCAAGAGGGGCACTGAAGACCACCCGGTCTGCTTCGATGGACTGACCGTCTTCACATGTTACCGTTGCCTTCCCTTGGGATCCGGCCGCACTATACTTGATACTCTTGACGGGTTTGTTGGTACGCACGTCAAGTGGATCAGGGTAACGCCAGAGAGCACGTGGAACTTGCTGGTAGCCGCCAACAATTTGAGCGTGCTCTCCTTCAAATTCGTTGCCAATATCTTGATCCCAACCGCGGAGACTTAGCTTGTCCACATTAGCAGCATTGGCATACTCTAGGTTAGCAAAGTGCCAATTGATCAGACGTAAGGCGTAAGGTTTCAAATCGAGGAATTTCTGATACTGATCGATCCCGGTATTCATGAGAGCGCCGAGCGACTGATTGGGCTCCTTGGCAAGGTCATCCAATTCCAAAGTTTCATGCATCTCGGTTGTCTCCTTTAGACGAAATCCAAATTCCTTGGCGGCTTGTGCTGCTGGCAATTGGATTTTTGTTTCGGTACTAACGTCCATCTCTTCAGAAGGTTGATCAGCTTTGGCAGCTCGATGACCAGCACCCCTTCGCCTGGATTTTTTGGCTGGTAGTAGCTGATCGATATTGCCTAAGGCAGTGGCTTCTTCAAATTGTTTGATTGTAATCGAATCTTCAACCGCTGGTTCACGACCAGCATCGATCACGTCCTTTTCTCCCTCTGCAGTCTTCTTCACGGTGTTCTTCAGGCGATAGTGCCCCGTGCGATCAAGGACATCGTTGTATAATCTTTCAACCATGGCGTCATTAACACCATTGACAGGAGTGCCATCGATATCGTAGAGAGTAGAGAGGTCTCGTAATAGGTGGTAGTCGAGGGCTAATTGGCCGCGGACTATCGCGTTGAGAGGATTTCCATGTTCAAATCCAACAATGATATGGGCACCCATCTCGGCCGTTGGTCTTTGATCTTGGGAAAGCTTGGTGGGACGCATGCTGGTTAGTGGATGAGAATAAATCCGGCCACCAATTCGATGACGACCTTCCAAGACGATAATTTTCGGGGCAGAATGATCGGGGTAGTGTTGAAACAGATTGGTTAGCTGTCTGGCGGTGCTCAAACCGGCCATGCCACCTCCAATGACGACAATGGTTTCTCGAGCCGGGTCCTTCTTACGGCCACGACCAGTCTTGATGGTCAAAGGCGGAGCAACACAGCCGAAGTTGATATAACCTCGTCGCAATAACCATTCGTAGGCAAAGCAGGCAAGACGGGTCCACCTCTGATCTCTTGCGCATCCAATTGCCTCTTCGAGATTGACGGACACGCTGGGGTTTCGGGTCCATAATCTAAGAATACCGTTTCTGATATTCAGATAGACGGTTACATGAGATATACATAATTGGTCCTGTAACAATCTGTGCTCATCCTCATGTAAAGCGTAAGGGTCTAGCCTAGAGGCCTCGGCGGCTGCTACACATTGACTAGCATATTCGGAGGGGTGTAGTCTGGGGGGAATTGATGACTTGGGCCGGCAGGTTATTGGAGCTCTTTGAAACAGGTAGGTTTTTGTGCTGGAAGGGCTTTCAGACTGAGCGTTGAATTTCAACATGATTTTGGGCTTCTGATCGGCGACAGATGAGGCGACGGACATGGAGGTCATGGAGCTGTTGGGTGAGTCGCGATTCTCGCTCTCGAGCTGCAAACTCCGAAGGGTCGTGCTGGGCCCGTGAGAAGATCCACCGTCGTCGTCGTCATCTTCCATTTTGATAATGGAATGGTGAGAAAAATCGGTCATCGACGTGGGGTGGCTAGTTTGTATCAGTATCAGAGGGAGGATATCAAGGGATATCAAAGCTTGGCTCGATTTGTCTTGTCATACCTTGCAATACTAGCCAGAGATGAGTCTCCCATTCCAATTTCAGACATGGTCGTAGCCATGACTTGGATAGCACTTGAAGGGGGAGCTATTGCAGCACTCCCCCGGATAGATGTGTGGCAAAAGAAGGACTTGATATTGGCAGCTGGTGGCTTAAGACACGGGACAACCGCTTAGGAAATCATGGGAATGATCGGAAGGTGTCTCGTGAAAAGGAATCTGGGCGCGATTAGTACAATGATCTGTTGTGGGGGGGGGGGGCGGTGGTTATCTGGTGGTTGATACCTTGTGTGCGTGGTGGATGGCGTCCTGTATGCGACTAGCGCTCGACTGACTGATATGTGCAGCGCCCAAAAGGGTGATGTTGGATTTTCGTCAATTCTTCGACCGCATAAACAGGACGTATCCTCCTCAATACTCGATAAAGGAGTGTGTGGAACGAACGAAGCATTATCACACCCTTGGGTTGTAGCGTTGAAGGGTGGTGGTTGAGAGGAGGAAGAAGACGAGAGAAGAGGATCCCTTCCCGACTGCCGCTAATGATGATGGCGGGATCTGGGCACGGATTACACTTTATCAACGACGTTTCAACTGCAACCCAACGACATAACTGCACAAGTATCATTCAAAGACTATCAAGGTCGTTTCATATCTTGTCATTGAGTATTTGCGGCCACCAGACCGTTATCATGATGCCATTAATCGAGTTCTGTGGCGAATGATACGGCTGACCTGCATCCCTCGGCCCCTCTTGTGCACCAAGTCGAAGTACCTCCTGCGCTGACCTCGATATCTTCCACACATCACCAGGAAGAAGGACTCTTATCAAAATAATATCATCGAAACATTCCCTGGTCCACTAGTTGATGCTGTGAGGGTGATTGTCTCTCTCAGCCATGCTGTTGATCCATATTGACGCCCTGCAAAAATTGCAAAAATTTTCATAGTCAGGGTGCAACCTCAGCCTCGGAGCTCCAGCCTGCGACCTCGTCTTGCTACCACAAAACACATGTATACCGGTTTTGACCTGTTGATCCCCCATCTGATATCAATACCATAAATCCCCACAGTGGTCGCATTGCCTGGCTTTATGAACAGTCCCACTATTGAGATTGTGATGATAAGGTACTTGTGAGCTGTGTATAGAGCAATATCATTCCCACCGCCTGCGTCCAAGACGGCAGGTTCTCAACAGATAAGTGTCACCCGCAGGTTTATATCAATGGTGACATCATGCTCTCTATTACTCGTTACGATCATGTATGATCTCAGCTTTATAAGCTCCGTCTCGTTGCTTTCAGCTAATCCTTAGGCTGGGCCATTCTCCTCCTCCAGTCCCAGAGCCGGTTATGAACAAGCACGACGCTGCGTATAGGATCTCGTCCTCGATTATTACTTCCATGTTTCAAGACCACTCATGAAAAGCAGACATAGGCTTCGATAGAGATGCTGTTGAAGAAGGACAAGATCCTGCTCGCTCTGTTGATTGAAGATCCTGGTCCTAGTCTCAGGCAGGTCATGAGTTGCATCACTGTCCAGTTGAGCAGCAATGAAGGGAGATAGAGGTGCAAGAGATTTTATATAGAATGCTGGACATGTTGCAACAGGGAATTCAGAATGAGCCGCTGTGCCGTGCCCTGGTGGTGGTGATCGTGGTGTTTCTTCCTATGTGTATTCAACGCGTATGGACATATCCCGCTTGGGGTTCTGCAGTCCCTAGTAGCCATGCCAGCCTTCAATTAGAACTAAATTGGCATAAAACCGCCCTATATACGATCGCGTCCTATAAGAAGGCGCACATGTGTCTTGCACCTTCCTTACTGCAGCTGTAGATGTTCCTGCGGCAGGTGGGGTCAATATCGGCCTCACGTCTCAGGAGTCAATGACTTCGCCTTCATGGACCGCGCCTCTAGTAACCACCGTGGCACCTGCGCGCATCCAATTCAACCATTTCTAATCTTGTCCTACAAGACATCTAATCTTCTTCTTGAATTGCGGCTATGGTTGTAATGAAAAGCCCCCCAAATCGGTCAATCATCTGATTCATAGCAATGATGAGACAATGATCCTCTCGAGTCTACCCCGCCAGATCCCAGGTCCTCGAAACATCCGATATTTCTCATTCCCTCTCCATTTCTCATCCCCTTCTTCAGTCAGTTATACTGTTCACAGAAAAATGGCAACTGTCAAAGACTCAACCCCCCATATTATCAGGACTGCCGAGGATCGTCGCCAGAAGGGTGTCTGGTCTGCATGCCTGAGCAAGATAGAACAGGTGAACCCAAAGATCAGGCTACTGAGATTGAGCCTTTCAAGAGATGGGGTATGTGCTTCATGAACCTCTATCCGTTGTTCTACGCCCGTCCTCCTGTTCCGTGGCCATCCTCGATCTATCTTGGATTGGATGCCTTGCTGGTGTACCATCACAACATTTGAAACATCTACCATGTATCGTGCGTTGTGGCCTGAAGCAAATCGCAATGAAATGCAATTTCATTACATCAGAGTTGAATTTTCTGACTCTTTAATACCATTCATCCAATAATGTCGCTCATAAATTGACACAGATCTAGTAGCCCCCCTTACGACATCTCCCAGGTCAATACATTGATCTATACATCCCCAACATCGACGTTGTGGGCGGATTCACAATAACCTCCCCTCCACAAGCGTCCTCTCAAGTCCAAGAAGACCCGCATATCGAATTGGCAATCCAGATCTCACCGGACAACCCTCCTGCTGCATTCTTATGGCGACCGGCTTCAGAAATTCTCAACTCAACCGTCTCTTTCAAGGTCGGTGGAAATTTCGTATATCCACCTCTGAGCTTGGACCGGAGTGAATGTGAGGAAATCGATCGGGTGGTCTTCGTCGCTGGAGGGGTCGGGATCAATCCAATCATGAGCATGATATCTACCTTGGATGAAGTGGGCACGTCCCAAACACGTGGCGGTATGGTCAAGAGCGTGAGAGTTTTGTACACATCACGAAGGGAGACGGATTCAAAAGGCCAAGCAGCAGAAATCCTCTTCGAAACACGATTGAGGGGCATAGCCCATAAATGGGAACGGCACGAGCATGTCGACTACAGATATTCCTTCTTCGACACAAGTGGTCAGACCGGCACTGGGCAATCCACGCCCAATAATATGTCGACCTATGCCAGGCGGATAGCGAAGGAAGACCTATTCGAAGCACTTGGGCCAGAGGCCGGTCGAGCCAACACCGTCGTCTATGTCTGCGGGCTTCCCACCATGACAGACGAATTCGTCGACCTGCTGCGCCTCGCACCTGGGATGGATGAGAAGAGGATCTTGTGTGAGAAATGGTGGTAGATAGCAGAAGAAGTACCAGGACTAGGCCAGAAGCTTAAACACAAGAGGAGCGAAATACAAGTGTTGAAATGTAGCATCGTGGTTGTTATTGGTCTACAGGCATCTTGTATACAGACATATTGATATAATAGGAAAAGGACGAGCCATGGTCTAATCCATGATTCACACATAGTCCCCTCAATCTCTTCCCTCTCGTCTCAAGCGTCATCGCGGCCCCCTTGGAACGCCATGCAATGCGATGTTGGTAATACAACAGCCAGAAGCAGGAGGTCGTCAAAGCGGAAGTCAGCTTCGCAAATTTTCATGTCACCCGTAGCGCTCCCTGCGACTTGCTCAGACACTACTTTATGTCAGAGCAGGTCGTCCGACTTGAATGGACAAAAAGAGGAATTCCAAATGGGAAAGACGAAGACAGGATTTGGCATCTCCTCCGATTCTGGTTTCTCTCTCCCATTCTACATGCCGACAATGACCCGTCCGCCGTCGACGATGATCTGCTCGTCGATCCTGCTTTGGGTGTCGCCCCACTCAAGGCGCTTCCAGGTCGAGATGCGGGCCTCGTTCATGTCGAAGTCGAAGAAACGGATGCGGCGATGGTAGCCGTAGTAGCCACCGTATCCGCCAAAACCCGCACCGCCGCCGTAGCACATCCACAGCGCGGGCTTGTTGTCCGGGCCATTGGCGGGCAGGCAGTAGTCGTTGACGTGGTCGTGGCCGCACGACACCATCACGATGCCCTCCTGCACCAGCGCATCCTTGAAGTTCGAGTTGTACGCCGGTGCTGTTGGCGGCTCCGTCCAGTTGCCCACCCATGTCAGTGCGTCTGGATTGCGGTACTCGGGCAGCGGGATGTGGATGAACGCCAGGTCCATGTGGATGTGTGTATATTCCTTGTGCTTGCGTTTCAGGGACTGCGATGTGGACTTGAACCAGTCAATTTGTGATTGCTTGAGCCAATCATACCCGTGGTATTTCTTCTCCTCGGGCGAGTAGCTGTGTGTGTCGAGCAAGTAGAGAGTGAGTGCTGAGTGCGACGTTGACCCGCGCCCTAGGATTTCCACGACGTAATTGCCCACGCCCTCGACGTCTTCCGGACCGGCGGTGGAAAGCGAGTATGGAAGGCCGTCCATGATGGCCATGGATTCCGCGCGGTCGAGGTTCCCCTCGTCGTCGTGGTTGCCGAAGATGCCCGCGTAGGGGATCTTATGCCGGGCAAATAATTCCGAGTATTTGTAGATGGCGCTTTGTGCGTCCGGCGCTGTGTCGCCGTTGACTTGGTCCCCGGAGAGGACGATGAAATCCGGTTTCTCGTCTTCAAGGAGTCGTTCGACGAATTCGAGTGTGCGCGGATCCGCCTCGCATGGTTGGCCCTCTGGCAGTGCATGTCTGCATTTTCCAAAGCCGGTGGCCAAATGTAAATCAGCAGCCTGCATTATCTTGAATTTGCCATCTTTCCGGATGCGGGGGACTGGTTTGTCGATTTTGATGGCGGGACCCTTGCGGACTGTCAGTCGTGGTTCGGGCGTGTTGCCGGTGGCGTCGATGAATAGGGAGATATCCTGAACTCGCCAGTTAGATCGAGGGTCGGCGGCGTCGGCACCGAATAGGACATCGACTCCTGTCACGACTTTTGAAGGATCATTGATATGTCTCTTAGACGATTTCTTGATCCAGACTCCGCATGGGCGTGACTCCCATCGAATGTCTTTCGAGGTGGCATCGGTCGATGAGGGCTGGATTCGGCCGACTTTGACGTCGAAGACAAGTTCTTCATGAGGTTGGAGGTCGTCCTCCAGTTTCCTCTGCACATGTAGATAGGCTTTGGAAATAAAGCCTTTGCCCAAGTATAGATCTTTGTCTATGCGGTGCCAATGCTCTCCGTCAAGGCTACAGCGGCTGAAGGGGTTGATGGAGGAGCATGTCACCACAGTTATATCAGTGACGACGAAGCCTGGATGGTGGGCAGGCAGATGGTTGTGAATCGCATTAGGCAATACTCGATATCGGTTGTCGAGGAAGAGAACGATGATGAGTACGATTATAGTGAGTGTTCCCAGCTGAAAGCCCGTGCGTACCTGGAGAACAATGTTAGACCATGGAAGGCGATGGAGCGAAGGCAGAGTAGGACACTCACTATGCGTCTGGTCATGCTGGCATTTGGGTGAACTCCTTGCTAGGGAGCACGCGCCGCGGCGGGCTCTATTGATGAAACCCTCTCTTCGACGATCCTTTGGCTAAGGATTAACTAGGTATTTTTGTTGGCTTCCAGGCATTAGGAATAGATGATTCAAAGTGTGGTAGAGGATTGGTGAGTGTGCTGAGGGTCGTTCTGCCCAACTTTGTTACAGGCCGCAGGCAGTCTGATCGCTATGAGGCTTGACGAATCCGGTTTAACACACCCTGGAAATCTGGGGTTCGCCCGACCTTCCCCATTCGACACATTCAAAACTAAATGCAGTGAATCCAACATGCGACGATGAGATGCAACTTCCCGGCGCGATATTGCACGTATGAGAATATTCTAGAAGACCAATAGACGGCGGTGGGGCTTGTTTCAATCTCTTATGTCGAAGGTGTTCCAAGCACTCCGACGAGTGACCAACCTCTCGAGATGCCCGCAGTGTAACCTAAAGAGCACAAGAGCCCTCTCGACTAGGGATCTCAGCCGATTCCAAGGTGAGTGTATTGCGGCGTGCCCTTGTCTCACTTCTGACATCTCAATCTCGCTGTAAGAGGGCGACAGATTCCTCCTCAACAAGAAAAAACTGTCAAAACCATTAACCCAAAATGGCCAACATGGTCTCGACGTTGGATCTATTCCGCACAAGGATATCATAGGGAGAGAAGTCTCCACGCCGTTTTTCGTTCGTACAGATCGAGGAAAGCTGTTCCGCATAGAGCAACCTTCTCTCGAGCAGTATATTGCCCTAACGCCGAGAGTGGTCACCCCGGTGAGTCAATCACCATTCCTTTCCCTGTGCGTGGAATACCACCTCAAACTAACCTCTACGGGGCAGATCTATTCATCCTACGCTGAGACCATCCTCTCCCTCCTCGACATCCACGCGCCACCGTTCTACGAGGGTGACAATGCCAAAGAGACCACGGCACCAAGTCTAGAAATCCTCGATTCGGGTACAGGTCACGGCGCCCTCACCTTACACATCGCAAGAGCCATTGCAAGGGCCAATCCCCCACCACTGAGGCTCCAAATCCCCACCCGATCCAAAATAATCGAGAGCCAGAAGATAGATGACACGGAATATGACGAGAGCCATCAAGCGGCGCAAGCCTGGGCCGCATGGAAACAATCCCGGCGTGCAGTAGTGCACAGCGTTGAAGACAATTTTGCGACGGGCCGACACGCCGAGAAGATCGTGGCCGGGTTCCGTCAAGGCATGTACTGGCCGCACGTCGACTTCCACAATGCCCAGGTCGGCCAATGGGTTCAATCGCAGCTGGCGGAGAGAGGAGGTGAGTCGTTCCTGAGCCACGCCTTCCTGGACTTGCCGAGCGTGCAGTACAGACTACATGATTGCTTCGCTGCGATGCGTGACGGCGCCAAAGCCCTCGTCTTCGTGCCCTCGATCACACAAGTTTGCGACTGTGTGAAGATGGTTAAGAACAGCCGTCTGCCTCTGTCGGTGGAGAACGTCGTGGAGCTCGGCGAGGGCATCAGCACAGGTAGAAAATGGGACGTGAGGGCAGTCACACCGAGGAAATCATTAACTTCGCCGAAGGGGCAGCGTGTCGTTGGCCCTGCGGAGGAGACTGATGCAGGACGTGTGCAGGACACGGATGTGTCAGATGGATCTTATACGAGATCGACTATCATCGAGATCACCCCCGACGAGGACACCACCCCGACAGATGCAGAAATCCAAGGCTCATCAGAAACAGGCCACAACACGAGCGATGACTCGACGGCTATGGGTTCAACACGGTCAGCTTCCTCTGAAAGTTCTCAGGGTACAGTGATGATCTGCCGGCCTATGGTCGGCGAAGTCACCACTGGGGGCGGTTTCGTCGCCGTCTTCAGGAAGATGTCGACCGAGGAGTGGGCCTTGCAGATCGAATGGAGGCAGACTCGAACAGGTGCTGCAAAGAAGTTCTACCGGGCTTAGGGAGTTTGAAGCTCGTGGCCCATTTTATCAGCGTATTGGTGCTAGCCATTTGTATATTACTTCGGATAGATCAGGGGGCTGTGATAGAGTGGACTTGTACAACAGAAAAAGACATGTACAACACCAAACTCAGTCAAGCATTGTGGCACTTGCTATATAGCTGTCTTGTCAACATGGCCCTAGATTGTGTTAGAGCCTAAGATCATGCATCTGCCAGATATCGAAACAATAGAAAGTGGATGCGACTGATATACTGTCCCATCCCTGAAGCTCAGATGAACACGGGTGACCGAACAACTCCCCGCGGACCGACCGGACCAGTAAATGCGACAAGCACCTTCCACTCGCCTCATTTTCCCAAAGCCTTGGCTCCGCTTCTACCCCAGAATCAAGTCCTCTATTTCCCAGTTTCACCCCAGATGCAAGGATAGATCGCCTTATTACTCCTTGGTCTCGTGATTGGTCACACCACGGAGGCTTCTACTCCGCTTGACCGAGGAGTCTCCTTTTAACAACTTATGCCTGATACATCATTTTGTCGCGAGAGGAACAGCAGATTTGGCCTTTTCCAGAATGTTCTCCGCGACAGGCATTGCACGGCTCTTCAAGTCACCTGTCACCGGGGCAGCTCGGGCCTTTAGCTTTTCAGTGACGTCCTTCAGTCTCCTGGCTTTGGAAGCGCGGATGTAGGCAAAGAGCAACACGAACAGGAGCTCGACTCTCTCTTTGGTCATCATGAGAAGCCCCTGTACCAACAACCCCTTCAGGAGTTGTGGACCGATGCCCTTGAATAGGGCAAGGGGACCTTCGTGTTCGATGATGTAGGTCATAACTTCAATAAAGGTTTTGAATGGTTTGCCCTCCCGGGCTGGTGGAGGTCTTGATTGAAGACCGACTTTGGCCACAATCAAGGGTTGAGTGGTCAGGGTAGCGATCGACTTGGAAATGGCTCCAAGAACTGTATTGCTATCAGTGGGGAGGTCATCACCAAAGCGAGAATGGGAGAGGCTTACGGAAGGCTTCCCAGGGACGAAGCCTTACACGATCTGGGAAGATAACATCCTTCAGGCGCTGATATGCGCCGTAGGTGATGGCTGGATTGACGCACAGCACAAGGGAAGCTTTGAGGCCTCTCCATAGGCCTGACCAGCCATCTTCACTGTGGACCACCTCTTTACCGGTCTCAAAAAGACCCTTCTTGTGCCCTCTGGGCTGAGTCTGCTGCCGTGTGGTTATGACGGCAACAGGAATTGTGAATATCTGGGCAATGGCACCAGCAACTGCACCGAGTGACAACTCAATGGCAGTTCCAGGATGTTGGCCGGGAACCCGCTGATATTTTGTGTATAGATGTCGAACCACGCTGTACCAATAAAAGTAGGCGAAGTTTGTGGATGCCACCCCTATTAGAGCTCCGTTGATTCCAGAATATAGACCAGTGATACCATCATGATCGATAATCTTCTTGATTGCGTCCAGGGTGGAGTGGTAGTGGTGGTTTTCAGCGGTGTGAACGACCTCTTGGTCCTTCTTCTTGATTTGTACCTGTAATCTCGTCTTCACGCTACAGAGCCGGTCAACAGGGATACTCTTCGTACCAAGGAATTCCAGGATATCCTTACATATCAAGTGGGTATACTAGGGCGTTGGCGAGGACAGCACCAGTAGCCCCAGCTACGGCGCTCTCCCACGGAGCCAACTCAGTAGAAGCCATTTGCGGCTATTATATTACCCCCGAGCAAGAAATGAGATATGATGCTTCCTATCTTTCAGACAAAGGACGAAATTTGGAGAAAGGCACAAAAAATTGTGACGTAGGGAATTTAGGCCCGAAGGAAACTGCTCTGTACTGTCAAGCGAGACGCAACAAAGAGGCCTGGAGGTGATATTGCTCAGTGGGATGTTCGACGGTGAGGGTAAGTTGGTGACAGGAAGGATTTCAGAGGGAGCAGTGGAAGGTGATGCAATTTAATCGAGCATGGGAGCACTGAGCATCAGCGGGACAGGGATAAAATCAGATCCTCATCTGCCCGAGTTAGAGGAAGCGATAGCCATGGGAACCAGCGTCGTGAATGGCTCGGTGGTGGACAGCTTCTTCCCAGATTCTCTCCGCAGCCGAGGTAGTGGCAAGCGTTCCGGAATTTTGGCATGTTCGACACGGCAGACGGGGGTCTCGATCCGACTTTTGCCCTTGGAGAGGTTCACTGCCGTGTCACGTGACTACGGCGAACCATAAGGCACTCGAATGAACAGACGCGAGCGGCCCAAGTGCTCCACCCTTTATATCAAGGTTCGTGGGGCTGACGTAAGACACCAAGGATGCGCCTCCATGTCATGCAATTTCACCACCAGGAAACCTGGCATTCTTCCCCATTGTTACTCTGACCCAGATGGAGGCAAAGAGATTGGCCCTTGAAGGCCAGGCGCGCTCCGTTGAAAAAACAATCAACTCCAAGTCTTCGAGCCATGCAGCCCTGGAGGCTACCATCAGAAGTGCCGAGTTGTATTTTCAAGCCTTGCGTTTAGCCGACACGCCATCAGACCGTAAGAGGATTGACGCGAGGTGTAAGGATCTCCTCGCACAGGCCGAGAATCTCAAGAAATCTCAAGAAGATGCTCCTAGACCTACTGTGAAAAAGTTGGTTCTTAAAGTACCAACTTCTACGCGAAAACTAACTACGCGAGAAAACATCATCATCCTCGAAGGATCCAAGTTGAATGGGTTCATCTTCAAACCTTGGCTTGCTTCTCCTAATGCAGATGAATTCAAACTCGGTAGCGGGGAGATACCTTTCACAGACACTACCCCCTTACCACTTTCTCTAGGTCAACTAGAAACATTTGATGGGTGGAAACGACCACAAGATGCTCTGGCTTCACTCAAAGTTAACGTTAGCCCCACTGGGCAACCTCTTCCTGCGGAAGCAGTCATGCATATCCCGGAAGAGATGGATCTTGTTCAAGATATGACTTCTGATTGCTCAGTCGTGGCAAGCTTGTGTGCTGGCACATCTAGGGTTGAAAGGGGGCATCCCAAGGTGAGTGTCTTTTCCGCCACACTGGGATCTTTTAACCTGTCATCTAGATCATCCGATCTATTGTATACCCCTATGACTATGAAAACGACTGTATCTCCCTCTCGCCCAATGGCAAATATATTCTAAAACTATATTTCAATGGGTGTTGGAGAAGAGTCGTGATTGACGACTACTTGCCCACTTCGAAGACCGCTCGAGTGCTCCATGTGATTGATCGTCGGCATCCAGGATTACTGTGGCCAGCATTAGTTGAGAAGGCGTATCTCAAAGTCCGTGGAGGCTATGATTTTCCTGGCAGCAACTCCGGGACCGACTTGGCAGTTCTAACAGGGTGGATTCCACAGCAAATATTTCTCCACGATGAAGACGTTGAACCGGACCATTTGTGGGAAGACATCGCCACTCATTTTGAAGACGGCAACATCTTGCTCACCATCGGTACGGGGAAACTCCCCCGCCGTGAGCAAAGACATCTCGGTTTAGCAGCGGAGCATGATTACGCAATCCTGGAGATTGCTGCAAGTGGGGGCACCAGAGAGATGCTAGTGAAGAATCCATGGGCTGACGGCGATGTCTGGAAAGGCGCCACTCGTCGCAAGCCGAACTGCACTGACGAGAACTCTTCGAATGGTGTGCCTACCGATGAGAGCATGATGCCTGGTACGTTCTGGATCGATTTCAACAATGTATTTCAGTATTTTGAAAACATGTACATCAGTTGGAATCCCGGCCTGTTCTCTCATCGGCAAGACCTTCATTTCTCTTGGGATCAAGCACAATCGAGGTCAATCGACAACATTTTTGTCGATAATCCACAATTTGCTGTCGCCTCTAGCGCTACAGGCGAGATATGGATACTTCTGACTCGACACTTTAGAACAGGTGATTACACGCAGGCTACGACTGGGAGAAATGGGTACATCAGCCTTTACCTTTATGACCGCAATGGGTACAAAGTCATCTCGAGCTCGGGCGCAAAACGGCGAGGTCCATTCGTGGACTCCCCAAACACACTTCTAAGGTTCAACAACTCTGCGAAGATGCTATATACCGTTGTTGCGGTTGCTCAAGACCTTCCTCCTGGCAAAATGAATTTTACTCTGTCAGTGTTTTCCAAATCCCAGCTTACTTTGTCGGAAGCTCAACTCCAATATCCCCTTAAAACCACCATTGCTTCTGCTTGGACCAGATCAACAGCTGGCGGGAATTCAGATTCATCCCACTATCTGTCCAATCCGCAATTTCGCCTAACCTTGACGAGACCGCAAAAAATTGCCCTTGTATTGCGTGTTCCGAAGATGGCGCCGGAGAAGACTAGCGAACCATCCGAAGTTCATATCAAATTATTAGTTGTCTTCACCGAAGGCTCTAGAGTTACTCGCCTGCGATTGCGGGATGTACAAGCGCACTCCGGGGACTATCGGCGTGGGAGCGCCATTGTCGAAACCGAGCTGGGCCGCGGAAACTACAGCATCATTTGCTCCACATATGACCAAGATCAGCATTCTGGCTTTACCCTTGACCTTTATTCGTTGGAAACTGGCTCGCCTCTGGTGCCTCTTCCTGCCGATGGCAGCGGCAGACTCAGCATCAGGTCTGGTGCTGCAGTGTTCAGCAAAGGAACCGACCGAGTTCTTGCGCCTCTAACAGTAGCAAGAATGACTCGTATCACCTTTGTTGCACGCCACGAAGGCCCGCTAATTCCCCAATCATCCCTGTTCAAAATGACAGTAGAACAGGGCCAAGGACCTTACAAGCAAATTCTCGCCAGTAGTGAATTCGACAGTGAGGAGTTCAGCAGCGTGGCATCTGGTCTCCGCGTTGGAGATCTTGACCTTCAACCTTCGATGTGCGCTCATGAAACTGGCGGGCTGTGGCTCGTCCTTGAGCGTCTACCGCAGGGCCATGGTGCGGAGGAAAGATCGAGAGATGAGATCCTCAACGTTGAAATGTTCACGGACGAGCGGATTGACGTTGGCGCCTGGGGCCGCGGTGAAGGCTGAGCAAGGAGACTTGGTCCGCGGGGGGGGGGGCGGCAGATGGTACATAGAAGCACGCCGCGGTGTCATCAGAACTGGTGCATGTTCGTGCTCGATGAGGCACAGAAAGACAGACACACAGGGAACCCAAGAACCAAATAGTACCGTCCGACAAGTAAAATGACCGTACGTCGACCAAAGAGACCATTCACCCGTAGTAGACTCAACCCTATGTCAAAGAACCAGACGCTCTTGTTCCCAAGTCCCAAGCAGACGAGCCTGTACCTGGTTAGTCATGCAGCCTAACCAGCAGAACCATTTACCCAGCTAAGGAAAAAGAATTTTCACCCTCCACTGTTCCAAAGTTGAAGTTTTTAAAATGCAAGTTTCGAATGCGCAGTATTTATTGGGGTTGGTGTGTGATTTTGTCAAGGTGGGCAAAGGTGAATCGGTGCTGGTCGTGACCTAGACTACTAGCACAGGGGGTCGTTGGTTGGAGCGAGGCTGCATTTTACGAGGCTGGGAGTGCATTGTTCTTGGCGCAGTTGAGGTACTCCGTACAGACACATATACATGTACTCGCTGCGGGATTTGGAAACAAGATGAAACGCGAAAGGGTAATTAAGACAGGAGTACGAACCATTTAACACCTACAAACTAACTATTTACAACAGAAACGGATCAAATTTTCGATTAGACGAATGAAAGCGTGCCGTAAAATTCCCCTCCGACTTTTGCATTAATTCGCCTGTTTCATGATCAGACCCTTCAAGCCGGGCACCCAGCCGCCATTGATGGCCTGCATGCCCCAGCCGCGGGCACGGCTGAGCGCACCAGAGAGCACCCCAGTGCCGTCTGCGGCACCGCCGACCTGATAGATTTTGTTGAGCAGATCGACGCCTCCAGAGAGCAGGAGGCCTTTCCCGAAGCGGGCCTGGGAGTAGGCTTCCAGGGCCATCATGTCGCCGATGTCCATGCCGTGCTCGACGGCGTAGGCGATCGTGGCGGCGAGAGACTTCGCGTCCGCGAGGCCCAGGTTCAGCCCCTGTCCCGCGAGCGGGTGCATGGTGTGTGCGGCATCTCCGAGCAGGGCGATGCGCGGGCCGATCAGACTTGTGGCGTGGCGGAAACGGAGTGGGAACGAGGCCAGTGTGCCTTCTTGGATGGATGTGACGATTGGTGGTGGGCGGCCGAGGGTTGCTGGGAGGGTGGTGTGTTGCAGACGCCAGCGGAGCTCGGATTCGTGGGTTTCCGGGGAGGAGGGTGGAAGACTCAACAGGTATTGCAGGTCGATTTGGGAGAGGCGGAGGGCCGCGTTGATCATTGAGAGCTGGCCTGGTGGTGGCAGTGATTTGATGTATGCTGCGTTTTGCGGCGTGGTGGACCAAACCATCGACGCGTGGTTGTTGGGGAGTGGGAGAATGGCGATAGGTCCTCCTAGCTGTGGTAGGAATCGTTGATATGCGGTGGCTCGGTTGGTTGAAGCGCCGTCCTCAGAAGCGGAAAGCGAGTCGAAAGATTGATCTTCAGGCTCCGTGCTTTGAATATTTAATGTGGCAACAACTCCGTGGCGGTTGTAGTCCCAGCCCTTAGAATTGATACCGGCAAACGTCCGGACAGGGCTATTGAAGCCGTCTGCACCGACGAGAAGCCGGGCTGCGATTTTGGAAGGGTTAGATATGGTGCTGTCCTTGGATTCGAGCTCTAGAATAGGCCAAGTAGATAGATCGACGCCATCGGGATCATCTTTCCCATTCTGAATCGTCGAAACACTCGTGCTTGAGAAGAGGGATGACTCTGCGCCAAGTTGTGCAATTCGTTCGATCAACCCTCTAGTTAAGTTTGCATTTTCTGTCATGGTCGCGACAGTTTGTGGCGGTGCATTGTATCGCTGAGACTCGCCCCGCCAGTCGAATTGCATCGTCGCATCATTGGCAGCGTCCCATACCTGCATCTCATCATATGGTTGGACGCGTGATCGGTCGGCATGGTCCCAGACACCTGTGCTCTCCAGGAATGCTACAGATGTGGGCGTCAGGCTACTAGCACGGTTCGAAAATTGGTCCTCCGGCAAGTTCCATTGGCGAGTTTTGGTTAGATCTTGAGTTTCTATCAACGCTGTTTTTAGATGAGATGTTACTGGAGAAGATTCTAGCTTGCGTTAGATGCTCAAATCACGACAGCATAGTGATGGATACTAACTCAACGCTGCAAGTAGGGCAAGTCCAGCTGGACCACCACCCACCGTGACGACATCGTATATCTCAGGTCTGGTCGAAGCTTTTGAAGCAAAACGTCTCCTTTTTGATGCTAGGATTAGAGCTTGGCGACATCGGCCACAGACGAAGCGGGTGTTATTAACGGATGATTTCAAAGACATCGATACGGTCCGCCAAAAGTGACGTGGCAGCTTAGACCAAGTTACAATCCTCCTTCATGAGTTGCCGGAAAGTCGATGGGGGAGTTTTCAGAGACAGCAGGTGATGCAGAATCAGAATATCTGGTATCCAGGACTAATCGGGACTAGCATCTGGCGACACCATCCCTAACTAGGAAATATCACGCGCTGCTTGAAGGCCTCTTCCTCCGCGCACTTCACATCAAAGGTCGAATAATTCAGTGTCAATGACTTTTATTATTGGTCCTTAGAATCTTGCTGGTTCTGATTTTCACGGACGCAGATCCGTAGGAAATACCTGTCACAGCATTCGATACGTTTCTATTTCCATCGGCTCTAATTAGGGGGCTGACGAAACAGGCTGGTAAACAATATGGTCTGGACTGGGAAGAACGCAACTATAAAAACTCTGATACTTGCACATCAACTATAATACAATGCTAAGGAATTCCAAAATTACCTCCATTGCCCACTCCTCTGAATGTGCACCGTTCATGTCGCACAGTCAGCGACGTGCAACATAATACTATAATTCTGTGAACACCTCTCCGAAACTCTTTCTTCACCAGGTTTGAAGCAGCCCAGCTCTATCGATTCCTTGGCAGGGAGAAGGATATTAACAGCAGGCAAGTTCTATATCTTGGGGACGCTGCATGCGAGGCCTGGTGATTTCAAATATCCAAGTAGGCTCTGCATTGACGCTTGCACGGCCGTCGCCACATGTCTGTGAGCATCATTGCATTGCAGAGGCCTGGGGATCATGTCTCAAGAATGGCTATGGTGCCAGCTCGACGGAAAGACATGGGAAGGGCCCTCTGCTGCAATAGCAGCTGCGAAACAGGAATTGCCAATCATCCTTTGCCGAATGTGCAATTGGCTTTTATGCATTTGCTCGAGTTTTCAGTTGCGGCTACCACGGTCGTCTTGTCGATTCGAACGCTGTCGGTCCCCGCTACGTGATTCATTCCCGCAATATTACATGTCGGAGACCCGTCAACCCGATGTGATAGCTTTTGAAGTGATAACCCTTCCACTAGCACTCATACATGTTGATATCGTCGTAATCTTGCGACGCTGGACGAAGGGGGTCACATGAAAATGGCTGTCCACTCGAGTGTACCTGCCATTGACGTAGACAAGACATGGCTTTGGCAGGATGGCAGGCTGGTCATGGAAGGTGTTATCGTCGTGAAAGATTTGTACGACTTCTCCGAATAACACCACATGGTCGCCAATCTCGACAACCTTGTCTCCCATAAATCGGCAGTGCAATCTGAAAGGGACCATCGACCGACCCATTCCATCACGCGACTGCAAAATCGGTGGTAGTTTACTTGATAATGCTGTCCTGACGGGGTCGGTGAGATGTGCAAAGCTCTCGATTTCACCCTCTTCATCGTGAAACGGCGAGGATGCATTCCCAGTGGCAAATTTCGACGCGATGTCCGTTGCTTCAGTGGCTTCACTCAACAGATGCACATTGAAAAGCCCCGAACTTCGCATGGCGGCAAATGTAGATGAAATCTTGCGGATGTTGAAGGACACCACTGGGGTTGGGAATAAAGTCACTGTGTTGAATGATGACACAGTAGCACCACGCCACCCCTGTGGACCTCCCTCTGAGCTCATTGAAATGTCAGTCGCTGTAATCACGGCGACGGGATGCGGGACATGACGCATAAGTTGCTTGACCGCATGAGACAAGACTTCGGGGTCGTTGTTGCTGCCATCCAAGTCCGTAGCTGGCAAGGCAGCGGTGTGCTGACTTCTCAAAGCTGTGGATGCTGGAAAACCAGGGCTAGTTATGCCATCGTATTGGATCCCATTCCGACGCCCCCCATGGCATCGCGAATTGCGATTAGGGCTACTGTTGCGACGACAGAGGATCTGCAACTTTCGAGCTCCGTATGCTCGCTCAACCTGAGCATTTCTTATACTAAAACCTCGGAATTGGGTCGCATTGCAGACGCCGCTCCTGATTCCAGCGAGCTTGGTACTTGCCCAGACAGTAGCCATATCAGGGCACTGTTTCACTGAAAGCTTCTCCGGAAGCCATTATGCTATCTGTGGTTGCATCCTGGTCACATTCATGTGATGCGGCGCCAATGTGAAGGATGAATCTGTGCCACCTTTTGAGCTTCGGGGTGAAAGTCTTGGCATCCCGTAAATCTAGATGACGTTATTGGCCGTAAGTGCCGCCGTAGGGAGGGCAGTACGGTGGATCATGGGAAGACTTTCTCCACGGCCCAGATCCGGAAACACCTCGGCACATTTACTGGCACTTATCAAAGAGCCTGGAATTCACGCTGTTCATCCATCATTCCCATGTTCACAGTTTTGTCGTTTTCTTTCTAGACCCTTCCACAAGCGATCTTTCGTTTCAGATTTCTGCCAACCCTTCTTCTTGCCTCCAATTCTACAGGGGGGATAGATCTGATCTTGGAGCCAAGTATTGATATTAGTCAAATGGGAGGCGAATCCCTCCTATCGGTGTCATAACCGAGAAACACCCTTACTCAAATGAAAGTGATTCGGCGTTTCGGGAATCTCCCCAAACCGACCGTATCTCGGAATTCAAGCATAAAAGATTAAAAATGGCAGACATCGAAGAAGCGGACGTGCTGTTCCGCAAATCTGATGTCAAAGTCAAATGGCTCTCCAAGGAACGTCTGACGCTCCTCCAGCTTGCTGAGAAGCACGGTTTGAAGCCCGACTACGGCTGTAGAAGCGGTGCATGTGGAACGTGTGAAACGAAACTGTTGAAGGGAGAGACGCTAGGCCCAGAGGGTGATCTTCCGAACACGATCTTGATCTGTTCTTCTCAGCCGGCGAGTGTCGAAATCGAACTTGAGCTTTGATTGTGCGAGTCATGGCTTTCCATCCCCTTGGGTTCAGGACATATCTCTATCTGAGAGCACACTAGATGTTTGTGGCTAGAAGCTCGTCGTTCGCGCCGCGAGGCTATGAGGCGGCATGAGAGGTCTCGACGAGTATCACACGCTTTCCAGGGGTCAGTGAAAGCTTCCAGTGTCGAAGGATGCGTGTCTTTCAACGCTGAACACTCCTTTCATGATCAGGACTCAGTATCAAGGAAAGAACGAATTGAGATTGAACAATGATTAGGCACGAGCAGTTCCAAAGCCAGTCGGGGAGATCTGCAAAGAAGGAGGCTTGGAGGCAACCCAGCGAACGTGCCAGATGGGTGCTTCTCCTTGTTGACCTGAAATGTGACTTTGATTCTGGCATCACATTCACATGGCCGCCTACAGGAAACTTCGTTATGCAGCCGACTTACGGAGTGGCTTCATGGGAGAAGTATCTTTCGATGCATATAAACAGCGCTTATTCCATCGTCATTATAGAAACATCATTATAGAAACGTACGTTTGGAGTATCATTTGTTGTTGTTACAGATCCCCTTCCAACCATCTTGAAATCACACCAACGTGATTAAGATTGAGCACTCACATGGAGAACCAAAACCCCACGTGGAGATTGTTTTTCTTCTGGTTAAATCTAAATTTCCACACCCTCCAACTTGCATTATGTTAGATTCGAACTAATCATCAGGGCGGCCTTCCATGTCAATATGTTTCGCCGAGACACACATATTTATATTTGGAGTAGCCCATGTTTTCTTGTTCGGCTCTGGGGAGGTCCTCCATTCATGAATCCTCCGCATCAGACCCAATACTTCGCTCACCAAGGTACCCATATCAAGGCATCCGTCCCACGCCCCATACGGCATTCAGCAAATATAGTTGTTGTGTGGGTGAGCGGGCGAAAGATGAGGGACTTGACTGGACTGGATTCGGAGGTCAGACCCGCTCACCTGTTCAAGACCTGCGTCTCATATATGCCCAATGAAGGTTGACGGCGTCCATAACTTCAGGAGTCTGATGCGACACAGGCCTCTACCGGGGTACAATGCGTGCGCTAGACTACAAGCCTGATAAGGTCATCCCGATTCGCGTTTGTCGAGGCTATTGCCGTTTGTCCATAGCCATCTAGACCTGATCTTAGCCACTGGCCTTCTCTAAACCCTGCTCGGCCACTTTGACCAAAGGCGTAAGGTTCTTCTCCCTCAATATCGGCAACAGGCTCGAAAATGCTTCCCGAGACTTCGCCTTTTCGCCATTATCCAGCAATATATCTGCGCGGGTCATCTGTGCCGACAGCAGCGCAAGCTCACAGATCGAGTCACGATCTTCGGGCCTAACGGCCTCCGCTGTGCCGATAGCCTGGTCAGCCCATTTCAAGATAGCCTTCCTCGCTGCAGCTGCAGAAGATTCGGTGACTGGCTTTCCGTTGACCTTTGCGTTTGGCTTTTTCAAAGCAACATCCATTGTGGAAGCGATATTGCTCAGTACTTGAACCTCTTTACAGGATTTTGAGCCGTTACATGCTTGCCGCAGTGGTTGAAGCGCGAGCATGTATACCTGGACGGCATTTGCTTCCTCGCCGGTGGTAGCATACAGGTCACCCATTTGGGACAGTATGGCTGCAATTTCGCCTGTCGACAGGCCGGCGCTGTTGTCGTCAGTGAAGCCATTGAGTTGGGGATCCTTGGTCTCCTTCACAATCAAACCTACGGCGTCTGAGAGAGTCTGCTTCGCCATGTTTGAGTCCTGCATGTACTCGCTTTCCCACATAGACGACAGTTTGACTTTGGCCTGAACAACGGTTTTGACCAGCTGCTGGCGTAGGTCTGTCCGCAGTTCGTCAGTGACAACTTCTCCGGCAGGAGATCTGCCCTCGTCGAGTTCAGCCAGCCGCTGTTCAAACTCCATTGTGACATCATTAAGGATCTCAATCGCAGCTCTCATGTGGCCGAAGGTCTCGAGCATTTCAGAAAAGCGGATCCGAATGCCAACAAACTCCTTACTGTAGGGGTCCATTCCCAACTCTTCCGCCTTTTTAATAGCATCGACGAAATAACCCGATGCGGTCTCTGGGTCTGGTGATATATGTGTGTAGTGTAGTGCTAATCTCAAACGTTGCTCAACGGGCAGAGGATAAGGAGTCAACTGTGTGGTCTCTCGCTTGTATTCGTCATAGGCCATAATGGTAAGGAGGGAGACCATGCCGGTAGCGGCAATGAGAAGGAAGGGAAAGAGAATAGGATGTTGGGTCCTGGCGTCGATAACCATCTGTTGGATTTTCCCGGGCGGTTTGGAGTATGTCCTGGCCCCTCGAGATTGGCATCTCGTGCTTATGATAGGTGAAAATAGAGACTGCCTGGTGGAACGTGTTCTTGATAGGCTCGAGGAGCCACCATGGCGAGGAATTTGATGATTGCGGAGAGGCTCACCACATCTCAGTTGCTGTAGGGCACGTTGGGCGATGCGGGTAGATTGCATGATTTGCATAAGACCTCTTGCTGTCTGTCTGGCTGTATGTTGTACCTGTCACGCAATAGATGAATCTTTCATCTGCAGGAGGGCGGTGATGAGGTGGGTGTTAACATAAAATTTCACAGTCAGCTCCAACCATTTCCCCAAACACCCACCAGAGTCGCGTTTGACTGCAGAACCATCAACGTCATCGGAACGGAACATTACATACTCCGTACGTTACATACATTACATACCCGCCTCGATACCTATGTACCCCTGGTATTATCCACCTCAGCCCTCTGGCGATAGCCAGGGGCATTTGTCTATGAAGAATTGAATGTCACTCAAATGCGGGTCCAACCATTGTTAAGGTTCACTTTCGTGAGCACTTCTTGGAGTCAGCTTTGAGGAATATCGTGGTACTCGGCAACAGCTGAGACCTACAACTCGACACTTCTGGTCATGACCAAGTGGACGGCTGCGTCAGCCGTGCGGCTATGCATTCCTCGACATGCGAGGGAACATGGTTAGATGCCAGACTGTCAAGCTCCATCCGCATTACTAGGCTCAACCATGTGGCTCAGCACAAGAACAAAGCGCAAAATATAACCCGTGGGTATATCAACCATTAAATATATAGTGCCTTTTGCCACCAATCGCACCGAGGATCCGCTTGAGGATCAATATTCAATTGACCAAGCTGGGTCGTATTCAACGTCAACACCGTTGCATTTTTGCCATATGCGGGAAACCACGAATTATTGTTGGAGAGCGCCCGAGCGTTGGGCGTGCCAGAGGTCGTGAACCCAATGATATAATCCTGTAATGTCAGGGCGACCTTGCCATCGACTGGGTAGCCCTCCCAAGTAAGGGTACCATTGCCATTATAAAAAGTGTATCCTAGGTCATCTGCATGTATGGCAGGCTGTACAGCGAACAGATACTTGAATATCTTGCTGGAGACAATACCTGGGAGTGCCTGCGCTAGGTACCGTGTATTGCATAGAAAGCAGGCCTCTGCTGTTGTATCTGCCGCTCTCAGAGCTTGTGTGGTATAATTGTACTTTCCTGAAAGGTTGTTTGGATATAAGTTTGTTGCGACATATTCCACGACTTGGTCGCTCACATTCGGGAAAAACAGTCGCACGTTATCCCGGTAATCGTGGTCGGTGGCTATAAAAGGAGAGTCGAAGAGCACGCCTTCATTAAGATTAGTGCCCATCATTATCGCGTCGAGGGATTTGGTAAACCGTCCTTGCGCGATTAGCTTCCCTGGTAAGTCGGGAACGAAAGACCCGTCCACAACCGGACCAAACGTGTATATACCGTATGGCGAGCGGCCAACGATCACACTGTTGAGGAGGGCGACTTCTTGGAAAGAGAGACCTCGGAGATCTTCAACAGTGCTGGCAACCTTCTGGGTCAGTAAAGATGCATTCCCCAGAGCGTAGTCGATCAAGGACTTCTGAAAGCCAGGATTCGGGTTCGGTTGCCAGCCTGGACTCTGCAATATGGCTTGACGAAAAGGAGCATTGCTGTCACCACCGTATGCCGTGATTTGATGAAAGACTGAGCCTCCACCGGCCGATTCTCCCATTATAGTGACCCTTCCTGGATCACCACCAAACAGGTGGATGTATTTCTGTACCCATTCTAAGGCAAGGCGTTGATCGAGCAGCCCAACATTGGAATCTCCCTCTCCAGTGATGTGTGCGGGTAGGAAGCCCTAAAGCTAGTGCATTAGTGAATTTCCAATGAAATGGGCAATTGAACAACACTCACAAAAAGCCCGACTCGGTAATTGATGGAGACATATATAATTCCATCCTCACCCCCGGTCTGTGATCTCGCCACGAGCCCGGCCGGCTCCTGCTCGTGTTTGTAACCGGCAGAGAACCCTCCACCATCTATCCAAACGAGTACTGGAGCCCCTTCCGTGGCAGTACGCTTCTCTGATTCTCGGATGCAGTTGCCGCCTTTGAAGCGAGAATCAAAAATCTTTTGCGGGACCATGACGTCGAGAAAGAGGCAGTCTTCAGCTTCTTCAATATTCATCGGTGGAATTCTATTAATGTCAAATTGTACCGGTTGCAGCTGCGATACCGGCACACCTTGGGCGACCTTGACACCATTGTATAGCCAGAACGGGTGGGTCTGAGGACATCTTTTCGCCAGCTGCCCATCATTCAATGTGCGATTTACTGTTGCCACTGGTTGGGGTGCTTTCCAGCGCGTTTCCTTTGTAATAACGTCCCCAAAGCGAATGTTCGAAAAATTGTAGTATGCTCTAGCTTGCTATTGTATGCTTAGTGCAGCAACAGCACGTCGGAGTCGCCACGGTAGAACTTACATTGACTTGGGCTGAGTGAACAGCATACCCAAGGTCTACTATGGGCAGTTTTCCTGAAGTGGCTAAGCCCTGCACCACCGCCAGTCCTGTGAGTAAGGGGATCAACGTTTGTAGACCCTGCATGTCGAGATATTATGTGTTCCCCTGATATGCATGAAAGGACAGAGGAACATGGGATGGCAGTAATTTTGCATCATTTAATAGTAGATTCGCGATACCAGCCTTCGCCATTTCAGCAGTACCAAACCAGGCGCATCTGTGTCATGACACTTGCAGAGACGAGTACCAGCAGCATTCAATAGTCGATGGCGCAGACTGTGTGGGTCATGTCAGAACTTTGACAACATTGACAACATTGGACTTTGAGTTCGGACGTTTGCTTGATATATTTGCCTTGTGCGCCATTGGAGAAAGCGGCTCGTGCTGACATCCCCTAGTTTACGAGACTAACAACACATAGTCTGACCTTTCCACGCTGCCGTGACCTGTGCGTAGTCGGTTTTCTGCGCTACTGAGCTTCCGGTAGAACTTAGGGTGCATTGAGATGATAATAATACTGCGCGGAGCAACGGATGCATCAAAGGCTCAGACCAAAGGCAAAAGAGAAATACAGGAGGAAGTCCTCCTCCACGCTGGCATATCATTCTGCTGAACTTCCAATCCGACAGCTGCAAAAACAAACGGTGGCAGCACTATGCGGCAGCCACTGATGCAGCGACCGCAAAGGCCTTCTTGAGGGAATGGGCATCCGAAAGTGAACGGAATGAGAGCAAGTGAAATCCAGCCCGCCTGCTCTGGAAGACTCAGGCTGGCAATTTTCATAGGATGGATGAAAAGCATAGGATTCTAGACTACCTACCTTAGGTACTCCCTCCCTACATATGAAGAGACTCCTCAGCCTTGAAGGCGTCTACCGGGAGGCTCCTAGAGGCCCCCAGGACGCTACACAGAGTAGTCGCGCACTAGTAGCTTAGTGCATGGTCTAACATAATTAAGCTTCCCTGAAACCCGAATCCCAGTGACGGCAACCTTACGTAAGGATCGCAGAAACACGAATACGACCTGACGACAGGACTGAACTTCACGCTGAAGTCGAGGAACAACCAAGTCGTCGAATCTGCACAAAGTATCATCTCTAGCCGAACCCGAAGCAAGCACTAATCGTCGCGATGTGTGGTAGGTATGCATTAGGCATCGTGAGTCGTCTCCTCCCAGTAAATCAAGTCACACAGAAAGTCCATAACTGATGGACAAAAGCGTGCTGCATTCGTCCGTTATCAACTGCAGCAGCAAGGGTTACCGGTTGACGATGCACCAGCAGATGATGAGGCACGTGAAACCTACAACTTCCCGCCTGGTGCATATGGCCTGGTCTACAGGGCTGATGTCCCGGACCACGGGGCAAGGGATCATCAAAGTGACCCGCCTGGGCAAAGTGACGAGCAGACCCGAGATCCAGAAGCAGACGCGGAGCCAGAAGAATCAGCAGCACGGCTAGCAGCAGACAACGTCAGCAGCAACGACCAATCCAACACTACCAGCGAGGATAAGCCTAATGATCGATACAAATACCAGATCAAGGTCATGAAATGGGGCCTAATCCCATTCTGGACGAAACGATCACCAGACTACTCGAGCATGCTGCGCACGATCAACTGCAGGGACGACAGCCTGGTCGAGAACAAGGGCATGTGGACGACGATGAAAGCGAAGAAACGCTGCCTGGTGATCGCACAGGGGTTCTACGAATGGCTGAAAAAGGGGCCCGGGCCGAGAGACAAGGTCCCGCATTTCGTGAAGCGCAAGGACGGCCAGCTGATGTGTTTCGCGGGCCTGTGGGACTGCGTCCGGTACGAAGGGAGCGAAGAGAGCGAGAAGCTGTACTCATACACGATCATCACGACGGATTCGAACAAGCAGCTGAGATTTCTGCATGACCGCATGCCTGTCATATTGGATCCGGGGACCGACGATATCAAGATGTGGCTGGATCCGAGTTGCAACAAGTGGTCCAAGGAGTTGCAGGCGATGCTGAAGCCGTTCGAGGGCGAGCTCGAATGCTACCCGGTTGACAAAGACGTGGGCAAAGTCGGGAATAATTCGCCAAACTTCATCGTCCCCGTCGACAGCAAGGAAAACAAGAAAAACATCGCCAATTTCTTCGGGAACGCTGCTAGTCAGAAACAGAAGCCCGCTAACAGCACTGCTACCCCTCCTACCACCTTAGTGGCAAAAGCAGAGAATGAACCAGAAGAAGAAGAAACTCGCACAACGGTTGACCACGACGGAAGCGAAGACAACGCCCCTCTGCCCGTACCGGCATCATCGCCCTCACCAACGAATCCATCCTCAGACCCTCCTCACCAAACCAGCACAAGCCAGAAGCGACGCGCCCCCAGCGACCTCGTATCATCACCAGAGAGCGACAGAAAACAAATCAAACTCTCCACTCAAGGACCTGCGACCGCAGCAGCAAGATCCCCACCGCCAAAGCCTGCACCCTCTACGGTAACGGGCAAGAAACCGCGAAGTGCGACAAGCAACAAGGACATGGTGCTGAAGGGAAGCTCTCCTGCGAAGAAAAAAGGGGGTAACTTGGAGCCTGGTACGCAGAGGATCACGAGTTTCTTTGGTAAGTGATGATGAACCGATGGACTGAGTGCCCCTTGCGTTCCGACGGGCATGGTTGGGCTAGGTCAGAAGAAGCAAGAGCAAAGAGCTGCGTTCAAAGGCAAGCAGACAAATAGGGCGTGGTGTCGGCGAAGACGTTCTATATTCAATGGATCTTGGCGCCCATCATGAGCCGACACGGGACGGGTAACATCAAACAGGTAACATCATATGTTAGATTTGACCCCAAGGAAGATGAAAAGCTACGGTTCATGATGACGGCAGTCAAAAGCCACCGTCAGAATTCAGCAGGATAGATCAGCCCCCGGGTCGACATTAATCCATCTTCCACCTGACGATTTCCTCACTGTCCGAAGATGGGCCTCCACACTTTTCGCAGTGTCCAGCATTTCCGCCAGGCGTTCTTCCTCTTTCCGGAAGCGATACAACAATTGCTCATACTCAATGTCCCAGCTGGGCTCGTTGGCATCGCTCACAACGTGAAATAAAGGAGCCGGTGGTGGTGGAATTGGCCTCCAGCCTGGATGGAGAACCAATTTCTCAACACCCCTCCAGCCACCATTCCATTCCGCTCCAATATTTTCGGAGGGTTCGCCTGAAGTTGGTGACGTCCAAAGGAGCGCCTCCCACCAGTCTCCACAGCCCGTCAAATCAAGCCATGTCAAACAGTACAGAGCTCGACTCAGAGAACGCAAGATGCCCGCCGCCTCTCGCCAGTCATTGTCCAGAGAGGTATACATGTTTGTGCCACCATACACAACAGGTCTAGCACCCGGTACGTGAACAACGGCACGTGTAGAGGCGGCGTTGGGCGTAAATGTCGGTTGAGGCCAATATGCCAGGGACAAGGATGACAGCGTACCTAATTCTGCTGTGACTGCGAGCAAGGTTGTCCAGGAAGCTGCTTGAGTATTGCCAGGAGATATCGAAAGCGACAAGTGCTTCAGGTTCTGGAAAGTGTGGATGACCCGTGGAACCACCGCAGGACTAGTTTTAGGCAAGTCGTCACTATCATCGTCAGCATCCCAAGTGTCAGGTGTTGCCGACACCGTCGTGCTCAGTTCAGATGACCCAGACGCTCTCTTAGGCGTAGTTTTGGTAAATAATTCTTTCTCGAGACCTTTCAAGCTCGTCCAAAGCCCAATTCCATTGCCGCAATCCAACCGCTGCACCTCACCTCGATCCTCTTGGATCTGGTGATCTCCATCTAAAAACAAGACCCTCAATGGATTGAGGCTGGGAGATCCCACCTCATTGTATATTGCAAGGTAGCTCAGTAGCGTCTCCTTCAGACTCGAGGGCAGATTCCCCAAGTATTCACGTTCATACTCTACGTGCCATGCCCAATTGCTCGCGATGTTCTTGAGGGCGAGATGTTGCAACGATTTCTCAGGCGGGAATGATCCTGCCGGTAGAATGCTCGATCGAACCTGCAAGCGACGACCGTCATTTTCATGTTCACCACTGCTTCCTCTTTTATACTTCGCTGGGGCATAGATACTGTGCGTCAACCACGATCGAGGCGGAGGCGGACCGGGTATTCGACGCAGACGAGCTGGGCCAGAATGGCCGGGGGCAGGTATTGACCCTCCAGCATGGATTCTGCCTGCTCGTGGTTCGGGCGGTGGTGGCGGTGGTGGGAGGTCCAGGACTGCTCTTACCGATGGCGGAACTGATCCCGAGGTGGCTGTGGCTACTGCCACCGGCAACGACCTCTGCTGTTCATTGCGAAGTTGCTGACGGCGGGAGTCCCGAATCAGATCATTAACCGTGCGCTGCGCAGGGTCTTGGTGGGACGATGTTGATGAAGAACTGGAGAGTGCAAGAGTGTGTGGACTGCTTGACTGCGGCTTGATCTGGAGGGACTTTTGCTGGTATTTCTTGGGCATGTATGGGGATGTATGGCGGTCACTCCTAGCACTAATACCGGCCTACTAGGAGGGAGGAGGGAGCGAAGTGAGTCGAGATCGCAGAGATTGGTAGATATTGGCTGCCTTCCTACGAGTAATCAACCAGTGGCTCCGACGAGGGTTGGGAGTAAGAGTCATTCACGCGGGTTACATATGCTGGCTGGGCTAGATAAGGAAAGGATGATGTCACCGTTGCTTGCCGCTTTTACTCTTTTACGCCCTTTCTGAACTCCAAGTCGCGACGAGGCTGAGTTTTATATCACAACCAGTCAGTTCCATCACGTGGGAACAATTCAACCACCATCCTCAAATCCAGAATTGAATCAGAACTAAAAGAAACCTGGAGTCAGTACTGTTGGACTCTGTCTAAAACCTAAGGCCATACTGCCGCGCTATAAACATTCAGGGGCATTCCTGCACACAACCTAGGGAGAATGCGAGGCACGACGCGGTTCGTCTCCTTATCGCACAACTGAAACAATTCCCTTCCTCGACCTCAACTCTGCCGTCCGTGCTCAAAGCCTACTCTTCAACATGGATATTGATATCTCCGACATTTTGGCCTCTGTAACACGCACAGTGCCAGGGGACCCATCGTCATCGTCATCGTATCTCGACACGGATGCCTCAACAGATCACCAGCTACTCACGCGGTCTTGGGTCTCCGAACGATGCGCGCCAGACCTTCTCCCATATCCGACAAAGTTAATGCAACGAATCATGTCGCGCGTCCAACAGCAAATCAACACCATCGAAGACCTTGCCAGCGGCATGGGCGACGGATTTGATGGAGGCAGCGCAACTAAGGGGACTTCGCGGCAGAATGCGAATCTTACCCTCTCCATTCTTCAGACAGACCTGAGCCGGACGCAGTTCCTGGTCAGGAGCTTCTTGAGGCAGCGGCTGGCGAAGATGACGAAATTCGCCATGTTCTACTTGTCGAGCTTGGATGTGGACGAGAAGAACATCTATCTCAGCCCCGCGGAGACGCAGTTTCTCACGAATCATCAGGCGCTTTTGTCGCAGTTCTACCATGCGAGTTTTCTCTCTGCGTTCCCTGCCGGGTTGAGGCGATTGGACGATCCGAGCGGTGGTGTGCCGATGGTGGAGGGCCCGGACGGGGCGACGGCCGTGGTGGTAAGGTGTTTGCTGCCCGAGGGCTGGGGAAATGATGCGGAAGTGGATGAGAGAAGGGATGATGGCGCTAGCGTTGAGTTGAGGATGGGACGTGGCGAGGTATGGGTGGTCAGGTGGAAGGACGTGAGGAGGGGTGTGGAACGAGGCGATCTGGAGCTTTTATGACATGGCATTACAGTCCATGATGATGTTTCTACGGATCTGCGATGCTGCTCGGTCCGAGCTATCGTGCTCGACAAAATTCCTTACCCACAACTGAAACCAAAGATCTACCATATGCCTAACTACTGCAACCACGAGCAAGTGAAATGGTAGTAACCCCTAAACACGATCTCATTTCCCCTTCCTCACCTCCTCCAACCTAGCCTGCTGGTCCGGCCGAAGCAGCCACTGTAACTGCTCCTGCTGCTCTTGATCAAGGTACTGGACAAAGTCCTCGGCGGTGAGAAAATCATGGTCTGCGTATTCAAAGCCCGGGATGACAGTCTCACTAATCAACATGCCGTTCTTAGACTCCTGTCCCTCATCCTCATCAGGGTACAAGAAAGTCGCCTTGAACTTCCCCCCAGGGACAGCCCACTGCAAGTCCTCGCCGTTGACGAGGTCCTGGCCTACGAGGAACGAGTTGACCCGCACTCTACCATTCTCATCGCGCGGCTGATCAACGTACATAATAACATAAATCGCGCGGCCCTTGTGCAAGGTATGCACTGTGTGGCCTCGATTGCGATGGAAGTAACCCACAGGGCTCTTGGGCGTCAAGAGGTAGTTGATGCTGGTGCTCGCGTGCCTCGTCTCCGACGTGTCGACCTTATCAGTGGCGTTGCTGAGAGGTGGCAGGTCCTTGAATGGGTTGGGTACCATTCGTTGTTCGCGGTCAGTTTCGACAAAGTACCCGCCCTCAATGTGCGGTTGCATCTTCAAAATGTCGATTGTCGATTGGATGCTCTCCGATTCCGACGATGGCTGATTCGCCAGTAATTTTCTGGCGTATGAGGTATCAAATATTATACCTGACATGTCTCTCTTCGCCATCTTGCCTGTGGTTGTTGTGAATTCACTGTCCGAGATAATCCCGGCCTGTCCTTAGTGAGATGCGTCGTGTTGGTTGAGATGTCGCTAAATTCAAGCGACAGTGAAACGGTTGTCGCGGCGGCTTAAAATTAACAGGTATTCTAGTCCTGGTTTTTGTAGATGGAGTTCCTGTAGATAGACCAGGACGTGGAAAGAAAAGGAACTAGTCAATTGAGAGAGGGGGCCTGATTATTAGGTGAAGTGGAGACTGCAGGCTCACCGATAAAGACTTATATAGTTAGTAGTCGGATACCATACTATCCAGTTGTCCCCACTACAAGAATCATCGTTTTCGTTCACGTGCTTACCACCTGTATGTTGTCCCAGACTCCGATGCAATTCGATTTCTCATTCAAGGGCAGCACCTATCAAGGCCCAGAAAACAAAGAGTAAGCACGTCGTCATTGTCTCGAAAAGGGCTAATTGTGGCTATCGCTGTTCGATCGTCGCTCGAGCATCATCGATCTAGTAATTCATGTTACTGAATTTGGCTCTCTTGTGCATAAACATCTGCTCATCAGCCACCTGGAACCGCCGATCTTCTCCAGATCACTACGGCAGCTGCTCCAGCGCATACTATTACCCCAATCACCAGACCATATCGCATCAGTTGACCATCATCATCTTCCTGTAGAGGTCGAGGGTATGCTGTGACCGGTTCCAGAGCAAACTCGGCGATTGAAACAAATAGTTCTTGAATCGATGGCCATCTCACACTTGTAGAGATGGGCGGCCCTTGAGGCATCCTCTGGATCTGACCAACATATTCGTCTGGCTGATATTCGGATCGTTGCGTATTCCGATCTAAATCAGCTTTCAAGGCGACGTAGACCGATGGTAGATCCTCAAGATGAGGATACGCTTTTCTGATATTTGGTATGTAAGCGAAAGAATCTGGATCAGATGAATCATATGTGTAAACTATAACATCACACTGGTCGAGTAGCTTATTCTTATTTTCGAGCACAGCCGCTTCCGACTCGCCCAGTTCCTTTAGAATCAGATAACACTGGCGACCTCCAGGTAGTTCAACCGTGTTGACTGCTACTCTCGGTTGAATCGTTGGCAAATACAGATTGTTGAACGGTCGAGCGAGAAATGTGTCGAGCAAGGTCGATTTTCCCGACTGTGATGCTCCAAGCACGTGGGCCAATATGACATTTCTACCTATTCTCCCTGGCCTTCTTCTACGCTTGCGAGGTTTCGTCAATTTGAGGGCGGCCGTGGTAGTTGTGTTGGAACGATCAGGCGATTCAAATCCCAAATATGCCAGATACTCAAGAGTTGTCTTTGGAGAAGTAAAGGTCGTCATGGACCATTGCGCAAGCCAACCCTGTAGAGTCACATGACCAGCATCATTTCGGACAGTGCAAGCTGGAAAATTGTTGTCGACCCAGGACTGTGGTATGCCTGGTGTCGGGGCGAACAAAGATGCAAGCTCTTCATCCCTCAAACCCCCGTCATTATCTCGGTCTGAAGTTAGAAAAAGGTCGACAAAAAATCGATATCCCGCGGGCGACAGCTCGGCTGAAGCAAACTCGGGCACTTCGAATTTCGGGTGAAGGAAGGACTCCTGCAAAGAGAGGCTGTCTGTGTATTGAAACGTTCTCAAAATGACCCAAATTGTCTCGTGGCGGCCCTTTTCTGCGTAGAGCTTGTTGAGCAGGAGGAAAGCCTGTGGATTGATTCCACGAGCTGCAACCGTCCCCGGAAGGTGGTGATTGATTGTGTCCTTGATATGCTGCAAATCATCGGGGCTTAGGCCTTTGTCGAAGCATTTGATCTGGAAATCTCCCATCTCCTTATCGTTGAGATATCCATCTTGGTCTTTATCACAGAGATAGAATATGCGCAAAAGGGCGGCGGTTGCAGCAGGCTTGAGGACCAACTCTTTGGCATCGAACAGAGGCGCGACAGGGTGTGTTACCGCCTTTTGGCAAAGGAAGAAGGCTTCATTGACATTGTAGTGGTCACGGGCACTGGTACGTATGCAAGAGTCAATCTCTTTGAATTCAGCCATTACCGGGAGCATCTCTTCCTCCACTACCTGGGCAGACGTAGTGGTTGTGACCAAATCGGACTTGTTCGCACATAAAATGACTGGGAGGTTGACACCCAATGATCGGAAATGTGGTAGCCAGAACAGCGCGACTCTTTCGTAACTGTAGTGGTCGGAATAGACGAGGAGAATAACATTGGACTTGCGGAGTTCATTTGCTAGGGCGGCACGATCTTGAGGCAAAGCAGAGGTATCGACTATGGTCGTGGTGACACTTTCAGGAGTGCCCAGGGTTGGAGGGATGGTGATTTGAGGGAGAACGGCTTGTATTCTGTTGCTGACGAAGGTATCTTTTACGAGAGAAGTGATAAGACTAGACTTACCACACCCCTCGTCACCGCAGACACATATTCTGACGGTGGCCATGGTACCAGTGCGAGACCAGGAGGAGTTGATTGGCAGTCGCTGATTATTTACTTCATATCACGGTATGGAGCATGTCCATAGAGAAGACGCGGTAAAAGATCGATCAAACCTAAGTGAAGAATGTCCTCACTTCAGGTTGAGCAAGAGGGAAGCGTCATTCCGACAACCAGGCTTGATACTGCAAACGCGCGGTCTTGAGTTGAATAGACGAGCAAGTTGGACGCGTTTAAAGAGGCTTCGAGAAAGTTCATGTATCACGTGACCGCAGTTGCATATTCACGTGACTGTCATAAGAATACCTAGCATTTCGAATCTATTGTGCATATTAAATGTGGTGTACGAGTCGCCCGCGAGTGATCGGTGCTTTAGTCTAAATATCATTCAACTGAGTTTAATACGCAAGTAGTCCACAAAAGCATCCGCTGACAGTACCGATGTCTATTCAGATCGACCTTTGGCCGTGGTGGACAACTGGCAACCATTGTCGTAAGTAGAGGCTTCCCGTTGACAATATCCTCTCACTGTCTGAACCCGCAACCGTCAGGCCTCACTGGCAGCTAAAGGAGCCTGCCTGGTTCGGATCCCCTCCCACATACACCATGGTCTTTGGATAGAGACACAGGTTCGCCGTTCTCAGCTTGGTCGCACCTCCTGACAGCCCGGGCAGCAACCCAGGGATCGCCTTCGCTTCTAACGTTTCCGGGGCGACACCGTTCTCCACCCAATCTACCAGGCTTTGGAATGCGTCTCCGGGAAACCAGCCGGGCCCAGCACCGCAGTGAAATACGCCTGGGGCTTCAAAGAAGCGATAGTAGTCAGTTGCGTGTGAATCGAGCGCTTGGACGCGCTGCACGTAGTTCGCCGTGCCGTTCGGGAAGATCAGCTGGTCCGCGAGGCCGTGCCAGGTGATCAATTTGCCGCCGGCATCGCGAAATTCGGTCAAGTCGGGGTCAGCTGTGCCGATAATCGAATCATAGATGTTTGCGGACTTCCGGAACAGCCTGCTGAAGGATGTTCGGTTGATTGTGGTCAGATCGAACTGCGAGTCTCGCGCGAGGAAGATGCTGATCCAGTCTGCCGGGATGCTGAACGGATTCCCGACGCACGTGTCATTGGTGCAGCTGATGTTGACGAGGGCGTCGAAGGTTGCGCCAGGGTTGAGGCCGTACCAGAGCGAGTTGCCGCTCGGGTCGACCGGGCCTGCCCACGTGGCGTTGGCGACAGTGGCAGCAGCCGAGGTGATGGTGACGTTCTCGTATGTTGTCGTACAATTAAATACCCTCCCGACTGCTCCACTGGGGTCGAAATCACACAAGCCAGGATACGAGATGATACCGTCTGCAACACCATCCAGGGAATCACATGCCTCGATTGCGGCGAGTCGAACAGCTTCAAGCTCGCAGGGGCTGGGATACTCACCTATGAGATGTTGGTCAATATCTTGCGCAGCATTCGGCCAAACTCAGGGCTTCAAGGCCATAAAAAGTGCACTCTTACCTATCTCGTTCAAGATCAATTGCGGCCAATACTCGGCGAGAAGAAACTCGTTCCAGTTAAACGCGGGCGCAGATGCCAGAATCCCATTATATTGGTGTGGATAGCGCTGGGCCATCATATGACCCTGACGCCCGCCTGTCGAGCAACCGTTCCAGTAGGAGTAATTCTGTGGACGACCGTAGAATGCCTTTACAATGCCCTTGCCCAGCGTCGCAGCGTCGTCGAGTGCAATTGACGCAAAGTCCTGCAGAAGTGCCCAGTTGACGTTCCCGGGACTCGTCAGGCCCCAAGAGCGCGGACTACTATCGGGTTCGACCATCGAATGTCCGCCGTCAGTGAGCACGGCGGCGTAACCTTCGGCCGCTGGCCGATGAAGCGTGGCGATGCCTTGACCAGTTCCCCAGCCGCCGCCACCGATGCCCATGAAGCGGCCGTTCCAGCGGTCCGGTCGTGGCAGCCATATCATGGTGTTGATGGTGTCATTCTGCCCCGGGTGCGTATACGTTACGGCGACTTCACACACGTCGAGGCCGGTGATATTGACAGGGTACGAGTTTATTTGCGCCAGGAAGTATTCAGGCCCAAAGGTGAGGTTGGAGTGATACTGCGTCGTTGTGTTGAGGATTTCGCCCCCAAACAATGTGACGTTCAGGAAAATGTTGGCGTCACACTGCTGGCGGCCATCCTGGGCGAGCAGCGGCGTGGCGAGCACGAACATCGTCATGATTGTAGCCATCATTCTGCGCGTCTCGAGCAGCATTCTCAGTCTGTTGATGTCCAGCAGTCAACCAGAGTGGCTCAAACAACACCTGCCACAGGGTCGCCTTGTTCCGTCCGTAGGCCTGATGTCCTAGATAGATTGCTCCTCACGACATTGTAATTCCTATTGCGGCAGTGCGGCACGCTATGGTGTACCTCCCCATGTATTTCCCCGCCGACTCATCACGCTTGCATGGTTCTCAGTAGCATCAAGGTAACGTCAGGCTAGCGAGACGCATGGAACATTTCCACTGGGACCCGGATATTGACCCGCTTGGCCAAGTAAGGGTGGCCTCACTACGCTCGTTGCCTACAGCTTTGGGTTTTCCAATTGCCTAGTAGGAGGTCAAAAGCCCTTGGGCGCTTTGTGGATTTACTCCAGCATACCAAAACGATACATAGGGCTAATGTTACGTAGGCCAAGGCCCACCCCAGTCTTCCAGGTATGGAGTATTCCTGTAAGTACGAGTAGACTATCCTTGGAGCCTACTTGCGTCTATCATGAAACGGTATCTGTGGGATTTTACAAGGAACAATGCTCCTTAGGCTTGTACTGACTCTGACAGTGGCTCCGTTACCAACGCCATATTTCTATTGAAATATCTCGTCCCCACACTCGCCAAAGGTATATTGGCGCCTCTAATAATCTCCTTCTCACCGTCTACGAATTTGATGTAGAAGTTATTCCGATTCTTACCCAGTAAGTCTTCTATGGTAAGAATTTAGAGAGCTTCCTTAAGTGTAGAATTTCAAGGTCGACCAGATCGGAACATTTTCTCAATTCCGTATGCAACGGAAGCATCTTCGAGGCTTGTCGATAAGAGCCCGCCAGGCCCATCATGCTTGGAACAATGTGTGGGGATATTTCTGAGCCGATAAGGGCTGGCGAAAGTTAACCCACCTATGAATGCATTCGGTAAGTTCCCAACCTCTGCTACGCTACCCCTTGTTATGATCGCCTCGCAAGGAATTATCTTCTACCATTGTCCGTTGTCACTTGCGACGGCCAATTACTCTTGTCTGAAATAGATGGAGGAAACAACTATCGAAACATCCATGTCCTCCAAGAATGCTTGCGAAGATATTGACATCAAATCGTTGCTGGGCGCTCTTCCAGCTTGTAGGCGCTGCAGGAAGAAACGAAGAAGGTAGCCTCTTTTCTCCATGATAGTTTTTCGACCTTCTGGTACTGATCGCCACTGTGTAGATGTGACACAAAGCTGCCATCATGTGAAAACTGTGCAAAGGCTGATGTAGACTGCGTGTACTACGACCATGTGCTCCAGGAAGAGCTTCCAAGAAGGTTCGATACTCTCGAGTACACGGAATCGAAGACTGACCCGAAATAGCTACATATCATCACTCATAGAACACCTTCAGCAAGGCAGTCCTGTGAATCAATCTTCTCGAGATCAACCGCAAAAGCCTGGAATCCAAGCAACCAACGAGTCTTTACCAGTGCGCCAACCACAGTTTGCTTTCTCTCGAGGGGCGTACCGATACGTAGGAGCTGGTTCTATCCTTCTAGATGTTCAAGACCACCAGGATGCGAGACCCCAAACATGGACCGAGCGGCAGACACATAGTTTTCCCGCTCAAGCACCACCCAGTGCAAGCTTCATGGCTCCTGAGCTTATCCGCTACCTTCTCGAAGTCTTTTTCAATTCAGTCCATCAAGTCTTTCCAGTCTTGGATCCATCTTTGCCATGGCTAAATGCGGATATGGAATTCGACAATGCACTTGTCACTACCCAGGCGTGCGTATTGGAGATGGTTTGTGGCATCGCATGCCACTGTGACGACGTTCACAGCTCTGAACTCAAGACTGTGGCGTCTGCAGCATACGCTCGTGGTTTACAACACATGAATGCCGCAACAGCCGAGCCATCGATATCTACACTCCGGGTGGGTATTTTACTTGTCCTCTATTCTCTCTTCGATCCCATTAGTGGCAACATCAGCCAACAACTCGGCTTCGTTGTTCGGTTGTTGATCGATCTTGCTGGGTCAGTCGACTCTACCCAGTCTCCGAACCTTTCGACGCTATACTACACGATTTACTGCCTCGAGAACCATGTGTGCAACGTTCTAACACGACCTACAACATTACCAGAGCCTACCACCCCTTTAACCTTTTCGTCAGAAATACCGCTCGAGTTTCTATGCTCCTTGTATCGACTCCAGTCGAGACTTCGACGCGGGACTCTAGATGCAGCTTCTTGCGACGCTGTCATGCTTATCAACGATGGTGTGCTTGAAACACTCCACCCCAACATAGTTTCAACACTATGGGAGACGCGAGTATTGCTCAGAAAAACCTCATTCGTGGCTATCAGACTGATTCAAGCATACTCTACTGATGGCTACATCGCGACTTTTGCGACGCCATATTGGGTTTACAAAGCGAGTATAATCATCATTGATGCAATCCCGACGGTTGATAACCCATCGAGAGCCAGCCTGATGCTGGCATATGGCAAGTCGGTAGCACTCTTGTCTCAGTGGTCGGAGAAATGGGCTGCAGCGGCAACTCTGCTAAAATCCTTGCAGTGTTGTCTGCAGAATCAACACGAAATGATACCGTGATGGATTGAGATCCAAGGCTTGAACTTTTACTTTTCGTTCCGCCCCTGTCTGCTGTTTCACATGGTGAGACTATGCATTGGACCACCCCACAGCCGCGGTTCGGCTCTCGAGAACCGTGGGGTATCCCACGCTCATTTGGCTGGTAACGATTATTGCCTGGGCCGCCCTCGGGCGACAGCGGGGGGCCATTTACGGCACTTATCGCTGGCTCGGCTCCACTGTTTATCTGACTGATAAGATAAGTTAGCCTATGTATCTACAAACAATCATGCAGAACATGAGTTTGAAGCGAATGCTTATGCTTGAGCCTTATTGGTTGCGCAATGGATATTGCGCCGTGAACCACAACGTGCGTGACGGAGCTCCCTAAAGATGTTCCTGATATGCACCATGCCTTTGACCTAACGATGCAATTGCAATGACATCCCAGTTGCGCGTTCGTCGTCGGGCTCGGTCGTGCGCACGATGCGCACTGCGAAAGGTCCATTGTGATGCTCTCGCATCAGGTTGCTCCCGCTGCGCCCTGGCTGGCGTTCAGTGTGTGGCAATAGATACTACTACCTCGCGACATATGCCACGAAGCATTGCCCAGTTTCTTGAAACCAAGATTGCCCACAGGGAGCGTGAAAACGGGCAGAGGCATGACCCAACGCAAGTAAGTATGCACAGTTATGAAATACCGTATAGATCTCTTTCGACATGAACTCACATGATAAAGTCATCCGCGAGCGGTGGTTTCGCGACAGCGGTGGTCGATCAGCTTGTAGCTGCTATCACTCCCCCATTTCTGGGTTTGTCTGCTACGGTACCGCTGGCTCGGTGCGTGGTGGCAGGAACACGCCTACCTTCTGCGAAGGAAACAACGGGCATCATGAACGATATCCATGAGAACCATCCTCGATCCATCATTAACCCCCAATCAACAAGCAGGCCGTTACCGTCAATACCCGTGCATGTGGCAAACTATCTCTTCAACAACTATGTCACCCGCGTGTCTCCGCAGTATCCTATCCATTACATCCCGGACCTCGTCGCTATGCATGATGCTGTTTTTCATCAAACTGGGCCAGACAGAAATTCTCGAATTCCTGTGACTCCGTATGAAGTTTATACACTAAATCTCATCATGGCAATCTCATTATCCACTGCTGCTCGTTCAAATCAAAGCCAGGCTGACTCAATTGCAAGGGGACTTTTCGAGAATGCCATGGAGCAGATGCCGGGAGTTTTAACAAATGATCTACGCGGACTTCAAGCTCTCACGTTGTTGACACAATATGCCTTTCTCAATCCCAGCGTGGCCAATTTCTGGCTTCTCACTGGCTTCATTAGTCAAGCTTGTATCGACCTTGGCCTTCACCAAGAGCTTCCAGATCATGCTGCCAAGATCTCGGTCTTAGAGCGCGATCTGCGGCGGCGAGTGTTCTGGAGCGCATGGGAGATGGAAATCGCAGTGTCTGGCGCGTTGTTACGCCCCATCAATCTTCAAAGAAGAAGCATTACAACGGAGTTTCCATCCCAGGTAGAAGACGCCGCCATCACACCAGCGGGGATTGACTCAAATGGTCGTGTCACAAAGTTCAGTTCTCACTATATTTGGCGGTATCGTGAGATAGAATGCGATATTGTCCCCATCCTCTTCCACAACGAGCCAATACCACAAGAATTCGCGACCTTGGAGGGATGGATGTCACATCAAGAACGCGCCATTCTCGACTGGAAGGCGGAAATTCATGACGGTGCAGCACGTAATACAGATCCTCTGTCCCAATCACAGTGGGATGAGATGAAACACTATTCAGGAATTGCTTGCGACTATATTCTAGTCACACTGTTCCGGCCTTGCCCGCGCATCAAAGAACCTACGGTCGAAAACTTTCTCAAGGCCTTTTCCGCAGCGGTGGGCGTTGCTGACGGCAGTTGGGAGCAAGCGAATCTGGATTTCGGAAACAGCAAATATGTTTTCCATTCTTGCTATCACTCTTTCTCTGCTGCTATAGTCTTTCTCCAAGCACTGCAGCGGATCAAGATCGAGATTGCTGCTACGTATACGTTGAAGCAAATCGAGATGAAAATCAACGCATTCTCGCGCTTCTTCGCCACTCTGGCAGAGAGATGGCCTGCAGCATCCGGCTGTCTCGAAGAATATGAGCGACTCCTTGTCCCGGCCAGGAAGGAGTTCAGCGATTATCTCGTGCAGGAGGCGCATAGGCTCTCGGATCAAGATTCCTCGATAACCCAGCTTGCCGATGGTGCAGGCATCTATTCCAACTACGATCTGGGGGAAGAGTTCACGTTCGGCACGATTTTCAACTTTCCTGCACCGGACGTCGACAGAACATTGGATTACTGTTCGTACATCCCTGTGGATTGGGATCAGGAGTTCAATTTCGCGGTAGATAAGTCAATCTGATAGGATAAAGCCGTGATTGTAAAGTCGCATGTTGATTTAAGCCTGTGCAGGCAAAAACTGTGAGCTTCAGAGCAGACCAAGCGAGTCGAATCCGGCCATTGCTGGCTGATCATCGATTGTGTTTCGTTCTTGCACCCGTTCTCGTTCTCGTGGAACGTCAAGAAATTGCGTAAGAATTCTGGATATGCCCTGGACGTGACCGACCCATTACGAGTACTGGTGTGTCACTCCCATGGCTAGAGCCTTAATTTCACTGGTCCAGATCATTGATACCAGTCCAGCGGCCCCAGATATCGGAATCAATTTCTGACCCGTCTATCTGTCCGCGGGATGAGTAAACAACAGTACTGCGCGATATGTATCCGTTACACTAGTGACCTGGTGCCTTGTCCCGTGGCTTCTCCTTCCTTGGCTCGCTCATGTCCGGTCCCGTCGGATTTTGTGTCCCAGGTTTTGGTCCGACTCGCTCTACCCCAGCTGACGAGGCGGTAAGATTCCATCGATTATTGGTGATCCACAACAGCAATCATGAGACCCTTCCGGGGATTTCGCCCAGTCGTGTGAAATGGACAAAACCTTTCCTCAACTGCACAAGTAAATAGTGGGTCCGGGAAGCACGCTGCCACATGGTTGTGCCTACACCCGTCCACGTTTGCGCGTATTCCCATGTGTGAGGGTCTTTTAAGAATGCTCGTTTCGATGGCAACATGGTCTCTTTTGAAGTCTTCCCTATACAAAACATCATCTTCAAGACTTCATAATAGCAATAGCTATCAACGTCCCACCTTTGCAGCACTTCAAGACGGGTTGACTTTGACACCTTCGCCAGCATGCCTTCCTCGAAACCCGATCTCGAGATACCTGTTATCAACTTGAGTGGCTATCTTGATGGCGATCTCGAAGCAAAGAAATCATGTGCAGAAGAACTCCGTCATGCCATGGAAGACGTCGGCTTTCTCCAGGTGGTCGGCCATTCTGTCAGTGCCGACCTTCAGAAACGCTTCATCGAGAGCATCGCGGCCTTTTTCGCACTTCCATTGGCCGAGAAGCAGAAGATCTCCGGTGAATACTCGCCTTGCAACCGTGGATATGAGCGTATAGGAGTCGAGCGCCTTGAAGAACTGGAGGATAATTCTCAGCTCGAAGTCAAAGAGGGCTTCACTGTGCGACAGGAGACGCTGCCTGGACGCTTCATGACAGGGCCTAATCAGTGGCCTGATGCAAGCCTCCCTAAGATGAGCAACTTCAGAGAGACTTATATGGAGTACTATGCTGCTGTGCATGAGTTGAGCTCAAGCATGTTTCGACTTATCGCATTGAGCTTAGATCTCGACGAGCACTACTTCGATGCTTTTGCAGCGGATCCGGATGGTGAGTCTAATATCTTGTCATTAATCTTTGCACTCCCGCCCTGACCTGATGATAGGGATTCAGCTGTGCCGCTCACATCACTACCCTCCCACGCCGAAGGGTGCGACTGATCGCGGACGAGGGATTGGAGCCCACACCGACTTTGGAGCACTAACGCTTCTCCTTCAAGACGATATTGGAGGACTAGAAGTTTTGCACAAGCCAACTGGAACGTGGCATCATGTAACACCGATCGAAGGAGCATATGTCATCAACATAGGTGACTTGATGCAACGGTGGACAAACGACAGATATCGCAGCACAATGCACAGGGTCATGTCCCCCACCTCCAACAAGCCTCGATACTCGGTTGCATTCTTCAATGACGGTGCGTTGGACACGGTGATTGAAGCTATCCCTACCTGTGTTGCACCTGGAGAGTCCCCGAAATATGGCCCGCTGAAAGTCGAGGACCATCTTATTAGGCGATATAAGCAGAGCTATTCCATGGGAGGGGCTGATATCAAGACACCGCCTACCAAGATAGAACATACCACACTCGCCCAACCGATTGCTGTCTAGACTAAATAATCTTTATGCCTGCTTGCTATGAGGAAAAGGAACACATCAAATACACTAGGTTTTTAAAGGATCATGGACTAGCCTTGAATGCTTTGAGTAGAATATGCTCTATTATAGTTATGTTTGAATCTACAAGGCTGTGAAAGGCCATAGCAAGGCTCAGAACTATGCATGCGATAATGGTCCACTTTGAACATTAAGTTATTTTTTCGACTTGGTAGTTTGCCGTTGCTGGTGGGAAGCCGCAGAATGTTCCGTCTTTGATTTTGACGTCTTCATTTTCAGCTGTCTCATAGTGTCCTTTGACCAGATCCTTCATGTATGTGTACGGACAGTCGCGAGCCCCATCGTTCACTGCCACATATCCACGGTGGCCCAGTTGGTAGAGATTGTTCTCGACACCCCATTCGCGGCGGCGTCGCCGCACTTCCTCGGGTCGAATCTCACAAGCGACGACGTGGTCAGCAGTTCCATCTCCACGCTCCAATATATTCCCTTCCGGATCAACGAACATGGCTTGGCCCATGCTTCGCCATGTAGAATCGGCTCCTGCCAACGCCACACTGACCGTATACATGAGGTTGGTAAAGGCGTTGGCACGATTGGTGATTTCCCAGCTACTTTTGATGGGCGAGGTGTATCCTGCCGTGCGTAAAAGCAGCTCGGCTCCAAGATATGCAGCCTCGCGCGCCATTTCGGGGAACATGCCATCGTGGCAGATGATCAGAGACATTTTCATACCACCAGGCCCAGTAAAGACCGATAGTCCTTGGTTGCCAGGATACCAGGGCTCTACGGGCACCCAAGGGTGTACCTTCCGGTAGTAATTGACTAGGTTGCCGCTCGAGTCGAAGGTAATGCCTATATTCCACGGCATTGCATTCTCTGAGCGCTCGTTCTTCTCCATGATGCTGAAGACGCCCCAGACTTGCTCTTCGGCGCATACATTTCGGAATGCTGCCACTTCTGGTCCATCAAGGGTGCACATGATACTCTGGTCTGTTGACATCGACAAGCCATGGATGCAATACTCCGGGAAAAGCACCAGGTCGACGGCAGGATATTCCCGTTTCGCACGACGAACTAGGTTACAGACATGGTTTGTGGCCTTCGAAAGGTCTTCGGGAGTGTCGACGCGGAACAGCTGCGATTGGATGGCGGCAACGACAATACCGCCAGAGGTCTTGTTCAACCCGCTGAGTCCGCTCATCGTGAAGAATGGAGTTGGACCAGAGGACTGTGCCGGTGCTCCGAGTAATACAACTGAAGCTGGTCTGTCGGTGCAAACATGTCGTCAGACATTTGAGCGACTCCAATCAGTTTCTCGGCGTTTCTCAGCAGTCCAAGGGATGTTCACTACCCCATCCCCATATCTGGAGGTTGAGTTAGGTGGAGTCAGTATCGAGCGCCTATCAACGCCTCCACAGTTTAGTGCGTGCCCACACCCGAACTTGCCCGCGCGCAGCCCCGTAGATTAGATAGACTTCATTTATTGGTCACAATTGGAAAGTTCGTCAAGAGATCATCGGCCTCCCAACCAGTGACAGGGCGGGCAAGCGAACGACGCAGGTTCGAGCCTTTGAACTCGACGGAACTGAGCGCAACCAGTGCATTTTGAAGGGAGTCCGTAAATGTAATTGCTAAAGTACTATAAGATATCTGACCACTTTTTGCGGATCAGACTCTACGAGGCAACATCAACCATCAGTGCAGGCAGGCAGTCAAAAGCCAAAGGCAGCACAATACTTAAGACACCAACAATGAATAGTTTTGAGGCAGTTTCCCGCTCAAAGTCCAACTCAGAAATTGGGGAGAAGATGGCGTCGGTGGTCGGAAAGCAGTTGAACTCTGAAGAGGACGTCCGAGTCGGCGACATGGATGACGACGGAGAAGTATTCAAGGCAAATACGGAGAAGGCGAAGTTTCGTGCTTTAGGAACGTGAGTTATGCCAGAAAAGCATCCCTTGAAGCCTGGTCTGTGGAAGTATGTGCTAACAGTAAGGCTTTCATGAAGGCTTCGCACCACCGTCGTCCTCGTCAAGCTCTGTTTCGCAACCGGCGTTCTTTCTATTCCCGCTGCTCTGGGCGTGGTTGGATATGGACCGGGTCTGGTGCTCCTCGCCCTGTGGAGCGGTCTGACGATGTGTGAGTTCACAAGAATGGCCCGAGCTTTGAGATATGGGGTCTAAAAAGTTGCAATTACAGATTACTCCTACGTGATGTACCAGTTTCGAATGAAATACCGTGGTGTTCACAATATTGTGGATGCCGCCATGTTGGTGGGCGGGCCTATCGCGCGTGAAGTCACATCTGTGCTCTTCCTGCTGACCTGGATGTGAGTCAAGTTGGATTTTTAAGCCTCGTTGACTCGATGCTAAAGACCGCTGAACTGACGCTTGTGCATACAATCAGCCTTGCAACGGGCTCAGGGTTCATCGGCCTTTCTCAAGGCCTGAAAATCCTTGCCAACGGCAAAGGTTGTACTATCCTTTGGACACTAGTGGCCGCTGTCGCTACTGGCCTGCTATCCAGTATCAGAACGCTCGGCAAATTGGCCATATTGACCTGGATTGGCTTCGCCAGCATCTTCACCGCTGTATTTATCATCGTGTAAGGGACCCAGGATTCTGTTGCCTGACAAGATCCACTAATATTTGTGCTGCTGGTAGTGTTGGCGTTACAGTTGTTGACAGACCAGCTGCAGCTCCCCCCACCGGTCCGTATGACCTTGGTGTTATAGCTGTTGGCAGTCCTGGCTTCGTTGCAGGCTTGGTTGCGGCTCTCAATCTTTTTTGTAAGTGCTCATTCGCATCAGGCACGATCTAGTTAGATCCGAGCTGACCGGAATAATGCAGCTGGATTTGGCTCCACCTCCACATTCATGCCTGTTATCGCCGAAATGAAAGTACCGAAGAAGTTTCCCAAGGCTCTTCTCATCTCTCAGGGTTTTTTGGTGGTTTGCTACATGACTTTTGGAATAGTGATCTATATGTGAGTGCATCTTCCTTGCCTGCAAGATGCCAGAAAGCTGACATACGATATTAACTAGCTATTGTGGACAATACATTGCCAGTCCATCTTTGGCCAGTGCGGGAGGTACTCTGGAGAAGGTCGCCTATGGCGTCTCCATCCCTGGCTTCATGATGACCTCAACTTTATGGGTCCATGTGGCCGCAAAATTTGTAAGTGCAATCGCTAGTGAGCCAACAGAGGACCAAAGGAGCTGACCACGTCTATTCCGTAGCTTCTTGTTCGTATTTTGCGCGACTCGAATCACCTCCAAAGCAACAGCGTCACACATTGGGCAACTTGGCTGTAAGTTGTGTCCTTTCGAGGCTTGTGCTCCAATCTCGACGAGAATCGCGCTATTGTTGGTTCAATGTTAATCATGGCTCATACAGGTCGTCGACAATTGGACTCACCATTTTGTCTTTTCTCCTTGCAGAAGCTATTCCCTTCTTCAACTACATCCTCGGCTTTATTGGCTCGATTTGCTGTTCTCCCACCTGTGTAAGTGCCTCGCCATAATTCCGCTGGCGCCATTTGAGAGACAATCGTGAGCCTGCTGACAAATACAACATAGCTGGTGATTCCTGCGATCATGGGTCTCTACATGCACCGCGACAGCTACCGATCTAATAAGCGAATAATGGCTCTTTGTGCATTCCACTGCATCGTGGTGGTAGGGGGCTCCTTCATGGCGATCGCAGGTACTTACACCACCATTCAAAGTATCGTAGACGCCTATGCCGTAAATGGCGTGAAACGGGCCTTTACCTGCTCATAGGATGTGTTTAATCCAGTGAGTTGCCGGAAACTATGTGCTTTGTCCGGATAGATTGGCCAAAAGACCGCATGCTTGGGATAATAAGTTGTAATAAACTGGTGAGAACAACATCTTTTTGGTCTTGGAGTACAAGAAGAAGCCAGACGTGGAATTCAGGCGATATTCCTGGAGTTCTTGTTGATGTTCAACAGCAGGTGGGGATAACGAGATGGAACCCTTGTATAGATGGAAGCAGGGCAAGGCTCCACAAGCTCTCCGCCATGCTTCGAACACCATCCTCACCTGGCCTTTGAGTTTTTTTATGGAGTACCTTTATTCACAAGACTTACTAAGCTTTTTAAGACTGTTATCGTAATTACTCTGATACTCTGCTCAGTCACCCTCAACTAAACGATCTGTCAAAGCTCTGATTAAGAAGAGCATCGATCTTGGGTTTGGCAAGCAAGCTTTTTCGTTCAGGAGTTATCCCTTGAGCCGGCATGTGGGTTTCCTCGGGCCCTAGCGCCTTCGTAGCCCTCTTACTTCACACGCGAATAGCTTTTTCTATAGATATCTAGGCGTCTCAGAAATCAGGGTAGATTAGACTAGCCTTAAAGCCGTAGATATCTAAGTAATCTACCGAATGTAGAGGAGTGCCTTAGTTCTTATAGTAAGGGTATTTCATATAAGGCTATTAGATGATTTTAAGAAAGTAAAGGCTATAATTTAGGCGGTTCAATTATGATGGAAAAAGAGAAGCGATAAAGTGAAATGTTCTATTTACTGGGTCAACAGTAATCAGTTTAACGCTTCATAATACCTAACAAATTGGATCTACGAGCTGGTTTCATAATGGTAGATCGTCCTGTAAATCGAGACACCAGCCTGTGGGAGTAAGGGAAACTAGCTAGAATCACGGGAATGCGCGGGCTCTCTCCCTCAAAGCATCTATACGGCAGACGACCGAGAGAATAAAAAGTATCCGCGGCTTTTAGGCGAGTCTAACAGAACTGTCAGAAGATTTCCGTTTCTCGTTGCCTTCTAGAACCCACACGTAGTGTTGCACACTTTCTGCCTTTTCAAGTGGTCTTAAATGCTCTTTTCCGTGGTGCAAGATGCAGAATTCATTAACTGGATCATCGACATGTGCAGTGAACTGATCACTGGGATCTCTAACGAAGCACAACACAGCAGAAAAGTTAGTTGAGATTGATCGGAAATATAAAGTTCCTAAACATACTCAAACCCGCAGCCACACTAAAGCACCCACCACAGATCCAAACATTCCGAAAAGCAATTGTGTAAGCGTCTAGCATACCTTCTAGCCCGGCCTGCACGATTACTGGTGTAACTCCTGTAATCTTCGACAGAAATTCTTCGTTCTTGGTGCTGAGAGCCATAACAAATTCTTCCTGACTAGCCTTTGGCAGTCCCAAGGAAATAACAGCAGCCAGTATCTTTGGCACAAGGTTTTACGCACTGTCGAATTGAATAAGGCATTGAAAATAGCCAGACCAACAGATGCGCCAAGAGCTCTAGTGGCAATGACCAAGCCAGTCCCGGTTGATATCAGTCGCGGGGGAATCGAAAGTTGAGCGGCAACAATGAGAGGACTCAGTGACAGCGCGAGCCCCATGCCAATGAATATGTTGTAGCCCTAGAGGTTTGCGATAGGTGTTGAAGCTGTTGCTGTTGCCATGAGGACGAAGTAGACTATAAAGCACCCAAACGCGAGTACCGCAGGCGGTCGAACCTTCTTTGTCCGGGAGCAGTACATTCCTGTAAGAATCGTGGTTACGATTGAGGCATAATAGACAATGCTATAGATAAGTCCCGACGTGAAGAGATTCTGTCCGTAGAGGAAGCTGCATTGGAAGCCAGAATAGTTGGCTACGGCAATGTAAGAGAGAGACGCGACAAAAACTCCTGCTTGCGCAATGGCCAAATTGCGAGATGTATAGAGATCGTGGTCGAACAGCCCGTGCTTTTTGTAGAAAACCGCATAACCCCCCAGAGCAATGGCGCTGGCTACACCGACAAGAAACGGTGCCAGGACACGAGCACTGGTCCACGGGTATGGATTGTTGGTGTAACCTATGCCGACACAGAATGTCAATAGAGAGATCACCACGAGGATAATAGCAGGAAGATCCAAGTCGCGTAAATTTGCGGAAAGGCTCAATCTCTGCTCTTGTCGCACTTATGGCCGATAGAAGATGGCCAGTAGTAAGGCAGCGATTAAATATATACCTGCCAGCAGGTAGAAATAACCACGCTATCCCGACGGGTTCGTTTTGACCATAGCACCAGCAACATATAGACCAAAGATAGCACCAATCCCCGCTGCGAGAATAACAGCAGTCTGCGCCATGTAGCCAAAGATGATGGCCTGAAGATAACAAGGTGAGCTGCTTTGTTTCCCTGTATTGGAGCACGCATAAAAACTTACAATCACGGTGAGCACAGAGATAGCAGTGACCTTTTCATCCTCTTTGGAGTGATCCATGACAGGTTCAGGAGTGCCAGTGGCTGCTCCCAACCCTTCGATCTGAGCATGGTCAATCTCACTTTTCTCAGACATGTTTGATGCTTAAAGGTTAGATATCTGTACCGAGTCCACTGCGGTGTTGACTGAGTCAGTGCTCATCTCGCCTATCTGTAGAACTTGCGAGGTGGATAGGTCCTTTTTATGTCTTTCTCTGCCTCCATGACCAGGGTAGCCACATCCCTAAGTCAGTGATTCTCGGATAACAAGGGATAACAAGCGAACCGCTGATTAAGTGTGGAGCAGAACCTTGTGCTCACCATGCTGGGCCTGGAGCTCCAGCATTGCCCCCATCTTCCCCAGATCAGGGGGCCTACCTAATCCTAGCGCCAAAGTTCGGGAAAACGAGACAACGCCGAAAGGCAAATGTCCTGGTGTGGACCAAATCCAGATTGGACATGCCGAATCAAGGGCGTTTTTGTTTTGCAAGCCTTCAGTGGGAAATTGGAGCATAACAAACAATCCAAGAGCTCGTCAAACTTAACGCAGCTGTCGCTCCCCGGACCGGATACCGATCGAAGGAAGGCTTGATGAGTGACTGTCTGCAAGGGATCTTCAACATTGTTTGAACAGATAATCTGACTTCTCTCGAGGATGAAATTCGTCGAAAACCTTCAAACAGCTGCAACAGGCCCGGATCATCCGCCCTATTCAGGCCAGAACATCTCCGCTCGCTCTGAATCGATCGTTCATCATGACTCCGAAGGTTGTCATTAATGGCACCACCAAGCCGCCTGGAAAACCACACCCAAGCCCCACCTTCTTTGCGCATGCTGTTCTCCGTACTACCATGGACCATTACGAGGAAATGAGTCAGTGGTATATTGACTTATTAGGGGCAGAGGTTGTCCATAAGACTGCCAACATAACGTTTCTACGTTATGATGAAGAACATCACCGTATCGCCATTTTTGCGAGCCCGGAGCATGTTCCAAATCAAAAGGTGGACTGAACGCAGAAGTCGATCATTTAGCCTTTACTTATTCCACTCTCACAGAGTTGGCACAAGTCTATACATCCCTCCATTCAAAAGCTTGGGAGCCGGTCTGGACTATCAATCATGGACCGACGACAAGCATTTACTACGGCGATCCTGACGGCAACAAAATCGAACTTCAGGTAGATAACTTTGATACTAAGGAGAAGCGGACGCATTTATGAAGGGGCCATTATTCAGCACGAATCCCATTGGCACAGAAATTGACGCTGATGCATGGGCTGCGGAGATACTGGCCAAGGTTGGTCCGAACGGCGACGAAGGTTTGGACAGCGAGAAGGTCAAAAGATCAAGAAAAGGCGAGAAATTGGCGCGCGCTATAGCTTGCCCGACAATACTGTCTAGATATTGCCGTCGTTGACCCTCCGCAGAATCGCAGTCTCTGGTAGGAGGTGAAAAGAGTATTACCCCGTGGATGAATGACTATCCTCTGGTGGAAGATATGGAAGATAGGTGGACAAGGCTGGTAATGCAGCAGTGAGACCAGCAATGCAACAGCTAGGGTTAAAGTCTTGCTCCCCGGACCTAAGAGAGATGGGCTTTGACCTTCAGTGTTTCATCACTTTTCTGTGCCTCAAATTGAATGCGAATCCAACTTTATTCTCTCTTGACTTTCGTCTTACTCTGAAATTAAGAACCAAACTAGAGCCGACTACGCTGCTGTTGGATAAGTCGTGCATCTTCTTTTGCCATTCTTTAACAACCCTTCGCATGATTTTGCCACTTAGAAGCCTCGGAATTGCTTCCTTGAACTGTATTCCGCCTCTCAATTGCTTGTGTTTAGCCACCTTTTGGGCCACATAACTCAAGATATCCTCCTCTGTCAAACCTTGGCCGAGGGCATCAGGATGCGCCACAACATAGCCTCGAGGATATTCATTTCCATCAACCGACAGTCCCACTACAGCCGCATCCACAATTAGGTCGTGCTGAAGTAGGACGGCTTCAAGCTCTGCGGGTGCCACTTGCGACCCATTGACCTTGATCAGCTCTTTCTTCCGATCCACGATCCACCATAGGTCGTCCTTGACAATAACTATATCGCCAGTTTTGAGCCAACCCCCAGCAGCATAACTGTCATTCGTTGCCTTTCTATTTTTCCAGTAGCCCAGCATCATCTGAGGGCCACGTATCCAAAGCTCTCCGGGGCCTGTTTCAATCTCCTGGGCCCTCTCATCCACGATCATGGCTTGTGTATTTGGAAGTAGGTAACCTATACTGTTATGATTGTAGATCCTGTTGATAGGTAGCTTTGTGCCGACACAAGTAGTTTCCGTCGTCCCCCAGCCGCGGGAGATGCAAAACCCAAATCGCTTTATTAGGTCGGACTGTAGTTCTAGCGATATCGGAGCTGCGCCCACCATGACATTTTTCAGGCTACTTAAATCGAACTTCATAGTATCGGGGGTGCTAGCAATCAAGGCCATTACGGGGGACACCGTTTGTATCGTAGTGATCTTGAATTTCTGGATGTATTCAAGAAACGTAGTAAGGGCGAACTTTTCCAGGATGTAGACGGGAATCCCCAGCCGGCAAGCGATATTAATAGTGTATAGTTGAGAGAAAGCATGATAGAGAGGCAGACCAGCAAGCCACTTTTCATTATCTCCGATCTGTGTTTCTGGCGCCGTATCGAACATCCCACGAAGTACTTGAGATGCATTTGATACGAGGTTATAGTGGCTGGTGCACACCCCCTTGGGTAATCCTGTTGTTCCACTGGAGAAATTAATAGTTGCTATCTGTATCTCAGCCTGATTGCCGAGCTCATCCCAATCCCAGGAAGCAGCGTCCTGGTTTGAAGCAAGGAGTGTTCTCCAGTCTCGAACACCGTCTTGCTCAGCACAGGTATATGCCGAGAAAAGAAACGTCCTCGCCTTTGGTACTCCAAGTTTTTTAGCTGCGGCCATTGCAGTTTTAAAGAGGCTCGGGTGGACCAGGATCACCGCGGGCTTAACGATCAACATCTGATAAGCAAGTTCGTCAGCGGTGTATGCTGAGTTAGCACCAGTGTAATATCTTTTAGAACCCGCGGCTCCGAGATATATCACCGGTACATAGAGGTGGTTGGGGGTGAACTCCATAATGGCAGTATTCTCCCCAATTCCCAGGTTGTCCAGTCCCAGAGCAAACTTCTTCACCCAGAGCAACAGATCAGCTGGCGATAAGCTATTTCTGGGGAACTTGGCATCAATCCAGAGTGGTGTCAAAGAAGGATCCTTCCCTGTCGGGAATAAATATGATAGAATATTGCATTTTGGGATGTTGATATCGTCGTATGGCGATTTGGAAATCATCTCTTTTACGTCTCGGCACAGGAGTAGTAATTAAGAATCTTCACGTATGATTTTCGTGATAGAGCGGCTTCAATGTTTTGGAACTTTTGTCGAAAATTGACATCTTCCAGATGGGGAGCCTTCCTTACGAAGGACTGCTATCGTCGACGAGGAAGTTCGGGAATTGGCCCCTTCACGCTGACACGGAAACAAATTTCAAGCAATGCACCATGGGTGGCACCCTGCAGCCGGAATTCGGTGTTGTCTGGGAGCCCGGAAATATAGAGGAATTTTTCGGGCTCGGTGCGCGATTTGAGCTCCGTGTCAATCCTTTCATTGTTCTGAATAACTTAGCACCGATCACTCGGACCCATTTACATTATTCTCATCTCAAATATGAAATGGTGACTATGACTGCATATTTCGCTCTGTGCGGTAGTTAAGTTCGTTCATGCTTTCAGCAAGCTCTTCAGCGCATAATATGATGATTATCATATTCCTAAGGGGTTTTGGGTTTTGGCAATCAGTGGGGACTGCATCGAAACCGGAGGATATATCCCGATGGAAAGCAATTCAATCCTGAGCGATGGTTATGTCCAAAGCCCACAGCCACGTAGAAGACACCCGATGAGGATCAACCGACGATCAGGCATTATCAGCCTTTGGCTTTGGCCGCTACATCTGTCCTGGTTATGAACTGGTCGCACATGCATTATTCATCCGAATTGCTTTCTTTGCATGGGCATGTCGCATTTACAGAAAGGTTATTGACGCAGAGGAAGTTCCCGTGCAGTTCTACGACTATTCGCACAGAGGAAATATCTTTCCAAATCCGGTTGTATTTGACGTCAGCCCTTATGACGATAGTATGGTCGCTATGGTGGAAAAAGCTTGGAAGGCGGCCTTCGTTCACGGCGTTTGAATGGATGAGCTGTGGAATGAAAATATGAAATGAAAGTCTGTCCAGTTGTATTTAACATGGCACACAATACACACAAGGAACTCTGTGTGGAACGTTAGAAGTCAGGGCAAAATCTCAAATTTCTGTGGACTGGGGTTCGTAGCTGATATGATCCTCTGCTGGCCAGGTAAGGCTTCCAGCAATGCAGCAGAAATTGAAGGGCGCAAGCAGTAAGTCAATCGAACTAATGGCTAGCAGTGACTTCGGAGATCTCGATTTTCCCGGACTCTGGGCCCGTAACTTTTACCCACAAGTGCGTCCCATGGAGTCACTGGATCTTTTCCAGCCTAGGGGGCAAATTTGGTCCAACTACATAGAGCTGCGTCGAGTGACCACATCACTCCCATTAAAGGATGGCCGCTTTGACCTCACACGTATCTCAAGCTGGCAAGAGTTCAAACCACGGCCTCTTTCGCTCGACCTGTAGCTCATTGTGATTGAGTTTCGCGAGAGCAGGCGCTAGACTATATTGGAACTTCTACGCTTTCATCTATGATTTTGTAGTGATATCTCGGCGCAGTCATACTTCGACTTCACTGTTTGCTCGGATCCAACTCGTGTAATGCGAGTGAGGTTTTGGTCCCGGCTCCCAGTCCCCGTTTCAAGTTAGCATTGTCAACTGCAAAAATTATTGTGGCAAGCTGGAGTCCAATAAGCAGACAAGGGATTGTCAGGATCGTAGCTCTGGCGAATGATTGATTTGCAGGCGACGAAACTTGTCGGGCACAATGAATCTCGCCGGCCGGAAGACCAAGTTCTAAGCCGCTTCGAGGGAGACTCGGTACTTTTGAAGGGAGAATACAGCAGACCTAGTGAGTATGCTAGTTCCACGCCTAAGCAAGGAATAACGGCAGTCCCCTCCACTTATAGGGCTGTCGTTTCTCAAGGCACGCCCGTTGATCGATCGCCTTGATTCTGAATTTTCGCCATGCCAGAGGATTGGGTCTGCGCGCTTGCCCTCGGAGATTTCTGCTAATTAGCCAGCCGGCCTTTGAGCATTAAGGGCACTATGGAACGGACAGAGGAATGACTCACTTCAAATTTACAACAATCTCGAGACGAGCATATATATATTGGCACAATTGATCGAGCCCGCCCGAGTCGGCACCGGTTCTACCATCACAATCGTTATAACTACCACATAAGGTCTTCCAAGCCACGGGAATTTCGTCCGCGGAGTCTCACCGCATAAGTACGAACTATCACTTCGTATCAGAACCGAAGGGTAGTGCCATAATGGCAAGCTCTTCCAACAGCGAATCCCAATTAATGCATCCAACTGGTGAAAGGGCTCATACTAAAGTTTTCTGCGGTGGTCACAGGCACCAGAGTACTCCATAACTCCATATCGGCTTCAAATCCCGGGTCGAACAACTGCAACAACGCCGTTAGCAAAAGGCAACGGAGCTGGACAGTTGAAATCATGTAAGGGAAATGGCTGAACAAAGGAAATGCTGTAGGTACGCAGTAGACCTACTTCTTGGGCACACTCCTCTTCCTCCAAGGCAGGATTATTTGCGTCAGCATTGACGTCTGTTCCCAGAGAATCCATAATTTCCCAAGCCTTCGGCTTGATGGCTTGGGAGTAAGCACCCCTGGCCAATCTTGCTCGACTAATGGCTGCCGAGGCGAACACCCCCCATTCTTTAGCGAATGGGAACGAAAAAGAGCCATCTGTAGCAAATTCAAGGCGGGAGTTGAAGCCAGCGGCAATTTCCATCAAAACAAGATCTGATTGAGCCGTTTCAGCAGCTGGATTGGTCAGAATGTGCGTGAAAAGCAGTATAAGCGCTCTATGGGGCGTATACATGGCAAGTCTGTCCCTAGTGCTTCAGTAACGCGGGCCCGCAAGTTTACTTGGACGAGGAAGTAGCTCACAGTACTGGAGTGTTTGCGTCAAGCTGGACCAATCTGCAGCCCAGTATAGCCACGCGCGCCGTTCTGGCGATGATGGCGCAGGAATTTTGGACCTGAGGATGAAAAGTATCAAACCGTTTTGACCCGGTTAAGTGGAACCAGGGAAGCATCAGAGGAGTGTGAATATCAAACAGGACACTATAGTATAGAAAGTAAACCATAATCAGCTGGAACATAGTCATCATCCGTGGCATCGGCATCTCATCTAGTTGTTCGTCAAGGTCGATAATATGGTTGATAGTACGCTTGAACAAGATAACCTCTTCATGCAGCTCAGCCACTGCTCTGATCAGCTCCTCCGCGGACTGGCGAAGAGCTCGAGCACTAGACAGGCGTTTATATGCCCGAGATTGAATTTGACTGAGCTTGATGCATATTGTGCAAAATGTGTCGCTCGAAGAGTCGGCGGGTAATAAAGTCTCAGGCGCATCGCAGCTGATGTCATCGTCGTCAATGGCCTGTAAAAATAGTCAGTAAGCATAATCTATTTCACCTTTAACGCGCCGAAATTATACCGGTGGACGTCCGGATCGAGAGGCGATCTGTCTGTCAAGTGTATAGAGAATCCAGAACAGCTTGCTGCGTTTGCGAGTCTCGTGCTGTGGCCGATTCCAAGTAGATGCAGGCTGGCGATGAAGACCTTTCGATATTGCTAAGCGGACCGCATTCGATGCCAACATGTATTCGAGGTGAGGGGCGCCAATCCCTTCGCTAAAGCACGCCTGACCATAGGTTAGACATCCCTTGATCTGGCCTAGGCCTCAGGAAGAGTTACCATTAACAACAAGGCCCTTACGCTGATTATCGAAGAGCGGCATTGTAATATATCTGGCTGAATAGACAAAGCATTCTCGAACAAGGCAACAGAAGCCTCTACCGCCTTAGAGAAGGACTGTGATTTACTAAGGGAGACCCGACATCCAAATGCAAACACCGTATAGCGGAGTGCATACCATGAAGGATCCTCAAAATCCCGCCTATTGTTCGAAAAATGTTCGGTCAATCTGCTCCTGAACCAGTTGCAGTCGACAACACCGATGTCAGCTTCGAAACACCTGTCAAAAAATGCTGTCGAGGGGTCAACTCAGCTCGACCAGATTGATGAGATCTTTGTGTTAACACTCACTATTGGTATATAGCCAAGCGATATCTTCCGTCGGCTCGGAAGCCCGACTTTTTGACTGGAGGAAGCTTTCCGGCCCTACTTTCATCCTTCGCGTGATATCTCTTGCAAATCGTAGAATAGACTCTCTGACCGCTTGCATCTTGACCTTGCTCTCCACCCAACTGATGGCAGACTGCGAGCAGATAGACATAATACATCTTGGTCCTTTGATAATGCATTAATGGCTTAATAGAATACTCAACTCGAAACGGACGTGGCTTACCATTGTATTCCCAATTCGACTTGTGTTGATGTCAGTAAAAGTCCCTCACACCAATCATCTAGTAAGCACTCACCATTTCGTCTGAAATAAGGCTGGAAGTTTCTTGTGAGCCCGGTTCCTCGAGACAAGGCACGACAGAGTCTGCCTCCGCTTCGATAGTGCTAGACACCTTGCCAACCACGGTTGTCATTGTTGCCGACATATCATCAGATAGTGAGGCCTCAAAGCCGGAGACATGTGTGTGATTCGCATCCCGTCCAATATACCCGTGTTCGTTCTGGAAGCCTGGTGGTGCGAAACCTTTCATCTGGTGCTGGTCTAGTTGCAAAGAAAGGTAAGGTCGTGGCCATTGTGACTGAGGCGAAGAGGTCTTCTCGCTTTCCGGGTTCCTGGGCGCTGACATCTCGTACTCTGAGGAAACTTGATCATGTGTTGAAAGAGAACCATCTCGGGAAACTATTGCTTCATCTCTGGCCGTGGTAGCAGTCTGACCAGCGTGAGAGCCTTCGCGCAGTGCAGAAGTCGAATCGATCAAACTTTCTAGTCGACCGAGACGTGCAGAGACCGTCTCATGGGCCGGCCGTGGCTTCCGTCTAAACCGCCGCCTTGTGGTTAAAACACATACTGCATCATGATCGACGCATTGCTTGCATGGATAACCTCCCTCACCTGCGCAGTTTCAGATATATAACGACCCAAATGGCAAAATTATACTTACATCTTACTTTCTTACCCTGGCAGAATGTGCAAGCTTGGGAATATTTGGCTTTGTGGGCCGGGAGATTGGTACTTGGAGCAGCTGAAAGCTCCATGATCGTCATGGGGGAACAAAGTCGAAGTCAATCTCGCTGTATAGTTATCGGGCGTTGCTTCTCGTACTCTCTATTCAAGCAACAGGCTCTTCGCTCCCAAGAACTAGACCCGATGGTCTACGAAGAGATCATGAGAAGTGCACTCGGTAGAGAGCATGAGAACTCCCACAAGCACCCCGCGCTTGGCATTAGCTCCGGATCAACGCAGCCTGTGAGCTTCATGGTTGATCCCAATTGGAGATCTCCATGGCACCAAGGTTTTCAAGGGTGCTCTCAACGATGATAATTAAACAGCTGAGGGTGCTACTTAGGCTAGATTCAGCCCACACTCTGTCTGAAACGGAGATATTTGCTCGATCTCCATCCCTCAACATCCCCGTGCGCCACTTTCCGAGTCATCTGCGAGACTGGAGAAATCCGGCTGGCTAATTGGGCTTTCGGAGTGTCGGAAAGACCGAAATCGCCGGTTCGCCGCTGCGTGATTTCCATCAGTCGAATTTTGGCACCCACACCTTGTTTGCAAAGGCCATGGAAGATATCATCGCACTTGAAGCGAGATGAGATACAGACGCATTTGAATCTGAACAGGCGTCGAACAATAACGAGACGGAACAGAGAGTCTATTTTTACACGGCATCTCAATCCTCTTCAACCCATCTGTTATCTTCGTTTGAAGAGCTATCGCTGCGCAGCTTCAGAGCTAATTAAGCTGCCTACGTATCTGGCCGATGAATTGAGGTTCTGCTTACCACGAACCCTTCCTGAACCTGCGGACTGTGCTCTGCCACGCTAACAACAATGGCGAGGAAAGACCGGACAAGAGTCGTAATCGTTGGCGCAGGCCCTGTAGGCTTGTTGACTGCGTTGATGCTCGGGAGATGCGGAATCGAGGTTGATGTCTTGGAGACCGCGTTGGAGATCGATATGCGCCCGCGAGGAGCTGCTTATGGACCTCCAGCAGTCAAGTTTGTCTCCTATCTGCTGCTGCTTGAAAGTGGGTGTTTTGTTCTGAAACTCGAACTCTAGCGTTCTCAAACGTGCCGGTGTTATCGACAAAGTTCTCGCGGCTGGGATGGAAGCCAACGAAATTTGCTGGAGACAGCTTGGAGGGAGTTATGTGAGTTATACTGTCGCCTATCTTGGTATCCGCCTCGACTGGTTATATTTTTCTGGCATTACAGTGTAGCTGGGGCCAGGTTTGAATCCCATTCTGTCAAGTTCAAAATTGACCAGAGTCGTACGGCAGATCACTGGCATAGAAAGACTGAACGACCGCAGCTTCACTGATCGAACCATCATCTTACCTGTCCATATTCTAGCTGGCATACTGAATGAAGAAGTGAAGGTTCTAAGCAATGTGAAAGTTTACTGGGGCCATAAATTTAGCAGCCTGAGTCAGGATGAGTCGAGTGTGACTATCCAAGCTGAAACTGATGGTGATATTAAACCGTTCCATGCCGATTTTGTCGTTGGTTGTGATGGTGGTCGAAGTTCGGTCAGAAAAGCACTCTTTAACGATTCATTTCCTGGTTACACGTGGGATATGCAGCTAGTAGCCACGAATGTTTGTTCAACTCTATTCCTGAGCCTTAACCAGTGCTAACAAAGTAGCTAGATCCGGTACGATGGCTTCGAAAAACATGGATGGTCAGATGTACAGTGGATTATTCATCCTGAGCATTGGGCCTTGGCCTGCAGACTGGACAAAAAGGGCCTTTGGCGAGTTGCTTATGGTGAGCCGGCTGGCTTGAACGTGGCCCAACTAAGGCAAGGGCTGGCTGCAAAGTTTGAGACCATTCTTCCAGGAAACCCAAAACCAGGAGAATACGAACTATTGAGGTGGAGTCCTTTCGTAATGCATCAAAGATGCGTAGAAAAGATGCGAGTGGGAAGAATGCTGCTTGCTGGCGATGCGGCTCATCTATGCAACCCAATGTAAGTTCTCCCATTCTTGAGCATTATTCAAAAAACGGTTTCTCATCTGAGCATTTATAGGGGCGGCCTCGGCCTGACTGGCGGGATCGCTGACGTTGGAAGCCTTATTGACTGCCTGCAAGGCATTCATGAAGGCAGGACTAGCCTCAAAATTCTCGACGTCTATGACAAAAAGAGACGCGAGATCTATCACAACGTTATCGATCCAATGTCGTCAAGTAACTTGAGACGTATGTTTCAAGATGGGTCAACGGCTCTGGAGAAAGATCCGATTCTGCAATACATCAATTTCGCCTCCAAAGAGACGGCTGAGACCGCCAAGCTCTTACATGTAGCCTCTAATCTACCCTTATCTCCCGGGAGAATCAAGCTAATTCTTCTTCAGATGCAAGATGCGCTCACTGCGGACTTGACCGAATTCTACGACTTGGGTTGAAGTACTCCGTACCATGGGCTGTTGAAGGATGAGTTCTACTTCCGTATAGTGCTTATTTTCTCGGATAAAACAAAATATAGACATGGCAAATGGCCAGAGAGTCATAGCTGTTGATTTACAACGCGAGCATGATATAGGTGTGAATATGGCTTAGGATAGCATCTTAGTGAACACGATAGCTGAACAGAAGTCCAAGTAATACGCCTTTGTTCCTGGTGAAGAGTGCTGACTTTCTTATGCCTTTGTCAAAAAAAGAGGTGGACACCAAGTACAATGCCTGGGTCAATTCTGGCATGATCCTGTTGTTAACTGCAAAATACCTGCAAAATACCCGTCTCCTCCTGCTGTATGGAGCAGAATCATTATTCGTCAAGCATGATACTCTTCTCTCTAATCGCCACTGGATTCAACGTCGCTCTGTTCCTAGCCTCGTCATTACACCCACCATTACTTTAATTTATTTGGGCTAATCGTACGCCGAGCTCGAAACCCCAGGCCTCAGCCTCTTCGTTCCCTGTGCCCAGCGCGAGTGGCGGGCTGAGATGATTGTGTCCCTCAAGCTCCCAGTAATCACCTTTACCACCTTTACTGATCCACTTCGTAAGAAAGGTCTTGCCAGTTTCAGCCACGAATTCCGGATCAAATTCTGTCGTGATGAGCAAGATATGTGGCCATGACTTTTTCTCACTATGCTCCGGCGTGTCACCAGATTTTGCCGATGTAGCGCTGCTCATCAAGTTGAGAGGCGATTTCCTAACGACATCTTCCTCAGTCCCATAATATCCTAGCAAGGTGGACCGCATCGCTGGAATATTTGGGTCTAATAGCATTGTAGAACTCAGAACCACCGCCGCTTTCAGGCGTAAATTCGATGGATTTTTCACAAATCTCTTTCTTGTGCTCGCGAACGCATCGTCGAAAAGCCACGAAGTCAAGTGCACGCCGCCGGCCGAGTTTCCCATGATGACCATTTCACGCGTTGTAACCCTGCTGGGTTCTCTATCATTCTTTTTGCAGAGATTATTCTCGATCCAAGTCACCACCAAATCAAGATCCTCCCCACCACTGTTGAAAGTCGCACCGTGCTGCAAAAGGCGATAGTCCATGATGACGGTATCATACCCTAACTGTTCTGCCATAAAATATCCCAACCCTTTATATACCACTTCGCCGTCGATTGCAGGCTCGATCCGGTCGCCCCTCGCAAATCCCCCACCATAGATGAAGACGAACACTGGCCGTCCTTGTTGCCTGGCATTTTCGCCTTCAGTGAACAGACTCAGGTCCTTTGATGGACAGTACAAATCAAGAATTTGCCGCGGATGATCACCGTAGCGATGCTCTTCCCTCCTAGTAGCTTGGAGAAGGGCCAAGCGCTCAGGTTGTCGCAAAAGATCGCCAAAGACCTTAAAAGTGGGGACGACAGCGGCCATGACATCCCTGCCAAGAGGCGGGAGAAGGTCCATTGTGATGAATGCTAAGAGACCGTTTAGGGGTCTATCCAGACACAGCAACACTACAGCCGTATCAACGAGGGTGGCCAATGGAGGATTCCTTGAGATAAGAGGACGGCGAATCAATATATGTAGAGCAATTACAACCTTTTTAAAGTTGACCAAGCTCCGGGATATCCTATTTCCCATATAATAGGTAATAGTTGTCGGTGTTTATGAAAAAAGCCGAGTTTCGGCACTAAGAACTACATTTATACACAAGACTACTACAGTCCTACCCACTAGGTTACTTCAAAGACTGCTGAGATTAGATAGCTTACACTAAGCAAAGGAGGTTGGCCGATAGAGGACGAGGCTATATTATATAACTAGGCCGTAGATAGGAAGGTACTATAAAATATCACTACAGTCTATAATAATCTATAGTCTAGAGAGTGGTAGAGTAAGTCTACGATCGATAATCTAGGTCGAATTTTTATGATCTCCCTCTAATGTTTCTCGTCCTCGCTCTTTAATTGACTTAGAATCTCAATTGTCTACTCACATACCCTCTACCTCTAGTTGAATTTGATTCAAGTGGCTTGGGTGTCAACCCAATCGACCAGAGGGTCTAGATCATGGGACACCCATTCTCTCAATACAAGTTCGTAACCGGGATGGGCATTCACAAAAAATTTCCCTTCTTTCAGTCCTTCAATCAACATCTTAGCATTTGTCTCCGGGGACGTGCCATGAGCCATCATGACTTGAGCCAATCCCTGGTGGAATTCAGCGGGCGCTTTCCCAGAAAGTTCTTCAACGGATTCTGTATATGAGATATTGGGAAACAGCAGCGAAACAGAAAGCCCAAGTGGCTTAAGGCTGACAGCCAGACATTGGGCAAGCGATACGTCCGCAGCTTTACATAGACAGTACGCCGCCAGATTCGCTGATACCATTGGTTGAGGATTGATGCCGTTGGGAGATGCGGTCACTGCGATGTGCCCACTGCCACGCTCAAGCATCGCTGGCAGGAACGCTCGCACAACGCGGAGATAGCCGAAGACATTGACATTCATCAGCTCCTGGATATCCTCGATCTCGATGTCAAGTATTCCGCCCGATCTGAGCATAACTGCGTTGTTGTGTATTAGATCTGGTATACCAATATTCTCAGTAACCCAAGTTGCGAATTGATGGACTTCTTCATCTTTGGAAATGTCGACCTTGTACGCATTTGCCTCATAGCCACTGGCTCGAAGCTGAGACGCTGTTGTTTGTTGTTCTGTCATGTTGATGTCTGCTAATACGACACGCGCGCCTTGGCGAGCGTATTCTCTGGCTGCAGCTTGTCCTATGCCACGAGCTGCACCAGTGACGATGACAATTTTGTTCCCAAACTCCATTTTGTTAGTCGCGTGTGTTCATTATCTGCGTGAACTCTTAACGCCCAGTGTTGGTTTTACGTTAATCTGCTGCGCCAGTAAACACTGTGATCTGCCATGGTGTTCAGGTCAAACATAAAGTACAACTTTGTGAGGAGGTTTCGGCACTTTCGGTGTCGGCAAAGTGTCGGTATGACTCGGAACAGACAGAACCTCCGATGCAGTGTTCACGGCGAGGTTGATCAGCACTCGACAGGCGGGAGGAAGTCGATCAACATTTTCTGTAGGCGTGCGAAGTTTTCTAAGGCTATGTGCCTGGTTGGTCTGTGAATAAGGTTCTCGTCCCCGAGTTGTGCACCCTTGCCGACTTTTTCGATCAAATCTCTCCATCTTTTGTGCAAGTATGTTCCCATACCCTTGGGTCCTGGTTTTGATAAGTCGCGATGCAGTAGAAGCTGAACCACAAATTTCCTTGTAATGAGTGCGACATACCTGACGCAGCTCTTACGTGTCCCCAGAAGAGAATTTCGAGATGTGCTGGCGCTGTGGGAATGTCGTCAATGTTTTATGTACGGAGGGAAGGATATCAGCCATTAATGCGTCGGTCCAGGAGTTGTCAACTGTTGGAGGATTTGGACTGTACAACTGTACGGGCCAATCGATACAGGCAAGTCAGCGTTGTTGAGATTTCTGTCTTCTTCTATTCTATGGTCACTGTTCTAGTTTATATAGACAATTACTAGGCAAGATGACCTCCTGGAGCCTGTTTTCCATGATTCCAAAGCATTCTAGAGGCTGTGGCACTGACTCATTGATCGTTAGTTCGAGGTTGTCTGCCTGTTCCGTCGATAGTCACTTTGGCAGCCAACATCAACGTGGTACGTCCAGCCTTGACGCTGCACCGTATCTGAGCGGTCTAGCAGGTCCTGCAACGTACACTCGACAAATCTGCTCCTGAAAGTTTCTATCTCAGTCGTTGGGACATCTTCGATCATTTGCAGCGCTGATCGGTCCTCTCCAGCACTTGGTACTAACACATCGGCAATGTTCATAGCACCGAGTCCCGGATTCTGGGCCTGGTGATGGCCGACGATGACGGAGAGCTCTAAGCATTGTGGTAACCTGGGTTGAACGGCCTCCAAGGCTAAGAGGAGTTCATCGAGATGAGTCGCCGGGATGGTGTAAACGCTCGTCGTTATACTCATCGGTAATGGTGAAGTTTGAGATGGAAATGGGTTGGCGCCAATGAACTAGCGCGTACTAACTCGCGTTACACGTGACGCGCTAACAAATATGGATACTAAACTCTGTGAGTGACTCCGTTGACTCCTATCATAAAATTGCCATTGCATCAGCATTTGCAATGCTTGGAAATCAATGAGTGATTTGAAATCATGGAAAAGGGGCTCACGGAGATCAAATGCCTCATAAGTTTGTATACAAACAAGAACAGAGTCCATAGGAATGAAAGAGACAGAGAACTCATACATGCTTGAGTGCGGTCCAAAAGCAGCTTAGCCAAGTTCGCCAACAAAATGCCACTGGGAAGGCCTAGCCACATTCCCTGGAGACATCCGATAGTAGAGAGGCAACGCGATCCGCGAATTTCCACGACTCCGGATACAGCCCACAATTAGCCAGTGTCTGCCTCGAACCTGACTGCAGTGTTCAGGCGTCAGGAAGAAATCCGGGCACTTTTATAGACTCTACGAGAGATCGAGCTTCACTCTACACTTCTGCGAAACTCCTATCTACTACTTCGGGTGGGCTCAAGGTTCTCAACCCGGCCCACTACAGGCTTTTCTGGGTCTGCATAGGCTCGTCCGGAGGCACCTGCCTCGGTCGCCACAGGGTGGACCTGGCCACCATTGGCAACCCCATGTGTATCAACAATGAGCTCATTGGTGCCGCGATCGATGTGAAGGTCTTCAGCGTAGACAACAACTTCATCACCGAATAGTTTGGCCATCTCTTCGAGAGGGATGTTCTTGGTCTCGGGCAGGAAGATGTACGCAAAGATTGTGCCCAGGCCAGAGATGATGATGAAGACAAGATAGAATTTCCATCCAATATGGGCGAATGCCTGTAGGTAAATAGTTAGGATTAGTCACAGATTAAGTGGACAAAGGGTGGCCTACCGTTGCAGCAACTTGTAGGTATACGAGATCTGTAACAGCAATAACGCCAATACTCAGAGCTAAACCCTTTGCCCGCAAGTGGTTAGGGAAGAGCTCCGAGTAGAAGACGACCCCAGCAACGTCAATACCGATGGAATAGACCAGCAGGAAGAGATATGCCGCTGCAACTCCCATTCGAAGTCCCGCCTTGTTGGTAGCCTCCTCCGCAAAAGAGCTGACCATGGCAGCTTCCAGGATCAGCGAGACGCAACAGCCAGCAAGACCGAAAACAAGTAGAGGTTTCCGACCTGTCCAGTCCATGATCAAGGCGCCTATGAGATTACCGAGAATACCGACAGTAATCCAGCCGCATTGGAAGATCAGCTGATACAGAGTATCGTACCCAAGTGCCGCATAGATGGTTGGACCTAGCAAAGGCATTTAGAATCTAATTATCCCGGTGCATGATTCAAGCCTCGACTTACCATAGTTATTCAAAACCAGCACACCAGTAGATTGACCGAAAAAGGCAAAGCCCATGGCAAGAAAGGTTCGCTTGCGGTAGCTGGGACGGCGAAACATTTCAATCTGTAGCCGTCAGCATCGTTCTACACCTTCGTTTCAGAGAATACTCACCCAGCCAGGCTCTAGGGTCCTGTCCAGCTCGGCTTGCTTAGACATTTGATAGAATTCCCCCCGAGCAAACTCGTTGTCGGGGTCGTCCTTTTTGCCGTGCAGTTTGTAGACCACTTCGCGGGCTTCTTCGATTCGACCTTTCATGAGCAGGTAGCGAGGTGATTCCGGAATAACAAAGCAGACAAGAATCATCATGAACGGCCAAATTAAGGCAATTCCCAAAGGAGCGCGCCACTGGGCGCCTGGGTTATCCACATAGTAGAATGCCAAGCCCATGTATGAGGCCAGGGCGTATCCCAGGGCAATGTTGACACCGTTCATGCCGACCATTAGTCCACGTAGGCCAGGAGGTGCAAGCTCAGCGCTATAGAAGGGTGCTGTCTTTGATTAGTTGCGAGCATGCCTGCGCGGTTGGGATCTCAACGTACTAACTGCGAGGTAGCCCCAACTTCCCGCCCCTGCGAAGAATCGGGCCACAATGAATGTGGCGACATTATGGGACCCTGTAAGCATTGCCCCTCCGAAGAGGGACAGAAGGCCACAGTAATGCAGAGCAGCTTTCCGACCCCAGCGATCGGCCACGTATCCAGCGGCAAAGACATTGATGGCGGCGCCCGCTTGGAAAACCTGTGCCAAAGAGTCAGAAGAGTGAAAAGAGATGCAATTTGAGTCAAGAAGCGAGTGGAGCACCGACCGACCCCGTTGGAAGGTAACGGACTCGGAGAACAGTTTGTGTACAGTACTGAGCACCGCTGGAGGAAGCCTCCAGAGTGAATTGTGGCAGTTGACACGATATTCAAAGGGAGACTTACACCGGACATTGCTCCGATGAGCTGATCTGCTCCTGAATCAGGATGTCAGTACATCGTGAATTGCACTAGTCGCGCAATCAACCAACCTTGAGCCAAGCTGGCGGGTCTTGCGTGACATCAAGCAGATTCATATAGATTAGAAATGAGGGTTGGGCGAGTGTGACGCCGATGATGGATGCGGGATAGCCAAACGCGATCTGTCCCAGGGACACCATGAAGCAGATGAAGAAGTTCCATCCGCTCCAGTGTCTTTCAGTCCCGAAAGCCATGTTGACAGGTTTCTTCAAGGTCAACAAAGAGACAAGAGCACGAGCGCAAGGTAAGCAGAGATTGTTTCGCTTTGAGAACCAAAGAAAGGGAGACCGCAGGCTCTCCTTTAACCTCAGACATGTTGACCTCGGTACCCCGCAAACACATCATGGTCTATGTCGATGGTGTGTCTCAGCCGACGGCTCCCGAGGCTATCTTATTGTAGATGAATCTCGCGAGTTGGCTGGGGTGTGATAAATTGTTAATCATTCGGCGAAAGCCCAACCTTTCCAGCTCCTGTTCAGTGGATCAAGGAACGGAACTGGTACGGTGTCACAAGGCTCAATTGTGCCATGCTTCCGTCTTGAGCGTGTTCAAGACTTGGTAAGCCGCCTGTCGTCTGTCTAGTGGATGCGGGGCAATAGTTGGCCGATCTCGTTGAGGGCGGCTTAGAGGCAGCCCGGAGAAATTTGCGGGAGAGCAGGTTGATTGTCTCGAGCTAGAGAGCAATTCCATACGGGCTGTAGAGAAGACCTGGAGGCAAAGGGCGAGCCTGGACCTGTGGGGGTCTCAGCCTTGGGATTAGACTTTCTCGAGTCAGAAAAGCATGACATTGTTGACGGAAATGTGGCTGGACGGTGAGGGTCGCTAAATTCTGCCTCAAAAAGTCGACAACTTACTCACTTTAACTTATGGATAGGTCTGCGCGAAGATAAGGTGAATGGACTACTGCAACGTTAGATATATAGTGATTGGTACTACAGGAAGACCAAAGACCCGGCGTGGTAGTTTCACCGGCTGAAGAGTACTGTATAGGCAGGGTAGCCCTGTCTCACATGATGACCTTATACGTGCAATATATTCTAGTGATCTTTCCAAGTAGACTCGGGAGGCTCGTGCTCGAAATGTGGGAGGGGATGAGGTTGATTCTACCTCGGGCCAACCCAATTCAAGAGGGGCGGACGGGTCGTCCGGCGGAAGGAATCCGTATAGGCCGCAAATAAGTAGAAGACTCAACGGTTGGCAAACCCTTCTTTCCTTTCATCTCTGTCCCTAGCGTAGAATATTTAATAGAGTGGTCCGGAGTACTCTAGGGTTTTCCGCGTAATTTCCTGGCCCGTGCCGCCACATAAGATGAACACCTACAAGCTGAATATCTATCGCTTGCTGCGCCGATACTCCGAAGTCTTAGCGTACGCCAACTAGAGCAAGGTAAACAAAGTAACTACATATGACGCAAACAACGCATTCTAGGAGGGTTCCACCAAAAAGTATCCGTGGGAGAAACGAGAAGGACTTCCTTCATCTCCAGCTGCAAAAAACCAAAAAGCAAAGCACGTGTAAGTGCCCGAAACACGTGCCGCAAGAACTAAGCTCCACCAGCTATCTACCAACTAGTTAGTGAACCTCAACGCGCCGTTTATACCACCAGTCCAAGGGGCAAATAAGTGCTTTCAAGTGCCTGGAAAGCGCGAGATCCACCGACTCTATTTATAACTGTGTTACCTAAGGAGTTAGCGCCTACCAGCCCCTCCGAACTCGCTATCCACATCCCTTTGCGTTTATCGGACAATTCGAGGTATGATTGACCTGCAGACTTTGTTCCTATAGTCAAATCCCGTCGGCGTACAGACCCGACGGTTCGGATCTGAGAGGAATACTGGCGTGTAGACGACCATGTGGTTGCACGGACTGGACTTAAGCTTCAAAGTCCGCAGAATATCACCTTCACTATGCCCAATGTATGCATTCTTTTTCGGGGGCTCAATATATAGTAGAATTAGAGCCCTTAGAATATCCATGAGTTCAGAGAACAAACTTCCTATGTGTCGAGAGGACTAGGTTAGGATCTTTAATAGAAGTAGCTAAAGCTATCATAAGTTATACTAGTAGCTTTACAGTATAAGGATCCCCTACTAAGGGTTTTATATAGTAAGCTCCCTGAATAGTTATACACTTGCGGCTACTTAGCAATTGATTATATAGCTATTACTAGAGGTTATATAACTAGGCCTCTTGTTAGGAATGATTGGCCTGACAAGCATATAGCTAATAGGTCCGAGATATTCTAGCTACTCTTTTATAGGCTTAACCCTTTCTCTAGAGAATAGTATCTCTTTACGTGATCTCATCTCCCTCGGCCGGAACAACCTCGGTGCTACTAAGAACAGTGTCGAATGTCCGAGCGATGCAAGCGAGCTGGGTCTGCACCACCGCGCACGCGCTACAGGCACTAGACGGCAGTGCGGCATGGCAGGCAGGTTCATGAGTTCTACGCCATGGATGCGAAGTGGTTGCACCTACGCGCCCCTACAACTGACGCGCGGAACAATGTTATCTGTCATGAATGCCTGTGGGAGATTGGCGACAGTCAGGAAGCTATGGAGGGTTACCTACTCATGATGGATGAGGCCGCGCCTCCGACCTTCTTAGACCCTGATCTTTGGTCCGTTTGGCAGTGCGTCCGCGTTCTAACCCTCGCGCATTTAGCAAACTCCGAGGTCGTCATATGCTATATTTCCACAGTCATCACTGTAACTTCAGGGCCAAACTGCCTGCCGTCTGAGGCTTCGAGATTCCTATGGGCCGTTGCCATCTGTTCCTCCGACGGTGTCTCAACAATCATAAGATATAAAACATTCTGAAGTAAACTATCAGTCTGTATCGGGTGAATATGAGAAAGGCCCGGATGAGACGTACCCATATAGTGCGCACCTGGCCTGTTCCAGTGTTGACTAGCTCTGCTTGCTGACTCACATGCTGCTCTTGGACCTGAAAGACATCCTTGTACTGCTTAATGACTGCCTGTTCCTGTTCGGGGGGAAGATCCATTAGCGTCAGCTGCTGACGCAAAATATCCATCGTAGCCGATTGCTGTTCCTGGATCGCTTGGATCTGAGCGTGGAGGGGCGACTGCATACGCTGATTGACCTTTTCGGCATTGGGCGTCAAATGACCCCCCGAGAGGAGACCAAGCAAGCCGCCGTTGGTCGCCGGATGGTTTGGGTCTAGGTATCGATTCTTGAACGATGGTGGGGAGGGTTGCGAGAGGACGTCTCCGGTGCTTTCCTTGGCCTGCACAAGAATAGTGAGTTTCAAGTCTGTGGACAAGTCTCAATAGACTTAAAGGGAGGACAGCAGAGGGACTCACGTATCGAGCTTGAGCTCGATCATCGAGGTACTTAGTTATTCGTGTAATTGTGTTTCGCTCCTTTGCTGAGTTGCGACTTTCTTGTGAAGCGGTCGATGCGCTAGGATAGACCAAGGGAGCAACATTCGACGGGAGGCTTTCCTCTCCCTTAACCGTGCCAGCTATCGGGTTCCGCAGGTTCTTCCGAGCATGCGCTGGGAAACCCTGCTCCTGCGTCGACAAGGACGTCGAAGACGAGGGTCGGGCCCTGGACATAGCTTCACGAACATCAAACTGCGTCTTTTCGCCTAAGGTAACAGGTTTGTACGCCATCAGCAAGCAGTAGAGGCCTCGAGGCCGGAAGTAGTCCTCGTTGACCCGATCTAGGAATGAGTTCGTCCTACACGTTGGAGTCTCGGTGTTAGCAGGTAAGTCGACGATGCATTCTACGGAGGATACTCTCACATACTTCCACCTTGTCTCCGCCTTTGCCATTACACCGGCTACTACCTGCACCGCCACCGACGCCCCCATGGCGATGGAATTTGGCACAAAGGACGTGCCCATGGCTGCTAGCTGAATCGCGCTCAGCCATTTGGATGCCCGGACAGCTTTGTTGGTAGCCTTGACGAAGCTGATAAACTCGTCTTGCTGAATGCCAAACTGTTCCAGCGCTGGAGCGTATGCCTCGACAAACCCCCTACACTTGTTACCCGGCCGCCGCTGGGGTATCACGACTGGGCAAGGCAGATGGTAATCGGATGTCTTGGGTGGAGAAGCGGCGGTTGACAGTGGATGTGCTTGGATAAAGCCATCGAGAGCTTGCTCGTCTTCATGTGCGCGTTGAAGCGCCACATCTGTTGAATCGTCTCCCTCGATGTCGCTTTCCGGCGTTGATGGATTGACACGGCTGTCAGTGTGCCATGCCTCTTCGGCCGACTCATTCAAGTGGTATTGTTGCGAAGTCATGTCACAGTTCAGAAGAGCGTAATTAAAACGTGGCCAAACCACGGTTGGTATGGCAAATGCTGGCAGGCTCGATTGTGGGCGCACTCAGACGGTGCGAGAGGAAAGGAGAGACATCAGCGCTCGAACCTGATAATATACTCCATGGCTATGCTTTGCGTCATCTTGCCCTTCGCCATTTACCACACGGTCGATGTGCCCTGAGCTGCGGGAGCCCATCGATTGGCTGACGCAAGTGCGCTTGCCAAAAAGGGAAGTATTTCGCACGCTAAATCGGCATGGAGGAGCTGATCGGGAGACCGGCAAGGACTTGACCAGCGCAGTCTAAACAGTTGAAGGGCCCATGCTTGCTGGAACAGTGAGACTCCGATGTAGACTGATAGGCAACCTCTCACCATTTTGGCGATCCAGGGAGTATCTGACAGGTATTCAAAGTTTGCAGGGTTGTGAGGAGGTTTGAAAGGTGCATGGTGTGCCTTAATATGCTTCTGTAATTCGTGTTCAGGTCGCGGCAGCATGAGAGCCTGTCATCCCAAGCGTGTCCAACTCGGAGCGAGTCATCCATGGCCAAGTGGCGAGAAACCCCTGCAGCTGCTTGCCGCGCTCGCCGCGGAAGGCTCTGACAAGCAAGGCCCGAGCCTCCGAGAAAGTTCCTACCGAATCCTGTCTTGCAAGGAAGCTTGCGGCTACCGCTACCGGAAACCCGATGAAACTGATCAAGTAGAAGCCCACTCCAGGCTTCTTGAAATACGGGATCAGCAAGGCGACCTTGTGACTATACAGATGCGCGTCCAGGCGCGGTGGCAGCGGAGTCGTGTCCTCTCTAGACGGGCCAGGTCCCCTAAGCCATGAGAGGATTTGGGAGAGGAGGTTGTACGTTGTCCAATAGATCATTCCTAGGTGGGCCATAGCGAGGTCGGTGGATGGCGGTGCCGACTCTTTACTGTTGTCGTCTAGGTCTTGGACTGCGATGAGGCTTTCTACGAAGGTAACAACAGCCGCCCCACATGAAGTCGACCATAACAGGAGTTGACGATCACACCACCAACAACTTTCTTCAAGAACTTGACGTAAGAAGTGTTGTTTCTCTGGCTGACGAGTGAAAGTCTTAAGAATAGCCATATCTTGCAGTATCCCTGGAACCTCAACGAGAATATCTAGCAGCTTGTCCTTGGGCCACTTGGGATGTGCTGACCATGGGATAGTCTTCCATTCTAGGCTACTCAAGGGACAGCGCTTATGGCTTTGGAGGTAGGGGTATATCTGCACAAAACAAACTTGTCAGCACAGGCACAAAGGTCATATGTAGCAATGGATGGGTCGTGAAATACCAGATGAAGGCGGTAGTCGACAAATAATTGGTGCGCATGTCCCTCGATGAAGCTTTCCGGGCCACCAGCAAGAAGTATGGCAATTTCACCCGAGGTGTGTCTTAGCCACGTGGGCGCGGGCAACCATGAACGTCGTCCATCAGCATTGAGGAGTAACTATAAAGTGCCGGAGTGCGCTCTTAAGTCAGATCGCGAATCAAACCCAAACGCCGTGGGGAAAACACGGGTAGAAGCTACCTCGTAACTTGCCAAAAGTCCGGACGCCGCGAGAATCCTGCCCCAGTTCCGCGGCTTCTTGTCCAGCAGCGACCGCGCAATTGCCTGTAGCGACAAGCCGTAGAGGCGCCTCCCTTGCACTATTATGGATGGATGTTCGGAGCGCTGGGCGGTCAGCGTGAGAGCGTTTGCAAGCAAGACGACGCGCACGAGAGGGTCCTCGTGGTACAGGTCCTGGATAGCGCTCGTCCAACTGGTAGTCGAATAGCGTGCAGCCTGAGGTGGGAATGCCTGGCCGTGGGGAAGCAGAGATGTCCAGTAGACCTCAAGATACTTGGACTCGCATGCGGTGCGCTCTAGCGACTTTTCTAAGATGGGGGCGGAAAGCTGATCTTGCGTTAAGGCATGAGTCTGTGTTAGATCCAACGGCGCTGAGCTCGCTACCGAGTAGGCCGCGGCTTCAAAGCGGCACAATCCATCCTTGGTGTTGCCGTGCTCCTGGCTGCTGTTGACAAAGATACGACGTTGATCATAGCCACCGCAGGGGATGCGAGAGAGCAAACACTGTCCACACTGTGGTTTCTTCTGATCACACTGGAAGTTGTGCAAAGCACGTTAGCCCAATTTCTGCCCATATCAAGAGAAGGAGCCTCCTTTACAACGTCGTGCGACACGCCGCGTGGGTTGAGGCATTCATGCCCTGTGTGGCTCGACTGAAGGGTGACAGTGGCTCGGGATTTACACACGTCTTGTCAGTACTGGACAGGGCACGACTCACGCCTTTCCTACGTCTCCGACAGGTATGGCAAGCTTGAGAGCGTCCAGGAACCCCGACCATTACGGGTGATATGGGGTCTTCAAGTGTCACACCACGAACTTCATCGGCTGAAAGGGATCTGGCTGTTGGCAACGTGGGTGAGGGTGTTTTGGAGAGGTTATCTGTCGGGCCTCGCCAAGACTATCACGGACATACAAGAACGAGTAGTCACGTGCCAGAAGCATACTCCCTTAACGGCTTCGAGGACATGAGAGTTCATGTATAGATATCAAATCTACGACTATGGCCGATTCCTTTTCTCTGCTACACTCCAGATAGTAATCGTCTCACAAAGAGGCCGAAAAATAGCCCCTTCCCTAAAAAGGGCAGCCGGAATTGGGCCCGTCTCAGGCAGTTCTCCCCAGCAACAACTTCCGCAGAGAAGAACTCGCCCATATGGGGATCACGAAGCCGAGAGCGAGTCGTTCGCCTTCTATGCTGTCTCTGCAGTAATATCTTGAGGCGACTTCTTGGATTTCGATGTTCTGCACACTCAGCACGGACCCTACGTAATAACGCAGCCCGAGAACTAGTCTGGCCACAGGAAGGGCACCCTTGCGCGTCCATCGAGGGTATGTACTTCGCAGAGGCAGCCTGATAGCAACGAGAATAGTACATATAGAGCCGCGTGGAACAGGAAGCATATGATGAATTGTTGATGCATCACAAGCGCTGAGCCACAATGAAGGACGAGTCGACCCTTTCCGCCAAGGCTGCTGTGTGGCCGGGGAAGGTGCATCGAAGCATCCAGATTGGAAAGAGCGGCTCGGCTGTTCGTGGGTTGAACTTGAGTCCCGCATTTGCAGTTGGCATTTGGCATTTGGCATTTGTGGAAGCCGCAGCCACGAGACCACGAGATTCAACCCCCACCCGATGCGCCTTCCCAAGCCGCAGTCCGAGCACCTGCAACTTTGACTCAACCTCAAGTTCGTCATTCACCATCCACCTTTTCGATTCTGCCTGCGATGACCTGAACTTCAACCTCAATCTCAACCTCAACCTCAACCACAACCAGAGGCATGCGACCTCAGATGTTAAATCTCTGACCTCCCCTATCACCGCTATTCTCTGCTGTTCCGAGTCTCGGCCACTTCACCTCCGCTATCCCCGCTACACGTCCATCCCCCCATCGTCATCCGTCCCCGTCACCTTCCGAGTACATATCTCTCTGCGCCCGACCTCCACACCCACGCTCTACCAAAACATTGAACTTGAGAGAGTGCGAGTAGTCCCAGTTCTGTTGGATCCCTCTAGCAACCATGCCTTTCGGTATCAATAATCCTCTGCCCGCGTCGATGCGAAGTATGTATCCCCACCTTCCGTCCCATTGCACCCACCCTCTAATTTTCTACTAGGTGAGTGCAAAAAAGCTGGCAAGATCTTAGCATCCTTCGTCGACCCCAGACAGAGCTTTGGTCCAGACAAGATCATTCCTCCTCATATTTTAGCAAATGCCAAGGTACGTTCTCAGAGCCCCCCTCGTCCATGCGTGCCAGTCTTGGATGCCTAACGCTTCTTCAGGGCTTGGCTGTCCTTACTGTATTCAAGGCTGGCTTTGTTGGCTCGGGTCGACTTGGTTCCGGCATTGTTGTCGCTCGACTCGCCGATGGCTCGTGGTCAGCTCCCTCTGCAATTGCGACTGCCGGCGGTGGGTTTGGTGGTCAAATAGGTTTCGAGTTGACGGATTTCGTCTTTATCCTCAACGATGCTGCCGCCGTCCGCACCTTCTCCCAAGCCGCTTCGGTCACCCTGGGCGGCAATGTCAGCATAGCTGCAGGGCCTGTTGGAAGAAATGCCGAAGCCGCTGGTGCTGCTAGTCTGAAGAGCGTGGCTGGGATTTTTGCATACAGTAAAACAAAGGGCCTATTCGCTGGTGTCAGTTTGGAAGGTAGCGTCTTGATTGAGCGGAGGGATGCCAACGAGAAGCTCTACAGTGGCCGAATTACTGCACGACAGCTATTGGAAGGCGGTGTGCGACCCCCACCCGCTGCTGATCCGTTGATGAGGGTCCTCAACACTCGAGTCTTCTCGGGAGCTGCCTTCAATGATGGAATGTACAATGATGTACCCATATATGACGACCAGCATGATAATGTGGTTTGGGAAGGAAGAACAGGCGATGCCTTCGGTGCCAATACCCGCAACAGCCGATCGAACACCTTCAATTCACAAAACGATAACTACGAGTACCGAGACAACCCGCGCCGAGCCAATACCTGGGCTGATGATGTTTACGACCGTTCACCGACGGGGGGACGCGCCAACCCCACTGAAACGTTTGAGAGCATGAACAGCCGAAGTCGAGCAAGCACACTACAAAATGACTATACGGGCTATTCCGACAACAGACCAAACCGACCAACAGCACCAAAGCCAGTTTTCAAGCAAAAGACAGGAACTGCTGGACTCCGTTCCGATCAAGCGGTAGCACTGTTTACATTCGATGCCGATCAAGATGGTGACCTTGGGTTCAAGAAAGGCGACGTCATCACCATCACAAAACGCACCGACAACAAGACTGATTGGTGGACCGGTCGAACAGAAGACGGTCGGACCGGTGTCTTTCCTTCAAATTATGTGGAGACGGCTTCATGAGCAAGATTAGATCGACATATCTGGATTTATTCACGGGCAGATCCTCTCATGTGTTTCATGATCGACTATACCCTTCATTTTGTGGTTTCCAGCTGGTCCCATCCCATTTAGCGACGGAGTTACTTTTCTTATCCACTCGCTGCCTACAAAGAGAACTGTCTTCACGGAAAACATTTGGTATGGAGAACTAGGCTGGTTGTGAAAATTCTGTTGGTGGGCCAAGAAATTGATCGAGGCTTGAGCGAAATAAAATATATCGTAGAACAACTTCACATTTGCATGCCATGCTTGCAATGATCCATGTCATATTCTTGAATGCGACCAGCGTGACTGGTAGGTTCAAACGGGGACGCTACAGAGCCTGGCACATCCTTTAGACTTCTGCAAGAAAAGCAAAACATCGAAACACAAAACAGTAATAAGAAGCGAGTCCAGGTGCTTTGTCTCGTTGATTCAATTTCAATCTAATCTATAGAGGATACCCAGCTTGAATACACAAGCACATCCACGTAAAGCGGCGCGCCATAAGAATAGGGAAACGAGCGGAGTGGGAGGTGTGCATCATATCATAGCCGTATTCTATACTCCTCTTCGCCAGTAGTAAAGGAGCTCCCGATCACCTGGTGGTGGTGGGATTTGTAGAGGCCGGCGTGGTCGGGGGCGGCATTGTTGTTGCTGCCGTTGTCGTTGCAGCTCCCACTCCTCCTGCCCCTCCTGCTCCTGCTCCTGCTCCTGCTCCTGCTCCTGCTCCGGCATTCCCATCCCTCTCCCGCGTCTTCTTCAGCATCTGGCCGATCATGAAGTGATTCACGTCCTCGTCGGCCCAGTAGCTGAGGTGACTTGCGATGCTAGCGAGCAAGCTGACGTCGAACATTCCCTCTTGGATATGGTAGTCGACGCGGCCGTTGCTGTTGAGGGCGCGCACTTTTGCTTCTTCGCGCTTCAGCTTGCGGGCGCGCTCTTGGCTCATCATGTATTCCGAATTGTCACGGGGGCTGGATGATAGTGATGGGTCGGGCTGGGGAAGCGTGCTGGATGAGGAGGACGTTGTGCTGTTGGCGGTGGGGTGTGCGGATGTCTTGTCGTTGTTGCTGGTCAACGCGGTGCGGTCGTCGGGCATCGGTGACGGCGTGCGGGATCTTCTTCTCTTCTGGAAGCCTGAGTAAAGGGTTTCGATTTCCGAGTCAATTAGTGTCGGTGCTTGTTCTGTCGTTGGAGACGAGTGTGCCGCCGCTGCGAGTGCGTCCTGCCGTGATCGATCGGCTATTGGCGTTGTTATCTGCGGGTTTCCTGGGCCCCCTCCGCTAACTGAGCTGTTGCCGGGGCCTGCCAAGTGGGAAGTTTTCCCTTTATCCTGTGGCAATGCTTGCTCTTCGCCTGTGATACCAAGGCTCCTATTGATGAGAGTAGATGCCACCCCTGATGTTAGATTGTACCATGACGACATCACCTGTTGGCCGACACGTGCAGAGATGTTAGCAATTCCCGGTGCCGCGAAGAGGCCCTTCTTGATGTACGGCAACGGCTGGGACTTCAGTTGAGCCATCGCTGGGGAAATCAGAGGCTCGATGCGGTAGGCAATCGGATCGGTAGGGTGGAATATGTTGAAGAGTTCAGAGCATTTCGGGGACGAGGTCGTGATGGGAATCAGCTCTTTTGGGGCACTCGTAGTGGTATTCCTTGAGGACGCAATATCGAAAGGATCATTAGTCATGGGGTCTGGATCAAAAGGTGACGTGGGCATCGTGCTTCCATAGCTATGACGTGACAAAGATTGACGACCACTGACTGTACGACCCTTGAGCATCTGGAACAGCGCAATTGGTGAACCTAGACAGAAAAAGTTCTGCACATCAAAGTCAAGTTTGAGGTTGGCCTGCTCAATGCTAGGTTCTCGCATTGTCTTACTCGACACCCGGCGGGGACGAGTCTGAATGACTTCTTCCTGTCTGCAGAGAATGTCGAAAAGGACAGCACTCCCCAGCGAGTGACCACAAAGGCTGACTTGACCCGAGAAACCGGTGCGGTCTCTGAATAGTTTGAAGACTCGGTTGCACTCTTTTTGCACGATGGAAGCGATATGCTCCCTGTACGCACTTTGATATAGAAGTACGTCCATAGCAAGGTCAGTGATAAGATTCCGAACCGCGGGAACGCCCTCGACTGTGATATCTTGCAAAGAAGGATAGGCGTCATCGAAATCGTCGTCTGCATCACCCAGATCAAACTCCTTGCGGTTTTGCTTGAGGCTCTGTTTCGGGAAATCAAGTAGATGACGCCAGGCAATAGGCAAGACCTGCACGCGACAGTTTTTGGGGTCACCACTTAAAGCTTGTAGATCCGGGGCTGAGGCGTACACCGCTTTCATTGACTTGCGTAGAGTATTCACATCATGGACGAAGTTGATGCTGTCGAGCCTCAAGCCAAGACGTTGACCAATACCGTGGGTGACGAGGACAAGATGATCAATCTGTCTTGCTTGATCATCCCCATCCTTTTCTCTGGCATCTTCCATTTCCTTTTCTTCTTGTTCTCTTGCCTCTTCCTCGGCTGAAATATCTCCTTCCTGAGTGGAAGGCATTCCCGCCAAGGATGAAAGCTGCCTTTCCAAAGCGGATCGGCGGGGTTTCGATTCAGTTTCCTGGTCATTTGCCTCCTGCCCAGCTTTTGTCTGATCTCCCGTTTGAATCGCTTGAGGGGTGATTTTTGCAGATTTTCGTTTCTCCTTGGAGCTAACTTGCTCAGCAGGCTTCGGCTCTACAACTTTCGGAGACTCGGACCATCCCCTCACGACCTTCGTACCACCATAACCGACAAATCTTCCGTACGTGATGTTACTCATGCGAGAATAGAAGTCGTCTGAGGAGAGAAATGCAGTGACAGCATCCTGATAGGTCACAGTAGTGTTCATATGAGTGCCAAAGAGTCGATAAGTATTGGAGTTGGGCGCTTGGCTGTCGTCTTGGGATGGACTGGCCTTACTTGGGGAGAGAGCTGTTGCGCCGTCCAATATCATTGAGGCTGGACGACTTCTTGGTTGAGAGGTTGAACGTGGAGATGATAACCCAAGTCTCCTCCATGGCGCTACTTTCAAGTAACCTTCTTCGAGTTGATTGGCCAGATTTTCATCGCAAGGTTTGAGAGCCGAGCCCTCCAGGTAGAACCAGCTACCACGTCGCACCTCATATACCGGTCCTAGCCAGTAAGCCGGCTCGAGTTCCCGCTTCTCGATATGGACATCGAAGAGGAAGTCTTCGTTGACAGGGACTTTCGTTGAGGTCGGATTCGAAGCATCAGCTTGTGATGTGTCACCTCTATCAAGTGATTGGTATGCCTTTTCGATGGCCTGAGAATCGGTGAATGAAAACCCGACGAACTTCTTAGGCACTGTTCCGGCCTTGGGAGCTTCATCCGTGCCCGACTCCATGGCGAAGGGTTTACGTTTCGCAACATCCACAGCATAATACCATTTGGTATTAAGAGGAGGGCAGTCCTTAGGATATCTGCGCAAACTTGGTGAAGGGCGTAGACTGATAGTATGGTCGACGCCAGTAGATTGCCTTAATGGCGGATCATCCCTAGGACCTTGACGAGGAGACTTGGGAGGAGGAGTATTACTCCTACTCCAGGGACTTATTGAACTTAAGAAAGATGCAGAGGGCTTTGTTGCTTCGGCCATGCCCTTCCGGACAGCCCGAAGCAAGGCTGGAAAGCGATCCAATCTGAGGTCATACAACGGATCAGGTTCAGAGACCGAGAAGGGTCGAATCAGGCAAAAGATTCTTTGAGAGTAGTGATCAACGAGGCCTAAGGGCTGTAGGATTCAATGTCTTCAAATTCTGAGATATTGATGCAGCATTCGGGGGTCGCCACCGGCCTTTTTAACAGTAAAATTAAGGACAAACGTTGCTGAGGTTGGCGGTGGAATAACAAAAGGAGACGGATTTACGTTGGACGTTGGAGGGAAGGACGACGTAACAGCCTTCCGAGATGCTGAACAACCACCAGCCACAAGAGAGGCCACATTAGTACTAGCTGTCACGAGCCACTATTGACTAGTCTCTTCTTGGACTAGTAAGTTCCATGCCTTAGCCTGACTCAGCCTCTCACATTTCGTCATAGTCGTTCATGTTTTACGGGCTGAAGTACGAAGTATGACAGGCCCCATTCATCTCATTCTTGCGAATTGACGCCCAATCATCCACATAACACAGCTCCTACAAGTACCACGGTTCTTCTGTTATTGCGACGCCTGAATTAGGCACCACAATATCAAAGCACATTAATACCTTCAGCCTCGTCTTACACATTCTATCCTTCTGTGCCCTCTCCATCACCCTCACCATCATCCTCTTTATTTAAGCGGGCAGCAGCCCCGCCTTCCCCCGTCCAAGATGGCCGCAATTCTCAAACTCACCCGCAAATATCCTCAGTTCCAACAACAAGAAATCTTTGGGCTACAAGATGCCTTTCGTAAACTGGATATCGACGATAAAGGCTACCTCGACGAAGCTACCGTCATCAAGGCAACTCAGCAGTCTGAAGGGCAGTCTTACGATGTGGTCCGGCAAGCTTTGAAGGAGGTGGAACTCGACAGCTCGAGACGTGTCGAACTAGAAGACTATGTCGATCTGATCGCCAAAGTCCGAGATTCGTCACCTGCTCAACAGCGAGCTGCCTCTGGTCCGCAGAGACCCGGCGCAGGCAATGGTCTCCCCAATTCACCGAGACACGGGCAAAAACCTAGCCTAGGAGGTGGTCCCGCTGGAAAGATTCAGGTGCAAGGCTCTTCTGCTAATGTTACCCATACGATCAACGAGGAAGAACGCACTGCCTTCACCACACATATCAATGCTGTCCTTGCCGGCGATGCCGACATTGGTCATCTGCTGCCCTTTCCCACCGATACCTTCGAAATGTTTGATCACTGCAAAGACGGCCTTGTGCTCTCTAAGCTTATCAACGACAGCGTGCCCGACACAATTGATGAGCGTGTTTTGAACAAGGCTGGCAAAAAGATCAAATCTCTGAATGCATTCCACATGACTGAAAACAACAACATCGTTATCGAGTCTGCCAAGGGTATCGGCTGCTCGGTTGTCAATATCGGGAGTGGAGACATTATCGAAGTCCGAGAGCATCTTATCCTGGGTCTCATCTGGCAGATTATTCGAAGAGGTCTATTGGGCAAGATTGATATCAAGCTGCACCCCGAGTTATATCGCCTTCTCGAGGATGACGAAACTCTGGACCAGTTCCTGCGCCTTCCTCCTGAGCAGATCTTGCTCAGATGGTTCAATTATCACCTGAAGAATGCCGGTTGGCAAAGAAGGGTTGCCAACTTCTCGGGGGATGTGAAGGATGGCGAGAACTACACTGTCCTGCTCAATCAATTAAAGCCGGATATCTGTTCTAGGGCACCATTGCAAACCAGAGATTTGCTTGAACGTGCAGAGCAGGTCCTACAAAATGCCGAGCGAATCGAGTGCCGGAAATTCCTTACTCCCACCGCCCTTGTTGCTGGAAACCCTAAGCTCAACTTGGCCTTCGTTGCCAACCTGTTCAACACGCACCCAGGCCTAGATCCACTTGAAGAAGGAGAGAAGCCAGAGATCGAAGATTTCGATGCTGAGGGCGAACGCGAAGCTCGTGTCTTCACCCTTTGGCTCAACAGTTTGGATGTTCAACCGACTGTCAATTCGTTCTGGGATGATCTCCGCGACGGCAATGTCCTTCTCCAAGCCTATGACAAAGTCATTCCTGGCAGCGTGAACTGGCGACACGTAAACAAGCCACCTGCGCATGGTGGCGAGATCTCTCGATTCAAGGCTGTTGAGAATACCAACTACGCCGTCGAATTAGGAAAACAGAACCGGTTTTCACTCGTGGGTATCCAGGGTGCAGATATCACTGACGGGCAGCGAACATTAACACTCGGTCTCGTGTGGCAGCTCATGCGACGTGACATTATAAGTACATTGTCTGGCCTCGCGCAACGGATGGGCAAGCGCGAGCTATCAGATGCCGACATCATCAAATGGGCAAATCAAACCGCTCAAAAAGGCGGAAAGAACTCCCAGATCCGCACCCTCAAGGACCCTGCCGTGACGAGCGGCATCTTCCTTCTCGATGTCTTGAACGGAATCAAAGCCAACTATGTCGACTACGATCTCGTGACCCCTGGCAAGACACCCGACGACGCCTACGCCAATGCCAAGTTGTCCATCAGTATTGCCAGAAAGTTGGGTAAGCATTCACTTCATTTTTAATTTTCTTCCCACGTCGAACGGAGGAATGAAACACCCAGAAAGCAAAGAGGCTAACCAAAGTTTCCGCGACAGGCTCCACCATCTACCTTCTTCCAGACGATATCATCCAAGGACGAGCCAGACTTGTCCTTACTTTCGTCGGTACGTACACAGATCCCTCTGCTTGTTCCCATGTTATTTCTCTTGGGCCACTTGACTGATGACCTTTCTAATATAGGCGCGCTCATGCGAACCGCTGAGAAAGCGGGATTGTAGGCACCCATCGTGCCCCCCCACCCTGGCAACTTGCCACCACGTGTGTTATCAAGGGGTCGATCTGAGACTGCCGTTGATCCGCAAACAACATTTCCCCTCGCGATAACGATACGGAGTGAGTGCTTCCGTTTGTTTGTTTTTTTTGGAAGAAAGTGTGAATGGAATGTCTTATCCCCGGAAAGAACAACCTGAAAGACGAAATGAGAAGTGACGCGACGAGTGCAAAGTTGGACACGACGACAACTATGATGACTGGTTTCGAATCTTTTCAGATTTTAGAGAGAGTGAGAAAGTGAATGCACGCCTCGATCATTCTCTTTCCTGTGCATGGTGGGCACCCTGTCTTATCTCATTGGCCTCTTCTTTAAGGTCTTGATGCGTTAGCAAGCCAATTACGAGCTATTAAGTAGGATCACTCAAAACAAAAGAATTGTTTACTCATGGTCCTGTCATCTGGGTTCATCATTCTCAGAGGCGACGGGTGCTCTCTCATCTCCATTCCTTATCTGTCTCGCAATCATAGCTTCGCTTTTCCTGCTGTCGGTCTAGATACGAGTCAAAGTTCTTGTCAGATCCTGACCTAGCCACAGACAACACGCCAATACAGTTCGTGCCATAAGCTTTCACTTACAGACCATTGCCACCCTACCAGAAGGAGACCCGTAACTCGGGTTTGAATTCCACGAAACTTACTGCAAGTGCTCTTCGAACCACTGCAATGCTTGTATGAAAGCACTCTCCTTCGCGTATTTGGTTACAGGGTTATTCAAGTCAGCTCGAACGGCGAATCCATGTTCCACTCCAGAGTACAAGTTGATCTGATATGGCTGGCCGGTCTCTTTGAGGATGACTTCGCTCTCATGGCGCTTCTCGGTGGGGAAGATGCTGTCGGTCTCTGCGGCAGAGATGGCAAGTGGACCCTTGATCTCCTTGAGCTCGTCTGCATCGACGAAGGATGGATGCGCAGTGTATCCGACATCGATCTTGCCGGCTTCAGGCCGAAGATGACGCACGACGTACTTGCCGCCGAAGCAGTAGCCAACAGCACCGATTTTCTATACAAGACCGGAATGTGTCAGCATTCATATTTTCTTCACGAGGCTGTCATTCAACGAGAAACCCAACATCATGACTATCTCATACCTTTGCATTGTACTTCGTTCGTAGCTCGACCAGGCAGGCATCAATGATAGGGTCGACCGTGGGCGGTAGATGTGCAACCTTCTTTGGGTGATATGCCCCCTGAAGCCACTGCATGATGTCGAAGTCGTCACCGCGGTTCAAGGGAATAGGGTCCTTGTCAAACAGGTCAGGGCTCAGTACAAAGTAGCCGTTGGCAGCGAATTGGTCAGCTATCAACTGGGCATTGATGAAACGGTGGCCTATGACATCGGTGATACTGTAGCGATTGGTTGAAAGGTCAGTCACTGGGCATTGAACGACCAGGCCGCAGTATACTCGAGTTCAGACGGGTACATACAGGAGAATGGCCTTCTCGGTGGACTTGTCCTCAGGATAGACTACGTATGTCTCAAAGTCACCAATCTGAATGAATTCGCCTTTTGCCTCGCCTTCATGCTTGACGCCTTTGTAGCAGCATGCTCCTGGAGGATTGGATGCCATTGTTATGTATTTGTGGATTGCGACGGGGAGAGCTTTCCTCGGAATACAGTGAAGGGTGGGCAACTACTGGTAGGCTGGATAGAAGAATGAGACAGCAGTTTATAAGTGAGGGCGACAGGTAGGCACCTTCCTAGCTGCGTAGCTTTAAAAGAGATGCTGCAACGGAGGAAGGTGGGTATAGATAGGTTCCCAAGGAAGGTGGGGGACAATTGCACCGGATTCACACGGCAGGAGCGAATTGGAGCAGAATCCGCATCCGAGGCCCGGGGGTTCGTAACGATTGAGTGCCTGGGAACTGCAGGCCCCAGTGCCAGTCACAGTGCTTCCAAATAATTTCCTAAACTAAAGGAGGGGCAGACCCAACCCACCTTGCGGTAGAATGCAAAGGGTGAGGCAATCAAGATACCGCATTGAGTCCATAACAACTGGGAGTCGGGCCCACCGGCGATTTGGCGACGGAGATAAGGCTGAAATGACGTTATGAGGGGCATGCACTGACTAAACACCGGAATCTACGCTCAAATCATCACTCGTGAAAATTGCATTTCTTTTCTCGACCGGACACATTGCGGCACAGGGTTTCAGCAATCACAATTGGGATGAATGTCTGGTCAGACAGAACAGTTTTATCTTGCTCTCTTCCCCGCGTGGCCAATGATGGACAAAGGGCGAACATCGGCATCGATCGGCTCCTAACATCGGAACTGTTCTCACATGGACGGAAGGGACCAAATATATTCCGACAGAGAATGGGAGCTAGCCTCGTTGCGTAGTTGGCCGATTCGCACGTGTGTCTTTCATTTTCGTGCGGCTAATGCACCAACCATCACAGCAGCCAAGACGAGATACGAGACGTTGCACGAAAAGTACATGAATAACTTACCCGGGGAGTCTGCACTACCAGTGACAGTGGTATTCTAAAGGTCGGTTCGCTATTCCCATCTGCATGGGCATTTTGCCAGATCATACGAGTGAGAGAGAGTTCTTACTCTTCTATCGTCAAGCAGCGAGCCTTGCTCAGGCTGTTTGGGAGGATGAATCGAGCCAGTGGCATGCTAGAAGCATCCTGGTATCTTCGAGGAGGAACAGAAGTGTCCAGTCTCTAGAATTTAAAATGCCTACGGCTAACTGTATACGCGAAAACTCAGGAAAAGATGCGCCCAAGGAACTGAATCATCAGTAACCACCATCAGAAAACTATTAGGTATATAGGCATAGCCCGACCCCATAGTGAGTTTGAGCTCTCTAGTTTGAGTGCACCATTGCAACTCACCTCATATCATTCCTGATTCCACCTGATAGGCAGGGTTATGACAAAGTACCCACCATGTCATAGTGATAATGCATTCCCACGAATGGGATATCTGTAAAGATATCAATAACCACGAGGCCCTGCTCTCCAAGTTTGAAACCTGTATATGATCTTCTAGGAAATGCTTGAACCTTAAGAAATGGAAGCGACGTCAAGTATTGTTAGAGGCCAGGCATACTTGTCGCCGTCAAGTTTGAGTCCTTCTTTGTGACTGGAACGCGGACATTGGCCTGTATTTGATGGATCGAGAAAGAGAGGAGGGACGAATGCTTCTCACTTTGCTCAGAGAAATCGGCTCTAACTCCATCCCTGTTGAGCTGGAGCTGCCTCAATTATCGTGAAGGCCATTTTGGCCACCATGATGTGAAATCAACCAATGTTAGGAGAGCAGAAAATGGAACAGCTGCTAAGACGACCTCTTCGGAGTCGTCTTGATATTCTTCAGCGAGTGCAACGATCATACAGTACCTACTTGAAAGAGTGAGAGTGGCTCTCAAGTTCAATGCAAAGGAAATGTATAGGAGAGAGCCAATCTCACTTGTGCTGATAGTGGGAGCATTTATCCCCCATCAACATATGAGAGATATCAATAACGGCAAGAAAGTCGGGATATTCTTAAGTAGCGATGGTCTACATCATATGGTGGCGAACGACTTGCGATGGCGATCGGTCAAGATCAATTGCGGTATTCCGAGTACTTATCCACAAGAAAACAACAACCACCGGCCACCAGCACCCGATATTACTGGCCATACGTAAGCTTGTTTCCTGAGCATGGTAGGGTGGCAACCCAAATACCTGCATGGTTGATTGCTCGGGCCAGCTTGCGTCAGTAGATAGGTCAATGGAAATGAGATGGGATCCTACAAGTAGGCAGACTCGAGATCTAACTTTATGCTGCGGGTGAGCGGCAGGTACTAGGTTGGTAGGGTTGACTGTGCCGTGATTGCCGTGGGAGGAGCCGAAATGCTTGGCTCCCGCTGCTATAAAAAGCTTGTTTCCAAGTCAAAAACACCTCTCCTGAAACCCTGATCAGTGATCACTACCAAAGGAGGCACCACCGTTCTCCTTACAGCAGGACCCCGTATTCTGTTCCCTTGCTGTCATCGAAAGATTGCTTGACAACGCACGCTCCCACCCACGGTCAACACTTTGATTGTCTTCCCAAACAGGCAGCTACGTGGTCATCCAAGACTTCCATCAGTCATTGAGATTAACCTCGCCCACCCCGCAACTTTCGTCTTGAATCTGAAGATCGAGTCGTCAACACGTGGGCCTCCTTGCGCCAGGATTGGCGTATTTCATATCGAGAGAGAATCTAGACTAATTAAGCAGGTGTATGTGATCGATGGATCAAAACACAGTGTTGTTCCGCCCTTCTGCAAATCGATCCCCTCTCCTCGCAAGAGAGTCCTCGAGATAACATGTTCGCCCTGCAAAATAGACTGCCACCGTCTATCGCCTCTCAACAAGAACTCTAACGATATTGATCGACTCAGATTTTGATCTGCGCATCATTCGAAACCACCTATAGTTCAAGACCAGGCTTTGTGCTCATGGCGCCCTTGTTTCTTAAAGCACTCGAAGTCTACTCGTATTCGTTTGGGTCGGCCTCTTCTACTTGTTCTGCAAGCCAAGAGAGGATCTAGACCCTCATTTTCTTGAAGGTTGCTCTGTACATGACGCTAGGTGATTGCGCATTGGCATCAAATCGACATTTTGGCGGATCTATGCCAGCTGTCAAAAGTTGATTGACGTTCCAACCCAACCAATGCGTATTCTCGGCCCTCATTAATGATGCTTGTGCGCATCAAGGGTCCTTCCTATCTTGCCCCTTTCATTCGTCCTCGGTAATGTTCTCATCTCATCTACCCCCCGCCGTTCCACTCCATCCCTCCAACTCTTGCCATACCTTCGCTCACACATGCCGTTGCGAGATTGATGGTGAGATTTATGCGGACAACAGGTTAGGAATAGCGTTGAACTTGAGCTCACATGCATCTCCTGTCCGACCAGCAGCGATCTAATTTATATTCTAGCTCTAAGCAGGGTTTCTATATATCTCTCGAAGGAGGACGTGGATCCATTGATCGATCCACAGCAGTCCTATATCGTGCAATCTTGAGCTCGACTCTAAAGTTTCTTCCAACACAGCTACGATGATCACAACACGGCTACATGCAGTGCTTGTCCTCCTCCTCTTCACAAGCACAACTCTCTCCCTGGTCTTGCCTCACCCCGACAGCAGCACAGGATTAACCCACTCATCTTCATCGTCTTCAACATCTTCATCAACAAACGACCTCACCAAATTCCACACAGTGAAAACCCCAAGCAACAGTCTAATATGCCACGCTAACAATCAACGCATGTCTTGCTACGGCGGCATCCCCGTAGCGCTGCAAACATGCAGAGAGATCTGCATATGCGAGAACGGCCGCATCGCGTGTCCCGCATACAAATACTGCGACGACGCGACCATGGACACCTTCTGCGGTGGCATGTGTGGCTGCAGCATGTCGAGCTCTAGCTCTAGCTCGAGTTCGAACTCGAACTCTCCGCCGAGGAGAGTACGGGGCAGCACCAACGTCGACCGCGACGATGACCACCCTCAGCACCATGACCATATGATGTTCTCCAGACACCGGCACCCAGATGCGGGGTCGAGGCAGCTGTACGACGAAGATGAGGACGATGACCGGGAGGACGAGGACGATGAAGGCATGTTCAACCGACGCGCGAAACGCGTTGTTGCGGAACCAGCTCCTGTTGCCGCAAATATTTCATGATGGCTACTGTTCGTATCGCACTGTCTTTTGCGCAATGTTATTTTAAGCCAGTCGATTAATGATGACGATGGCAATCTTCATGGGCCGCAGACAACGACTGGGCCTCTCACACTCATTTTTACGTGGTCGATCTGTTCTTTTGGGAAGGCATATTTTATTAAAGCTAGCGAAAGAGTTTGGCGTGGGCGGTACCTCGTGTTAGCGAGACCTCTTTTTTCTTTCCTCCCGTGCTGTGTGGTCGACTGCAAAAGAAAAGAGCCAGACTATCAAAGATTATTTTCTGTAACGGTTGTGAACTAATGCTATTAATTTCATGTAATGTTCTATACGACCAGGAATCTGGGTGTTCTTCGTCATGTCTTTAGACAGTAATACTGCCAGCAACACCTGGAAACACGGTCTTGAGTCGTGGGTGGTGACTAAACTCAACCAGCTAAACTTTCGCACCAAGAACAACAGTGTGACTACAGTACACCTCAAACGCGAGTCCACGTGGCTCTTAGAACGTTTCTGAGGTCGCTGTACCGCGCCACTCTTTTCCCAAGGACAAGCTCCTTCAAAACTCCAGTTTCTCAGACATGCAATGATCGCTGCTCCACTCCTAATGGAGAACTCTCTCGATCGTGATCTCAATGGGCACGCCAAAAGCATGCTCTCGCCCACCGACACGGTTCTTCTTCTTGCCCACCGCCTCGATTTCCTCGACCGCGTCGTTGATGGCCGCGGGAGAAGTCATGTCGTCGTTCTCACGGCCCTTGATCGTGAGGCGCACGCCGTCCATGAGACCCTTCTTGCCCAGTCCTGCACTCCACACCGCGTGGAAATGCAGTCTCGGGCGGCGAGTGGGGTCCACGATGCGGCCTGCGGGATATACGTCGCCGACTAGGGACGCCAACGCACCCAGGTAGTTCGCCCAGAAGACTTCCTGGGGCGAAAGTATTGATCGCAGGCGCTCTTGTAAAGTATGGTTCGGTGGTGCGAGGTCGACGTTCCAGCGGCGGCAGAGTGTGAGAGCGAGGAGGGCGCGGTCTGAGTGCGAGATGCCGTGTGCAGATGCTAGGACACCGGTCAATGGTGCTTGTAGTGCAGCTAGGGACCGAGACTCCTTGGGCAAGTCACAATGGAGGTACATCATGTCGGCAACTGATCGGACGAATGGAGGCGTGAAGGTTTCTGGGATGTATCGATCTAGGCTGTTTGCGCCTGGCAGGCCGGAGAAGAGCAGCTCTGCGATGTGCTCGGCAGATTCAGTCCCATACTTAGCGGTAGCGGCTTGCAAAGGATCAAGAGCCTTGGTGGCTGGGTCCAAAGTATCGAACAGGAAGCCTTCTCGCACTCCGCCTTGACAAAAGCGTACATGTTGAATCATGGGTAGGGCTTCGACAAGTACATTTACCAGAAATGCTACTGCAGGTACTTGTGCTGCCCGGCGCTTGGATATCCGGAAGATGGATTCTTCTGCTGCAACTGCGCTGATCTCGGCGGTTTGCTGGAACTCGCGCTTCTGAACGTGAAATCCATTGATGATTGGGATGGGGTAGGGAGAAACCTTGTGTTGTGACATGAGTAGATACCCCCAGCCTCGGAATCCACCACCTGAGAGGTAGAGTGTCAGTCCACCATGTTCGGCCTTTTGTTGCAGAGATTTTGGGAGCTCGAGTTCTCGATATGCTTGTTGGAATTGTTGCTTCATCGTCGTTTTCAGATCGCTTCGGGCGCTCTTAGGGTGGTCTTGAGCCTCAATTTCTGCCAAGTGACGAGACATCGCCGCTGCTCCGTAGGGAAAGCTGAAAGATCCTTTATGGCTAGTGTCGACTCTGCCATCCTTAGCAATCATCCAGGTGATTTGAGTGCTACCGCCTTCAAACAAAACATCAGCGAATCATTCAACCAATCGACTGAAATAAAAGCACAACATACCACCCAGGTCCATAACTAAGCCATCTACACTGGCAAAACTACTTGCCACTCCCAGCGCTCCAATCCTACCCTCGACCTCCTTGGGCAAGAGATCCACATCCCAACCGGTCACCTGCTTGATCTGGCGGCGATAGTCTTCAGAATTCTCCGCCGTCCTCGTCGCTTCAGTAGCCAAGACGCGGATATTGGTCGCAGGGACGCCGAAGTCAGCACATGTTATTTGAAACTTCGACAGCGATGTCAAGACAGCATTGACGGTCTCCTGCGGAATAGGACCCTTCACACCAGTCGAGTACTGTGCGTCGTAGAGCGAAATGCCCTCGCGATCCTGGTAAACCGTTGGCAGCGACCTTGCGGTCGCAGGAGATAAGTCGGTGATGGAGAACCGGATGCCATTACTGTGACTAAGTCAGAAACCTGAGCAAGGGAAAATATCGATACCGGCCAAAAATATTTACCTCCCCATGTCCACCAGGCCATACAGGTTGCTAGGCGATGCCCCGCGAAGCGACATCGTTGGTTTAGGTTGGGTACCTTTTTACCTGTCAAAAGGATACACTCGGATGGCGCAACTGAACCCGAAATGATTTAAGAATAAGAGGCTTGTAAACTATTGGCGATTTCAGAGAATGGATTACCCGCGAAAAAGACATTATTCCGTTCGCAGAGCAGAGGCCTGGGATTTATTGGCTTCGTAGTTGGGCACAAAACGGGCAACCACGTGCACTCTGTGAGGACCTCGAAAGGATCGAGTTTCCACTAGTGACCAAGGCAGATACGAGGTGCTCCATACACGCAAATATTACTGGTTGGGCTTTGAAAGTCTTTGGTAACGACTGATACAATTTGCACACCTGATAGACGGTTTGGTTTACTCTACAAAAGCAACACGTGATCCCCCTTGGGTTGGTACTGAATCAAATTATCCCTCAGTAGTGTGAAGGATGGCGGCCCCAGTCAAAACCTTGGCTGAAGCCATCATCGGACCCAAGAAGACCACGCTGGACCAGCATCCCCCACTAAGAGATATCCTCATCTTCCTGCGGGTGAAATGCATCACCAAACGCCGAGTCTTCCATACCATCGAGGTTCAGCTCATCCTCGTCGTTTCCATAGCTTGCAAGAGCATCTCCAGCTGTATCGACATCCACATTGTCAAACTCTTCTTCCATACCAAAGTCTGGGGTATCTAGCGGGGTCGCATGATTGGGCTGTTGTGGAACTGGTTGACCAGCGGTTACCGATGAGTCATTTCCCTCGGTGTTCTGTTGCATGTTGACCTGATCGCTCTGCGGCTGCTCATCGCCGGGTATGTCTGCAAGATTTAGATCCTCAGCATGATGTCCGCCATCCTCATTAATCATGACCCATTCGTTACCGTCCCCATTCGTATTATCGCCAGGGCCATTTCCATCATCCAGGTCATCCATATTGACATCCATACCCATGTCGTCGAGCCGCAAGCCCTGCTCCTCTTGAGCTTCGCCTGCGTGGGATTGTTGGTTGGAGTCGGTAGAAGGATCAGCTTGAGGCACAGAAGGTGTGGGTTGCTCGTCTGAACTGGCCGTAGACGTTGTCTTCTGCTCGATCGTCTCAGGTGGAGCTACTGCCTGAGGCTTCTGTTTTTTCTCGTCATCTGCCATTGGCTCTGTTTTCTGTGCATCTGGCTCTGCGGCTGTAGCGGTGTTTGCTAATGCAGCAGGGGTTGGCGCCTTCTCCGGCGACGTGGCAAGAACAGCTCCTGGTCCAATCGCCGACGGGGTGCTGGCGATTCGATCTTCTAAGCCTCCTCTTTGCACTAAAGTTACAACAGAGGTTCGTTCAATCTTCTTATGCAAAGCCGATTCCACATCAGAGGCGATCTCGTCAATGGCATCCTTGTGGGTCTCACCACCATCATCAACAACCATGGCCGTGGACGACCGACGTCTATCAGTCACGTTCGGGGCCGTGCGAAGCTTCTTTTCGGCATCATGCAAAACTTTGTATCGTCCAGCCTTACCCATTCGTTTCTGGTGAATCTCCTTCATCTTATCAAGTTCAGCCTGGAGTTGGGCTAGCTTTTCATCAGCTCGCTTTTGGAATTTGTCGAATTCACCTGGCACGAGCCTACCCACGCGTGAGGGCGGTCCATCAGCAGAATCTCGAAGAATCGATACCGGTGCATCAAAGAAGTCCTTAGTTAACTCCTCCAAACGTCCTTTTCTGCCAAGGCCCAAGTCACTCGGAACAATGGAACTGATCGGATATGGAGACTCAATCACTTCTTCCATCCACTCGTGGTGCTGCTCATAACGCATGCGACTGATGTCTCTTGGGGTCATGAAATCAAGTATGTCACCACGAGATACATCCTCCTCGTCCTCCAAGGTGGTATCTTGAGAGACGCTTGGTCCTCTTCTATGGCCCGGAGCTTGTTGTGGGATCTGACCAGGTAATGGCGGTGCTCGTGCCATCCCTTGCGGCAGATGAATGATAGGCCAATTGTGTCGGTCGTGCAACAGAAAATCTTTGCGCGGAAGTTGTCCTTGAGACTGAATCAAGCGTCGCTGCGCCATCGATGCTTGGACATGCGGAGGGATTGGAATAGATGCAGCAGGAATGTGATCACGCGTAGAGGCCTTTGAGTAGTGTATCAGCCATAGGCTTGGGTCCGGTGGTTGCTGTCCCATACTGGGGTTGCCAGGAAGTAGACGATATCTTCTCCTGCTATGCGATGCAATTGCCTCACCCTGGGCGCGGTATCCTGATCGCTGGAGGAACATTTCGAGTGTCTAAAGATCACGTATTAAAAGTTGTGCACACATGAGGTGAGAGTGATGCCGTACATAACCTCTAACTTCCGATTTGAAAGAAGCCTCCACATCGGCCCAGACATAACCATCGCTGGAGAAATTTGTTTGGAGATAGTCAATTGGTTGCCATGCGAGCAGAAGTGTGCCGTCCTGAGGTGTATCTATGAACTGCCATTGCATGGGTTGAAGCTCGCGGACAATCTTCGGTGCTTCGAGTAGGTAGCCAACGATCGTTTCCAAGGAAGGGTTCGTGGTTATAGGATAGCGATGTTTCGACAATAGGTGCACATGCGGCAACTAGTGTGTATTAGTCAAAGGGCAGAGTTGAGGTAGGCTGGGGACATACAAGTGTCGGAGGCAAGCCTGCCGCAGGATCTTTCAGCATCTGGCCGATAGTATTATTAGACATGTCGATCCGTGTGCACTACGCAAGATCATCAGCAGGTGAAAACTGTTGATGGAGTGTCGAGTCGGGCGTTGGCTACGGATTGTGAGATGAGGATCGATGACAGGCTTGGTGAATCGCGCAGACAAAATGAACTTGCGACTGGAACGCGCCAAGCGCGGCTGCTTCTTGGCAGGTACCAAAGTCGTTAACCCATTAAGGACTAGCACGTTCGCTAGGAGGCACTAAAGCCAGTGAGCTAGTGCGGAGTATACAGGCCACTGGCGACGTCATCCTTTTGTTCACCTCTGCTTGTATGGTCATGGTCCGCTATTTGTCTCATTTCCACTGACTTGCCAGCTCGATCCTAGTCTCGTCCCCTACGTAGCCGTAGCGTCTATATCCTTGACTACTTAGCATACACAGACGCTTCACGCTTTGGAAAAGGAGGTAAGTCAGGTATGGTCAACTCCGCCTCACGAAGCAACTTGCCAGCATCGTGGGCGAACAGCCAGTCTTTACGCTTCGTATCTGCCCAAAAGATCGGATTCTGGCTGTTATCATGCTTCATGAGCTCATCACGTCTATCCCTCTCCGGGCCATCGGGAAGGTGCAACCATTCCTGGAGTACTCGAGTATTGCGTGCGACATAGGCAGCACGGGAGAGGCGTTGACTTTGATATGCACGGAGGGCATCCGGTATGCTACTATAATGCGATAGGGCTGCTTGAAGAGCTGCCGCGTCTTCGGTGGCTTGAGCTGCCCCCTGGGCAAGGTAAGGCATCATGGGATGGCCACAATCCCCAAGCAATGCAACTTTCCCACTCGGATGCACCCATCGATCGAGTCGGTCGAAGTCGGCCAGTTTCCACTTCAGATATTGACCCGTCAGTCCACATAGCTTCCGGACTGGATAACACCATTCTGCAAATCTCTGGACGAGCTCAGTATTGTCAGCCTGCGATTTCCACTCGTTTTGTCCAACGGGCACGCCAAGGTCCGTTGAATGAGTGATGTCGATGATGATGTTGTACAATTCACCCTCTCGCAATGGATATCCAACAGCGTGTCCTTCGGGGCCCATCCAATGAACTGCCCATGGATCTGTCACCAAATGACGAGTTTCAGGATCGTCCAACAATGGTTGAGAGGGTACAAGAATACGGTAGGCAACATCACCCGTGTCCATTGGTTCGATCGGAGTGCCATTGATCGCATTTCTCACCTCCGACTTGATGCCATCAGCACAGATGATGACGTCTGCTTCGTGCCATTGACCGTCGGCTGTTTTGAGGCTTGGTGAGTCAAAATCATACTCGATGACCTTGATTCCCATGCGAAGATCAATGTTCTTGCGGCTTTTAGTAGCATCGACGAGGGCATTGATTAGGTCTGCGCGGTGGATGAAGTAATAGGGTGCTCCATACTTGCTTTCAACATCGTCAAACGGGATTTCCAGCAGTTTATTGTCTTTCCAGTCGACAAATCGATTGCCGCGAGAGACTTGCTTCTTGATTGAATCAAAGTCCACACCCCACCCTAGACCTAGTCGTGAAGAATTAGGAGGAACTCTGATCCCAGCACCGACCTGCGCGCGTCAATGACGTTCAGCAATAGGCTTTCCTTCCTTCCTTCATACCTCAAGAAATTCCTTCACTGATTCAAAGACAACCACGTCATGCTCGTCCTTAGCAAGCGCCAAAGCAGCCTGCAAGCCGCCAATTCCGGCGCCGACGACTAGTACTTTCAGCGGCTTCATGGCGTTTAACGGTGACCAGGAGCGCAGAATTAGAGGGCATCGCCTACGACACTGAGCAGGTACTAGATTCTTACCTAGGAGCGCGATCCTCACGTATACTTATCGGAAGGAACGGCATCCTCCGCATACCAGCATCTCCGCATGAGGGACAGACCTCCAGACGTTTGGCCGGCTCATGCGTGCTCCATAGAAACGACTCAATGGCTTGAGATGGAATACTAACTTAGGGTAATAGCCCACGCATCTTTACAATCTGTAGGTGAGTGGTTCAGACTGTTATCAAAACGATGAAAACGCGGCCCCTGTTGAATACACGAACCATGAGATCTCTACTGAGTGTGAGTATAGTAATGCCGAGGTCCATTCCATGTTGACCGTGGCCTTTACAACCGAACACACTTGCTGCAACCCGAAATATTATGGACGAGTACTACATTCTTTCATTCTCTTATACCAATCCTTGTTCTAAGGGCCTAGCCTAGGATCAAGACCAACATCAATCTAAGCTCCTACCAGTTCTGGCCAGAATAAAATGCATCCATAACATTTCAACATGAGCGGACCAGAACAACGCTTACGCCAACACAACGGACGAACATTTTTCGTAACACCATAGATCTCCCCCATTATCGGCAACCTCAAAAATAGCGATGACGGAGCCCAAGAAATACAGCCCCGCGATAGAAGCCAGCCTGGCGCACTTCCGTAGCATCCCGTGGGTCAACGACGTGCACCTCTCGGACAATGCCTTCCAGATCGTGGATGGCAACCTGTCACGAGCAATCACACAGCCTGGCAACGGGCACTCACTGACCGGCGAGACATGGAACACAGAGAAAACCATCGCGCATCTAATCACCATGTACCGACCTGCGGCTCCAGACCGCGAAGCTGGCCAGAACTGCGGCGGTGGCGAGCTCCGCCGAATCTACACGTTCGGCACGGGCTTGAACGCACACCCGAACCTGCTGCACGGGGGCGTCATCGCGACGATCTTGGACAGCGCGATGGGGAACGTCATTCACCAGGCACTGCGGCCCAGGGGTGCGACGTTCACGGTGTTGTTGAATATCACGTATAAGAAGCCTGTGTCTACGCCGGGGACTGTGCTCGTGCGTTCTTCCGTCGTTCAGGTCGAGGGGAGGAAGATTTGGGCTCGTGGAGCGGTAGAAGGTGGTGATGGAGAGGTTCATGCTACCGCTGAGGGGATGTGGTTGATGGCGAAGGCAAATTTATGAGTTGAAAGGAAAGAAAACGAAGAAGTAATAGGTACTTTAGAGTGGTGCACCAATAGAATCAAGTTCCTTGGTTTGGTATCTCAGGGTTTGATAATACACCGAAAAGTAAAGACCCTTCTAGGACACCCTTGTGCAAGATATGGTACACTGGTGTATTCCCCCAAAACAAACGCCTTCGAGTGAAAGCACACTCATGCATTCCCTTCTGCCACTCACGATAGGTTGCTCGTCACGTTTGAGAACTCGCCCTTTTCGAGTTTGGTGTTCCAGAAGATTGGGTTGGTGTCGAAGAAACCGTGTTTGACCCATCCATCCTCCTTGACGTGGTATAGGTTGATGTAGCCACCAGAGTAAGCATCTCTGTGGGTCGCCGCTAGAATACTTCTTCGTCCTAATTCCAACGCTTCGTCATCCTCCAAATCGTACTTGTATTGGGCATCCAGTACGCCGTAGGCAAAGGTCTGACCGGACCCGACGCAGAAGAGGTTCCCTGATAGGCGAGTTCCGTCCGAATCGATGTAGTAAAGCGCAGGTCCTTCAGAGGGTGTGACACCTGTGATCATGGTACCCATCGAGAGACCCATCCCCTTGTACGAGTAAACTAGGTTGGCTAGAATCTTGGACGCTGCCGCAACGGAGATTCTCTGTTTCTGTCGAAGTTCGTGGAGACGGCATTGGACACCGAGATAAGCTAACCAGTATTGACAATCCTGTATGCTGTTTAGCTACACTTTCATCCTCCCTGGTTCAGATTTGACTTACTGCGGCACCTCCAGCCATCGTTCCTAGCAGCATAGGGTTGATTTCAATCACCTTCTTGACAGTCTGCGAGGCAATCCAGTTTCCAGCTGTAGCTCTTGAGTCGGTCGCGACGATGATACCTCCCTTGAATCTGAATGCTAGGGTCGTCGTACCGTGTGCTAGCTTGATGGGACAGTTGGGATTTGAGTAGTCATCGGTTGCTGCGCGCAGGAAGGCTGAGGGTCGAGGAACAGGTGGCAGGGCGAACTTCAAAGAAAGCGGCGGCAGAGATTGAGAGTAGTCATCTTGCTCATCTAAGGTGTAGCTTTCGTTCGCAAATGGTGACTGTGTGTATTGGGCAACGAGGGCGTCCATGATTAGAAGGTCGACAGAGGAAAGATTCTGGGGTAGTGTTTCAATCAACTGGTCAGGGAGTGTTGGAATACGAAGACAAAGGAAGAGTGGTGGTACACGAAGAAAGAAGAAGAAGGCTGGCAAGCGAGTAAATTACAGGTGCTTGAAGTGAAGGTGATGGGACTGAGGCAACAGCTTGCTTGGGTCACACAGTTACAATCCGGCGTGTTGGAGATGCGATGGTGAATGCGTGTTCTTCGGCGCCTGCCAGAACCCGCAGTCACGTGAAAGCTACGGTGGATTATATGCGCTGCGCTAGGGGCTTGCCACTTGGGGGATAAATACTTCCCCGTGCTTGGCTACCACGGCAAATAGATGAGCGGGTAAGGACGATGATGCTTACTTGGCGCCGGGCCTGCATTCAACTTGAAGTGCAATGTTTCACCAAGCGCTTCTCAAAACGCCAACGAAATTTCTCTTCTTTTCTTAGCACACTATGATATATATCTGGTGTCTTTTATAGAACCGTAAGACTTCGGGAGTTTTCCTCTCGAACCGCCGACTCAGGTAGTAATTGTACAAGACTGGGCCCGTTCTTTTGGTTGTTTTCCTAGAGTTGGTTATCCCGGCAGGAAAACAAGGACGCTGATATCGATAGCATGAGAGGGCAGTCTGACACTATATCTTGTTACATAATGTGGACATTGCTTCATCATTGCGGCTCCTGGGCTAACAAGGAGGCTTGGTTTTGCAATAGCCCTGGAGGTAACCAACCGCGACCACCTGCTTCAGACCTTAATATCTGCTTGAAATGTGTTTTGCTGCATTTTGTGCGGACAAAATCAATTCGACCCACTCCAGATGCGGCTCTGTCTGGATTCCTAAGCGCCTGACCAGACGATGGCCCTGGCCAGTCTGGATCCATATTGCGCCACGAACTAGAGGAACTGTTGATAAGAGTTGGCATTCCCTGGGCCTATGCTGCTTCTAGGTATGATAGCACAATAGGTTTACTGAAGTTCTTCTGAAAATAATATCGGGGCACTTTCTGCCTTGGAAGATCTACTCGATGTTAACCAGATGGCTGGAACAGAATCATCGCGAATCCCACCTTCCTGAAGCCTTTGATCAGCACAGGGAACAAAGTGACGGACCCGAATTGAAGCAGTACACCACGGGAGAGCAACACCCAAAACATTTGGCGGTCAGAGCACACCGATGGGATCCAATCTGGTTGCATGGCTTCATTCTCCCGTTGATGGCAGGACTTTTTCTTCTTCTTGCTTTGTCTTTGATCCTATTGTGGCATTTCAATGTTCGGGCTAATGGATTCAAATTGATCACTAACAATCATTACGCCTGGACATATGGACCTACCGCCCTCCTTATTTTTGTGGTTCCTATTTGGCGACAGGTCGACTATCACTATAAGGCCGCTCTACCATGGCAGTTACTCCAATGCAGATTCACGTCGGCCGAATACTCGATTCTGCTGGATTATGTCAGTCCGCTACAAATAGTCAGCTTCTGGGCATCTCTCCGGAACAGTCACTTTATTGTTGCAACCACCATAGTTGTGTTTGTGATTTTAAAGTTGGTCACAGTTGCTTCGACAGGCCTGCTCACTGAGCAGTCAGTAGGCTTACCTGTACAGAACATGCGTCTCGCTCTGACCACAAGTCTAAATGGATCACTTTACAATGTCTCAGCTCCAGTCGCTACGACCGATGCCCCAATTGCATACACTGCATACGGTATCCTAGCGCATGGCCTGGCAGACATCCCTGGCACTACCCCTGACATGGCTTACGAGACCGTGAGATTGAGATCTGATGCTTTGACAATTGATGGCAGTATACAGGTTCAAGTGAAAGCTTTGTTCCCGAATTTCAATTGCCAGCCTGCAGAAGTATCTATCAACCCTTCGCCATATGATGCTAATGGGCAGCAAGTCAGCGACACAATGTCGATCCTTTCTCCTTCCTGCCACATGATGGGAGGTGCCCAACCGACGTTTGTGAACGACCTGAACAGACTGACAGCGCCGCTCACACAATTCAGAGGGGCAGTGCAACGAGTTAATTGCTCAGACAGAGATGTCCCATCTGAGGAACTGGTAAATTGGCAACTCTTGACAATCGCCGAAGTCGAGTACTCGATCCTGCCTCCTGAGGCGAATCAAACCAACTCAACAGCTAATGATACGGTCTCAGCTCTACCATATTGGAGAATCGGAGTGAAGCAAGCTACAAGTGTACTATGCAGACCATCCTACGGCATAGGTACTGCTGCTCTAAAATACGACTTCTCATACGAGCCGCCCTTGCTCTCCGCTGCCATTGACCAAAACACGGCCGGAAATTTAGTCGGGTTTCGGGACAATGATCTTGGCGCTTCATTCACTGCTGCACTTGCCGCTGGTTCAAACATGTTTGGGGATCTGTCCGAAAATCTAGCTGTGGATTTCCCAAACACCATGTTCAAACTGATGGCAGCAGGCCATGGTGATCGGTACGAGAACCTCATGGACCAGGACGTCATGATGTCTACGGCTGAGCGGACTTTTAAGCATCTTGCAGTCCAGATAGCACGAAAGAACATTTTCCAGGAAGACAATTCCGATATTGTTGGGATTTCGGAAAGATCTGAAAAGCGTCTTGTCATCAGTGAATTCTCGCTATGGGTTATGGTAGCTGGCTTTATTCTTGTTGCGGTCTTGAGCTTTGCTGCCAACTGGATGCGACTGAACAAGCCGATTCCTTACGGATATGAGAACATATACGGCTTAGCTTTGCTCCTGGCTCAGAATCATGGCTTCCAAAAAGTTATGGACCAAGTTATCGGTTATGATGATGCTACTGTCAGGAGAATATTGGCCAATCATCAATTCCTTGCCTCCTGGTCTGAAGACTGTAAACAACTAGATCTCCTGAACCAGGCAAAGTCACGGCTCGAGGATCAGACGGATTCACACAATGCTGGGACTGGATCGGCGCCTAAGGAGCTTTGGTGGAATCCACTGACGTTGAAACGGTGGATTCTAGTGATGACTCTGTGCCTCCCCATTGCTGGCATTGTAACATTGGAAGTGTTGCAACGACTTTCCGACCGCAGTCATGGCCTGGGTGATGTGTCCGATATGAATGGCGCGAGTTCTATTATCTACACCCGACTTCTTCCAGCTTTCGTTGTCCTTGTCATTGCGAGCTTAGTCAACGCCGTTGAATTCAATATCTTTGTTCTCTCTCCATTCGATCGCCTATGGTCTAGAGATACCAAATGCAGGCAAAGCCTTCAGAGTTCCTTAATCAACCTACTTCCTCCACTGGCGTTCTGGAAGGCTTTGAGACACCGTCATTACGCTGCACTGTGCTCATCAATTGCAACTGTTCTAGGCGCCTCACTCACCATCATAGTTTCAGGGTTGTATACTGTCGAGCAGATCTCATACTCAACCGAGGTGGTACTGTTCGTAAACCAGTCAATGAATCTCAACTGGGCGAACAGCTCAACTCAAGACAATGGTGCTGCAGCTCTTATAAGCCTTACGGAGAGCCTTAATTTGAGTTATCCGGCTTTTACTGTTGACGAACTTGCGTTTCCGTACTTTGATCAGTTAGGTAGCCTTGACGCTATAGCAGCTGAATCTACTCTCCAAACGCGATTGCCGGCTTTTCGAGCATCCTTAAACTGTTCAATATTGAACCCATCGAAATTCAATGTTTCAGCGGTTTACAATTCAAGAATAAATTCGGCGAGTGCGAATGTTGATGCCAGACTACCATTGCCAAATTCCTGCCTCAGAGGAGGGCCGGGTGGAAATCTCAGCTATATAGAGATAACCTATCGTGTCGGATTCGCAGCAAATGCAAGCTACATCGGGAAGATACTTGACCTTCATGTTGGGCCTTATGATCCAATATTAGGGTCAGCATTTGGTGAAAGCGACCCGCGGAGCAACAATGATAACCCACCTGAATGTCCTTCTCTAGCATTCATTTACGGGTACATTGATCTGGACGATCAGACACAAAACTCCGTTACCACCATGATGTGCTATCAAGAAATGCAGCGGCTGCAGGTCAATGTAAACTTTGATGTTCCGTCAATGTCAATCTCGACTACATTCCCTCCAGCAACAGACGAGGGAACCGTCGAAATTCTCTTGAACGGACCGAATCGATCCACTGCGTGGCAGTATCGCATCCAGCAGCACATGGATCAATCTCTTTCGTTGTTCAACCAAACTAAATACGCCTCCTCGAACCTTGCCGACTCCCCCATCGACCCATTCTTTCAAGCCGTGCTCGTCGGCAAGAAACCCATAGCGGAATCTCTGTTGTCGTCGAAAGAGAATGCAAGTGCCGTGTATGATGGTATTCTCGCATTCTACCGCAGATACATGGCACAGGCGATCTCGAATAACATGCGAGGGGGAACCGCCGATGGAGTGCCAGCAACAGGGGTAGCAGCAGATAAACCGCAAAGTTTCCCTGGCACAGTCCTCAACGCGATACGAAAGCCACGCGTCGTGCAGCAAAACCAGGCCAAAGTAGCCCTCCAAGTGCTCTTTGGCTTGATCAGCGTCCTACTCGCCATCGCCTACAAACTCGCCCGGCTCCGCCGTCTCGTGCCCTACAATCCTTGCACGATATTCGGGGTCGCAAGCCTGCTGGTCGGAACCAACATGTGCTCGGAGGACGAGCGGGAGCGCCTGCAGTCGGCACCATCGGACAGAAAATACAGGTTGGACTGGTGGTATGATAATAGTCGACAGTGGCACGAGGGAGACCTGGATTGTCATGATACGAAGCGGAGGAGAAGATATAGGATTGATGTTGTTGATGATCACCATTGAACTTCAGGAAGGACAGGGGCCATCGTCTGGTGTTGTGACCGGACTGTTAAAAATCACATGTAGCTTAGATTTTAGCGAGGAGTTTTTTGTTTACTGGTTTAGCGATTATTCACATGGACGAATAGCCTGGATACTTGACACTTAGGAATTGTAGTTTTCATTGTTTGTGGCTTCATACTGATTCCATCTCCACAACATTTTCCTGCACGCTGATCATACCAGTTCGTGATATCTAATTTCATAAAGTGTTCCATTCCCTAACGGTCCTCAAGATGCGATCCAAAAGTGATCCGAAAATTCTGGAAAGGTAGTTGTTGGGATGTGCTAGAGTCTGAACAAGTCTTTCTTCCGCAATTTCTTATCCCGTCACAAAACACCTCACTTAGGCAATGCTAAATAAAAATGCCAAGCGGCTTTCCCCACCAAAAGTTTCAACAAGAAGGTGCGGCAAGTGCCACGAAGAATTTTGACATGGTGGCATGGCGAAGCAGGGATTAGGAAGCATATGCCGTACCTAGCGACGAGAGCGAGTTGCCGTTCACTAGAATGCCATTACTGGTCATAAAGTAGGCATATGCCTCGACAGCAGACGTACTCTCGAGAAAGCTGACGGACTCGGAGATGAAAGATGCAACGTCGCTGTCGGATCCCGTGGCGCCGTACTCTGTCAACCATACCTTGCTCACGCCGTTCTCTGCAGCAAGGGTGATCACGTCTTGCACGTGCTGCTTGAAATAAGCCATGTTGCTTGCGGAGTCGTACCAGTGGAATGCGACGAAGTCAACCTTGCATTGACCGTTACAAGCTTCAAACCATGCTCTGAGCCAGTCAATACCCATTAGAGGGTTAGTTCCAGCGCCGTTAGTAACAGCGGGCGAGCCAATGGCGACCTGGCCAGCGAGTGGATTCATGTTTGCAATGTGAGACTGGGCTGCACTTTCGGGATCCATATTTGCCTGTTCTGCATGATCAGGCTCGTTGAAGGAGAGAACATGCTTGGAACCGCTGGCGATCGCCGCTGCTGCGGCTGCAGGCCATGCGCCTACACCGTCTTGTCCCCATAACATTGGTACGAACTCGGCACCAGAGACAATAGCGCCGCCGGGAGCAGGAGCCCAGTTATAGACCCAGCTGATACCCTTTCCAGCAAAGGCGTTGGTCAAGGACGCATCATTATAAGACAAGCCCTTCTTGCCACCACTTGGTGCGCCACCACCTCCGCCACCTGTGCTGGGGACTGAGCTTGAAATTGGAGCAGCGGAGGATCCAACTGCTGGAGGAGCCGAGCTGACAGCAGTAGCAAAGGTTGTTTGGATAACTGCTGGAGCAGAAGAGGGAACACCTCCATAGGAATAGGTGTTCTCACCACCCCAGGTCGGTCGATTATAGAAAGCACCAGCTGCAACAGAAGAAGCCTCCAGGCTGACTGAAGTTTCCGGAGCAAGTTGTCCGACCCCATTGCCTTCATTGGAAGGTGCAGTCTGTTGTGGAGCGAGTTGTGCGGTGAATGTGACGACTTCGACAGTAGTGGATGTCAGGGTTGATGTTATGCAGGTTGAAGAGTCTCCTTCACCAGCAGCGGCAGCAATGGGCACAGAAACACTGGAGAAGTCGTTGCCCGAGCCGGTACCTGACGATTCGACAGGAACTGGGTTTACGGTGATAGTTCTGACATTTGTTGCTGACGGTGCATCAACTGGAGCACCGCCAAAGTTTGTTCCATTGCTTGGGGATGCAGGAGCTGTGGGGCCAGCAGCAGCAGCAGATAGTCTGTCTGTTCCCCAATGTTGCCATGGTCTATGACGTTGGGGATGTGCTGCAACAGCAGAGGCGAATGCCAAGATCGTGATGATGTTAGAAACCATATTGAGGTGTTGGGGCGAATGCGGATATGCAGGTGAGCCTGAGGGATGCGAATGCTTCGACGAAAGTAGTTGTGGTAGTGTGAAAACCCTCCGGGGGTCTTTGTATAGCGGTTCAATCGATGAAGCAGCTGGTTGGCGAATGAGTGACCACGAGCTTAGCTCTAGTGAGAGAGAATGAGAGACCTGAGGCTAGCCTTACAGGTTGGAAAGAAAGACGGGTGCAATGTGTCGCACAAGACGTGTCAAGTTCACGCGAGAGGGAATGATTGAGTGGAAAGAAAAGATAGAAGGAGGAGGAATGAAACAGATACTTGCAGCGAGATATAGCTTAAACATACCGAGTCCTGAGAGGAGTGGAGGGGAGTTTATCAACAAGAACAGGAGCTGCGTTGGCATGTTTCATGGTGAGAGTTGAGCAACCGGGGTGGCCTGCTAGCGAGGATGCCTGAGTTCCCTCGTAGGGCTGTAATGCGAGCGTCTTTTCATCGTGACGCTGCTGGATGGCGCGGGTATTTGATGGTTCGATGGCTGTATTAGACAACCGTACAATGTGGGCGAGGTTGGTGGTGGCTATCCACAGATCTGGCTGGGCTGTCTTGTCGTGAGGACAGCCTCATGGCGAAAAAAGGGGAATCCAAACACGTAGATTTGGTTAGCTGTTACACCATCCCAGTCCCCACGATCTGGGCAGCCAGCCCATTTGGCTGGAAACACTCTGAAACGAGAGATCCCTGGGCCGCAATGCAGGGGAGGATCCATATCGAGTCTAGGGATAGCAGCTGAGTTTTTGGCGATAGGCGGCCCACGTCTGGGACGCTAATGCCAGGAACCCGAACCTTGTCGAGACCCTCTCTATTAGCCTTGGCCATTCCGAGAACTGATGATCCAGGGTGGCGGAAATGAATTCAGAGGGCACAGGATCTGGTCGGAGGCCGACTCGATCGGCCTGTGTCTTCTCGCTTGATAAAAGACAGCCACATGGTCGATAGTGGAAGACGTGTTGGTCAGATGAGATGGCAATAATAGATTGGTTCACGTTCACAAGGTGGTTGGGTCTGTGCGTCACGTGTAAACTCCTAGCTTGGCATGGGCCGTTGTTCAGAAGGAACGCAAGGGCCAAGATGATTCTGTGGCTGACTTTGACCACGTCAGCTCGTCGAGCAGAAGTTCTAGAGCAGAGCACACAAGCACAGCTTACGGAGTCCGCCAAACTGTGTGCTCCGTACTCCGTCCACAGACTATGGAGTACGAAGAGTCCGAAGAGCCCATCCGCAGTACGCGTCCTACGTTAATTCACGACGCCTGAAGAGGAGCACCGCGCGAGAACCGCTGATCCCCACCGAGTCACTGCATAGCCACCCCTGGCAGTCCCGCTGTCTTGAAAATCCGCCTGCCCCCTAATCCAACTTCCCTTGGTGCTCGGTAGACAAATTTCCCAAGACGAGGGAATATCGTGCGGTACTGAGGTTCCTTCCTGTGCTCTCCCCAAGAAAGACGTGCAATCAGCTCGGCAAAAATGATTGTCGATGGTCAAACATGATGCGTATGAATTGATAGTTTGGAACAGCCAGGTCTCTTCATGTAGGGGGCACACAGTCCTCGAGTCCTGTCCGTAAACAGTGCAATCTATCACGCCTTTGTCCGACCCTCGAGCACGCTCATCACATCGTTGACATTATCTTTATCGCCCTTGCGTTTCTTTCCTCCTCGCTTCCTGGCTGGTTTCTTCGCTTCGCCCTTCTCGCCCGCCCAAACTTCACCATCCTCGTCGTCGTCGTCTCCAAATCGACTTTCACCAAAGCCAAGATCCAGGTCTGCTGCGTCTGCACGGTCTTGCTCTTTCAGTCGTGCCAAAAACTGTCTTTGCTTTGCTTCCCGGTTTGGATCCGAATCGTGCACATTATCACCGCCATCTCTTCCTTTGCCTTCCTCCCTGCGTAATGTGGCCGCTCGTTTCAGAGCCGCAAGTAATGTCGGATCTTTTGTGATAGGATTCGAACGATCCTCACCCTGTCCGCTTTCATTTTGTGCGTCGAAGTAATTCCTTGGTCTTCGGCCATTAGCTCCTTTTTCAGGGGTTGCATGAACATCTCGCTGGTCGGGATTGCGCTCGTCGTTGTCAGACTCGCTGCTCTCGCTCTTGAGTCCTGCCAACGGATTGTATTCGGCAACGCCACCAAAGATATCGTCGTCGTCTTCAGCATCTTCTTTTTCCTGCCATTCTTTTTGTTTTGCTAGAAATTCCGCTGGTACTTGCATGCCAAGTGGTGCACTATCCTTCTGTACAGTGTTTTCTACCTTGTCCAGCCACCGGGTTTTCCGTTTCGTAGTGCCGTCCTTATTGGTTATCAGAAGAACTTCTCTCCGGCGCCCGTCGATATTCTCGATAAATTTCTTCTTGGTTGGTTTGGGTTCTGACCCGACCTTCTTAAATTTGTCTCCAAGTGATGGCTCTGGGATCCGGTCCGAGATCGTTCTCCCCATTCGGCTCTCCTTCAGTTTACGTAAAATTTCGTCTCGTGTGGTAGCTTGTGGTGCAGTGTTTTCTTTGGATTGCATATCTGCCGCCTCCTTACGAGAAGGGGCTGTGTTCGCTGCCACATCATTCTCAAGGGCATGATCTAGTTCATCATCGAGATCGATCTTGTCGTCGTCGTTATCCTTCACTTGCTCCGATAACGGGGTCGCATTCAGGTTTTCACCACGACGAGCCCTCTCCAACAGCGTCCAGTCGAGTCCTTTGACCAGATGAGTGGTACCAAGGGTGCCCCCAATGCCGATCTCGCGCTTGAGATGTTCGAGTGTAGCTTGATCGATCTGTTGCAATTTATACATTTCTTCCAAGGCTTTCAGCCTCTTCTCTTTGTCGTCTTTTTCCAGTTCACCGTCTTCTCCAGTTCTGCGTGCATTCGTGCGGTCGGAATACCCTGCAGCGAGTTTTGTGCCTTTGGGAGCTGCGTTCGATTTGAACTTCTTGGTTGGAGGTTGACCATCGGAGTTCCTCTCGTGCTCAGCAACTTGTTTCGCGAAATCACGGGTGGCATTATATCCTCCGACAGACCTGGGGGTCATGGGAACGGAGGAACGCATCCGCGAGCCCAAGGTGGGCTTTTTGAAGCCCGGGGCTGTAGTATCATTTTTAGGACTCGGGCCTTTTGAATCAGTCTGAAGCAAAGCTCGAAATTGAGAATTGTCCATCCTGAATCCCACGGGATGTGGAGACACTACCTTTCGCAGGCGTGTGAGGTTGTTGTCCCAAATGGATGAAGTGAGCGACCTAATGTTGATTTGAGGCAAGTTGCATCTTCGACCAGATTATCGCGAGTGCGGGGAAGTTGCCGTGCGATTTAGGCATCAGGATCTTCTCCAATTTTTCATTCTGGGCTGTTCACAGCCACTGGTGGAATTTCTTTACTCACAGATAAATACTTATCAATTGTGTTGACTCGTCGCATCTTCTTTCCGCAGGCATGGCCAAGAAACGCAAGAACAAAGCCCTTGACCCTAACGAAGAACAATATGAGAGCTCAAAGAAGGCACGGGTTACGGAGACACCCATGCCTAAGGGCGTTCATCACTATGAGACTATAGAAGAAGTGCCATGGGATCTGCAAAAGTATGATCATCTCCAAAATAGAGACCATCGACTGACATGTGACTAGATATTGGCATCAGGGATACTCCATCTTCTCGAAATACGACGATGGTATCTGGATGACTGACGACGCTTGGTATGGTGTCACCCATGAATCTGTGGCTAAGTGCGTTTCCCTGAATTCCCCATGATGGCAGAACTGACTTGCATAGGACCATTGCCCAACATGCGGCAGAAATAAGGCCAGGATCCAAATCAATCATCATAGATGCATTCTGCGGTGTTGGGGGAAACACTATTGCATTTGCCTTATCTGGGAACTGGAAGCGCGTCTATGCAATCGAAAAAGATGCTGCTACCTTGGCATGTGCGAAACACAATGCTGAAATTTATGGTGTATCTGACAGGATCACCTGGTTTCATGGTGACTGTTTTGAAATCCTAGGCGCTGTCCAGAAAGAAGGCGTCACAGTTGATGCCCTCAAGGCTATTGCAGGCCAATTTGGGGTGATATTTGCAAGCCCACCCTGGGGAGGTAATTGGCCCTTTCGCGGTTGATTGAAAAGTACGGCTGACAAAGTGAAAAGGCCCTGGATACCGAGACGCCGGAATATTTAACCTGGAGTCAATGGAGCCGTACAGTTTCCAGTATCTCTACGAGTCGTTCAACAAGGTGACGTCGGACATGATACTATATCTTCCTAGAACGAGTGACCTGTGCCAAATCGCTAGGACCCTTGATGGCCGGACAGACTCAAACATGAAGACAGAGGTGGTGCATTACTGTACCAATGGAAGCAGCAGGGCACTCTGCGTGTATATTGGAAATTGGGCGCGGTTGATTTTATAGATGTTTGTCAGAGAGGCTACTCTCTGTGTATCAATACGAAGCAAGCAATGATACCCCAAATGGAAGATCAACGACAGCCTTATTCAATCAATGCCTAACATTCCTACTGCTCTAGAGAGGACGCTCAACCCCAATACTGGGTTCACGTGACTATCCAAGAAACGCGTCGAGTCATGAACTGCTGGCCGCCAAGCCATTTGTGAGTCACGGCCCATCAGTGAGATTGTTTGCAGAACGACCACAAGTGAAAGTCCGCCCTCACTCGACTACGACTCAGCAACACTCCAGTCATGACTATATAAGAGCACCGCCCTCCCTGTCAGTGTCGCCTCTGACTCCAGAAAGCTGTTGCGCCCCATCATCTACTACCTCGCCCTTGATGGCCATGAATCTCACATAACTACACAATTTGCCATGCGCAAGCCTTCTGTTCCCTCAGCGCCGCCTGAACTGCTCCTCGGTTACTCCTCAGACTTTCCCCGCGCAAACACCACCCGCCATGTCATCAGATCCGTATCAACAGGCTAATGGCCTCGATGCCCTTTTTGACGACGATGAAGAGATGCTGGATTCCGCTGCCGCTACTCCGTTCGAGCCGAGCTTCAGCGTTGCAGACGAAGGCGACAATGAATTGAGCATGCTGATGCACGAGGGCGGCGGTGATGAATCATTTGATCTGAATCAACTGAACGAGAGAGAACTGGATGTGGGTGAAAAGTCAGCAAATGCTGTTGACTACGAGGATATTGGCGACGACGATTCCCTACCTGATGAAGAGTTCACCCAGGGTAATGCACCAGAAGTCCCATCCGATATTCTACCTGGTATCGAAGAGGGCGCCCTGGATGGCCTAGACGACGACGATCTATTTGGCCCTTCGAGTCCCATCCTCACTGCACACGAGCCTCCACCCGCAGCGGTGCCCCCGAAGCCTCTCGATAAACCCTTACGAGATGCCGATCAAGACTCGGACCTCGCTTCAGAGCACGGAGATGTCGCAACTCAGGATATTTCCATGCTCCAACCGGAGATCGACGAAATTGAAGATGCTCAATATCGTATTCAGCTGGCACTTTTTGCACAATCGGGGACTGGTTATGCTCCCATGACCGAACAGGAAAATATCGAAGAATGGCTGAAGCTCGAATTTCCAAGCTTCAAGCGCGATGAGAACCCTTACTTCAATATACTTTTCCCTCCAAGACTGCAAAAATGGTCAGCAAAGACCCCTTCCAAACCGCCTCGAGCTCTTCGTCCTTCTAAGGTCAGCCTCGAAATTGAACAGGATCAGAGGACGGCGTTCAATTCTGCAATACCGGTTCCCGTGATCGATGCTCCATCTGAATTGGTCAAGACTCGGGAAGAAATTGTTCACGAGGAAGAGGAGTCTGCGGACGACTCAGACCCGGATGAGCCTTTGCCGAATGGGTTGACCATGCGCGATTTGGAGTTCATATGTACTGATTTTGATACCCTTTCCCACCTTGGACTTTCCGATGAGGAAGAAGTGGAAATTGAGCCACGAATCGCCCATAGTGACGATGAGATGTTCGGCTTCAATGAGTTTGAAGAAATGGAACGTCCTCGCAAGAAACGCCGCCTTGGCTTGGATCCTCGCGCCATTGTCTCTATTCATGACATGGGTATTCGGTCTTTCGATGACCCGGAGAGGTATACCGCTAAACTAGCTGCTAAAGTCGTGCTTGATCTCAACGATCCAAAACTTCTCGTCGAGGAGGTTGATGCGGAAGCCCTCAAAGCAAAAGCACGTCCCGGGGAGAAAGCTACGACCATTAGAACACTCAAAGACCGCCTTCAACATCGCTTCAAGATATCGAACGATGCCGAGTATGATCTCCTCAAGCAAAATCATCAATCCAAGGTTCGTGGCCAATTGACGAGCATGAATATTGAGCACTCTGTGCCCGCCAGGCGGCTCCAATACCCGTACTATCAAGTACGCCTCTCCCTACAAGATTTGCGCAACTACCATCGCAGGAGGATGCACTTCAAACACAACATCTCTTTCAGCCCACTCAATAAGATAAAGAGGAAGCACCAAAAAGGCAAGACGGTGGAACAGCTTTATGCTACAACAAAGAATCTATCCATGGGAGACACCTCTTCTACACTGTTGCTTGAGTACTCGGAAGAACATCCTCTCATGCTATCACAACCTGGAATGGGCAGCAAGGTCATCAACTACTACAGAAAGCGCACTCCAGATGATTCTTACAGGCCAAAGCACGATGTTGGAGAAACTAGTGTTTTACTTCTTGAGGATAAGTCACCCTTCTACGTTTTTGGCCACATTGAGCCTGGTGAAACTATTAGTGCCCTGTACAATTCAATGTACAGAGCTCCTCTCTTCCAACAGGATGCCCAGTCCCAGGATTTCCTCGTTTTGAGAGAGTCTACAGGTCAAGATGGGCCAAGACATTACCTGCGCACTCTTGACAATGTTTTTGTCGTTGGCCAAGAGCTTCCATCAACTACCATCCCTGGCACTCACTCTCGCATGGTTACTACCGCCTCTAAGAACCGACTCAAGGCAATTTCCTATCGAATGGCTCGCCGTAAGAAATCGGCCAGAATCCGTGTCGAAGAAGTCACCAAGCATTTCCCGGACACAACAGATATGCAGAACAGGCAGAAGATGAAGGAATTCATGGTCTTCAATAAGGAACATAAAGAATGGGAAATGAAACCTGGCGAGACAATTCCCGATGAGAAGACAATTCAGTCTATGATTCGCCCAGAGGACATCTGCCTCCTGGAGTCAATGCAAGTTGGAGCACAATACTTGCAAGATGCTGGCTATGCTGACAATGACGACGACGATGATAAGGATAAAGATAATGACAATGACAGCATCGAGCAGCAACTTGCACCATGGCGGACCACCAAGAACTTCATGCAAGCCACCCAAGGGAAAGCTATGCTGAAGTTGTTTGGTGAGGGTGACCCGTCTGGGCGTGGAGAGGCATTTTCGTTCATCAAAACAAGCATGAAAGGCGGATTCCGACCAATTGGAGGCTCCGCCCAAGATGCAATTACTCTCAAGAAAGAACTTGGTGGTCACAGCTACAATGTGGCTCGCCAGCAACGGTCCTATGAAGAGTCTATTCGTGGTATATGGGACAAACAGAAGGCCAGTCTTGGCTCGAAGATAGAACCCTCGGACCTTGACATGGACGGTGATGTCGACAATCAAGAGGACAGATACAATGAACGGTCGAACATCAGATCTACGCCAATGTCTGGAACCCATACCCCTGCCCCCGGCCGACGTAGAGATGATGAAACAGGAACTTCGTTTAGTAAACGCAGTCTCACCAGCCAAGGTCAAAGCACAAAGTGTCTCCAAATCTTCCGTACTGTCATCCGCGACGGACGAGAAGTCGAAGAGATTCAGTATGAAAATGATCCCGCCGTTATCAAACAGTACATGAGGATCAAAGAAATGGAAGAGGCGCAGGCCACGAGGTATGTATGCATGAATCACACGGATGAACAAAGCTCACAACAGTCTAGTCTCCAGGATATCCAAGTTACTGGCAATGCTGATTATGACGCTCGGCAGAAGAAACGGCAAGAAAATCCCTCTGCGCCCTTGGCTTGTGAGTGTCTTGATGTACTAATGATCCCCAGACTCGAAGAGGCACTCGCCAAACTCGAAAAGAACGCCGCTCGTCGGAAGCAACGAACCAAAACCAAGAATGCACTTGCAGAAGCCACTTCGCCAGGAGGGACTGTATTGTCGCCGGATCCGGATGGAGTGGCCCCAGCAGGCAAAAACACACAGCCGACCCAGCGAAAGTGTGCAAATTGTGGTCAAGTCGGCCATATTAAGACCAACAAAAAGTCCGTTAAGTGCAATAAATGCAACCTTCCCTTTGATCGCAAAGTAGGGTCGATCCTGGGTGAAGCACCAAGTTTGGATGGAGTTATGACCTTCTGAATATGTGCTTCGCTACCAGCGACGACTCAGACTCTATTTTCTTGACATTTCCACTCGCGTTCTGCGGACGTCATCTCGCTCTTTGTGCTCGCAATTGCTGGCTTTCCCCATGCGAGATGAAACATCGATATCTCGGATTGAGGATGGATACCCAGGAATATTGCGTAACTGCAAAGACAAGGAAACATATGACATGTCCATACGGCGGCTTCCCTGCTCGTTTTCCCCAGCTTCGCCCAATTTTGCTGCATATTTCAATCGTAACACAAGCTGACAATTTTTCTTTAAAGACTATGCCCCTTGCTCAATGGCACCGTCAAGCAGGAGGACGGCTACAACAATGCTGCTTTCATGGGCGCCCCACCCACAATGTCCTAGGGAGACTACTCGGGAATCCTGCGAGAAACGAATCGATAACTAGTATATCTCTATCACCCGCAAATTGCATGGAAACATCATGCGCATAAGCCCTTGAAAATAGTTCGAAGTGTGCGGGCGGAGGCTGAAGACCTTCGCTTCGTCACTCAAACTTGTATCTTAACAGCCAGAAAAGAAAGCATAGCGTGTTGCGGCATCTCCGGTGCTGTCTGGGCACAGCGCTCAGTGTATCGAAAGTATCATCGTGGAAAGGAAGGGAATGAACACAACAGGGCAAGCATTGAAAATGTTATGCGCTTGCTCTAATCTTCAACCCTAAAGGAGTCAAGGTCCATGCCCTGCACCTATAAACCCGCCTCGATGCGTGACGAGGTACTACTTCAATGTCACATATCCTTTAGATTAATTCTGTTCAAGACAATTGACGAATGACGTGATATCTTGAGAAATTAATGCCTTCATGAAATCATACTACGTGTACTTTTTGCTCATTTACTTTTTCGGCGTTAGGGGCTACGATTCCTTCATGATGAGTGGTCAAAATCTTCCTTTTCTTTTAAACCGGGATTCACTCGTTACATGGGCGACATGCAAAGAGGGAGAAGTAAGGGCCGGACAGCGAGAAGGGAGAACGAGAGGGAATGGGTGACTAAGTCAAGGTAGGACTACCACTCCTAATGATGTAGATACAGTCGAAAAGCTAAGGCGGCAGCAAAGCCACGGATCCTATCTATGTCCCTTCGTTCGACACTGTATTAATAATGCACCGCGTTCAGCCTATTCGAAAACAAAAACAGAGAGACTTGATCCCGGAATCTTGTGGGATTGCAATATCCTGCTCGAAACGCCGCTTTTGAGACCCAGTGGAAGAAAAGGATACGGAGGTGAACTCGTGCAGGTCCTAGTATCAGTGTGCACATAGCTCGCAGCTGGGTGTGGACTGGCTGGCTGGCTGCCCGAAAGGGAGAACTGTGATGTAGCGAGGCATAGCAAAAGCAGCATACCGCATGTCCTTGTCTCTTCGAGGGATTGAGGCGTAATACTACTAGGCGTAATACTACTCTTGACACATCCCATTGTGAACCACCTCCACTTATTTGATACCCAGACACTTGATGTCGAAGGTCAGTTTGCTGTTCTTAGGGATGCCGGGAAGAGCCTTGCTGCCATAGGCGAGGTGGGCGGGGATGACGAGTCGTCTCTCGCCGCCAACCTGGATTCCAGCGACACCGATGTCCCAGCCCTTGATGACCTCGCCGGCCCCGAGCTTGAAGCCGAAGGGCTTGCCTGACTTGTTGCTGTCGAACACCTTGCCGCTGTCAAGCTTGCCGATGTAACGCATCTCGACCCGCGAGCCTTTCTTGGCCGCTGGTCCGCTGCCGACTTTGCGGTCGTCAACCGTCACGCCTTGCACTTCTTTCACGCCGACCGATGTGCTGGTCGTGGTCGTGGTCGTGGAGGAGCTGGATTTGTCCGATTTCGCGGTTGAGGATGCAGGCGTTGCTGAGGGAGTGGGCCCTTGTTCTAGGTTCTTGGCGAATTGGACTTTCTTCTCGGAGCCGTTCGATGAGGGCGCGTCTTTCTTGGTCTCGGTAGCTGTGGGCTCGGATCCGGCGGGGGCGGCTTCACCATCGTTCTTCTTGAGTTTTTTCTGGCGCTTCTTCTCGGCCTTTGACAGTTTCTTGGTGTCACCGTTGGTAGCAGCCTCGGTGGTTTCTGGTTTCTTCAGTGATTTGGCCATGATGGCGTCTAGGTTGTCCTCTTCTCCGTCTTCATCGGCACTTTCTTCAGCGGGGCGCTTGTTCTTGCCCTTGCCTTTAGCAGCCTTGACGAGTTTGGGGATCGCTTCTTCATCACTGCCGACTTCGGTAATGCGTGGGTCAGCAAGGTCGTCGAGCTCGTCAGATTCTTCATCAAGTCCATCATCGAGCTCATCTTCCTCCTCCTCTTCATCATAGGGAGATAAATCGTACTCCTCGTCTTCCTCGTCTTCATTGAGGTAATCATCTTCGTCGTAGAGCGAGCTGTTGCCATCTTCTTGAGGGATGACGTAGTTCCCAGTGAGATGGACGGTGTGGGTGCCAGAAACCTTGAAGAACACTTTCTCACCTTCACCGACGACGAAGTCGAGGGGTTGCTGGTAATGCTGGAATGGTTGATTAGGATGGAGCAGATGAAGGGGAAAGGGTCTGAAGTACCTGTGTGGGATCAAGAGTGCAGACAACAACCTCATCCATCTCAATTGATTCATCGTCGGAGTCTTCGTCATCATCAGATAGGTCTTCGCCTTCGATGGCTTTGCCTTTCCCTTTTGAGTTCTTGATCAACTTCTCCAGCATCGCAATCGCCTTTGCGTCAGCTTCATCATCATCGTCATCGTCCTCATCGTCATCAGCCATATCTTCATCTTCCTCTTCGTCCTTGGCAAGGGCTTCGAGAAGCGCCTGCTTCTTGGACTTTTTCTCGCTGGGGCCGCCGTTGACTTCCTCGTCGTCCTCTGAGTCTTCATCGTCGTCTTCAAGTCCATCCGCGTAGTCGTCGTCATCAGAGTCATCGTCGTCAGAATCGAAGAGATGATCAGGAATACGGACAACTTTGAGGGTTGATCGCGGAGGTTGCTTGTCGTCGCCGTTCTCAAGCTCAGGCTCAGCACTGGGGTCAATGGCAGCCATTGTCAGGCGGAACTAGAAATCAAGGTTAACGTGGCACACTTGGGGTTGCAGTTAAGGGTTAAGAATACCATTGCAGCGAATTCTGGCACAGCTGGGACCATAATGTCACCAGGAGGGACCTTCATGGCGTAGAACGCCACAGGTTGAATGCCCGACATTGCGATGGAGAGACTCAAGGTCAAGTTACTTGATGATAGTGGAAGCGTATGGGAGAAGAGCCACCGTTTTGGTACAAGTCGTGAAGAGCGAAGAACAAGCTGTTCAGGCAAAAATGCAAACGAACTTTTTTTCTCTGATGTAGGATTGAGGCCTCAAACGGTCGCTGGCACAGAAACCGGCGCAACTAAACTTGAAGCGGGCTCGAAATCTTGGCACTGAAATTTATTTTCTAGGGTCCCTGAGTGGCTTATCGATAAGATAGCTGCACGTGACGTCATTGGGTCAATTTTTCCCACGTGACCTCGCTGCTGCCTGACGCGTGCTCGCCGTCGCCTCCCAAAAAGATCGCGTTCCCCTCTCCATGAGCATCCGGCTGGTGACTTGTCTCGTGGCCGCCACAGATGCAACTTTAGTTCCGCTATGAGAGCGCGCACTGGCCCAGAATGGGCTCGATATTGGAACAAAACTCGACTTTGGTCCGAAAGCGTATTGAAAATCATGCGTTTGGCGATGAGCAGGGCGAGGAGTATGAAGGCTCCAAGTTCGGTGGCTTTGCCGACTACATGCGAAGAAAGAAGATCAAATTGCAGAATCTTGATGCCGACATAAGGTCGAATTCTACTGATAAACCCCAAATCTTCCGTGGCATCGTTGCTCATGTCAATGGTTACACTCAACCATCGCTCAGTGACCTCCACAATCTGATAGTCAGCCACGGTGGTGGCTTTCTTCAGTACCTCGATGGCAAGACAGCGGTTACCCATGTCATTGCAAGTCATCTCACTCCTAAGAAGACTGTTGAATTTGCAAGATATCGAATTGTCAAGCCCGCCTGGATAGTTGATAGTGTGAACGCGGGCAGACTCTTACCATGGGACTCATACCGAGTGGTTGATGAGGGCGTCACCCAAAAGGTCTTGGGCTTTGACGGTGGTAAAATCGTCAGCCAGACGAGCACCCAGCGGCTCGGGTATCGCGATCAGACTGATTCAAGTTGGTACACCTCTCAGATGCGACAGCAAGCCGCGGAATACCGGTTGACATCACCAACAGAGCTCGAAAAATTGATACATGATAGTTCGGAGCCAGCGGCATCCATTGGCGGGAATAGCCCAGCAACTAAGGCTGGTTCAGAAGTCCAGGAGAAGTACCCTGTACAAGATCAAGCAGTTGATCAATCGGAGTCTGATCTGCTAGGCTCCAATCATGATCTGAAAACCTTTGGTGGCGCGTCGAATCCGTCCTTGAACGATACTCAAAAGCAGGAAAAGCCTCAGCTTACTGCCGAAGAGCACAACGCCATTCTTCTCTCAAATCCACATCTAGCAAAATCTAGCACGGCCAATCCCGACTTCATTAACCAGTACTATCGTGAGTCTAGACTGCATCACCTTTCCACTTGGAAGGCCGATCTCAAAGCTCAGCTACAACGACGCGCTCAAGAAAAGACGTCGGAAAAAGGCAGACAAAAACGAGCACCAGGAGCTCGAGCATACGTCATGCATGTTGACTTCGATAGCTTTTTTGCTGCTGTTTCTTTACGAAAGCACCCTCAACTCGTTGATAAACCAGTAGTGATTGCACATGGTACCGGTCCTGGATCCGAGATCGCAAGCTGCAATTATCCTGCTAGAAGATATGGAGTCAAGAACGGCATGTGGATGAAGTCCGCGCTAGAGCTTTGTCCAGAACTCAAAGCGTTGCCATATGACTACGCTGCGTACGAAGATGCCAGCCGAAAATTTTATGACTCAATTCTAGCAGTTGACGGTACGGTTCAGAGCATCAGCATTGACGAAGCTCTGATCGATATCAGCGATCAGTGTATCAAAGCTGGTGGTTCGGACGGAAAAGGTGTCACAGAAGGATCCATCTACCGTGAGCAAGAGGCCGCCCAAGCACTTGCAAAGTCGCTTCGATCCTCGATCAAGGAAAAAACCGGCTGTGATGTTTCGATCGGCATCGGAAACAATATACTCCTAGCCAAAGTAGCCCTTCGAAGAGCAAAACCCGCTGGCCAACACCTTATCAAACCCGATGATGTACTTGATTTCTTGGGCGAATTGGTGGTTACAGATTTGCCTGGTGTTGCGTGGAGCATCGGGAACAAGCTGGAAGAGGTTGGCATTAAGTATGTCAAGGACATCAGAGCTTTTTCAAAAACAAGACTTGTCAATGCACTCGGCCCCAAGACTGGGGAGAGATTGTGGGATTATTCAAGGGGCATTGACAAGCAAGAAGTTGGTGATCAAGTCGTCCGCAAATCTGTTTCTGCCGAAATCAACTGGGGTATCCGCTTTGTCAATCAACAACAGGCTGAAGAATTCGTAAAGAGCCTTTGCGAAGAGCTGTCGAGACGTCTTTTGGAACAATTGGTCAAAGGCAGGCAATTAAGTATGAAAATTATGAGAAAAGCTGCGGATGCTGGAATGGATCCGCCTAAGAATCTTGGTCATGGTAAGTGTGATACTTTCAACAAAAGTGTTATGCTCGGGGTTTCTACGAATGATGGTGTAACCATCGGGAAAGAAGCAATATCTATCTTACGAAGCTATGGGTTTCCGCCTGGAGAGCTTCGTGGACTTGGAGTGCAAATGCAAAAGCTGGAACCGCTCAAACCACCAGGCACGAAGAATACGGTGTTGGATAGTAGCCAGCGACGATTGCAATTTAAGAAGCCGACTGCACCGACCACGCCAACAACTGCATCCCCACTGCGATCTTCAACACCGCCATCTGTTCCAAGCGCACTGCGATCCAAAGACCCCGTTGATCATATTGAGGATGTCCCGACCCCGGAGAAATCGGCAGTGCACAGCACCGTTCCCAGTGCCCTAGATACAAGATCAACACTTAGGGCTCTTGGCCCTGAAGAAACCCCTCTGAATATCAGCGGCACTCAGTTCATTATCCCCACTCAGATGGATCCTACAGTGTTCGCTGAGCTTCCGATAGACATTCAGAACAAGCTTGGACCCAAGCAAAAGTCGATTAGGGACAGCATGACTCACGTCAGCAGCCAAGCACTCAGTGACCGCTCGCGCTCAGCCTCCCCGTATCCAATCGAGGGCGACACAGTACAGCCAAATGAGAGCCAGTTGGATCCTGATATTCTAGCGGCTTTGCCGGACGATGTGAGGGAGGAAGTTCTGGCCCAGTACAAGGGCTCAGATAAAGGAGTTGGATCGCAGCAAAGATATGCCCACCCGAAATCCCCTCACCGTCCTAGAACTCTTGGCTTTTCAAAATCCATTTCTAGGACGCCAACGAAGAAAACAAAAGTGCCAACCATAGTCAGCAAAGGACGCTCGAAACGGATGGGTAATGACTCCACATCCACCCTAACACAATCTAATTTCCTGTCCGCTCCCAAAAAAAGCGGTGCCCGCGAGCCTCAGGAGGACTATGCATCGGAAGACATTTCAGAATCTTTTTTGAATGAGCTACCACCAGATATCCGTGCCGAGGTCCTGGCGGAGCAGAAGAGAAATAGGATGAAGTCCCGGTCAGGTCTAAATTTTGAGAATTCTCGAAAGAAACAAAAAAATGCTCCATTAGATACAACACTGTCACGTGGACAACAGAAGCTGCAACTCTCCAAGCAACCAGAAAAGCCTACCTTTACGTCGCAGAAGCTTAGTTCGTTGCCCGAGCTACGGGATGCGATATCGGCATGGGTACGTGAATTTTCCATTGACGGAGAGGGACCAGATAAGGAAGATCTCAATGCTCTTTCTGACTACCTCGGGAAAGTTGTTTCCATCGAGCGCGATATGGGCAAGGCAATTGGAGTTGTCAATTGGCTAGCAATTGTCATTGACTACGAAAGATTCCAGAGTTCAGAACTTCGAATACTATGGGAAAGTGCGTTATCCGTTCTTAAACAGGATGTGCAAAGGGCAATTGCAAGTAGGGGACTGCCCCCAGTCGTTTTTGATGGTTGAATATAGGTGGGCTTGGCCTGGGGATGGATTCTCGAATCTCAACCCGACAAGATAATTGGCGAAGGCGCGTTCCTCTGCCTTTACATTGTCCGCACTTTCCTTCAATAGTTCACCTCTGGCACAGAGCAAGCTCTATGGTGAGCTGGCCAATGCTCTTTCCTTCAACTTCCTTCCATTGACCGGATATCTGAGGACAAACCATTCCAGTTTTCATATTGCCTCCCTTGATGATCTCATATGTAACATCACTCACAGTCTTTCATGCCCCCATTGCTACCTTATATGTGTTTTAAGAACATACCCTCAGGCTTGTGCCTCTGAGTTTGATATGCCGTTTGTCAACGCTCTCGGCCACAAACGTTCCCAGGCGGGAACCTCGCCCTCCAGCCACAAGCGATCAAAGCCTCGGTTTCCGAAGACTCCTGCCCTGAAGGACGTTCTGTATGATGGCCACACATCCAACTCACTTGAATCGGCGAGCACAACTTGGTCAAAAGCAAGTGTCAAGAGTCAGATTTTGAAAAGAGTTTCCACTGTCAAGACGATCCTGGGTTTGAGCCATGTACACAGCCTCTCTACGCCCCAAAATCACTCTGAGCCGGCTTTAACCCTTTCGCAAAGCTTTCCTACAACGTACCTCGTGGAAAACGACTCCGAAGCCACCACTGTGCACCGCCCTTTGAAACTCCGACTGGCGCGGATGGCTGACATTCCAGAAAACCATACATCAAACGCAGTGACTTCGACTGATCCGACCAATGATCGGAAAATAGAAGCAGGATTTCCAAATGACAAACCGTTCCATCGGACACTCCGTCGAAGTCAATCATTGCCGGGTCTACAACAACGGATCTCTCAGAGGCTGCAACAAGCATTCGGAACACCAAACACCACAGTTGTTATTAGATCAGAGCTTCGTTCACGGCCGAGTCTCAAGACTTTTACTAGGGAGTTGAACAGAGTGAATTCCATGCAGCTTTCGTCTAGCCCGTCCACATTGCACAGCGGAAGTGGCTCCCCAAGACATAGATTCGTGTCAACGCCGCCTACATCTGAGCCCGTTTCAACTAGCTCTATTTCTTGCCCTGAAGCGACGACTCTACTCGATCTAGATCGTCAGCCTCATTCTAGCGAATATCGCCTCCTCACCCCAATACCAGAGGCTGATACACTGCCTGCATGCTCAATCTTGACGGTTGAAAATGCCGCTGCAGCCAGGTCATTTTTTGAGATACATTTCAATTCAGTATTGAACGAGACAACACCGCGCGAAGTTCGCAGGTGGAACTTGCACAGGTCGCTTGGAGAATTGCAGCTTCCCTTGGAAACCCAACATCAGGCTTACAAAGCATGGCTACATGCAGAAAGCGATAACCTCAGGCAAGCTCGGCTCTTGAAAAACACCGAGAACTGTGGAAAAGCTATGCAAGGTGTCACGGTTAGAGGCTTTGAAATTGTGAAAGTGTTGGGGAAAGGCAGCTTTGGTGCCGTTCGTCTAGTGAAGGCGAAGGAAATGACGACTTCATCAGTCTCAGAATTATCTCAGACCAACGAAAAGCTTTCGCCCCGCAAATCATCCCAATCAAACTTTGTCTCAGCTACACAAGCTCTTCAGGGACCCATGGTAAAAAATTGGCGGACTTTGAGCACTCCCACAACTCAAGTATTTGCGATGAAAGTCATCCGCAAATCTGACATGATCCGAAACAGCCAAGAAGGCCATCTACGCGCTGAGCGGGACTTGCTAGTTGGAGCAGTTGGCTCACAGTGGATTATACAACTAGTTGCGGCTTTTCAAGATCGAAATAATTTGTATCTGGTGATGGAATATTGCATTGGTGGCGATTTTCTTGGTCTTTTGATACGCAGAAATACCCTACCCGAAAACGAAACCAGATTCTATATTGCAGAAATGATCCTTTGTCTAGAAGAAGCCCATCGCATGTGCTGGATTCATCGAGACGTTAAGCCAGATAATTTCCTCATCGCAGCTGATGGCCACCTCAAGATATCTGACTTTGGCCTGGCTTTCGACGGTGAATGGTGGCACGACCAGAGGTTCCATCACGAGCCTCGACACACATTGATGGACAAGCTCGGGCTTACTCTAGAGGGTGATGATCAAGATAGACGAGAGCGTCGCGCCACAGAGCCGAGACGCCACGCAGAGAGGGCTTATAACGCCCTCGATCGAAATACATCCTACCCACATTCAGTCCTGAGGAATCAACCCGAAGGAGATGAACCGATCCTTGATTGGCGCAATCGTTCTCAGCGTCGGCGTCTTGCGCGATCGGTCGTCGGGACATCGCAATATATGGCTCCAGAAGTCGTCCGTGGTGAAATGTATGACGGTCGTTGCGACTAGTGGAGCATCGCTATCATCATGTATGAATGCATCTACGGCTTCACACCTTTTGCTTGCGACGATCGGCAAGAGACGAAGATCAAGATCTTGCATCACAAAAAGACTCTACACTTTCCTACTACTGACCGTATGCCAGAGCCGAGCATTGCGGCCTTGGATTTGATGATGCAGATTCTGGTGGAGAAGGAGAAACGCTTATGCAGCTTGCAATACCAAGCAAACGACTACGGGAGAAGGCTCCAGGGTGCTCAGATGGTGCGATGTCGCGTGGATAAAACACACCCTGATTATCCTGGCTATTTCGTCTTCGCGAACGATGCTGAGGACATCAAACGTCATCCATTTTTCCACGGGGTAGACTGGAAGGGCGTTCGCAACATTCGCCCTCCGCATATGCCCCTGGTCCGACACTGTCTTGACACGAAGTATTTCGATGATGAGGGACCTGTCTCGGACATTGACTCAACTTCAAGTATCGAGGAGGATGGCACTCGCTTTACCAAGGGGCCCAATGTACCAGCCATGCGGTGGCCATTGCCCAAGCCTTCAATTCCAGGGAAGCATCTTTCACAACATCAGCACGAGGCTCAGCATATCGTACCTTCTTTCGCCGTAAAAGCGGCTGGTAACGGCCATGGTGAGATAGAGGAACAAGCATCTAGACAGCCAATCATGCCGCCTACCAACGACTGTGCTAGCCATGCACCTACGCTTGTAGATTCCGCAAATCAAGTTGATGGACCATCTGAGAAAATCGTACCAATCACAGTCAAGACACAAAAGAAAGAGAAAAAGCGGCCTAGAGACATAATCCTCCGAGACCCAGCGACTGCAGAACAAGCCATGAAAATCCGCAAAGCGACTGCTTTCCTTGGCTATGAATATAAGAAGCCTGCAATGATCGAAGAAGTTCTCAGACAGGCAATTGTTGGCGGTGACCTTGCAGGAACAGTGAAATGCCAGCGAGAGCAAGGCCACAACAAAGAATATTATGCTCAGGTGACCCAGAGCCCGATGTATCACGAAGTGGGAGGTCATATTCATCCGAACGTGAAGAGGCCACGGCTCTGAATCAGAGGAAAAGGTTGTGGAACATTCAAGAGGATGATTATCGAACGTTTCTCAGTAGCTTTTGAGTATTGCTAGCGCTGAAGGCGCACAATTCTATCATTAGCAAAGACAAACGTTGCCTTTTCTTTATTGATGCATCTCTGCCAGCTTCGAGGCTTTACTAAACCGCTCGAACTCCTTGCTGAATGGCCGATCAATATATCCAATTCCGACCTTTGGTGTGTAGAAGGTGCTTCGGTCATAAGAATTCAGCTCTACTGCATGTCTGAGCATGAAGACGAGATCCAGAGTAGAAATGAAACGCTTTCCGAATGCAATCACAACACCCCCGTCCCGATACTCCTTGTCTGCAGCTTCGAAAACTGAAATTGCGACGGAATTACCTCTGAATGATTACAAGGCTCGTACCATCCCACGCATCTACGGCAAAATCGACTCTCTCCTTCGGTTCAGGAGCTTCGTTACCTTGGGGGCTGACTGCACGATATGTATATATGCCAGTTTCAGAGGCTTGAGCTCTTTGATTAAGTGGGTAAACTGTGGAATCTCGTCGAAACGAGAACCAGCCTTGAGAAGCTGGAATATCAAACGCTATCAGGCATCGTTGTTCCTGGTCTTCTGAGAAACGGAGATTGAACATCGAGGAGAAGTAGGCTCTGCTTTTACGCCAGGGAATGAATCACGGTGAGAGTTTCTCTTGACATTTTGCTTGACCATAGTCCTAGGGGGCAATCTTAGGATTAATTGCCTTACGGAGTACTCTCCTGCTAGGTCAGTTCGAACGCTTGATGACGGCATACAAATGGACCGTCTGCAGATCAATATATAATGGTCTCGGTGCAGAACTACCAGGCTTGGATTTGGGCTTCTCCGCTGGCCTGGCTGTGTCGCTGCGATCCCTATGTCTCCCATCCTCCTGCAATCACGAAGATCAAGGCTTGAACATTTTCGGGCAGAACGTCTGCTGTCCTTGAATATATGTGAGTTTCATGAACTTACAAATCTTTTTCAACTCTATCTAGGCGTCTGTTAAAGAAAATATTTATAGCATTGCTGAAAACGCCGAAAACAAAAGGATGTGGCATTCAGTACAGCCAATTCCAATATACAGTCTCCCATCAACCACTCTACCTTCAATCCAGCCTGCCTACTAAGTCTCCGGTGCTGGTTTGCTCCAAATCTACTCCGCTAGTGACCATGAAGTACCGGAAGAGCTTTGCTGGATCTTCTCTTACTCTCGCTTTGGTCGATGAGTCAATGATTGAGTCCAAAGGCACATCGTCCTCAATCAGCATCGAAACGCACCACCATACGACTATTTTGCAGAGTAAACCACAAGGTGGCGCTCCAAGAATTCGTCTCATTTCGCAATAGTCTGTCCAAGCCCGAAAATGCATTCGACCGGCCTCTCTATCACCAAAGCAGTACTCACTCACTGCCAAGAAAAGGAAAGCCACGACGTCGTTATCACCCGAATCACAGTGGTTCGCCAAAGCAGAAATTCTCGACCTCGTTTGGGCAAGTATTACATTCTGGCGAGCTGCAAGGTAGTGGTTTTCCGAGTAAAGTGCACCACGTTCGCTTGGTCGCACGCGTTTCTTATGATGGTACGCACTTCCCAACAAAACCATGGTCTCAAAACACCACTGACTGGAACAGGCAAATGGAAGGAAAAAGTTGAACACTGGGTCGTACTTGGCCTCGATTTCCGGCAACTGCTCCAAGCCAAGCAACGAGCCTGCATTTGCGGCAAAGTACCGGACGAGATTGCGGTCGGAGGGCAGAAGGTGGACGGGAATTCTTTCCACCGAGGCTTCCAACTTGGACAGCAATTTGCTTGAACGTCCCCCTGTGGTTTCTAAAGGTGACTTCTGAAGGGGGACCCACTTCTGCGGTGGCGTATTACCAGGTTTAAACCCCTCTAAGGGTGATAGTCCGAACTCGGAATCAACCTTGAGAGCCTCTCGCCGATTTTTTGAATTGGTGGACAAGTGATGATCCTCAACATTGACATCCAGCTCATTCTCTATTCCCGCGTCGTCGTCAATGCTGGTTGAATGTTTCCTTTTAGCCGAATCTGAATAACTTCCGCCGACCCCGGCAAATCCCCCTTCTGGGCCCTTGCTTAGATCGGCTGTCGGAATCTTCTCACAGGAATCTAGGCTTCGTGGCTTTCCTCTATACACTCCGGTGCCTATTGCCGATGCTTCGAGTTTTTCCAGATCTGGGGAATTTGTTGAGAGGCCAGGATCCCTTTGAGAATCGATGACTGCCGAATAGTGAGACATTGAGCTGGTTGCCTGTCTCGGTGATTCGCTGGAATGAGCTCGCCGTACAGGTAAGGTGTTTGCATCAAGTATTTCCGTGTTCTCCTCTTTGGGTCGCATCCAACGCAGCGGCGAGAATTGATTGCGCAACACCCATTCAGATCTCGCCTCTCTTTTCGATCGTACTCTGTCCTTCATCAGATGCGCTCTTGCGGTTTCGGTAACCCCTCGTCTATTGATGTCGTAATCTACAAAGGTAAACGTCCTGTCTTCCTTTTTTGGGTTTGCGTTCGACATTTTGTTTGCGATCACCAGGGCATGATTTCGACGGCCGGTTAGCCTTCCTTTTAAGCTTTCTTACTCCTTGGTATATAAATGACTGAAGATTTGTATCCAGGGAATGACTTACAAGTCGCTCGCCTTTCTTAAATTCGATACTACATCTGCTAAGGAGCCTGGGAATGGGGAGCAGTTCCGTTGCTTGTGTTTCCTGCCTGAGAGCAAAACTGACTCCACTTGATCCAAAGCACACCAAACCCACAACGATTCTGAGGATCACCAATCGGCAAACATTGTGACTAGTCATCCACGATGCTATACCCTTTTCTGAGAAGTTGTGGTTTTCTCTGATTGGATGGGTAACGACAATTTATCTCCTTCCGTGATGTCTCCAACACTTGCTAGAGCGCTCGTATGTGCCACCTTTTTAGCCGAACTGTTTATGCACTCGAACGATATTTCCTGACTTGCAACTCCGACGGCCTTCGCCATGGTGAAGCTAAAAGGCGACCGCACCAACTAAAGCCTAACATGCCCGTTGCTCCGTTATAAGCAGTTAACTGCACGCATTATAGCGTCGGTGTCGCTTGCTGGAGTTCTACATTGACGTCAACCAGATAATCGGTTTGTTATCCTTCAAATTTCACAGGCTGTCTCTGTAAGCATAGACGAATTGCCGAGATCCTGAGTCATCCCGCAAAGCAATTTGATAGATCACAGGTTGATGTGGCTGAAAACCGAGACAGAGGCCATAATAAACGGGTTAAACATTCCGTTTGTAGCAGTTACTCCCCTGCTCGCCAAGATCCGGGGATGCCTTCGCCATCAACCTTGGTTGGGACATGAGTGTCAATACCAAGTCCTTCGAGTCTTGAATTGGTGTTTAGCAGCATGGCGTACAAACTCGGATTTCAAAGAATTAACAAGCTCCCCGCAGTCCACTCAATCTTCCTTCAAACAAGCCACCATTCATGCGAGGCTGGCTCTGCAAGAACAAGAGGCGGGAAGATCCCTGCAGGACTTTTGGAGATTACAAACTGGTAGCCTTTCACGAAATCCCCTAGCATTTCCCCAAGCAGGGCATTTCCATCCTTTTTGGGGATGTGCATTTAAACGTCGAGAACCTCCCCTAAGTTCCCACATATTGTAATCTTTCGCACTCCTTCAGTTTCTTTGTATCACATGAGCACTGTGCACGTTTCTAGGCAAGTTTGTGTTGTATCGCCTCGTATTGAAAATGCTGGCAATGAAATGACCAATATGGGTCATCAGGCCGCAGAATCCTTAAAAGGGCCTGTGAAAGAGCCCGAATGAAGATATTGGAAGAGGCACAGCTGAACTGTTTCACGAGTGTCTTCGACATCGTGCCATCTTGGTGGCGACAGGGACATTTGGACCAGTTCCTTCCTTCACCAGATCCATCAACCCACTCATCTGCAAGGGTACAGAGGATTGGCAAGGTCGTTGCCTCGTACTCGGTACCAAGCATCATTGTCTCAACTGCCCAGCGGGCCCGCTTCCTGGTAGATCACAGAAAGCCCATGATCTTGAAAATTCTTTTGGAGGCTTGCCGCTCGCATGCTCTTCTGTGAAGGTTGCCTCCGCCTCATGAGATTCTGCATCCCCTGTCCTAGGTGAAATACCGCTGACCTAGTTGTCTACTTTCTCATGCTCTCTACTGCTGGTCCCAGTACAAGCACAGTGAAACATTTGGGGCTAAAGTCGACCTCATCAATTGACGTCAAAGCAATCCTCCCAGCTCGATCACCTTTGAGGGCACGCATGGCCTTACTGCGCCACGGTGTCCCCGACTATCCAGCACGCCGGGTCCTTTGGTGAACATGTCCCACCTCAGAGATAGATTGGGCACAAATGCTCCAGACAATTTTCCTGAGAACAATGGACAAACCGGATGGTCATACCTCGGGGTAGTGCAAACAATGGTACAAGGTAGTTGAAGTGTTTTCATCCTTCCAAAGTGGCTGGGTTTGTCTTTTCTCTGCCAAGAGAAAGAGTGGCATGAGTAATGGACACAGCTGATGCGCCGTCCTGGATTTGATTTGGTTGATTTCGCCCAGGAGTCGGTCCATGTTGTGTGAAGGAAAGTGAAGTTGCTGACTGCAGCCCAGACAAATTTTTGCTAAGGGAACGCCTTTGCTCCATCCGTCTCATTCGCAAGTGATAACAAGGACAATGCGCCCTCGCAGAGTAACGCATTCAACTGTTAGAATGCGTTGGGCTACTCGGCGCAAAGAATCCAGCTTGATGTTGCATCCACGCGAGCCGAATCGATTCCACAAGGATTTCAAAGCAGCTGAACTGGTAATCGGACTAAATCGCTCTCAAAATTTGTTCAAGGATACCCAGTTTACCCGCTAACAACCCACACGAGGCTCAGGATTATTACACATGGGCTTGGTCATGCAACACTTTTGGTGGTCATCTTCATCCATAATGCGCCATGCCCTAGGCGCTCTACTGAGCGAACAGGGTGGTGCAATTGAAGCGACCGGCTTGCCATTTTTTTTTGTCTTAGGATGGCCTAGACTTGACTGATGTTCGTCATCCCCTGATTTACCAACCAATTGTGATTAGCCCGTTCGATCACATATCCACGGTGACTCTATACCAAATCTGACCAATTGATATCCATGTCCAGTCTACTCGATCGAGCTCAGCTATTTGGGGGAGATCTTGGCCCAGGGCGCCAAACAAGCTGTTCTCCACGATTCAGTAGGAGATACTTCCTTTTGCAGAACGTGGATGAGTCATTCTTGACAGGACGATACTTGAGATACTACTTGTTAGTGAACATGGATCAGTTATTTCTGGCCATTCTGCGGAAATTTTCATTTATAAGTGGGGGCTGGGTAGGGAGGCGTATTGTCCAACCTCTCGTCGTAGGCCACACTGCCCCTTTCTGGGCAGCCTTACTCAGTCCCGCTCCCCTTACCCCTCCAAACACTCTAAAGGTGTTAAAGCCACACCCTTATCCCCATCCGAACTCTCTAAGGGCGGACATTTTCTCGATTTATTCGTTTGAGTCTCAGAGTTCACGGCGTACGTTCTCCAATCTCTGCCCAATGGCATATGACGAATGCCCTTCCTAATCTGTTTCCTTACCACATTCGAAGGGGCCATTTACACAATAACATGCCAAGCGTTTTTGGCATGTGACGACTGAACGTAATCCTTCAGAGATGTCACCCCGGTCTGCTCTTGATGTACCTACGCGTTTAGAGAAGCACGGGGCAATGAAGACCAGTCTCCGGGTGGTAGTGCAACGCGCATGCTTCAAGAACATGTTCATGTCGACTGAACCTGATACTTCCCAGCCAGGCTAGGAATTTAGGAGATTTGTCTTCACGGTACAATAGCTGTGACCCAAAAATAGAGCTAGAACGTCTATTGGTGCCATTTCCGATACATATCTTTGATTTGATACTTCGGGCTTACGGTCGTTAGACATACAGCCAGTGACTCATTTGCCTAACTGCTCGCTTGAGTGATGGCGACATAATCACGCATCGGACCACGTGTCAACCATGCTACTCGAGCAGTGCGATCTTCCATAGAGCTTACCCAGTTGGCAGTAGGGCATATGTATTATCTTGATACAGTGAGTTAGCGCGTTTGGTCTTCGTATCGGGAGCCAAGCAGCAAATTTCGAACAGTCACAAAGTTCCAATACGAAACTATGCTGAAAGATATGAGATTGCCGCTTGGAAGAGCTTATAATGATAAATTGCTTACGCACCGAGTAATCCTTAGCCGCAAGATGACCCGATCTCAGATGGGCCCCTAAGCTGTCACCAGAGGCCCCTTTCACACCCTCTCACCATCCTCCATATGTACACACGTTGAGGTGTACTTTTTCGTCGAAACATACCTGCGAAGGAGAATTTAGTCTCCTTGGATCTTTGATTCATAATAATGTTTGAGTTGTGGTCGCTAGATGTTGTATCCTCCAAATTGCATCTGTCTTACCCACGCAGGAGGCATCGGGGTTGACCACCACGGTTGAGCGGTGGTGAGACCGACAAAGGCTGTGTGAGCATGCAGCCTGATAATTCTTTGTGTATCCCTGCCGTCCAAGCCCCATAGCCCTCCAAGGCTGCTAGTGGCATCGAGCCTGGAGAAACGCCTAATGGGGACTGGAGAGCTTACTGGAGGCACTATTGTGCTCGATGTGGGGTAATGCGTGGGTAATTGTTTGTTATTAACCGGAAGACCACAACGATGTTCTCGGTACTTGTAACCCAAAGCATTCGTACTACAGGAATAGATGTACTGTACAACCACGAGTTTGGAAGTTAAAGACGGTTACATCGATACTGTTCACTGTCAGTATTGTCGAGAAGTCTTGCCACTTGCTTGAGAATCGCGCCTCACGCAAGCCTAGCACATCATCCGCAATGGCTGCAAGACCTGTTAATCCGATCATACCAGGCTTTGCACCTGACCCATCTATTGTGTTGGTTGATGACACTTTCTTCCTGGTCAATTCGACCTTTCACGTGTTTCCTGGTCTACCCATCTTTGCATCTAAAGATCTTGTGGATTGGAACCAAATCGGTTAGTCTCGGGATCTGAATGTAACAGTATCTTGTAAGGAGAGTCGCTGACAATAGTCTGCAAAGGGAATACAATTAATAGGCAGGCTCAGATGAGCCTTCGCTTGTCTGATACGAGAATAAATTCCCCAGATACAAATGGCGATGTGATGCTGGCAACGGGTGGTTTATACGCTCCAACCATCAGATATCACCATGGAACTTTTTATGTAGTTTGCACCAATATCATCCATCCAGAGGGTGAAAGTCGCGATATCAGCGAAAACTTCATTGTCTCTTCAACGGACATATGGGCCGATGCATGGAGCGACCCAGTCTACTTCGAATTTAAGGGCATCGATCCAAGCATAATCTTTGATGAAGATGGCCGCAGTTATATGCATGGCTCTGCCGCACCTGGTCCCATGACCAAGATTCACCTCTTTGAGATTGATCTCAAGACCGGAAAGAAACTTTCAGACGAAAAAAAGATTTGGGATGGCACTGGGGGCATCTATCCAGAGGGACCGCATCTCTACAAGAGAGATGGATGGTTTTATCTTTTGATCTCTGAGGGAGGTACTCATGAAGGCCATATGATCACAGTTGCGCGGTCCACTGACATATGGGGCCCATATGAGTCATTTTCCAGTAACCCAATACTCACTGCAAAAGGTACAGATGAGTATATACGCTATACTGGGCACTGTGATATGTTTCAAGACAAAAAGGGCGACTGGTGGGGTGTTTGCTTGGGTGTTCGCAAAGAGGAAGGCGGGAGATTTGTCATGGGTAGGGAAACGTTCATCACACCTGGTACATGGGCGGAGGGCGAATGGCCCACACTAGAGCTCGTCAAATCGAACCCGAAAGGCCTTTCTGTGCAAGATCAGTCCTCCAGAATCACTGCAAAGCCATTTGTAGACTTCGTCTATATTCGAGATGCAGACTTGAGCAACTATACCATTTCAGATGAGGGAACAGATATTACTCTCAAACCGAGCGGCATTGATTTGTCGCACCCAACAAATTCGCCAACGTTTATCGGCAAACGTCAACGTACATTGGAGGGTGCCTCCACGGTCATCGTGTCGGGGCTCAACCAATCAAGCCAGGTGAAAGCCGGTCTTGCATGCTACAAGGACGAACATCGTTACATAAGGATCTTCTATGATACCCTAGGTGGTGCGATCATCTTTGAAGAGCGCAACAACGCAAAGAAGATTCACAAGACCACAAAGCAAGAACTGAAGATTGGTGATAGTCTGGCGCTGAGACTTGAATATACCGAGCGAGCGTATCGGCTGTCGTACAGGAGCTCTGCCGAAGAAACTGCCGCCTGGCAGACTTTGGCCTCAGTCGATACGATGGACCTGACAGACCCTGATTTCGTTGGACCAATTATGGGTATCTTCGCGCTGGCAGAGGATCAATCGGCTGAAGTACGCTTCCAAGATCTCGAAATAGACTAATCAGAGTCAACATCGAGAGTGGTCTCGCTTTTTTGGCGAAGAGTCGGTAGACTAGCACCACCATCAATGACTCGGAAGCCAACATCCGTTTTTGATAGCATGACAAGCCGAGGGCATTTGCCATAAATGGCGGGTGCAAGCACGAATTATGGAGATCTGCCTAATTAAGACCAGGATGAGCTTTTGCACTTTGACGGTGAGAACTACATGAGCTGTGGTCCGGCAATGTTTGTTCTGTAGCCTTCAGTCGGTCTGGCGGTGTCTTGATGGATCATGAGTGTGGCCTATTCATTTTGCCTAAACAACGAGTGAGGGGTCGCAAGAAAGTTTTGGATTCTCGGTATTAGATCTCTTGGAATGGCCAAGGTCTACCAAGCCCGATAAGCATCCTGGCTGGACGGAGAGTTGTGTTGATCTTAAAAGGGAATCTGTGCGGTGGTCCATGTACTTAAAGGCTTGGTAAATCCTTCAACCAGATTTTATCCGCCCTGGCCACCCGGCGGCCTCAATTCTTGGTGAAACTCATCCTCCTGCATTTGCCGTATTCTGTAAAGTTCGTGTGGCCAAAGAATATTTCGCAGTGAGGTCTAGACAGAGTGGGGTCTGTCCCGAGAGGCTTCGAGTCTGTTTATATGATAGGCAAAAATTACCCCACAGCCGCATATTCAGGCAAATACCAAAAAGCATGGAGAGAAGATGGAGAATCCCGGGGACCGTTTCTTCGCCCGACCTGTATGGAGACGTTGATCAACGCTTCTTGATATCAATCAAATAGAAGTCGAATCCCGCTCCGAGGGATGTCGATATGGTACCAACAAAATTAACATTCCCCTTCCCAGCTTTGAATTGAGGGCAGAAATCACCCTCAGATCGTACATCATCATGGGTCTCAGTCCGCCAAAGCTTCGACACTCCCAGGCACTGAAGCCGGTCAAGCCTCCCAAGGGCCATTTCTACTTTGCTGGGCGGACATTTCCTCGTCTACCATGGTGGAAACGGAGGCACCTGAGAACGCTCTACATCTATATTGTCATTCTCATCGCTACCAATACTGCAAATGGCTTTGACGGTTCGATGATGAACGGTCTACAGAGCTTGACCTACTGGCAAGAGTACTTCGACCATCCTAAGGGGTCAATCCTTGGTCTTTTCAATGCTTCAATGAGTCTGGGATCCTTGTGCGGCCTGTTCTTCAATCCATATATTATTGATTACTGGGGTCGCAAATCTGGTATCGTCATTGGCTGTGTCATCATGTTGATTGCCGTGGGTTTACAGTCCGGGGCGCAGAATTTCGGCATGTTCGTTGCTGCCCGTCTCACTCTCGGCTTCGGGGATACCATCGTTCTTGGTTCTGCTCCGTTGTTGATCGCTGAAATTTCCCATCCCCAAGACCGAGCTGTTCTAGTCACCTTGAGCGGAGCCTCATATCACTCCGGGGCTTTCATTGCCTCCTGGGTTACTTATGGCACCCTCAAAATCCAGGTATGTTAACACACATCAAAGATTGTCTGCTCTCAGACTAACATAGTTGTTTCCACTAGAGCGACTGGTCATGGAGACTTCCTAGCCTGCTACAAGCGATTTGCACAGTCATCATCGTTGGAATGATCTGGTTCATGCCTGAAAGCCCTCGTTGGCTCATGATGAAAGACAAGCACGATCAAGCGCTCAGAGTTCTTGCGAAATACCACGCTGAGGGCGACGTCGAAGACGAATTTGTTCAGCTGGAATATGCCGAGATCCGAGCAGCTATCGATGCTGACAGAGAGAGTGGTCAAACTCGTTGGGTCGACTTTTTGAAGACTAAGGGCAACAGAAAGAGAATTGGTATCATCACTGCGATTGGCTTCTTCAGTCAGTGGTCTGGTAACGGACTCATCTCATATTATTTGAAGCAAGTCATGGACAACATCGGTATTACAGACTCACAGACTCAACTCGGTATCAATGCTGGCATGAAATCGCAAGCTCTCATCGAGAACATTGCCCTGTCTTTCTACATCGATAAGTTCGGCAGACGTCCCATCTATCTTATATCGACCATCGGAACTCTGGTGACTTTTACTATCTGGACAATTATCTCTGCCAGATATGCAATTGCGCCAGCCAAAGGTCTGGGCTATGGCTTTGTCTTTATGATTTTTGCCTACGGCTTGTGCTATGACTTCAAGTATGTTACCCTCTCTACACGACTCTGATGCATTGTTGTCACGTATATAGCTAACGTTCTGTCCTCAGATCTGGTCTTATGGCAAACTACACCACCGAAATCCTCCCCTACGGCCTACGGGCCAAGGGCTTCACCTGGCTGAACTTCTGCGTCTGCGCTGCACTCTTCTTCAATCAGTACATCAACGCTATCGCTCTCGATGCGCTCCATTGGAAGTACTATCTCTGCTATTGCGTATTTCTCGCCTTTGAAGTTATCGTTGTATATTTTCTTATCGTCGAGACACGATACACACCTATGGAAGAAATTGCGAAATACTTCGACGGCGACGCTGTTGACGTGGCCGACATTGCCAACGCTGAAATGAAGGAGAAGGGCATCTTGGACGGTGAGATTACCGAGAAGAAAGCCAGAACCGTGAATCAGGTGGAGATTGTTGCTTGAAGATAACCGTGGATGGCTGTGAGATATTACTTTTTGTCTGACCTAGGCTAGAGGCTAAGTTTCAAGAGATATGACCTGCTCACTTAGGCCTCTAGCATGGTCGCTGTTGGAACATAGCAATCAATACCACCGCCAATCCACCTAATGTTACATGGTTGAATGCACATAATCCTAGTTGCGCCAAGACTATATAGGCCAAGGCTGAGCGTACGGGGGTCATAGCCCATTCTTGTTTAACAGTATCACAGACAAGATAGACAAGCAGGGCAGAAAGCAAGACAACGCTACACGCTCAAAGAGCATACAACGGTTTTCATGAGATGAGAAACAGTCCACAGAACAGAGCATGCGTTTGAAAGCATAGTTGGGAGTCATGTCCCCGAGATATGTATAATTCGAGGCATTGCGATATGGCTTTTTGTTTGATCATTAATTGTTTCGGCCATTGCCTACAACGAGACTCTCTCCATTCGATCCGATCCCTTTTCAGCTTAGTTTCACTACCCTTTCTCTCCTTCCACATCTATCAGATCTTTCATTTGATCCCTGATTCTCGAGAATATTTCACACCCACTTAAGGGAGACCCAGTGTTGAAAATAACAGATCACAAAGGGGCTTTGGCGAAATCTATTTTTTTCATCGAAAATTGTGAGACAAGCATATATGCTCAATTCTATTGTGCAAAGAACAGCCTATATGATGGCTTGAGGGCACAGGCATTTAAGTGCTCTTTACATTAAGCACTTGAGATAGATTGGCATCTAGCTAGCTTAAGATAGCCTAATCAACTCCAGAATTTTCATGTCATAAGCTAGGCAGCTTGTCGGCATGCAAAAAAGCAACAATATGGCGCTAAGAAGATTAGAATTTCATTAAAGGCAATTCAGTGGTCATAGACTTTCTAAGGAATTATTTAGTCAACCATCAAAGTCAGCAGCAGCAGCAGCAGCGAAGGCAAAGCCTTCATCCATCTCTGAAATCGGGGTCTGAATGTCGCCTTCGACCGATTTGATGTCGGCGAGTGGTCGACATGAATAACACCCTCTGTTGTTTCTCATTACCTTGCAGATCGCTATAAATGCGATCCAATTCTGTCCTCCTTGCTAAGTCGTTGAAGCCATACTACCTACTCCTGATATCTTGCTCGCGAAGCCTGTTGCGCTTGCCCGATCACGTATAATATCCTCATACGCCCCATTCGAGGCTTCGGTGAACCTTGCTCAAGCAAATGCCTTCAATTCTTATCTAAATTTCGGCTCTTAGCTCCGATTGATAGCATTGAGAATGATATAGGGCAGGATAGATCGTACGATTGATTAATGGTAAGTGGTGTTTTTTTATTTTAGAATAAACTCACTTCTATGTATGCTCTCTCAAAACGCCACAGTCTGCATGGAACTGATAAATATAAATTCTTAAAGCTTTGCCCATTTCTCGCCCTCAGTGGCCTTTCTGCGATCCTGAGAATGGTTGCGACTAAAGCACAAGCCAGCTCAGCTTGCTGCGCGGCAGTCCTCGAATCTTCGTTGGTGCTTGACAACATTGCCTGCTAATCTGGCAACGCTTCTTTCATACTTACCGTTGACGTGCTTGTTCAAGCCCGTCATCCAGCTACTAATATCGTTCGAGAGGAGACCTTCACTAGATGCAATGACGTGCCAAGCTCATACGTCAACAGCCTCCACAGTATGCTCCACCGATATATATCCATTTCAGTAACAAATTGCAAGAGCTCTCAAAAGACACCCGCGGCATGCTCAATGTTGCGTTCTGCGTGGCCAAACTGCTGATGGGGACCCAGAGTCATAAACATGGTCGCTGAAACATTACTAGATCAGCATCTCCTTGGTGCCTGTTGTGGAAGATGTAGGACTTTGTGAGGAAAGATGGATATAACGGAGATATCAACTTTGAGTGTTCGGAGAGAATCTGTCCGCAAAAATAATCAAGCTACGCTGGTGGCAGTATTCTTCCCGGAAGTTGAGATGTGCTTGTTCTCCTTAGTAATTCGATGTCATATGCTTCCCTATGAAGAGATGAGAGAGTGCGACGATTTTCGAGGCTGACCATTTCCTACAAGCAGAAGTTAAGCGATCTACAACTTCACCGCAAAGTTTCGTTACACTACTTACCCCTGAGTGGATCCTTCTAGCTTCCATGTTAAACACCTGACTTATGAGGTCCTTGATCCTATTGCGAAATGGAGTGTAAGTTATCTGAGCTTCTTCCCCGTTGTTGTCCTATCAAGGTTATATGTGTCATCAATCTGCTGCGCTCTGGGATGGCCACTCAACTCTTGGCCCAATCTGATTCTTCTAAAATGATATCCGCGGCAAGCTGATACGAGAACTTCTCTGCAGCTGACACCGTGCATCTTTACTTAGATGCCACAGGCCGAAGCAGTGCGTTGACGTGAGCTGCTGCCAGGTCACGGACGTCGATCCAGAAAGGAACTCTGGCTACGGGGACTTGCTCTCCACTAGCTATTTTCCACAGCATTGCATATGTTACCGGGGCCGTTCACCTCCGCAGATGTTGTTCTGCCGCCTCTCCCGCCTGCAGCGTTCTAGGCCAATCAAGTGATGAACGGTAGTCTGATGTCCGGGACACTTCCCTAAGTAGTAGAAGGTTTTGGGTATTGCTCGCAGATTACCGACACCGTGATGGGTAAGCCTGCGAAACACGCAATTGACCCTATGCCTGCCAATGTTATTAGGTCGTTTAAGGGTAAATATATCAGGGCATATGTTTCCCAGCATTATCTTAAATACCTTGGCATATAGTCAAGGCCTCAAATATTTTGGAACTAGGGACCTCGTCGGCACAATCCACCCATTCGGAATTCTACAATTGTCAACCTCATGAAGTTGCATGAATTTCTGTCGTCCACGGAGAGCATTGTCTGTGTGATAGGCTCTTTTAGGAACCGAGAAGGTGGTGACCTAGTGCCAGGAATATACTGTCCAAACAAACGCTTCTTTGACTTGGACATCGGAGAATTGATCATGGAGCAATTGCTAAACACGTCAAGCATCTAGTAAAATCTGGCATCGCCGAAATCACGACAAACGGCTCCAATGGCGGATCTGTGTACCTCTCGAGGCAAGAACGTGAAGCCATCACATCGACGACACGAAGACTCTTGATGAGACTGGCTTTCATCGGATGCCGATCATTGTTGGTGCTTCAAATCAATCAGTGCGTGGGACGTTGGCGCTCTGCAAGGATACAAAAGGTGCTGGAGGTGATGCAGTTCTGATATTGCTCCCTAGTTTCTTCAAATGGGCAATGACCGGCTCGGCTATTGAATACTATTCCCTCATTGACAGTCGGAGCAGCTGGTGCAGTTGTCGGCGCTGCGAACGTGTCCCCTAGAACCTGTGTGCAGCTTTACTGCAGCTATAAAACCACATTGAACCAGGAAACCAATGATCTTCAAGCATTGGTTGGCCATGGTGACTGGGCGATGACGAAGAGGGCGATCCCGGGAGTCGAAGCAGTCTTCCAAGGGTATCATGAAGTTGGACCCGTAACTCTACAGCCAGTGCAGGAATTAGATCCAAGTGCTTCTCAGTGGTTGCTGCAAGAGATTCAAAAGGCCATGGGATTTTAGTTAAACCTGCCCTAAGCGATCATTTTCTGATGATATACTAGGTTGAGCTCTTGGGAAGGCTCATCGCAAGGACTTTGTCCCCATGATAGATTAGCCACGCAAGATGGCGTCGCAATTGTGGCGGCATGATTTCCTGATGGACCAGAGACAGGTTTGGTTGAGACTTGATCTGTAGTTAAGAACGCTGCAGAAATTTTCCTGGTAAGAACTCTGGTAAATTAGTCTCGTTTTCTAGAAGCCCTAATAACACTGTGAGAGCCATGTTGAGTGCTTCGAATTCAGTTGAAAGGATATCTGTATTGAATCGTTTAGATATCTCTCTTCAAATTCTTAGCATAGAACTACATGAGACCACGGACACTTTAGTCTCCGCATTTATACTGCATCCCAGCATTGCTAAATTAATTGCCAACTCCACTCTCATCAAGCTGCGTGTTCTCGAACTTTGACTACATCTTTCAAATCCGGTTGTAGCTTGTCGAGATGATGAATGCCGATCCTAACAAAGCCTAGCATACCAGCTGCAGCCTTGGAGGCTCCCATAATCCTCGTGCAATTTCCGCGATGCCATCTCGGCACACATGCAAGCCAGCAACGTTAATACTTTGACCTCAGATGCCGGGCTCCCAACGTAGTGTCAGAATGCAGCGTGCTTTGACATCAGCCTGAACATGTGGACGAGGTGATGGCTTTCCCTTTTACTTCCAACATTTTATGCTCCTGACAGTTACCGATCATGTGCTTAATAGCGCAGTTAAACTTGAGGGCCGCTACCAGTTGTTCTAACTGCCAAGTCGCCCAAGGAAACACTTACTCACGAGCCCATCAATGATGAACTAGGGCTCCCATTGGCCCTGCCGAGAGCCGACTTTCTCACCGATTCCTGAATTAAGCAGGTCGGCATCAAGATAGACCAAAGAGAAATAATATAGCAGGATCATAGCTAATGTAGATGGTGCCTGTACCTGTTTTCTCCAAGTGCAATCAACGCCGGGACTATTCTCATGATTCCTTTTCGAAACTTAACATTGAGTAGCCAAATTAGAACGTGAGGCAGCATAACTACGGCATGGACACCGAACAGAAATACTTGGCCGGGTCAGTCAAAAAGAGAGGAGTGAAATCTTCATCCTTACGAGGAGGGGATGATTCTAGAGATCTCAAATGGGTCAAGATTACTGAATACCACCAGGATCACGGGAAGGGAAAGGAGTTGTGAAGAGCCTCTAATACTGTAGATAACTCGAAATCTCTTCCGCTAGTAGATAGGTCTATCTGTCCATCAGCAATTGATAGGCCGAATCATGTCTCGGTACTAAGTAAGTACATAGAGGCTTTGCCTGAGACATGTAGGTGAATAAGCCACGGTTCTTGTGATTACTCGGATTCCGGGTAATGAGGTCCGCGTGGAAAAATGGAGCGGACTGCCCCACAACCGAGTCTTTGGGTGGGAATTCCCTATCGCTTACTTTGTAGACCATCCCAGAATAAGCTGCATACACCGGTCCCATAGTGGCCGGGGGACCTCATCACTTGGGCCTAGTTCTAACGCGTCTCTGCCTGTCAAATCGATCGGTTTCTTTCGAGTGGGAGCGCCGATCAAGTGTGAGCCACTCTGTATTCATTTCTCGGCTAGAAGTAGACATATAATTGGGGGTTGCTGTGTCAAATCAAAGAAGTCGCCCCGCATCGACACATGGGACAGGGATTGACGCATAAGAAGAGATAGGTTTGGAGAGATCTGCAAAGCACTAGTAGGGGAGCCGGCCCTGCCAAGCGACTTGGGGCGTCCTTCAAAGGTTGAAGAACCGACTGGCTTGAATCTTCTTTGGATTTAACTTCGCCGAGTTTATTGCATCATACCATGAATCACGCCGCCTAGCTCTTAGACTCCTCTCCCCCAACGCACATCCCTCTGTTTTCTGGATGAGATCTCATCATCTTGAAGATTCTACATCTTGGTATCTCAGATGGGAAAAGACACTGACCCACGTGACGACCCTGGATCTTCAAAGTCACATTCGCTTGATCGTCGTGGGAAGAAGGGGCTCAAGCGCTCCCCTAGAGCGTGTGACGAGTGCAGGGTTAGGAAAATCAAATGTAGCGGACTACGGCCTTGCGAGCCTTGCAAGGAATTCCACCGGAGTAAGTTATATTTGATGTTACCCCCGTCATCATGAAGTTGGTGCTAAGAATTCACTCAACTAGGGTGCAGCTATTCTCTTAATCCCCGACAAAATACAGATCCTCGACAAAGATCGAGATGCCTCCAACACCAGCTCGGTCAGGTCCGTGAAAAATTAAACGAGGTTCAACGCAGTAACCGGCGTTTAACGAATGAAGAACTTCATTCGCTCATTCAGATGTTGGAAAATGACTTGCCAGCGACACCGTCAACATCATGCGCCAGCGATTCTTCGGACAATGTGACTCTGGACAGCATGATGAGCACATATGGGCGTGATGCCTCTAATAATCCTTGGAACCCGAGATTTTACGGGGCACCTTCAGGTCTCGCGTTTATACAACGGACTCAGGAGTTCTTTACGGGACCAGTAAGCGAATACAATCATAAGCCAAAGTCACCACAATCAGCTGTCTTACAGCTCTTTGATGCTCCATTGCCTGGTAATCACTTAGGAGATCGGAGGACCTACTTAGAAACCATTCTGCCGCCTAAAGAGACAGCTCTGGCATTAATTACCGCGGTGTTTACAAATGCTTACGTCGTCTTCCCGATTTTCGAGGAGCTAGTATTCTTTCGAATGGTGGATCAAATCTATGATACGGGAACCAGACCAGACGAGCTTGATCCCACGTTCAAGCCATCGTTCCACATTGTTCTGGGATTAGGTTATCTGTTCAGCAGGAGCAAACATGAAGAACATGGGTGCCAAGGCGCAATAGATGAGGCGTAAGTATTTTACCTCCTAATACCTAGCAAAGTAACTTAGGTCTTCAATCAGGGTGAAGCATTACCTCATAGCTAGGATGCTTGTCGACGTCGCCGACTGCCGGGATCTATCCTCGTTACGAATCTTATTGAGCTTTGTCATCTTTCAAATATCTGTTGCGGGGCTTGCTTCAGCTCATGCTTTCATGGGCCTAGCATGCTCTTTGGCTTCGAGGCTTGGCTTACATTACAGGTCAACGCACCACGCAACCATTTCGCAACAAGACCGCGTTGCAAGACGAAAAGCCTTTTGGGCAGTCATCAAACTAGACATCTATCTCAGTGCAGTTCTTGGACTGCCTGCTTTCATAGACCTTCGGGAGGTCGACCCCGCGATTGATTCAACACTTGAGGAAGCTCTCACCGAAATATCGCCCGAGGTTCCATCTCGTAATGCCATAATGTTGGCCGTGTCTGCAAAACACTTGGAAGTCATGAGACTCATCACCAAAGCCATCAAAACGCTTTATCCTATGCCGACTACGAGCTACAATGACCCTAAGATAGCCGGTAATATCTCAATCCCCATATCGAAGTTGACACAGATCGAAGAAGAATTCAAGATCTGGAAAACAAGCTCATCGGAGATTATCAATAAGGCTGATGATGGCTCGCTTGAGTTTTCTAGGTACGTGTCGGAGGTATCACTCTTGTTGACCATGCTAATGGCAATGCAGACTTAAATATGAGCTTGAAATGTTTTACTACTTCGGTCAAATCGTCTTATATCGCCCCTTTCTTCACTACCTAGCGAATATGTCAGAGGGATGCCCGGTGACACAACAACAGTCGCACAGGGCATTGGTGTGCACGAAAATCGCTTCAATTGTTATTACTCGAACAGAGGCTATTCATGCTCAAGGGATGCTTCACTCAGCTTCCTGGACTTCTACATATACATTGTTTCTGTCTGTGGTCTGTCTGATCTTTCTAATTGCGACACAGAAAGGGACCAAGCAGCCTCTCGAAGCCTGGAGAAGATGCGAACGCGGAATACGTCTCTTGGCTTCAATATCATGTCCCGGCATGGGTGCTGCACAGTGTCTACTTGTCTTGAAGGTATAATCCATTCCATTGACAAAAATGTATGGCGCAGCCGTCCTAACTGTTCTCCATTAGCAACTTGTAGGCTGTCTTTCACATACGGTCGACTTTGACATTGCCGGTATCGAAGCCACTACTCCACGCACTTGTATTCAACGTCAATCTTTTGATGCCATGGTTCCTGATTTGGCTTATGGACCCTTGACCAGCCAAGCCCATCCAAGCCTGGAAAGGGAGCGGAGCATTCAAAGCGGATTACAAGAACTTTGGCAGATAACTGGATCGCAGTTACACTTCCATGGCATGAATCCAGTCAACGACGCAAATCTTGAAGGAATATTTGCCGATTCTGGCAGTACAATGTTCGGTTCGCCTCTCCAATCGGTTGGAGACCCATTCTCAGAGACCTTTTCGGAGTCTCAAATTCAGGTGAGATAACTAACACGACGCTTGTTCTGTCTGCCCCGCCGTCATATTGAAGTGCCCAAACTGACCTTTGGAAATTTCCTCGCAAACAGACAGCTAGGGATGGGATGATCAACATACCGATGCTTCAGCAGTTCTCTTGGCTGAATGATGGGATAACCAGTCCCCGGGCAAATTTCGCATCTAACTTTTAACTATACGACCTGATGATGGATCAACATAAAGCCTCTCTGCGTCCAAAGCTTCAAGCCAGGATTTATTTCGGGCATGACATGATGGCCAATGCAACTTATTTTGTTTCCGACGGTTCGACTTTCGTACGCCATGCCCGGAACGATAGTATCTACTTATTGTCAGCAGACGGCAAATTTGAAATAAAGGACAAAATTAAAAGCCTGAAGTAATCCGCGGCTTAAGTCCAAATTCAGCCCCATCAGTATATGACGTGGCTTTAAGGGAAATATCCTTAATGCTATTTACTAGTGTAGACATTACTCCGCGCTGTGAAATTATCTGCTGGCTGCGCGAACAATGTACTCCAGAGAAACATAACCTGCTAAACCTAGTAAACATCAACACAATTTAAACCGTCCAGTGAAGATAGCATTCTAACATTTTGGAAATTTCCATCCAGTAACTTTGAGTGGTGAGAGTCGATGAGAACGTTAGCTTAGGTAACGTTTCTGCTTCCCTTGGTTCCTCTATCCTTCTATGCCGATCAAGGTTTATCGAGCTCTTTTTTCACTTAGAACAGATAGGTGCTGCCTTAGTATTCGGTTTTCTTCTTCCAGTTTATTGTGGTTCATTTCGACTTGTTGAATTTGTTGTGCAAGGGTGATGAGACAGCCTTGAAAACTGGCCGCTTGCCTATAGCCATGAAATCACGCCATCAGTGTAAGATTTGAGGTAGAAAGCGTACAATCTACCAAAGGCAGGTTACTGACTCTTTTAGGTTTCTCCTAATGTTAGATCCTAATAGTTCTAGGTCTTGCCCGTTTCTTTTGGGACTCATGGAGCGGGCATCACCAGGCGGATAACGTACGACTTCTTTGTCTTCTTTCTGAGTTGTTGGTATTGATTTAGATCTTTTATCTTTCCACTCTCGTGGTGGCATTGCGACACAGCGAACGAGTCGCGATGTCTATACTAGTGGAAACTCGAAGTTGCCGTGTCTATCCCGTCGGAAGATAGCCAGGTGGGCTTTGTCTTTTTGGAATGAGAGAAGAGGCTTTTAACAGAATATCCTCTTGTCTCAAGTAACTTTTCATTACTTGATTTTTCGAAAGCTACATGTAGGGGATAAATGCGAAAGAGCATTAGACAGCAGTCAAGGGCTGGCGGAGTGGATAGCAGGCGAAACCCGTGCTTGGTGGAGCTGTGGAAGTTGGATGTCAACCAGAAATGGCTTCAAATTATCCTAGTCGTGCCCAGCCCGTGAACAAACGGTCCGCGTACCTAGTGCTGTTTTTCTTGCTAAGCGATGTGGATGATGTCAACCGTTAGCTTCCTTTCCATCCTGGAAGCTACATGGCCGGATGTCGGATATTTCTTGTCGTCCATTATAGTTTGTTTAATTTCTGAGTAGTGTTTTCAACTTGTTGTATTACCACTCCTAAGAATAATTCCCGTTTGTCGTACAGCCTAGGGCCCTATCCAAAGACATGCATTTATGGCAACCCTAGCTACAACAAGTAAATATCGTCGTCCACCCTGCCAATTTGAACTTGCTTCCTTGGGCTCGATGGGTCAAGACTCAAGATATACTGGCAAGTGCTTCTGCTTAGCGTAAATCCGAGCTCCCAGCCAGTTTTCTCTGCCAACAACATCGAACCAGTGCCCACTGTTTCGCGAGATTGGAGTATGCGTGTCTCTCTATGTTGATTGATTTTCAGTCACAAGAGAGGTGACCAGCGAAGAGTCTCACGTCCATCCATTTGCCATTATTGCCCGTGGGAACTACTTCAACTTATGGACCGATGAGATGCGGCTATATCTCACTGTCACTCTGCTCGTCTTAATTGTCAGAGACGGAAATGGGTAAATCCAAGCGGCATCAACATAGAATCAAGGATGGGAGCCCAGCCACAATTGATGCTCAGGTTCAACTCTCTTCCTTAGGTCCAGCTGCTTTTCATCATAATTTCGCCACTCATGAAGAACACCCTTGGGCAAGAAGCACCGCTGATCTTTCTCTTTCGCGCGATTGCCCTCCAAATCGTCAAAACACCGCTTTCCAACAGGTTTCACTACCACCAGCCCGCGTCGGACAGAGTTTTGGGCCTGGTCGTTTAAATCGACAAACGTTTCGTACCGAAAACCTCTCCCAGTGTGACTCATCTACCACTAAGTTGTCAGTACCCAAAAAGGCCATCGATCTGCCTCAAAGGGCTATTTCACAATCCCAGGTCGAATGTCTACAGTTGATGAGAGATAAGCAACAAGAACTCATAAATGAAATCTCTCGATCATCTGAACTGCCTGGCACTTCAAAGCCCGTGAAGCCGGAAACTCCTCATCTTATCCCACTCGGTAGCCCAAAAGGGCTTATCACACCGCTAGCTCTGGAGCATGGGAATGAATACTTCCATAGCAGGGGAAATGCCGCAGTCTCACCAACTACGTCTCACGTGGCACTAAAGGGTAGCCCCTCAAGATAACGGAGCAGGTGACAGGCTATATATAATAGAGGTTGAATCTTTGGATCTGCTCGGAAAGTAACACGTTACTTTTAACCTTTAAATCGTATCCCTTGTATTGGTCGTATTTCAACCCCATACAGATATGATAGAGTAATGCTGGACCGTAAATCTTAGACGCCGTTCGTCATAGGGTATATACAAGACACTGTCCCCAAATTCTCCGAGTTGTAAGATTGACCAACCATTCCCAGATTTTTCTTCAATATTTCATGGCTTGATGAACTCTCTGTTTGAATCTCGCGAGTACACCGAAGAAGTAAACCACAAATCTTCACAATCATCAAGCAGATAAAATCGTTGGTTGAGGTTCACGCAGGACATAAGATCCAGATGTATCACAGTCGGAGGGCGACTGACCGGTGTGTGCTAGTTTTGGCGGACAGACAGCCCAGATATCGTCGCTGATGTAGTCAGTCGTACCATTCAGTGGCTGAACTGTAAGAGCGTCCTCAATTTCTGTATCTGTTACCTTATCATCAATATTCGAGCTGGAGTATCCAGCGTCCTCCTCGTCGGATTCGTCACTATTCCCATCAATAGTCGAGCTGCAGTATCCAGCATCGTCCCCGTCGGACTCATTGCTATTCCCATCAATTAAAGGGCTCCGCTGTGCGTCGAACTCCCCCTCCTGTTCGTCGTCATACTCATTCCTGAAAGTAGATTCATCCTGACTAGCTCCATCGGAGGTCTGTACTCGGTTCACATTAAGGGTCTCTTGGGATTGTCGGAATGGTCGGGCTTGATTCGGACCCAGAGTGGACGGAGGGAAAGACCTCCTTCGGGTGAAGGGTGTGTTGGCAGTGCTCCTGGCGCTGAAATCATAATCAGAATAATCATCATCCAAAGAATCCTCATCCGAAGAATCGCCATCGTAATAGTCAACATAGTGTGACCGCCGTGAGGTATGTCGAATCCAATCCGAGACTTTGTCGGCCACACTAGTGTGGCCGAGTATTCTACCAAGCCGCGCAGTTTCCAATGAGCCTTCTGTCAGCATCTTTTGGCGAGAGCCGCGGAGCAACTCTCGCAGTGTCGCATTCTGTTCGTCTGGAGACGAGCTTGCCGACAAATATGGCAGTGGTAAATCCATATAATAATTCTTAGAAGTCGAAGGTGCGGTGGTCGTGGTATCACACAAACAAGGACGTTGAGTGATATGTTCACTTTCCTCAGCGCCAGAAAAAGTTATGGTAACAATGCTAATAGTCTTGTGTATGGGTAGTTTCAAAGATACGCACTCATCGAAGACCCCATACCTTAGGAAGGATGGAGAATAATGCTAGTGGTACTCTAGCCTTTAGTTCATGCTAGCTAGCAACGGGTAGGTGTGACTAAATAGTAGTGGCTGCTAATGTTTTGGAGCACTGGAGTTGGTTGGTTTCCGCATGACTACATAGTGGACCTTGCACGAAAGGATCCCTGCAGTTTTTAAGCGGGTGTTGTTCAATGACAAGCGAGCTAGATGTTTGTGTAATGGCTATTGTACAACACACGATCCACGTGCCCACCAAGCGGCCCCATCTCTGAGCGGAGCTTTTAAGCGAGATGGAAACCCCTACAAGAGAAATTGGCCATCAGCTTCTGGTGACCATCTAGCTACAGGATTTACGCTTTTCAGGACCACGAGGTCGGGACTTCCTGGCAGCATGACGATGGGTATTGGCGGCCAAACAAAGTTAATTGCGGGACGCTCCATGCTTTTAAGGTATTTCCTAGCATCCCACCAATGAAGTCGACCATACGGGACATTGTTCAAGTGTCACTGTGAAAATGGGCAAGGCCTTGCTATAACTAGTGAAGGCCGCCTCGCAGCCTTTGGTAAAAGATCTGTTCAGCTGCATGGAGCCAGCTTGTCGGGAAGACGGAGCTGTGCTAGTGTACGATGGCTTGGCGTCCAGCGCGGCCGGATAACACGGAGACTTTGTGGATTAAGCGGAGAAGTGGGTTCCCGTCATCTTATGACGGAGGCAAAGACCCTGCATAGTGTAGGGTCGCCTCCATGCGGGTGCTGCAGTCCTTAGTTCTGTGTCAGGCTAGCAGTACGTCATCGTGGATATATCTATGCATGGCCTCGTCATTTTGGCACATTGGCTTGGGGGCAATTTCCAACGGACAGTACCAGATCACATTAATTCTACGTACTATACGGAGTAACAGAGTGAATATGGACGACCTGAGTCGTACGAGTATGAAATGAACTTTGGGCAATATTGATATCTTTCCCACTCGAGATTCAATTGGTTACTATCTACGAGGTACATCGGGGTTGATGCTGGCCTGGCACAAACAAAAGATGTCTCTAATTCCAGCCGTAGTCGTACCAGGCTGAAGCGTGAGGCCTTGGTTCGAATTGAGTATATGGTATCCAAATATGAATGACAAGACAATCTGTCGGTTCAGGTGACGAGATAGCAAATAGAGGAGTACTCAAGCTTTTCATGATTCTTTTGCTGCCATCTCCTTCTAGGGAGAATTGGAAAAGCCTTCTCATCTCTGCTGAGCCTAGGTAGAGAGGACCAAACTTGAGCCATGAAGTAGTGTGTTAGATTCAACTAGTGTCAAGGACTGGAAACGCTCTCTTTCCACCCCTACATACAAACAATTAAATGAACGTGAAAGGGGTATTCCGTAATTACTTGACAGAGCTTCCTAGATTACGATGACGTAGATACTAGTACTAACTGTGTACATTGTTCCACAATACATTCAAGAATGCCGCATTTCACCTATAATAAACGCGTCAAAGTAGATAAAGTGTACTAGGATCGTAAAAGTCTATACAGTCTATAATAGCTAGACAATATTAAAGAAGAAAGATCGTCTATGATAGAGAGCTTACAGATCGTGTCAGACATAGCGCGCCGAAGTCATGGGAATTGGACCAAGAGTTTTGATTTCGTGGCCATGAATCGCAGAATGGAATTGTATTGCGTGAGTGTGATGGAGATCATCCAGCAGCTGGACATCATCAGTAGCTGGTAAGCCGCTCACGCAGGTTACCCTCGACCTTGGCATGACTGAGGCCATCCAGTCGACCAGGCGCTTGAAACTACCTGGATCTATCGGATTTTTGTCAGTACGGGCTTTTCTGTAAGTGGCCTGCACATGGAGCAATTTGGGCTCTAGATATCTACTATCGGCGAGGACTCAGACCGTGATTCTCCATTTGGACCGTCTTGCTCAGCTTCCAGAGATGTTTTCTGCGGCTTGTTCGATTGCTTCTGGATGTTACTCCTCGTAGACCGTAATAGCTAAGTGGATGGGAGAACATTGAGAAGTGGCTACTTTCAATAAGGGAGCAGGACTTATGTAGCTGTGTAGAAGATTCTCAGATTGAGCAGGTATGTGGAGCTCAGAAGCAGACCAGGATTGTGTTCTATAGCTGGAGACATCTGCAGCGTGAACCTCGAGAAAAGTACCTTGTCCCGCTTAGCCTATTTGACCTGAAGAAAGAAAAGTTCAAGTGCCACACAGCACTCCAACCTCATCCATGTGATGCATCCAAAAACATGGCAACCATTAAATTACTACCAAGCATGGTACACACCTGGGAGAGGGTACGCAACGGTTGAACCATCGACTTGAATTATGATTGACGTGCCAGCCACATAGCAGTTCTGATCTACTAGCGCACTCTTGCTTAGAAGGCAAGCTTGTCGGTTCTCGATATTGATGCGCTGGTACATGTCGTAGAAGCCAAACATTGGTGTTGACTTGAAAAAGTTGGAGTCTGGTCAGCTTTCAGAGCTGCGATGTCTGGTACCGTGATTTTCACATTCGTCATCGTCCCATTATCGGCGGTCGTGGTGGTCAGAGTAACGGCCCCCGCTTGAATGTTGTTGGTATCCTGACGAGGGCGTAGCAGAGATGACTCGTCTCTCTTAACGAAGCTTAGGCTCATCCTGCTAAGGACAGATAGCGTGAGCCCACCAATGCCAGTCGCAGGGGCTGCAGCGGCGCCGACAGGCACAAGGATAGCTGCGGCGAGGATAATAAGACCCGCCCCCAACAAACTATATCCAACAGCCCACCCGGCACCAAGAAATCCGCCCTTTCTGATGTCGACTGTGAACGGGCCGTTGGAAAGAAACTTAGTGATCTCCCAATTCGATTGAGAGGGGTCTCTCAGTTCGTAGACATTGTAGCCATCAGCTGTTGGTATGGCAAACTGTTTCCAGAAATCTTTGCCAAAACATGAACGGGAGCAGTCCATTTCGATCTGGTGGACTGAATATGACGTCTTTCCCAGCTGATAGGCAGGCAACAAGAACTTTCCTATGCCTGGATAAAGAGTCTTTTCCAGATCGTCAAGACCAATATAAGCCTTGAATGCTTGTAAGTAGGTATTGACATTGGTATAATCCGAACCGTGGTCTCGAATTTGGTCAGTACTCCGATAGGCGCTATAGTATGCCTTGAGGTTGTCTAGGTTGAAATCTATGTAGATGCATTTGCTAGGGAATGTGAAGGCCTATCGTGCCATGATCGCGAAACCAACCCATAGTGAAAGCTGGTATATGTGGCAACACGTTTAGGTTCAGTTCAGAAGACTTAGACGCTGCCAAGATGGCATCGTTCTCCCAAAGTTGGACTGCTGAGACTTAGTAGCAGAAGCAGACTTGTCATAAGGGACATAATTTCTCCTAATACTTCACTCCTAATACTTCGAGGGGAGTACACAACCTTTCCTGACTTGACCCACCAGACTATACTGTTGCTGCACACAGGGCTGTCTCTTAGGCAACGTTTTAAAAAGCGGAAATCATTGATGTCGTAGAATCTGAGCTCACGGAGGATGTCACGACTCTTTCGGCTTGAGCAAAGCGTAAGGCTTATGAGATATACCCGACCACCGTGCGAAAAGAAAGCGTGCTTTGTGGAATGCACGTGCAGGATGAACCATACAATAATCGGTCCCAAAGTTCAAGGTTCTCTAAGTGGAAGATGATAAGTTCATGGATAAGGCTTTTTAGACATCATACGGCTCTGTCACGCCCAGCAATCTTTAAACTGTATCATACGGGTTCTTGAAGGCCAACAGCCGACCACCCGTGAACGGGGCCATATCTCCAGCCTCTGTCCATACGAACCTTAAGCTTTTGACTATTTGGTAGTCTAATCTAAGCTTGAGAAACAAGTTTAATCTACTGTAAGGTTCGGCATGGGAACGTGCCACCTCGTGAGCAGAGCCCCACTACCGTACCTATCACGCAGGGACTCCACTCACAACACCCGGGCCATGCCAATTTGCAATAGCATTTCCAGAATCCCAAGAGTTCCAACCCCCATATATTAGCCAGTTATTGGTGGCAAGGACGTAGGTTTTGGCTTTGAGGGCTTTAGTGGCTCAGATAATCCACGGTCCTCGACAAGACCGGTCCTGGTACAATGCACCATTGCACCCAGCTTGCGACTTCGATGATGATCGAGAAGTTTGGCAAAAATCACCTCCATGGTATATAAGTGCTGGTCCTCTGAGCCTTTGACCGGGACTCTGAGCGTTCTTGTTCAACACATGACCAACAAACACTGCAAAGGCATTTGCAATTTCTGAAGCGAAGACGTTCATCGATTTTTGACAAGGATGGCTTCAAGAAACTACAAACTCCAAGCATTTGGGGTGGCGAGCCTGGCATCGCTTGTCTATACCCACCCTTTGAGCGCAGAATCGACACAATCATCCACGGTATGGCCTGACAGGAGCGCCTCGTCCCCCCACTCGAGCTCGTTGCCCGTGAGATCGAACAGGCCCTTCGCAATTGCCGGGACGCACGTGCCACGTGCTGACACTCGCTCTGGCGGTCAGTCGTGGACTACCTGGACAGCTTCGCCCGACATCAACAGCTGGGCCTCGGTCTCTTCCAGCACGACCGTCTCAGCTTTTTCGTCCACATCTTCTCGCGCTGCGGGCGCTCAGTCAACTTCAACTCAAAGCGTCAATCTATGCTCCTCAGCCTCGACCAACACGACGACAAATCCCAACGACGAGAACCTGGTTGGAATTCCACAGTCAGGCGACATCATGATCCTGCCCCCGGACATCGAGGTCAAATTGCCTGAATCCCAGGACAAAGAACTCTTGCAGCACGTCGACCAAGTTCTCTCGGACCTCTCCGGAGCCGGCATCGGCACCGCTAAAAACAGCACACTCAACACACTGCTCGCCGAGGCGGTCCAGCCCGGCGGGATCGCGTCAGACATGCCGAACCAAGAGGTCGAGACGCCGTGGCTGAGCACACTGTTCGAGACGTGCTTCGAGGGCGAGTATTGTATGTTTTTCAACACGACCACCAACAAGGTCGTGAATATCTTCCGCTACCTGGGGCAGAACAACCTACATTCCGCCACAAGTACATGGGACCGGCTCGCACGGTCTGTCTATTCACGAAGTCCTCGGCCTGGGCCTGCTTTTTGCTCCCAAGTTCGAGTCCGGAGCTCCCGCTATCTCGCTGAGCTTTTCTAGTGATGGAATTTACATCAGCATCCCGAGTTTGCTGCGCATGTATGATTCTATCAAGGGATGAAAGGCTTGAAAGTATGGGGGCTGGGGGTTTGAGCCGGTGTGTCGTTCTGCTTTACCTGTCTGAGCGTTTAGCGTTTCACTTCGATTTCTCAAATTAGGGAGACAAATATGATATATGGTATCACTGGGATTGATACATATCAGCGAAAATGATTGCTTGGTAAAAAGACAAAAAATTTTACTTGTTGCATGCTATCTTTCCCTTGAAGATTGACTCTGTGACGTGGCCACTAAGTTATAATCACTGCAGATAGCCTTGCACTTGCCGTGAGGGGGTGAGAGACCCAGTAGGTAGAAACACTCCAGACCGCGAACTGAGACCATCATTTCCCCCTTTGTTGGCCGTGACCCTGATCTGTCTGTGCATCGCAAACTGGTAGAATCCCACGATGTGGCTTGGCCGTCAACCCTTAGACCTTGTATCTAAAATGGATGTTCTGCTTATCAGTCAAGTCCTCGAATCCTTCCAGCAACTCTTCCTCCTGTCGTTCGGCGTGCAGACCTTGACGATCCCTCGACTTATTGATAGAGTAGACCCACGCGGTGTAGATGACCTGCAGGAGAATCAGAGCACAGTAAGTTCCCAGTAAGCCTCGGATGGCAGAGAAGTACCGGGGTGACTCCCTGGGCAAAAACATGTGTGGGCCTGCGATGTTGCCGCCGGCGTAGAAGATGAAGAACAAGCCTATCACCGTCGCTCGTTTCGTGTGGCCTGCCGTGTTGACGCCGGGTAATGTCCATCCCAGCACTATTGGGCTGCCGAGGATGTTCTGCAGCCAGCAGCAGGCGACCAGGGCGTAGCGGTGCTTGATGTCGATGGTCAAGAGACCGATTAATCCCGCGATTCCGGGTAGAGAGGATACTGTCGCGCCGCATTAGTATGGACTCGTGCTAGCAATATATTGCCAAGCGGAAGACCAACCTATGATGGAGAATCCAAGTAGATTCTTCTTGGTCGAGAGCCATCCAAAGAAAACACACCCGATAATTTCGAATGCGCCGCCTGGGGTCTGGAGCAAGGAAGTTCTCAGAGCATTGAAGCCAAAGCCTTTGATTAGACTGGAAGCGAAGTTGGCCACGCTTCCGTTCAGAATGCCTGTACAAGCTCCCATGGCCAGGAGAAGATAAGTGCGGCCGTCGAGAAGAGCTTCTTTGATTTGAGCTCGGTTGATTACACGGTGCTTGATACCCATCTGGTTTTTGGACACCCTCCATACAGCAACCATTCGTTCATACTCGGTCAGCATTTTGGCGTTGTGGGGCCCGTCGGGGAGATAGACAATAATGACGAAGCCCCATACGAATGTCAACGCTCCCACAATCTAAACCAATTAGTTAGATCTGATGGTTTATGGAGGGCGAATTATTTACCAGGTAAATCAACTTCCAGCTCGAAACCGCAAGATTATCAGCATGACCCGCTCCATAGGCTAGAAGCGCACCGAGGATACTCGAGACACCGTTCGTGGAAAGCCATAGCGAGGTCCGGAAGGTTTGTTCCTCGCGTGTCCAGAGCATAGATGTCAGAAGAACGAATGCTGGTGAAATTACACCCTCGAGCCAACCAAGGAAGAAGCGAATCGTAAAGAAGCCGCCGAAATTGGCCACTGTGGCTTGAAGCATGCAAACCGTTCCCCACACGAACAGCATACCACCGATGAGTCTACCAATGGGATACCGTTGTAACACTATATTCCAAGGGTATGCTCCGAAGAGCCACCCGAAATACAGGGCTGAAGCTACCCATGAGTAATCATCGCCAGTCATATGTGTATCCGCCTGGAGACCGTAGGCATTCGAGTAGTTCAGACTGCGAAGATTGAAGTCAGCATCAGACACAGATGAAGGATGCCATTTTAATTGCTTAAGGTTAGACATACGTTTGTTTGTCCAGGAAGCTCAACATATAGGTAGTCATCATCTGTGTAGACTCTTAGCACTGAATGACATTCGATACAGGGCAAGTTGGGCATACCATGGGGATCACTAGAAAGTCAAACTTCCGGCGAACTTTGATTGCATCACGTTCAAGTTGTTCTGGATCATACTCCAGGGCTTTCTTCAGAAGCTCCTTGCCGAGAAGGTTGGGGTCATTTTTCTGCTCGCTGAGAAGCAAGAGCAACTTCTGGGACTTGGAGGAATTTGTAGTGACTACAACTCCAACTCCAACTTCGACTGCCGGCTCTGTCGTTCGAACAGGTTCTTTCTCCACGTCTGCCATATCTGTGAAATATGAGGTTGAGGGTTGTAGATTCGCATGACTGAGGGAGGTACCGCAGTTGAGCGACTCTTATATGGCGTCGGTGATGCCACTTTGGATAAACCTGGCGATCGCACCACACAAGGTAGGATATGTCCTATGCATGTATGGTCTCCAGGAGACACTAAACCCAAATGCCACCGGTAATAGCTTGAACGAGATAAGACTCTTCTAGAAAGAGCAAAGATCTTCTGCCCATATCTGGCATATTAGCTGCAGGAATTGAGGTCATGTCCGTCAGTCAAAAGTCATTCATCGGACTGGGCCCGTAGCGCTCGCTTCGGTATTAGTGAGCTGGCATCTTGAAGGAGGTCAGGGTCTACTGTAGATAGGAGCCATCGGAAGGCTATGGCCCCTGTGTCTTAACTATAACTGCTACGATAGACATGGATAGTCACGTGCCTCTAGTGCTATACCTAGACATACTGATATTGTGCAGAGCAGTAATCGTCCCTTATGAGCAGAGGATTGACACGAGGCTGTAGCTTGGTGAGGGTTGAAAGTTCGTCCACCCTTTGAAGCTAGACTGTTCATTGTTAGTCAGCAGGCTCAGTCCTCATGAGCTGTCAGGGCGTCAGTACAATCTTACAACACTTCAAAGAATTTGATGGTACGCAAGATCGGTTTTATGGCCGGCAAGAGAGTCTATCCTCGCACTAATCCACCCGCCTTGACAGGAGTGGTTAGAGACATTTTTAGTTATTCTACGCATTTGCCAAAGCCTTCAGGACTCTGCTCGTCCAACGCTCAGCGGACTCGTTTTCAACATCGGGACCATGGTTTGAGGCATTAGTGTGGCTCGGAGATCGGCGAGAATTTTGTGCGAGTTGTGCCGTGCTTTTGCTCAGTCCACGATTCAGTGGATTAGGAAAGAACAATCTAACCTCGCACATATTGACTCGTGGCAGACAAGGGGCGTTGCTGGAGTCGTCGGCGACTTTATGGTGGGGTACCGAAGAGTTGAGTGATAGCAACTGATAGCGTGGGAGGCGATCGCCTGCCAACCACGATATGGGTGGCTCTCCAATTCGATCTATTATCAGAAGATTCCCCGCCCAAGAGAGGGGACTCGCAGTGAAGATCTAGTGATACGCTATCTTTTGGCGATGTTTAAAATTCTGGAAAGAAATAGCTTGCTAATACAAATTGTTCGTGGTCTTATGGCTCGTTATTGGTGTTGAGAACAATTCGTAGGTAGATCAATCGAGGCCGGGTCATTTCAGTGGCACAAGACCCGAGGCTGCATCTAAACTCGCCGACGAGCTAAATTGTCCGCTTCTATTTACTCAATTAAATCAAGAGTAATATCGTCTGCCACCGGGATGCGTAAGAACTCTAGCTCACTTACGCTGAACATCAAATTCTACATCACTTGGACGTAGGCACTGCCAGACGCAGGATATACAGCAAGGAAGATGATTGCGAAAGATCCGAATCCAGCTGACGGAAAACAATGGCAGAAAACCCATGCTGCCAAAAAAGCTGAACAAACAAGCAGAATTCCGAAGGACTGGGTTTTACCAGAAGAAAAGTTTCCAGCCGAGACAACAGTCGATGTTCGTCCTGTAGCCGCGTCCTCTGGCATTCTGTCCGACAGGGAATTGAAAATCACGGGCGAGCAATATGACGCGACCTCCCTTGCTGTCGCAATTGCACAGGGTCAATTCTCTGCAACTGAAGTGGTGACTGCATTCGCGAAGCGCTCTGCTATTGGCCATCAGATCTGCAACAATCTCACTGAGATCAGTTTTTCCGATGCTCTTGAAGATGCCAGAAAGCTGGACGCAGTTTTTAAGGCAACTGGAAAGACGATAGGACCGCTGCATGGTTTGCCAATGACATTTAAGGTAAGTTGAATCATCTTTGAACAATCCTGATTGAGGAATAGCTTATAGGGGTATAGGAATGTTTTCACTTGAAAGGGTATGACGCAAGTAATGGATACATATCAAGAACGTTTGACGCATCGACATTCGACACTCCTCTTATCGCGCTTGTGAAATCTCAAGGGGCTGTTGTTCTAGCGAAGACGAATACCCCGCAGACAATGTTGGTTGCCGAAAGTCACAACAACGTCTTTGGTCAAACCAGAAATCCAGTCGTCAGCCATCTGACTTGTGGAGGTAGTAGCGGTGGTGAGGGTTCAAATATGGCCTTCCGGGGAGCTGCTATAGGCATTGGGACAGATGTGGGAGGGTCGATCCGGTAATGTTGCTGACATGTTTCGAAGGACCCTTGGACTGACTTGTGCAAGTATTCCCGCGGCAGCAAACGGTGTGTACGGATACAAGCCTTCCTTCGGAATTCTTCCTATGATAGGGTATGCGGCTTCTGGTTGGGTAGGAGCAAACACGGGGATTCCAGCGGTCTGTGGCCCTCTAGCAAATTCAGTGAGAGACCTTCGACTTCTTACTCGAGTAGTCCGAGATTCGAAACCATGGTTATTTGACCCAGCTGTTATTCCCAATGTCATGGAAAGAGGAACAAAATCGAGAAGACCGATTATTGGGGTAGTTCGCAAAAGTGGGTTGACACCGCATCCTCCCGTGTGTAGAGCTATCAGTGAAGCTGTGCGAAAGCTCACCACAGCCGGTTTTGTGGTCAAGGATTTTACACCGCCTGATTTCAATGAAATTAGAAAAGTGACGAAGGAGCTCTTCACGTTGGATGGTCTTTCATACCCAAAGGGCCAACTTGAGAAGGCAGCTGAGCCTGTAGTCCCGTCAGTGGAGGCGATCGGATTCTGGAGTATCCCAAGAAAGACCCACGAAGAAGCTTGGGCGTTGAATGCCAGAAAATTGGCGATTCAGAAGCAGATGCTTGACAGCTGGCAAATGGCTGGCATTGATATTGTGCTTGCTCCAGCTGGTCCTCACACCGCGGTCCGACCAGGCGATTGGACTAATGATATGTACACCGTTGCATGGAATGCAGTGGATGTGAGTGACAATTCTTTATGTTTGGGAGAGCGCTGACACAATATCGAATAACTAGTATCCGGCTGTAGTGGTTCCATTCACTATGGCTGACCCAAAGTTGGACCCCGTGGACGAGAAATTTGTTCCGATGCATGATCTTGATAAGATGGTTCAGGAGCTCTGTGAGTTTATCTCAGCACATCACTTGTGACCCTTGTGAGCTCCTATGGGTATGTGGCTGATAAACACTAGATGATCCCGAGTTGATGGCAGGTGCTCCGGTGGCCCTTCAGCTTGTAGGCCCGCGACTGGGCGACGAGCAATTGTTACAAGACGTCGAAGATATTGACGCCGTTTTGAACAATTAGCTCCCAGAATTTTCATGCATATCAATTATAAACCATTGGAACAGATTTATTGCATGGCATAGTGGAAGGTAAAATGGACCAAGACTTCAGATAGGGAGCAGGTCGTTTGGATGCTGCTCGCTTAGTGTCATCCAATTCCAGTCTATGGCGTTGTCTCTAGCATTCCAGACTCGATTGATCACGAAAGCTCGTGTCCGTGTAGAAGTGACTGTTTTCCGTGCGCGGCATACGGCTCCAAGCATGTAGCTCGCTGTCATTCGATCAGCTTCATTGCTCACTTCGCATGCAGCCAAAAATATAGGCCATAGGGACATTTTCAAGTCGTCATCCTCGCCACTAGTGTGCACCATAACTTCGTATGCCATGGTTAATGCAGCTTGATCTGCCTCTACTGAGCTTCCAGCTGGATTGATAAGCCTATGGAGGTAGAGCAATGCAGCGCTTCGGTAGGCATTTGCGTGCATCAGAAATTTACGCGAGGACTGAAATGACAACGTCGAGTCCACGGTGGGATGCCACAGCTCAAGCTGCGATTGTAGCTGAGCTGCCCGTTCAACCAGGATTATAGGATCATGAAGGGCCATTGAAAACGTGAGATCCTCGGAATTAGGGCTAAGGAGGCCGTCGGGTATCGGTGTCCTGATGTCCTCAGCAAGAGCGCAAAGATCGCCTAGAATGGGCATCAAGGTTCCGGTATAACCCATGAAACGATCAGCATGCTCTTTAGAATGGTCATCAAGCCAGTAGGATGTCGGGATACGAGGTCGGTGGAATCTGACTAATGAAATCATCATGTCTTGCCTCGCTAAAGCGCGAATGAAATATTTTGACAACTGCGTTAGCTCAAAGCCTCGGTTGATGTGATGGTCTAGCATCATGGAAAGATTATCCAACAATGATGGCAGAGCGGACATCTTCTCAGGTTTCTCACTTGTGTCAATGAGCTAAAAGACGTCAGTGATTTTGGGAGGGGGACATTGATGAAGATTGATGTTACCTCTACTGCGCACAAACCTAGCATAACTGTCAACAAGAGCTCCAAACTGACCCCTTGAGAGTCCAAACTGCGTAATCTAGCTAGTATCCTAGCTCTTCGATTGGGAACCGGTACCATGGCTTGCGATTTGTGGTCCTTCAGGTATGCCTCTCCAATTGCTGACAGGGAGTCACCCACTGCCATTGGACTATTCTGAAAGACTTTTAGTACACAGGAGTTCATTTCGTTGACGAATTCGCTGCCAAAAACCAGTTCGGTGGGATGACGTGTAAAGTAGACCTCGATAAAAGGCTCGTCGGAGGGATGTACAGTACCAGGAGGTATGTTTGACATTGTTTTGAAAAGCTGCGGTACTGGAGTTGGCGCTATTTCAGTCGAGAATGGCGAGAAAGGGGCTATGGCTAGATCATCCGTGACCATCGGGCTGCCGACTGCCGGAGAAGCTTGGACAGTACCTTCGCCAACGCCATTCACTTGGTCTTCCGCGGGGATCGTGGTCACCAAAGGACTTGCAGCGCTGTTGGAAGGTGTTTGCCCAGTCAGGGATGCGCGAGCCTTGTGGGCTTTTGTGACTTGGGCATAGCCACTACACTGGCGGCCGCGGCGCTTACAAGTGCCACACGAGGGATGAATCTCATCGCACTTGACTTTGGCGCGCTTGCAATCCAGACAGCCATGTCTTGAACGAGTTGCCATGATGGGCGCTCAGAAACATTCGATATGTGTCATGCCTGTATAATAATAGTGTGTTGCACTGGATCGAGAGTGTTGCATGCTGGGCGCACAGCCAAATGGCCGATATAGATTGGCGACCGCCGCCACCTAGGAAAAGTCAACCTCGGGACAACTTGGAATGGTTGACGCCGTTTGGAAGAGTATCAAAATTGGCGAGACCCAGGATTGGAGGGACAGTTGGAGTATTGGAAGCCCAGAGCCCTGTGGACCATTCAAGGTAGCATAGATCGAGAGTTTAGCAGGTCAGAGAACGATTTCCAAGGGCAACCCCTCGTAATGAACGTTCGTTGATGTCTTCGCCCACAGAGGAGTCAGAGGGCGAAGCAAGCAGAGGTTGACGGGAAGCGCCAGTGCGATGAGGGCAAGGCGAGACGGGGTCGAGGGTATGCCGGGAAGGTGCAAGCGCAGATCACGTGATCTTGGAAATCGCCATATGCAAGAAAGCAATGAAAGTCTTGGCACCCCACTAACCCAGTTTCACTAGCGTGGCTCCTGCCCCAGATTAAAGCTTCTGGCATTTGGCCTGTGAGTCTGACTGATCAAGATATCGGCACCCCGAAGCCACCCAATGTTAGTCCAGTCGCTGTGACGCAGGTGCCAGGGTATCGCCAGGGTATCCCTCCAACAGGTTGCACCATACTCGCACTCTGTGCTTACTTTACCCCATCCTTTCCCTGTGGCCTAGCTCTATCAAGTGTTTTATGCGGCGGCTATCATATTCTCAAGAGCCTCTGTTATCACAGCTGTCCACCCCAGCAAGAGGCATCTGTATTATTCCATCAGCTTTCAGCATCCATCTCAAGCAGGTGCTGAACGGATGAAAAGAGCCATCAGACAACGGTGACGACAAAGTCGACCAAGATGGCTGGAGTATTTTCCTGGCTGTGGGACTGGCTCTTGTGGATGTTCTGGGCCACTGAGATGGATGTGACCATCGTCGGGCTGCAGAATGCTGGCAAGACAAGTTTAGTGCGAGTGCTTGCGGTAGGTCCCTTCGTGTGCGAACGCTCACTCGCTCCTCGCTAAACATCTCATCCTAGGGCAATGAATTCGCGAGCGACGCATTGCCAACAGTGGCTTTCAATAAGAAAGAGGTCAAAAAGGGCCATGTGTCCCTCAAGTGCTGGGATCTCGGAGGTCAACCGCGATTTCGAACCATGTGGGAACGTTATTGCCGAGGAGTCAACGCGATCGTCTTTGTGGTCGACGCAGCAGATCGAGACGCGATTCCCGTGGCCAAAGAGGAGCTACATGCTCTTCTATCAAAGGCAACACTTGAGGGCATTCCATTACTCGTCCTTGGTAACAAGTCGGACCTGCCCATGAAATTGTCTGTCGACGACCTGATCGATCAGCTCGACCTCAAAACCATTGTGCATCGCGAAATCAGCTGCTATGGAATTAGTGCCAAGGAGGAAACGAACCTGGAAGCCGTGCTACAATGGCTTGTTGCCAGGTCTGGGAAGTAAAAGGCACACGCGATATTCAGTTTGTTCTTTGCTTCCTCTATTTTTCCATTCTTGGTTACTGGCTTGTTCTATGGAGCTTCTGGAATTTCTGCCTCGTGGGCACATTGATGCACGAATCACTATCAAAACGACAACCTGTTGGATCCACTGTAGACAATGGCCGGGCGTCAGGACGAGTAAGCAGATGCACATGACACCAGACACGCTGATCTTGTCATCCGGATGCAGGAACGGGAGGCTGTAATTACTCAGAAGCCATGCCGGGACATCCGCACCGCAGCATAGAGCCCGACTTGGTGAGGTCAGGTGACCAGGTGAGGAAGGTGCATCATCGGAACCTTGAGTGAAGCGAGGTCGTCGCTGTGATCGTGGAAGGGGAATGGCGAAGAGTGGAAAGTGACGCGTTGCCAAGAGCATCGCCTTGTTGTTCGTCACGTCCACGGGTACGGAGGGAAGTAGCGATGGGGATGCCAAGGCTTGGGATGGCTTGACTCCGTATCATGATTCATGGTATGTCGCGGGTGGGAAGATGTGTTTCGTCTCAGCAAAAGCGTTGGTTGGAACTGCCTGGACAAACAAAGTATTTCATAATCTCGCTGAGAGCCACCATGCACGCAGGCTGTACGGAGTACGAACTGCTTGATATCAAATACTCTTTGGCGAGCTGTTTAGGGGACCAGCTCAACCCGCTCCTGCCTGTGGCTTGAGGAAACTCTGTTTCAAATGCCCAGGGCTTAGCGTCGGTTAGTGCGCACCAGTGGCCCAATCGTGTCCAGTAGACTCCGCCACCAGTGACGAAGTGTGGATGGGGCAAGTCTTAGTGTTGTTGCAGGTTTCGTTCATTGCGCTGTGGTCGCATGTGGGTGCCTGTGCTGTTGGGCTGTTGATGCGTTTTGGCTGCGCCTCTTCCTCTCCTCTCCTCTCCATCCAGGCCGTCCGCTACAGTACGAGTAATTAGTCGTATTCGGCCCTCGGAAACGGATGTTGTTCGTCTGAGCACTGGGCTCTGAGCGCTTTATTCCATCAACAGGCGCATGCATCATATTCCTCTTCAACTACATCTCTCCCCAGACATTCATCAAATACTCCCACACTTAGATCGCTCTGAACACCATTTCACAGCCTCATACATTTGACATTCTCTGCGTATCCTCGCCACACCCGTCCACTTATTGATCCACCAGACCCAGTCCTTGGCGCCTTTCTTTCTTCCTTGCCTCGAAGTTCTTGATCGCTCTTGCGTATTGACATCACCAATACTCCGCACCCAGTCCCCAACTCTCATCTGACGACGCCATGACTCTTGTCGCACGGCAATATTACGACGTGTAAGTCCTCTTTTATATATTCTCCAGTATCCTCAACCCCGATTATACGCCTTGGTCTCTGTTGTCGCAGGTCCATCAAGCAATAGCATTCAAGCGATCAAGCAACTCCTACATCATCCGTTAGACACACAGCAAACCCAATCACTAATATCCTTCGCCATGAATAGATGCTACAATTCCCTCGGACAACCCTATCGTTGCCGGTCCACATGGAACAGCTGGGGAAGATGGCTTGCGCTTGGTCTCATTGTGTTTGGCGCATTTCTGCTCTTCTTCTTGTGCAGGCAAGTCCTAGTCACCACATTACATTCCCCGACTCATGCTAACCTCAATGCTGCAGTTGCTTTAGCGCACGAAAAAGGCGCCGTGCGGGCCGGCAGCCCTTTTATGGGACAGGTTGGGCTGGAAACACACCATTCGGCCATGGGCAGGCGCAATACAACCCAAACTACCAAACACAACAAGCACCACCGCCACCAACATACAACCAGACTCAAAACTATGGTGGTTACTATGGAGGGGGAGAAAATCAAGGCTACTTTGGTGGCAATCGACAGGCCGATGTCGAAATGACTTCACCTCAAAATGCTCACACCACTCGAGGAGGTGATAACGTTTACACACCACCCCCTGGACCTCCTCCCAACAAGGTCTAGAACGCCATAAGGGATAGGCTTGGGGTGCACGTGACTGCAATTTCTGCTCGATTTTAAAGCGAGATAGTTGCTCGGGTGGCAAACCCTTGGATTCGTGTTGGGCATGGGCGTTTGGGAGCACGACCTTGCATGGGGAAATGGGCGGAACTTGTGTACGATTAATATGACAATGAATCTCTATTACCCCAGGCAATGCAAGATTATGTGGCTTCTGGCATTGAATGGATGGTCACCACGGGGTTAAAATGAGGATTGATAACAAGAATGATGGTTGTCCGCTGTTTCATTGTGGGATAGATTGCAAAGTGGCCTCGTGTCATCATGTCCTCCTTTGTGCGATGATATTGCACATTAGAGCCTCATCTTGTACAGGAGTTGTCATCAGAAAACCTTCTTTTGAATTCCCGTATTCGTGCTTCTGGGATGAAAAATGCTCCATATTGCCTTTGTCATGTGTTGAGCATCGGCATTCGAGAAGAACAAGAATGAATTACATGGCGTTCTCTGACAAGGATCCGTGTTTCAGCATGCCCTGAATTCTCTGGGCAAGGGGGAAGATCTGCCAATGCGGAGCCCTCAGGCTACCTGGGGCACAGCTTATTCGTTCTTTGGCCTCCCACCCAGGTTCCTCGACGCCCCTCCAAGACCCTGTAGTGCCCCTAGTACTTAATGGCCTCGACCTGATTAGGTGCCAGAGGCACGCCCTAAGGTGGCTGTTCCATGCTTAGAAACCCCCCCAGGACTTGTTCAGAACGACGACCGGCCTGCCCCAGTGCTGCCCTCCAGGAAAGGGTTACGAGTCCTGTACTACCACCGTTGAAAAGTGTTGCTCCGCCTCCTTGACTTACACAATCCCCTCGAACTCCCACCACTATCACCGCCATCGCTTCGTCGTCTTACAGTATGTGCTTAGAATAGCTCATTGTCCGTTCTCTTCGTGACTTCCTTCCTTCACTGTCTTTCTTTTCTCTATACCACTCGCTTTCTCTCATCGACCTCATCTTGATCTTCCTCGCCAGCCTTCTTTCTTGTCGTCAATCGCTGTGCACTGTCCGCCGGTCGGCCCTTTAACTTCTCCCGCGCGATATCGCTATCCCCATAACCCAACCACCTGCGCCCGACCAGCCTGACAAAAATAAGATCACGATTACACCGATAATCTAGCTTACATCGGCCCCATTCTGGTAATCTCACCTTTACTTGAGAGCCTTCCACGTCTATTTTCTCCCAAATCTCAACACAATTCATCCAACAACTCGCCCGTCATGTCCGACATAATAAACGAGGTCCAAAGTGCCCCAGATACCTTTACCAGCTGGGACAAATGTATGGACAAGGCTTATTGCAAGTACGTTGACGAACATGCCCAGACCTGTCTTTTTCTACTTGCTAAGCACGTAACAGATGGCCTGCCATCGTAGGAATCGTAATTGGCTCTCTCATCCTCCTCTCCTTCCTCTGGTGTGTGCTCCAGTGCATCTGTTGCGGTGCGACATTATGTAAATGTTGCTGTGGTGGCTGTTCAGGCTGTGGTTCGGGTGGCCGAGATCGACGTTCGAAACATAAAGACGATTATACGAGGATGCCACCGACACCATACGGTGGTTATCAACCTGCTCCCGCTCCAATGGCCTATGGTCCGCCCCCAGCCACTTATGGTGCACCTCAATTCGCTACCTTTGACGATCCTAGCAGAAAGCTCCACGAAGACAGCCTTCCCCCTATGCCCAGTTGGGACACTGCTACGAAGAGAAGGGTTGAAGATACCAGTCCTACCCCGAACGGCGACCTTGAGATGGGCCGTCTCGAGCCTCAGGGACAAGGCCTACGAGGCGGCTACAACAGTGTTCCCAACGGCCCTGTATCACCCCACCCCGACCATTATCCTAATAACACGGGCATGAACCAATCCTACAATTCGGACCTCGGAGCCCAAAGCATGGCACCCAACCGAAACCAGTATGATTCGTTTCAAGCCGTACCCCTAAGCCCTCCACCGACCTATCGCTCTAACTCTGTTGCTCCATCGTCCACATCAGACAAGTTCATGTCTGGGACTGCCAGTCCCAGCCCCGGCGATTACAGTCGTCAACAAACATACCACCAATCTTCTTACGCGCCCAGCATCACGAGCACGAGATATGAGCCACAGCAACAATATGCTGCATATGGCGGCCAGCAGCAATATCAGGCGGAGCCCCCCAGCTTCCTCCAGCCTGGCCGCAGACCAGTCAACGGAAGCTACAGGGAAGTCTAGACCAAAGTTTACTGAAGAATTTCGGGTTTACCAAGGCCCTAGGCTGGCTTGATCTGCAATTGGAGCATACAGGGCTAGTCAATAGGGCGCTCTTTCTACTGCCTCCATTCTTCCAGTTCGGCGCCTGCTCAAAGCCATGCCTAAAAGGATCTCTGACCCCAGCGTTTTACGTTCGAGTCGGCCTTCCAGAACGCAGCTGTCCATGTCTGGTTTCCTCCAATTGTGATCATCGAGTCTCAGAAATGTCGTATTGTTCCCTAAGAACAGTACATCAACAACAACTGAAGCTAGTAACAATTTCTAAGCTAGAAGAATGCAGACACCAAATGAGCGCGAGCCAAGCTCGAGAAATGAAAAGAGAAATTCTCTAACGATATACCGCTTTACGACCACAGCATCATCCTTTCACCCTTATATTCAGAATCTAGCGCTTGGGGAGGGAGACAAAATGGGCTGAGAAAGGAAGATTCTTCACGTTACACAACACTTGCGCGTCTGTGCCACATCAAGGTATCATCTTGTACAATACTGTCAACTTGTAATCCCAGAGCAACGGCTTCTAGCAGGAGCGAAATTGTAATTCGTCCATACTGGTAGCAGATGGGCAGGCCAATGCCACGCAAATCAGTGCAGCGGCATCGGGAAGAAATCAAAAATCTGCTAGTACCAGGGCATTGACCAAATACTATTATTGACTTACAGAATCCCTTGCTCCATTTTCGGCCCTCCTGTTTAGCTTCTATGCGCTCTGCTTTACGATATAGCCTCCTTCCTTCCCAGCCAGTACGCGTATCTGCTTAACTACACTACCTGTGTAGGAAGGTGCGCCCTTCACTCCACCTGCCCAGGACGACGCGACCGCGTTTCTGCAGCGTCGGCTCACGAACGGGCCGATTGTATCTGAGTACAACACTATAGCACGCCGGTACTATGGATGAGCGAGTATGAGCTAAGCACAGAGCCTTGCATGTCATATGCAAAGTGACCGTTTTGTCGCTGCTCATACTAGATATAGATATCTCCCCACGTCGGGAACCGTTATTCCTCGAAAGAGCCAGGACATCGGACTTACGAGCAGGAACCAAGAAGAGATGAGCCATCTTCTCCCAACTTATTGTTGAAAAGAAGCGTTGTGCATGCCGCGGTGTAGGTACGTATATTCCATTCCATTCCCACTCCCACTCAATAACCTAGCCGCGAGACTGGTAGCCTGCTGACAAGAAGGATGCATCCCGCCGTTCGCGGGCCTGATGGGATGGACGGCGGCGTGGGTTTGAAGAAGAGGTGCTCGTCGCCCTACCATACCATCCCCTGGTTCTGGTTCTGGTTCTGGTTCTCCTCCTCTTCGTCCTCCCCCTTCGTCCGATTACAACTCATCTTTCACAGCATGGTTCCCCTCCTTCCCCGCCACCGCAGCGCCATCCCAGCCAGCATCGGAAACAACAACATCCCTGGCCAACAAGGGAATTCCACCCACAGCAGCTTGGCCAGCAAAGTCCTTCGTTAGCGTGAGTGCACTCGCCTGCCGGAGGAAAGTCACACCAAGAAACAGCTCCGGCTCCCATTTCCCCTTGAGCTGATCGAACGGCAGATCGAAGACCTTGAAAGACACATCGTGGAATTTCTTCAACTTTTGCGAGGGCCCGGCGAGGAGGTCGAGTTTGATTGTTGAGTGTGGGCTGGCGAGGTAGCCATCGATGCCAAGGGCTACGGCTTCCTGACGCGGTGTTGTCTTTGGGATGGCGGTCAACGCCGAGGTGAGGTTGAGCGACTGGATGAAGAAGCTCGAAATGTAGTTCTCCATCAGTGCGAGGTCGATGTCGGCCAGCAGCGTCACGGGGTCTTTGGACGCGGTCTCCACCACGACCGGTATCACGTCTTGGTTCAGGCCTGCGAGCTCTGTCGTGTGGAAGTACGCTGTCAACTCGAAATCCAGCTCTGTGCTGCTGCCAGCAGCAGTGGCGACAGATTCTTCGGCCTCTGCATCCTTGGCGGCGGCTGCTTTCGCATCGTTGGCTTCTGCCGCTGCCGTTGCACGTACCGATCCCGTGATCGTGGTAGTAGTGCTTGTCGCCGCCGGGTCAATGTGGACAGAAGTAAAGATCTTCCGCGCGCATACACATGGACAGCTGATACCACACTCCCGGCCACAGTCACCAGGGCAGTCTGAGTCCGGTCTACCAGGGAAGAACGGAGCAGGCAGACCTGGGCGACCACCGGGGCGACCTGGAAACGAACCTCTCATACCGCCAGGAGTATATGTTGGCACCGTGTCATCTAATCTGCAGTGGCCATCAGGGCATGAGCGCGAACAACAGGCTCTGTCGAGACGGAGCACAGCAGTAGTCGTGACGTCTGAAGCTGCGACCCTAGCGGTGGGCTTGTCGACGCTGTCAGCGGGTCGACCGTTGCAGAGCCCGATGGCACACCCCTCCCCACAGCATGCTGTTACCGCTTCAGGCGCGATGTGTGGATTGGTGAATGACTTGAAGATGGATTGGATGCTCGCCGTTGCCTTGGGGTCTAATTTGACTCCTTCTTGCAACGCGGCCTGGCCCGTCGCTTGAGCGGATAAAGCGGCGCTGAGCACGAGTGCGATCGTTGATATCAACACCATTGTGACAGGAATACTGCGTGTAGCAAGTCAAGCGGTGAGGAATTTCAAACTTGAAATAATCGTGTGAAGATTTTTTCTCTGGCCAGACAGGGTGTGATTCCAGATTTCAATGAATCCTGAAATAGCGTTTTAATGATGATGATTTAAATAAAACAGAGTGCTCCGAGGACGGCAAGTCTGGGACCAATGACTGTGCAAGGACGCTGGACTTTTGTGTCGATCTAGAGGCTCAGACACAACCAAAAGGCCGCGATCCCAGTGAAGGCTCTCGCCGGTTTTATAAGATAACTTAGGTAATGTATCTGAAACAGCCCCCCCTTGGGCGAAGCGGTCTGGATACGTCCAAAGTTCTGCATTGTGGGACATACCCCGGTCCCTGGGGTCGCCGTAGCCTTAGGGCTGAAGGGTTCCCTAGGTCTTTTTGGGCTCTCTCGAGTGACTTCCAATGCACGTTGTCCAGGGGGGGGGGGGACGATTGAGCCAAACAACGAACGAGTACGAGCATGGAAAGTAAGGTAACAGAGCCCCCTCAAGGGCGGACGGCCACAGACCAATCGGGGAAAGAAGCTCGATGTGTTTTTGTAGTGCAGTCCCAAGTCAGTGATCTTCATCGCCGGAAACTGGGTTCCTTTCTCAGCTGGATGGGACGATCCCTGAACGATCTACTTCAGCATCACGTTCCAGAAGGAAATCCGGCCGAAGGTAGATGGTTAGGCAAGCCATGTGGACGAAACGCAACCTCAGCGGGCGAGCCTTCGAAGCTGACGTACTTGTAGTTGTACCACGCGAATGAACAACCAACCCATACATGATGATTATGCAAAAGCCTCGAGGAAAACAAGTCCCCTGGTCCTGTTGGAGAACTTCTCCAGGGGCCACAATGGCATCCAGAGCCCTGTAGGGTCCCACGTTGTGGCTGCGGCTCGCCAGCGGGTGGCCTGATTTCTGGAGCCCGCAGTTTTGGCCCCGTTTGGCGTGGGATGAATTGGGACTTTTGTCGGGCCAGTATCGTTGTTTCGGAGGTGAGTTGCTCCTCAAAAAAGCCGATTGCCACATGCTCCCAAGATGATCTCAGATGCCTGTTGAAGTTCCTTGCATGTGCTTTGATATCATTCTGACCGCTTGCCAAATATGGTTTGTGGTCTTCTAACTAATTAATTTAGTGGAGAGTTCCCGCCGTTTTGAGGGCCCCTTGGGAGTGAAAGATGCTTGGGATCGATAGGACGTCTTTATCAGCGTATCTGGGCCGCTCCAATGACCTGCTATCTTGTAATTGTAGGGAAGTATAGTGGTCGAATCTACAGTGCATTCTGGTGGGCGCTGGATCCCAGCATCGTTCGTTTCATGAAAAGTCGTAGCCTCAAGGAGAACACTAAAGGCGGAAAGTCTTAAGTCCCAGCCTCAGACAACCACCCTGAACTCGAACCCTTGCTGCTCGTCACCGTCTACGAGGATCCTCCTTGTCTCCTTCTTCAATAGCTGAGTCACATCTTCTCTCGACAGGCCCGCACTTCTCGAAGGGGGGCCTGGCTGATCTCCAAATGCTGCTTGTGATAAACCAAGCAGACTCAGCTTTGAGGCGATGTCCTTGACATTGTACTGAGCCGCACGGTAAGCCTTGACGGCAAGCGCCAAGCCCAAAACAGGGTAAGCAAAACTCCATGCGATCAGCAAAGCAAGGGGGGCGATCGGTACTTTTGATAGCAACATATGTTCTCGATGTTGCTGTTGCAATGCCGTCCGCTGGCTGTTGTATCCTCCAATCTTTGCCAGTACTTTGGATGAGTACAGGCTGCCGAATTTGCCAAGGAACGATTCTGTTGTGGTCCCTGTCATGGAGGCTTGGTCGATAAAATCTTGGAGATCAAAGCTGCCTCCACTGACTGTAGAATAGAGTTGAGAGCCGTGGAAGATCTCGAGAACGCTGCCATTGGTTGTTGGTGTCATGGAAATGTTGTGCAGCGTCTGATTCACCCAGGTGTAATTGACATCGTACGAAGTTACTGCGCAGTTGACAATGAAGTCGACGATTGAATCATATTGATCCCTCTTGGTGTCATTCGTGGTCAACATCTCACTGTTAGACTCAAAGGAGGAGTACTCAATGCGGCCAGCTAACCCCAGGTAAAATGGGTTGACCAGCTGGGAATCCTTGAGTGGAAAGAGACTGAGATCGAAAAGTCCTGAGTCGTTCCATCCTACGGTGTTGTACACCGTCTTCATTGATGAGTCGTTGAAGAAAGTGTACATGAGGTTTTGCGCCGGTTTGTACATTAGGAATGACCGATATGCGTCAGGAACACGCACGGAGCTTACGTCGCTCACATTGGGAGGCTTGCCAATTGTCCCATGAAACATGTCTGAGCAGCTGAAGTTAGTGTAGACCTCGTTCGGCCCCCAACTGGCCATGTCACAGCTAGAGGCTGGTACTAGTTCGCAGGTTGTGGAAATGCCGATTGTAGTGGCCTGGAAATCAGTTTCGGCTGCGATTGACTCATCGGACGCGGTTAAATATGCAATTTCTGTCCCTTTTGACTCCTCCACATTCGCAAATCGAATCGCTGAAAGCTGGGAGGTATTGTGCATTAATCTGCTAGCCTCAGTTTGCTCAAAGTTCTTATTCGGATCCACGAAGTCGTACTCGACAGAGCATGGCAGCCCAATTTTCTCTCGGTCGAAACTTAGGCAAAACTCCGAGACTCCTCGACCAAATTCCTTATCGGGCTCTGCTTGCACGAAGACTTGGTCAAACTCGACCGTCGAAGTGGTATAGTGTAGTACCGCGTCGCTGATGGCAACCCCGCCCGCCAAAATGATACTCAAGGTCAGCATCCAAGCAGAACGATGTAAAACTGGAGGGATTCCAGCCCGGTGCTTTGGATTCATCAGATATCCAAAATAAGACCGCAATTGATCAGTGGCTGCCACGAGGATTCCGATCAACAGGCTCATTTGAAAGGGAGTTGGTAGTCTGAGAAACTCCGAGTTACTTGAAGCAATTTTAAGGTCCCTAGACACAGGCAAAGCCGTAAGAGCCATGATATAGGAACCAAGCAAAGGTGCAATGGTGGATAGGAAGCTCGCCACAAAGACCAACCGTGCTGCCATGTTGTTAGAACATCAATGACAGACCATGATCAAAAGAAATAGGAGGCTTACTAGCTGAGAAGTTCACCAAGATATATCCTCCACCTGTTGGATCCGACAGTGTGGGATCAAAGAGATTTGGTTGAGGGCTGACTCTGAAGCTAAGAACCAGTGCAAGTAATGTAGCAGCAAGGAGTGCTATCGGTATGCATATGATAGTAGATGGCGTTAAAATTGACTGAACATGGTCTTTGGTTGCAGAGATCTGGAGCTCGTCGCCCTCAACGTGATAATTATCAGCCTTTGGACGGATCAACGATATTCTGTGTCCCTTCTCCGGGGTCGAGATATCATTTTGAAACGTCGAGATGTTGTAGATACCATTCTCGCGTAAGTCTTCATTGGAAGGCAGCTGCAAATTGACATTCTCGTATGTTCCGGTTGCCATCCGTTGATAGAAGGGAAGAGTCTTCTTCCGATGGTCTCGGTGCTCTTCCATGGCTGCAGGAAATCTTGAAACCGCACAGCAGAGGAAGGAGTAAAGAGCTCAAAATCAGATAAAACATGTTTGGACCCCACTGGTAGATATTCGTGGAGGACAGGATCTAGACCCAACATGCTTCGCTCGCGTACAGCATTCGTTCGTTCATTTCAGACAGGCCGGTGATTCATCATCGTAATATAGCTGCTCTGCAATGACAGTGGTTCGTGACTGGTGGTTCACAGCCTCAAAGGCTGCACTTTAGAGGGGGACCCATTGCAAGGGTCCACCGTTCGATTCCTAGGCATGATTGGCGGGAGCATTTTGCTAGAAGGAACACCAAAGGTCCCGTCGCAAGTTCAGCTGTCGGCGATCGCTGGCCCACTCACGCGTCGATACGAACGGACAAGTGTAAGCCCTAGATTGAAGCAACGGTTCCTGTCCTGGGCTTTGCAACCTTTGGTCCTGTTGCTCTTTTCCAACACCGCAGTTGTTGTTCCGTCCACTATTTACTGGTGTTGTCGGGCATTTGCAGATCACATGACGACACGTGCCTTTTCCACTAAAGCGGCGCAAAGTTTCGGCGTTTTCGAGCTCAATCAAGTCTCGACCTCAGTCAGCATTTCTTCGCCGTTTCGAGCACTGTTTTGGAGCACTGTTTTCGTCTTCCTCATCATGCCCTGGGTTTCCAACCGGCGGAAATTCCTGTGGCTGTGTTTCTGTACTCGTGGGCTGCCATTATTCCGAACCAGAGGATCGTGGAAAAAGGTATTATCATCGTGCACCGAAAACGTGATCAAGTCATGGAAAGGCGAAGTCTTCAAAAATATGTTCCCATAGCTGCATCACATAGGCGCCTTGATGTAGTCTCATTCGAGCTCCGCTCGCTGTTCGTGGTAAGCTTCAGTTCATGGCAAGCTTCAGTTCATGGCAAGCTTCAGTTCATGGGAATGGATAAAATGCAATCACGTTTGAGCACCATCACTTGCAAGTGGCACGCACGGGTGCCACGGGTGCCACTCACCAGAAGGCAACCTCGCCAAACCCGTGAAGTAGAACTCCAGTATCGATTCAACATAGTCTACTTCACCTGAGGCAGCCCAAATAAGACCGGATTTTTGGCTTTCTGGACCAAGAGATGCACGCGCCTTTTACAATCCTTCATTTCACATTGCCCTCAAGACCAGCCTCAACGAGTTTCCTTTTTCAACTCTTTCTGTGGCAATGTTATCGGACAGCACGTTCAACCAGCAATTTCTCCTCACAGCCAATTCCACCATCCCATCATTGCACCATTGCAAATCCGCAGGTTCAAAATTGTGGAGCGTGATGGAGGAGTGCAATCAAGGTTCGCAACTCCAAGAACTAACACTCGTATGAATTGAAAATATTGACGGAAATGTTAGTGATCGAAATAGAGTGTCTCATATGCCACGAATGCCTGGTCCATGACCCTAATCCTCAGAAAGATGATGGTCAGCGAGGTATCGATCTTCCATTTGAACGATCCGAAGCATGCTCAAGCTGCAAAAATTGGACACATACCTATTGCCTCTCGCTTTGGTTCGATAAAGGGTATCTCGCAGAGAGATGTCCTCATTGCAAAGTTCAAGTCACACTCTACTTTGCTCTCGAAGTGATCAGATCTGGCAAGGGCGATGCAGCTGCTGAGGAATGGAAGGAGTATAAGGAGTCAGAGGCTGACTGGGAACGTTGTAATCGTCAAATTGCAAAATACTCCCAATATGCATCTGGGTACAATTCACCACCTGACGCTGCATATGGTCACGAGGTGGAGGTTGACTCCGACGGCAAGAGAGAGTCCGAGGACGAAGTCGAATCTGATGGCGAAGCTGGTGCTCATTTCGGCCCGGAAAACGAGCCAGAGTCAGAGACCGATACACTGTCAATTCGTTGATGAACCGCAAGCACAACCTGCACCTGATGCAGATCAGGATAGTGACTAGGAAAAGATGGGCTTACTACTTGGTACGCAAAGCACCGGTCTCCGCAAATGTTCGAGGCTGTCAGTCCTTTACATTGTCTGGGCCTACATGCAGCAGGTATCAATGGTTGCGAAGTTGTCATCCCATAACACTAGCCGAGGCCTCTTCAACCACCAATCAACCCTGATATGGTTTCTTAAACAACTCCTGATAGATTGCCTTGCCAATTCCGATACCACTTGCAGGATTTTGACCCGTCACGAACACTCGACCTTCGGAATCTGAACTGACCACAACATGTCCTCCGAAGGGTTCAACCGCCTTTTCAAATTTGGCTCCAGCTTTGACCAATTCGCCTTCCACGCTGAATGGCTCTTCAATGCTGGAGGCCAAGATACCAACCTCCCTGTCACTGATTCCTGTCACTCGGTGTCCTTCTAAAATGCTCTTGGTTGTGCCCGGGATGGTTCGGTGAGCGAAAACAGCAGCACCATGACAAATACCACAAATGATTTTCTTTGAGCGATAAAACTCGTCAACAAAAGCTATTGTGGCTTCCGAATCAATAACATCGAACGTCGCTGGGGTGAGTGTCAGCAGCTAATCTCGTCCAACCCTGAAATCTTGAGGCTTACGTCCATATCCGCCCACGTAGAAAAGAACATCGAATTCCTTAGCTCTTGGAACAAGATCCTCCAGCTTGGGAGTGTTCTTCCAGATACCCTCCTTCTCTCTTACGAATCGAGCACACATTTCATCGTCCTTGAAGGCTGCGACTGAAGATTGGTCCAGAGGGCTTTCTCCTCCCAGGTGAGAAGCGACTGTGATCTCAGTATATGGAGCAAGAATCTCATATGGATAGACAAGCTCGGGCTGTTTGACGATGTTAGCAGGTTACGCAAAGGAAAGCAATCCTTGACAGCTTTTTCTGCTCGGCAGTCTTCAAGGACTCGGTACTTACCAGATACCACCCGTGTTCGTTCGAAGTGAGCACCATGAGCACCTTTGGCTTTGTTGACGACATCGTAGACCTAATAATGAATACTGTTGTTCCTTTGTCTTAGTGACTCTCCGGATTCCCCTCTCAGAGTGATGTGACTTTACAATTTAGATTAGAGGATGTCGACGGAATCGTTCGTATTTATACCATTGCGACACCTCCTAACGTGTCGGAGATACTAATATCCTGTTTAGACATTTCCATATAGTTGGCCTCCATAGCTGCACTATCTCCGCAAAAGGGCAGCTTCATCTCCAGATATGATATTGCAAAATCCGCTTTGCAGGAGGATGACTAAATGGCCCATACTGACAAGAGGCTTATCCCGAGCATCTGATATCGGCAACCCCTGTCCTGGGATTAGCGTTGACGGGATAGAGTTTATTCCGGATCTTGGCCTTGGCTAAATTGCGGAACTAATCTGTAAACAGTAAGGCTGGGGCGTCTGGAACGGCTACTGTAATACCGCGATATCAAGCCCTCAGTCATCAGTCCAGAGTAAATGTTAAGTGTTTTGGTGGACTTGACCATTTCGATCAACGACTGGCCTTATGGCGGGCCTCGCACTCTGTTTTAGATTGCGATCAATCTGACCATGCCAACTTTCGATCAATTGCAATCCTTCTACCTCGTGCTTTCATGCCTTCGATACTTCTGACGTGCTGGGGGGGCAAAGTTTTAGAGGAGCCTGTCTGATTGTCTGGTAGGTACCAAGACCCTTATTCTGCCGTCAATGCCAAGCTTCACCCCCATCACCAATCCAGGTGGCCATTCAAATCAAACGCCAGCAACGGCTGACACAGATCACAATGAATCCTGCAACGGTGTTATGCTCTCCTGACTCGTGTTTTCGGCTTGCCTGAGTCTATGATCATCATCAGCCTCATGCATTTCTGTGGTGCTTCTTTTTGAAGGGACTCTTCTCCTTTCCTCCTGACGGACTAGGATGATACTTGCAGCCCAAGGTGAGTGGCCCGTTCCCCTCCCCCCGGTCCCTTCTCGATCAGTACATGTCGAGAGTTTAAAGGCTCCTAGGTCTGGTTCTACGACCGTGAACTCGAATTCCAGCGTGTTGGAATTGAGGCTCCAGCCTGAGGGAGTCTTCATGGACACAACATGGCATTCAAGGCAGACTTACATCACAGGCTTGAGCACCTACCTCGAGAGAACATCGGACTGTCAGCCTGACTTGTCGACAATGAGCAACTCCCAAAATTCGTGTCTGCGTACATATACGAGTTCGACACCTACAGGCTTTCAGCTGTGGCTTTCAGCCTGCAGGATCAAGATTTGAAGGACTGAGAGGGGTTCATGGCTAATTCCAAGATTTCGGAAGGGCAACTCTTCCTCAACCTTGGGCAAAGTACTTAAATTGACGCCTTCCTCTCCTCCATGCAAAGTCTTGCACTCTCTTCTTGTCTCTTTGCATTTCTACTCAACCAGTTGGACGTGCAACTCCCGGACGGCCCATTCACTCCGCGCAACACCATCACCTACCCCACGCTACAATGTCGTATCAAGCAAACCATTCTCAACCCAACATGGGAGAATCGATCCTGCCAGCTTCAAGGCCATTCAGCAAGTGGTGGCCCATTGGATTTGCCATTGCCTCCGTCGTGCTCTACGCTGTTGGAGGCGGCCTCTATGGTTCATCCTGTGCCACCGATGGCTACTACTACTACTGTAGCTACGGCCTGTGGAGTGGAGGGATCGCAATGCTCTCCCTAGGAGGCATCACATCAACCATTGCTATCATTCTTCTCATCATTTATCTGGTTCGACGTCGCACTCCCACCCAGTGCAGTTCCGCATCACGCCTCAATTATCAAGACCAGTTTGCTCCACCGCCGCCTGTCAATATCCAAACTCCAGGTCCAGCCTACGGGCGATCTCGGCCGACAAAGCCGGAGGCAGATATTCGGGAACTCTCACACCACCAGCCTGCCACGGGAGGTAAATATTGTGGCCGTTGTGGAAGTAGCGTCCAGACTCCCTTCTGCCCCAAGTGTGGTGCTCAGGTTTAGGTGGCGTGGAATCCACAGATCTCGCGACAAGACTTGTTACCATGAAAAAATGCGAGAGCACACAAGTCTCGCTGTGTATCAGGCTTAGGAAAAGCAGTTGAGGTTCATATGAGATTCGCTTTTGTAATCAATTTTCTACAACCAGCCATTGGATAATCTTTCTGAAGGGTGCTCTGCGCAAATTCGAAGGTATGAGCAAGGACAGCTCCCTATGACCATTTCGGTAGCTATTCGATCACTGTCGTCCGTGAGTGAAATGTCCACTAGATACTTGCCTCGCTCATGTCGCTATTGCATGGCAGAGAACGCGATGTCCAAGTCGACACGAACAACCTTCACAAACGAGTGGACTTCTAAGTATGAAGTACAAGCACGCAATTATGCGAGACCAGTTTGACTAAGTGTTGAATTTGCCAATGCACTTCTGTTTACAACCACATTCCTCGACTTTATGGTTTAGCCAAATCCCCAAGTCCAAAATTTGGAGAAATCCCATGGTTGCACTGCAGCCTGTCTCGTATTCATCCTTTGAAAAATGTGACTATGGGGGCAGTGCCCGCAACATTTATTGGCATTGTCTTTGGTTATCTCATTGCGATCTGGAATGATGGTGCTGGCTGGTTCGGCTACTTGGGGGCTGAGTAAGCCACAAGAGAACACCAACAAAATGCCACGCCTGTGTACCTCCCTACAAGGCAGCCTTGCCCCTAGGCAGCGTGGCAGCTTTCAACATCTATAATTATAGCAGTATAACACAACAACATCTGAGGGCGGTTACTTCACATTATAAATTTTCCAGTGTACCAACATCCTGCTGGAGGAGTCTACCGGCAGACAAAAGACCTAGGAAATAACATGCCCACAATCCTCGGCGACAAAGCATTTGCATTCCTGCTATGCAACTTCAAAGACTCTTCAAATCCCAAGCCATTCTCGCTGGCCCAAGCACAGGCAGGATTGACCACGATCCGCCAATTTTGGTCGGAGACATCGTATGGTGCGTGCTCGCTAGCCGGCACAACGCTCAACGACTGGATCACTCTACCTATAACAAAGAGCGACTTCATAGCAACCTACAGGACTAGATCGGGCATGATACAATATGCCAAGGACAAGTCTGGGATCGACCAATCCAAGTACGTTGGGTTCATCGTCATCTTCTCCGACGGGGTGGGCACCGCGTGGACGCAAGGCAACGGCGCCATCTTCGAGCCGACTATTCTCCGCACAGCACTCATCTGCCACGAGATGACCCATATTCTGGGCGAGCCCACACACTCGTTCGACCTCACCACACGCCAAACCGCCGACTGGTCTGCTCCCGGAGAATACTGGGACCAGACCGACCTCATGAGCGCAGGCAATTGCTGGTCCACGCCCACGAGTGCGACTGACCCCTTCGCTGGCCACGGGCCACAGCACTGCATGATGTGGAAAGCTCAATTTGGATGGCTACGTGGAGGCCGCGCTTTCCGGATTGCAAACTCTGACCTTGAGAGACCCTATAACCTTAACGTGCGGCTGTTGAAGCGCCAGCAGCCAGTGCCGGACTCGGATGGTGGCTATAAGGCCATTTTCTTCCGGGACATGTCAATCGAATTTGCGACGCAGGACGGCTTCGATGCGGGGCTCCAAGGGTCTGGTGTCCTCATCCACCAGCGTTCCCAGACCGGTGGTCAGCCGTACGTGCTTGTGCCTGACGTGACGGGCAACCCAGACCAGAAATTCTGGTGGACCGGGGACGTGTGCGTGCGAGAGGCGGTGGGCGTTGATGCTGGCGACAACTATTATATCTGGGTGCGTGAGATTAACTTAAGTGATGGGTACGCCATGATCAACGTTGCCAACGGCGTGGTGCCGCCGTTTGCACGTGTCCAGATTCGTGCTGTTCGCGAGGGCTATAGCCGGCAGCTGCGGCATACCTATATCGACTCACTTGGAGTCTCGGATCCCAGTGCACCGAATGGGCTAGCGGCCATTCCGCGCATCACCGTTGTGGATTGGATTGAAAACGGTCGCAATACGTTCTTTGTGCAGGGTGTGGACGGTGTGACGGCCGAGGTGGTGGTCGAGCAGCATTGGATCAGGACTGTGTCGGATGGATCAACGGCGAATAACTTATATTCTCTGCCCACCTTTTGATCGCTTTAGTTGCGCATGGTGTGGCTTTACGAGAGCGTTTGTTAAATTATGATCAGGTGCCGGATAATCTGGGGCTGTTTATTACTCGCTTTCAAGTAGACTGGTTGGCTGGCTGCTCCTGTAGAGCAGATATAGACTTGGGGGAGATATGGAATAGACACAGTATCATAGATCGAAGAATCATGTCCCAACAAGACTGAATTCGCGCGAGCCCAAACGCATTGAACGACGAGCTGTTGCACACATGCCCCCTGGTCTTCCGGGGAGAGACAGACCGAAGAATGATACGCGAGACAGACCGCGTCTCGCATTTGGTGAGGATGTAAACGCAATCCAGCATGATAACATACACTAACAGCGTCCGCTTGCCCTCGTCAATCCATGATACATGCAATCGATTGAGGTTCTCCCTATTATTCCAGTGGCTTTATGGCGTGCCCCGAAGTTGCGGGAGTTAATGACCACGATTTTGAGCATGTGATCAGAATTATCCTCAATGATTTGATCTGCCTCTAGCAAAATATCACAAAAAGTCAGCCGGTAACACCTTCTCGGGCAACGCGCAGGCTCAGCTCTTGACTAGCTAGGCTAATGAAGGAAGATCCCTATTTTGGACACTGTCTCATCGAGTGCTTGTGAATGCGGTGAATTAGTGGCCTGCTGCTGCTCGACCAATAGAGGTTCCAACAGCGGCGAATAAAAGATGCCTTGCAGAAAGTCGGTCATGATATGTGACTACTTGTCCAACCTCTGGATGCTATGCATGCTTGTAATAGGAGGGTCGGCGAATGTTAAGGAGACGTGGCTCTCAATGAGCAACTTATGACGGCGTCATTCTTATTGTTGTTCCATCTAGAAAAGGGCGAGAAGATAGGTATTTGTTGGGTATCTGAGAATGGCGACTCAGGCGAGTCACTTGAAAACGATTGAGATCTCTGTCTCTTTCCTCTCTATGTCTCTCTTCTAGTTTATTATCACCCTGCAACTGAACAATAGGAATGTTATCGGTGCATAGTGGCTGATGCATGTTTTAGAAGTAAACGTTAAGGTCTTATCCGTCATAAAAGTCCAAAATAGCTCACGAAGTTGATTCAACATCAGATCTGAGGCGCCGAAACATTGTGCTCATGTCCAGCCTGCTCGGTCGTATCTGTGAACGACGATTCCATATGGCGTCCGGTGCGATTCACTTGTTTGAAGCATCTTAGAACGTAAGCAGTAGGCTTATTCATATCGTTGCCACTAATGTAGTCCGGAAAGCAGCTTGAGAGCGGAGACTTTGGCTAATTTACTCTCAAAACGGGCGATGTTGTTTAGGAGCAGTGTGATTCCAGGAAATCCGTGCGAGTCAGTGTTGAATATAGAGTCGAAAAGGGCCAAAGTCTTTATCATGTTGTTCTGCGGTGGCCATTCTTCGAGGCAAACTTGGTCGTAACAGGTTAAGTTAACGACCAAGACAACGAGTTCGACTTTTCCAAAGCGGTGAATCCACTCCCGACTTTCACACTGCCCGGTAATATCGAAGAGGTGTACGCTCATTCTGTCTGCGAAGTCCGGTGTTCCGTCTGCTATTTGCAGCTCTGAGACAAGAATTTCAATTTTGCCTGGCAAATCGAGCAAGAACGCAACGAAACATCCAGATCCATGACCAGCTGGTGGTGCAGATCACTAATACCTTCATCTACCTACTCCCTGATTTTCCTTAAAGGCTTCCTAGAGAGCCGTAAGCTGGACGGTAGGGCTGAGAAAGGTAAGATCTGCCTCTTTCCATTGATTTCGGAGATCGCAAATAGCACTTATGGACTTGTTGGCGACATCGATGATGTTGGTAAGCGCACCCAATGTCCCAATGATCTATATATGGTCTGTCATTTCTGAAGCGCCCTCAGACAATGGGCGAGATCATGCACAGCAACGGTAGCTTGCTACTCGTACAGCCTGCCTGAAGGAATTTGGCAATTTGCTGACTCTGGCCGAAGCGACCATTGGGATCGGATTGATGAGTTCGTTGATCTGATACAAGCAACCACTCGAACATTAATATGTCCTACAAGTGATAGACTTATTAAGTTGGAAGGAATCCTCATCCTTGCGAGGTGAAAACGTGGATTTAGAACCACGAACCGCCCCATTCAACTGAAGGGCTATTTGGAACTAGTACGGATCTGTCTTCGTGGGCAATTGGCCAAGGAGAAGATGCAAGGATCGAAATTCTCAGGCAGCAGAGCAGGCTGGGCCACAGGAACAAGGGGCCGCAGCGTGGGTCGTACCGACGCTCTCTGAAATTTCACACCGCTCCTGCAGTCGACGACAATAACTAACCTTGAGAGTGTCTGCCTTGACGTTTCCAGTCCCGGTGAGTGACGACGCGGGTTATGGGGTCCCTCGATATTGAGAATGCTTTTGTTAGCGCTGTCGTCGAGAGGCTCAGCGTAGCGGTGAGTGCGCCGCTACTCAGAAAAGACTCTCCAAAGGTCTTTCCCCACGATGTACGGAGTACTGGCATGAGAGAGCAACGGGATCCATGGATCTACTCGATTTCGGTACGAGGGAGTTAGTCGGCAGATAGGTATAAATCTAGCTTATCTGCTACCCCGCCGAGTTCAGGTTGCCAAGTCTAGATAAGTGGGAGCAAGTGGGAAGACCCGAGGGCCATTCCTTTCCTTCGCACCATGCCATCTCCCACCGCAACGTTCCGAGGCCACGATCCATTTATTCTTGGGGCCGTCCCAATTCAATCTTGACGATCACACGAGGCTTGATATAAGATGGATGCCCTTCGATCGGCGTTGTCTGCCGGCCTTTCAATCGCGGTGCTTCTAGTTGCCGTGACGGCGGCCGTAGCCTATTGCCTCGCTATTGCGACCTATCGTCTCTTCTTTCATCCAATAGCCCACTTCCCGGGTCCCAAACTTGCTGGTTTGACGAGATGGTACGAGTTTTACTACGAATTGATCCAGAAGGGTCAAATGACCTTTCACATTCAAGACCTCCATAAGAAGTACGGTGAGTTGTGCCACAGGATGAGGACTCAGGATGCGTTGACCGGCAAGATGACTGAATATAGGACCTATTGTCCGCGTAACGCCAAATGAATTGCACATTCAGGATTCCGACTACTACGAGGAACTCTATGTGAAATCCGGAAAGCTGGATAAGTACCCGCCGTTCGCGGCGAGGTTCGGCAGTGACGACACCTTCTTCAATGCGACATTGCATGAAGACCATCGTCGTCTCCGCAGCGCCGTGTCGCCTTACTTCTCCAAGCGGAAGATCACAGACTTCCAGCCCGTGGTCAAGGCGAAATTAAAGAAATTGTGCGCCAAAATCGAAGGCTACGCTAAGACTGGTAGCGTTCTCCCGCTTCACCGGGCATGGACAGCGTATGCCGGAGACATTATTACAGAATTCTGCTTCGCAAAATCCTATGATCACCTTGAGTCCCCTGACTTCAAGGAGACTTTTCATGAACCGATGCATGCAGTCTGCCAATCTTCCACCGTACTGATGCAATTTCCGTGGTTATGGCCGATTATGAATAGCTTACCAGAATGGCTAGTGATTCGCCTTGAGCCTACCATGTATATGCATATCCAAGTACAACACGTAAGTCACGAGTGGTGATTGTTGAACGCAAGCCCTTACTCATCGACTAGGATTTTGAACGTACAATCACGGCGTTAAAAGACAATTATGATGAATCATACAAGACCATCGATCACCCAACATTATTCCACGAGCTATTGCATAGCGATCTCACAGAAGAGGAGAAATCCGTAAAGCGCATGGTGCAGGAAGCTCAAGTAATTGTCTCAGCAGCTATTCTGACTAGCTCTTGGGCAGCTGCGATAGCCAGTTTCCACATCACTAATAAGCCCGAAATCTTCAGAAAGCTACGAGCGGAGCTGGTAGAAGCCATTCCAGACCCGTTGAGCATGCTCGACTGGCAAAATCTTGAGCACCTCCCTTATTTGACAGGGTGTATTAAAGAAGGGATTCGACTTGCCTACGGCATTTCATCACGGTTGCCACGCACGGCTCGACATGACTTGAAGTATAAAGGCTGGTTAATTCCCGCAGGCACTCCTGTTTCATTGACAATTGTTGATATGAATCACGATGAGCAAGTGTTTCCTCAATCTCACGAGTTCATACCGGAAAGATGGCTGAACAATCCTACCACAAAGGATGGCCAGCCCTTGGAGCGATACTTTGTTGGGTTCGGCAAGGGCGCGAGGCAATGCATTGGGTTAAAGTACGTATTTTTGTGTCCTCGACGACCTCGTGTAACAGCCGCTCATAAAGTCACAGTCTTGCTCAAGCAGAATTGTACATGGGCCTTGCTACTATTTTCAGGCGGTTTTCTTTCGAATTGTACGAGACCGATATTTCTGATACCGTCCTTGCACATGACTATTTTGCACCGACAGTGAAACTGGATTCGCAAGGCATCCGTGTCAAAGTGAAATCGGTGGAAAGGTAGACGAAAACACCGTAGCCTCACCGCTTGGCCCTACTCTTGAATCCTGAATCTTGAATGGTTCTGCACCTCTACCGTCAACACAAATTGCAATATGCCATAATGAATGGGCAGAGAACATGTGCCGCCTCCCCTCACAGTCGATGCGAGCGTTGATGAAACTTATGGAGTGTTAGCGGGTGTCAATAATTCCATCATGCTTTACTTTGATCTAGGAATAAAATGTTTGATCGCGACCTTAATCAGCCTGTTTTCTCTCGTGTTCAGCCCCCACGCCAGGTCCTCCAGCAAAACCAGCCTTGGAAGTCAAAATGTTCACATGCTACCACAACAACACCTTATACAACTGCTCAATACACTAAGAGGTGATAGTGTTCGGCTTTCTCGCCCAGATAAAATGGTAGGCCACATATAAATGCAATTTTCTGTAATTCGCGAACTCCCTTTTGACTCCTTCCATGAGGACCTGTATTTGCTCCGGCGATTGACCCAGCATCCGAGCAAAGGTTGCTGGTGTGAAGGAATTCACAGCCTCAGTCATATTGCGCAGCTGGTATCTTCCCATCTCTTTGAGCTTTGGATTCTTGGCCCAAGGCCCTATTGGCACCTGTATGTATCAAGCCATTAGTATGATAACCGGCTGATAGCTGGGCAATGGATCTGAACTGCCTCGGCCTGGTTCATTTGTGAAGACGAACCTTATGGATGACTTCCTGAACATCTTCAAACCCTGCATCTCGGATCCAACCGACATGCTGCTCCGCGACGTTCCATCTCTTACCAAAAGCCAAACTCGCACGATCTAGTTGTTCGTTCCATTCGTTGGTCCAGACTGCGTCCTTCACAGTCCCATCGTCGGATTTGACCCAAGATTCATGCTCCTGCATCTCTAACCAGCCTCCAGGCTCCAAATTCTGCAACGCCTCCCTGTAAAACTTCGGCCAGTCGGCGATGCCACCACACAACGCTCGACCGTGGATATAGTCAAACTTATGTTCAAAATCCCATGTCCCCTCTGCGTCGTCCACGTAGAATTTACAGTTTGGTGGTACCCACGACGGCTGGATCGGGCTGAGGTCTGTTCCGATAACTATAGCAGAAGGGAAGTCGTCTGCCATTTGAATGGCCCCTTAAGCATGTAGAAATCCTTGGTGAGAATTGTTCATCATCCTATTGGGTAAGAGTTACAGTGAAGCGTTGGATATGCTCTCTCCAAATTTAGAGATTCAGAACATAATTGAGGTAACTTCTCATTCCCCCTCCCGAGCTCGAAGAAATTGATACTTACAGAGTCCGGTACCTGTACCGATGTCAAGAATCCGGTGCACGTTTTTAGATATTGGCGCAAGGAACAGTGCTCCATTGATCATCATTCGGAAGATGTGATGCATGAGATCCAGTCTCTCTTGCTCGACTTCGTCGTTTGGCACCATGTATGAGCCATCATGGTAGCCGTGATACCTCCTAGTTGTTAGAATATCATACAATCATAACTTTCTTACCAGGTTCTACTCTACCGTCTCCCATCTTCGTATCGGTAGTTCAGAACGGATGACGCAAGCGAGGCACTGTAAGTGGAAGCGTTATCGCCTAAAGCAGAATCTGCCTCATCGTGAATCTGCACGCCATTTAATTATTAGGATTACGCCTGAGCTTCCTAGTGCTGGAATTCATGGGGCCACCTAACAGCATCATCGTCATCTGCGACCAATTGTCCCTGGGCGATCGGCGAAGGAGCTTGCGCTGGTGATGAACCTTGGGGCGCCGGTCCCAGGGATGTGGATCCTGGTGTATCTGACATATTCAGTTTTTCACAACCCTTTGTGTCATGGAGAGTGGAGAGTTTAGGAAGGGGAATCCTTGAGGCGGTCTGCTACACCGCCAAGATCATGAGGGGTTGATAACGCGGGGGACGAGGTTGGCGCCGGAGAGACCCGTCACACCACTTACAAGTTACAGGTCTGCACCAATAAGCAAGGCGCTACAGGCCCAGTTACGGGCATGGTAGGGATTGTCCTTTTAGGCTTTACGCGGCGGCGGCGTGCCGAGGAGCCTGTTCCAGTTGTTCCTGACCGCCAAACTCGCTACTAGTATGGAATGCAAGATGGGCTTCTGCCATCTTCGACCTCCTCACGCTGTCAGAACTCATGTCCTCGACTCGAGTCTTGCGGTAGAAAGTACCGCATACCAAGCACACATTTCATCTGAGGAGAGCTGGCCGGTCTACTCGCCGAATCTTGTAGCTGATGGCTCACAGGTTGGTGACCCAGGGGTTGGTGACCCAGGGGTTGGTGACCCAGGGGTTGGTGACCCAGGGGTTGGTGATCGAGAGCGGCTCTAACGCTTTTTTTTTTACAACACCATTGACCCTTCAAGCAAGCCAAGGCAATTGTCTCGAATCAGCGAGTCTCTATAGGTTTCCGGAAGCCACAGCCCCCTCTTTCCCAAGGCTCCTCGAGCGTTCAATGGTTGGGCCAATACTTGCAAATTTGACCGCATTAATTGGACTGATCCCTTTTACGAGAACAGTGATTTTTTCTTGCATGGCTTGAAGTCTTGGGAGTAAAGCTCATTGGCTTGCCGTAGCAGATTATTCCGGTTGCAATCCAATAATATGGCTAGCAGGGCTAGGTTACGTTGTTGTCCAGAAAGGCCTTGAGTCTTCGTTATTTCTGATATCTCAAACGAACCTGATGATGCTGAATCACTCTGTCGATACATGTTGTTCTCCAACGAGTTTGACACACGCAGCTAGATGGCGTGCACATTCACATGGATGATAAAGGCGGTGCATCCCGAAGACGTGGAGACGATTGTCAGAGCTTACGGCGAGGTTGTCGACAATCTGTACGGCCATGTACATCCTGGAAATCAGTATACCGGAGCAGACTATTTTTTAAAGCTCATTAAGACGGGTCCAACCTTGTATGGCAAAGCTGCTTTGGAGCCCGGGGTGCCTCTCAGTAGCGGTGCTGCCCTTTTGATCGAACAGGTCGACCAATCCCTGGAACCCTTATGGGTCTTATGTTGGGTTGGGATAAACGTTCTTGCATAAGCGCTTCAACATACTCAGCAAATGCGATCTCAGGTGGAAGGGAAGGCGTTCCGTTCTAAACTCAGAGTATACACCACCTCGGATCAGGATGATACCAGCTTATGGATCAGATTAACGTTTCCCGATTTCTTCTACATCTGTTCCGTGCATGGCTGGAACCAGTATAGTATGTCGACATGGATCGGGATTTCAGGAGACGAGGTCGCGAAGGTTGATGAAGGAGGGTCTGACTTCACGAAATTTTCTAAAGGGTGGCTAATGCAACACATTCAAATTAGCCCACTAGGACGAGTCTATCCGGATTTTATGTACATTATGGAGTGCGATACGCCGACTTTCCTATATTTAATTCAGCATGGGCTTGGCTCACCTGAATATCCAGAATGGGGAGGCTGGGGAGGTCGATACAGGGCTGTCGATCTAGGGGGTGCGAGCCGGCATTTGAGCGATGCTTGTGATAAAGTGGTTGGTCTCAACGGCAAAACATTCACCACAAACAAAGGAACTATCTAGCGCTGGCGTAATGAGTACCAAGACTCCTTTGCCGCAAGAGTGCAATGGAAATTGACTAATGATGCTTCGCAAGCCAATCATGCACCCATCGCCATCGTAATGGTTCTTCGCCGGAGCCTGAGCCACTGGTGCTGGAAGCTGAAGCAGGGACGGATCTGATGCTCGATGCCTCACAAAGTTATGACTCCAACGGAGATGAATTGGGCTTCCGCTGGTTCCAGAACAGAGATATCCCCTCAACATCTGGTCAGATGGCAGCAGCAATGTAGAAGCAGCCTATTTCCTTCGAGAATGCGGATCTTGAGAATCCAGGGAGAAAGGTCACGGCCCAACATCCACGTGCACAAAATGTGCCGTCGACATGCTTACCGACAAAGCGATGCGGAAGGGGCAGATGCTGCATTTCATTCTTGATGTCAAGGACAATGGAACTCCACAACTGACTACGTACAAACGTGTCGTAGTTCAAACGACCGACTTGAGTTTGAAGGGCCAGGGACATAAGGCAACAGAGACACTCACTCATGCGCTGGGATTGAGAACCGCGGACCACTATTAAGGGAGAGAATATGATAGGAGTATACGGCCATACGATGAGAGTACCTAGCGATCCCAGGTTTCTGGCCTTTGTAATGTGGTAGCGTCTCGCTCCAACGCTAGCATCTTCAGAGAGAATCTGTTGCGTTAGAATTTGGAGATACTATATAGAGAGCAGCTGATGGCGCTCAATCGAGTTCTGATCGACATCTGTTTCCTCGATACGAGTCCGCGGTGAGGGACTACTCTGTGTAATCGAAGCATCCCGCATGGGTCCAGGGAATTGATATTTCTAATCGGTCTTCCAAAATATGCCTGCGAGTCCCCCTATTCAATTAAATATGGCCCATAGCTATCGCCAAGTATAAACCTTCCTCGAAGGGTCGGGTTTCCCCTACCTCGATCCAATCTCTAAAACTAGCTTCGGCATTTTCCTCGCAAACATGGTCAGCGAGCTCCCAAAGTTATCGGCCTGGTCGGACATGTGGAAGACTCGGCATGTCCTTTCATGGTGTAAGTCTAGAGCGATGTGCTGCAATGATTCTTTGATCTAAGCTGACTCAGGCTTGCTTATCTATGTCCTACCTATCAATATGGGCTACGAGATCTCGATGGTGGGAAACCTACTGGCGGTTCTAATCTTGTTGTATAAATTTGGACGAGAGACATCATCCAGAGTTCTTGATATTAGCGCTCACGATCAGCAGGTGTTCAATGCTGCTTCCAGTGTTAGACTCTTCGCCTCTGCATTTGGCACTGGCATCCTGTCGGATTGGCTCGGTCGCAAGAAGGTTGTTCTCCTCGCATGTCGAATTTGCGTGGCTGGGATCCTCGTACAAGGGGTTCTGCACCAGTATTCAGATGCTGTTTGCTGGTAAGCTCGTTGGCACCTTCGGATTCAGCCTTGGTCACTCCCTTGGACCTGTGTTTGTTACAGCAATTGCGCCCCCTAGTTTCGAGGAACCCTATCTTCTCTAGTGGTATGTTTATTTACGTAGGGAAGATACAACTTATGGACTATACTCGCTGTTATCTAGAATACCATGATCGTCATTGGCCAACGGAGCTGCGCACTCGCGGTGTATGGAGGCTCGTTCCGACGACTGTGCCTGGCGCATTCCTATCTTCAGTCAACTCATTCCACCAGCCTTACTGTTTGACAAAGAACAGGCACTATTTCACCCTTGCTGGTGTTAATAATCCAATTGGTATTGCTCAAGCCGCTTGTTCAATCCAGCTGTTTGGAAAAATCTCTGCTCATGGCCTCTGATTGTTCGCTTTGGACGAAGACTCCTCGTCGTCTATGGAACGAGTGTGATGTGCGCAACGCTTCTTGTCGCTGGTGGTATAAGTACCGTCAAAAACGACTTTGCGACCAAAGTAACTGTCGCTCTTATGACTCTGTGGGGTTTTTTGGTCAGTCGATTCCAATATAGTTTGTGCCCATGCCCAAGCTGACCGTTAACCTTGTCCGAAGTATCAAGCAAGCTAAGGGCCTGCGGCACATTCAGTTGGTGACGAAATACCTTCTTCTCGCCTTCGCCAAAAGCCCTACTCGATCAGCTTCATGAGTGCAATTGTCGTCTCTACTGCCGTTCTCCAAGTGGTGCCATATCTGTTTAACCCTGGCAACGCTAATTTAGGCGGCAGGATCACTTTCGTTTTCTTCGATCTTTCTGTGCCTGTGTGCATATATCTCTAACTTTGTTTCCCAGAGATGAAAGGAAGGACCTACCTGGAACCCGAGGAAACGTTCCAGGCTCGCCTCCCTGGTCGCCAGTTCAGAAAACATGTTTGTACTGACAATCTGCGACTTGAGCAATCTCTTAAGGCGGATACCTCGGTCGATGAGGTTGTCGATATTGAGAAGACTAAGGGGAGGTCACCCATACAGAACGTCAAAGCCAGAACGAGGTCAAGACCGTAGGAGTGTGCAACAGTCGGTGCCATGAGTCAAGGATATCCAAATTGGCCGAAAATTGTCCGTCTTGTCGTGGCACATTAAGCTTTTAGATTGGAAAAGATACGCTCCTGATCGTCGAGAACAGTTTGGCCTTGTTTCGGTGTCCTTACTAGACTTTTGGAATATTGCTTTTATAGAAGTGGCTGGGCCCAGCACGGTTGTTGGTATTTAGTATTGAGGCTCATTGAGAGGCAGAGGTGTTTCTCATCAATACATAGGCGGCGATTGACCACAATTATGATGCCGCCCAGGAAGAGCTGCGGAAAGCCGACGAGCGAGTCACCAAGAACTTGCTGCTTTTTAGAACAGGTTGCTTATTGCTCTACAACGCACATTGGCTCCGCGTAAGAGACACTGCGATTCCGACACAATAAGCATTGGCGCCCTCTTCTCAAAGACCAACATTGTATCAGCCGATAGCTAATACTCCCACAGTAATAAAATATGTGTAACACTGAAGCCCATGCTTCCAGAACCGAAACAGTAGTGAGAAGGAATATCATGAAATAGAAAACACGCATACCCCAAACAAATCCGGTAGACACAGTATCGCCAGGCTATCAATGGTGAATCCGCAAGCCTATACCATATCAATATTTCTTATTCACCACTGTCAGAACCCCGAGCCTAGACAGCTGGAGGGGCGGAGGCAACTAGGTAGTTGAAAGTAAATGTTAGCGACTTGTCCATCAAAGACTACTTGGTGGAGAAACCTAAGAGAGATATGAGGAATTAAACTACGCTCGACAATAGCCAGTCCGAACAAGGCTGACTTATCGTCCAAGCTCGTCTCCTTATCGGCGTTGGTGATCAGCGCATACGTCTGGCCTATGGCGATCGATGGGATCGTGACGATGATGCTCGACCCGCTAATCTTGCCCTGCACACTGATGACGTTAAGACCTGAGATGAAAGTCACGTACGACCTGGCGGGGATCGGGCCGGAGGCAGTATTGATCAATACTCTCAAGGCAAAGGAGAGTTGAATGCTGAAGGAGAGACTGAATGCTGTGCTGTATTCATTCCTGTTGAAGGAGTTTGCTGCCACTTGTATAATTCGACTGTCTAAGTATCAGCTCGTTCCTGCACTGTTCTGGTTGCCATGCTTTGATTTAGATTTTAGCCTTCCAATACGTCTGTGGTCCCACTGGTTCATTATTGGCATGACAGGTCTGAACTTCAACACTACCCTCCGGATACAGAACTCTCCGTCAATGGTTCGACCTAGCAGTCTACCGAGTAGACTGAAGCTTGGCCGATCCTGGAGCTTGAATTTACCTGGCACACGCCTTGAGATCCCGACAGATATGCGCACAAGATTTCCAAGCCTGCGCAGGAATGCTGGTAGGGCAGTGACTTCAGATCTGGACTGATAGCCTTGAAGGCTGCTTGATGACTATGATGGAAACAGCAACAGAACAAGATTGGGGACATCAACTTGGCCCAAGCTGCACAAAAGTCTGGAGAAGGTGTCAGTTATAACTTATGCCAGGCCAGACCAATTGGGTGAGAGAAGAGGACCCCATGGTGCCCAAATTACTGGTGCGGTAAGCGAGTATGTTAGGTTCCACGATCTCTGACGGCTGATCGCCCGCACGCACTACGATTGTTGACATTAACAGAAGTCATCGACGACTCCAGAATTGCCTCTTCCCCTGGATCCCTGATTTAGGGGAGAGAAAAACATTTCCTACACTTCAAGATCCCTGGGAGCCTGGAAGGAGTATTCTCATCCTGTAAAATCGCTGCGAGGTTGTCTCGACTCGAAATTGAAATTGAAATTGATACTGATATTGCATCCTGTGTGTAAGGCATCCCATTCGTTGGAAGTCAGTTCCTGCACCAAAAACCATCCAATCTGGCTTCTAAATATTCCTACCTTTGACTTTGCCCCTTCTGTGACCAATTTCTTCGTTATTGCCGTTCAAAGAATCTCCTTTGACATTGCAAATCCAGATGCGATAAGACGGGCGCGCATGCGCAAAGGGGGAGGTGGACGCTCTGAAGGCCCGAAACTTGGTGTATTATGGCAAGGTCACAAAGGCGATGGCAGTGCTGGAGCAGGTGGTCGGAATTCACAAGCCACGCTGGCGGAGGATCATCCTTGAGATGTGGGCTGCTCTGCGCGACCTATATATATGTACTCTTTGCCTTTGAGCCCCAGGCGTCTTGTATCTCCCGGAATCACGATAACGGATAACGATAAGAAAAGAACCTTGAAAACGTAGAAAGAGCGAATGTGATGGGAGGCCGAATGAGAGCGAGGTGGATGTGAGAAGAAGAGGGAGGTGTGAGCGAATGACTCAGGTCGCTCTCGCAAAAGCGGCGTCATGTTAGATGTTAGATGTAGCGCCAAGAACATGTGACTTCGATTTCATGGACTCCACCAAGGACCCCATCCCGCGCCAGATGCTCTCTCTACGACCACTCCAATTAGTCCGGTGTCTTTTTCCAGCGATGCAAGATGTTTGGGGCGCTAAATCGATTCATCTCAAGGCTAGACGCCGAGCCTGTCCCCCGTCAGACTGATGCCGGGCCTCAGGATTCGTCGTACGGCTTTCAAGTGCTCCGGAATGTAAACAAAGAACTACCTCTAGAGCCATGGTTTGACTTTGTTATTGGTATCAACGGACACTATCTTGTAAGGCACGGTGATCCACGCTCAGAAGAGACTGACTGACTCTGTAGGACTCGCCGGATCCCAATCTATTCGCGACCGAGATACGAAACTGCGCTGGCGGCCACTGCTCTCTTGACGTATGGAGCGCGAAGGTTGGGGCTAAAGGGAATGCTAAAGGAGGGACACAGCTGACACGAGTTCGCAGGGCCAAAGAACACATTCGCTCACTATCAGCGTCCCAAGTTCCTCGGAAAGCCTTGGTTTGAGCCTCCAACTCGCACCACTGAACTCCACCCAAAATATCTGGCATGTGCTCAACATTCCCTCCCCACTCTCCCCTGCTCACCAGGCCGGCCTTCTACCACACAGCGACTACATTCTGGGCTCGCCAAGCGGAACGCTAAAAGGAGAAGGAGCCTTAGGGGAATTGGTGGAAGACCATCTAAATCGAAGCTTGGTACTATGGGTTTACAACTCGGAGTTCGATGTGGTGAGAGAAGTTGAACTCGTTCCTGCAAGAGGATGGGGCGGAGAAGGGGCACTAGGCGCAGTCCTCGGGTTTGGTGCTCTGCATCGACTTCCTGTTGGTCTTGGGGAGGAGGTCCAGGCTCCGGGTGAGAATATGTTTGACGCAGATATGAAGAGTCTGGGGAATGGGCAACCTGACTACTCAGCAAATTCTTTTCAGCCGGCTCCTGCTCCTGTCCTGACACCACCACCCATGATCAACCCCAACATCGCACCTCCACCATTGATGAATCCGAATGCACCTCCACCTATCTCTTCAAACCCGCCAAGGGGAAGGAAAGCGAAACACCATGGTGCGCTAGCCGGCTTTGACGATATGTTTGCTGAAGGCGCGAAGAAGAGTGCCGAACAAGATCTTGTGCCATCAAGGAAGGGCACTCCTCTTGCACCGCCGCCAAGAGTCGGTTCTGCGGCTGTCTCACCCCACTCTGTGACGCAAGAGAAGCAAGATCCAGCAGATGACCTAGGTGAGCCTGGTGAGGCTGAAGAGAGTTGAAAGGCCTTCTCTTCCACTTGGAGTCCGAAAGGCGCCCTGCTGTCTGGATCGCGCACATCACTGCCGACTTAGGGCACTCTTGATCTAGTTACTCTGCCTAGTCGACCTCATCATGCCACCACGACATAAACTCTCGAATTCGAGCGGACCTTTCCTCCGCCATCGACCTCCCCGCTTCGGTCTTCATCATTGCCTCGAGTTTGAGCAATTTGTCGTCAAAGTGGTCGATGGCCTCTTGCAGACTTTTAGCCCCTTTGGCACCGGTGAAAGTGAAGCAGCGGCCGATCCCAACAGCTCCGATAGCATCAAGTCGATCCGCATCTTGGACAATAGCCAGCTCTGGAATGGTCTCGATTAGTTCGATCACCCGCCGTGGATCTTGCACTTCTGAAGAATACGAAACACCTTCGACGAGTTGTTGCATATGTTCCGCATATTCCTCTGACAATCCGGCGTCAATAACAGCACGCTTCGTTGGAGAGGAATTGTCTTCGGCAACCAAATATTTCTTGTCTTCAACATCGTGAAGAAGAGCGCCGAGAATAACGCTCAGCGGGTTCAGTGCTGGTTGGAGTTTATGCTTTCGAAGCTCTTCCTCCTTTTCTAGGATGGCGAGGGCATTTGCCACGACGCGTTTAACGTGGCTGAAGTCGTGAGACGCGTCAAATCGTGGATTTTGGAAATATGCCTCGGTAAAGGTATATATTTTATTTACCACGGAGATTTCTTGATCGGACAGGCTGTCGTAGGTGGCTGGATGACTGTATTTTGCCTTTGACATTGTGACTAAGATCCTAAGGGAGGGGACAGTTCCAAAAATGTCATTCCTCGGCCAAAATACAGTGTAAATTGTCCGGGTCGGGAAAAAGTCCCACTCGTCCGAGGCCTTTCTGTATGCCCTATGACACAATGTCTCGGATTCCGACTGTAGAGGTCTCCTGTCTACCTAGGTATGCAGTACGAGCAAACAAAGAGATTTGGTCATCTCCCAGAAATGTGGGGTTCTTCAAACGCCCAGACTTTGTAAAGGGAGATGTTGCGCAGTGCCAAGACCCCAATTCTGCAGAAGCTATCTCCCAACACCATGATCGCGAGGAAATCTCCTTCGCCAAACTGCCCACCCAGCAACCTAGGCAGGTATCAGAGTGTCGAGGGGGTTGGCTAAGCCTTCGTTAACAAATCTTGGCCGCGATCCCAGCGTTCTCGAAAACATGCCGGATGCAAGTCCAGATATTACGAGAGTCAGAATGGCATGCAGCGCTTCCAAGGCCACTGGTCTCCATTCAGACCGGTTATAGGCCCCTATCATGTCATATGAGCTTCAAAATCCGATATTCCAGAAGTGCTCCTAATATTAGACCTGTCTTACTGGCTGCGGAGCATGATGCGTAAAATTGTCAGCTAGACCAAGATAGAGGTTCGTGATTTTGGATGGGCACCTACGTAGGCAGCTACAATGTATATACAAGTTTCCTACCTCTCACATCTCCCGTTCTAACCGTTTGTAAGCCTTGCAGAACCCCTTGCAGGCCACTACCACCCTCGTTGACGGCGATTTGGTGCACCTTGATTTTACCATCGGCAAGAAGCCTCTCGCTTACTGACCAGAATTTCTTTGCAAACTCAAAATGGCTTGGGATTGCAGGGAGACTCTGTGGGCCAAATTGAAATGCTTCTCCAATTGCTGTGTAGGCCAATGTGGATTTGTTTTCGACTTTATCGTTGATAGACGTTACTCTCTCGCCAGGGACTGGCAAAAGAGTGGTGTACACTCCTCCCTTGTCACTCATTGCTTCCACGCAAATTTGGGTGCTGTTGCCTTTGGAGATGCAGTCCAAAGCCAGGGTGAGTTCGCCCTTCGTGCTCCTTTTGATATCTTCTGCGCAGGTGGGCGAAGTGTAGTCAAACACCTCATCCGCCCCCAGGCTCTTCACATAGTCGAAATTATGTGCGGAAGCAGTGGCGACGACCAGCATGCCGGATTGCTTTGCGTACTGCACCGCAAGAGATCCAGTTGCTGTGGAGCCTCCATAGACAAGAAGCGGTTGCCTGCTGTTGTCGCTCTCCTCCGGGAGCGCAAGACCCAGGCTCTGATAGAGAGCTTGGCCGACCGTGGTGATTCCGATCCCGAGCGTCGCGGCTTCCTCAAAGCTGATTGTGTCTGGAATATGGATTTGCAGGTCACCTTTGACAGTGATGAGTTCTGCAAAGGTACCATCTTCATGATTTACTGCATTGGATCCATGTGCGACTCCCGCAATGCGATCTCCTTTCTTGAAGGGTTTCGTCACTTTCGTGCCCACCTCCTCCACGATTCCTGCGTAATCACATCCAACGCAAGCTCCGACCGGCGCAAAATAGTCAATGTGGAGGATGTCAGTTGGATTCAACGCCACAGCTTTGACCTTCACGAGAATGTAGTCATCCCGGAGGCTAGGAACCGAGGCCTCGACCAACTCTGGCGTTGCGGCAGCTTTGATGATGATTGCGTGGTTCGCCATCCTACTGGAAAACCAGATACACAACACAACAGCGTTGAATCTCCTTGAGAAGGTTAGCACATCCCAATTATACTACACATCGCTGTATTTCTGGTCTCCATCACCATGTACACGCTTCGGAGCATGATGGCCTCTGCGTCGATCAGATTGACTTCCCGAGGCTCAAAATCTGCCCAGAGCAATGTGCAGGCAGGCTTCCATTGCGACACGTCGACGCATGTCCACCACTCGAGGCTCATGATTCTTGACAGATGCCCGTAAGAGAACTACACGCTGCCGTATATGGTTAAACGAACGAAGCGCAGAGATTGTAGTCGGCGAATTAGTCATGGATTGCATCTGAGCCATGAAACTGCTTAGTCACGGGGCAATCCAGCCCAGATCGTTCTAACTGTATATAGTAGCGTATGTTTCCATATTCGGTAAAGCGTGGGCCCTAAACGGGGTGTGAAGGGACACTTCATATCCAGGGTCTGGAAGAGACTTTGTCTTCAGCTCGGAACGAGGTCCCTGCACGTACAAACCACAGAAATCTAGGTGAACACTATTGTTATGCACTCGGCTGGGGCCCAACTGATAATGGTGGGCTCTTTTTGAATTCGTTCCTGTTCTTCGGAGTCACTGCACCTGCTTGAATAGGTTTGTTCAACTCATATCCTGGGTGGCTGGCATCCACCACTGCTTGCCTCTTTGCGACGCAAAACTCCTGTCGTGACTTGATCACTATTCCAAAGACATGTAACTGTGCCAGCAGCAACAATACTAATCACACGCGCCATGAATTCACCAAGCCTACTGTTCGTCAACAAGACAGCCACATCGGAATCACTTTCCCATAGCGGCACCAAAGCAGGGACCAGAATATACAGCCATGTGCAGAGAAACAGAAGATGGAAAGACTCCGACCATGGTATCATCCATGCACGACAACTTGTCAACGGCCAGACACAGCTCCGTCATGCATCCCGCAAACGCCATGAAGAGCGTAATACAGGCACTGAAACCAGCGAGGAGCCTGGCAAAGGTGGCGAGTGTCAAACATCCAAACAAGTGAAGTTTGCCCAAGCCACAGAGGACGGCGGTCTTCTCTTAAAAGGGGGCGCTCAAATAGCCACCAAAAAGTCGGGTTCCTTAGGCTCCAAGACCGTATCAAGCATAGCCACGATGCCACAGTCTGCAGATGACATTATCGACCCCTTCGGTACAACCTGTATTGTAGTCGACAACACGGCTCACACACTCCTCCAATATTACCTCCGCACAGTACACCCAAGTGTGTGGCACGTACTCTGCGCCGACAGTAATGGAAGCGCTAGTATTTTCAAGGACAGGGCGGTCTCCGTCTTACAGGGAGCCTTGAGCGAGACGTATACCATGTACTGCCTCTTGGCCTGCATGAACGTTCACATGAGATATTTGGACGGCTGTGAATCCGGTAAAGACAATGAGTACTTCATCGTCAAGGCTGTGAAAGCTTCACATGACTACATGCGACGGGCTGAGCGGATATCTGAGAGAATGATATTCAATATCTTCCAGTTGGGCTTCGCGGAGTGGTATCGCAACAATGAGCATGCCGCATTGGTGCACTTTCGTGCTACTACAAACATGACATATTCCATTGGGGGTCTGAAGGCGTTAGCCAGGCCCCTCGCCGATCTGCTGGTCCTGGGAGATGGATACATTGCTGGTGAGCTCGGAACCTTGCCTATTTTTTCTCACACAGAATTTGCCAGGCAAGACGACTCAGACTCAGTAGTGGGCGCCTATGTCCTTGACATTCACCAAACGATGCTCTCAGGTTCAGTTACCGTCGCACGTGGACTTCTGCAACATGGAAAGAAGGAACTGGTGCCTCGCAACTTGGAACTCATGATCATGGATCTCGCAGTTGTGGTGTCAGTCATGAATGCTGCTGATGCCGGCGAGACGCCACAAGATTTGGCAGATAGTGCATTGCATTGGATATACCATCGCATACTTGTCATCCGTCATCAGCTTTTGGAAGTGAGGTTTGAAGATTCCAGAGCCGAGTCGATCAGACTTGCGATAATTCTTTGGATTCTTCAGTGCTCCACAAGGGCCGGGCGTATCCGATCAACGAAGATAATAGCACCTCAAGTGAGAAAGTCTCTGCAAGATACGAAGGAGAGCACTTGGAAAGCCCACAATGACGTTAGGCTCTGGATCTTAATAATTGGCGCAACATCGGCGCGGACTGGAAGTGGCGATCATGCCTGGTTCTTGCAGCGGATCCTACGCTCCATGGCTTGCGGTTCTGATGAATTGGCGGCCGTCGAGACTGGCCTCGTCCAGCTTTGCGGCAAGTTCTTCTACCGGGAATTCATACAAAGTGAAATGCTTCATATGCTTGCCGATAAGATTGTGAGCATGAGACGGAGAGCAGGCACAGCAGCAACAAAAGCCGCAGGATAGTTCTATTATTTATCTGGAATGAGATGACAGGTTGGAATTACTATACTTCTGAAATTTGACTTTCTATAACAGCATTCCCCCAGCGAGGTAAATGGCTGATCTTATACCTTGAATTTCTAATAATTCACATGTTCCGATCATTCTTGAATACACGTTCACAGGCCAGCTGGCATTAAGCCCCTGTCCATTTTAAGTGTATCCTTACGCATAAATCGTAGGTTACATGTGAGCCGAGCGCTTGACGGTACCGCCATTTACCAAGTCGCCGCTTCACCGGTGATATAGCATGACTACGGACTGACAAAAAGGATGATACAAGCCGGAGGCCCTGTTTCTGAAGGAAGAGCGGGAAGGTTTTCTTATGTCGAGAACTTTCTATGGCTGAATGCGGCGTGACTCCACCTGAGCCTGTAAGTACTACTCCGAACTCAAAACTTGGTGGACGAATATATCCCAATTGGGAAAGAGGTGTATAAAACGGACGCTTTTGCGATTCAAGCCACCAGAACGTTCAAAGTTTGGGTTAGTGGTTAGTCATCCTTGGCGCATTTGGCGAAGTACTGGGGAGCCATATAATTAGATGGGAGAAGCTGAGGTGAGAAAATGGAAAGGAAGAGTAATCATCGAAATCGATTTGATTAGTTTCGATCGGTATAGAAAAGCGAGATGGCTCAAGTCAAGTTCATCATCGAAGATCGAGAACTCAAGACAACGAGAGAGCGCGAGCTCCGCTCAGCAGAGGCTCGAGCTCATGCAGCGCGGATATCGCATCAACGCAAGGGCACTGCTTCTAGAACTTCTCGAATAGTCCCGTTGCGTGTTAAGCATACTGAGCTGATACACAAAGGGACCACCCACACGGGCGTGGGAACGGAGGAGGACGATCCACCAGAGAATGACAACTTCTTGTCAAGAATGCTGGGAGGAGGGCGGATTGATCCATTTGAGACGTCGCCTATTCGAAAACTACCCGATTACATCTTGAGTATTCTCGACAATGCTTGGATGGACATCTGGTCGGCGCTCCGGCCCCACCGCCAAATCGGAGTCATCCATCCGGATATCTATGCATGGAGAACCGCTGGGCTTAGCTGCGATGCACTGTTTCACGCATACGTGGCAGGTGCTGCAGGAATAGCGTTAGCTCGAGGCGTTGGCCAGGAGCTGAGGGAACAGATCGGGCGAACACAAATCTATCACACGGTGAAGGCCATCAACGGTGTGAGCCAGGAGCTTAGTAAAAACGATGGGCCGCCCTCAGATTCTCTTCTTCTGGCAGTAATGACGCTAAGTGGGCATGGTGAGGCCTTTGCAGATGAGGGGCAAGAAGAGCCATATGTTCGCTCACCATTGGTACAAGCAAACAGGGTGAATGTCTTCGCTCGACTGTCGATCACACCTGCTCACTCTCAAGCGATCGGATCACTTATAATGAAGAAAGGGGGGATTGGTGGAATTGTACTCCCCGGCTTTCGCAGGTTGCTATGCTTGACAGACCTGCTGCAGTCGACCATCCAGACCACCCAGCCAATGCTCCCATATGTCGGCGTATCCGAGTCTCTAGTTTCCTCTCGTGTCCACACCCGTGATGCGAAAGCATCGGCGCGAGCTGCTATTCTGGGAACTGGGTTCTGGGTCGAGGGTTTCCCTGCCATTGACGCAGACTTCCAGGCGATTCTCTTGGCAGCATGCGAGCTGACAACGGCGCTGGACCACTTCCAACGAAAAGAGAACAACCCTCCTGTCTGGGTCGATATTATCGAGTTCAGGTCGTGGGTGCAATATCGCGTATTGTCCCTCCAGCCACGGCTTTCGGCAAGTCTAGATATCCAAGATTATACATACGAGGCATGCCGACTCGCAACACTAATTTATGCAGACCTAAATATATGGCCCCTGCCGAAGTCGACAAAGACCAGATCTCGCTTGGCTGGAAAGCTGCACGAGGTCATGACACAGCGTGCTGGAAGCGAAGGCGCTGCTATTTCCAATGACTTTTTGCTGTGGATCGGCATGATGGGCGCGATCGCGGCACGCCATACAAAGTACGAGGACTATTTCCTGGACTTGCTGGCCCGGGACACTCGGGTGCTCTCATGGCCCAGCTTCAGCCTGATCATGTTGGAATTTCTTTGGTGTGATTTTGCCGTTGCGCCGCTGGCACGCCCGTTATGGCAGCAAGCACGTGCGATGAAGAAGTTTCATGAGTTCCCATATTGCGCGGCCAAACTGCCCACGAACATAATCATTGAATTGGACGTGCTGGAGCACCAAAATTTGGGGTCAACTCTAGAGTATCCACAGACCCAATTTGTTGCCTCGATGAATTCATGTCAGGCTGTGAGGAGCTCAATAGAGATGACAACGAGATGTGCGTCCGAAGTAAACCGAGCAGTGACTGGTGCACAAGGAGCAATTGAGGTGGAGGCAGTGACCGTCAAATGACACGAAGTGAGTGTCACTTCATGTACGCCTTCTCACTTCCCCGTCATCAGTACATATAGACTGCAACCCCTTGAGCACGTCACGAACAAGGCTCACGATTGCGGCTCATTGGTCTCTAGAGTCCAGACAGCAGTCTTACTTACCTCTCGACCCTGCACAATGAAGCCGATCATCACCAAAACCTTCCTCCTTTGCGTAATCCTCCTTTGCGTGTTCATCTCTATAGTGAGCTCGATGCCATCAGAGCTGCTGTGCCGCCTCCCTGGCCGCCGGTGTGAAAAAGACGATGGTTGCTGTCCAATTCCGTTCATTGGGAAGGTATGTCACATACATGAACTTAAAAGCTTCCCACCGATCTGGTGACAAGATCTAACATACATAGCATGCATGCTGCTGCTACAGACTGTCCTTGGCCATAGATGCAGAGGGACTGAGTGGCACTTGTGGCAAAAAGTGCTGCATGTAGAAAAGAGCCAGCGCCTAATCGAATCATACGCGCCATTGCATTGAGGTATGAAAGATTGAATATTGCAAAACACCATGCTTGTCGAGTGGGCAGCGGGATGGGGCAGCGTTCGGAGAACTTACCACGCATGACAATCAACGTCCCCTCCAGAAAGCAAGGAGGTTACGCCTTAGTCCTAGTTAAAGAGCATTGAGTTTCCAGCCTGTACATTATGCTTGAGACTTCACAGTTTGCATAGCATTTACAAGGAGTCAGTTTTATGATGCAGTTCCAGGAAGATTCCTAGAAAATGATCGATTGTGATTGCTGAAGGCAGCCTCTGAAATGGACATAACGCCGTGGCTGTCAGGTCTTGGCAGAAGAGTGCATGCCAAGACTTCGACGACGCCATTATGTAATCATGACAGTCCGGAAGTACTGATCCGCCGTATAATTTAGTGGCATGTTCGTGGGTTTATTGCGCAATGATGATCCGGCCAGTTCGAGTCTTAGATTGCTCCAATCTTCTACGTGACGTTCATGTTCACACAGGCGCACGCGCTTACATGCATTTCTTATGCGCCGGTCATGAATCTGGAGCCTGGAGCCTGTATCTCACCAGTTCCGCAAGCTATAGCTAGAGATCCGGCCATGTAGGCCTTTCGGAGATGAAATCCGTAAGCTATGGTGACATCAATGACCCTCAGCAAAAATTATGACGTTCTCCAAACAAATTTCTACAGGCAGGTACTTATAGCTGACTATGACATGACACGACTTCATTTGACTTGATCAATTTTGGCATTCTATCCTCCAACTTGATACGTATCACGCCTTCCAAGCGAGACTTACGATGGACACAGCAAAGAATAAACTCAAACAAGCCACAAGCTCGGAGTCGCCCTTCGCAGCTGGCTTCAAGGTCCCAATAACGCACCAAGATCCTCCTGGGAAACAAGGCGATCTCCCTATAGAGCCCATCAACACCCAGGTCCCGACCGAAGATGGTGGACTCCAGGAGTACAAAGCAGCCGGGAAACTACAAGACAAGAAGGCTCTCATAACTGGCGGTGATAGCGGCATTGGAAGAGCAATTGCCCTATTGTACGCGATGGAAGGAGCGGACAGCATGATAGCATATCTGCCAGAAGAGGAGGAAGATGCCCAAGAAACCAAGCGTCAGGTGGAGAAGTTTGGCCGGACGTGTCATTTGATCAGTACAGATCTAAGAGAGTTCGAAAACTGCAAAAGGGTTGCCGATGCCGCCCTGGAGAAGCTGGGCCGGGTGAACATCCTGGTAAGCAGGGCCCTGCCGAAGGATGATCGAGTACTGACCACAAGCTCAAGGTCAATAATGCTGCTTTTCAAATGGTGCAACAAGACATCACGGACATCGCCAATGATCAATGGATCAAAACATTTGACACAAATATCCATCCCTTTTTCTACCTCTCGAAGCTTCTCATTCCTCATATGAAGAGAGGCGACACAATTATCAATTGCGCATCGATCAATGCCTACATTGGCCGCCCAGACCTGCTGGATTACACTTCAACGAAAGGAGGTAAGTTGATTTCATCCGCGTAGAAGTCGCACCTCTGACTCAATTCGTCTAGCAATCGTATCATTTACTCGTGGACTGGCCAACCAGCAGATGAGCAAGGGTATTCGGGTCAATGCAGTATGTCCAGGGCCGGTGTGGACACCGTTGATTCCTAGTACAATGGGCAGTTCTGCACAAGATCAGTTTACCTCTCCTATGGGCCGACCTGCTCAGCCAAGCGAGATTGCAACATGCTTTGTGTTCCTTGCTAGTGCGGACAGCAGCATGATATCCGGACAGAGCCTTCACCCCAATGGAGGTGTCATTGTCAATGGTTGAATATGAGTTGGTTATCTGGATCGGCCTTTAGCATGCAGGGAGGGGTTGTGATCGAACATGGATGGTCAACTGTTTTTCCCTGGAGGAGTTGCAAATGCTCGCCAAGCTGCAGCCTTGCTGATGCTTACAAAGGGCCGACGGATGGAAAACGGGAGATCCACAATAGCCTAATTACTTTAATTGTATGCATATTCTTCCCCCAGTAAAGTTCGCTTTGCATTCTAGGTTTAATTCTCTTTATCATGGTACACAATTGAGACTTCGATATGCCGCTCCCCTAGTCGTCGATCGTCAGCCATGACTTAGGGAATTGAAGAGGTTGTACAAAAGGAACTTGTGTACGAAGTATCGTCTTTGTCAAGACGCGATGTACGAGACGATCCGAAAGCACAGGATCCTCGCCTTGTCACTACATCCCTACTCTGTATAGCACCGAGTGCTCACCACTTGAGAGCCTCATACTCGTACTCGCCCTCCGTAGAGAACCTTCATCTTAACACACTATCGCGCGCCTGAAGTGTGACGCAACAAGAATAACCCCGAACGCTCTTAGTGCCCTTCTATCTTCAGACTTGGAGTTTAGTTTAACCTTTTCGGAACTACTGCAGGTCGTAATTAGTTTCAGGCAACCAACTTTACAGTTCTACGAACGGTCACTAAAAACCATCTGCAATAGCAGTGTCTGCCTGCTGAAATTTCGCATTTCCCATCTTCAGAATGCCACAAGAGCCTCTGCGCATATAGCAAAATGACGAGTTTACCAGAAAGGCCTGCCAAAGCCTTCTCCTGCATTCGCTGTTTTGAGCGCAAAGTGAAATGCGACAAGGAGAATCCATGTTCGAATTGTGTCAAATCGAGAGTCGAATGTGTATTTCGGGTTCCACCAGCACCGCGTCGCAGAAAAAAGCGGCCACAAGAAGAAATCCTCCTTGCGCGATTGAAACACTGCGAGGATCTGCTACGGAGCAAGGGCATTGAGGTCGGCACCTCAGAAACCCCTGGCCAGGGTTCTGTCCCTAGTGGCCCTGCGAGCCATGACCCTTCTCTGCCCAATCCTGACACTGGTCTGTCGGGCAATCAGCCACCAGGCACAGTTGTTTTCTTCCCTGGGCCCGATGCTAGAAATGGGCAATTGATTGTTGATCATGGAAAGTCACGATTTATTGAGAACAATTTGTGGACCAGCGTTTCTGAAGAGGTATGTTTGCGTTCAGCTCATTGAGCCTCTGTCCTATCTCCACCCATCGCCCGAACATTATATACAAAGGTCGCTGACTTTGATCCTCCCAGTTCAAAGCCAAGGAAGCCATCGAATACGAAGATGATGACGAAGATGCCAACTCGCCCGTTGAAGACAACACGGATTTCATGCTGGGGATGACACCTTCGAGCAATACCGTTTCGATATCCAGATTGCATCCATCGCCCGAAAATATCATGAAACTATGGCAAATCTTCCTCGACAATATCAACCCAATGACCAAATTAATCCACCAGCCCTCTTTCCAGAAGATCATCGTGCAGTCGATGTCGCAGCTGGACAATTTACCCCGGAGCCTGGAAGCCTTGATGTTTGCAATCTACACAACCGCAGTATTTTCTCTCGATGATGACGAGTCTGAGATGAAACTTGGTGAATCGAGGAAGGTCCTTCTCATGCGCTATCGACACGCAACGAGAGGTGCGCTTGCGAGAGCAAAATTCATGGCGACCTCTGAGCTTCCCGTCCTGCAGGCATTCATGCTCTATCTTCTGAGTATGCGCGATACCTACGACTCCCGAACCCTCTGGACACTAGCCGGAGTGGCCAGTCGCATTGCCCAGGGTATGGGTCTTCATCGCGATGGGTCATATCTTGGAGTTGCACCCTTCGAGTCCGAGCTACGTCGACGACTGTGGTGGCAAATATCAATCTTGGATTTCCGGTCCGCCGAGTTGAGTGGCTCCGGTCGATTTGGAGATTTTGGGCTTTCTGATACTAGAACACCCTCCAACGTCAACGACGAGGACATCTTCCCGGAAATGACCACGGAGCCCGTCCCTCAAGCCCGCCCCACCGAGATGATTGCGTGCCTTCTGCGCTGTGAGTTCGGCCAATTCTGGAAGGAAAAGCTCGCCGAGAGGAAAGCCATCACCCTCGAGGACGTGAAGAACACTGCGCCATGGAAAACGTCATTAGAAGAGAGGGATGCGCACATCAATGAGCTCGAGCACCGACTAGAAGAGAAATTCTTGAAATACTGCGACCCATCGATTCCAATCCAATTCCTGGCAACCATTATTGCTCGAGCGGCGGTCAATAATATGAGACTGATGGCGCACCACCCTCGCAAATACGGCAATGTGGATGATCTCCCACAGTCAGAGCGAGATTTCCTCTGGAAGGTGTCTCTGAAACTCCTGGAATCGGATAATCTCGCACACTCCGCCCGGGGCCTGAAGAGATTCATGTGGCACACGAACGAGTATTTCCAATGGCAAGCGTTCATCCACCTCCTGAACGAGCTAAAGTCCAAAACCCTGGGTGACGAGGTGGATCTCGCGTGGCAGCAGGTCGAAGAGGTCTTCGAGAACCACCCGACTTTCCTGACGGAGCAGAAAAAGCCGCTGCACGCCGCCGTAGGGAGCGTGTGCCTGAAAGCGTTCTCGGCACGAGAGAGAGCCCTCAGGGAGACCACCAACGGTGTCTTCCCGAAGGTCGTCCCGGGCTACATCAGGACGCTGCGCGAGCAGCGAATCGCGGCTGCCAGACGCAACACCAAGCAAGAACCAAGCGTCGAGAGACTCTCCCTCAACAGCAACCCCAACACCAACACCTCCTTTGAGCAATTCTCCTCACCGGCCACGGCTGGCGCACAGCACTCGAACGCGGGCAGCGGAAACGTTGACCCGCGCTTCTCCTTCCAGATGAGTCCCCTCCACCCACAGCTCCCACTCCCGACTTCTTTCCAGCCGTTCCAATACCAGGCGCCGTCCTCGGATGCCCTGATGTTTACGTCTGATCCCGCCCTGGCACAGGAGCTTGCCATGTCCGACATGCCCATGGATTGGGCGCAGTGGGATATGCTCATGAAAGACCTTGAGATCCCAAAGTAGAGAGAAGGGCAAGAGAGAACAGGGCGGTGACCATGTCCCTCGACCTGATAGCAAGCACTCAGTCCACTTAATTTTGTACCATCACGAACAACAAACCAGCTCTTTTCGAGGTGAATTTGATACTCCCTTCTCTTCTTTTTACAGCCTTTGCGTTTCTGCCGAAAGAACCCAACTCACCTGGGAGCCTGAGTCCATATCAGGCCAAGCCGTGGTCGATATGTAAGGAGGACGGACACGATTTAGCGTCACGAGAACCGCTACAAGAACCGCCGTCACGTTCGTCTTCGAATTTTGCAAGCCCAGCGCCGGGTGCTGCTGATACAGGACCTCGGCTCTCTCCCTCTCTCACGTTACACTACATAGTTAGTTGCAAGCATTCAAAACCTCGAAATGACAGTGATTGAAATGTCCATCGGAACTCGCCGGTGAGATTTGCGTTTATCTTGTATGAACGTATATGAAAAGGGGATCCTCAAGATATCTAAGAAAACACTTCTTAGAACTCTAGTCCATAGTAGCAGTATGGCAAAGGCAGTGATTTCCCTTTTAATCGATTTGCCCCAGTCTCGAGTAGAGAGGCGCACACAACTCCCGTTTAGCCTGCCACATACAGTGCTCATATTTGAAGATGACAGATCATTGACACCATGTCTATTTTGGCTCAATTTGGCTTAAGACCCATTGCGTAATGTACAAAACCAGATGGAAAATGCTTGCCGCACAAAAGTTCGCCTAACATCCCGCTTAACATCCCAACAAAAAGCTTTCTATACCAACAGATACGCGAACAGGGCTATACCGCACATTTTTGGCGACAAAATTCCTCGAATAGGAGTCACTCTTCAAGCGGTTTCGGATCATCCGTCCGGTACCATTCGCCGTTGAAGGCGTTGATAATCCATGTGCTTAACTTATCGTACACGATTTGATTGGCGTTGTGGAAGTAGATCGAATGGTCGCTGTCCGGGAAGAAATGCACATCGTAATTCTCAATACCAGCGAGGTCGAACTTGTCCAATAGTGTCAGAGTATTTTGCATGTGAACATTGTCGTCTGCGACTCCATGCATGATGAGGAAGCGTACGTTTTGGGAAATCGCCGTTACATTTGAGACGGCGGTGCGGTCGTAACCATCTGAGTTATGCTGCGGCATCCGCATGTAGCGCTCTGTGTAGATGGAATCGTAAAAGCGCCAGTCCGTCACAGGAGCGACCGACATGCCGTACTTGAATGTTTGACCTGCGTCTTTCTCGAGCACTTTCAACGTCATGAAACCACCATAAGACCAGCCCCAGATTGCTAGTCGGGAGGCATCGACGTACTTTTTAGCAGCCCACAATTTGGCGGCCTCAATCTGGTCGTGTGCTTCAATGGTTCCGAGTTCATTACGAACTATTGTGCGGGCTTTCCGCCCAATGAATCCAGTCCCTCGCCCATCCACAGTCACAACGATGTACCCAAGAGAGCTGGCGATGTAAGATTGGAAATCAATCTGAAACCTGCGAGTGACCATTTGGGAGCCAGGTCCGCCGTAAAGGTAGAAGAGAACGGGATATCGCTTCTTCTCATCAAAATGGGGTGGTCTTCTTTCCACGGCCTGTAATGTGTAACCATCTATAGTAATGTTTTGGTAGATGAGATGGGGAAGTTCGTGGCTTGATGCCATCTTAGAAAGGTCCTTGTTGTCCTCAACCGTTTGTTCGATCTTCTCCGCATTTGCAGGAGTTGAGATGACCTTTTGATATGGAATGCCGGGGCCGTTGTATTGCAGGTTAATATAACCACCGCCAGAGGAGAAATCGGCTCCCCAGTACGCAGCTTCGCTGGTGGGAACGAGGGACGTAAAGGAAGTGCCATCTAATTTCACACTGTAAAGATGACGCTGGCTGGGTGCCTCTTTGGCTGCAATAAAATAGACCAAATTGTTCTTAAGATCGATCGCTGCTGCACCTCCGTCAATCTCCCAGGCACCCTTTGTGAGTACGATTGGTATGGAGCTGTTGAGTGGTGAAAAGTATGCCAAGTGATTACCATTGTCGGATACAATGACATCAACATAGCCATCGCTTGGTCGTCCGTTTCCGGGATCGGCAGGAATAAATTCTGTCAGCTGTGTCGGATCAATCCATCCACCATCAACGCCCTTCAGATCGATAGTACGAACAGTTTGTCCAGTCTGCGTAACCACGTCCACAAGGACAACTCTCGCACGGTCGCTTTCACGATTGGACTCGGAGACCAAGACCTTGCCATCGTCTGCCCACACAGTATTGAAAATAATACGATCATCATCAGGGAAGCCGCCATCGATGTTGACCTCGAAGACTTGCTCCTTATCGATGTCGTAGAAAAGCATGTCGACGACTGGATTAGGAGCACCAGCCTTTGGATATTTGATTTGCTTGACATCAGGATAATTCTCTAGACCTTCAGGTGGAGTCTTCCCGCTCGGCCTCGACAGGAAATATTGTACAGGATATTCGGGAACGGCGGTCTCGTTTGTGCGGAGGAAAGCAAGATACTTCCCCTCCCTTGACCACCAGGTGGCAGAATTAGTACCAAAAACCTCCTCCTCATAGGCCCAGTCGGGGATTCCATAGAAGTACTCTGGACCCCCGTCTGTGGTGATCTGGGTAACTTTGGAAGAAGAGAGTTCTCTCAAGTATAGGTTGTTGTCTCTAGTGAAAACGATCGACTTGCTCGTAGGGGACCACGTCGCAAGTTGCACCTTCGAGGTGGCGAAGGCTGGATCGAGAGGCTGAACACTCTGCGTTTCAACATTCAAGATATAATAAAGTCCAATGAATGAATGGCGGAAGACTTTTTCTCTGGCAATCAAAATCAGGACATACTTGTGATCTGGGCTAACCCAAAAGTCCTCGGACCACTTTTGTTGGCCATTTACATTGATATAGCCACTTTTCATAAGGGTTTCGCTGGTCGAAGCGGTCAAGGATGTATTCCGACTCCGAATATCTTCAACAACGAGAAAGTCCTTCCCAGGCCGGTTGTACTCCAACAACAAGCCATCCTCACCAGACGGCCCTTTGATCCATTGGATGGATGCGTGTCTTGGCCTCCACTGTCCTGTCTGTACCTGTCCCAGAGTGATTTTCCTCCCGGAGCTTTTCGTAGGTGTGTCATGATCGTAATCTAGCGTTGAGGCATGCTTGTAGCGTCCGCCCGTGATGAACACCACCAACGCGAAAGCCCAGCCAAGAATGGCAATCACCGAGACAATCCAGATCGTCCTGCGGAGGCTCTTCGACATATGTTGACTGCTTCCAGTATAACTTTTGTTCTTGAACCTGGGTAATTCAGGGTCGCTATCATCGTCACGGTATTCAAACTGCTGCCGGCCTTCTTTGGATACATATACTGAGTTAAGATTCTCGAGGACGAGAGAAGTTGTAGAGGCACTCGAGACGCTGTCCTCTGAGGATCTGGGGTGGGGAGTAGTGGAAGAAGATCCCCCTTTCTCAATTAAATTTGCTCTCTCTTCATCTCCCGCCTCACTTATGCGACCCATGACTGGAGTGGGCGCGAGGTTTCGTGCGCCTCCGCCGAAAATGTTGTAGTTAAGAGCCAAGGAGGTGGTGCGGGAGTGCGAGGAGGATGTCTGCTTACTATCTCGACATGCCGGCCGGATCGTGTGGGGCAAGATAGCGCTCTCAAGGTCGGTCCTCGGCGCGTTTGATACTCGTCTTCGCGGCGATGGGAGAGGGAGTTCTCTAGCCCTTATATCGGTGATGATGTGGAGATGGGGACTTGCGTGTCCGGCTCGTTGTGTCGGAAAGCACTCGGTCATCCTTCCTATTCTGGCAAAAAGCTGCTAGCACAACGCTAATGCTGCTAGAGAACCACTAGCTCCTCACTGGCGCTAGCTATTGACAACGACTATCTTGAAGAGGATATCAATGTACAGCGTTGAACAACTTATATTCTTTGGCTATCCACCATTAATTGGTAGCTGGGTCGAACTGTTAGGTGCTCCTGCCATGAGTGCCCGCTTCCTGTTCGCAGCCTTGCTCTGATTTGCCTGCTTCCGTCTGATGTCCGAATGCGGGAGCCGGTTGCTCGAGCACCTCTCATCCACAACATACCAACAGACAATGGCAGCAAAAAGATTTGCCATGCTTTTAGGCTACAAAATTGTCGAGATTGACGATCACTTTCCAGGCTATCGTTATCTCCTGATTAATGATAATACACATCGAAATTCATGGTGGAAACTACTAACAAACTCCACCCTCTCACTCTCAATGTTGTTTGCCACCACTCAGATCAATGACACCCACCTGCAGAGGCTGCCATGGTAAGGAATGCTAAGTGAATGAGTCTGATGCTAAACATGGGTTGTTGACATGTGCTGGTGATTGAAGATAACCCCCGAGGGTTTTCTGCCTGTCAATCCCTACTTCATTGTAATTAGGAACGTGCCAATCAGCGTAATGCACGCCATCAATGGGAAAACCACCCAGCAGATCAGGAACCCAAACCACATTATCATGCTTCTGTTGCTCTGTCTCCCAGATATATTCTTGGCCTGATATCCAAGATGCAGCAGAAGACTCCAGATCGCAGTTGCCATCAAGATATTCACTGCCACAACAGGAATGATCAATAGACCAAGGAGCAGGCGCAAAGTCTTTTCGGAGTCCCCTTGGACGTCTACTATGACGGCCTTTTCATCTTGAGAGAACACTGCCGCAATCAGCCCTGGGTTGAAAAGAAGGACTATGAAACAGGCAACGACAACCCAACACACTCTGATTGCAGCAGACCTTTTTCTTTGAAGGGCGGTCTTGCAGTGTTGGCAACACGAGCCAAGTACATGCGTCATATGGTCAGACTGTCGTTCTGTGTCGCGCGCTGGCAATTCAGAGCCTTGTGGTGGATAGCCGCCTTCCATGCCCGCCTCTCCTGCAGTCTTGGATGACCGGGTCTCCTGCGCTGGAGACCTCGTCAATTGAGGCCTTGTCCATTCTAGGACTTCAGAAATCTCATTTGAAGCCGATTTGGGGGTTTTGCTTTGCTGTTGGATTTGCTCGTATTGCCAATCAACGGCGTCCATCAGCGCAGAAAACTCCGACTTTTCCTTTAATAGCCCTCGTTCAGAGGAATCTTGAGAGCCAAGGGTACTTTCCTCGTCCTCGGTCATGACGATAGTTGTTTCCGAGCTGCCAGCTCGCTTCAAAGGCCACGGTCCAACTCGTTCAATGTTGCCGCTGACTTCCTGTGTGACAGGTTTCAAGGTCACCGCGTTGGATATCAGGCTCCCAATAGTTCCTGGGATCATTTCAGTCATCTCCATGGAAGAGCCTCGTGAGGGAAATCGAGTTAGAAATGATGGGGACGGCTGCTCAAAGCCTTGTCCCTCAGTTGCGTCCATGACATCAGCTATGACCTTTTCGATGCGTGGAGGCTGTACCCAAGAAACATGACAGCCTGCAGGAGAGTTGATTTCCAAGACCGAAGTGTGTGGCGGTATTCTTTGAAGTGAAAGCCAGCTTGAAAGAAATGGATTTTGAATGTTCGACGGCCAGTAATGGAATCCATCAATTAAATATCGGAGCGGGGAAGTATCACGAAAGGCCTCTGCAGAATACAAGGAAGGCGGCTGCTATGAAATCTCGTCGATTCTGTGGGAGGAGGGCCCTCCCATGAAGAGAACCTCATTTTCTCGCCCACTTTACCCTTCCTGAAACTGACAAGATCTTCTGGAATCGCCTTGCCGAAGTTTGTTGAAACATACGCTTCTTACTTCTTTCGTCTTGGTTCGGATTGTTGCCCACATACCGGAAAGCTACATCTTCATCCAGTCCAGTCAGAGTCCGATTGTGAATTCATGCGCCCTATTTCTCGACATTCCAAAATCAGGGAGGACCAAACCCATCGACCCCCCAAGCCAAAACACGTCTCCGTCACAGAGAGTTCACTTTTTCAAACTAAACGCACAAACGCTTCTGACGTCTCCACACCTATACCATACCCTCGGGCTCGCTCCGACCTGGTCACATATGTCGATTGGCGAGGGCCGCTGAGCCCAAGCCCAAGATCCACCTTCTTCGAAGCCACATAAACCTTGACTCTCCTTGTGTACTTGCTTGTCTGGTTTTGCCTCGAGCTATCCATGAAAGATCCCAGCCAGGCAGCTATTGGCGAAATCAGAGACCAGGCAAAAGCAGCCTTTGACCTACCTGTCTCCTTGTGCATGCGTAGGTTCGCGCTGATCGACAAGCACACACGTTCGTTTCGTTCTAGCTCTGCCTGTGCCTAGCGAAAAAGATCCAAGCCGTCACCAGCCACGAAACAGACTGGTTTCTTTTCGGTACTTTGCGGCTACAGATGCAGCTAGGCGCATGGTCCGGGTCATGCACTCATGACAATCGCGCCTTCCAGGCTTTTTCCACTGCATCGTCTTGGTCCCTCGAACTCATTGGATCGTAACCCTTTGCAGCACTGTAAGCCCCTTGGAGTGCGAGCGCTGCACCACTTTCGCTCCCCTGACCACTCTGAATCGCAGTCCGGAGACGGAAGTTTCCTTTCCATCGCGCAGTACTACTTGACAGCGCACGACGAACGACATGGAGTAGGCTCGGTTTAGCAAGCCCACAGGTGTTTCGGACCTCTTTGTCGGCAGAATGGTCGGAAACACGGACCATCCAAAGTCCAGGTTCGCCGCTTGATTTTCTTGCCGTAAAATGCGTACCTAGAACTACCTAGCAACTGAAAAGGGGTGCGGATTGGCTCCCCAGGCATTGATTCTAGTGTACGCAGGGAACAGAAGGTCTGTTCTCATCTAAGCATCCATATATCAGGATGAAGGGTTTGGAAAGGCAAGCCGGACCACAGGAGATCTCTAGGTAATCGTCCAATTGCGAGTTTGACTCCATCGAGCCACTATCGGTCTACCCAATCCTAGTACCTAGCTTTGTCGAGCACAATCAATGGATGAATGATCGTCCACCCACCAAGGGGAAGGCTGCGGGTGTATTGATTGCCTCCCCAACTCCAATGGCTAACCAACTAACTCATCCCATGTTCTCCTCCATGTCACTCGCTCTGTTGCACGCTGTAGTATGCGGAAACCAACTCCAACCATAATAAGGGTATTTCTAGAAATACAACAGGTGTCATTCAACCTCCTCGCCGGTAAAAATTCGCTGGAAGAAGAGAAAGAGCACAAGGATTCAGACGCCTTGCACAAGTAAGAGAGTCATTTGAAATGTATGGGTCATCGATCATCACCCCCCAGAATTTTAGTTTCGAAACAAAATGCACGCAACTATGCTTCCGCAGCAACATGCTGAGAAGCAGTCTGCGTCGTTGGGTCATCACCAGGACTCGTCTCAGCCCATGACCCCCAGAGCCCTCTCTTGGCTCGGATTCTGAGAGGTAGACCGATCGATTTGTCACCTTGTTCCACTTTGATAGCGTCTTTGGTGGCTAGGACTAGCACTTCAAAGAACATCTTGGTGGCATCTTCTTTGCTGGTTCGGTGTTCAGGTACGAGTTCCTGGAGGAGGACAGACTTCTTGGCAGGAGATGATGGATTCCCCCCAGCTGCATCTCCCAATTTCTCTCTGAGCAAGTGCACGGCGTGTTTTGTGCCTAAAGACACCGGTCCACTGTCTGCTGGGTGAACAAGAGGCATAGTTGTTTCGTCGAAAACATCATCCCCACCGAAAATGCCTTCATCGTCTTCCCCAAGAACCATATCCTCCAAGGCGGGACCGAGATCGCTTGCAAGCGGTTGATGATCCTCTTCAATAAGCTGCGAGGCGGAGGGAGGGAAGCCATCGTCGAGGTGCACAGCCTCGTCAATGTCCGGACCGTCTAAACGAGGAGACTTCTCACTATGCTCATCCTCACTGAGTCCTCCGATACCACTATCTCGCTTTCGCTTCCGATCGCTTGATCTGGTGAGAGACTCGAAGGAGAGAAGCCCCTGTAATTCAGGAGCCCAATTCCTCGACCGACCGTCGTTCATAGCATTTAGCACGAAATCTCCATTCTTCTGCATGTTCATCAAAGTCAGAAGGACGGGGTCTCTTGGTAGAAAAGATGGTGCTCGTAGAATCTTGGATCGATCCTCTGCCTGGGCTTTTATTTGGCTGTTGTGTAGGACAGTCTCGGTATCTGGAGCTAAAGGCTTTTGCCTGCGACTCCGTTGTGGTTGGCGGGCAACGATTTCTTCGACTTCTTCTTCGGCTTCAGGTTGTGTTTGGAAGGTCTGGTCGAGTTCTCGCAGCATATCAGATCCGGCTTCTGACAGAGGGGATTCTGTGTCTCTAACACGATCGGCGGCCTGTCTCAATTGCAGGGTCTCGTCATCTCCAAGTGCCAGACGCTCATCATCACCGATTGCGGGGAGCCCTTCATCAGCTAACCCAAGCTGGGGGCCGTCGATCATGGGCACATCGTCACCACCATAGTTGAGACTAATAGCATCATCATCATGGATGAGTGGTTCGTCGTCTCCGAGAATGCGTTCGTGATCAGGCTGAGGTGTAGGTGCGGATCTGCCAACGTTTATGCTGACGGATACGTCGTTGTGTTCACCAAAGTCCAGTGTAAAATCGTCCTCATTGTAAAGGGCGTCTTCCTCTCCTGGTATCAGCATTGATTGAGTGCTACTCTGTTGAGGATTCAGGGAAGAGGTCCAATCGTCATCCAGGTCTTGGGTCTGGTCGGCAGTAATCTGAGGTTGTTGCGTCATCGGATATGTGAAATCCATCGGAGAGAATAGATCATCGATTGTGAGTAGCTCCGGAAGATTCAGATCGATGGTGGTGGTGGCATGAGCAGGCAAATCATGATTATTAGTCGATTTAAAGGTCTAGAAGCGATGTTAAAGAGGGGCGAATTGGACAACACGGGAAAGGAGACTGACCATGCGGATTTTGATGAGAGCTTCATTGCAGTCATCGAGCAGATAACGCGCTTTCCTCCCATAGATACGCACAACACCAAGCATCAACTGCCCACTCAAGCGCAAAGCCATGGGGGCATGGCCTTGGTCAACAATCGCGCCGACACTGCTTTGAATATCCGACTGCAGGATCTGGGTCTTGGAGAGCTTGCGCTCAACGTTGGAGGCGAGCCAAACGCGAGCCAGAGGCCCGGTCTTGGCCAGCAGTTGTTCAGAATAAAACATGATGCGTTGAGGGGTGGATGTGCATTTAAGTTGGCCGACGAGTCAAAAGGGTGGCACGACGCGTCAAGAGATGATATCCGAATAGCAAAGGGATAGATAATCGCGCCGTAAAGATTGACGATGAAGTCGAAGAAAACAATGCGCGGTCGAAGCGAGGTGGGAGGGGAGGAGGAGGAATCGAGAGAGAGGATAGAGAATGGTGGTGATGAGGATGGAGGAAGGGCGGGCGCAGGTAGTGTTTGCTGGAGCGACGATCGAAAAGAGGTGGTTGGTGTTGTCCAGCAGCGGCAACGGCAGCGAGCGGGCACTGGCCACTGGCCACTGGGCAGTCGCACCAGTGCAATCTCAATGGCTGACCCATAGGCACGTGACTGAATGTCTTGCAACACGTGTCTCAGCTCGGCAGCTTGTCCCAATATGGAAGCCACGGAGAAAGATTGCTCCGTTCCAGCATTCGGAGAGTCGAACTAAGTCCGGATCGAGCGTCGACTTCTTTTCTGGAAAGCGCAGGTCATACTGGCAACTTTGCATCGTGTCGCATTTCGTTGGGTTCAAACACGACAACCACCTCTACCAGCATTGGAAGCCAGGGTTCAGCAACAATCCGCAGATCCAAGTTGTATCCCTTGTTTCAATACTCTCTTCCACCCATCAATACCACTCAGTTTACCGCACAAGCCTGCCGCACGACCGGAGAGACTGGCCATTTCTCCTTAATCGCCTGGCCGCGTCCTAGTACATTGGTCGATGATGATGGCCGTGCGGTTAATATAACACCATGCAATCATGTCAACACTATCAGTCCCGGCTCTTCCCCAATTCAACCCCCCTACGAGCCGACCTCAAAGTCCTGCCCAACTTGCTGGCGCCTCCTCCAAAATAACCTCTGCTTATTCCCTGCTACCCCCGGAAGCAACTGCCAGTGAATTACAAACGTCCATCACACACGGTCTCTTCCAGAGCGAGGCACATGCCAGACTCGTAAAGGATGGCCCTAATGAATTGCCACATGAAGAAGAAGAGCCCCTGTGGCTAAGGTTTCTCAAGCAGTTCAAAGAAACCCTCATCCTCCTGCTCCTTGGTTCTGCTGCTATCTCCCTCTTCATCGGTAATAGAGATGACGCCGTCAGTATTGCCCTCGCTGTCACTATTGTCGTCAGCGTGGGCTTTATACAAGAATACAGGTCCGAGAAATCCCTTGAAGCTCTAAACCGCCTCGTACCACATTATGCCCATGTTAGACGAACTGCGCCTCCAGTGCGTCGCCTTTCTAGAAGCCATGGCGGCCTCACCGACTCATTTGAGATGGAGCCTCTTGCCAACGGCACCGCAGTCCCTCCAGAAGAAAAGCTATCCTCCACAATCCCAGCCACCCAACTTGTTGTGGGAGACCTTGTCATCTTCTCAACGGGCGACCGCATTCCCGCAGACATTCGAATCACGCGATCAACCGAGCTAACCATCGACGAATCGAATCTGACTGGAGAAAATGAACCTGTCGAGAAGCATTCCGCTGCACTGGACAGACCTCCAATGAAACTAGAACATCGCCATGGAACACCAGAACCGTACAACGCTGCCGGTACCGTCGGTGCGGATGTCCGTCTCAATGAACAACACAACATCGCCTTTATGGGTACTTTGGTCCGCTCTGGGCACGGTGAAGGGATCGTCATTGCCACAGGGGGAAATACAGAATTTGGAACCATCTCACTGTCCCTCCAGGAAATTGAAGCCCCTAGAACACCTCTACAACACTCGATGGATCTTCTAGGAAAGCAGTTGAGTTATATGTCCTTCGTTGTCATTGGGATTATTATGATTATCGGCCTTATCCAGGGCAAGAAGCCACTCGACCTTTTCACCATCGGGGTCTCACTCGCGGTTGCTGCTATTCCCGAGGGGCTACCAATTATCGTCACCGTAACCTTAGCCCTGGGGGTCTTGCGCATGGCCAAAAGAGGTGCCATTGTTCGCAAGCTTCCGAGTGTCGAAACTCTAGGATCCGTTAACGTGGTCTGCAGCGATAAGACAGGAACCCTGACTCTGAACCACATGACTGTGACCAAGGTTTGGCACTTTGATGTTAATCAACCATTCAATATCGACACTTCAGCCCAACCTACATCTGCCATGAGCGCTGTCTTTCGCATCGGCAATATCGCCAACAATGGGCGCCTAGCTCAGTCAAGCTTGGGTACACCGGCCACTGCTGCTTCTGCTGCTGTGCTCTCCTCTACTAGAGACATGTCTGCAACGAGCACCAAGAGCAGATGGCTAGGGCAGCCCACTGATATTGCGATGCTTGATGTATTGGATGCATTCGGGGAAGACGATCTACGTGATCAAGTAGGGCATAGGACGAGTGAAACTCCTTTCAGTTCCGAACGCAAATGGATGGGCGTTGTGCTTGCCAGTGCAATGGGAGATGTGACAAATGGCCAAGGTCTCGGTGCAGAAACGGCTTACATCAAAGGTGCTTTGGAACAAATCTTGAGTCGTTGCGACACTTATCTTACTAAGGATGGTCAAGAATTTATCCTCGACGAGAAAAGGCGTCAAGAGGCACATGCTGCTGCCAAATCCATGGCTGAAGAAGGCCTCAGGGTCATCGGGTTTGCCAGTGGCACTGTGCGAAACAAGAACCGTCATAGCAGCCGCAGTTCAACCCCTCTAAGCGATAAGAAACCCACCGAGGGAGATCTATACAAAGGCTTGTGCTTTGCTGGACTAGTTGGCATGAATGACCCACCCAGAAAAGATGTGCACAGATCTATCAAAAGACTGATGAATGGAGGTGTCAAGGTTATCATGATTACTGGTGACGCAGAAACAACTGCGGTGGCTATTGCGAAGAAACTCGGAATGCCAGTCAACCCTGCTTTCTCTGCATCCCGATCTGTACTTCGTGGTGATGAACTCGACCGAATGTCTGAGCAGGAGTTATCCGAGGCCATTGTCACAACGAGCATCTTTGCCAGGACGAGCCCCGACCATAAGATGAAAATCATTCGTGCGCTTCAAGCTCGCGGAGATGTTGTCGCAATGACAGGAGATGGTGTCAATGATGCCCCGGCCCTGAAAAAGGCCGACATAGGCATTGCAATGGGTTTGCTTGGGACTGACGTTGCCAAAGAAGCTGCTGACATGATTCTTACCGACGATGACTTCTCCACCATTCTCCGGGCCATTGAGCAAGGCAAGGGTATCTTTTACAACATCCAAAACTTCATCACGTTTCAGTTGAGTACGAGTGTTGCGGCGTTGACATTGGTCTTGTTGAGCACCATGTTTGGCTTTAAGAATCCGCTTAATGCCATGCAGATTCTTTGGATCAGTAAGTCTATAGGCACCCTCTTTGAATGTGAGTTACTAACGCCTAAAGATATTCTGATGGACGGTCCTCCTGCACAATCTCTTGGAGTTGAACCTGTCGACCCTCGAGTAATGCTTCAACCTCCAAGACCACGAAATGCAAATGTACTCACCAGACGGCTTATTCGTCGTGTTCTCACCTCCGCCCTAATTATTATGATGGGGACTCTGACCATTTACATAAGAGAAATGGTCGATGAGGACGATCCTTCCTCGCCCGTCACGCCAGACAATACTCCACTTCGAAGACGTATCGTCACGAAACGTGATACCACCATGACGTTCACGACCTTTGTGCTTTTCGATATGTTCAATGCCCTGACTTGCCGATCCGAGGCTAAATCGGTATTGTTTGGGGAGATCAAACTGTTTGGAAACAAGATGTTCAACTATGCAGTAGCAGGGAGCTTGGCGGGTCAGTTATGTGTCATTTATCTACCATTTTTGCAAAGAGTTTTCCAGACCGAAGCTATTGGTCTTTGGGACCTCTTTACTCTGGTGTGCATCACCAGTACAGTCTTCTGGGCCGATGAAATTAGGAAATGGATCGAGAAGAGACGAGCGGCTGGCCACTTGCCGAGTGTTGGGTATTCGGCCAGTGTGTAGATTATATATATAACACGGGGTGGAAGTAGTGACGGGGTATAGCATATATACTAGTACTCCCCAGTGTATTGTACAAATCAGAGAGGTTGACAGTATTTCAAGTCCACCTGACTAGACCAAAATCCGAAGTAAAAAGTTTTCTGACACCTTTATGAGAATTTTGATGGAACTTGGGAGTGCTTGATTCGCGAGGCTCGAACAGGATCTGCTCTGATATTCTCCGATTGGCGTAGAATCCGATCGAATAAGGGATTCCGAAACCGATGACTCGCCTATCTGAAAGGTGTAACATGGCTACGTCGTGATAGCCCTTGCAATTGTCCAGTCTCGTTCTCTTACTGAGGGGTTTTTCTCGCTCTCCAAACATAGCTGAATCCTATATTGACAGGCCAGGGTATAGGGGGATCGATTTCTAAGTGGGATCCGACCGAGATTATTGTGTCAGATCGCTCTCTGCTGACTAACATCCAAAACTCAGATCTTGGATGCCATTAATTATCGGCCACTACATCCCAAACGAGAAAGATAAGAACGCATACTTTGTGTCAGATAACAAAGTATCCGGGCACATCGAGTCGAGGCTCACCTCAGCCATCTTGAACGGTTGATTTAGATCGATCAACTTGCACGCCTCTGTCCGGCGGAGCCGAACGAATCACACCCACGGACCCAGCTCTCACTCACCACGGTAATCATGACCACCGACGCAGCTTCTTCAGGAGCCCCAGAGGCGCCGAGCATCAAGGGTAACGCGGAGCGCGAGCGCGAGCCGTTCGCGGGTCCAGAGTCCGGCCCGGAACCGCCGTTTCCCATCAAGTTGCAGGGGCCTGTGATCAAGGGGTTTGGGCGAGGAAGCAAAGAGGTGAGCCTGATTTCTGTCTTTTGATTTTCGTTTCTTTTCTTTTCGCCCTGCTCCGCTTTGTTCGAGGGCCGGTGGGGGAAGAAGATGGTGAGCGGAGACGGGGGCGGGAGAGAGACAGGGAGAACGAGTGAGCCTGATGGGTATGGGCAAGGCCGAAGTGAAGTAGCCGTGGCTTGCCCTGCTCATGCTTGTCCCATCGTCCTCGGCTCGTTCGCACTGCTCTCGAGTTGCACGCTCGTTGGGGCCTCAATGACACGGTACCACAAGCGTGTACTTTAGCGAGAGTCGATTGGCCGGGCCGTTCAGCCTCGTCATTTGTTACATTTCCTCCACTCATGCTCTATGCCCTTGGGCCTCTTCTACAAGTATGGTTCCCACCTCTACAAACATCGTTTCTTCTGCAACCAAATACCAGCACCACCAAAGGAACTCGTGAATGCTAACCAAAGCACCCGTTATGTCCCGCGATAGCTCGGCATCCCCACCGCCAACATCCCTCCCGAGGGACTCTCAGCCTACCCGGACCTGCGCTCAGGCGTGTATTTCGGCTTCGTGGGCCTCTCGCGGCCTCCCATCACCGACTCCTCTCCTGCGACCTCCACGCCAACACCGCGCAGCACGACCGCCGAGATCTACCCTTCAGTCCTCAGCATCGGGTACAACCCGTACTACAAAAACACGGTCCGCTCGGTCGAGATCCACATCCTGCAGGAATTCAAGCGCGACTTCTATGGCGCGGCGCTGAACCTGCTGATCCTGGGCTTCATTCGGCCAGAGTACGACTACGTCAGTCTCGAGGCGCTGGTCAGGGATATCAGGGTCGATTGTGAGGTTGCCGAGCGGAGTTTGAAGAGGGATGCGTATGCGAGGTTTAAGGATGTCGCGGAGAGAGGGGACGGGGACGGAGACGGTGACAGGGATGAGCATGAGGATGAGGATGCAAGGTGGTTGACGAGGTTTGAGTGGGTAGACGGCGTTGATGCTGCTGAGGTCGAGAGGAAGGTGTTGGCGAAGCAGGACTAAACGGACGAGCTGCGCCACTAAAGCAGGTTTGATAGATACAACGACCAAAACGCCCCGGACAGCCACAACGGGTACGGACACCGCTGGGCTTAGATGAGATAGACCAATATGTGGAGTTTGAAGGTACCAACTACTTCTCCTGCTACTGGAAGAACGACTGTCCCGCAAGTCCGTACACCTTGTTCAGAGATGGCCCTGGCTTCCTAATTAGGAGCGGCAGTATCAGCAGTAGTGGTTGGTAGAGCTGGGCACTGGGCGCAGCCTGGGGCGGCCTAAAAAGCAACCGGCAGGACGAGACGAAGCCTCCAAGCGAAAGAAAGTGAGATTCACGGATCATAATTGGAAAACGGTCGAGGGAGATTCTTGAATATTGCCGTCAGCTTGCATCTGGCATTTCTGCATGCACGTGAGGTCGAATTAGAATCTTGGAAGAAGGCCGAGCATCGTGGGAGAGAGCAAGGGGGAATGAAGGGCAGGGACACTACAACTAGCGCTGAGGACCCCGTATTGCTGTGTTGTACGTATAAGTCGATACCTGCTTGTTTGAGATTTGGGGAGAGGGAAACCAAGAATGGGTGCCAGGGACTCAGTTCGCTAGAAAGATCAAGCGGTAGAGAACGAGGGAGGAGGCCGGGGGGATTCATTTCACCGACACAAGCCTTGTAGGGGTTGTCAAAGGATGTCGGGGCGGAACGCGGTGCAAGGATTCATAGGTGAACGAAGTTGGCATAGAGCACTGATGATTCTACCTCATCTACCTCGATTAGGGGAGCTCAACTCTTTCCGGCCCCAGCTTTGGGACCAGCGAAGGAGGAACTCATACCCAAAGCGAATGGCTAGCCCAAAAAGATATGTGCTTCATTGTACTCATCCAACAGGATGGACACGCTGTGCAATATTCCATGCCACGAGGGGTCAGGATGCCCTCATCATAAAGTCTCGCTTCTATCGTTGTAGGGCCCAAAAGGGCCTTCAGTCCGTCCACGTTAGTCTGAACAGCAATGTCAACAAACAAAAGTAGCCAGGGGCGAAAGGAACTCCATATCCCAAATAATCACAACAGCCACTCCAATTGTTCCAGTCATGAGCCCCAGAAGCCACCAAGTAGACTTGCAGCAATGGCGGTCAAAAATGCAATCGTAAAACATCAAACTTTTCCCTTCCTTTCACAAGCCTATATACAAGGCAGAAACTAGAGTCATGTTAGCACTCGGATAGACAAGCATCGAGGCCATCACAATACTCACATTCATCACAATAAGCATGGGAATGTCGAACACGTCCCTTTTGACGGTCCAGCAATATGTGCAATCCACCTTCCCATCTGCAGATCCCAGTTTCTGCATCCCCTTCTCACCGGAAATGCCATCTTTCTTTATGTCGTGTTGCTTTCGGGCAAGCCCAATACTCTCTCGTCGTCGGGAATCTGTATTGTTTTGCCCGCCATCTTCTTTGCGCATCTCAGCTTCCGCACTCAGGTTTTGCGTAATCTCGTCATCCTTGGTGCGGTATTTGAGGAGTTTCCCCCTTCCATGAACACTTCCACGACTGTCTCCGAATGCAAGTCGTGCAAAATCTTCGTAAAATTGCACCACCGAATCATCGTCGAGCAATTCGGCCAGGAATACTGGTAGTGCTCGTTTTTCACCATTCTCCATGTCTTGTCCACCGCCGCGAGTTGGAGTGTTGAATCCCGTTGCTCTTGCAGTGTTCGTACCAGATCCAGTCCCAGGGGTTTGTCCTGAATGTCCTCGATTCACATTGAGGTTTGGAGTACGACCCAGGAGCACGTTTTTGGTCCAACCTGTAAGAATCTGGAACTCCTTTCCCACCGCCGCAACTTCTCCCGTTCTCCTTGCAACAATGGTTGGTGTTCCGACCCCTTCGATAAACCCCTCGTATTCCCACAATGTCCTTTGGAAACACTTCTCCATAAATATAAGATCTTCCCGGTTCAAAGTCTTGGTCGTCGCAATGAATGAGGGGCGGAAAGATGCCAGTGATTTAGCAATGCTGAGTGTTTTGGACGGGTGGTTGGAGAAGCGCTTCTGAAGGTAGGCAATAAGTGCATGAAACCCGGCCGTGTATGGATGAGGACTGGTGACCGTTGTATAGATCGACGAAGGGTCTTTGGGTCTTTTCAATGACTTGACCGGCAGTTGTGACTTGGCTTTCAATTGAGGAGTCGATATCGGCGGAAGCTGTTGATTGCGATTGTTGTCTTGAGCCGACGGGGGATTCAGTTGAGCGTTTGACATAGGAGGGACATGGAGCAAGCCATTGCTGGTCATGAGAGGTGAATCATCAAACTTGACGGCATTCGTTGGCGTACCATTGGTGTCGGGGGAAGTCCAGTGGGCTGCACCCGTTTCTATTGCAAAAGCATTTGGAGCCATATGATGACCCTGTCCATGAGCGCTATAACTGTCGGATCCGTTGGGCCAATCGGTCATCATTGGGTCATTATACTGGAACTGTGCCGTTGGGCTCTCACTGAAACTTCCCAGTGGCATGCGATACTGTTGCACCATAGAGCCTCGATGGGTCGTGGTATCACTAGGAGGGGTCTCACCCGCATTGGTCGCCATATGGCCCAACATTCCGAACTCAAGCGCACCATAATGGTTACCGAAATTCATACTGGCGATATCGAAGTTGAACATTGATGGGTCATCAAATATGGCGCCAGACCATGCGGCCGAGTTCATATTATTCGCGCCGGTTTGATCAGGCCCCACGACTGGACTTTGCATAGGCACTTGGGAGCCCACACTAGTGAAATTCGTGCTTAAAGGAGACTGTTGTGTATAGCTTGTCGAACTGACGCTGCGCTCGTGCAGCATGGGAGGCGGCATTTGCGAGTTCTGCTGAAAGCTATTGAATTGTTGTGGTTGCTGGTAGAACTGCTGTTGTTGTGGAGTGGAAGTTTCGCTTGCAGTTGTTGTCATGGTAGATGATCGTTGTTTGGCCGCTGAATTGTTGTACAGATTACCTCCCACAACGGGGAGGAGAGCTTCATTGGGGGCATCGTGGAGATATTTGGCCTTCTTTCGCACACCATCCTGGCAGGCATCCTGCAACCCGCGTTTAATGCACCTCTGGCAGGGCCTTTCGTCACCTTGGCAAGTTCAATGTCAGTAGTTTTCTATAAAGCAACCAGTCAAGGCGGTTGATACATACCACAGGTCAAATGTGCACGCTGACAGGCATAGCAAGCTCTACGAGCCTTCTTTCGTCGAGGACGAGAAGGATCTTTGGCATTGGATCCATTCGGTTGCTTTGGCTTCTCAGCTTTGACTTGTTGGTCGGCCATGGTTTCGGTTCCACTGTCGTCGGGGGAGGGGGAACGAGAGTGGCCATCCTCGACATCTGAGGCCGTCATATTGTTATAAGCAGATCATCAAGAGGACTGTCAAATCATGCAGAATGCAAGGCGGCTTGCACAAGGACGCCAGTAGTGACACCTGACCGGAGATGTTCCTGAGGGGATTGAGATAGCGACTGAGTAGTTAAGCCCATATAAGTAGAATGACAGTTGAAATCTCCTTCGTTGTGCAGAATCACGTCAAACTTTGGAGGGGAGCTGATAGCGATTACACTGTGACAAGACCGTATACTGGGGCGGTTGGGAGAGGTTGAGGGGTACTGCCGCAGTTGGAAGCAGAGTGGAGAGGATGTGTGGTCGGAGGCACCGTGGGACGACGGCGCAAGATTGGATGTGGAAATGGATATGGGTCCTGGGCCAAACAAGCTGCAGCAGTCAAGTGGGAGGAATAATGCTGTGCGACTTGGTGAGGTATGACAGAAAGCGAAAAGCTGTCGAAGAGAGAATGCTTCTATTCAAGCGGAAGAAACGCGGAGATGGCTCGATCGATCGAGGTCGGTCCGAGGAAAGGACGTGTATGTCGGATGAGCGCCGCGTTTGGAGTGGAGAGTCTTGACGAGGATCGGAGGATCAGAGGAATCCGGGGAGCAGTAGGATAGAGGACGAGCTGTTGCGCCGTCGCAGCGAGTGGGTGATCAGAGGGAGGGAGGTAGTCGACGAAGCATGGCCCAGAATGCTAAGTAGAGAAGATGGTGGTGGTGGTGGTGATGGTGGCGGTTGCAAATGCGGGCAGAAGCAAGCGGCCACAGCCAGGCGCTTGGGATGCGGAGTCGAAGAGGGAAGGCAAGCTGACGATGATGGGGGAGGAGCGGACCATTAATGTGGATATGGCTATGGGTGTGGCTTTGGCAGTGTCATTTCATGTCATGGGGTGTGACTGGGGGGCGAGGGAAGAGGCCGAGGACGGGGCCAGTCATGCCCCGGCTGAGGGATAAGGTCCTTGGTGCGGCCTTCTCGGTACTCGGTATCGTGCTCCGATGAGGACAGAGCAGACAAGATTGACGACGCGGGCTAACAGACCTGGGCTGCAGGGATGATATGGAGAGTAATTGCAAGGAGAGAAAGAAGAAAGAGAAAAAGACAAAAGTGAGGTGAGTAAGAATTGCAAATTTAGCAGAGGGAAGGTGCGAGCTACACTACACTTGCACTTGCAGGCGCAGATGCAGATGCGGCAAAAAGGCAGGCACGCCTCACGCTCACGAGGGTGCCGGTCGAAGCGCAGAACATTGATGGGGCACTGACTGGCTGCTACTGGCCGGACCACAGGGCAGGTACACCGTACGCTGCGCGAGTTACGGTGCTGGGCACCGGGCTCTCACGAACGCGATGCTCCTAGGTGTTAGGTGCTAGGTGCTAGAAGCAGGAGCTAAGAGTATGGCGACTACAACACAGGGCAGTAGCGAGTAGCGAGTCGCGCTACCAGGTGAGCGAAATAAACCCCCAGGGTCCGAGGCCTGAAGGTCTAACCACTGTTACCCATACCCACTAACTCGTTCATCTCTAGTTGCAAGATGTTTGAACCACTATTCTCGTCTATTGCTTTAGGGGTCCTGGAGATCTTTTTTAGCAATCACTAACCTCCTGTCAAGCGGCAGCCCGTCTTCGATCGAGATAAGTCCGCTGATGCCGCGGCACAACCGACCCCACAAAACCCTCCCTTCTGTGGCCCGCCGGATGGAGGGGCACTGGACTTGCTCGGAAGGAAAATCCCCCCCCCCCCCAGCGGTCTCCTCTAGGCGCTCTTTTGGGCACCAATTCACTATTGCTTCAACTAGGCGACGCCCCCAAATTGGGAAATTCAAATTTGTGCATACAGTACACACAAACACCCACCAATCCACCATCGATCATGACTGAGCTCTCCGCTACCCCGGCTATCCGAGTGACCCCGTGAGCACGAGCTCTCCTCTGCCTGCCGCTGAAGCCTTCTCTACGGTATTCAGGTACACTGCCAGTACCTAGGAGATCCTGTAACCCAGACCTCAGATGCATCGTCCAGGCACTTGGTATACGAGTACAGACTTCCCAACTAATGGTTACTGACGAGGAGCTCCTGTTTCCCTTCATTTTCACCACCACTGCCAATCGAATTGTGCACCAGCAATGTGCGGTGCAGGGGTCATCCAAGAACCCACCCCGCTGGCCTCTGCTGTGCCGCCCTGTCCCACTCGCTCGCTGATCCGGGCCATCGCAACCAGCGTTTGTCCCCCTGTTGCTGGAGCTCTGAAAGACATGCAAGCCCTGCTAGGCTCTATGCTGGTGAACTCCAGATTCTTTATGTTTCCTGCGACGCTCTAAGCTGGATGCAGTTGGCTTCAGGCAGCAAAACTCTCATGTCTGGTGCTGCGTGTGGCTGCCGAGGGATAGAGTCCACCTCATCGAGCATCCGTCTCCATCAGGCTGCCCGGATTGTCCCGCGTCCACCGGAATCGACCGGCAAAGGCTCACACAAGTATGAGGTAAGTGTCATTGGAATCCCTCTGATTGGCGAGAGCGCCATTGGCTACCGTCCCCTGACCACTCACGGCATCGTCATCACTTGGCCTCGCACTTCCCTCCCCAACATACATCTAAAGTGCGTAGCTCATCCTGAGGGGCCAACAACAGATGGCGGTCTACTACCTTCTGACTGTTGACCGTTGTTCATTGACCGGGCTAAGTAAGTCGACGTCAAATAACAAACAACACCTGAGTCCAGGCTGCAACCGAGATGCACCAGTCTATTACTCGTCAGTTGGACCCGGGGGAAAAGCTGTGCCTGGCTGCTCAAGCAATTCCAACTTCACCGCATTTATCTGCTTGGTGCAACAATGACAAACGTCTGGTAAATGGTTCCTGCCATTGACCCAGGCAACTGCCTGTCAATCAAATGTTGTAATTTTGCCCGCTCTGGTGACTGCTTCACCGCATGCACCCTTTAGGAGGCCCAAGGTGCCCGAAAACCGAAAGCCTTCGTTGAGGGAGGATGTCTCCCTTACCACTACTGCTGCCTTCAGACCGGGGATGCATGCACACACTGGCTGTTTCATTTTAAATACAGCTACATAACCCCTGTTTGTTGCTGATGCTGCAAGCCTCTTGTGCGAGGTAGGACAGCCTGACGTAGGTGTCAGGGCGAAGCATTCCCCTTTCGTCACCTATTCGGTACTCGGTACACTATTCACTTGGAAGTTCTAATTTTATCTATCGGTCCCTAGTAGGACCTACACGTCTCGGTGGCGGGCTCGCAGGAGACACAGCACTAACGAGAGCCTGGCCGGGGGCTGAGAACCTCAAAGCAACTCGTGCAGTTCAACATAAGACAGGCTAGGCACGATCCATGAAGTGACTGTTTCCTCGGGCATAAGACCAAGACATGCCCCAGGAGTCCAGACCAGCCATTCGATGATCCTATCCTGAAGGACCTGCATGGTATCCGATTGCAAGGCAAAGAGGTACATAGGGGAAGGACGCCGGCCAAAGCAGCCAATATCCAAACCCCCTTCCCCTTTATCCCTTTTATCCATTCCAATTCATCATGACCCTTTCCTCGCGCTAAATCGACTCCGAGCCCTCAGTCGTTTCCCATACACGAAAAATACGTACGGGAAAGGCGCCATGGCAAGACACAGAAAGGCCAGGAGGGTGGTCGCCCAATGAAATCCCAATTTCCGGTACATCTGCACGCCGAAAAGCGGAAACGCCCCTGCGAAGCTGGACCGGGCGAACGAATTGGCCGCCAAAGCGCTCGCCGCGTACAGGGGGAAAGCCTCGACCAAAAAGGTAAACACGCCGGAGAAGACCAAGATGAGGCCGAATCCAAACACGGCGATGGCGAGTTCAGGCACAATCCAGTGGACGTGCGAGTAGATAGACCAGCCAAACCAGAAGAGACCAGCGACGCACCACCAGGCGCCGACGATGGCGGGCGCGAGGCGGAACTCTGGCTCCGATTTCAGTTCGCCGGTGTTGCGCTCGTTGTTGCGGATTAGTCGGCGGTAGTTCCGCTGCCAAAGAGGGTCCGAGCTAATCCCCAATATCATCCCGATGAGCAGGCCGACAAACGACAGCCCGACCTGATGCAGGTCGAAGCCGTACACTTCGGTGAAGACCAGGTTGAACGCGCCGAAGAATAGGTACAGGATCCCCAGCAGGATCGACGAGAACAGGCACAGGTTGAAGCACATCGGATCCAGAAATAGCAGGAGGAACGGGCGGTATAGCGAGCGGAGGACGGTCATGGCCACGGATCTGTCGAGGATCTCGATCGGTGCCTTCCACCTTTCCTCGCCTGTTTCTTTGCGCAGCTTTCGCGCCTTGTTGCGCAGGACCACCGGCATGTATGTCTCTGGGATCAGGAAGATCATGCATAACAACATGATTCCAGACCAGATAAGGAGTACATAGTACGACCAGCGCCAGGACGCGTATTGGTTGATGAAGCCACCTATTATCGGCCCAATGCTGGTGATGAAGGTCAGTACCTGAGAATGACAAAACGGGGCCGAACAGCCTACCTTGGACCAAGGAAGGGAGCAGCAGAGTAGATCATCATAGGGCCTTGAAGCTGATCATGATTAAACATGTCACCAACCGTTCCGCCTGCGACCGACAGGAATGCACTCCCAGCGAGACCATCGAAGAAGCGGGCCGCCAGCATGGTCTCGATGTTCTTTGCTACGGCACAGGGAATGAGCCACGTGGTGAAGAAAACATACGCGACGATATAGATGGGCCGGCGTCCGTAGAATTCGGACAAGGGCCCCAACAACATAGGACCGATTCCAAGACCAAAGACAAAAGTTGCCAGCCCAATAGTCGCCGTGAATCGCGATGTGCCGAATTCGGCGTTCATCTGACCTGGATGAAAAGATCAGTGGATGGCCCAAACAGCCTTGTCACGCTTGTCCACTCACCATATGTAATGGTATACAACGAGGAAGTGCAGGTGACGCACAGCGACCCAAAAGCGAGGACAATGACGATCATCCACTTCCGGGCATACCTCAAATTCCTCGGATTCATGGAATCCTCAGGCCCGTCCCAGCCGACCTCAAAGGTCTTCTCTCCCGAGCCTTGCACCGTGATATCCCTGGGAGCATCCGGCTCGTCTTCCGGCTCGTTGAAATAGCCATGCCCGTCGACATATGAGCGCGTAGCTCGAAGGCTGGTGGTCCCCTGGCTGCGGTTCGTGAACACGGGCGTCAAGAAACTCGAGTGTGGTCCTCCACCAACGGCTGCGGGTGCATTCCCACTCCCATTAAATTCCCCTTGGTCCTCATCAGCCCCGTCAGTTTGAGAAGGACCTGCAGCCTGATTGGTTTCATCTGGGCTTTGCAGCGGCGCTGCTCGCTCTAAATCCGGTAAAGGAGCTTCGGCCATGACCTCTATCATCCTGACGTTGGACTCGATCTCAATAGTGCCAATAATGCCAATACCAATTGCCGATAGCAGAACCTCTCATGAGCCACGGACTCTGCGTGCAGAATGCCGATGACGCTGTAGTGTACGGTACCGTACAATGCCATTTATCCCTCGATAAGGCGACGCTCTGCTTTTCCTTCTCTCACTCAATCACCACCACAAGAATAACAATACACGGTGCAATTCAAAAGAGTTGGGACCAAAAGGGTGTCCCGGAAATAAAATGAGGATGACGAAGAGTACTTGCCAGCCAGTATTGTACCGAAATCCGTCCTCGAGCGGATCCGTCCCACCCCCCCAGAATATTGCGAGAAGCGAATCAATTATCTACAGGATCACAGGGCAGTCGCGCCCGGCAATTGATTTCCAGGACCACCAAACGCGGCCCCTCCCCACGAATTTTGTCTTTTCTTTGATAAATTAAAGCCCTGGGACAAGGGGGGTGTGGGTGGGTGCTCTTATCCGATATCAGAGCAAGAAGAGGACGGCGTACGGAGTTGAGAGTCCAGCAAGTAGTACGAGGCCTTCGTACGGGTCGAGTTGGAGAAGACTCGAGGGACGCAGCCAAAAGTTCCGCTGAGAGAATGTGAAAAAAAGGGAGAGGATTTATGTACTATCTGCTGGCCTTTGCAGTAAGCATGCTGACGAAGACGACGACGACGAAGACGACCCCGTTACAGAACAACAATACAATGTGTGTGCAGTACGATCTATCGAGATAGAACACAAACTCGTACATAATTGACTCATCCATATATGCGATAAGGTGCCAAAATGACCGACCCCCATTGTTGGAGATTTCATGAACCCTGATCCCCCTCCACTTTTTCTCACGTCACGCATGGCATTTGCAGATGAATTACGGCAAGACTACCGCGTAGGGGCATCGTACATCGTTGAGTGTCGTCGCCAGCCACATCATTGGTCTCTCGTACAACGTTTGCGTGTCTGCAGCTTATAAATCTCAGGCACAAGAAGACCGCTGACCGCTTCCAGACTAGGTATGCCATGAGAAGAAAGCCTATGCGTCGAGACAGACGACTACGTTCCGCACCGGCTCTGACACGAGGCTACGCATGAACAGGGGTTTTCGATCATCATGTGTCAATCAATAAGGTTACATCTTGTACTTTTCAGCTCAATCAAACAGTTGAACTTCAGGCATTCGACCGAGGCCACCACCTTTGCTGTTGGGGTCCTTCTTCACGTCACCGAGAATGCCTCCCGCACTGCGGTCCTTCACATGCTGTCGTAGTAGCCTCAAAATCTCACTGTCCTTCCAGCGTTGCGGCACGGGTCTATATGCAGGTTTGAATGTGCCGACGGTCTGAGCCCACTCGCCACTTCGAGGCGCGCCTTGTCTCCATGCATCTGTCTCTTGGGTTTGCCCTGGACTAGCAGGTGAACTGTGTGCGGTATCCTTGGTCTGGTTGTCGGCAACAGCACCCTCGGCAGATTCAAGTGATGTTGGTGTATTAGCAGGAGACTGAGTGGCCCAGTAATATATATCCCAATCGTTCTCGTCTAGAAAGCTGTCGTATGTTTGGAGCTGACCCTTATTCATGGAGGAAAGATTGGCTGCCGCAAAGGTGGAAAGTAGAAGATCAGACTCTAATGTCCCCCGCTTCCTGCTTTGGTCTATTCACATCCAGCGTTAGTTAATGGTTCGAAATTCAAATACAGCTATAGTGCATCATCGGGCACCGGGGTTTGCTTCACGGACATAATAATCTCGCTCTCATGGTGGTGACATCTTCTCCGGTTCTTTTCAAGGGTTCCACTCGGAATGATATGCCTTCCATTTGACCAACGCCATATTCGGACGGGCTTACTTTGTCGGGATTACTCTCCTGGGTCCCACCAGTCAACTTCTGCGTCTTTTCTGGGATGTTGTCCTTTGGTGTATAATCAGGGTCAACTGAGCTGATCATCTCGGGAGGTGCTTTGTCTGCTCCCACGGAAGGGATATCGTTGGTAATCGTTGAGTTGGTATTGGTCAGGTGAGGGTTATCTTGCTTCTCTTTCTGGTATTTTCGATGTTCCTCGACATTGGAATGTACTCGCTCGTTGGTCGAGGAGGATGCACAGCGGCGCGACAACGGTGTCGTGAAGCTCCGGCCAAATACTGACCGGGTGAAAAGTCTTGCAGGATTCATCTTGACGGTCAAGGAGAGGAGAACTGGGAGTCACAATGATGGGCGATCGTAAACGGAAACGGAGGAGACACTGGCTGAAGGCGGAAAGCCGAGAGGAGAGCAGCTTTTTGGCCTATTTTATTATTGACATCATACAATCTCAACTGGGGAAGGAGCGTCGGGTTTAGTCACGTGGTACGTCTTTGTACTTGCCCTCTAAACAGGGCAAGGCTCACCATTCCCCATCTATCGACCTCTCCTCTCGCTTGCTCGTATCAACGTGATGGCCATTCTCGCGACAACGAGAATTTATTCTTATTGTAGCCATCCCATTTGGCTGAGGAGTGCTGTCCGAGAACTTGAATCGTTCTATCTCGAGGTTCCGAAACTCTGCCTCGTTAATGAAGCAACAACGAGTACCTTGGGATACCACATATTCGCGAATTTTTTAAGAACTTATATGAGACTAAAATTGGTTTATGTGAAAAGAGGAGGGAAATCTTTATTGGATACCTTGACAACTTTCCTGTTCAGATCCATTTCGATACCGGAACTTTCCATTACGAGTTCTTGCTGCAACTTTGACGGGGCAAGCGGCCGCCGTTCACTGCAGGAAGCTTCTGCTCATACAAACCTCGCAATTGACGAAACATTCAGCTTGCCTGCCCTGCCGTGCAAATGCTCTCACCTGCGAGCATTTGTTAATGATATGAAAGAGGTCGCTTCACGCCATCCATGAACCACTTCCACATCTCGAATCATTGCTCTCATAATAGCCGTTCATGATGGGCAGCTATGGATCCGTTCACCTTGACCACCCCTTGTGTCGGACTGGTCGCTGCTATCGCTCAGCTTTCATCACATGTCGGGACTTTTGATATGCGCATTAAAGACGAGTAGGACAACACTTCCTTCCCTGCGACTAATAATGACATTTGGCATGCTGACCATGGCATAGGTAGCAAGATGATCGACACTTTCTTTGAGCACTTGCTGATGGCAAGAATGGTACCTTCCGAAGTATATCTGACAAAATCTGGATACTCGCTCACAAAGGCGGCTCTCGAGAGGACGAAAGCTGACTTTCAGAATTGGAAACCTATGTTTGGCCGAGATGGGACATTTTATGAAACAATGCCTTGCATGATACGAGTCCCGGGTCTTACAGAAGACTTCACTTTGGGGGAGGCCAATGTAAGCAGAGGGCATCTCGTAGTTACGATGTAAGGATTGGTTCCGAGCCGCTTCCACACAAGCTAACAATATCTTGCTTTGAGGAATAAGATGAGATCGCTGTTTGACGTTCAAATCAGTAAAATACTGTCACTGTTACACCATGAGCACATGTCATAACGAACCTCATTTGCGACTTCAAATCAGTATTACCACAGACTGTGCGCACACCATTATCCGAGAAATACGAGGAAATTCACTATTCGATCGTACTGCTCGTCAAGTCCGACTCTACCGATTTTAAGGTGAGGTTGGGAGGAGTGACATACCAGAGCGTGTCACACATCACTGAGTGGATTTGAAAGGAGATGAATCTCACACCAAGGGGACATTTCACACATCCTTGAGTAGTCGCTTCGAGCTTCAGGATTGTCCTATTACTGTTCGCCTGTTTTGTCTGTTCAGGCGCATTATTTATGTTAGTCTAGCATGAGCCTACTGCACGAGAGATTGATTGCTAGTCTCTCTTGGAAAAAGAAGCGACAAGATGGACGAATGTGAGAGCAACGTTTGCCTCGGAACCCCCTCTTAAGACGAGAGCGAAGCTAATAGATAGTGCTCCTGTTCATCTATACTTTTGGCTGATTTCAAACGACAACACCTCCAAACAAGCAAGCCCAAACAGCGTTACAGCCTACGATACGGCACCGTCGGCTTATTCCCGAGCAACTCATCAATCTCCGTCATGACCTTTTCATCCAACAGCGGCAGGAGGTCTAGTGCCTTGACCGATTTCGCAATCTGCTCGACCTTTGAAGCACCCGTGATTGCAGAACTCACTCTGGGATTCTTAATCACCCAAGCCAGTGCCAAGGTGGCACGATCAGTGCCCAATCTCTCGGCGATCGGCTTCAGCTTCTTGACCTGGGCGAGAGTCTGCTGCCACTGCTCATTCCCGTAGCCCTCTCTCTGACTGGTGGTAAAGTTATCGGTCGCCGTGGCAACACGGCTGTCCGATGGGATACCCTCATCGTATTTCCCCGTCAAGATGCCCGTCTTGAGCGGGCTGAAGGTCGTGAGTCCCAGCCCGTAGTTCTCATATAGAAGCGCAAACTGCTTCTCGACTTTATCGCGCGCGAGCATGTTATACTCCGGCTGCTCCATCAGCGGTCCGATCAGATTCAACCTCTCAGCGCACGCCCACGCCATCGCGATCTCTTCAGAATTCCACTCGCTCGTGCCCCAGTACAGCGCCTTCCCGGAGTTGATGAGATAATTGAACGCGCGAACGGTCTCCTCAATCGGCGTGTTTCTGTCCGGGCGGTGCGCGTAGATCAAGTCGACGTAGTCCAGCTGCAGCCGCTTGAGAGCTGCCTCCGTGCCCTCGATGATGTGCTTCCGAGACAGCCCACTGTTGTTCACCGGGTTGTCGCCGAACGCATTGCCCCAGTAGATCTTGGTCGAGATGACCAGGTCGTTCCGCTTCCACCCGTACTTCTGGATCGCGTTGCCCATCGATATCTCCGATTTCCCTTCGGCGTATGCTTCCGCGCAGTCGAAGAAGTTGATCCCGGCGTCGTACGCTGCTTTCATGCACTCGAATGCTATCTCTGTTACCCCGCAATATTTAGCATACGTCTCCTTGCAGTCTTGTCTAGCCACGAGGCTTCGACTTACCATCGCCGACAGATCCGCCGTATGTCACCCTGTGGAGACTTTGTTAGAGCAACGTTTGGAAAAATATATAGGAGCTGGACACCGTTACTACTTACCATCCTCCAAGCGAGATGACCGATACCTGGAGCCCACTCCGGCCCAGAAATCTATACTCCATCTTGGGAAGCTTCTCAACAGAAGAAGCCATGGCGATTCTGAGCTCTGTGGTTCCTTTCGAAGTCCGCCGAGTTGGTCTTTTTGGGTTCTGGCGGGGGAAGCACACGGATTAAATAGTAAGGCTGGCCGATAATAGCGTCAACATTTGGGGGCTGAGATGTCTATCTTAGGTAGGTAGATATCCAGCCCGGTTCATGAGCCCCTCATGGAGTCGTTTAAATACCCGGTATCTCGGTGCCCACCTTTGGCTGTTTTAGCCGACTTTCCACCAATTACTTGACCCCCGTCGATAACTCCTACCTTTCAAGGCGTACAGGCGTTTGATTTATGACTCCTAACTTGAAGTCCTAGCGATCTTCGGCAAGATAGAGCTACCCCTATTCGTGCATTGCAGTTGACATTCACAGCGGTGGGAGAGCCTGATCACCGGTTCAGTCAGACGCAGCGGTTCTACCGAAGGCTAAAGCTGGTCGCTGCGCGGAGTATCGGAGGAGGTAGCGATGCCAACCCTGGTCACTGCGTGCCTTTTTTCTTTCTTGAATGCGCTTATCGGCTTTTAGAGAGGTGAGGTGCCACTTTCTTGCTCTGGGATCGCTGAGAGCTCCAGTTACAGGTGCAACGAGAATGGGTTAGAAAGTAGCGAAGTGGAGGATGAATCGACGACCCATTAAAGGATAGAGCCTTGCGACAGATCCGCCATAGTTTCAACCTCTCCACGCTCGGGTTGACTGCCAGCAGTATTTTCATCTGGCTGCACCGGAGCCAATATCGCCTTCCGAACTTCGGTAGACCTCGCTCAAGCACCATAACTACCTGTTCTGGAAATAGTAAACACCTATACCGGAACCCATGGCCTTGCTATCCGCTGCCCAAACTGGTATACCACGGGTGTTTGCCCGGCCCAGGCATTGGCGCTTCCTATTCCTGTGACAATGATTGCATGACCTGCAACTGCATTGGCGGTTTTCGTTCTGCCATCAGGGTCGATCATCCTGTACACTGCCTGACCTCCGCTTGTTCCAGCTCCGCCATCAGAGGGAGCCAAAGAGCACTCTGGTGAGGAACGAAATAAAGCTCAGTAAAGAGGTCGTCAATTTCAAAGAGTATGCGCAAGGCCCTAGTTTGTGCCATGTGGTTATTGGGACAGCAGAACTTACTGGAAAACCCACCCTCTACAGTATCATCGGCCGGGCTTGGTAAAGCAACCCCATGCTAAATTCTGACCGACGCCTGGTGGTCAACTAGCACATATTAACTATGAGGCCGGAATCATAGTTCTTTAGGGCCAATAGCGCTGTACTGGACCTTTTGATAATCGCGGGTGGTACATGTCTCTAAAGTAGGGTTAATTAGTGCCCAGAAAACGGTGCACAACATTCACCACTCTTGTAAAAATAAAATTATATAAACTTTGAACTTTCTGTCACACCTTGCTTCAATTAGCTCGAGTATTATGAAAGTATTCTCAGATCGCAATCATGGCCCACAATTTGGCGCACCAAACGCCCAAAAGTTCTGCAGATTTGGGGAGCATGGATAGCATCCAGCAGAAATGTGGCCACCCTAGCTATTCCACTAGCTCGATATCGACTTCTTGCTTCTTACATTCTTCGTCGAAGGAAATACTCCCCTGAATGGTAGGGTCCTTGGTGTATGCTGTAATGTAAGCTTTTAGCAGTATTTTGATACCCATGTACAGTAGGGGTAAGGACAAGGGGTCTTCGGGTTATTGTGCATTGCACTAATCTAATTTCACTATAAGTCATCTCTAATATCATTTCATGCACTGCGTGACTCTTGCCCCTTGCTTAGCGTAGAATAGAATTTCCAATTATTAGTGAATCCGAGTATAGTTCTGAAGCATGTCTGATCTTATACTCCGCGGGGACCACTTGAGGGTCGCATGACGCTATACAAGCGGTAATCAGTCCTTTGGGTCTGAGTCCATGATGCGAAGAATACTTTGGTGCAACGCAGGTTGCTAGATTGCCTCCTGGAAATTCACCTATAACGAACTTCTTCTCTGGCTCTCCTCCATACTTTGAAGCCCTTGCGTTCATAAATTTATATAGACTGTACAGACGTCTTCAAGGTCAGCAGGATAAGGTTCCTCTGGCGCAAGGCGGTATTCTGGTCAGAAGAGGATGATCTTAGACCTCTCTGTAATCATCCTGCACAAATGATCTTCGCCCTCAATACTGCCAGTGAACCACTTCCAGAATTTATGTACAGTTCTCCCGGCAATGGTTCTGTTTCATCTGAAGGCGAGAAAATCCCGAACTCGTTGTGGAGGTGTAACTTGTAAATCTGGCGCACAAAGATGCCAGCAATTTGCTCTTTCGCTCTTTGAATTGATTGAGAGTCGGTGACGAACACGACCACCTGTCATTCCTTCTGCTTAGAAAAGTAGAAAACTGGGACGCTTACCTAATCAAGCTAGAGGCTAACGGCAAACCACAAGCCATTCGGGGTCGAAGTAACCTGGGCCATTATGGTAATGGGAGTATTGGTAGACCGCTAAGCTCGTATTAGGGGTGTAGTGCGAGATACTGGAACACAGGTCTCTCCTTCGGCGAATGTCTTGCAAGCAAAATCTTTGATCACCTTTTCGTGATTCCTGGTCTGGAAAGTTCTCTAGGTAGTCTCAGGCGCTATCTCACTGGAGCAGCGTCTGTATATTGCGTGTACATTCCCTGAAGTTAGATAGGGAATTAGGAAGCCCAAAGAGGCCAAACCTTATGTCACAGACTGAATGTCGGAGGCCATCGCTTTCCAGAGTGTCAGAGTGCCCTTTAGGAACGTGTAGTATGAGCAGTATAGAGGAGATGATCCTTTCAAGCTCGGTACTGGGTACTTTCCTCGATCGAATTACATAAGTGAAGGCAAAATGAGAGACTAAGATACAGTTTAGTCTGACGACTGCCTCTCGCACAATTATTGCTTGAAGGTTTCGTCTGACGCCACCAATTTCCGCTTGGCGTGGACGACCCTTGCATAACTCTTGGCATCTGAATTTCCTGCCCACACATTATCCGGACTGGCGAACTGCGAAAGTTGAAGCACGTCGAGTCAACCACCACCAACTTCAACCCTCACCTATACCGGATCCTCAAGTCACCATGGCTGAACAGCTAATTCAACGTGGTACCCTTGAAGGCCACAGCGGCTGGGTCACCAGTCTCGCTACCAGCTTGGAGAAGTCAGTTCTTGAGCCCGAAATTCCAATTCATTTCCGGTCGCAACTTTCGCTAACTGATCCTCACTTTTTAGCCCTAATATGTTGTTGTCTGGTTCCAGAGATAAGAGTCTGATCATCTGGAACTTGACCCGCGACGAAGCTGCCTACGGATACCCTAAAAGATCTCTGCACGGCCACTCGCACATTGTCTCCGACTGCGTTATCTCCTCGGATGGCGCCTATGCCCTCTCCTCATCCTGGGACAAGACTCTTCGATTGTGGGAGCTTTCCACTGGTAACACCACCCGTACCTTTGTCGGCCACACCAACGACGTCCTCTCCGTTTCTTTCTCTGCAGACAACAGACAGATCGTCTCTGGCTCTCGTGATCGAACAATCAAGCTGTGGAACACTCTCGGAGACTGCAAATTCACCATCACCGACAAAGGCCACACCGATTGGGTTTCCTGCGTTCGCTTCTCTCCCAACCCTCAAAACCCAGTGATTGTCAGCGCTGGCTGGGATAAGCTAGTCAAGGTAAGAAGCCTGGGCATTTACACCTGCTTTGCCCAAGATGCTATTCACTTTTACGTATTTGCTACTTCAGAGCCATCAGGCTATGAGACAACCATTCACCAATGAACTGAGGCACAGTCATTGAACAATCACCCGGAAATCCCTTCGTTAGTATTCGTGCTCAAAAGTGCTGACATGGTGACTTTCCACAGGTCTGGGAACTTGCCTCCTGCCGCATCCAAACCGACCACATCGGCCACACCGGATACATCAACACTGTCACCATCTCCCCCGATGGTTCTCTCTGTGCATCTGGTGGTAAGGACGGTACCACCATGCTCTGGGATCTCAACGAGTCGAAGCACCTGTACTCCCTCCAAGCCGGAGATGAGATCCACGCCCTTGTCTTCTCCCCCAACCGATACTGGCTCTGCGCTGCTACATCCTCCTCCATCACCATCTTTGACCTTGAAAAGAAGAGCAAGGTTGATGAGCTTAAACCTGACTATGTCGAGAAGGGCAAGAAGTCTCAAGAGCCGTATGCTGTCAGCTTGGTCTGGAGCGCTGACGGTCAAACTTTGTTCTCTGGTTATACCGACAACAAGATCCGTGCTTGGGGTGTCATGTCTAGGGCATAAACGGGAAGATTAGTTGTAGATGAGAGAAATGACCTGGGGTGGTAAATGGGGGTTGGCAAAAGTGAAATGGAAAAGCTGATGCCGGAATCGGAAAAAAAAGAGATCCAGCTGCTTTACCACTTAACCCTAGCGGAAACCTGTTTTTTAGCCATATCCATCATCCACGATGGCCGGAGCCGGCGCATTTGAGAAGGTGTGCTTTGTGCTAAATTTCACACAATGGCACGAGGAAAATGACCAACCAATACCAAATCGAAAAATGAAAGCCTCGCTTTGAAACGCGCCTGTGATTCTGTTTCGTTCTGACTACGAGGTACTTTCCTTGACCATATTCCTCGCCCTCACCCTCTCATCCGGCTTCAACTTGTCCGCGACCTCACCCCCAGACTCCAGAGTCTCCTCCCACTCGTCATCGTCCATGTTCATGATCATGCAAATCTGACTGCACCGTAGGAAAGCTTCACGGAAGGAGTACTTCTGGCCCTTGACAACGACCTTGATAATTTCATTGACGTCGTGCTCGAGGCGCGAGGCGCCGATCTCGTTGACTCTGCCATGGTAAGTCCACAGGCGCTTCTCGATCATCTTGCTCAGGTACGTGATGACGACGGTCAACAGGGTGTCGAAGGTGCGCTCCGTCATGATGCGGCCAATCGGCTTGGTCAGCGCATCCCACCCGAGCTGGAACCGCATGCGCACCTCGTCCGAGAAGAAGCTGTCGTCGTCACCGCCCATGGGCGCGCCGCCACCTGCTTCCAGCTCGTGTGCTAGATCTGCTAGTTGCTCCTTGCTCAGGTTGTAGTCCGTGTCGCGGAATGCGTCCATCAGGATCGGCCGCAGCCGTGGTTTCATCACGTTATGAAACACCACGTTCACGCCGTCTGATATCAGTTCGCTGGACTTCTCGCTGAATGAGCTGGAGAGGGAGGTTAGCGTCAGATGGACGGATTCGGCGTCGGCGGGAACCGGGAAAAGGTCATCAAGGAGCTGGTGAGGTGATCCTGCGGTCGGTTGGGTGCGGGCGCGCACGATCTGGTCAATGTAGTCCTTAGCGACATCGAGATTGTTGATGAGTACGAGGAACGAGACAATCATCGACTCTGGTGGTAGCTGACCTGGGATGGCTGCTTTGGGGTAGCTTTCGTCCCGCATCTTGCGCTGTTCCATGCCGATGAAGTCGGAGCCCAGCACGCGGCCGAGCGTCGGAATGACGCTGGAGACAACGGCCTTCTGAGAAGTAGCTAGAGACTGCTGCAGGATCTTGTTGACGATATACATGATGTCCTCGATCGCGGAGGTGACATGTGGAGGATTGGAGTTGAGGGGTTTGTGTGGGTTAAGCGAGAGATCTGGTGGTTGTTCGTCGAGTTGAAAAGCCTTTTCCACGGAGCGTCGGAAGAAGAAGGTCGTCATAGTGTTGAATGGTGTGAGGACCCTGTCTTGGATCTTTTTCATCAGGCTCGAGTTGATCAGGAATTGTGGTATATCTGGACTATGGTTTTCGCTGCCGGAGGGATTCTGGCACTTGTTGGCGACGAATCGTGTGTACAGCGACCATTTTCCAAGCATTGATGCCATTTCGTTCAAAAGGGCGTCTACCTGTTTCATGTCAACAGACTCATCTTCGCTTGCTCGTCCTGGTGCTGGTGAATTTGAACGCGGTATACTAGTGGCTCCTCGTTGTGCAGGCATGAAACTTTGGACTAGGAACATGAAAGCGTAGGACCTGATGTCTGTGAGTTGCCGGTCGATTCTTCGTTCGTCGGCCCACGTGTCAAGGATGATCCCTCCTTGCATATCGGCTTCGACTTGTAACCGCTCGATAACTCTTGCCATTCTCCCTGGACCGTAATGGTGCTCAACAAGGCTGCCGTGGCCGTCTATGATTTGTGCAATGTGCTCGAACAGCTTTGTCAAAGCATTGGCATAGAAGAACCCATCTTTGCTTTGATTTCCGCCGGTACCGGCGTTGAGGTTTGCTCTGGCGCGGCTTGCCACACCCTGACAGACATAACGCCCATAGACATCGAGCCCTACGTCTGATCGGCTGATGAGAGGGAATAATTTGAAGAAACGAGTGATTCTAGCACCGTCGCTGTCCTTGACTGCTTTGTCGAACTCTCTCAGAAATAGACTGCACAAGGATTCCGATGCTGCTTCGAGAGTGACGGCAGGGGCATCGGGTACTTCTGCCGTAGGAACAACTCTAGCCGCAAAAGGGCCGTCGACGACCTCCCTAGGGATTTTTGAGGCTCGACTGAGATAGCTTGCAGCCGTCTCCCAGTCTTGAGCGGCCCCCATTGAGCCTGAGACACCAAGCACGCAAGCTTTCAGCTCACCAACTTGTTCGACGACTGTTAGCGTTGCTTTGACCCGTTCTTGTTCCAGGTCCAGTCGTTTCACAGAATTCGAAATTCGTTTGGCATTGGCGGCAGCATCTGACAGCATGCCATTGCTTACTGCCCGAAGTTTCGACGCTTGGGACGTAGCATTTGCACGAAAAAGATCAAGGTGTCCCAATTCTCGTTGGAGTTCCTTTTGAGCACTGATTAAGGCATCAAGTTGAGTGGTTACCGTGGCCTCCTTTTGGTGCAGCTCGGCAAGGGCCGCACGAATCTCAGAAACCGATTTTGCATTGTAGATGCTGATTGAGTCTGATTCGGCTTCTGAGAAGATGTGCCCATTAGAAGTCATGGTGGGCTTAAAATATCATCAAACACCGAGCCGGGATTCAAAAGCACTACCTAGCCTGAACCATTTAATGACACGAGACATCTTCCCCGTGTGGAATGGACATGCTTGTGTCGTCAGGGAAATAGGCGACGTATGGCTGCGCTATGGACTACCGTATGATGTTCGGTGAGCCGCGCGAGGCAGAGACGCAACAAAATCACGTGAAACGTGACGCGACGTGGGGCAATGAATTGATACCACAATTATTGAAGGCCCCTCACCGCCGCAGCCTCACCACTACCCTACCTAGAGAAGCTTAGCTACTGATATTGAGTCGTTCTCGATTGCTCTACCTCCACGTAGCCCGCGCATGGTCTTCACGCATGTACAGTGTGTAGAGTAGCATTGCACCAGACCAGCCAATCCTCGAGGCGTTCCAGTCCTCGTCGCAATCATAGGTCGCCGCCGACGACACCGCCACTCAGATCTGCGCGTGAGTCGCGGGAGTCTCAATATGGGCAATGAATCATCAACCCCAGTGGATGAGGCTGTGCTTCCAGCAACATTACGTGCTCGAAATATAGAAGCCGTTGCCAAATATATTGAAGAGAGGGACATAAAGAATATCGTGGTCATGGTGAGATCAGATATCCAAAGACCGAGTCAATCAGCTGACAGAAGATAGACCGGTGCAGGCATTAGCACCTCTGCAGGTATTCCCGACTTCCGATCTCCAGAAACAGGCTTGTATGCCAACCTAGCCCGCTTGAATCTGCCATATGCGGAGGCTGTCTTTGACATATCATATTTCCGAACAAATCCTCTGCCCTTTTATGCTCTCGCCCATGAATTATTTCCCGGGAAATACCGTCCGACAGTGACACATTCATTTATTAGTCTCCTTCACAAGAAAGGAAGGCTACTTCAGCTCTTCACACAAAACATAGATTGCTTAGAACGAGAAGCGGGCGTACCAGGAGACAAGATAGTCGAAGCGCATGGTTCGTTCGCAACGCAGCGATGCATTGACTGCCATACCGAGTACCCAGACGACAAGATGAAGGAAATGGTGATGAAGAAGGAGGTTCCGCACTGTGGTAGGAAGACTTGCAACGGTTTGGTCAAACCTGATATTGTATTCTTTGGCGAGGCTCTTCCAGAAGCATTTCATCGAAAGCGAGGCTTACCAGCCCGCGCGGACCTCGCCATTGTGATGGGCACAAGCTTGACTGTCCAACCATTCGCTAGCTTGCCGTCTTTTGTCAGAGAGGAAACGCCTCGAGTACTCATCAACCTAGAGAGGGTTGGGAGTTTTGGTTCACGACCGGATGATGTACTGCTGCTAGGCGACTGTGACGAAGGAGTCCGCAAGTTTGCTGATGCTCTAGGCTGGCGAGAGGAGTTGGAACAACTCTGGGAGTCCACCGACCCGAACAAGGATGAAAAGAAGAAGCAACCGACACCTCCAAAAACTCGACAAGAGAAATTGGATGAGGAGGTTGAGAAGTTGGCCAAGGACATTGATGCTTCACTGAAGTTATCAAATGAGGCTAATGAAAGAATCAGAAGTGAATTGGAGAAAAACAACAGTGCCCAAATCACTTCAGATTCACAGTCTCCTTCTGAATCACTCACTACAGACAAAGGCACTACAAAGGCAGGCACTAGTCTCGTACACGTTTTCCCTCACTTGAAAGAAGAACGGCACGACAAACCCTCACTTTAATCCCCTTTGATCAGATTCCTGTCTCCCATCAATAAGCAACCGAGTGAGAGCTCATTCATATCCTCGACCCTCTTTCTCCTTCGCCGTATCTTGGCTCCTCATTGCTGCCAGCTAAATCATCGCCTCGACAATCCACCAATTCTCTATCAATCGTCAAGAGTTATCCCCTTGAAGTACATGGTAAGCTTGTCATATCAACATCACCATCGAGAGCGGCCGATCTAACTCCCACCTAGATCTTTATCATCTAACACTTCGAGACCTTCACCCGACTTTGACCTTCCTCTACCCCCCCCTCTCCTCATCACCACGATCACACCATGTCCACTTTCAGTTCTCCCCGAGTGAGAGCCCCAAAGCCCGGTATTTTCTCACAGCAAACGCTACTCATTCTTGTTGGCCAAGACCGCACGCCATTTCACGTCCATCCGACCACACTAGCTAAGACCGGATTCTTTGAAGTTCATGGACACCCACCGACGGCTGCCGAGAAAGAACATCGACTACAGCTCGGTCGTGCGAGTGCTACCTTGGGAATGGGGACTCCACCAACAGAGTTAAAGCAGGAACCAGGGCGTTCACGCTCAAGCTCACGCTCCTCAACGGTCAACGCCGAACAGAGATCACCCATCAATGCAGCTAGTAACTCTACCCTCGAAGACTACCATCTTGTCAACCACGTTTTCGAGCCAGCAGCTTTCGAGGTGATCGTCAAGTGGCTCTACAACCAACCACCAGGTGTTCCTGGGAATAGGGGACAGTGCAAAACCCTTCTACGTGCGTACGCCTTGGCCTTGCAGTACAGTATCGACGGATTGCAGGACGCCATTGTCGAAAACTTTCGGATTTATCACCAAGATTTTGATCTGAATTTCGACGATCTTGTCTGGTTCATCAACCGGTTTGGAGATGATCTAAGCTATCGTGCTGTTCCAATGGTTATCTATTTGGCAGACCAGACAGCCTACGAGCTTACTACTCATGGCTACGACAAGTTTGTTGCCAAAAATCAATTTTTCCAAAGATTCCTCACGACTGGTGACCGCCCGCTCCGAGCAATCATCTTCGAGGCCCTGGTCAACCTCGCCCGTGCACCGCAGGCAGTCGACCCAGCGACCGGACCGAACAGATGGAGTGTGGCAGGCTCTACCAACAATCGTAGCCAGCCACCAACAGATGAAATGGAGGTGATTGAGATTGACTAATACTGCATCTTTGAGGCGGCCTCCGATCTTGTGATCGCCTTGGCAAGGGACCATCAGCAAGATTATGAAAAGCGAACGACATCTCGCCCTTGAGTGAATATAGCAGAAGACTGAAGGTTGAATGCAGACACAGAGGGCACATAGATACTCGTCACAAGGGGCAGATGCCAAGGGTCGGAGAATGGGGACGTGAGTCAGCCAGCTATGCTTTGTCAGTAGCATCTACAGGGTTGAGACGAAGCTGGTCACGAGCCATGACAAAGTTTGCTCCTGTGGTAGATGACACATACGTCAATGTCTGGAGGCTGCGAGCTTGGGAATTTATCTCATGGTTGAATACATAGCCACTAAACCAAAGAAAGATTGTCATGGCTGCTTTCCTTCTTCAAGCTGCGTAGTTTCTCCAAGGCGTGACGTTGGGTTTCCACAGCCTTTGGGTGCGGCCGCTAGCACCGACTAACTCTCCTCGGCTGAATATCCTAATTAATTAGTAGTCGGCATGATGCTCCTAAACGGAACATAGTGCCAGCTAACTTGATCTTAGTAACCAATGTGGGGCTGGGAAACGTCATTCAGCTCGTGGTTGATGATTAGCGCCCACTAAGTCTTCGGTACCCCTCCTCCGTTCTTGGTGTGTTGCCTCTTTTGTCCCTGCATCCCACCCCTTGCTGCCCTTGCCCCGCCAAAAAGCACCAGCCGACGTATCAACATTTACAAACCCTCCGTGTTCTACTCGATTGGACTTTGTTTGGTTTACTTTCAGCTCGTTCTATTCTATCCTCTGCTCTCACGCCCCGGCTAAAGGTTCGGAAGCTGTAGTTTGCAACTGTTATCCTCTCCCCCCTTCAATTTTCGAAGAGAGCACCCAAGAGCCACCTTAGCTATCGGTGGGTTGGACTATTCAACATTTCCTCTGGAACAAGCATCTTGAGCCCGTAGAGAGCATCGTCAGGCAAAATGGTGGGCTTAGGACCAAGACGAAAGCCTTCCCGCAAGGGTCAGTCACTCCTCAATTTCCCTGCATTCTCTCTCTCCGAGAACATGGGACCTGACAATACCAAGGGTCTATGGCCGATGTGCCCAAGAACTTGCTGGAAGAAATTGCCAACCTCGAGAACATCTTCACCGTTGATGCTGCTAAACTCAAGCAGATCACCGACCACTTCGTGAACGAGCTGACGGCTGGCTTGGAGAAAGATGGGCAAAATATCCCCATGAACCCCACCTGGGTCATGAGCTTTCCAGATGGAGATGAGCAGGGAACCTTCCTAGCTTTAGACATGGGTGGTACAAACTTGAGAGTGTGTGAGATCACTTTGACGGAAGAGAAAGGCGAGTTTGATATCATTCAGAGCAAGTATCGTTTGCCGGAAGAACTAAAGACTGGCACGGCCGATGAACTGTGGGAATACATTGCAGATTGCCTGCAACAGTTTATCGAATATCACCACGAGGATGAAGATCTGACAGATCTCCCGCTTGGTTTCACCTTCTCCTATCCTGCTACCCAAGATGCCATTGACCATGGCGTTCTCCAGAGATGGACCAAAGGCTTTGATATCTCTGGCGTTGAAGGGGAAGATGTTGTTCCCCAATTTCAAGCAGCTCTCGAGGCCAGGGTATGTGGTTCTGTTGTGTTGTTGTCTTGCTCATCATGCTGAGAATTACTCAGAAACTCCCAATCAAACTCGCCGCCCTCATCAATGACACAACTGGCACTCTGATTGCGTCCGCATACACCGACCAGTCCATGAAAATTGGCTGCATCTTCGGCACCGGGTGTAACGCTGCGTATATGGAAAACTGCGGCTCGATACCTAAATTGAAGCACTTGAACCTCCCAGATGACACACCCATGGCCATCAATTGCGAATATGGAGCCTTCGATAACGAGCACAAGGTCCTCCCCATCACCAAATATGACACCATCATCGACGAGGACTCACCACGACCCGGCCAACAAGCATTCGAGAAAATGATCGCAGGGCTCTACCTCGGCGAGATTTTCCGGCTCGTAGTCGTCGACCTACACGAGAACAAGAACATCCTGTTCGAGGGCCAGAATATCTCGAAACTCAAGAAACCCTACACATTAGATGCATCTTTCCTGTCCTTCATCGAAGAAGACCCCTTCGAGAACTTGCAAGAAACACACGACATGCTGGAGGAGAAACTGCAAATCACAGCGACGAAGCCCGAATTGGAACTCATGCGTCGCCTGGCAGAATTGATCGGCACCCGGGCAGCCCGCCTCTCCGCGTGCGGCGTTGCAGCGATCGTCAAGAAGAAGAATATCGAGTCCTGCCATGTCGGCGCAGACGGCAGCGTCTTCAACAAGTACCCTCACTTCAAGCAGCGCGGCGCCCAGGCCCTCCGTGAGATCCTGGATTGGCCTCGCGGCAAGAAAGACCCCGTCACACTTTTGAGTGCCGAGGACGGAAGTGGCGTCGGCGCTGCCCTGATTGCCGCTCTCACTATCAAGCGTATTAAGGAGGGCAATACCGTCGGTGTAAAAGCGCTTGATATTTTGAAGAAATGTTAAGAACTCTTCGATCGAAGCTGTCTGGGAAGGCTGATAGGATAGGAAGCATATATTGTCAAGCCAAGTAGCGGATCTGTTGTGGTCAAGCTCATTGCCACGACCTGTCGGCTGCGAAACGCACAAATGTCTGGATCGCATCTTGCTAGGCGGGTGATCTAGTAGAGTATGGGCGAGCACGAGTGTGTTCAAGCTGATGGCACGCCCAATTGTTCCAGAGTATCTGTCTGTGTTGGTCCAACTACTCCGCCTGGCTGGATCCAAAATCAAGAATCGGAAGCTTCACAAATCACAAATCTTCATTCTGCGTCCTTTCTCTCGTGTACTTACCCGAGAGACAGAAAAGCTGTCCCTTCCCTGCCATCCCCATTCTAGTCTATGCATCTCTCCACCCCCGCCGACTTTACTCCCTAATCTCCCACAGCCGAATTTTCCCCTGCTCGTTCGCGACCGCGAGGTAGCCACCGTCGGGGGACAAGGCGAGCGAGGAGATGCGGCCGAGTGGCGTCTTGTCGGTGGGCCAGTTGCGGTACAGTGTCGCGGTGGGCAGATGCACCAGCCGCAGCGCGTTCTTCTTCCACCGCGACGCCATCACGAGCATCTGCCCATCGGGCGAGAACTCCAGGTGTGAAGTTGGTGTTGTCAGCTGATCGAAGGAGCGGAGTGGTTCGGGCCGGTGGTCAGTTACAGTGGTGGCGCCAGGTAGGAGTTTCTCAGTCTCGATCCAGCTGCGCCGGTCGTAGAGGTTGACGACACCGCTGCTCGAGCCGAGGGCGACCCAACGGCTGCCGCCGAGGAAGGAAACATCGTGGGTGCCGATTTCGCCGCCCAAGGCGATGATGGTCGTGCCGACGGCGCCGTCGTCTATCCACCGCCGAACCACTCTCCGCTGCGTGATATCGTATTCGCTGACCTCGCCGTTCTTCCCAACCGCTGCAAACCCGTTGCCGTCGCGCCACCATGCAAAGTCCGCGACGCCGCCGCGTGAATCCACCCGACATGAGCACTGCCATTGCATAGTTGCGGTAGAGAGCACGTTGATCGCGCCGCCGCCCTTTTTCGCTGATGAGATAAGTCCCATCCATCGCCCACAGGGCGACAGTTTGAACTGTTCCATCGTTCGCTGAGAGTGTCGGGTTGTGCCGTACATGGCGCGCGTGACCTTTTGGATCTGTCCTGTCGAGAGTGACCAGGTGTGGAAGTAGCGTCGGCGGGAAGAGAAGAAGATCCGTGTCTGGTCGTTGCGGTCTTCTTCATTGTTGCTGTTTTGGTGGGATGAGGTATCGGCCGTCGGACGGCAGAATTCTGCGGTGTGGATCGGCGTGCCTTTGATGTGAAGTGAGCTGAGAATCGGATTCGGGTTTGGCGGATGCGGCGATATATGGTACAGGGTGATGGTTGAGCTTGGTCCGGAGGAAAGAAGTAGAGGGTAGCATGGGTGGAATTGGAGACTGTCAATCGAGGATGGGCCGGCCGCAGCGACATCCTTGGTGCGTTGAATGTCGAGGACTTCAGGTCTAAGCTTTCGCTTTCCCTTTGAGGCTCCCGGGCTTACACCCGCTCGAGTCAGCGAGCCGGCAGTGCGAAGCAGGTCCGCGAGTGGTTTCGCAGAAAGCAAACCCTCGCCATCCTCGTCAGCCAATGAGACGTCAGAGTCCGAGTCGTCGTTCTGCTCTTCCGCATCTTGCGACAATCGCCTCCGCTTTCTCGCGTACGTGACCCATTCTGGTGTGGGGTGAAGTCTTTCATATTGCCTCCGTAAGCGTTCAATATACTCTCTTCCACTGACTATATCATCGTCTCCGGTATCACGTAATTTGCGTAAGCGAGTGTTTGAAGCAAGAGAAACTGTGATGCGGTCGTCGTCGCTGTCATACCATGCTTGCTTCCGTTCAACGTTTATTTGCGAGGGCGCAGTCTGTTCGAGTTCTCGCTTCACAGCTGCAGGCAAGGCACCTGTGCCGCTGTCGAGGAAGAAGAGCTGTGACAACTGTTAGAAATGGAATGCGTTAATTGGAAGGCTGGACACATACATCCTCGTCGGGTACATCGCTCAGCCCTCCGTCTCCATCCTCAACTTCTGAGTCTTCACTTGCATCGTCCTTGAGGTGAACCAAGGATCTGTCATGTGTAACGTCTTGTCTCTTCAACGATTCAAGAAATCCTGCATCGTCCCCAAACAGTGCCTTCTCAAGCCGCAGCTCAACCTCGTCTTTCTCAAGATTGTCCGTGACTTTGCTCTTCTTTTCTGACTGCTTCTTTATGCGCGTAGGTGCCTGCATAGTGTCTGAACCTGCGGCTGCGGTTCAAAGGATGATTGTTCGGTGCGGAGCAAGACCGCTCTTTGGTTCAATTGTGAGGACGAAATTAATTTTCTGCTTGAAATGCGGAGAATTTTGCATTCGAGTTCCCACTTACAGTAGGTGAATCTCCAAATGTCCCTGACCGGGTTTTCGATTAAAGGTGCTGCCGCTATAAGCATCAGTCTTGGCGAATTCAAGGATGACGGACAATACAGGGTTTAACCAGCACGATAGCTACAATAACAGGCAAACAAAGGTCCTGTTTACCACAGGCATCATGGAATTCTTTGATTGTAGTCTTCCACGCTCCCACAATGCGACCCAACGCCAGATTGCATCTAACCGACTACTTCTGATATGAATTCGAATTCACCCTTTCAGCGGCTTGTCAATTGGTCTCTGTGACGCCACGGATTGCCTGACGGACTATCCTCTGAGATCACCAGGCCCGCACATTGTGTGTCATGTCATTAATGACCGCCAATGAGTCCATTTGGGGACATCTAGTTGTTCTTGGATTCTGGACTGCCAAAATAGACCACCCCTTACAAAGATGGTCGAACATAACCCAGCGACATCAAAGTGGGCCCCATGGATCAACGCTTCCTCATTCGCAGTGCGTGCATATGGCGACCATGTGTGTGGTGGGGGCGGCAATCACCGGAGGGCGGTGAGATGACGGGAAACAGTCTCAATAATTGGAGACTTTATCGAGGGTCTCATCTCCTTCAAACTGGCCTTCTTAACGGATGTGCCTCCGTGTTGAGAACATAGTCGTCGAGACTGATCAACTCGGGTTCGCTGTAAATGAGGTAGAAGTACTTCAGAGTCTCTGCAAACCAGAAGCTTTCCATGCGGTCTTGCTTTGGCGGTAGTCCCTTGTCTAATCCGTCGCCCTCCATGCTAGTGCCCGTGATATCAAGGACAGCTGCATTCCCGTATTCGGTTTCCGTGATAGCTTGTATAGCATTGAACATGTCCCACGCAGCCTCCAGATACGAACGATCTCCGGTGACTCGATACATGATAAAGACACTTTCAATTGCTTCGGGGCGTAAGATATACCGCCGGTCATCGATTTCTGCAAAGCCTTTTGGGAGTTTCTTTTCAGAGATGATCTCGGCAGCATTTCTGCTGGCTTGTTCAGGACCGTGTCGGTCGATCACCGCAGCTTCCCATCGGTCTTCATCCCATTGGCACTTGCCCTGGGTAGGACAAGGCACAAAATGTGCAATCTCAGGCATAACACCCCGAGGACCGTTCTCATATGCCCAGATACAGCCCGTGGTAATCTTGCGTCCTAACTCTACGTGGTCCTCGCTGGAGAAGAGACGCCCACCTAAGGCTAGCATTCCACCGGTGAAACATGTCAAATGCTGGTTCCTTGGCTGCAATGAGACCACACCATTCTCATCCACCTTCACATCCCCAGCCATAAGAATGTCCGCATGTTCAGGGGTCATTGGTTTGAATAGTATATGTTTCGTAATCGCAGCAATAGAACCATTGTACAGTTTCTGGTACACGGGGGATAAACCACCCAGTAATGCGAATTCCTTGGGAAAGTACTCGTAGAGCGAGTCAGACATCCCTCCTAGTGTAAAGGTGCCGTCGGCAGTCAAGTCTTTGTCTTTAGGATTGACTACTACAGGCCAAAGTCCAGGCAATTTTGTCCGGTCTTGTTGTTCATCAAATAAATCTGTAATTCGTGTGATAGCGTCATACCACCTCATATCGCCAGTCAATTGACTCAGACGCGTGAACTCGAGTGTCAATGAGCCAAGTTCGGAAACCAGCATCCACGGTGGAGTTTCTTGTCGGAGGCGGGAGTCGGTGGCCTGCTTCCACTGCCAGCGCGTAATGGGGAAGTGGTTCGGAGTATCAAATGCAACGAGGAGCATCTCACCGACTTCGATAGCTTTGTCTAACAGGATGCGCTCTCCACTGAGATCGTATGCTGCGAGAAAACCACCCAGGTAGCGAATTGTAGTCTCGAAAATATTCACCACTTCGTCTGTGGACTTTGAGAAATCAATCTGTCGAGCCGACTCAACCGCTTCATGGAATTCATACTTCATATCCATAATCCACAACGTATCTAGTGCATCGACCATAGTGGCAGCCCAACCCCCAAATGTATCACGTCCCCTGCCGGATATGGGAGATAGTTCATCGTGCATCCAGGCACGGGATCGGTAGGAGGACCAGCATTTTTGAAAGGCGGCTTTGATCTTCTCGCGACGGGCCAAACGGACAGTCTCTTCGGCGGCCGACTCTTGGGAGAACCGATATTGGACGTTGGGAAGCTGCTTTGGCTGGCCTTTGGGGAGGGAAGCGAGTTGTTTCAGGGGATAATGGACTGGGCGATCCGCCCAGCTGAAGTGGCCGTCATTAGTCTTGGGAGGCGACTTATAAGAAGGTAGGTCGAAAGGTCGATCGAGTGAAGACGTACGAGCGTGGAGAAGTAGAAGAAACAGCACGGACACGAAGGCTACGAATATGAAGAACCAGCGGCGTGGGAGCGCTCTGAGCGCGTTAATCATTGCGATGAAAATCGGGACGGGAATGATGCTGGAAGACCATGAGAAGACACAGTTGTACCTTGTTGTCCATACAAAAATAGTGGTGACTGATATTGAAGGCGCAGTCAAAAGGATCCAAGACTCGCTCTCAAACTGGGGCCGCAACCGTCGACCGGGTCGTGGCTTCCCCAACGCGCTAAGACGCGCCGAGGCTCGGCACTGGCCGGCGCTAGTAGGACTAACCGCAGCTTCCCTATACAACCAATCACTCGACGGAGGGGTCTGATCATTTTCCTTGGAACAATCCATCGGCAGACCTAAAAATGATTATCAATTTGTAGTGCCCCAACATTCCCAGGGCTTATCATTAGCATCTTACGCCTAGCATTTTAAAAGTATTTCCAGCACTTGAGGCCCAAACCACGTATTATAAAGCTAGCGCTGGCCGCGCAACGCACGAGCCTTCGACCTCCGCTGGGATGGGCATCGAATACAACGAGCACACCTCCACCGCGACCAAAGTCTATGGGTACGACTCCCGTCACGTCACGACTGTACTCTTATGTACGTGCAGCTTGCCAGGCTTATTTGTGGGCCAGAAACTACTGGTCGAACAAGTCACACCGGACCTACGAGTTTGAAAAAAATTAATCGATCCTGTACAAGGACCGTACTCACTTCGGTCGTATTCTGTTCTACTACTCGTATGCCCAAGCTCCTCATCAGTCTCTGCGCATGGAGTAGCAAAGATCCAAGTATTTTCAACCTATGTATCAGACTAACTTTAAATTAGCATCACATGCCCGTATCACGCTACCTTTGAGAGTGACATTTACGGACATAATGCACCGTGTATATTGCTGTCGTGAGTGAATGGTCGAGGTAGCCTCGGAACTGGGTACAAAACGGGAAGTGGTGCTATCTCCTACAGGACGTGTAGTACCTGGGGCGATGAGCGGGAACCTACCGAGGATCTGGGACGGCGTCGCAGGCGCAAATGTGACGGTGAGTGATGTCGTCGCCGTCGGCAACGTCCGGGGATTCCCTGGCACGTAGGCAATCTTAAGTCTCATACGGGGAAATAACGAAGTGGAATCTGGGCTAAGCAAATCCAGTGTTTCCGGGTCAAGACGTCGTTCGGTGACAAACGTGAAACGTCCAGTACAATTAACACTGAGCACGCAGTTGGAATATCATGCTATTACCCAGCCAAACCTGACCGCCCACAGTATCCATTTCGGGACATACTTATGGACTGCAAATCAGGCGCGGCTCAACTTCGGCTCAGCCTCGCTCCGGGCGCACCACCACAGCTGACTTAGCTCCCTAAGCTGCTCAGTCTATGTCCTCTTTGTCCGTCCTTCCACCTGTTCCTAGACACACTGAGATGAGTCTCTTTTGGGTCCTCCTAGTTTTTGGTCAAGTCTACACGGGCAGCCTATTTTAACGAAATGAGGGTCTCTTTTTGGGAACGCCAATGGGGCCCAGAACTGGGACCTCGCGTGAGTTGACCTAACTTTCGCCCGCAATGTTTCTCTTCGTCCAGTCTCTCTTTCTCTCTCCTCGTCTTACAGTCGTTCCCGAAACTGCGCTCGCCCTTGCTGACACATTGCAACTTTGTCTCACGGAAAGTTAAATGTTAGCCGATTATGCTATCAGTAACAGTCTATCTTCTAATGTGAGCATGACCAAGCGACAGATCCGTGTCATAGTATTCCCAATACCTTGCGAATAACACTATACTCAGAGGCGAACCTTGACTCTCCAAAGTCCATTTCCGTTTCCAGACCCCGAGCATCCCGCGATTTGACCTGTGATTGTACAGTTCCGAGCCTGGCTTAGCGAGCCTTCACGCATGCCCTGAGCACAACCTTGAGTCTGAACGGGGTCCCCACAGCTTAGCCCCAGGTTTCAGGCAGGACCCGTCCAAAAATCTGCCTTGTCATTCGAATATTCCCCTCGATTCCCGCTTCCCGCTCCCTCAAAATCCGCGTCAGACTTATATCCATAGTTAACCACTTATGATTTAAGCGCACACAAGCAACTTAGCGCTAGCTGCTTGCTTTAAGTTGACAACAAACGGCAGCACCGCTATAGGATGATACCAAATATCGACGACGATACCTCTTCACTCGTGGTGTTACAGGACACTCGATGGCAAGGCAGAATCCTGCATTGTGACGGCAGCACAGCCGGGGTTGCCAAGCGTGAGGCCATCCTCGGGCAAACCTCTGGGCGGACAGGTTGCAGCGGTCGCCTTGCATTTATCTGCCAGTCACCCAGGCTGGTAGTCACCAGGCTTGACACCGGTCAGCTCCTCACACGTCCAGTAAAGGAGTTTTGGCCTACATAGATTGGACCCTTCACTAATCAGAAGTACCCATTGATTATCTGCCTCGAGCTCACGTGCGACTCAACAAGGCCGTGCCGCTTCGAAAGACATTCACCTTTTACTTACCCCGCCGCGGGGACCAACTTAACTACCGCTACCTAACACATTTTACTGATATTAATCTCAACTTTGATTTTGAGGAATTCTATGACCTCATTTTGCCCTGTCTCGTATCGGTTGTGTCGCTGAAGTTTTGCGTACTTACCAGCATCCCTTTTTCAAACTTGGGTCTTGTGGATTGTCTTCTACAAAATCCAGTTCTGATAGGGGACACTTTTTTTCAACTGACTTTCCTCGCAATACTCAAGCCTTGACCAAGGTCGGCGTGTGGCTGCTGTAATCCATTTCGTGCTTCGGCACACATCCTATGAAACTGCTTCTGGAAAAGACTGTGGCAGACACTGTAGCAGCAACACATTCGTCCACTCAGAGGAAGCACGAAAACCTGAAAACATCTGAACAAATAAACTCAAAGCGAGCATAGTCAACTGTTGACATAGTCACTTTGTCTTGAGTGGCTGTGTACTGCGTACTTCGACCTGGTGGAGGCTATGGTCTACCCCACCTGATGTCCTGCCTCGTTCAAGTCCTCATAACCTTACCAAAGCTCCTCAGTATTGTTCATTTTCAATTGTAAATGCAAGCAGTGGTCCCTCTTTCTTGCAGTTACAAAGCAGTTACGGCCATTTAAGGATGTCTTTCGGCATCTCTCTCAGCGACGTTATCACTCTCTCAGAGTTAGCGAAAGGGACATACGATGGGTGGAGAAATGCCCCTGATAAATATCGCAGTATTGTCGGCGACCTTTATATGCTTCAAACTACTTTGGACAAGCTGAATACTGTAGCTAGAGCACCCAATTCACCTCTTAGAGAAGATCATAGCGGCATGCGCCAGTGGAAGAAGTTGTCGAGTGGATGCAAGTCTCTCCTCGCTGAGTTAGATGAAATTCAGAAGAAATACTCGACGCTTAAGACGGACGACCACAAACAAACCTGGAAGCGAATCAAGTTTGGCAGTAGCAATCTGGATTCCCTTCGCCAGCAACTCGTGATCAAGACAGCAGGCCTGAATGCATATCTCTCCGCGCTTGAATTAAATTCACTTGGCCGCATCGAGCACGAAATCTTCCCACAGATGCTCAGCAGATTGGACCATTTGGCTGCACGAAGAAGAAAATGGAACGAGTCTTCCTCTTCCCTTACAACATATAATGACGATGATAAAGTAGTCTGGAAGAAATTTCGGAGGGATCTTTACAGCGCGGGCTTTAGGAGCGCAGATATCGAGAAGTTCGCCCCCAAGCTCAAGACCTTCCTTGGGCAACTTCAAAGTACTGAACCTCTAGACGGAGTTCCACGAGAAGACTCATCAAGGTTAGCCTCTTTCCCGCGACGAGCATTTTGAAAGCTAAATACGTTTCAGTCCTACATCAAAGCGATCGTCTATCGTAGATTCCGAGGCTCCCCAAAAAGGCCCCTCTACAGATATATGGATCCAGCTCGTCAATGAGAATCAAGACATGGAAAAGACCCGCTCAAATGGGAAAAAAGGAAAAGAGAGCAAAACAAGGCAATATTCTTTGCCAAATAACTTCCCAGTCAAGCATACTCCAGGACATGATAGTCAACAAAAGCACCACTCTACTACAGAGCATATGCAGAATTCTATGGGGAACATGAGATTTTCGAATGGGCAGCCTCCAATCATCAGCAAGCAAACAATTTCTGCTGGGAATGAGGATTGCTATAACTTATACTCAGCATCAGGTCAAGGTAGAGTCGAGACGATTAGAGCACTCTTGGCGAATGGAGCTGATATCAATATTTCTCGAAATGATGGCGCAACCCCATTACACGAGGCGGCATTCAATGGCCACTTCAAGACTGTCGAACTACTCCTTACGAAAGGAGCTAATATCACAGCTACAGATGAAGAAGGGTGGACAGCACTGCATTATGCGTCTTATGGAGGCCACGCTAAAGTTGTCAGACTTCTCTTAGCGAACGGTGCCGAGTTTGCAGTTACAGAAGAAGAAGGGTGGACACCTTTACATTGTGCTTCACACCAAGGCCATGTCAAGGTTGCTATACTACTCATTGAGAAGGGAGCCAAAGTGACAGCTACAGATAAGTCCATGCTGACGCCGCTATTAAGAGCGACGTACAGAGAGCACTTCAAATTGGCCGGATTACTCAGGAAGGAAGTGGCGAAACTCTGAGTCTTCCCACCCCCCAGTCCATTGCTCCGCATAACAATTTGATATCGATCCGATCACGAGCACACCACTATTTTATCAGCGCTGTGCTGGTCCCCCAATTTTAGCTTTATATCACCATAAATACATGACCTCGATGGTCATTATGTTAGCTACACATATGTTGAAATGTACACTACTTTCCTCCACATCAGAGAGGCTCCAGGAGGTTGATCCAAATGCCGCACAAGAGGATTGGATCGCTAGATAAGAGTTGGCTGGTCATAACGAGGAAGGAGAAGGATTTGGAAAAAACAAGTTGCACCAGTCCTCGGTGGTGTCCTCAAACTCCACAAAACAAAGTTATCTTTCAAAGCTATATGCGGCTCTATGCCTCCGAACCCTCTCTCAAGAAAGTTGTGGGTTTCAGTCTCTTTACAAACGAAACAGAAGATTTGATAGCGGAATCAAGATTTGGGCTGCGCCTATTTCAATACTCAGACTCGAACTGGTACGAGACCGATCAATATGAGTGCTCTGGCCTTCTCTAGGAGAAGGTACGGAATCCATATATCTTTCTATCTGGTAGAATGAATGTGATGCAAGTATGGAAACTCCGGCATGCTTGCTATTCATCTGAGACAGGATACAGCAGGCAACAGATCTCCCCAGTGGCAAACGGCGAGGCTCTACGAGTCCGCTACAAAGCTGCGGTTAAGGTGTTGCGAACTAGTCCTAATCTAGGAGTATCTCCCGTCGACACAAACTCGTCCCAATCGAGTTTCAGTACAACATTCACCATAATCTCCAGTATTCGTCTCAAGTGCTTCTCTCCAGGACTCTAGGATACATGTTTAGTGTCTACTCGAGGAATGTCACGGTGCCCTCTTTGACAGTGTGTACAAGGAAAAAGCCTATCTTCTAGAAAACTAGAATGACTGGTGGTGCTATCACCACCGTGTTGGCGATCCTCCTGAGGATCTAGTGATCGCTGCCTCAAGAACGTCGATCAAACAGCCTTCAAACGAGCGCCCCTGAGAGACCTGCGTGGCAAGATTCAAGAGAGGCCTTCTATGGCCACTGCATTTGTATATAAACGATCAGGCACGACCTGAGACTAGGCACATACGGACCAATTCACGATTCTGCTCAAGCGCTGTTTGTTCAACACAACGTCTCATTTTAGTAGGTTCTGTACAGTGCACACCCTTACCATGTCTACTTCTTCGTCATTCCCTAAATATTTTCTTTCATTGACCTTGCATGTAATTTCATCAAAGTACCATTCTCAGCAAGTTTTTAGCAATATTGTCGATAATGCTCGGTGGAATATTGTGCTGCTAACCTCTAGTCATAAGGCTGCACGGCCATGCCGGCTTCGGGACTATCCCCATTTCTCAAACTATACTTGTTGTCCAAAACGATCAATTTGAGGTGCTATGAAAGATTGGAAGGACTTCGAATCTATCAAGATATATACACATATCGCGAGCAGACGGTAAATGAGCGTGATCTTTGTATAATGCAGCAAGAGAGCATTCCATGAGTTTTCGGCGAATGTGATGACGTGGAGCGAGGGGAATCACCTGTTTTTATCCTGGGATCCACACGTGCTATTTGCCCCTCTGAAGCGACGAGGCTTTAGGAAGCTGAGGCGAGGCTGTAGATCCCTGTCGTTAAAGAATTCAAAGCACTAGCCCTAATTGGACATACTATTAGGGTTGTCACGTTCAGCGGTTACAATGGTAGGATTGCTCATGTATTTAGTGAATTAGCTCACACCAAAAGATTTGAAAGATACTCTGGAGGAAACAGCGCCCGGGAAATGGGCTTTGATAGCAACAATAACCGAAAAGGAGCCCAGAACTTGGCCCTCCGATCATGTGAAACACCCAGAATTGAAACCGGGGAGCCAAGTGGTGGATTCCTCATAGACTCTGGGCCGTGCTCACGCTCCTCAGTCCAGTCCTCAGGGCTCGCCAAGCCAGGCTCAGGATGATACAGCCACCCAGCGGGTGTCATAATTCGTGGGACACCCGATATTTAGCCGAAATATAATGTGCTTTTTGACCCTCTACCGACTACCAATCCTGCCCTTTTATGCGCTTTCCACCAATTTTTACTAGTAAATCACATCGCCTAGACATATCTCGTATTCTCTTGCGGATCTCCTCCATAGTAATATTCCGCTAGATCTCCTGCGCTAGCTCTACAAGCTCCTCATAGGTCATTTGATTGACGCCCGGTATCTGGCGTAGTCTCTGCTTCAGTATATTCCAGGCTGCCTCTACAGGGCTTAAATCTGGTGAGTATAGCGGGCGCCAATGACACTGAATACCGTGGCGCTGTCGTAATTGAGTTGCAAGGCCTTGAGTGCGAGTGCCGTGAGAGCTATCACCGTCCTCCTCAAGGAAAAAAGGGTGATGAAATTACGCCTATAATTACTCGATCGCGGCAATATATTCTAGTAGAATATGCTTTGTATAGTAGGCTTCGGTCATTAAGTTACCTTTTGGCTGTGAAATTACTGGTTCAGGATAAAGTAGCTGCCATTTATTCATATCTTTCCTATATTGCTCTAGTCGAACTTAATACTCCTTAGATGACTCAGTTGTAGGGCGGCGACGCGGTTTTTGAGGTCGAGGAGGCCTTTACTCCTTTAAATACCTCTTTAGCTCCTAAGTCTACTCTATCGTAGCCTTCTCCGCCTTAGTATCCTGCTAAAATATAAGCTTCTCGCTCTTTTAGTGCTAATTAGCGTATCCTACGCCGTGTAGAATAAATGAGGCTCCTTTAGGAGCTCTAGCAGCGATATTATCGTTATCATATCGTGTACCGAGCTCTCGTAGGATCATTGGATTAGGATTAAGGCTTGGATTATAGTAAAATTCGTCGGTAAAGAGGATCTATTCCTAGAAGTCTTCGATGCTCTTTTCGTAGTGATTTTCGCCGTATCTAACACGGAGTGCTTTATTCTATGGACTTAATTCATCCTTATAATAGGTAGCCTTATAAATTCTACCTTGTTTTAAGTGCTCCTTAAGTTTCCGTTGAAACTGACGTACAGAGAGTGATATATTATGAATCTTGAGTTGCGCCGTAATAGGCTGTAATCGTACCTCTTGCGGCGCCCGGAGTACGCCTTGAATATTACTTTGAGCGACTCTTAAAGGTCTCCCTAGGCGCGTAGAGAGCTGGCGAGTATGCCTATAGGCTTTGGTGCCTAGTTAACGTCGTTATTGTAGCCAACGCGCAGCTATAGATTTAGGTATATTTTATACCTTTGTAACGTGACGTAAACTCTTGTCCCTAGTTTGAGCATTATAGGCATCAAAAAAGCGCGTTTTTTTAATTGTATCGGATTCTCTATACTCTAAAGTAGTAGGCGGAGTCCCTCGACGGTAATTTGCTCGCGTCTGTGGAGCCATGATGAGGGTTGGTAGAATACCTGGTGTTTAGGAGTGACTAACATAATTTCGGCTAAATATCGGTGTCCCACGAATTATGACACCCGCTGGGTGACAGCCACACCTCTGAGTTGCTTAGTCATTGCTTAATTAAACGGCGAGTTGCTCAAGTCTGAAAACGGAAATGGAGTTTGCATAGGTCAGTTTTCGCCATAGTATATATGGCTATTCTAGGATCACGAATCAACTTACACAGATCAGGCGACTCCAGCTATCGATACTGGAGACTTCTCTCGTACCGGGCCCACGTAGCTAGCCCTGCGGAGAGTCCGAGGGAAGTACCGTAGGGGATGCGCGATGAATTAGTGGCTACTATTTGAAAATACGAGTATCCTGGAAAGGTGGTCGTGGTTTTTTATTGTTGTCGTAGTGGTAGTGCTCAAAGTGGTGCTTGTCGTTGTGATATCAGGTATCGAAGTAGTGGACGTCGATGAAGAAGCTTGCTGTATTGTATCTGTAGTGCTCGCTGTCGAAGTAGACCCAGACGTCCTTGGTCACTAGGTAAGAGCTGTCGTTGGTTTCGTGAATGCCGCTGTCGTGCTCGATAACTGCTGGTATGCGAGAAATAAGAACCGTGTGAGACTGTTTTGTCGTGTTCGACGATAGTCGGCCTCGTAATTCTCACCGTGCTCGGTAACGTGCTGAAGAATCTGGTGCTGGCACTGCCTGAAGCAGTGGGAGAGCAAAGGTACATGCTTTTTCCTATATTATCATTTTTGGGTATTCAGTAGTCGTTCTCTATCTCCCGGGAGCCTTTTGGCGCACATTTTGACAGAACACGAATAACAAGCTCGCTGCAGTTGATAGGCGAGATTAGTACCACCAATTTGAAGCCAATATATATCAAGAAATTAGAATGGAGGTCGCGCAGAGACACCGAGAAAGGGGCTCTGTGATCCAATTCGAGCTAAGATCAGCTTCAAACCTGGTAAAGATCTCAACTCCAAGGGTCAATAACGATAGGTAGGAGAAGGGAGACCAACGCCTTTGGGTGTCACAGTCCAGACAGCTCAACTTGACTTGTGTGATCGATGTGCGGATTACTCCGTTATCGATATTGTGAGTGAGAGTGAGATATTTTTAACTGTGAAAAGAATTAGTCTATATGATATGTAACTCAATGTGGAGTCTGAGTTATCGTCCTTGGTCCTTTGGAATATCTGTATCACTCGGCCTGATGATGACTTCTCGCGCAAAGGGGAGAGCCAAGCCGAGCGCCCTTAACTTAGTGACCTCTGCGGCCTATATATTCCACACATTCTTGCGCTCTTGACTATGATCACATTGTCACTAGCCCTTTCCCTCTCCCAAGCTTCAAGAAGACAATAACCATGACCACCACATTTTCTAGGTATGATACATTCCGTTCATGTGCAGTCCACTAAATGCTAGATCCTGAAGACAGTAATACCAGTCAGAGCAGAAGAAATTGACTCGTTCGTAAGCACAAGACCGGATAAGAAAAGTTGCCCAGTTTTGGTACTTCAAACCGTGGCCAGGTCTTGGTGTGATGACTGAGCTGTCGGTGTATGTAGCCTCGTATCAATGAAGAATTCGGCTCTCGCTTCTTCTTGGTGCAAGGCAGGGATACCTCCTATCACTTTGCATTATTGCTTTACGAGAAATAGGCCTGAAGCTTCTCAGCGATCGCAGAGTGCTAAGTTCAGGCCAATGGCCCCTTGGCCCCTGGCCACTGGGTACATTTAAAGTCAAGTGAATCCCGTACAAGCAACTACGGCTGCCGTGTTTCAGGGGTCTAGGCTATTTGAGTCGTGTTCAGCCGCTTTGAGCCAGCGGACTTGGAAACTTAGCCTTCGACAACCAACCCATGGACCCAACCACAGCTTTATAGTGGCCAATCTGCTCGAGGTGTCTCATTCTTGAAAAGCGTGTGACGCATGGCTATACGCAGCATGCTTCGTTGTTCTCTTAGCCTTTGCACTTAATTGACTAGTAAACTTTCATACTCGCGCGCCTCAAGACGTACGTTATAATCCACTTGAGGAGGCAGGCGTCACGAGGTAGTAGGATCCGTCTTCTCGTGGTTCCATCCTCGCTATTGGTGGGTGGGCAGAGTGCTCGATAGAATCGACGAGCAAGGGGAAGAAAGCACTGATTTGCGCTTTCTCTATATAGGCTGAATATCAGTTCACACACCTGCTCAGGCTGCTCATGCCCTCCTTTCCATTGTCCAACAAGTCTGCATTGGATACCAATTGCATGAGCAACTATTGATTTACTTCAATCTTCTCGTCCTTCGTTTAGGTTTTATTGCTCCTTCTCACAAAAATGGCCACCGCCTCTAGCCTTACGGCAACAGTTTCAGTCAACGAAGATGCCGCTTGGATTACGGAGCGTTCATGCGGGCAAAAGTGCGTCTGGATCGACAGCGGACATATCGGAGCACCATACCCAGATATTGTCATGCACCTCAATTGCGGATCTCCTTACCTCAACGCATGCTTTTGCCGATCTGATTTTGGGACGTCTGCCACAACATTTCTTAGCAGCTGCGTTTCCAGTCGCTGCGAGAGCGATGGGATAAACGACTATGGTACCGAGCTCTTTAGTGCACTATCTATATATTCAAACTATTGCAGCACCGCCGCAGGCGTTGTTTTTGCAGCCCCTTCAGTCGATGTAACATCTGCTAGCGCTATATCTACCACTGAGAACTCAATATCTGCATCTGCGGGGACGACCACAGCTTCTACACCGTCAAATACTTCGTCTGAGGGCGCTTCCGCCAGTCAGCCATCGAATTCTGGAGTACCAGCTCAAAACATTGACCCAAGCTCTTCCACAGAGTCCGCCTCCAGTGGTTTGAGCAATCCGGCTAAGATAGGTCTTGCTGTTGGACTGAGCGTCGGCATCCTCGCCATCATTCTTGGAGTCGGAGCCTTCATTTGGCGCAAACGCCACAACCGTGCTCGACAGAGTAGCCATTATCAAGCACAACCTGCAGTCTCTGACCTCAACCATAACGCTTCGCAATACCCTCCACCAGTTGAGAACAAATTCAATCCAGGATGCATGTCCTCAACCCATACATCTGAGCTAGGAGGCTATCAACGCCCAAGACATGAGTTAGGTGCTTCTCAAGGTCAGCGGTCTGAGTTGAGTAGCTAAATCATGAATGGTTGTCTGTGCCGAACAGTGGTTCTGTAAACATGGGCAATTCCAAACGGACGAAGAGTCCAAAGACAGTTTAGACTCACGACGACGGAGGTCTAGACCTCCTGTAACTTGTTCAAGGACTTTTGTCTACCTTGGAAATGGAAGGTGCTCGATTTCAGGAATGGCCGATCGTGTTTCAAGGTCCCGCTTGCTTCTGAACTGTCAGCGCAACGCCACCTCGTACCTAACAGGCAACACCTCTCCGGTACTCAACGTTCGATCTTGAGGGCGGTTACAACCTCAAAGGTCGTCCACAAAAATGCCTCGGGAAGTATTCCATCTTCAGCTAGAAACTGTACAAAGATATTCAGGCTGATGCCTAGATTATCCCGTTCTCGTGGCCTGTTTAACCAGGATCTAGGAAACCTACCTAGGATGGCGAACTTTGCTCTCGGGTCGAAGCTCAATTTGCGCCATCATCCCGATACCTAGTTCCACAGAATTGCATGGCTGAGAACCAGAGCCACAAGGAAACTTGCGGATTAAATCTTGCCTTCGTATAGAAACATCCATTACATCCACAAGGTTGAGGAATCTGCCTCGTTCTGAAGCCTTGCAAAGAAAAGTGGGTGGAGCACTCCCTAAGAGGAAAGTGCAACTAGCCACACAATCGGCAGCGAATCAACGCCATCATATGCACACTACTGCAGTTAGTTCCTCAGCCCCGGGATACCAAGATATCAAGGTAGCCTTGGAAGACACAAGCTTTCCGAAGAGCAAGCTTGCGCAAACGCCTGCCACAAGCTTCGTTTCTCTCCGCTTGGGATACCTCATGTGAAGTTCTAGGATGATTATACCTTCAGCCTACGGCTCAAGGTTACCCCTGTCTCCTGTAACACTTCAAGAGCTGGAAAGTGGCCAATAAAATCAATGTTTCTTCCAAAAATATTTTGTTCAACGAATTCGCTGACCGGTGAACCATGACCCCTTCAAGCTGTACAACTCAACCAAGGTAGTGAGGTCTTTCACAAGACCTTATTGGTGCACGCATACCATCCTGTGACACTATCCGCCTGGGCATCAGACCCCTATTCATGAGAGAAACCCAACATTCGCAACGATCGCAAACTAACCTCGCTGGGACAAGGACCCCAAGCAGTCTTTGATTCAGCACCAGGGCTAGGCTCCAACGGCAAGACAGCAGTTTAGGTAACAAGCACCCAATCAAATGGACTTTGAGTGGCTGCGAGTATGTTATGTGAGATCCCGCTGGAAGGCCGTCTGCTGCAAGACGTAGAAAGGGGCCGAAATATTTGTATAATGGAACTGAAACTGTGCCAATCATGAACAGGAACCTGTCAAAAATCTTCGGCGCCTTTTACGACTACACGAGAGGCTCCATCTCAATTTTGAAATGCTGTTGAAGGGAGAGGAAAAGTCAATTTTGCTGGCAGGGTTAATACAACCAGGCAACGATGGCTTTTCAGCTTCTGCATCAGGAATACAGGGTCCAAAAACAAGGGAACACGGGGCTTTGTGCGCGGAAAAGGCAGTAGAAGCAGCAGCTGAAATAAGTGCAGTACATTTGCGTTCTAAGTATAACATCTCTTGGGACGAGACATACTTGCTCCGGAGCACCCACAGCTCTTCTTCTGTCTCCCCAATTTAGAGAAAGCGAAAGCAAGCACTGAGTCAGAGCACTGTCAAAATGCATCAAGTCATTGTATTCTTTCTTGCTTTGGTGTTAACCGAGGCGTCTGCCTCAAAGCACAAGAACCCGGTAGCCTTGCCAAATGCTCTTCTACCCCGTCAGGCGTGTGCGGCCACTCAGGTTACGTGCGGATTTGATTGTCTTTGACGCCGGGAGTGACTGCTGCTTTGGTAGTTCCACTCACATCGAATATTGCAATCCTGGGACGTTCTGCTGGGGCACTGCCAACGCCTGCTGTCATCCCGGAGATGTGGCTTGTGGCAATAGCTGCATGCCACCAGGCTCCGCGTGCTGCACCAACGATGGGAAATACTGCGACGCAGGAGACTACTGTTTTGCTGATTCGAGTGGATTTCAGGGCTGTTGTGCAGAGGGTCAGACTTGCAGCGGGTCAAGTACGACCTACGTTGCTGGCGAAACAATTACAGGACCTTCTGACACCGCTACCGCTGCTGCAACAAGTCCATCTGCTGCTTCAGTCACAACTTCACCGACGACTGCACCCACCGTGACAATGCCAACGACGACTGCACCCACCGCGACAATGCCAACGACGACTGCATACATGGTGCCGACGTCTAGTGCTTTGATTCCGAACACATTCACTGGGCTCGCTGTCCAGACCGCCGCCCCCCTTAAGGTGGAGGTGCCCGCAGTCCTCGCAATCATGGCCGGCCACATGCTTCTTTAAAGAAATCAACGAGACCGGGTTGCGGATGGTTCTGCATGCATTGGCTGGAATTTACCCTGAGGCGTAAGTGGGGCTCGGTGTCGTATGGAGGACCGTGATACTGTGAGGGCATGAGTTTATGGAGGGATCATTGATGGTACGGTCTCTGTCATTTCGCATTCTTTTTCGAGCCTCGGGTCTATCAAAATCTCTCAGGATCTTGGACATGAAATCAACAAATTTCAGGGTCGTTCTAGAGTGTAGCATCTCAGGAGTCCTAATCCTGTCTTCGAGTTTACACTGAGCATTGATCACGTCGTAATTTCAACAACACTGGACGGAATGGAGAAAGTATCTCAGCCTTCCCTGCTCAATGTTTTAAGAGCCCCAGGCCACGCGTGTTCACTATCCTCAAAGCCCCATTTCTTATATGGAGCTTGGGCCGACAAAGTAGACCCTGAGTTCTAATTTACATATAAATCTTCAAAAATGAACACTCAATACTAGTCCAACCTTCGAATTATAAATCCGGACGAGAATGGCAGCAATTACCCTCCACTGAGAGAGAACAAATACACCCCATCACTAGATCGACCACTCCCCTCGAGATTCCCTCCTCCGATAGATTACAAAATTGGTACATTAGATACACCCAGCAGCTGTTATCCGGTAAGGCCCCCGGTCTCCCTCCTCACTGCTTCAAGGCTCCTCACTTTAGGATCTTGATTTAATTATGGCAGCAGGGTTCTCCGGGGCAGCTGTCGCGCATCCGCTCCCGCCCGCTCGACCTCTGAGCATAAGTGTCGAGTCTGGTCTCGCACCCGGTGTCGTGGCTGGCATATCTTGGAGATGCAGACCTTGTCTGCCAGTTATGCTGACTTGGCTCCAAGCCCAGATTCGACGTCCGGATGTGGAGCGTATCGCCAAAGCCATGACCGTAGCCGTGAGTTTCCTCCCTAGAACACCTAGTCACCAGCCGAGGATTATCCCAGTCGTCGTCAGCAAGCCATGGTTCATGCTGATCACGCCTCAGATAGTATCCATCTGGTACATCGTTGTCAAGCTTGATTTTAGAGCGTTCGGATGTGCTGCTCCTTCCCCTGGGAATTCGGCCCTGATCATTTCTCAAATAGGGTGCTTCTGTGGTCTCCTTATCAAGGTGGATGCCAAGTAATTCCCGTGTTTTCCTCCTCGACTGGGGAGTCTCCTTTTCAGGTTCGGAGAATGCAGCCCCCAATTCTGCCAATTCCTGGCGTGTATGAAAGCACTTAGCTGGGCGCGCCCGCGCTGACGCATTTATCCCTGGCTGGTTGTTGTCGTCATATGAGTGCGTCTCAGAGGAAGCATCGGGTAAATGTTTCTTCTTGGAAGCCTGATGACAGCAGCAAGCCTCGATATTTTCATGCCTGCCACTTGACCCAGGGTTCCTGCAGTATCGTGTCCCATCATAGGACATATTCTCTCGATTGTCTGGGGATACGGCCCGCTCTGGAGGGGTTTCTCTGATTGCCGGAGCAGGAGTCTGAGGTGGTGACAGAGGGACGGAACAGTGACTCTTCTTCTTACTCTCATCCTCATCATCACTGATATAAGGCACAGTCCATTCTTTCCATAGATCGAGAAGGAGGCTTCGGGATTCTGTGAGAATGGAAGTAGGTCTTTGGGGTTCTGTTGTGGCAGCACGGAGAGACGGAGTCAAACAACTCTTGATTCGGCCCCATTGGGAGAGTAGAGAAGGAGCGCCATTCGACTGGGGGCCATTCCTGCTTTTGTTGACGTCCTTCCTCTGTGTCCTTGATGAAGGGGCTTCTTTCACCTGCAGCTCTTCAAGCTTAAGCAGTTAATCGCCCGCATTAATGAACACAACTAAGGCGCTCTCCCCTTTCATATGTTGCCGCAAGGCATTCTTTTCGAGGTCATTGGGATGTCCTCTGCTTAATTCCGGGCTGACCATAAGTAAAATCAGTCGGCATACAGCGCAGACAAGCGAGGATAAAACTAGAACTCATCCTTGTAGTCTAGTGAGGGATAATACCGTCAATAGAAGATTTGCTGTGAACCTGAAATATGCAACTTCTCCCACAAAGCGATTAATTTTGGGGGGTTTTTTTTGGGGAGCGGCCAGCCAAACTTCTGCATCAATGTTGAATCGTGGAAAGGGCCGTCCTTGCGTTGGGGTAGGAGGTCGTCAATACCGTCAAATGTCTGAAGAGACAAGACATTTACTTCCTTCACAAGTGTCTTTGCTTTGTCGAAATCAGAAAAGGACCCTCCTCCAGTCGTTGTGCAAGCATGTCAATCACCGTCGAGCATAAATTGACATGGCTGGCGACATAATCTATCTGGTCCTTGGCCGATGAGGGAGCAGAGCCGAACTCATACAGCTTTTGGGCGAGATGAAGGCCCACAGTTGAGGTGCGATAGACCGACGTAACTAATGCCATAATAGTCTTTGTAGAGAGATTTGATATGTGACACTGCGGCTTGTTCCAAGCACTTTGAAAAGTGTATTTCAATTCAAAATACAAGGAGGCTCGAAAGTCTCGATAGGCCCGCTTTTATATTTGAAAGGATGTCCTCTTGATATTGCCGAAGCGAGGCTTTGGCTCCTGAAGGCCATGCCTACGTCTGGCTAGGATGATGTCATGCGAGGGAGATTCAGGCCACGGCACCAGAGTTCCAAGCTGCCTCGTGTCACTCAAAGGCAGTTTACGACGTACTGAAGAAGTAATGAAGTAGAAGACTGATTGGAGAGGGGAAAGGGGACGCACGGCACAATATCTGAGGCAGCAACAGAGATTACAGACACCCTTCTGAAAGCTAGGCGGGAGGGATACGCCCAGGGCCATGAGGATGGGTTAGAAATGGCTGTGGGAGTCTGGAACAACAACGGCTCTGTCCATTTTGGGCCTCGAGTGCGTGAACCAGTGTTCTAGACACAATCGGTCCGGATAAGCAACTCCATTCGATCGTGCTTCCGGTCACAGCGCCTCAAAATACCCGTATTCCGGGCTGTGCAGGTAAACAAGAGTTTATGGTGGCAGTGAAGCATGTGACAGCGGCGGCACTGGTCGGCTGCAGAGCCAGGTTGGCAAGGGCAAGGGACGTGCGAGGAAACGATAGTAAACACCCAGCCGCACTAGAGGACACTAAAGTGCACTATGATCCAGAGGAAGTGTTCAATTGGCCTGTGAGCATACTAGCCACCATTAGTCAAAGTCTAGCTTTCTGACTGGGCCTTCATCTGTGCTCCCTTGAAAGCGGTGTGCTTTTATATTCCATATTCTGCCGCGCCAAGAATTTGGCGACGTCAAGAAATTCTCAGATTACAGCCAGGTTCTCTGAGGGCAGGATTTTGACCGCAGATATCACCACTGACCCCAGCAAGACAATTGTGCGGAGGCCACCATGAAGCGCAAATTGGACGAGAACGACGTCCCTGTACCAGAAGCTACAACAAACAGTCAGAATGACAAGTTGTCCTTCGAATCCCTCGGCCTCGATCCTCGCCTCCTACAGGCAATTGCGAAATCCCAGTTCTCAACTCCTACTCCAGTCCAAGCAAAGGCTATTCCCTTAGCTCTCGAAGGGAAAGACATACTGGCTAAATCCAAGACGGGTTCTGGGAAGACTGCCGCTTATGTTCTGCCTACTTTGCAGTCCATCCTTCGACGAAAGGCCTCTGCCCCCAAGAAGAAGATTACAACCACTCTGGTACTTGTACCCACACGAGAGCTGGCAGATCAGGTCTCCAAAGCCTATACTGCATTCGTTGCATTCTGCTCAAAGGAGGTCCAGATCTTAAATCTCACGCAACGAGTTGCCGATGCTGTATTGAATGCCGTGCTACAAGACTCGCCAGATGTGATTGTTTCAACACCTGCACGAGTTAGCCAGTACCTGAACTCTGCCCGACTGACTCTTGATGGTATCAACCATCTTATCATTGATGAGGCAGACATCGTGCTGTCTTATGGATATGAGGAGGATATCAACGCAATAGCGAAGGTCATGCCACGTGGGGTCCAGACATTCCTGATCAGTGCAACTCTGACACCGGAAGTCGATGAGCTCAAAAGTTTGTTCTGCCGTGATGCAGAGATTGTGAAGATTGACGATAAGGAGGAAAGGGGTGAAAGTGTCACGCAATATGTGGTCCGCTGTGGAGAGGACGATAAATTTCTACTCATTTTCATCGTCTTTAAGCTGCACTTGGTCAAGGGCAAATCTCTGATTTTTGTCGATGATGTCGATCGAAGCTATCGCCTGAAACTATATCTGGAACAATTTGGCATCAAGTCATGTGTTCTGAATGCAGAGCTACCGGTCAATTCCAGGCTGCACGCGGTCCAGGAATTCAATAAAGGGTTCTACGACATCCTCATCGCAGCTGATGATCAGGAGGTTCTCGGAGGAATCTTGAAACGAAGGAAGTCCAAGGCTCAACAAGACGAAGATCACCAGATTAGTGATGAGGATGACGAGGACGAGAACGACCAAATGCCTTCTAAGAAGACGAAAGTGGCAAAGAACGAGAAAGATTATGGCGTTTCGCGAGGAATTGACTTCCAGAATGTCGCTTGTGTGATCAACTTCGATCTTCCCCATACCTCAAAATCGTATACACACCGCATCGGGAGAACTGCCAGAGCTGGAAAGGCCGGCATGGCATTATCCTTCGTCATTCCCAAAGATCTATATGGCAAGAATCGGCATACGAGCATCTCATCAGCGAAGCACGACGAGCGAGTTCTGGAGAAAATTATCGCCCGCCAAAAAAAGAAAGGCAACGAAGTCAAACCCTACCACTTTGACATGAGCCAAGTTGACGCCTTCCGATACCGCATGAACGATGCATTGCGAGCAGTCACCAGAGTCGCCGTCCACGAAGCAAGGGCGCGGGAAATAAAACAAGAATTGATCAAGAGCGAAAAACTGCGTAAGCATTTCGAGGACAACCCAGACGATCTCCGACACCTGAGACACGATGGAGAACATGGCGGGATTGTGCGCCATCAGGCTCATCTCAAGCATGTGCCTGACTATCTGATGCCTGCCCAGGGAAGGAAGGGACTTAGTGCGGATGAGGTGGGATTCGTCGGTTTCAGGAAAGTAGATGGCAAGGACAAACGGAAGGACCAGAAGAGACGAGGGAAGACGACGAGGAAGGGCCGTGGCGCAGGTAGACCGAAGGGAAGAGTCGACCCGCTCAAATCGTTCAGTGCAAAGAGGAAGCGTTAGAATCTGTGCTTCAATGGAATTTGATTGGATTTTCGCCATTGCAACTGCCATCATCTGTCGATCTTGATTAGATGAGCATTCGCTCTGCGACCTGTAACGCAATCTTCAGTCGAGTCGAGAGCTCTACTCTGTTCTGGCGTCTAGGAATGGCTCCGCAACTTACTCGGTGAGCCTTCAAGAATTCATTGGACTCTATTCTGCTAGTTGAGTGATCTGTGATTTATGACTACGATCCCAAACGGCTGCCGAGATGTTGCGATCCACCGCCCTTCGTTCCGAAGACCTATGGAAGCCTGGGTACTGGCTTCGCTCTCAGAGCTTAGCCTTCCACTTTGGTCTTTCAAGGTCCTTGGCAATGCTCATCATTTCGTGTATTCCGAAACGTATCACCTGTTGCCCACCACCGTGCCATTGCTTCCATGCTCCGCGACCGTGCGCTATGGCAAATGGGATCGTGGGCGGGAAACCAGCACAATTGATGCGGCAGATCGTCGCGGGTTCATCCTAGTAAACCGTAAGCCATAAACAGAAATATGAGAAGCCAATCGTTCACTTTGAACATACCAAACTGGGACGCCATGTATGGTCGTAGACATATCTATCCATAACGGGCTCCCTTCTGTAGACCAATTGAAGGGCCCACACGTCTATCCAAGTATGTTAGTGTGAATCTGGCGAATAGAAATCAGAGGGCTAATGTCATTCAACCGTGGGGACAGCCTGGCATCGACCAGATCAGACACATTGTGAAAGTGTTGAGAACGGAGATAAATTCGAATTAGATCAGGTTCGACAAAGAGAGAGAGGACAATGGAATATGTGCCTTCAGAAGGTGTTGTCTTGGCGATTTCTGGCGACGACAGTGACTACCTCAAGCTGAGACTCAAAGTGAAGTGGCAATATTCACTGCTAAATATAGGTCCTATCTTGAAGTCATGCTTAGTTTGATCTGTCTAGATAATCATGCCTCGAGAGGCACTGGGAATAGTGAATAACTCAGTTCAGCTATCAACGCGTGAAATTTCATTTCACTTCGTTTGATATTACAGTAGGGCGAGGATCGAAGCTTACGACGAGGGACGCAAACGCGGATTCTTCTGATAAGATGACCCTCTAGCGCCCAGATAGTATTAACAGATCCCGAGATTCTATTCATCTAGTGCGTCCAAATACATTCCTTGGCCCTCTTAACGCCCGCCGCTCTGCTACTCGTACGGACGCCTGAAGTGACTCAGACGGCGAAGAATGGAGACGCCAAAGACGCAAGGCTCAGCCCCCTGAAATCTTGAGCCTTGCAGGAAACGGCCAACTAACCAGTTTCACCAATTTTCCACCCCGGTTCAGTAATTACTGACTGTTTTACTTCCTATTCAACCCCATTCTACGATGCGTAAGATCATCTGCCGGAATATCTCTAACATTCTCCGTGGGGCCAAGCCACAACACCACTCGCAGCCCTGTCCTCCGAACGACGAATACCCTCTGTATGATATGCACTATTCGCCCGCTCTGGCCCAAGCACATCCATCGCATGCGCAAGGTAGCCCCTCGGCCCGCCCGTAAAGCCGATCTCGAAGCCACCATACCTCATGAAATCCTGGTTATTGCCGAGACCCTGCACGAGCAAAGCCAGCCCGAACCTGGAATGAAAATTTCAAGTCAGCGCGTCAGCTCGGAAGGTGTCCAAGATTGGGAAGTTGACGCCCGTGCCGACGTTGAGCACGTCGGTCATTTTCTGGGGCTGTCGAGCGGGTGGAGGGTGGAGCTGGTGCTGCGAGAGTTGCTTACCGAAAACCTGTGTGTCCACTGGCGACGAGGCGGAAGTGCGGAGAAAGGCGAAAATGAGCAGTGGAACAAGGCTGCGTACCAAGGTTGAAATGTGCAAGGCTACTTCTCGTGTCTGACTCATCTACGTTTCTTGCAACCTACGGACTCGCCGGGACTCTCAGATCTACCACTGGGATTGCTGGATCGATTTTGGATTCGATCTCTCTTCGGCAATTTGTGGATCACCTATTCACATTCTTGCTACCAAAAGAAAGGCCCATCGCATCGCACGCCGTGCGTTGATTAGGGTTCGCCTGGTTTATGTATCACCTCAACCCAGCACGACAACCTACATCAAGAAAGAAGGAAATAGAAGAAATCAGTAAATGCAAGCACAATACCACACGCGGCCCGCGCGCACCACAGACCTGGATTATCTTCCGGGCGTGGAGAATTCAGCAGGCTCGCTATTCCGCACGGTCAAGGGGCTAGAAACTCTCGCCGACGACGCCCCCTTGCCTGTCTCGAGGCTTGAGGAAATCCTCGAGACGGGAAGAATATGGGTCGCGGTGCACGTCGGGACAGATGAAAGCAGGGACGGAAAGGAGGACATCGTGGGATTTCTGGCGGCTTTTCCGCTGATGGATCCGACGCCTGCACGGGACCAGGCACGCTATGCGCTGTCGCATTCAAGGAGATTCCTGCACATTGCCGAACTGTCTATCCACGCGTCTCACCAACGGCGCGGCCTCGGCCGTCGTCTGATGGGTGATCTGATAGGGTACACAGAGGCATTCAACATCCGGACCTTGCCATCGCCACAGACAGATGGAGCGAAATTAAATGGCCTGACATTGACAACGTATCATACTGTCCCCTTCAATGGACCGTTCTACGAGAAAATGGGCTTCCACAAAGTCGCCGTGGACGAAATCCTGTCTCTCTTTGGCGCCGATGCGAGGCGGCTTTGGGATGAGGAACAGGCATTGATCCCTATGCCGCAGGAGCGGGTGTGGATGGCTCGCTGCATGAATAAAGACTGGAACAAGAGGAAATAGCTAATGCAAAGGCATGATACCAAGAGATCATCGAAGAGTGCGGCCTGATCCTAATTACCTAGGTGTAGGTAGCGCTTACGAATAAAACTCGTTCTTGGTTTCTAAGAATATTGTGTATGTATAGTTCTGTCTCCTTGTTGCTTCAATTCCAGAACCTCTTTGCAAGCAGTCCAACACCTTGCTCTCAGATCAAAGGACCATGCGCCGCGCAAACACAGGTTTTGGGGGCTCTTGCCCAGCCTAATTGTCCTCTTGTTGCAATGCGCTCGAAAGAGAATACACTCGCTGCATAATCGTCGGTCATGAAAACTCATCCAAAGGTTCTTAGTACATATGCCCACCGGAAGCCATGCATCTCGTTGGTAGCAGCGAGGCGCCGGCTACAGTCTATTCCTGATGATGTTTGTCGAGCTCGAGGCCTGGTTTTTCCTGGCTAGGAGTAGTGTCTACATCATAGAGGTCGCTTTGTTCTGATTTCGATGAGAACCAACCCCCACTTTCCCAATGGCCTGGCTCGTAAAGACAGGAATTTCGCGAGTCTTCATCGACAATACTGTCAAGCATGAGACCGATCCTCTTGAAATCAACTGGTTTCAAGATCCAGCCATCAAAACCACTTTGGATATATTTCTCGCGTTCTGCTTCATCAAGTGAAGCAGAAACGGCAAAAATGGGGATGCGCCCATTGAGCTGCGCGCGCTCCGAAAGGCAGGACTTTGAATGTGTTTTTTCAAAGGATCGTATCATTTTCGTAGATGTGAAACCATCCACAATAGGCATTTGCAGATCCATCAGAATAGCGTCAAAATTGGTGGGTTGCTCGCCATGTGCAGAAGAGCACTCTTCCCCGTTCACCGTCATGTAGGCGGAGTGACCAAGTTTCTCCAGGCGCTTTTTCATAATTCGACTGTTGATGGGATCGTCTTCTGCAACTAAAACAGAAAAGCGCTCCGGGGAGAAGACAGACTCTCCGTCAGTGGTGTCGGAGCGTGCACCTATTGTATCTGGCTCCTCGGAGAACGGCACCTTAGATCCTGCTTTGGAGTCCAATGTGCGTTCCGAATCTCCATCCTCATCAGCAAGACGAACTGGCCTCAGTGGCATGCCTGAGTCAGTGACTTTTTTTGTGCCGGGAAAATTATGCATAGACGATCTGAGCTCGCGAGGTGATGGAAGACTCATCGCCTTGGCTGAGGATGATTTCCGTGAGGGTGTTGATGGAGTTGCAGCATACTCCAAGGATGTACGTTTGGGAGACGCATGAGACTCAGTTTTGGGAGACGGCTCACTGAAAAGTCGTAGAGGTTCCTGAATTGCTTCAATGAGTCTTTCTGTATCGCTTTTTTGACTGATGTCGCTACGAAGACTTGCAGCGCTTTTGCCACTCTTAAGACTCTGCAAGCTGTTCACGCTTTCTCCACTGCGTGTCCTGGCCATAGGGGGAGGAGGAATTTCGGAGCCTTGCGGAGCCCTGTAGACCAAAGTGATCTCGTTTTCAACTTGCTTAGGGGTTCTGGATCTCGAACGTGGCCTCGACGAACGCGGTCGCGACGAAGGGCGTGGATCTTCCGGTAGAGGGGTTGTCGGAACGTTTGTGTCAAAAATCAAGACGATTGTGAAACATGATCCCTTGCCTTCTTCGGTCCTGAGCCTGAGCTGACCATCCATATGACGGATTGTGCGTGCAACAATGGCTAAACCCAAGCCCAGGTTCTGCTCTACGCCTCCTGCTTCTGAGAAGGGCTCACGGCGAATCATTTGTTGATCTGAGAGGTCTTCTTCGTACGTCACTTCCTCGAGCTCTCTGAACAGGGCATCCACTTTACTGGAGGACATGCCATTTCCGGTGTCCTCGACAATGATTTCAATCTCTGCTTGGCCGGGCTCCTGCGGCGTGGGCGAGACGGTTGCCTTCACCGAAACTCTTCCCTCTGATGTATGTTGGAATGCGTTGGCAATAAGGTTAGACACTACTTGCCTAACTCGACGGTGATCACCAATCACTCTATTTGGCAGGTTGTCGGAGATAGATACGTCATACTGCAGACTTTTTCGCTTTGAATCGCCACTGAACGGATCGGTGGCTTCCCTCAAAGCCTGAATGAGGTCGAATGGCTCATCTTTGACCAAACTCTGCCCGCCCTCGGCCTTCGTTAGGTCGAGCAGGTCGTTTATCACATAGACTAGTGATTTAGAAGCTGAATGGGATTTGGTAAGATTCTCGCGTGTCTCTTGGTCCAGGGGTCCCTCCATTGCGATTTCCAAATAATTTATGATAGCATTCAAAGGGGTTCGCACCTCGTGGGCAGAATTGGCGAGTAAAAGGCGTGTGAGTTGACTGGTCTGCAGGGCGGCCTCTTTCTGACGCCAAACGTCGATGAATTTGCCGTAAACCAGACACAAGACAGCTGCAGTTTCCATCTCATCGTCAGTCCAATCACGGCATCGACCGACGATCATTTCACTCCAAGATTTGAAGCTTTTTCGTGGCTCTAGATATCCTTCGGTCCCTTCTTTTACGAATTTTTCATAGGGGTTCCCAGCCCATTTGACTTCCTGCAAAACACCGGCCCGGAAGAAGAGAATGAAGTCCTTGCCTCCACTAGATAGAGGTACAAACAGTACACCAGCGAGCGATTTCATCCCGGGGTCGTATCGAAGGTCGGGAAGATCAAGCGTGATGTCCTGGGAGGAGAAGACAGAGGATAAGCCTCGCATGCGGAAGTATTCAACCATAGCAAGAACTTCTTGCAGGTTGCCTCTTGAGTGTCCCAGTATTTTTGTCTCGTCCCGGATAGACAGCGCGCCTATATCAGCGTTAAATAGCTTCAGCAAGTCTTCCGAAGAGGCGACAATATAGCCTGAAGGATTGGTATTTGATGATGTGGTATTGATAAGTTTGCGCGCCTGCAGGCGAGATGAATAGGAGAGCCGCTCGATATTGCGGGAAGCAGTCTCGCCTACTAAACGACACATCTTGCGAATGGGGAATGAGACTCGCATTCCTTTCGGCCCATAAGCATGGCAGGCAATCAAGCCCCATAGTTCATTAAAGGCGTTGATTGATATGGACATGGAAGAGCGGACCGCCATATTAGCGAGATATTTCAGATGAATGGGGGACATGGCGCGCAAATGCGCGTGAGTCAGATCCACGGGATTTTCGAGGTCATCAATAGTACGACAGACCAAGCGGGCAGTCTCCTGATCGCGATCGTAAAGAAGGCGCACTCTATTGATCCTGTACAGATCCCTTGCTTGCTTAGGAATATCCGAGGCCGGAAAATTAAGGCCTTTGTATAAATCTTTGGTTGCTCGTGGATCCACGAGCTCGGCAACAACTCGGCCGTTCCAGGCTTGGTCGAATTGATATATCATGACGCGATGGAAACCGGTCAGCTCCTTCATAATGCCGATGAGGACTTTTAGGAAAATCGGAAGCGTCGGTGCATTAGCAAGCTGCTCTTGAACCTGGGACAAAATGTTGAAAACATCCATCGCTGCAGCTTCGGTTCTCTTCCTACGGGCAGTCCGTAACACGCGTAAAGGTTTGCTGGCATTGATGGTGCTATCATTGAATTCTTCCGGAGTGGGTGCACTACCCAGAGTATCCTCGGGAATATCTGGAGTCTGGCTGTCCCCGGGCGGGACCAAAGGATTCGTACGATCGTCTTCGATCTCGAACTCACAGATCACCTGGCTGCGATCGGTTTCTGAGAGATGCATGGCGCACCAAAGTTTACGGGTCCGGTGGCCCGGCGGGCGAATAGAAATCATGAAGACCTCAGGACCATTTGATTGCAAATCGGCAGCATCTTCATCCCGAATGAAATCGAGGTGATCCATGAGATTGTCGGCCTGCTCTTCGGTGAAAATGTCCAAGAAACTGCTGAGTGCAAAGAGTTGTTGGGGGGTATAGCCAACGATGCGACGTGAATTCTCACTAACAACCCGAACGACCAGCTTATCGGCAGCCTCCTTAAGGACCACAAGCAGGCCAAAGCTCTGAATGGCTCCGGGGATATGTATAGGTTCATCTTCGCAGCGTTGAAGTGTCTCTCCATCTCTCCCAGTGATGATAGCGTGGCCTCCGTCAGTCACTACGTGGGTGAAGCGGGCTGTAATCAGTGCAGCATCAGGTCCAGACCGAATCGAAGCCGCGCCCGAAGCGGTTGAGGCATTGTCAGATCTTTGCGAGGTGTCATCTTTCGTGGATGCGACTAGGGTGTTCAGACGGCCTGCTGTGTGCTGGGAATTTGGATCAGTCCACGGGGGGTCTGATCGCGAGCGGAACCCTTGAGATGTTCCAGACTCTGCGTCAGCATCGGAAACCCCCTGACCGTGAGGCTGGATGACAAACGCCGGGGAGACAGCAGGTGCGCTGGCCCTACTAGAGCGCCTCTGAGATGCGACGTTGAAGCTGGGGAAGCCAGAGGAAGGCTCGTTCTGAACCAATGGAGTGGCAGCTGGATCAATGGATACTGCAGAGCGAATAGGGAAGACGCGATTGATGGAAGTAGGGCTCAGAGTCATGCCCTCGTCGGATCGTGTAGATTTGGTGGACGGGCTGCGCGCCGGAGGATGGTCAGGTCGGCCCGTGAAGATGCTCACAAATGACTGAGTTGGGCCGAGAGGGATCCATGTCGGTCGAGTCGAATGACGAGTGGCTGGCGGTACCGCATCGCTGGCGGGCTGCTGAGATGGACTGGAAGGCGAAACCGTCGTCCCATCTGCTGCAGAGGCCGAGGCGGCATGCGAGGGCGGTCTGGACATGGCGACAGAAGCGACGGTCTACCTGGAAGCAGGTGCAAGGCGATGTGCGATGTGCGCTGATATGGGGTGAAGTATCTCATTTGCAACGTCGGTTCAACAAAGGTGGGCTTGAGCGAGATCACCGATGATATCCATGTGGATTTTGCCACTATGTATTTTTGTATTTTATTTTTCCTGCATCGCCGGCTCAGGGACAAGGCTAGGTGATGGAACTGTATTCACTAGGGAGGGACCGTGTTTTATGTCAAGGCCAGGGAAGGGTAACCTGGTGAGTATATCGTGATAGGACGGTAGGGAAGATATGTTCGTACGAGTAGACTGAAGCACAACGGCGTCCAAGAGCGGGAGGGGACGAAGGTGTCAGAACCAATGGGTTACTGTGACTTGGTGCAGTCAAATAAGAATGTAAAAAGATCGGTTTTGGGAGGCCGTCGGTGATGGCTTCGACTTGGATTCAAGTGTACAAGATAGAGGATACTGAGTTGAGCTCGGGCTAAGTCGTGTCGGTGATGTTTTAGGAACTGTAACCCAACTCTGGAGGGCAACAGCGTGGGGTGGGAAGGAGGAAGGAGCAAGATGGTCAGGACTGGTTGGTAGTGGTCACTGGTCACTCGAGAGTCGATGCCAGATGGAGAGGGTGCACGGGGGCAAGGCTACGGGCTTGGTGGGGCACATCCGAAGCCCTTGGGAGCTTCCTGGGGGCTCGGTGAGCCACCTACTTGGTCGATTACAGGAGCTCCTCGGTGCCCGTACCTACCTGGGGGTACCTGGGCAGATTAACTTTAACCCGATCGTTGGGTCTCTAGGCTTCCTCGGGGCGTCTGAGCAAGCCCAAGTACCACCCAGGCATGCCTCGATTCGCCGATGGCAAGACGCCCTTGACTCTTTTGCTCCCTCTGCTACTTACAGGGTGACTCGTAGGAACAGACATGGGCCTTTTCGACCGTCAACCATGGGATACCATCTGAATACCATCTAGGGAGCTTTGGGTATCTCACAGCGTCAATCAAAGTTCAGATCAGTTAAGATCGACTGGTCGGCCAGGGACCCAGGAAAAAACAAGGAAAACCATCCACTTCCCGGTTACATGAATCTACTCGCAGATAGACCATCGTGGTATTTTCTTCCCCGGCACTCCCCTAGCGTGCTCTTTGAATACTTCAGTCTTTTCATCATTTCATCGAAGCTGCAACATCAGATAGACCATCTGCTCCAGCCTTGTCCCAGATCTTCGGTACCGAGTGTGTTCATGGTCATGCTGATGCACATGCAGCTCGTCTTTGCCCGACACGAATGCGCCACGCCAGCTGCGGGGTGACGCTATGCGCTATGGCGCTATGGTGACATCCATAAATCTCGCTAATCGCAATCTCTAGCGCCTTGTACTGTAACTTGCACGCCGCACGCACGCCGCCAGGGACCCGAATTCCCATTGGCAAATTGCCGTGAACGACTATGCAGATGTTACGTGAGCAGCAACTTTGCCATTTGGGTGCCATTGATGACTTCATCGATTATCCCATCCAATCACTAGGGGTTTGCGACCGTAAATACCAGGTACCAAAGTACCAAGGTATCCCCCGATTCGACGCTACTTCTCCTGCTGTGGTCCTTGCTATGCCTTACAGTACTCGTACATTGCTCTCCATCTCTCTTACTATGATTAAGTAACGATGGCCTACAGCACCCGGGGTAGTACCCAATGGTGGCATTATTGCCCACCGCGCCGTCCCTACAGAGTCAACTGCGGCTCTTCCACGGTCGTCCCTTGGCACTTGTAACTTCCTGCCAACGCCTTATCCCACACCCCCAACGAATCGCTGCTAACTTCTAACGATCTATATACTGGACTGCTTACACTAAAGTTCGTATTCCTGCTCATGACAAACCTAATACCCTAACTTTGGATCTGAAAAGGAGAGATGCTGGACACAGAGTAGTTGGCAAACAGAGGCCCGTTCAACTTGGTTTCTTGCGGCCGTGTTTCCTTTTAAGCAGTTACCAAAGATACGCTGGCGTGAAGAGAACAGTGTGATTTATGGGGCCCACGTGACAGGAATGAAATCGGTGGCCACGCCCCTTGGATTCACAAGTAACGCGAACAGGGCCTATGGACTCCAACAAGTCAATCCCCAATCTCAGGCCGGATGTAATGCCTGATGCAGACCCTCCTCGCCACGAATGCTGCATGTTCCATCGGACCTATGTCGGCGAGCAATGTGCAGAGGACAATATACAATACCAGCGAAACTAGGATTGATTCATGTCTCAGCGCGATCGACTACATGAGTTCACGGCTCATGAGCGTTCTCTTCGCGGCCAGTCATGGCAATGAACCAAGTCGACTAGAGATCGTTGTCGCCGATCACAGCTCGATTCAAGAGCAAGACCCAAAGAAGTGAGAAGACACTTTCGCCTGAGCCTTGTCCAGCCTTGCGACAATGCCTTACAATACGACTAAGCCGCTCGGTACTTACCCTCGTGCGACCCAACCAATCACGTCGCCTGGATTCTCGCACCTTGGCATTTTTCCGGGCCCGTAATGTGCGCCCTGGGGCCCGAGGCCTATCCTCTCCTTCCAACTTCACCACACAATCTGTCGGCCCTGTCTGGACGTCGTCTCGTGGGAAGGGCTCCAATGGATTCCCGGTATTTCGCGTCCGAATATACGTCTGCTCATGCATTTGCGGTGCGGTGATGGAGCCCGGGTGTAGAAATAGGTAGGCAGAAGTTTCATCGGCGGTTCGTTATAGAACATTTATAGATGGCGGCTCCCCTTCGTTGTATTATCTTTACTACTCAACTTTGCTACACAAGAGACCTCCGAGACAGTTGACTACAGTGAACGCGTCGCATATACCCAAACTCGAAGAATGGCCGACACCCTGGAGCAATCGGGCGCTGCTCAAAGGAAGAGTATGCAATCCATCAAGGACAACAGCGAAGCTCCAAGCACCGCAAGTGCTTCAGCAACAGACGAGTATCCTCCATTCAAGACGGTCCTTGCCATAGTTTTTGGCATGATGTGTGTTTCCCTTCTTGTCGCCCTGGTAAGCGCCATCCACATCCAAGCTGATACCACTCCACTAACCACCAGCAGGATCGAACTATAATCGCAACAGCCATTCCCGCCATCACAGACCACTTCAACTCCCTGGGCGATGTAGGGTGGTACGCATCAGCCTATCTCTTGACGATGTCTGCCTTCCAACTCCTCATCGGCCGCATCTACACTTTCTACAGCACCAAGTGGGTCTACATCATCTCGATCGGTATCTTCGAACTTGGCTCCCTGGTCTGCGGAGCAGCTCCAAACTCTCCAGCATTCATCGTCGGCCGCGCCATTGCGGGCATCGGTAGCGCAGGTGTGCTCTCGGGCGCCATCATCGTCATTGTCGACATAGTTCCGCTAGAAAAACGTCCGGCCTGGACTGGAGCCTTCGGAGCTGTGTTTGCCATAGCGTCTGTCGCGGGGCCTCTCCTCGGCGGGGCATTCACAACCAATGTTTCATGGCGCTGGTGTTTCTATATCAACCTACCCATCGGCGGAGCGGCAATGGTGATCCTCTTCTTCATCCTCCGAGTCCCACAGAAGAAGATCGAAAAGACCTCGCTGATGGAGCAAGTCCACCAATTGGACCCCATTGGCACCGTGCTATTCATGCCCTCGATCATCTGCCTCCTCCTGGCTTTACAATGGGGCGGCATCAACTACTCGTGGCCCAGCGCCCGCATCATTGCACTACTCGTCCTCGCAGGTGTCCTCTTCATAGCATTCATCGCCGTCCAGATCTGGCGACAAGAACTCGCAACCGTGCCACCCCGCATCGTCAAAACCCGCGCCGTGGCCGCGGGCATCATCTACTCATTCTTCAGCGGCGCCGGGATGATCACGCTTGTATATCTCCTCCCGATCTGGTTCCAAGCCATCAAGGGCGCCACCGCCGTGCACTCGGGTATCATGAACCTTCCCGCCGTGCTGGGCCTGACATTCGCAGCGATCATTGCGGGCGTCGGGACGAAACAACTCGGCTACTTCACCCACTGGATGTACATCTCGTCGATCCTCACCCCGCTCGGCGCAGGCCTGATCTCCACGTTCGCGACTTCCACCGGCCATTCCAAGTGGATCGGGTATCAGGCGCTCTGGGGCCTGGGTCTAGGCCTGGGGATGCAGCAGCCCAGCGTCGCGGCGCAAACCGTGCTGAAAAAGAATGACGTGCCCACCGGCGCAGCCATCATCTTCTTCGCGCAGGGCCTCGGCGGCTCCGTTTGTGTCAGCATCGCGAACAACATCTTCCTGAACAAGCTGGCCACCGGTCTCGGTTCCATCCCCGGCATCGACGCGGATCTCGTCACGCACGTCGGCGCCACCGATCTCAGAGGCGTCGTGCCCGCAGCCAGCCTCGATGCCGTCCTCGACGTCTACAATTTCGCCCTCCGAAATGGATTCTACGTCGGCGTCGCTGTCAGTGCCGCTACCGTTGTCGGCACCCTGCTCATGCCCTGGATCAATATTAAGAAGGTCGCAGCTGATCAGAAGGCTGAGGCGGCCGCGGCAGCTAAGACACCAGCGAGCGATACTCGACCGGCCGACGCAGAGGCCAAGCCAGTCGAGGAGGTCTAGCTTTCGAGAAGCGTGAGCCGGGTGTTTTTCTCCTCTTTTCATCGTTTGTATAACACCATCTGAGGCTATTAAGCCGTTCACGTTCTAGCATCTCACGGTTTTGGGCTGTACGGGCGGAGCATGGGAGGAAAGAAAAGGTGCACTAATATGGTAATTAGACTAGACTCCCATTCTCAAGAATAAAGCATCCAATTCTCTGTTGTTCCCGTGCGTTAAACCTCGTTGGGAGTTTCCGCACGGCTCTAGATTCATGCGTCGGAAAATCCATCTCCACATGATATTACAGCGGCTGGATGTGTTTTTTTTTTTTAAAGATCACAACATTAAATAATATATATTAAATGTAATTTCCACCAGCGTTCCTTCCGGACAAATTTCCCCCGATAAGCCCACACCTGCTGGTTCCACCCTTCAAGTTCGTCGTTGTTAGTATGTACAGACGACAAGCGTACACGCATACACACGTGTAAAGCGAGGGTTCACACGTTTGAATCCGATGTAGTTTGATGATGTATTTCTCATCCTGCAAGGAAAGAGAGGTTTACTGAGGCCGTCGAATAACAAATGTTTGGGTACACGCCGCCTACTCTCCACACAAGCTATGCGCCAGCTCCAGCGCTCAAGATATAGCCGCCGTCAACCGCGACGGTCTGGCCGTTGAGGTACTGGTTGGTCGCGGCAAAGAGAATCGCATTGGCCATATCTCTGTCCTCACCGGGACGGCCAGCAGGGACCTTGTCCTGATATTTCTCTCTGGGGATGTGCGACTTCTGTTTCTCGTCGCTTTCGCCGCCGGTGGTCATTTCGCTGGGAAACACACCCGGGGCGATGCTGTTGACGCGGACGCGCAGGCCGTTGGAGGTGATTTCGCTCGCGAGCATCGTCGTCAGGTGGATGGCCGCGGCTTTGGACGCGTTGTATGCGAAATGGTGCTGTGAAGCCTTCACGATACCCGAGATCGATGAGATGTTGACCACCGTGCCGGAGAAGTTGGAGTTGTGCTTGTGCGCTGCCTGCAGGAGGGGGAGAAATGCGGTGGTCATGAAGAAGAGTTGCGGGACGTTGGTTCGGTAGGTGTCTGTCCACATCTCGAATGTCTCGTTCGGGTCTGAGAAGAGGTTTTCAGACATTTCCTCGGCGCTGGACGCTTCCGTTTGCTGTGTGTTGAGCGCGATGCCTGCGTTGTTGACCAGGATACACAGACACTTCTCCTTGGAGGAGATGGTGTCGACGAGTTTCTTGATTTCGTCTTTCTTCGATACATCGGCCACGATGGGGATGATCGAGCCTGGGATGTCTTTGCCGTACGTCTCGGCCACCTTCTCGAGCTTCTCTTCCGTGCGCCCGACTATGTACACCTTTGCTCCGTTGGTTGCTAGGGCTTGCGTGGCCATCAGGCCGATGCCACTGCCGCCACCAGTGATCAGGGCAACTTTGTTTTGCACATCGAACAACTTGTCGAGCTTGAATGTTTCATTGTGCTGGTTTAGAGCCATATTGGAAGTGGTAGTAAACTGCTTCCTCAGATTAGCCACACGGGGTTGTGCTAGCACGAGCTGAATTGTTTGATTCGTTACAAACGCTGTAGTCGAGGCTAGTATGAATGATCGAGGCTGTGAGAGTCGAGGCGCTTTCAATGGGCGAATCGACAGTCGGAATGACATTGGAAGATTGATGTGAACACAAGGAAAGGATTTAACCAAACATCTACTTATGGCCCCGACGTCCTCAGGACTTACCTCTGGCCCACGAGATCAGTGTAATTGAAATAAACAGATGACGCTCATATGATGAAACATGAGTCGGCTTGCGGATCACTATTCCGCCAGCCAATTCGTCGAACCACAAAAGCCCTAACACAAATCCTAGGATATAGGATGAGTTTTGGACAGGGCTTGTTGCCACGTATTCGACCATTCTAGACAGTGGCTGGTTTCGACGAGCAGTAGAAATATGGAAGGTGCTGGAGGTCTGGAGGTCGAGCACCACGAGATCGCGGATGAGGTGGGAGAATTAACCGGAATTCTGCCGAGTACACGTTTCGAATTGACTCCCATCATCAGGCGGCTTTGTGTCATGCCAGTCCTTCTCGAACACCGCACTCGACCTCCCAGACCTGTGTAGTACAGTGTGAACCGGGTCATTGCAGAATGGACATCATCTAACAACCCTTCCTCGACGAATCCCTCGAAATGACAAGCTTTGACAGCGGCGTCCCCTTCTCGTACGTGGTGCCCGACTGGCCTGCACTCTACTACCCTGTGCGCGCGGACCCAGGCGAAGCACAATACCTGTATTACGTATCGGACATCTACCGCTACGTGGTCTTCTGGACTCTGATCTGCGTTGGGGCGGCGCACCTCTCCGTTGCCACCTGGGCGGTGCTCATGCAATTCCACTCGGCCAAGATGCGCGGCACCTATCTGAGGACGCCCGTTGGGAGGAGACTCACGCCTAAGAATCGGAAGCTGCTGGGCGAGAATCCCATCAGTGAGACGTTGAGCTGGGTGTGGCTCGTTCCCTTGGTTTATGTCGTTCTTGGTGGGCTGGAAGCTGTGTTCGCCGGCAGTATTGTGGGCTTGATACTGGGGGCCGTCTACAATGCTGGATATTTCAGAATGAGCACTTGGACTCCTTTGCTGTGGGGAGTTATCAATATGCTGGTGCTGGTTGTGAGCAGTTTCAGGATACAGGGTGGCCTATAACCCGCTGTTTACGGCTCGATGTCGTATCATTTGCAATGCACTCCTCATCTTTCTACACAAGTTTCCAAGCATACGATATCTGTGCTCTACCATCATGATTTATCCTTGTCGCGCAGACTACGCCGGGATAACGTTACAGGTCAGTGGATTCACGAGGTGGCGTGGAGCATGGTGCCAATGCACCAACAGGTCATAATAGCCTCCTACATTAACAATCGCGACGCGGCTTGGGCCGCAATATTAAAGACGGCCAGGTCACAGCCATCGATGACCGTCCGATTCAGAGCGGCGGAGTTAATCCTCTGGACTTGAAAGGGTACCCAGATGCTTCTGAATAGGCTATTTAAGCACCATCCTTTGATGAGCACTTATTGGGATCGGGTGACTTGAGCACGCAGCTATTGTGCGATGCCGATCAACGGGCGATAAACAACAACGACGAAAGACGGGCAACGAGATGGGAGATTGAGCATGACAGAGAGGATAGTGCTACGGATTGGTGTGAAGAGGTATAAGTCAATTCTCCAGTGGAGCCTCAATCCCTGATACCTGAAAGCCAAAGAGCCTTGTCAGATGGAACTCTTACAATCGTTCAGGAAGATACTTGTCTTGGAATATCATGTATTTTAGAATTTGCGCATTCGTAACATCTCTCTTGTCTGAATGGATCTGTAATTTGCGAGCCGGTCAGCACCTGACAACCAAAAATTGTGAAAATAAAGATGCAGCAAAGAATGAAATCAAACGCTCTCTGTACGAATCCCTAATCATCTGTTGCTCCTTGGTTGTAGACATGCCGAGACCGAGAGGGGTCTTTGCGCATTTCGTGTCCGCTCCCTGTGAAACCCACTTTGGCCAGTTAGTATCTGAAGAGACATGTAGCCATCTGGGTGCTTACCTCGAGCATTGACGCCTTCCCCTGTCCTGAACATACTGTCCTTCTTGTGCATTTTGCCAACCTTGGATTTAGCGGCAAAGTCCTGCCATTTGGTCTTCCCCGCTTCAAGCTCTTTGTTGGCCTTGACTTTGCGAGGGATCTTAGCTGGTCGGATTGGTCCATCACTGACCTTGCTGGGCTCACGTCGCGCCTGCTGGGCCAGAGTGGGATCAACACTTGCGGCGGCAGAGATAACACTCGGATTGGAAGGTGTTGCAGTGGGGGTGGAAGAGCCTGATATGTTATCAGCCTTGCGTTTCTTGGCCTCGGTTGATAGCGGCTTGATGTCCTTTGCTCTCAAGGTTTCACTATTTCCATAGCTTTTGAATGTCACAATGTAGACAGGATCGCTGGCAGAGCCGGTGATGGAGGTGATTCTTGCGGTGTAGTAACCTCCGTCACCGGATTTCCATCTGGCAGAGACAGTGTCGTTAACGGCAAAGGTGGTGGTTGCGTTGATCTCTTCAGGTTCGACCTCGGCCTTGCGGTAGCCGGCTTGATAAGCAGGATGATTCTCCTTTGACCATTTCTCCCTCACGGCTGGCGGGGATGGGTTTGCGGAAGGCGCCGAGACTGAAGCAGGCTTTAGTTCTGCAATGGCAGATTCGGTGAGGGAAATAACTTCTTCAAGTTCTGCTTTGAGACTCTCTAACTCAGCATTCTCGGGGTCATTCTGCAGACTAAGCTGAACAGTCTCAAGTTGTAATTTGTATTCTTTAACCTCATTTTCGAGGGCTTGCACTTCGGATGAACTCATGATCGGGAGAGGGAAGTGGGTGGAGGAATCAGGTGCAAGTAGGAATGTATGACGGGCAGAGGAGAATCGCTTGAGAGGAGTATGTTTGTGGTTTTTGTAATCTGCTCGAAGCTGGACCGGACGTCGACGTTACCTCGTACGAACAATGTTCTTGGTGATAGATGTGGGACAAAGTCCTGAGGAGCGACAGACGCAGCCGCCGCCGCAGACGCAGACGCATCCGCATCAACCGACGTTGGAAGGAATAAAACGCCAAGCCTTCCCCAGCGTTAAGCGGATAAACCCTGGGGTCGGAAGGTATTCCGACTTCACCACCGGAGATACTAGGCATAGCTTGATGCCACACGTCGAGCTGACACTTACGAATACGCACAATCCTACCAGGAGTAAACCCGACGAGGTAGTTAATGACCGAGAAGTGCAGGAAATAATAATTAAACCTCGCGTATCGCAGATCTACAGGGTCAAGAAGATCTGTGTCCGGAATACTACCAAGAGCGCAAAGTGCAAGATGAGGGAGGAGTCCATCGCCGCTCATAGACAAGAAATGAAGCCCATGCCATCTGTGAGATGCTATCGCGCCATAAGTTTCATACCAGTAGTGCTCAATGCATCGCTCTGATTTCTCATTCTGACTCCAAAGCTCAGGTGATGTTGTGAAGATAGAATTCGACTACCGTGCGTCGGTCTTACTGCAAAGACCGCTTGAAGCGGTGTCATTTACGAGCACAGGATGACGTCTTTGCACGCCAAATGCCGGAGCAGCCTCGTATCACGCTCACCAGGGCCAAGCGGGCCAAAGCCTTCGGCTGAGTGGCTGGATGGGACATGGCCAGAGATGACGGGCGGGCAGGGTGCCTGGTTTTGACTTGAGCAGAAACGAGAAGATTGCTGAATTGGTGTTGGTATGGACATTGGTAGACAGGCATGGACCAGTCGCGACTCCCACCCGCTTAGAAATCAACCTCGATGGCTGCGAGTCCGTGACTGCTCCCCCTCCTCGCCATTTGCCACTTCGCACCCCTGGTCTGCGAGTGGTTTTCCTCCACTTGGAATACAGCACGGCCAGCAGTCTATTATTTTTGCACGGACGATCACCAGGCTGAGTGGGACGATTACAAGCTTTCATTCAGTCAGACGGCAGGAGGAAGAGGCAACGGGCCAGATGTCCTTGAATAGAAGGCACCTGCGTTCCGTGAATGACTGAAGAGCACTCCGTACCTGGTCTATGTATATTTCAGTACAGACATTTGGGCTTCTTAGGCGAAGCTCCGATGGTTCTAGGTACCGCTTATAGTCAAGTCAGCGGGGCATCAACACGCCTGAGAGAGGTGGGATCCCTAGAAGAGGCCCTTAGGTCATGCTTGGCAGGGTCTTATCCCAATCTGCGGTCCTCGGGAGGGAGGGGTCCAGCGTCCAGCGCCCTTCTCTTTTGTGGCTTTCCTCATCCCTTCTCCCTTGTCCCTCGTCCGTCGTTTTCTATGGGCACCTTTTTGGCTCTGCTGCAAATCTTTAGGCGGTGCAACCTCTACCCGTGCCCTGCCATGCCAGCGTCTGACTGACTGAAGTTCTCTTGGACTCTAGTACGATTGGGAATTGTCAATTGATCTCATCATTTCTTTCGTTCCTCTTCTCTTACCCACACTCCATTTGCTCGCCTTACGCCTTCAGACCTTTGCCATTCTATCTTTTCTTCCCTCACCCCCCGTCATTGAGTTAGTTTGCTCCAATCAACAAAAAACCCCGGCCCTCTCCATCCACCAGGTGTAAGGTACCGCTGTTGGTGAATTGGTTTCCCTCCGCCGGCTTTCGGGCTGCTCTCCCATTTCTACCCCCACCCGCCTCTTCAACCAGCCATATTCAACCAGGTTCCCTTCAATCAATTTTCTTCTCTCAAGATTGTTTGTTTTTTGAGTCATTCCCTACTAAGCCTCTTGATACTGCCTTCGCGGTAGAGGGAGGCGAATCCTCAATCTCTGCATTCCTCACCTATTCCGCTACTCCCGCGCATTCGCCTTTGCCTGTCGGCCTCCACAACTCCATATCCACCCCTTTACATCATCTTCACTACCAATCGTCAGAGTGTAATCCACTGGTTCAATGTCGCTGCGCGCATCGAGTGACCTCTACCTGTCCTCTGATCAACAAGACCTTTTGATGGCCGCATTGAACTCCAATCAATCTTCCGAACTGAAGTCGGGATCTAGTACACAAAAGACCACCCCGCAAGCATCCTCTTTCACTCCAAACATGTCTAGCGCTCCAGGATCCGGTCATCTAGACTTCTCGGATGAGAGTCCCTACCTCGATTTTGACCCCGACGGCGACTTTGACGATTCCTTTGGGTACGATGAATCCGGTCGGATGATCGGCGATTTACCCGGCGATTTGCATGATAAGCGCAAAAGTATGGATGGACAAGATGACGATGACGAAGGTGGCGGCAAGAGACGTGAAGGTGAAGACAAGACAGCCAAAAAACCGGGTAGGAAGCCACTGACAGTTGAACCCACCTCTGTAAGTACCAATAAACTGATTATGTTGTCGTCTGAGCCTAATGCAATTAGAAACGCAAAGCACAAAACCGTGCTGCACAGAGAGCGTTCCGCGAAAGGAAAGAAAAGCATTTGAAAGATTTGGAGACAAAAGTTGAAGATCTTGAAAAAGCCTCGGAATCTGCAACCCACGAAAATGGTCTCTTGAGAGCCCAAGTTGAACGCTTGCAGGTGGAATTGAAGGAATACCGGAAGCGATTGTCCTGGATCAGCAGCAATGGCTTGAACAGATCGCAATCCATGGTGCAAGACCAAAGCCGGAAGTCAGTCACCAACAACAACAACCAGAACGACTTTCAATTCGAGTTTCCCAAGTTTGGCGACCTTCCTCCGATGCCCGCCACCAATCTTTTTAATAATGCCAGTGCCCCAAAACAGCAGACTGCTGCTAATAAGAGATCAGCAAGCAATGGAACGTCAAATTCGCTTGCCATGAGTCAGACTAATGGAGCTCGTCGCTCTAATTCGGCAACCCCTCAACAGAATCAGCCAGCCAGATTTGGCTCCTTGAGCCAATCACCTATCAGCAGCGCATTCTCTGCGTCACCTCAGCCTCAGAACCAGCAAAAGGACCAAGGTAGTGTGGATAGCCTGACAGGGCTGTTCAGTCCATCCATCTTGGAAGCCAGCCGACATACCTCTCTCGGAGGCTATTTCCCACAGACTGCCTTCAACGCGAACTCGCAGTCTGGCCGTCGCAGTCTAGATGGCGGTGCCATGGCTAATGGACCGGGAGTCTACTCCAACTCAAGTATATCAAATTCCGACTCGCCTGGGTCCTCAGTTGAATCGCAGAATGCGATCTCGTCCATTGGCACTTCCCCAGAACCAAGCCTCAACTCTCCAGCCAACAAACTGACAGAGTTCAACCTCAACCCTATCACAGAGGAGAATCAGCTTCCATTTGGAGGTAAGGACTACCTTTGCAAACAAATATCACAGGCCTGCGGCTGCGTTGATGACCCAGTCCCTCCAATATTGAACCTGTCTAATGGCAAATCGTTAGGCTTCGCTGGTGATACCGGCTTCGACACAAATGGCATCAACTGGCTTGCACAGCAGAACAACAACGGCTTCGACCCAGTCCTATTTGGCGACTACCGGGAGACCCAGGACAATGTTCTTGCCCAAGACTTTGGCTCTTTCTTCAATGATGCTTATCCTTTACCGGATCTGGGTAGCCCGTTACACAACTACAATGATGTGACAGCAGAGCCGCCCGCAAAGAATGACCTCATGAGACAGGTGAACTTGGCGAAGGATGGTGAAGAAGTGGTGCCTAATAACGATAAACCCATGACCTGCAACAAAATTTGGTGAGTGACAGTGATGGAACTAGTAATATTTCATCAGGACTAATAAACGTATAGGGATCGTCTCCAATCCATGGAAAAATTCCGCAACGGTGAGATTGATATCGACAATCTCTGTAGTGAGCTTCGGGCAAAAGCAAAATGCTCCGAGGGCGGTGCGGTGGTTGACAAGAAAGATGTGGACAAAATTCTAGGATCTGCCAGATAATTGGCAAGGCTATGGGTCGCATGTGTGACGGAGTCAATGACATGCAATCACATGGTTAGCACAATCCATGGGAGTTTTTAGGTCGAGTCCGTGAAGGTCACATGATACCATTAAAAACGGATTGAGGGCCATTGGAACCCTCAGGCAGCATGCTCAGGCTCTGAGGCGCTCAACAGTCACACGTGGGGTTGAATTTTGATGAAAGTTGCAATGGCTTGATTTTATGTACCAATTCATGACGCTAGCACGAACCTTTGTCCAATACTCGGCGCCTACCCGGCAGAACTGGTCAAGATGGCTGAGAAGTGAAAATTCTATATATATTTATGAATGAACAGACGTCCTTTTGTGCAGCGCAAACGAGTCGTCACACTTGGAGATATTGTAACTTGTTGAAGCATTGAGCCCGACTTGAGCATCCGTCCTAATAGTAGAATAGTGCGGAGTACGGAGGAGTACGAGGAATACTACTGCAGGCGCAAAATGCCTTTCGTGGCTGCTATAGCCGCACGTGACCTTCAACTCGTCTTTAGTGGAAGCTAGCCTGCGTCTAAGACCAGAACAGGCTAAGGTGCCAAGTCAACCAATTAGTGATTCCCAGCTCTCAGAACTTCTTCTGCTAGGCTCGGGGCCGTGTAGTCTGGGAAATCGAGTCTTTACCAGTTCACCTTTTGTGTTATTGAAACTACTAAACATCACCTCACCCTTTTTCGCCATCCTCGCTCTCGTCACCGTCTTTGTCGTGTGTCTCATTCCAACAAGCGGTCCTTTTGCGCGCTATCTGTCGCCTCACATCTCCTCTCTAATACTAATTGACTTTTATCGACCGCACCCTCATCCAGCAGCCTTTCTGTCTGCGACTTTATCTGTCACGAGCACTACTTGCGCGCTCCATTGGGAATTCACTATTCATCCATGGCTTCAGTGAGTCTTCATGCGTCTCTTCCTTCCTTCCTCTCCCTCATCTCTTCCGCCTTCCATTCCTCCTGCTTCTGCGGACCACGATGGCGGCTCGAAAGAAAACCCCCGTAGCAATTCCGCTGATTCTCAATCGTCAACAGCCACGGTCTCAGTACCAAAATCAATATCTACCCAACGGAAATGCCTCTGGCCCTGTCCCGGGTGCTCAAGCTCTCCTCCCCAACAATGGCCGAATTATCCAAGCTGGTCCCATTCGAGTTCTCTGCATCGCAGACGTAAGAGGTTGGCTAGTCCTATAAGAGTCTACTTTGCTGTGCCTCTTCCTAACCTCGGATTAACAGGCTACCTCAAGTCTCTCAACGATCTGGCAAAGACAGCCAAAGCCGACTACATCCTACATACCGGCGACTTTGGCTTCTATGATAATAGCTCGTTGGAGAGAATAGCCGAGAAGTGAGAATTCTTTAGTTCTACCGTCTTTGAAATCATGGCTCACACCCGGTATAGGACTTTGAAACATGTCGCACAATATTCTCCCCTTCTCAGTGAGCATGTCAAACGCCAAATTGCGCAACCAAACCCTCCTCGACCGATCAAGCAAATGTTCTCACCCGATCAACTTCCTCTCTCGGAATTGCCTCTCCTACTGAATCGACAAATCACACTAGATGTCCCTGTGTACACAGTCTGGGGTGCTTGCGAAGATGTCAGAGTGTTGGAACGTTTCCGCTCTGGTGAATACAAGGTTGACAATCTTCACATCATTGACGAAGTTAACTCTAGGTTACTCGACATTGGTGGAGTCAAACTGCGATTACTCGGCCTCGGCGGTGCGGTCGTCATTCACAAGTTGTTTGACAATGGTGAAGGCAAGACCTACATCGCGGGGGGTCAGGGCACCATGTGGACGACTCTGCTCCAGATTGGAGCGTTGATCGATACTGCAAATCGTGTATACGACCCTTCTGAAACCCGCATCTTTTTGACCCACGCTTCTCCGGCAAGAGATGGAATCCTCAATCAACTCTCCGTCACCCTCAAGGCCGACTTCTCCATCTCAGCAGGTTTGCACTTCCGCTACGGCAGCTCATACAATGAATTCTCCGTCAATCCTTCCCTGGATCACTATCGTGGTAAACTTGCCGCATCCAAGGCGTCCTTCCAAGACGTATGGGAGACTGTCAAGATGGATGTCGAGCAAGCGATCGAGTCGAATGCTAGTCACAAGACGCTCCTGCACAGTGCCCTCGAGATTGTTGAGAAGATGCCGAGCACAGCCAATGGAGGCAATCCCTTCGGTGGGCCAGTCGGAGGTGGTGCAGCTGGTCAAGTGGACGAGAGCGCGTTCAAGAATATGTGGAACTTCAACCTTGCAGACGCTGCCTTCGGATATCTTGTGCTCGAGATCGATGGAGGCCGCATTGGAACAGAAATGCGAGCTCAAGGGTTCAACTTCGCTCATCGCGGAAAGCCCACTGCAGGTGGCCAGCTTCCACAGCAGCCATCTGCAGTATCAGCTTCCGTCGCGCCAGTCCCCGGACCTGCGACTGCACCTACCGGCCCCGCACAACATCGCGCCCCGGCGTTCCAAGCACCACCACAACCATTCCCTCAACAACCCAAACCACAACTTCAACAGCAGCAGTCAAGACCTGCTCTGACGGGATCAACCCCCGTCCCCAAGTCTGCAACACCACCATCAGCTGCATCTCCCGCACCGCCAGTTGCCCAAGCCAAGCCACTGACTCCTCAACCTTTATCCACCGCTGTTCCAACCACATCTGTATCTGCGAATAAGCCTGCTACTCCGGCGACCAACGGCGCGGGTGGCGACAAGGGCGGAGAAAGTGAAGCTGCAAAAGCCAAGGCTGGAACGCCTCCAGTAGATCGCAAGGCACCAACAGCCCTTTACGTTTCTTCTGCTGAGAGTGAGCAAGGAGCGAGAGACTTGATTGCGGAGGAGGATCGTGACAAGATCAAGTCCATCATCCGATTAGGTAGTAAATTCTTTAACTGGAAGGTGCAGTTTGAAAATCACGACGTTGCCCAAGGAGCATTGATTCGAGCACAAGCGGAGGCATCAAAGCACAAGAGCCCTACCGGTAGAATCCCTAAGATCATGTTCTTTGAGGAGAAGCCATCCACATTCCACCAACGCGATAACCACAGCCAAGGAGGCGCTGGGACGTGGCAGGGCAGCAACCGTGGAGCTTCAAGCACCGGTAACACCCCGTCAACTCGTGGCGGCTATCAGAGCGGAGGTGCCAGCGATAGTGAGACTGGGCGTGGTCGTGGAGGATTCCGTGGTCGTGGACGTGGTGGACGCGAGGACCGGGGCGGACGCGGAGGACGTGTTGGAGGTCGTGGCGGATTTCAGAACAAGACGGGCGACGGATCATCAGAAGGCAAAGGCTCGGAGGTCAAGGGCCCTGACAGCAAGCCAGCAGCGACACCCGCAGAGAGCTGAAGAAGACCAGTAGTTGGGGAGAGATGAAAAAGCACTGCACACCGATTCCAGCGATTGATGGGATTGTGCAACATTCATGGGAGGCGCCAAACCAAGGACTTGGCCAGGACGGATACTGTTCAGCAGGAGTTGTTGGGCAGAAATGGAGATAGGACCACCGACAGATCAAATCAGGTCAGGTCAGGTCACCTCAGGTCAGCTGAGATTGGCTGGGAGTTGGAGCTTTTTTATTTTCTTAGTGCTGGCGAGCGGATCCCTTTTCGACCATATGTATTTTACAACCTGCTAGAAAAGAGACAAAAGCCTGAACAATTTCAGTTGGTGGTGAGAAGCGGTTGTTTGCCAGGCGAGAGGTGGATAGCTGCATTGCACAGAACAGAGCGAGAAAAAGAAGAATTGATCCCAAAAAGGACATTCCCCTAATTTTGTTTCCTGTTTCGACTGATCAAGCGGCCTTTTGAGTGTTTTGAACCTACTGATAGAGAGCAATTCGTACGTAGTATTTGCTATAGACGTGGCTGGTACTTGGTACCTGGCGAGCGATGCTTGGTTGGTGAGCCCGCGCCAGCCGCCAACCCATACTAACGAGGATCAATAATTCTCCGAAAGAATGGGGGATTCTAGTGACACTACGAGTAGTAAGACCCGTACATAATTACGGCACGGTACGGGCACCCAACGGGTACGACATACGAAGTCGTCACAGCAAGGACAAATGTAGGAAGGCGCCCGACTCCAATGCGGCAGTGACATTCTGCTCTTTTGTCTGGAGCTCCGGAAGGTGGAAACCATTTCTCCGAAGTTCGCAGACTGACCTCGTCACGACTCACGACTCTTCTACTTCATCCTGTTTACACCCATCCATGACTTGTTTGCCTTTTCAAGGAGCACCTCATCTTCATCCTGCCTAGAGAAAACCACGAAATACATTCTACATACTGCACGTTACACATCCTCCCCTCACCAGCTCATCCCTCTTGACTCGGCCGCCTTCATTCTCTATCGCCCGCCGTCATCATCCTAGATCCATGATGCACTCGTAACCACAGCTCCAACCCAACCAAAACACACACGCCATCTGTGCCCCAGCCGATCGCCTCGATGCGATTTCTCACTTCCTTCTTCACAGCGCTGGCTGCTGTACCCTCTATTCCTCTTGTGGCTGCTTCGGTGGCCACTCCGCTGCACGAACCTGGCCGTTGCGCCATCCGAGGGCACTGCGGTAAGCAAGGCTTCTTCGGTTCAGAACTGCCCTGTCCAGACAATGGAAAGGCTGCTCCGCCATCTGATGCAGTGCGCCAAAAGATAGTCGACTTGTGTGGACCACAATGGAAAGATTCCGACGTCTGCTGTGAGGAGGAGCAAGTTGACGCCCTGTCAAAAAACCTCAAACTGGCCGAGAAAATCATTGCGTCCTGTCCTGCCTGCAAGGAGAACTTTTTCAACTTGTTTTGTACTTTCACCTGTTCTCCTGACCAATCCACTTTCGTGAATGTCACCGAGACGGGCAAGGCTTCAAATGGCAACGACCTGGTCACCGAGTTGGATAATTTCTGGTCAAAAGACTATCAAAATGGCTTCTATGACAGCTGCAAAGAGGTCAAGAATGGCGCAAGTGGTGGAAAGGCAATGGCTTTCATTGGCGGAGGTGCCCAGAACTATACCGAATTTCTCAAGTTCTTGGGTGACAAGAAGATTTTTGGGAGTCCGTTCCAAATCAATTTTCTCGAGAAGCCGCGCTACAAGGATTCCGATGGACTAGAGCCTAGCGATCCCAAAAGCTACGCCTGTAATGACAGTGATTCTAATTATCGTTGCAGCTGTGTTGATTGTCCAGCCGTATGCCCGACACTCGAACCTGTTCACTCGGCGGAATACTGTCACGTGGGCAAACTACCCTGCCTTTCGTTCGCTATCATCATCATTTACTCGATCTCATTACTGCTTCTGGTCACAGCCGTCTCAGGGCACATCGCGTACAGGAGACATAAACGAAGAAAGAGTGAGAGGCTTCAGCTTCTGCAAGATGCTTCACCAAGTGATGATGAAGACGAGGGCGATTTGGTCCACAACGCTGGCATGCTGGAACGACCCCTACGAAACTACTATTTGAACCAGGTATTCGACCGTGCCTTCAACAAACTCGGAGGGTTCTGTGCGCGATATCCCGCCCTCACAATCGGGACAAATATTCTTTTCATTGCAATTCTCAGTCTCGGTTGGCTGAAATTCGAGGTCGAGAGGGACCCTGTCCGTCTATGGGTCAGTCCTACGTCAGATGCTGCCCAAGAGAAGGCGTTCTTTGACGCGAACTTTGGACCTTTCTATAGGACAGAACAAGCATTCCTTGTCAATGATTCAGACTCTACCGCCGTCAACAGCAGTGTTCTGTCATATGACAATCTAGAATGGTGGTTCGATGTTGAAGCACGCATCTCGCGTATGATGTCTGTTGAAAACGAAATCACACTTTCTGACATCTGCTTCAAACCTACTGGTTCAGCCTGCGTGGTGCAATCGGTCAGTGGCTGGTTCGGAGCTGGCCTCACTGAAGACTGGCAAGAGCAGATTGAACTTTGTGCCGCCCATCCAGGAGATCAACGGTGCTTACCAGAGTTCATGGATCCGCTCCAACCAGGACGAGTCCTCGGTGGCTACGACAGCATTGATGATATTGCCGGAGCAAAAGCATTGATAACGACGTGGGTGGTCAACAATGACCAACCCGGAACCAAGGCCGGGGCTCGAGCGGAAGAGTGGGAAACTGCCCTCAAGCATGAGCTCCTCATTGCTCAGGACCAGGCCAAAAACCGTGGCCTGAGACTCTCGTTCAATACAGAGCGAAGTTTAGAAGAAGAGCTTAACAAATCGACAAACACGGATGCGAAGATTGTTGCCGTCAGTTATGTGGTGATGTTCATCTACGCATCTCTCGCGCTGGGGTCTGCAAGTCTCTCACTAAAATCGCTTCTCAACAATCCCTCCAACGCATTCGTTCAATCCAAATTCACTTTGGGTGTCGTCGGAATCATTATTGTTCTAATGTCGGTTTCCGGTTCGGTAGGCCTGTTCTCGGCGGCTGGTGTCAAAGTGACTTTGATCATTGCAGAAGTTATTCCGTTCTTGGTCCTGGCAGTCGGCGTTGACAACATCTTCCTCATTGTCCACGAATTCGAGCGCGTCAACGTCAGCCATCCAGACGAAGAGATCGATGAACGCGTGGCCAAGGCTATGGGACGTATGGGACCAAGCATCTTACTGTCGGCATCTACCGAGACCATCGCTTTCGCTATGGGTGCATTTGTTGGAATGCCAGCGGTCAAGAATTTTGCTGCATACGCGGCTGGCGCTGTTTTCATTAACGCCGTTTTGCAAGTTACGATGTTCGTATCAGTTTTGGCCCTGAACCAGCGCCGTGTTGAAAGTCTAAGAGCAGATTGCTTTCCTTGCATAACAGTCAGGAAAGCAAATGCTGCAAATCTCCCCGGCCATTTCTTCGGCAGTGATGAAGAAGGCTGGCTGCAACGCTTTATCCGAAAAATATATGCGCCCAACCTCTTGGATAACAGGATCAAGACTCTGGTTGTGACCTTTTTTGTCAGTCTCTTCGCCGCTGCAATTGCTTTAATTCCCAACATCGAGCTTGGGTTGGATCAACGCATTGCAATCCCTTCAGATTCTTATATGATTCCATATTTCAACGACCTCTATGCCTACTTTGGCTCCGGGCCTCCGGTCTATTTTGTGGCGCGCAATTTGAATATTACCGAGAGGTCTCACCAGCAAGAAGTATGCGGCAGATTCACCACTTGCGACGAGTATTCATTGTCATACATTCTCGAGCAAGAGTCGAAGCGGCCTGAAGTGAGCTACATTAACTCGGCCACAGCTAGCTGGGTCGATGATTTCTTCTACTGGTTAAACCCGATTTCGGACTGCTGCAAGAACGAAAACGGAGACACTTGCTTTGCAGAAGATGAATGGAACATTACTTTATCAGGCATGCCTGAGGGTGAAAAGTTCATTTACTACGCCACCAAGTGGATTCATGCACCTACAAATGAAGAGTGTCCGAATGGTGGACAAGCAGCTTATTCGAACGCTGTAGTTATTGATAAAAACCACACCAATATCCCAGCAAGCCATTTCCGAACGTTCCACACACCATTGCAAGGGCAGGGCGATTTAATCAACTCATTCGCCGCGGCCAGGAGAATCTCGAACGATATCTCAAAGCGCCACGGCATCGACGTCTTCCCATATAGCAAACACTACATTTTCTTCGACATGTATAGCAGCATCATCCGCTTGACTGTTACCCTACTACTTGCGGCAGTTGCAATTATTTTCATTCTGAGTTCATCTTTGTTGGGCTCGCTTTTGACTGGAGCTGTGGTGGCTGTCACGGTCATCATGATCGTTGTCGACATCATTGGAGTCATGGCAGTAGCAGGCGTATCATTGAACGCTGTCTCTCTTGTCAATCTGGTCATCTGTGTAGGTATTGGCGTCGAATTCTGCGCGCACATAGCCCGAGCATTCATGTTTCCAAGCAAATCAGTTACGGAACGAGCGAGACATAAGTTCAGAGGGAAAGATCTGCGTGCCTGGACAGCCCTTGTCAACGTGGGAGGAAGCGTCTTCAGTGGCATCACAATTACAAAGTTCCTGGGTGTTGCGGTTCTGGCATTTACAAGGAGCAAGATCTTTGAAGTCTATTATTTCCGTATCTGGCTGGCACTGGTCATCCTTGCGAGCTCACACGCTCTGATTTTCTTACCGGTGGCCTTGAGCTTCTTTGGTGGTGAAGGTGAGTTCACAATATCTGTCGTCTTGGCTTCATGCACGCAGCTAACGAAATGTTCAGGATATATTGACCCTGAGAGTGAAGGTGGCTTGGAGGAAGATTTGGCTAGTCGTCGCTACCGGAGTCTCCTGCCAGATGACGACTATGACTCCGACGACTGAATCTGTTGTCATTGACTTTCGTGTCAACAAGTGGTTATAACATATAGATAGGGCATATGACGAATACCTGCCTCGAACGTTCATTGTCTCTGTGTTGATTGTCGTCTGTTTGATTTGCTGATATCTGAGTCACTTCTTCACGAGCCATGCCTCAACAGGCGTGTTGCAGTCGATATTCTGCAACCATTTTGCATCAGTAGAAATGTTTCCCATCAGACCCCAGAACTGTTCAACATCCGAGCTGATGGCAACATCATCCGCCCCGTCACGCGTCATCATTACATCTAGGCTATAGACGAACCCCAGCATTGAATAGGCCGTGCAGCCGATGGAATTCTCAAGTGGAGTGCTGATTTGGAGATCCGTGTGTAATGCGGATGGAATGAGCGGATAGATGCGTGTATGGATAATTGCAATGACGAGACTACGAGGTCGTTCAGAGAGATAGGGTGTAAGATCTAGGACCTAGGGTCGGAAGAATCCAACACGTAGTAGCTTCTCCGGGAGCACTTGAGTTGTGTTGGCTAACAACATTTCACTGTCCTATGTTCTGTGAAACTATGGTTCTGAGATCGGAGTAAATAGTGAAGGCTCGAAGGAAGCTGTCATCGTCGCTGGTTTCGCCATGTTCCGTCCACAATGCGTGACCGCGCCGCTTCTCTTCCCGGTGTTCTGTTCATCCGACGGGCACGGACGAGATATATTCCACGCCGTGTCAACTCGCTCGACCGCGACCAAGGGCACACTCGGAGCCCTCGACGGTGTGGTGATACCAACCACCGTCAAGCAGCTGCTGCTCCATGACCGCCCACTTCTGCACCTTGCCACCTTCCGTCGACTTGAGATCGAGATCAGCGAACTTCACATCGCTGATCTCCACCACCGACGGGGAAGAAGGCATCGATCGCTTCAGCGCCATGAATACACTACAATCTCGCAGCGCCATGGCGACGCCGAATTGGTTTGCGTCTGGATGTTGGAAGTCCTCGACGCCGACGCCGTTGAATTTCCGCTGCAGCGAGCGCAGGTGCTGGAGTGCCGGTTGGACTTGCTCGCGGAACGCGGTCACCTCGATGCCCGCTTCGGGCGGCCAGATGCGCGCCAGTGCGCTTTCGAGGACCGCGCCGTCGTCAGAGAGGAGATCGATGGGGCAGAACCCGGAGTCGCCACGGCCCTGGGCTTTGCCCGCCTCGCGTCGCATCGCGTTCAGCGCACAAGTGCGGCAGTTGCGCGCGTCGGCCGGTGCGCTGGGGCTCTGGAGAAGCCATTTCGGCTTGAACTCGACCAGCCAGTCGATGCCGGGCCCTTGCAGGTTTTGCATCAGGACGCCGTGTTGTTCGTCTCTAAAGGAGGGCAGATAGACGTGGCGGCGATGGAGATCGCGGACCGCCTTGCCGCGGGAGCGGACCACGTTGGTGCCGAGGGCCGAGAGCTGCACACCGTCCATCTCGTGCAGGTCCCCGTTCAACTTCTCGACGAGCTCTGGAGTCAAATTGTACAGCGCGTGGACTAGTAGTAAGCTCGGGTCGTGGCTGAACAGCGGGACGATCGAGTTCTCAAAGTCCGCAATCACCTCCTTGCATGGCTTGGTGAAGGACAGGTCTTTGCGCATCCGCATGACACAGCAGTGCGAGTGTTCGGCCAATTCTGCTGGACGCAGTACGGAAACGCTGTAGATGACGTTGGCAGCACCCTCGGCGAGGTAGTCGAGATGGACTGATGCCTTGCCTAGGACGGTCGGACAGGTTGCCGAAGACTTGTGCTGGGTTTGTGTTCCCATCCTGGTTGCCTGTGCGGCTGTGGAGCTGTTCAGGCGAATTTCTAGATAGTCTTCTTGTTGTCGCTTGGCCTTGCTGGAAATTGCCCAATGTTGAAATAAAATGGTGCGCAACCCGGATTGCCTGTATTTGAAATGACAGCGCCAGTGCGCAGTAGTGAAGAATCAGAGAGGGTCTTTGCTGTTGCTTATGAAGGCATCTCCAGCATTAATTCAGATATACAGCATGAAGCCTTAGAGGTTTGCGCTTGATAAGGTTCGCTTCAGCACGAGCTTAATTGGACTGCCTGTTTATTATCCCCAGTTTCCACATCTGAGCTAGGGTTTCGGGCTTGTTCAGATGCATTTCCTTGCCCGCCGCCTTGCCGGATTCCATCGTGGAGGGGTCCCCAGGACCGAGTATGAGAAATGCAGAGCCTGACCTGTGCGGCTTCTCAGGAGCCTAGCCTCGGGAAGGATTGGAAGGATTGGCTCTCGCTGTTAGCAGATAAGCCCGCGTTTGAGCCGATCCTACAAAATGCCCCAGCTGCGAAGAGAGAGGAACGAACTGGTTGGGGGTTATTTAAATATGGAGTATGGAGTACGGGGTACTGTGGGCGCTCTTGACGGCAATGAAATAATTACTGGGTGAAGACGCCAACAAGGCCTGGAAGACAGCTTTTCACGACGAGGAGCCGCAAGGGGTGCAGAATTAGACGTAAGAAACCACGAAGGGGAAAACCCAACCGCAAAGGGGCGGTAGGTCTTGATTCTGGACTGTGTACCTTGCAGCACGCACCAAGCATAAGCATCCTACTCGTAGTTAGAAGGTTACCTAGGATCAAGTTCGTGGAGTGATTGAATGGCCCAATATCTTGTGCCGATCAAGGCCACCCAAAGACTAGGTGAAGGCCTTCCGCTTAAGCATTTTAGTCGTCATCCAGAATCCAGCATTAGTAATGCAATCATAGCGACAACAATGTATGTGCGTTTCTCAACAATGCGCTCCATGCTAGGACTCCCGAGAGCTTCGTCGTGTCTAGCGCTCATCTAACATGCCAGGAACATTTCGACAGAAAGCTTGCATCGCTTGTGCAGCTTCCAAGCGCCGATGTGATAAACAGCTTCCGGAGTGTCGACGTTGCTCAGACCGAGATGAGGATTGTGTCTATCCACAGCGCAAAAGACGCGTGAGACCTTCTAGCGCACCCGACAATGGACGGGAGAATTTGCTGTCTCCGGATAACAATGATGAAAGACGACTTGCACGAGATAACAGTGTGCAGGCTTTGTCGGGCGTCGGCTTGGACTATGGCTTGTGGGAACCGGTTGCTTCAAACAACACAAATGTGTCTGTACCTGAGAGTGTAACTGAATATCCTCAAATCTCACCACCAGATTCCACTGTTCTACCAGTCGGTGCCAATCTCAGACCCAGCTGCACGCCGCTCAACGTTGTACTTCCTTGGTTCCTCCAAGAAGAGACGTGGGCCATGCAGCGTGTTAGCCACGAACAAGACCGCGTGGCCGATATTGACTTGCAATCTTTCATAGATGTCGTGGAAGGAATGCTAAAGTCCTGGGTAGAAAATGGGTATAATGGCTTCATTCACCGGCGACTATATCAAAGTGTAATGCCGACCTGTGTTCAAGACGCCTTCACGACATACACTGCTTATATCAAATGCACTCCAGCAGTGAAGGAGACCATCCTGCAGATTACCGACGAACGCTTATCCACAATTGTTCACCAGTACCCGCCGAATACAGGCGACACGCAGGGCATACTGAACCATCTGGCTCGAGTCCAGGCCCTATTTATCTACGAATTCATTGGCTTGTTTGGTGGCTCCCCACGCTTGCGGATTTCGGCAGAGCAACAACTTCCAACCCTACGGAGCTGGACAGCCCAGATGTGGGAAACAGTAAGACGATACAAAGGCGACGATGCCACTATGTACCACCAAGGACTTCAGTGGACGGAGAACGACTTCGACATCGAGTACAAGGCGTCCTCAGAACTATGGAAGGTCTGGCTCTTGACTGAGAGTGTGCGCCGCACTCAGATTATCATTAACGCCGTCTCCAATTCATACGAAACCATGACCAGAGGCTGGGCTGAGTGTACTGGTGCCGTAATGATTACTGCACGCCGCGGCCTGTGGGAGGCCGAGTCGGCCGTACAATGGTCCAAACTCTCTAGTAAAAAATCACCACTGCTTGTCCCATCCGTACAACCTGGCATTTTGATTTCTCAATATGCAGCGGAAGAGTTTGATGATTTCGTGAAAATATTCTGGACCTTAATACTTGGCCCAGATAAAGTTCAATGTTGGGTGGACAAAAGTAACCACTCAAGCAGCAAATTGCAGGCTGCCTAGTGCCGCAGAAATTTGACCCTGCGTCCCTGAAAGAATGTTCCAAAGATTGAACAGGTGGTTGAATGGCCTGCGGACAATGTGGAAAATCTGCGGAAAATCTGCGGAAGACTGCGGAAGGTATACAGTATCCGGGAGAGCAGCGGCCACAACTCGGGGGCCAACACACTTTGCTCAGAGGAAGCTGGGAGAAATAGTTGGAGAATTGCATCATACTTGTGGAGAAACCGAGAGATCATTTAGGTAAGCTTGCGGTATAGCAAGTATCAACAAAACGTTGGTGTTGTCTGCAGCTGGTGGGACCCCTGTCCACCCTATAGATATAAGAACCAGGGAGAGCTGCTCAGTCGCGAAAGCAAAAGCAACGAACATACTGCTTCACTGAGACTTTCAAATATCCAAAACGACGCAAACTGACTGTCCTCGTGCACAATGGCTCCTACCACGCCCGTCAAGATTATTCTTGGTACGCATACAGTACGTCTCCTTCAGCAGTTATCAATGATAAAATTCAACTCACCAATCCAAGGTTGGAGATAGCGCTAAATCTCCCGGTATCGCACATTTCGATGGCGAGAAGGACGTTCAAAGCCTTTTGAGTGCGTTCTTCGAACGCGGGTATCGGGACATTGACACAGCCTCAAACTATCCAGGGTCAGAGAGGCGCCTGGGAGCTATTGGAGTCCCCTCCCGATTTATTGTCCATACGAAAGTCCAGAGCGGTCAGCCCGGAGACCATACAACTGCAAAGATTGAGCTGAGCGTCAAGAAATCTCTTGATGCACTCCAGACTCCCACTGTCGAGACGATGTTCTTGCATGTGCCTGACCGCGAGACCCCCTTCGAGGAAGCGATAAAGACCATGAATGACGCTTTGAAACAAAAAAGTTTTAAGCAGTATGGACTTTCAAACTACTCTGCAGCGGAGGTGCAGGGGATCATCGATATATGTGAACAGAATAAATACGTCAAACCTGCAGTATACCAAGGACATTACAATGCTGTGGTGAGAGGAGGCGAAAAAGAACTATTCCCGCTTTTGCGGAAACATGGCATCTCCTTCTTTGCCTACAGGTAGGTACTCTGGTAGATAATTGTACTGTTCTCATGCTCATCTCGACATAAGCCCTGCAGCAGGTGGATTCTTCTCCGGCAATACCCCGAATGCCAATTCGGCGCGATGGAGTGATGATGTAAGTGAGCAGAGTTCGATTCACATCCCCAAGACTAACAGAGAGTGAGAATTTCGTCGGAAAACTGTATAACTCCATCTATGGTGACCCCGCCGTGCTAGCAGCAGTGGACACCATCAAAGAAGCAACCAAGAAGCACAACATAAGCGGACATGCAGCTGCGCTGCGCTGGACAGCGTTTCACAGTGTGTTGGACGGGAAATTTGGCGACGGACTGATCTTTGCAGTCTCCAAGATGGACCAGCTTCACGACACCCTTGATGCATTGGAGGCTGGTCCGCTTCCAGATGATCTTGCTCAAGAAATATCAGCCATATACGATAAACTCAATGGCAAGGGGCCGGCTTATCATCTCTAGGACTTGTGCAGCAAACTATTGCTCTTATCTTACAAACATTACTAGACATATTTCCGCGGAGGCGAACAGGAGGCAAGCACACGCAAGAAATGATGCACAGGCAGCTGAGACCACTCATCAAGCAATTTTCTTTTCGGATTCGTTTTTCAATTCATCTCTTCTTCGCATCGTCACATCGTCACATTTCATCGATCTTTTCTTAATCAAATCTCTTCATTCTTTGACACCGATCAATTGATGTCTGTATCATAGTCTTAGACCTGAGACTCTTAGATTACGCACGATGGTCACCCGAAATACGGACGACGAAAGTAGGGGTTTCAAATGTGAATAAAAAGAACAAGGGTCTCGGGAAAGGTAGTTTATGCAAAGTCACCGCCATTGTGGCACTATACAAAGTATAGTGCACCGAAGAAAGCGCGCGACTGTGGAATCCTCAGCCTGAGTAACGGCAGCGCGTTGCACCAGCCTGCCATTCTCCTCAGATCCTTTCGTTCGGTGCTCTTGGAGTGCAGGAGCTTTACCCAGGGATCAACTAAGCCCAGAGACGCAGAGTGGTAGGAACATTGGATTCCGAAGTCAGCAATCAACGGCTGTGTTCTGTGTGCGATATCACCTGGACCGAGAAACATACAAGACACCTATGAGAGCCTAGGTATTGCCATCTTCGATTCTCCGAAACAGAGCAACTCTGGTGGTTTGTTCAACTTCAGAAGATATTGGCAACATATAATACATTGGTGGCACTTTCCTGGGTCGGGGCCTGGCATGACATTGGCCAATGAGGGGGGCATTGTCTTTCCTCATTTCCCTCCCCTCCAGCCCAGAAAGGCCATCCATACTCTACCGCTTAGTAGAATCCAGATTGGTCTTTGACATGAACAAAGACCGTATAGACTCAGTGAAAGCTTGGGTGATGGTGCGGGAGCCCGTGCAGAATTTAATCCACAAGAAGACTGCTGCAGCTCCCCTGAATAGGTGGGAGAGATGTTGATAAGGGAACCAAGGTAAGGAATAAGGGCAAGCTTTCTGACGAAGTGCAGCCTGGAACAGACCGTAGCCACCAGATATTAGGCGAAGAAGCTATTCCCTCAAGGACCTCAGAGAGACCAGCGCTGGGCCCCTGGTGGCCTGACACCACGAGGTTGAAGTGCCATATCATTACGGTAGTGAGTGCATAGTAAACAATGGACTTCGCTTACGGTCCCCTATGTCCATTGGACGAAAAGGATATCCTGAGGAGGACTGCTTATTGCTGTGGGGAAAAAATGCCTCGAGATTTTAGACGCCATGAGATGCGCCGTGTTGCTACCGTGTCTGGGCCTCACATCATGTCGTGATGTCTTCAAGGCTGGCATCCTCTCGTTGTAAAAATGGGGCAACACAATAGCGAAGGACTACAAACGGAAAGCCTTATGCGAAGGAAGCTCACCAAGCTTTGCTTCTGGGTGGGTTCGCCAACACGTTGTGATCCTTTCGCCTACGACGTTTTGGCCTGCAGGTAGCCAGGGTTGGCGCCTTAGGCCATTATAGGTCCACCGTACGGAGTACTTCACGAAGTAAATGAAGTTCCCCTCAAGCCGACTCGTCGCCCAATCTCCTAAGAGACCAACATGATTGACTACTTCATTATGTTCAGCTAGATGCAATGTCACGATTACGTAACGTGGCATCTCAAATGCTAAGCGGGCTGATTACTCTCCCTTCTATCTCGTAGGCGGACCATATAGAACATTTGATATTCATGGCGATCGCTGTAGTAGCGGCCTGGATGCTCTTCAACTCACTGGTAGCCCGCGTGGCAACGCAAGTATGTTTTGATCGGAGCGCCTCTCTCCCTAGGGTGCCCTATTGGGTACCTATCCAGTTGCTCTGGCTGACTGAATGAACATATGGTTTCTCCACCAGAGTAACGGTGCCCCTGTTGGTATTTATGCTAGACCACGCGCGGTGCTTGAGGTACAAGCCAACTTCCAGTTCCTAGCTCTCCGAGATTTGTCGCTGTGAATAGCTCGACTTGGCCACAGTCGAATTATTTCTGACTCGTTTCACTTGATCAGCCTTGCGTGGTCCACTGAGTAGAGCGTCTGGCTGGATAGGGCTTTTCAAAAATTTCACTACGATGTCCCAGCACTATCGGATCACCGCCGGCTTGGAGACTTTTCAATCGGTTTTAAGAACCGCGTAATCCATGTCGTCGGCATAATGATGTCTGTGCTCAGGAAGCAAGAGAGAATGTCGATGCCTCCTCTGGCACCTGCGAAAAATGTTAAGCCGCAGGTAAAGAGTGGTGGTGTATCTGAGCATCTACCTCAAGAGTCGAGATGTAGTAGTTGGACACGCCTTCTTGCTTCGATCAAGCTACTATAACACACAATACAAGGCGTCGTCTTGCTACCTTGCGGCTGTTAAAACAACGATATACGACAATACTGTTGGACTTGGGACTCCTGCCGCTAGCCCTACGATCACGGCCGACAGCCCAACTGCCAACTGCCACTGGAATGAATACACCTCCGTCGGTTTTTGTTCACAGTGCGTGGACATCACCAATAGCCTGATCATAGATTATCCAAACAACACTGAAGAGGAGAAAACTTGCCGAAACCACGGCATTACATCGAATTGTCCTTACGATGTCACAACTCCAAATGGCCAGGCTTCTGTCGGATGGGATGATGGCTATGCAACCGCCGTGATCAACATGACGTCTTTTGCCCAAAGTGCATACCTAGTCAACGGCCACGCCTATATCAGCATGACGAATATCAGTATGGTGGCGATGCTGACTCCGACCGACTTTGTTGGCTCTGACTGCGCCCTATATGGTTGCGTGAAGAAGTATACGGCTTCAGTCACGAGCGGACGTCCGACTGAGGGAGTTCTGAAGACTTACTGGAACCAGACCCTACCACAATTTCCATTTGTGCAAGTTCACACTTCCCCGATTTAGATGCTAGTCTGACCACCGTGGTCCTTGGGCATGATCTTATTTCAGGACAGGGCGAGAACCTCGGTTTTGATTATAATGCTCTGTACCCAATTTCGACAATCCTTCAGAATACATTTGGGAACGAAGCAAACCAACGAGTTCTAGGCAACATCGAACACGATGGGACCTTCGCTTACGATCCGGCGCAAGGTGAGACATCGGACCAAGTCCTTGCACTGTGTGTAAATGGAACCAAGAACTTCCCTTGCTCTATAGAACAACTGGCTGAGGGTTTGACAAATTATATGAGATTGGCGTCTCCGTCTGAGCGAGTAGTCGGTGTTGCAACAGGCAGCCAGTCGTATATACATGTGAGATGGGAGTGGCTTAAGCTCTTTCGTTTGGACGGGAGTTTCTCACCTATGTTTCCATCCTTGGAACAGTAGATATCGTGGAACGGTCGGATGTACCCAGGTGGAAAGGCTTCGAGTTTGGTTGGTTGGTTTCATGGTCCAGAGAACGGAATGGAACCGAAGACAACCAAGACAAATATGGAGATGGAACGCCTGGCGCGAGAGACCAAGATCCAACCCATTGATCTCCCCAGTGCTTTGTACTTGAACCAGACGTCGAGTGGAAAGGCAGACGATAGATCGCTGTCGAGGATGCTTCGTAGAGTCGAAGAGATCCCCGCAGCCATCCTCGGCTAATCCTGATCGTTCCTTAACGAGCGTTCTTTTCTCCGGGAAGGAGGTACTGAATATCCAGACAAATAGTTACGGAAATAAACAGTTCAGTTTTCGAGCTTTGTCCTCCTAGGCCTGCGCGCAAATTCCAATTGTCGCCGACTATTCGCACTGAGAGCTCCAAAAATGTAGCGTCGTGCTATTATGATTCAAACCCTCAGGGTGGGGGACGACAGTGATAGATAGTAATCAAATTCTGCTCCAGATCCGAGCCGCTAAAAGCGCAAAGAGTTTCGGCTGTGATAATGGTGGAGATGCCCAATGCTCGAGTGGCATGCCCTTCCGAAACTATGGATCTACTCGTAAGTTAACCAGACCCTCCGATGTCTTTCTGCTTTGAAACTCGTTGGGAAACTTGTCACCCCAAGGAAAGGCTAATGACAATTTCCACAACGCTTAATAGCGCACCTGGTCTGGAGCGAACAGGCGAAGGCCAACAGTTCACTTTCCGTCGTTAGTTGGATAGCAAGCCACGAGCCCCTATCCCGATACCGCTTATCAGAGCCTGTGCATTACGCCACCAGCTATCCACATTTGGGACCCATTGCTGATTTTGGTGCCACGAACAACTCGCGGCCTTGATGGCAGTTTCTAGACCGCACCAGGCTTCTTCAAGAAGGCTAATTCTTGTCATGCTAATCTTTATTGAGCTGAGATCCATCAAGCCACCAAGGCTTTTCAGAGACATTCTCTTCTCAAACCTTTTTAGGCTTCATTGCTATTCGGTCTTGACTCTTGAGGCACGACGGCCTTCCAGTAATTGTAAAATGGCTTGCGCTCTCGATGGCCCCAGGTTGTTGTGGGCCCCGGGCTCAGGACGAGAGCTCTTTGACTCCGATATTTACAAGCCAAAAGCCCCTCCGCCGTTAGACTGATGTCCTTCCCATTTCGAACACGATTTCAGGTGAACAGGATGTCGCCATACGCTTCAGAGGGGTTTAACAATCCCACGAAGGAGACCTCAACAATTGACATCGCGGAGAACTCAGCAAACGACCATGAGTCCCAAAGGACGTCAACATCCGAGGAGCAGCAAGGACCCTCGGTACGCGTCTTGGGCGCTGTTGAGAAATTCTGGATCTTCGAATTTTTTGGTTTCATCCTCGCCCTGGGCTCCTTGCTAGCTGTGATTGCCTTCCTCCGTGTATACGATGGTCGAGAGTCGCCGGAGTGGAAACTCCCGGTTGGGGCAGGAACATACCGAAAGACTTTCGTCCTGAACATCAATGCCATCATCTCCATCTTCACCACGACCTTTACTTCCGGCCTTCTTATTCCGGTCGCGGCAAGTATGAGTCAATTGAAATGGGTTTGGTTTCAACAAGGACGTCCTTTGTCACATTACCAGGCTTTCGAATCAGCTGCAAGAGGACCATTGGGCTCCGTCTTTCTGTTGTGGACTCTCAGGGGGCGACGGCTCGCATGCGTAGGAGCAATCATCGTAGTTGCCGCCCTAGGGGTTGGATTTTCTATCCAATCCCTTGTCATCTACCCTCTGAGGCCGGTGGCAACGGACCATTCTAGCATCGGCAGGACGAACGTATATTATGGGACTGATGACGGGCTTCCATATCAGATGTCAGCGGATATGCTCGGTGCAACATTGAGAGGCATCTTTCAGTCCAGCGACCCTTCAGAGATGAAGTATAACTGTCCTTCTGGCAACTGTACATGGCCGGAGGGTTTTACGACCCTCGGTATTTGTAACCAGTGCTTCAACGTCACGGATTCTTTGCAAAAATCATGCAGCACCGCGGACATTGAGTATGTCTCCCCAACTGGTGATGGATCCACCAACAGCACGGCCTCAGTACCTTATTGCAACTACACATTACCTAATGGTCTTCGACTCGACGGGATTGACAGTGGCATGAGCACGGGGATTTTGAATTCTGGAAACTGGAACAACTCGGTCCATTTCTCCGACAACAACAATACCATCGGAGTCCTTTCCTCCATTCAATCAAAGTGGACGTCAAGCCCTTCAGAATGGCAGGATCTCGACAGTGGTATGATCTATGCGACAGCGCCATATGAAGTCAAGGCAACTGAGTGCGGCTTGTCATATTGCGTCCAGAAATTCAACACGTCGGTCTTACGAGGTGCTCTAACGGAGCAACTAATCGATACCTACGTTGACAGTTTCATCGATGCGGAAAGGGTGGCAGCAATTGTCTTTCATCCTCCGCCATCATGGACCAACGCTAGTGAGAACGACAGTGCGAACATATACGTGGCTGGAGCTGTCCAAGGATTCAGACAATTTTTTAGCAAAGAGTTCAGCGGTCAGAAGAATAGCACTGTATACTCTGTCACTTCTAGCGATTCCGACTTTGCGGTCATTTCGGCTGATTGGGAGTTCAGCAACTTTACGGACCTGTTTACCTCAATCGCAAAGTCAATGACAAATAGCATGCGAAGTAGCCCCTATGCAGAGCTCTACGCTGAGCCGGGGATGATCTGGAGTGCGATTGGTGTTTCCAATCAGGAACGGCCACATGTGCAAGTCCGGTGGGCGTGGATAGCCTTGCCCAGCACACTGCTCGGCCTCTCCATCATCCTCCTTCTCGGGACCATCTGGACAACTAGCAAAGAAAAAACAATTCTCTGGAAGGGGAACAGTTTGGCTGCCTTTGCACATCCCTTGGCTGGAGACATGCGAGACAAGATCAGTACCATTACCGGTCCACGGGAAATGCAACAAGAGGCAGAAAGGCTACAGGTACAATGGCTGAAGACTGACCGAGGCTACAGACTGGTACCTCCGAAGCAGGACTGAAAGAACAGACTGCCCTTCCTAGATCAACAGACGAGGAAACCAAAAGAACTCATAGTTGCCGAAGTGAACTCGGCCAAGTACCAGCACTAGAGTTCAAAGAGCTCGGGCATCATAATCGCGATTGGAGATGCCTCAACCTTGCTCATTGGTGGTTCCAGAATAATCTTGATTCTGGTTGGCCTCCCTACCATACAGCTCACCGCGTGCCAGTTCCGATTAAAGCGTTGCGCCAGCCTTGCGTGTGGAATGTCATTTGGCTTCCAAGACATGTAGCCGATAAAGAAAAGCCTCCAGAGCCTCGTCAGAATTGTGGATCGGTCTTCATCTCCCTGAAGTAAACGATGAACACTGCCATCAACGTCGCCAGTTCAGTAGATACCTAGTATCCATATCCCCCGCCGCCCATCTTGAACCAAGATCAGAGTGGCACCAAATTGACTAGCGAGGCGAGGCGCAGCGTGGGTTGAGTTTGCTGTAAAGATGTCCGGACACAGGTAGACTAACGTCCAGTTGGTAATCGGCAGATAGCCAGCGAGCCAATTCTCATTACGTGAGTCGTTCCTGGAGGTACATTCGTTTCTTACAGGTCAGTTACGTCAAACCGTGCATACTACATGACGCAGTCGCTTGGTTTCCCTTGCAGCCAAGCCTGATAGTAAGTAACATGGCCCCCGAAACTGAAGTGGCGTTACGCCCCTGCATTCGCTGCAACCACACTCCGACAGCGGCTGTCACTTGACAGGCATATCGGCATGTATTCTCAGTATCAATCCATACTACAAGAGGAACTGCTCGCGCTTAGCCAAAACTCCCATGGCCCCTTCTTTCCCCACGAGCACCGAAGTAGAACGTGTGCCGCAACCAGACGAACCACTTAGCCACCTTACGGGGTTCCCATATGGTGATACAGGAGGTGCACATCGAAAACGATCCCATGCTGAATGCGCACGCCATCAGCAGGGGTATCCATGAATCTACTAGCGAGATAACCAGGCGTGGTAGGCCCGAGCTCCCCGGTGCACTATTCCCGCCAGACATCGTCTCTCATTGGTCCTTCCCAACGTTCCCCCAATCAACCGGTGAAACTCATGATGAATGGCTGGACTATTCTCAGTGTACTTTTGAAGTACGGCCTCGTTAGATAACATATTCCTCCTCTCACACCCTGTGGGAATCCTACAGCGCCTCTTTTTGGTATTCCTAGACTATTTGATCCTTGAACAATGGATAGCTAGCTCAGCTACACTTTCACCACCGCTCTACAACGAGTTAGATGAGACCACCTGGCCTGTTAACGATCATCTCTGTTATTTGAGAGGTTTTGCGCCTGAGTTTGGCCCCATGCGCCGTGGGCAAGGTTCTTGCATGGGGGTTCAGGATAGCGCGATTGTGACCCTCCCAATAATGGCTCAGCGTGCAGGCGCTGGCTTGCATGCTGAGTGGTAGAAGCCACTGGATTCCCTGAAATCCTAGGAAGAAGAGTCTTAGATCCATGTAAATGTCCACTGTTTGCTCTGCGCCACATGGTCTGCGTCGTCGACCTCAGAACGGTCTCAGTCGCATTCCTCCACATCCTGGTCAGAGATGATAGTTCTGTGTCTTTCACGGTTAGTGCAGGCGATGCCTTCGCCTGACAACAAGAGGAATCTGGCAGACAGACTCCAGAGGACAACCTTTGGCCCAATTCCACTGTCTCGACCATCTCCTGGTGCTCTGGAAGAATGTGGGCTCGTCGGTAAGAAGTTGCTTCCTCCGAGAACGCCACAAAGTAGATCAGATAAATACTTGGGCCTACGGCCATTCACCATTCTGCCTCTCCAACACTCACAATTCCTACATCATGCCAGCTGCCATATCCCCTTTCTCAGCTACCTCTATGCAGAAATCCCCAAGTTCTGACGAGACAGAGCTCAGTCAACCAGAGGTTCTATTGCAAACCCCTCAACAAGATGAACTTATTGACGTTGTTGATGCCTTGAGATCTCAAGGCATCACTCATTATATCGATCTACCACAACTGATTGTCTGCGGCGATCAGAGTTCTGGAAAATCAAGTGTACTTGAAGCAATCTCGGGAGGCCTGCGCTTTCCTACGAAGGACTCGTTATGTACTCGTTTTGCCATTGAGCTCGTCTTACGGCGGAGCCCAACTTCTCTGGTCAACATCACAATCATTCCAGATGAAGAGCGTCCAATGGCAGAAAAAGAGGCTTTAGCGAGATTTCAACCGCCAACTACTTCGATGGGTGCTTTCCCCGAGATCATCGACGCGGCTGCCAAAGAAATGGGCATAGACGGCAACCAAAAGTCCTTTAGCAAGGACGTCCTCAGAGTTGAGCTATACGGCCCGAAACAGCCCCATCTGACCCTCGTTGATCTTCCTGGTATTTACCATGCGGAGAGCAAAAATCAGTCTCGACAGGGAAAACAAATAACACATTTGCTTGTGCAGTCGTACATGAAGAAGAAGAGGAGTATCATTCTAGCTGTTGTCTCAGCCATGAATGACTACAACCTTCAGGTAGTCACTGAATATGCACAAAGCGCTGATCCGGGAGGCGACCGTACACTGGGCATCATCACCAAACCAGATACTCTGCACAGTGGATCAAGTACGCTAAACCGTTTCCAGTCCTTGGTGATTGACCAAGGAACTTTCTTCAAACTTGGTTGGCATGTACTGCGGAATCGTGACTTCAAGACAAGGAATCACACAACTGAGGAGAGGGACGAAGCAGAAGAAATTTTCTTTCAAACTGATGACTGGAAGCAGATTTCGAAAGATCGACTTGGAGTTCACTCTCTCAGAAAACGCTTGGGCGATGTACTCTTCGCCCATATTCTGCAGGAATTCCCTCAACTACTGCGAGATGTTCAGAATGGAATCACGAAATGCGAAAAGCGACTCAAAGACCTTGGTGCTTCAAGAGACACACTTGAGGCACAGCGCAACTATCTCTTCCAGGCCAGCCAGACATTTACAACACTAATGCAAGCCTCTGTTGACGGAACGTATCATGCCGCTTTCTTCGGGACTTCTAATACTGAAGAAGGTTATAAAAAGCGACTTCGAGCGGTGGTGCAGAACACCTTGAAAGCCTTTGCCCAAGAAATGCATTTACGAGGACATGCTGTCACCATCGTGGATCAGCTGCCTGAAAAAGTAGAGCCTCGGAATACAGTTCCAACGCCTGTTGCCAGAGAAGAATTCCTGAAATTCGTTGAACATCGCATGAGTGTTAATCGAGGTCGCGAGCTTCCAGGAACCTTCAACCCAGACATCATCGGCGATCTCTTCCGTGACCAAGCTCAACCGTGGAAGGGAATCATGAAGTATGCTCGGGAGCAACTACTGGAGTCGACAGAAACGACTATCGATTTAATTCTCAAACATGTCGCCGACGCAACCACTGCCAAGGCCATCCAGCTTTACCTGATTCAGCCAAAGATGAATACAGTATCAAATTCTCTTGCTGAAAAAGTAGATGAAGTGCTCAGGCCCCATCTCCATGGAACGCCATTGACATTCAACAAAGATTTGATAGAGCACATCCAGAGAAAACGAAGAGAAGAGATCTATAAAGTTCTAGCTGAAAAGCTTGTTGCCTTTTTCGGGAAGGACCCTGAAGCGGAGTTAGATGCAGACAGAATCTATGAGGGAAGATTCAATGTCAGAGCTCTTCTCGATACACTCGCGCTCAAGACGGAAGTCGACTTTGATCGATTTGCTTGCGTCGAGGCTACGAATGCAATGGAAGCCTACTACAAGGTATGCATGCAATTCTCGATTCTTCCAGCTTGAGGTTCTTGCTGACAAAGGCTCAGGTTGCTTTGAAAACAGTGATTGACTCATTTGGGGCGTACGCTGTTGAAGCTTCTCTACTGGGAAATCTTGAAACCGTTTTCAATCCGAAAGAAATTAATAGCCTGGACGACGAGACGATCGCAAAAATCGCATCAGAATCTGTTGACACTATTGCTGAAAGAGGAGGTCTTGAGAAACAGCTCTCGATTCTCAAGGACTCCCTACAGACATTACAGACCTTACAGCGAGAGAAGACTCGCCGAGTTCCTGGTATGCCTGATTTCAGATCTTTTCCTGTCTCATTCACAACAGTGGCGTTGGAAGAACTGACAAATGTTCAGAAACAGCTCCGCAACTAGTCGCTGTCGACAAAGAGCGAAGCCGTCCTATCGTTTTGGACATGGAGGACACCCTGGCCCGAGCCAAGAGATCGACCAGCAACGTCTCGCAAGATTCGGGCATTGCTCTCGGTAGTGCGTGATACAGGGAATGGGATGACCCCCAGCGCCTACATGGATGAAGGATGACGTTGCACGTTATCCGTTTAGTGTGCTAGCTGAGACAGAGCAGGAGCCGGCGAACCTGCTAATTTGATATGGACTACTATAGATCCGATCTGTGCAGTTATGAACCGAATTCAAATAACCAGCTTCTTTGTTCTTTTGCGCTCGGCGTTTGATGGTATAGAGGGCTTAAAGTAGACGGGACAGTGTTCATCGGAGCAGGATGTCCTGCCAAGCCGTGCCGTAGATGCTTCACCGAGACAATTACGGGCCCCTGCGGTGCCATGCCCAACAAGTACTGGATCAAAAGTCAACTGAAGCGATAAGAACACTTTGAACGCCGTCATCCACTTGAACACTAGTTACTGGCCATTACCTAAGTGCCATTGTGTTCCATGTCTTTTAAAACGAGTCATACTGGATTTGCTTTAGGTTTTGAGCCGGTGCGATGCAGTACGCGTGGTCCACAGTGAATGAGATGCAGAATCATGCACCGACTGCTGGAGAATGATGTAAGGCTGAGGCACAAGGGGCGACAGGGTCGGGCACAGGGCGGCATGAGGTGCTTTCTACAACAGGATGAGCCGAGAGTGGATCATATAATATCTTGGAATCTTGGCATGTCTGATCACTGATGCAAGTGAGTGTTGGCAACAAGGCGATGCTTTCGTGAACGGCCACCAACATATCTCTCCACGCCCTTGTTCCTCACTCTCGAAACGCGTTGTTTCAGACTGGGAACATTTGAATCAGCATGTTCTCTCCCGTCCACGTGAAAGAACACAAAGGAAAATCATAACCACCTCACCGTGGTGGGGTCTTGTGCCGGCGCAGCCCACCATGGCTCAGAAGAAGCCGCAGCAGCAGGTACTGTTTCCCCGGCAAGATGACCCCTCACAGTTGGGCTAATGTTCCCAGGAGATGGTTCAGGTCGGTCCGTATCCTTACACACCATGTCTACTTTTGTTCCGGGCACCTTGCTAGACAGTTTCGCTGACGTCCTGCGCAACCGCAGACCGACCCGAGTACGTACGTCCATCGTGTTTAGAAGCAACAAAATTCAGCTAACCCCCATACAGGCGGCCATCTTCTCCATTCTGGCGAAGTAGAGCCTTCTCCTCGCGCCAGAATTCAGCAAAGCCCACGAAAGTGATCGGTGCATCATACTCCCATGCCGATATGCTCAAATTTGACACACTGTGAGACTGGCGCGAGCTGGGACGAAATCGCGGCTAATTTGAGTACAGATCCCTGGGATCCGGTTCGAGACCGAGAACACCTCCGGTATCATCTTCCCGACAGACGCAGACCCCGCCATCCGAAAGAACGAGTTTCCATTCCCCAGATAGACGACCACACCAATCCTACTCCTCCTCGGCCTTGGGCAGCAACGCATGGGATGCCCTGGGTGGCAGTGATGGTGATGGAGACGATGATGAACTGGTATATGATGACGAAGAAGATGAGTTTGGACTGCCGAGCATCGCCAGCATGCGCCGGAAACGGAGCCTCAAAAAGAAGAACATGAGGCCACAGCAGATCCAATATCCGAGCCTCTCGCAGACATCTTCTGCTCCAGCATTAGCTCCATCACCCCGAACCTCCCACGGGAGATCGAACAGTTTCGACATCGCCGAAGAACGAAACCCGCTCTCTTATCCTAGTGCAAAGAAAGGGGATGGCAAAATCCTTCGTCCTCAGTACAAAGATATTTTACGGGACCCCGCAAATTCGCTACATCTCATCAATCATCCCGTCTTACCGCCCAAGGCGACTCCAAAGGAAACTGAAGCTCACTCGACACGAATATCACGAATCAACAAATTCAAGCGGATACTTCAGAACAGCTCCGTATCACTCGCAGATCTGCGAGCGGCGGCTTGGTCAGGGATACCCGAGGAGGTTCGAGCCATCACCTGGCAACTTCTGCTTGGACATCTCCCTACGAATAGTGAACGCCGCGTTGCTACGCTTGAGCGGAAACGTAAAGAGTATTTGGACGCTGTGCACCAAGCTTTCAATACTGCAACCATGGCGAGCGGGAATGGCTCTTACACAGGACTAGCAGGACTGGCACCACAACCGCGTGTCACGACAGGCAGAAGTCGTGGCTTAGATGAGGCAGTCTGGCATCAAGTCAGTATTGATGTACCCAGAACAAATCCTCACATTCCTCTTTATGCCTTCGAAGCTACACAAAGGTCACTGGAGCGAATCCTTTATGTCTGGGCGATACGGCACCCAGCAAGCGGCTATGTTCAGGGGATCAATGACCTGGCCACCCCGTTTTGGCAAGTCTTCTTGGGCACATATATTACAGATTTAAATGTTGAAAGCGGCATGGACCCAGGCCAGCTGCCCCGACCAGTACTTGATGCCGTTGAAGCTGACACATTCTGGTGTCTTACCAAACTACTGGACGGCATACAAGACAACTATATTGTTGCACAACCAGGTATTCACAGACAAGTTGCGGCACTACGAGACCTCACTACAAGGATCGATGCTGGGCTTGCCAAACATTTTGAAGACGAGCATATCGAATATATGCAATTTAGCTTCCGATGGATGAACTGCTTGCTAATGCGTGAATTAAATATCCGGAGCGTGATCCGCATGTGGGATACTTATATGGTATTGAAATAATCGCAGTCCCCTATGGAGTCCCACCACTGACCATCTCCAGGCCGAAGAAAATGGCTTTTCGCAGTTTCACTTGTACGTCTGTGCGGCCTTTCTGGTGAAGTGGAGTGATCAGCTCCTGAAGATGAACTTCCAAGAAATTTTGATGTTTTTACAAGCGCTTCCAACCAAGGAATGGACCGAGAAAGACATCGAACTGTTGTTATCTGAAGCGTTTATCTGGCAAAGTCTGTTCCGAGGTAGTAGGGCGCACCTCAGGACAGCAGACTCAAGAATTCCTAGTGGTAGTTTGGGTCCGGCTGGATGAGGCGAAGAGCCGTCGTTAGAAGCAAGCATACAGACATGCAAAAGTCCGTAGATGGGTCCTCTCGTCGCTCGCCTCGCCTGCTATCAACGGGAGTAATTTGCGATGATTGTTGCTGGGCCACGCCATCGACGGGGGTGCAGTCCACCTTGTCGTCAGGAGTCCAATGCTCAGCATGAAATATGCGTGGTCAGGTACTCGCAAACCTCCATCCTTCATTGGCATGTCGCGTGCTGTTAGGTAGCCTGTACATCCACTGGCTCGCAATTGAAGGGAGGAAAAGTCCGGGTTTGTGCTCCTCTCCAACCTCGTGATGTCATCTACAGGTTGAGTTTGACGTAGGACCCGGGCAAAATCGTCTACGGATGGAAATACCCAAGTAGCCTACGAACTAAGCGCACACCGTCTACAGAAAATGATGCGGTCATCTAATGAAAATCGAAGACTCATTGCCTGCCTGGATAGGTCGTGATAGGTTTAGTATTCAATGTCACCTTCGCTCAGTGCTCCTTTTCCGCTTCATGTTTCCGCGACACTCGCAAGAGGCTTGATCCACGCAATACCTCATTGAGTGAAGTCCCCGTCATGTCCCCACTGGTAAACTTTCCCATCAGCCATAAGTCGACCGTGGTGCCGTGCAATATGGCCAAAGGAGCGGACCCTAAATCGCGTGATTCGGTTAGTTGGGCTGTATTTCCTCTTGCTGTCAAGTTTTGGGATTTGGATTCCCCATGCACACGCCGCGGCCGGCACGATCGCTCTTTTGCCAGTTCCGACTATCCCTTGAGGCGAGCAAGTCCTTGAGTACGTGCCGTTGCAATTCTGCACATAGATTCAGACCAGCCGTTCGTGGAACCAGTCCCATCCAGAGTGGGTCGGGTCAACATAGAAGCCTATCGGAAATGACTAAGAAGGAAGATGCTCATCGATACCAGGCTGGCAACTCCACAGACAGAGCCATAGATCAATGGAAGCACCGAGAGCCATACCGTGTGCATAACAAGGCGGAGGACTTCGATGTGAAATGGGAGGGTCAGTGTCATTGTGGAAAAGTGCAGTATCAGCTTAGCAGAGACAAGCCCCTGGCTGCGAAATACTGCCATTGCACGACCTGTCAGAGGTTGCATGGTGTGAGTGATTCTTTCGAGTGATGGACGTCAGGGACACCTGCTGATAGACCTCGCAGTCTCCATTCCAATGGGCAGCTATATTCCACAAGGGCGATATCAACTTCACCCACGGCCACCATGACCTTGGGTGGTATGACCCAACGAACAAGGACACATCCCATCATCTACCTTGCAAGGTGTCGTGTGCCTTCTGTCGCTCACCGATCATGGATGAAGGGCGGAACATGATTCTGCTGTTCCCGCCATTGATCAAGAACATCAATTCCAAGGAGGCAAGGGAAGCGTTCAAACCCACCTGCCATATGTTCTATCCGCAGCGAGTGGCTGAGTTCCGCGGCGATGGGATTGTCAAATGGCAAGGCCTCGATAACCAGAGTGATTTGGTCGACGATGATGGAAATGTCCTGGTCAAGTTCGAGGAGGGCATGAAGGATAAAGATATGGATCAGAAGAAGCGGAAGCATCTCGAGCTTACTGAGGATGATGAAGTTGAGGGTGTCAAGACGGGGAAGAATGGGTCAAAGTGAGCATTAGGTACTGTCTATTTTCGGTTTTGTCTATGGCTCGAGAACTTTCGGCATGGGCATCCAAGAGTCATTGAATTGCACACTTGTACTGTACTGCTACACCTGAATGCTATGTTCTTGTCTCGTGTGTAGAGAATGAAATACTAGTAATTGATTGAAGTACTCGTTGGTAGCACTAAGCATAGACGGGACTATTAGTTAATATGCTGCTAGTCACAAATAGTGATCAGTGACTGGCTGGATTTCGGGCGGCGAGAGGTCTTCCCCAAAAAGGAGTCTAACGTGCTGGAGTCCTCGCGGATGCAAACTGCAACTGGTACGAGACTCGAGACTCGAGACTCAAGACTTCTCCCTTGACAAATTCAACAGCGACGCCATTCAACCAACCAAGGCATGCGTGTCTAAAGGTCCACCCCTCTACTCTTCACTTTCGTTTGCAAACAACCAAAAACAGCATGTGCGCACACGAAGGGTCAGGCTTTGTTTGACTGGATGAGCAACACCCCCGTGCCACCGCGCTCTGAGTGCGCATGCGCATGTCCTGATTCCTCGAGAGGCCTGTAACCACCATGGCGACTTTTGACGAGACCTTCAATCCTGCCGCGCTCGCTCGCTCGGATACAATCACTTCTACGACCAGCGTTGCAAAGGCGCCCCCCGGCTCCGCCACTAAAACACCTAAGACGACTCAAAATTATCCTCGGATCGACCTCGAACCCCTCTACACCGAACTCAAATCCCTGATCAGCCACAACTGGGATACGTATTATGATGCGCTCACTCGCTTCATACGAGGTAAATACCATCATCCACTGCCCCGCGCGAAATGCGACTGACACATGCCTACCAGGGGAGCTCAACACACGGGAGTTCGGTGATATCTGCGACGTCTTCATATACGCTTCCCCACAGACCGAGCATGCGCACAACTCGCTGATAGTAGCTGTATTGTGTAATACAACCAAAGATGCCCCCGAGCCTGGCCTTGCCGCATGGGTCAGTGCGACCACGGAAAAAGCGTCTCTGGCTGCAACATCCAAACCTGCTGTCACGAGTGATGCAGGCGAACAAAGACTCAAGGCCGAAGTGATGGCACTGCCCCCGAGAGAACGGCGAAGGCTTAAAGGCATTGCACTCGACAAAGCCGAAGAAGAGGCTGCCGCTCGAAAAAGTAATTACGAGGACTATTACCAGGCCGGTCGGATCAAGGTGCCTGAGACCTCCACTGGCCCCGCCGCTGGTGTGACAAAGACAAATTGGGATCTTGAAATTAGGAAGAGATATCTCCAACCACTATTCGCAGAAACGCTTGAATTCCCCGATGTAACCACTCTACACACAAGGATTGTGCCTATATGCTACGAGGAGTCCATTGCTTCTGGTTGTTCTACACAATGTGCAGACCTGGTGGGGATAGCATCGGAAATGTTCCTCAAGAACATCCTCAGTGAGGTTTTCAACAGGACGCGGTCAAATGGACCAAGATACGAAAACAGTGCCGGCGGAGGTATTTTTACCACTACATACAAGAAAAAGATCGAGAGAGAGGAGGCGGAGGTCAAAGCTGGGAGGCTCCAGCGCACTCGAGACGACGATATGTTGCCCTGCGAGGCTGAAGCGGCATATTCGAGGAGGCCTTTGGCCATGGTCGACCTTCAACTTTCCAGTCACGTCGGACCCTTACCTTGGAATGGAAGCCCCATGATCTCCTGGAATATCATCAATGCATCTACTGGTTACGACTACGATGAGTGGTATGAAGAACAAGAACAAGATGCCAAAGACGGCCATGTTGATGAGTCTAATGATGCCATGGATATTGACAGCGCTGATAATTATGGCTGGGAAGGGGCTGGCGCTCAGGATAGGCCAAGGCTCGATTCGGTATTGGCCGACTGTCTCGCAATTCCCGTCTAAGACCCATTTTGAATTTCTCGAGTAAAATAGGCGGCGGCTGCAACTCATTTGGTTGTTCTTGCATCACCGTCGAGACGGAGTTGAGCAGCCTTGTTTGTGCACTGTCAAAGTCCAAAATCAGGGAAGAGCTCAATGAAACTCTCTGCCATCATACTCTGGCTTCGAACCAAGTCCACATCAATGTGTCGATTACCGGATGATGTGGTGAATGAATGGAGTTGGGGATTTGAATTTGGCGGAGGACAAACAATTCATGATACCCGAAGAGGCTTCCCTCCACATCGCCTCAACTAGCTCAATGGACGATATGCGAGGCGACGAATGGCAGCATCGCTTATAGAGATCCGAGACTCTATGCTTTGATTTCCTTGGTCTACTTCTTGGTACCCTGGTAATCTGCATCGTTCGGGCGGCGTTTGCGCATCGTGTCTGAGCGTTCTAAGCCAGAAGGACCACCACCCCCTGGCCCCGACATGTGGAAATTGACGGCCTACGAGTTTCCTCCCATGGCTCCGTCGTAACGGCATCTCCCCCCCATCAAGGCTGCCATTCAATCTGTTACAAGGGTGGCTGCCATGATACCTTTTCACTCTGAACATGTGTTCAAGAATGTGGAAACTCAAGAGCGCTCCAATTAAGGCCGATGCTCCATGATCGCCATGTATTCCTGTTAACAGCAATATGCATTCAGACCATTGTTCTGATCCCCCGAACCGACACTACTGGCCGCGTCTGCTCCTCCATGGTATAGCAGTAGAACAATCATAGCCCGGAGTTCACTATTCATATGCGTCATAGAATTACGAGTAAGCGAACTGGATCGAAAACCTGGGCTAAATACTTGGCGTGGAGAAGACGGAGATGCACACTCGCTTTAGCGGCAGATGTAGCACATGCTAGTGACATATGGAGATCCCCGTTCGAATACCTCGACTTGGATGCTGGTCCAGCTCGTTTTCAGCAATGGGACTTTTAGTGCGCCATCGGAGATTCTGTGCTATAAAGCTTGTCGTTGCCGTGATGAAGTGCCTGAAATTTGGTGGACAAATTTCCACCCACAACCTTTCAACAACGGTGCAGAAAGTGGAGAGCTAGACAATACTCCTAGGAACGTGCTTCTAAGGCTGTTGCGCAGAACCAGTTGGGAACCAGCTTGATACACCAGAAATGGCACTCAGACTATCGTCTTGTCTGAAGAGTTGCCTTCTTTTCTTCTTGGCTCAGACATGTTTAGCCCATAGCCACACGCCATCACTAGATTCCATCAATATCGGGCCCAACTATGCACATCCACTTGAGGACCTTGACAAGGACCTACCATTCTCCCAACCTGTGACGTTCGCGCACTTGCCCTGGCAGCGCTGTTTTTCTGCAGCACATACTCAACCCCTCGACATCGCAGTCGTAGGATTCCCGTATGACACCTCGACTTCCTATCGACCTGGGGCTCGCTTCGGGCCACGTGGTATCCGGGCCGCCAGCTCGCGGGAGAAAAAAGGCCGTAGCTTCAATACGATTTGGGACATCGACCCTCTCACGGCAGGAAACCTGAGTATTGTCGATTGTGGAGATATCCCAATCACGCCGTTCGACGCTCAGCATGCGTTCATCCAAATGGAGCAAGGGTACCGTCAAATCCTATTCCACAACACAACACAAGCCTCTGGTGCCGCATGGCCACAGCCGCGCATCCTCAGCCTAGGAGGCGACCACTCGATCGTCCTGCCGATCTTGCGCAGCTTGAAAGAAGTCTACGGCCCAATCTCCGTCATCCATCTAGACTCCCACCTCGACACCTGGGACCCATACGCAGGATACACTGGCATCGTCTCGGAGCAGTCTGCAATTACCCACGGCACATTTTTCTGGCACGCCTCGCGTGAGGGCTGCATCTCCAAGGGCACCTCCGTCCACGGCGGGCTGCGCACGAAACTGTTCAGCCCCAACGACTACATCATCGACCGCGACGACGTCGGCTTTACTCTCATCGAGGCCCACGAGATCGACGACATCGGCGTTGCCGGCATTGTGGAGAAGGTGCGGAGCGTTGTTGGAGGCACCCCCGTCTATCTCAGTATTGATATTGATGTGCTGGATCCCAGCATCGCCCCAGCGACGGGGACGCCTGAGAGCGGTGGCTGGACGACGCGCGAAGTCAAGCGCTTCATCAAAGGCCTGGAGGGCGTCAGGCTGGTCGGCGCCGATGTCGTCGAGGTCAGTCCTCCATACGACACGGTCGCCGAGGTCACCAGCGTCGCGGCCAGTGATTTGCTTGTGGATATCCTGGCTCTGATGGTCAAGGACTCCGTCCGAGGCCCCGCAGCCGCGGATGCTGCTGGTGCTAACTTTGGAGCGCAGCTTGGGAAAGATGAGCTGTGAAGCCATCGAACAAACTGTGGTGCATGTCATGCATGGCCTTCTTGGGAGTTTTGATTGTGTCTAAGTCACGTGGCTATTTGGCTGGTTATGAAGTATTCGTGCAGCAGGATTTGCCTAGGGAAGAGTGGGGGGAACAAAACATCCCTGAGCTGATGGGACCTAGGGTACCAAGATGTCAAGGTGGAGCTATCGAGGCAAATTGATCGACAGCTTGAAAGATAAATTTCTTGAGCAGCCTTATCATTGTTTGTCTTTGTGACTCTGCACGTGATTCTTCCCTGCACTTTTTCTTTTTAATCCCCGTCGATATCCAAAGAAAGGACCGCGGTCTAACGGATACGGGAGTACTATCCGATATGATCTGATCTCTGTAATTATATCTGAACACAGTCGCGAGGTTCCACCGACCCCTGACTCATTGTCAGACACCATAATACGATTTGCAAGAGTCGCCAATCTCAATCTATCCACCTACTGCCTAGGAACCTAGTTGAACACCACGGTCTTGCTGCCGTTTAGGAAGACCCTCCGCTCACTCCACCACTTCACGGCGGCGGCGAGGACCTGGCTCTCGACATTGCTGCCCTCGTCGACGAGCTCCTTGGGCGTGAGGTTGTGGTCGACGCGGGCGACGCGCTGCTCGATGATCGGGCCCTCGTCGAGGTCGGCGGTGACGAAATGTGCGGTGGCGCCGATAATCTTGACGCCGCGCTCGAAGGCCTGGTGGTAGGGCTTGGCGCCCTTGAACGACGGCAGGAACGAGTGGTGGATGTTGATGATCTTCCCGGACATGGCGCTGCACAGGCCGGGCGAGAGAACCTGCATGTACCGTGCCAGCACGACCAGCTCGATCGAGTGCCTCCGGATCAACTCCAGGATCTGGGATTCCTGCTCCAGCTTGGTGTCTTTGGTGACCGGCAGGTGGTGGAATTCAATGCCGTAGGATCTCGCCAACGACTCGAACTCGGGGTGGTTGGACACGATGACGGGCACGTCGATCGCGAGCTGCCCCGTCTTCTGCCGGAAGAGGAGGTCGTTCAGGCAGTGCCCGATCTTGGACACCATGATCAGGACCTTTGGTTTCGAGGCCACGGCGCGTAGCTCGTAGTCCATCTTCAAGTCCGCTGCGAGGCCTTGGAAGTCCGGAACTAGGAACTCGGTACCCGCTTCCGGCGCAGGCCCGAAGTGTACCCTCATGAAGAACTTTTCCGACGTGCGGTCGGAGAATTGCTGCAGGTCGAGGATGTTCAGGCTGTGGCGTGCGAAGATCCCTGTGACTGCGTGGATGATCCCTGGTTTGTCCGGGCAGGATAGCGTTAGGTAGTGGTCGTTGGCCATTTTGGTGGCGAGCTCGTCAGGTGTCTTTTCTGTTGGGGTGTGGTGTTTTTTGCTGGACGGCCTGCTCGTCGTGAAGGCTGATATTCTGGGGGTTGCCAGCGGTGGTTTGAAGTGTGCGTGGATCCGGATTGGAAGAGCTGTTCGCTGGATTGATGATATTCTCTTCGCCAGTGCCAGAACCATTGGACCTCGTCGTCTGCTGGGCTTTCTTGTAATTCCAAGGCTGGGTGTGTAGCCTTACGATGGGGCCGTCGGGATGCGAATGATATCCTTTTTCCAAGAAAATCCGCGACGCACGCTGAGGAGCCCCATTTAATCAGCCTTGGACGTGTCTCCAAAAGCGGATGCATGTCGCGTTGTATGACTCACCGTAATAAAGCTTCCGGCATCTGGCTCTCTATGCTTTTCCGTACTACCTGTCCTGCTTCGGCGCTGAAGTCTCTCCGAAATATCATTCTACGGCACATCTCTTCCCAGCAGGAACCAAGGCAATAATATCTGCGCATTTGCCCAGGATCATATCTGTCATTGGGTAGCACAAGGCACACTTTCCACCCAAAATGCCACCAGTCAAGGCCAACGACTGGATGCAGATAGGCCTTGAGCTTGATGCGTCGATCTGAAACTACCGTCGCCGTGCCTAAGCGAGTCCAAGACTGACCACTCAAGCCCTTCCACAACTCAGCCAAACAGGCAACAGGCCAATAGGCCCCACCTTGATGGCTTGTTCATGCAATGGTACCCCTGAACGCTGCGGGCTACTGCATCGTCGATATGATGGCAACTGACGTCTGGTCCTCTACGAATTGACAGAATAATGAACGCGGTTCTATATCGCAGATTAAATTCAAGGTCCTCTAGGGAGTTTGTTGCCTGCTTTAGTGGACCATCTATCGAAAGCGCCTGCCGTTGCCTGCTCCTTCCCCAGGGGTTGCGATCACGGGACGACGTGCAGCTTTCGTGTCGCAGTCAGAGTCACGGTCAGAGCCACGGCAAGAAGAATTGCAAACATTCTCCCCTCTACGCCGCCACTCGTCTTGCTTTTATGCAAACAGCTCTTAAACGAGCTGAACTGCACATCGTCCTAAAGCATTCATTTCCCACTGTGCAGTCAGCCAGACTTCACCTCTCTTCTTATTCCTCTGCGTCCCCAGATCCACCGGATTGTGCAAACCCGACAATGTCAATCCAACTTCCCAAACTCCCTGTCCCTGTATCTGAATTCGTCCGATATGCTGAAAAACAGCCACACTCACAAGCTGGTGTGACCCAGGCTGTGGAGCCGTTCAAAGCGTTTGAGGGCAAGCTGCGAGAAATCTATGCTCAACAACCTGAGCATCCTGCTGTGACCGAAAACCATCTAATTCCACTCTTTGAGAATGCTCCTTTCACAACCAGAGCAAGGAACTTGAGCAAGGAATCGACCCCTGAGAAGGAAAGTTACCTATTGTCTCTCCCAGATCATCTTCGCCGAAAAGATGGCTCTCCAGCCATTGTTCAATCTTTGAAAGACTTCCGAACCAATTTCAACATCTTTTCTGAGTCTTCCTTGACTGAACTCAAGTGGGATAATGTGGTTGTCGCTGGCAGCGCTGTCAACACTTCTCTCTTGCCCCTTGACGCTCCTTACAGCGAATCCAAGGTAAGCCAATCCATCAATTCCAAACTCGTTACTAACTCCCGCACAGCGAGCTCTCCGCAATTACTATCACGACAAACTCGCTCCTGCGTCTGACGTGGATCTCTTTCTTTATGGCCTCAATGAGGAGGGGGCAATTGAGAAAATCAAGCAGATCGAGACAAGCATTCGGGACAGCATCCTCGCGGAAACCACGACCGTTCGAACTAAAAATGCAATCACTATTGCCTCTGAGTATCCTGTTCGCCACGTTCAGATCGTATTGCGCCTATACAAGAGTATCTCGGAAATTCTCACTGGTTTTGATGTTGATTGCTCTTGCGTCGCTTACGATGGCCAACAAGTATGGGCATCACCTCGTGCTGTGGCCGCATTCATGACGCAGGTGAATTCCATTGACTTGACAAGACGATCACCTTCGTATGAAAATCGCCTTTCTAAATACTCCCATCGAGGCTTCGAAGTTTACTGGCCACTTATTGATCGGAAACGAATCGACCCTACCATCTTCGAACGCTCTTTCTCTCGGGTACAAGGGCTTGCTCGACTTCTTGTTCTTGAGAAACTTCCACTTCCAACTGACAGAGATGACTATCTCGCAAAGAGGAGAGAGGAACGAGGCCGTCCTCCAATTCCTCAGAACCACAGATTCCACAAGAAATTAAAGGGTAACCTGAAGGACGCACAGCCGGATGATATTGCTGAATGGGTAGAAGACGATGTTTCAAATTATCATACGGTCACCATTCCTTATGGCCCTACCTATAACGCGAAGCGGATTGAAAAGCTTCTTTTCACCAAAGACTTGCTTCTTAATGCCGAGTGGAATAAGCCGAAGGACAGAGAGGCAGAGCTCCACCGCCATCCAGCGTTCTTTGGCTCCATTGAAGATGTTATCCATGACTGCTGTGGGTTTTGTCCAAAGGCGACTACGGATGCAGATCTTGCTGTGCTAGAGGAAGAAGGCAAAAATTACGTTTCTGGGGACGTTACGTTTCTCAAAGACGACCCGGGTCGCCAAGCTATTGGCAGTTTCAATCCTATCACGAATGAAGACTGGACCGAGATGGCGTACGTTGGGAACACAACCAGACTTTGTCAAGCTATTGTGGGCCACGATCTTGACGCTGTTCGAGATTGGTTTTCATCGCTTGAAGAGACCGATGTCAACAGACGTGACCATGCTGGACGAACTCCTCTTCAGCTGGCTGCCATGTGTTCGACTCCTGAAATTGTTCAAGTGTTGATTGAACATGGCGCTCGCCTCGTTTCAAGGCTGTACAATGGAATGACTGCTCTTCACATCGCAGCCTATCGTGGAGAGGTTCAAATCGTCAAAGCCATCCTGGACAAAAGCCTTGCTAACGAGGAAGAAGAGTCTCGCAAGGAAGACGTTCGCAAGACAGCAAGACGTGGAGCTGCAGGCATCGTGACCAAGGAAGATCATGAAGGCGGGCCGTCAATTTCCGAGAACACACCTAAATCTATCGATGATTCGGCCGAAAGTGAGGAAGACGAGTGGGAGGACGAGGACAGTGATAGTGTGACAGAAGGCTCATACATCAAAGTCCGAGAAAAAAATGATGCACCTGACCCTTTGGCTGAAGACAAAGATGACCCGGACGTCTATGATGTGGATGTTTTGGCATGGGACAATCCATTAAGCCCCCTCCACCTCGCCATCCTTGCCGGTCACATCAATATCATTGAACTTTTGATCAACAAATACGGTGCCGACGCCCTTCTCCCTGTCAAGGTCGTGGATGATTATGATCGCAAAGATGCCAAAGCTGCCATTCTGTCCATCGTCCTAGCCTTGGAGTTGCCTTTGCGACAGGCAAATGATACGGTTAAAGCCCTCCTCGCTCACGGAGCTACTTCCACTCAGGCAGATATGAACCATATCTCAGCTTTGCATTATGCAGTCAATAATGGAAAGACTCTTGTGGTAGAGACATTGGAAAATGCAGATCCTGCCGCAGTTGCCACCGCTTGTAACTTCGTTACAGCAAAAGGGTATCGGACATCCCCTTCAGTTCAGGCTCCGATCTTAACTGCGATACGAACCGGACGGAAAGATCTTGTGGAGAAGGTTGTCAGTATGGGCGCGAACCTTGAAATAACTTTTGAAGCTTTTGAGCAAGCTTACAAGCGTGGGGTTTCTTGGCCTGACGATGACCACGATCGGGTGAAAAAGGTATGGCAAAGAAATGTCGAACAACCCATCATACTTGCTGCAAAGATGCAAATGCTAGATTTTGTGGAGTATGCCATCGACCATGGTGTGAACGTCAACACTATTGCAAAGGGAGCTTGGGATTTCCTTGATCGGTCTTCTTGGGGATGCGAAGATAAGTCGTTGGTGGACATCATCAATGATCACATCAAGGATCTGAAAAAAGCCTTGTATCCAGCAAACACCGAATATATCCCGAAGCCAGCTGACTTAGAGAAGGATCAGCACTACCTCATTTTCCCCAAAGGCACTTACCGATATTGGACAGTTTATCATGATCTCCATGATGCCAAATTGCTCCACAACCACCAAGTCCAGCAATTCCGTTCAGAACAGCATCAACGACGAGATGAGGATCAAGAGGGCACATCGGAGAAAAATGCTGCGATAGAGCAGACTATCACTAAACTCGTCAATCTTGAAGATAAACTTCGAAAGCGGGGGGCGGTATCGTTTCGATGCTTGTACCCGGACGCCCACAGGAATGCCACCCGTCGCGTATACTATCCAAACGGCATAAAAGATTCGCCATACGAGAGTAGCATCTCGTTCGGATCTGCAGACAGCACAGCCGAGAAAAAAGCGCAGTACATTCAATTGTTTGAAGCTTGCTGGACCGGAGATACTGAAACCGTCAAGTCCCTCTGCCTCGCAAAAAAGGAACCTTTGAAAGTTGCAGTCAAAGACAGTCGAGGTTGCAGCCCTTTCTCCGTTGCAACGCTCCATGGCCACTATGACCTGGCACAGCTCATTGTTGAAATTGCGACCGTTCAGTTTCAGCCAAAGTCTGAATCAGAAAAGTATCGGTATACCCTTGACCCTGGATATCATCGTCACCATGATAGCCTTGACCATGGCAGTGACAGTGATAGTTGCTGCGATAGTGAAGACACTTATCAAAGTGATATAGGTATACTTGCACATCTTATTAAGGATAAATTCACCGTGGATGATATCACGGCCCTGGCTGATAGTGTTCAGTCAAATGTTGATCCACTCACGATGGTGTCTTGGGAGTTCCCGGTTTCAAGAGCTGTTGAGAGCAGCAATGAAAGCAAGCGGATTATGCGGTTCCTTTCACGCCTGACCACGCCTAGCCCGTATGTTGGAGACTACCCAAGTACTTCATGGGGATGGTTCAACGCCGCTTTCAGCGCGATCAGTTCACACAACGTTGATTCTCTTGTTAGGTTCGCTATTGTTACAGATGATATACGGCTTTTGAGATTTATCATCAAGATTGGGAATGAGCTCACTCAACAGAAAAGTGATGAGGGTGCTCTCAAAGCATTCCCGATCGATCACACTGATTTTCGACTGGCAATCCGCTTAGGACGAGTGGAGATGATCGCGGAGATCTTGAAATCAACAGGGTTTGGGTTTCCACTTCAGAAAATAATCCAACAGTCGGGCGTTAAGCTTGAGCGATCGCCGGATCAATATCAAGGCTTGACAGTGCACGGGAAGAAGCGGCAACATTATGTCGACGCTGCCAGGGGAAGACCTTGGACAGTTCACGATGGCTCTGACTTCGGAGTCCCCCTCCTGGCCGCCATCCTGGAGGGCAACATAGAATCAATGGAGTACTTCATATCTGATTCTCCATTGAGACGATATTTAGAATTTGCAAATACGTTCAAGGACGACAAGAGAATTCAAGCACTATCGAAGACGGATGGTGGGATTGAAGGGACACTAACTTCATGGCTGGAAACCCGGAATAACCTTGCGCTTCACATGGCTGTATTATCACCGCCGAATGAAGATGGATCGCAGCCAACTGTTGAGTACCTTTTGAAGAAAATGCCTCACTTATTGGATGTTCGATCGGTTGACGGCAAAACGCCCCTACAGCTGGCTTTTGAAGCAGGTCGTTATTATGCAGCCGAGAAATTGATCAACGCTGGAGCAAATCAAGCCACCAAAGATAACCTTGGTCGAAACATCCTTCACACTATTCTGAGCGGCCCTAGTGTTGACAACCACGCGGTGCTTCGCTCACTTTTCGATCTGCTTGACAAAAAATTGGTCCCATCTCTTCTCCTCGAGCGTTCTGGGATCGACTTAGGCACTGCAACACCGCTGGTCCTGTTCATCAATAGCGGTTTCCGTTCGCCTGGTTGGGAAGAAAGCTTAAAGCTTATCGTGGGGTTCTCAGAAGGCAAGGACCTTGAGAAAATGAACGGGGCTGGCGACTATCCCATCCACATTGCGGTACGGCGTGAGGAGATCGACCTGGTAAAATTTCTAGTCTACTATCGCCCTTCACTACTCTATCGGGAAAATGCCACAGGCATGACACCTGTTGATGTTGCATCAACGACTTTCTTGCGAAGCCACATAGACAACCCTCCTGAGCTCTCCCAGAGAAATTATTGGAGCATAAAGGATCAGTCTGCAAGGAGCTTTGTTATCAAGAGCGAAGATGATGTTGAAATCGATCATGAAATGATGGACGATGAGGAGGAAAAGTTCGGCCACACAATCAACATGAAGCGTCGCATGTACCGCTTCATCAACGCCCTCGTGGCGAAGTTTCCGGGAACAAGGAAATTGGTCTCTCTTCACGATGCAAATGAAGTTGCCAAGCGCCTTGCTTTCCTGCAGCAGAAAACCAGCGAAATTAATCGGCGCCTCGAAAACGCTCAGTCAAAGCGTCAAGACGACTGGGGTGAATCCCACCATTTCAGGGCAAATGCCGAACAGGAGGCGGTGCAAGACGAGGTATCGCGTTCAGCCCATGCTAACCCAGACCTTCTAGATTTTGGATCATTGAAATGGAGGAAGGAGGTTGCGAAAGAAGAGAAGATTGACAAGGTCATTGAGAAGCAACGGAAGTTGGACAGCCAATGGTATGATGCAGATGGGATCAAGGAGACCGAGAACCCATTCTTCACAAAGTCGTCCCAAGAGCTTGCAAGCATTGGGGGATAAGAAACCTGTGATTTGAGTGGTGAAGACTCGACGCGAGGGTGGTACATTTGTGGATTTTCAAAGACCGCTCAGAGGAGTCCGGATGGCAATGCGTGCATTTGCTACGTGCTGTGGCTTCTTTTGGTCCTTACAAAGGGTCGTGTCTTTGTTTCCCATCTAACTTGGAAAGATTGTTCCCTGTCATAGTTCATTCCCGAAGACGAAGACGAGAAGGGCTGATAAATGATAGATGTAGTGGAAATATATGCAAATGGCGCGAGCACGGTCAGGAACACTTTGATTATGGTTGTGATTGTAAAAAATCCCCATCCTATATCCATGGCCGCCTTGTTCAGAAACTGTAGTGTTACGAGTGATGGCTTGAGCACGGGTGATTTCCGGTCGTGGAGGCTGAACCGGAACGGGCTGTGGTAGGAGGATATCAATCAATGGTTATTGCATGGTGCGCTTTTCTTTCCCGCTCTCTCATTGTTACTGTCGTGATGCGGGGCTGCTGTGCAATGCTAACTAGCTAGCTCAGGTACATGGATATGCGCGCCTGGTCTAGGTCAGGCTCTGTGGACTCTGGGCTCTGAAGCTCAGTCCTCCCTCCCTCCTGCCATTTGTCCCTGGGCCCCTTGCCCCTTGCCCCTGCCCGCCTCGCTCGCTTGGATTGAACGGTAAATACTGCACTGCACTGCACTGCTCGCTATACTCGCTATACTCGCACAGGGGCTCGTGCCCGAATACAGATGGTACTCCTCTCTCGCGCGCGTGCTCCTTTTCTCGCACACTCTCATCATAGTTCAATCAGACTTTCCTCCACCGCCACGGGTTTCGGCTGAGGTGGTTGTTGCTGCTGGTAGGATTGGCCGTATGAGGGGTCGTGTTGAGGTGCGGATGGGAAGGAGTTTTGGTTGTAGGCCGGGTATGATTGGTATGGTGCTTGTTGTTGCTGTGGCTGGTGTTGGTGTTGTTGGGTAGGAGAGTAATGTTGTGGCGGGGGTTGTGAATAGTGTTGTTGTTGGGGTTGAGTTGTTTGTTGTAGCAGCGGTTGTTGATAAGGCTGCGGTGTTTGTTGTGCGGGCGGGGGTTGTTGTTGCGACTGGGACTGCTGCTGTTGGTATTGGGGTTGTGGTGTGGGAGCTTCTTGTCGTTGCTGGTTATACGGAGTAGGTGTTTGTTGCGGGTCGGGAGGTGGGAGTTGAGGGTAGGCGGATGGTGGTTGCGAAGGATATTGTTGCGGCTGAGGCGCTGACTGCTGATACAACTGGGGAGAAGAAGGGGCAGGTTGATGTAGTTGAGGCGGTGGTTGCTGCGCGTATTGTGGATATGGGGATGCCTGAGCGTCTTGCTTCTGGCTGGAATATGAATAAGAACGCTGTGGCTGAGGCATTGGTGTTTGTTGTGGAGGTGGAGCGTACTGTTCAACAGTTGCATTGGAGAAGTAGTAGTTTTCCGCGCCTCCCGGGGCCTGGTTCGATGCCGGTGGTGGGCCCATGGGGATAGAAGCATACATTGAAGATGGGTGATGAGCCCCAGGAGATGGCAAGCCATAACCTGCGTATGCTGGATTTCTTTGATTGTAGGTATTGTTGAGGCGGTCTTCCAGCATTCGATCGTAATACCGCACAACACTTGATAGTTTGGCGTGGAGATCTAACAGGGCATCATTCTTGGACATGGTTTCACCCAGGGTCCGGGCTAGCTTTGGTCGAAGCTTTCCAATACTTTCGTACAATTCTTGAATCTGAGGTTCTCGCAGGATGGTACCTGGTGGCTGGTGCTGTAAGCGGTCGACCAGAGTCGAGAACAAGTTGATATTCTCAGCCTCAACCAATGACAATTCATAGTCGTTCTTAGGCATGACGAACGGTTGTGTTGAGGATGCTCCATCTGTGGTAGACTTCTTCATAGACGCGGCATGCTTCTTCGCCTGCTCCTCGGCCTCCTTTAGAGATAACGCCAGTGCAGCTTTGAGATCGGGATCATCCTCTTCTTCATTGGACACCCCATTTGACTTTGCAGGCTCCGACTTGGACTCAGACCGGGGCACATATCCTGAACTGGAAATGCCTTTGGCCTCTTCCAAGCTCATTTCCAATGCTTTTTTCAAATCCTCATCAAAACTGTTGCCCTCTATTCGGGCACTTCGCGGCTGCATCGTGCTTGGTTTGGGGGCAAATGACACTCGACGCTCGCTGCCACCACCGCCCCCGCTTCCCTTCTTGGTCAACTTGTCGTAGCATCCATCATCCACGCGGACAGGCGTCATAATGCCCAGGTGTGGGAGAGGGATGGATTTGGAGGAGCATTGCTGGTCAAAGACATTGCCACAGTTTCTGCAATGGTGTTTCCGATTTGTAAATGTGAAGGCTGTCCTGCACCGCATGCAAACCTCGCTGTCGGTCCACTCGGGCGGAGCACTGCTGTCTACCATACTGCTGGAGATCTCGACCTTGGGAGGAAATGTAAAACCTTCTCTTTGCAAACTCTTGTATACTTCGTTGATGTAGGAGAGATCGTGGCGAGCTTGAGTGGCACTTGCCCAGGTCTGAATGAGGTCGAGAATCTTCTGTTTGACTTCTTCGCTAACAGCAGCAACTCCGTAAGCCTTGAGTAGGGAGACAAGGTTGTCCATGAACTCGCGTGAGGCGATCTCGGTCAGAAAGTGTGCCCCGCCGTTCTTGACACAAGTATCGGTTAGCTTCAAGGCAGACAGCTGGACGTTAGGATTCTTGTTGCCTATCCGCCTCTTCAGCGAGCGCATAGCATCTTTAGGCTGCACTGTTTTAGATCTAATTAAATCGGAGATTTCGAGGCTGAGGGCTATCTCTTCTAAGCTGGACGTCGTCGCTGTTTCAATCTGCTGATCGAGAGCCGTGGTCCCCGAAGAGAACCATCCTGCCATGGTCAAACGTTGTGGTGGAATACTGTTTGGTTCAGGGCAGTTGTCTCAGGCGAATTTGGTCGGGTGGTGGCGGAGTACTGGATGAAGGAGATGGATTGAACAACGTTCGATATCAGTATGCACTGAGCAGAGAAGGTATTAGTTTGGTTCACGATTCAAAGCCAGTTGGAAATTAGCAGATGGGTGATAAATGGTGGCATCTGCAGGTCCAGTTTGGTTGTTTGCATGCGCCAGGTGCTAGTCACGGTTGCCGCAGGCTGGCATTATATCATCGTGGCGGGCGGCGCGTCGCATTGAAATGTGTCGCCGTAATTTGTACGGTTGGCTGCAGCCACCATCGACGCTCCCCTCGGAACTAGAATGAGAAACGGAATGATTACCACCAATTCAACATCATTGCTCCATGGACTTTCGGCGATAGCTAACGACCAGAGGGTTTCTCCAACATGCTTATACTCCACAACAATCGGGTATATCGCGGAGTGTTAGCACCGCCGTCCAACTTATATCCACGGGCTACTCTCCATCTTTCCTTCGAGGTTAACAGACTGGAAATCCTCTGAACATGACAAAGGTGGTGTACTTTCCTTCACTTAATCTCCTGTGATCACATAGGGTTTATCCCCCGTTAGCTCTTCCATACTCAGATGGCACTCAATACGATCTACCGGAATAACCTACTCGACAATGTCAAGGAAGGTCGTATTTGCACGGTGAGACATCCGTTCTGTCAGTCAGGCTACGATGCTATCTTACACTACTGTTGATAATATGTAGGCCTTCGGGATCAAAATCATACCCACGGGCGAAATTGTCCAGATTGCAAAACAGGCCGGCTATGACTCGCTTTTCATAGATCTAGAGCACACAACCCTCACCCTGAAGGATGCAAGCCAACTTTGTATCACTGGTCTATCTGCAGGAATTACTCCATTCGTTAGAGTGCCGCATGAATGTGGTAGCGGTTTCATCCAAAGGGTGCTTGACGGCGGCGCCATGGGGATCATTGTTCCTCACATACACGGTGCCGGTAGGTTGAACTCATATTCTGGCATTACAATTTGAAATGAGATTCGAGTCTGACCGTAGGCATCAGATGACGCTAAGAAAGTCATTCATGTCTCCAAGTTCCCGCCGCTCGGTAAGCGATCATTGACTGCTGGACTGCCACAGTTCACCTATGCGCCGGTGCCAGCAGTGGTGACAGCCCCTCAACTTAACGAGTCTGGATCAACAGTATTTATCATGATTGAAACCGCGGACGCACTTGAAACGGTGGATGACATTGCTGCTCTACCAGGTTGCGATGTGTTGCTTGTGGGTGCCAATGACCTCCTCAGCGAGATGGGTATCATGGGTGATTTCGATAACCCGAAATTCATGCAAGCTCTCGAGAAAGTGTCTCACGCAGCCCAAAAGCACGACAAAGTGTTCGCCATCGGAGGCCTCTATCATAGACCGGATTTGATGGATCGGGTTATCAACGACCTAGGTGCTAGGTGGGTGATAGGAGGTCAGGATGTGGGATTGCTGGTTGCCGCAACACGACAAAACTGTCAAGCCTTGAAAGCGATTCAGAGACCACAGGTGTGATCCGAAACCATGCACTTGCCCGGTTGCCTATCTACGAGTAGGTTGGACCGATGGATGGATCACGTGGCTGTAGCCCTGAATGTGCATTTAGATTGAGTAAGAATCCGCCGTAATTGGTTACTACCATGAATAAATGCTTATTACCCACCGTATATCACCCCACGTGATCGAGCTCCGAATTGGGGCTAACGAAGTTCATCGTTGGTGGCGCCTCTGCCGCATCTGCCTCTGGACTCGTAAGACTGGTTCTTTACAGACTGGAATCTACTAGTTCTCGACACCACTAAATCCCGATCTTCAAATCTCACTGTTTGCGTTTGTCAAGAGGTATCCCAAAGACTCAATAACACAAGACATCAGCCTCTCAGCAGCTTACTGCCACCTCTTCTCACTCTCACTCTCACTCTTGCTCCTGCCGTCACACTTTCTCCGCCGAGTCTCCTTCTGCCTTTTATAAGCACTTGCTTGGTGCAGCTGGCCAAAGTCATCCGGCGCCGCCATTGCACAATTTTGAACACAACTGCTGGTCAAATCCAAGATTTGATTAGGTACAGACTCTCTCCAGAGTCAACTACGCAATGACAACACGGTAGACCGTCCTGAATCACCGCCATGGCGGCGTATGCGTCTCCCTCGTCCTTCTCGAACCAGACCACTGCAGCTTCCAGTGGCATACCTTCCGGGAGAGGATCGTGGGGCGATCTTCGAGTCTCAGCCCCAGATCACAATGAGAAGATATATCCTCATATCAAAGACATTGTCCGAGAGGCCACGAGCACCACCAATTCCGATGGCTCATTGCCGCAATTGCTTACTGAAGTCGAGAACTGCATCGCAACTGCCCGAAGCTCTGTCGAGTTTGGACGCCCTGACATGGCCTATAAAAGTTTTGTACGAGCATATGAGATAGCAGTCAACAACATACCCAGAAATCGGAACTATGGCTTCACTTCTGACAACAACAGGGCTTGGGCCCAAAAATATAGGCTCGCGAGGCAAAAGCTCAATGAACTCGAAGCCCAGATGACGCAGGTTAAGGCCTCGATTGAAGAAAACAATACAAGATTTAATACTCAGCCACACGCCCAATCGCTTTTGAGGAAGCATGTCTATTCGTCAGGGTTTGGTGTTCCTCCCAACTCGCCTGCTCCTCCCGAAGACCAACCAACCTCGTCAGGAGGAAATGGGCCTTCACATCAAGATGTACCCTCCAACTCCTCCGCATTGCCATCAGCTTTGAGGATCGACCGAGCACGCCCGACTAGCAAACCCAAACCAGATTCGCTGCAAGGTCGTCCCCTCACAGATAACTCTAATGATCTCAGTCAGCGGTTCGCCCGGCTTCGCGGTGTAGGAAATCGTCCCGATGAAACTGGTATTTTGTCCATGCCCAAGCCGAGCGACTTCAAAACCGGGGCAAACCTAGGTCCGAGGCCACAATCGTACACCCCTCAGACTTACACTGATCTGAATGGTCCATCCTCTCGACTAGGTGGACCACGGGATATGCCTAGACCAGTAAATAGCCCTCCACCACCTCCGAAGGTGCCGCTGATTACTTCTATGGCCATGCCAAAACCACCGAGTCCTACCTATAGCCCAATTACAACAACACCTGTTGGATTTCATTCAGGTCATAGTCGCGGGGCTTCTGAAGGTAATCGTCCGCCAAACGAGAGGAAGCAGACTTACTACAACCAGTCTCATAATTCTTCGTCCTCCTCCTTACACATGCAGAAACCACGTGATGATATTCTCCTGCCGTATCGGCCTACCACTCCCAATGGCGTCAACTCTGTAATAATATCGAAGAGCAGCTCCAGCGAAATCCCCCACAAAACGACTTTAGATGCACCCACCTTGTACGAATATATGAGGAAGTACAATGTCCTACTTGTTGACGTGCGAGATCGAATACAGTTCGATGAGGGTCACATTATGGCAAGCTCGATAATTTGCATCGAGCCCATTTCGTTAAAGGAGGGTGTCTCTGCAGAAGAGCTTGAAGAGCGACTCGTTCTCGCGCCTGATGTAGAACAAACCTTGTTCTCCCGCCGAAATGAATTCGACGTGGTTGTTTATTACGATCAGTCTACCAACGATAACTCCTACCTTAGAGGTCCACCGATCATGACAAAAGCTCCAGCCCTCAGAGCTCTCTATGACACTCTTTACGAATTCAATGACACCAAGCCACTGAAAGACGGCCGGCCCCCAGCTCTGCTTGTTGGTGGACTCGATGCATGGATTGACTATATCGGTATTCATGCGCTAGCACAATCGAGGACAGCTGCGACATTGGGCACGACCCAGCACCGGCGAGCTGTCGGTAGTGGAAGACCACTTGCTCGGCAGAGACTTGTCAGTGCAAATACTCGATATGACGTCCGTAATAGGAGGTTGCGAGATCACAAGTTTCTTGACGAGAGTGAGCAGGAAGCCTGGCGTAGACAGGCCATGCAAGAGGAGGTCACCCCGACAGAGAAGGCGGAGACTGGTAGCGACGAGGAATACTCAGTGGTAGAGGAGGAAACGGTTCCTCCTTCTCCTTTCGTGCCTGACTATGAGACCTTTTTACGTCGTTTCCCTTCCATCCAGCAACAACAGTCCATGACTATGCCAGCTCGTAGACCACTTCCTGCTCATCCAGCTGCATATTTCCCTCCTTCAGTTCCTCCAGCACCAGCTGTCCCTGCACGTCCACCACCCGCAATCCCACGGCCAAGTTACTCAGGTCAAGCAGATATCCATGCTTCTCAGCCTGCACTTGCTCGCGTTACTTCAGCATCTCGGCCTCCACTTTACTCTTCTTCAACAGCCATGCGCAATAAGAAGCTGCCGCGGACTGGGTTGACCAACTTTGGCGTCACTTGCTACATGAATTCGACGCTTCAGTGTCTGTCTGCGACTACGCCGCTATCACAGTTCTTCAATGATCGCGCGTATGAGTCCTATGTGCAACAAAATTGGAAAGGTAGTAACGGTATTATGCCGAAGATATATGCAAATGTTGTGCAATCAGTTTGGAACGATGACGTCGATGTGATCAAACCATCGACATTTCGCAACTTCTGTGGCCGGATGAATCGTGAGTGGGTCATCGATCGCCAGCAGGATGCCAAAGAGTTCTTTGACTTTTTGGTCGATTGTTTGCACGAAGATTTGAACGTCCATTGGGAAAGGAACCCTCTCCGTCCATTGACAACGGCGGAGGAGATGCAGAGGGAACGGATGGAAATCGCTCGAGCCAGCCCGATTGAGTGGAAACGGTATGAACATCGAGATTACAGTTATATGTCCTCCCTATTTGCTGGCCAGCATGCTTCACGGCTCCGTTGCCTCACCTGCAAACAAACTTCGACAACATATGAAGCGTTCTACAGTATCAGCATTGAAATTCCTCGAACCGGCACTGGACATATTTACGATTGTCTCAATTCATACTGCCGTGAGGAGAAATTGTCCGAGCAGTGGCGGTGCCCTTATTGTAAATGTGAGCGCGAAGCCACTAAACAGATCATCTTGACTCGTCTCCCCCAATTCCTGGTCATTCATTTCAAGCGCTTTGCAGCCTCGAAGCACGAGAAGGCAAAGAAGATTCATACGCCAATCGAATTCCCTCTGTATGGTTTGAACATGGATGATTTTGTCATTCCTCGACCTCCGGCGGTCCCGGACCAAGATGGCAGTATTGATCTCGCCACTACTCCCCCTTACAGCTACGACGCCTACGGTGTTTTGAGACACTTGGGCAATAGTGGTGACAGCGGCCATTATATCAGTATCGTAAAGGATCAAGGGAGAGGCAGCTGGCGCAAGTTCGATGACGAAAGACATGTCGACCTAGATCCAAACAAGTTAAGTCCTCGTGACCGTCTGCAAAACTCGGAGGCATATATTGTGTTTTATCAAAGGTCACAAGCGAGATGAGACAGCCATTGCGGCTAATCATCTCCCTTCGTTGGGCGTACTTGCGTTTCCCCTGTCGACCTCTTGCACAGCGAGTGGGCAATATCTTTATTCAGGCAGTCCATGGGACTCCAGTCGAGCTTTGTCAAACTCTCGCACTGGCGAGGCTGGTCCGGGGCAGATCTTGTGAATGGGAATGAGATTTAGAACAAACTTTATGCAGATTTGTAGCGACTGATGACTTTATGAAATGAAGATAATGGGGGCCTTGCCAATCCTACACTTTTGAAGGGACAACCTTCACTACCTCCCTAGTGGGATGCGCTGTTGTTAACTAGGTCCAGAGGTCCACGTCCACCTCACATGATCGTGGCTACGGAGGCAGCATCCAAAACTTCCTCCATTTCCAAGACCCGTCCTGTAGACGGGTCTGTTCTCGGTATGAAGCAACCTGAGTATCATAAGCCCTGGGACTTGACGAGGGTGCATGCTCCTTCATTATAGAAGTTCCTCTAGCAACAGCAAGGTGGAACAACATCGGCCCATACCACATAAGCAGCGGGACTTTGATTGGGTGACCAGGTCAACCGGCCCAAGCTGATTCCGATCGCCGTGCTCGCCAGGAGGGTTGGAATTTGATGGTGGCGACGGAGGGGACTACACAGTATTATTCCGTATAGATCACCCGTCCTGACTGGCGAGCATCCCGAAGCCTCAAACTCTGAACCTCTGAAGATTTATCAGTTCAGTGATTTTGTTGAACCGCAAGGTCGCTGCGGGACGTGTCAGATGACCGCTAAAGAGGCAAATGCTTTGATTTACTTCGTAAAATATCGCCGCGGACTAGCAAGGGGTTAGAGCAATAGAGTGCCGTGTGGGATGGTTATGCCGATGTGCCGTTGAGGACCGCCGTGAATGTTGGCATCCCCTCCACTGTATTGTCGTCTATATCTATTTCAAGACCCCATAAACTCGGGGGGAAATTTCCAAACGGAATGAACACCCTCGAGTTTTGTTCTCTTGCCTCTGATCTACTTTCTTCATCTGCTCTTTGATCCTCAGGCTAACCCCTTGAGTGAGCTTCGTAACAATGCCGAAACCTAGGCATATCGTCGTGCTTGGGGCAACGGGCATGGCATTCTCCTCTGTATCCGCCGCAGTTTGCTGCTGACAGGGTTGCTAGGTCTATCCGGAGTCGACTTCACCGAACTTGTGCTCTCAAAAGCACCAGATCTCAAGCTGACCCTCTACGTCCGCAACGCTTCGAGACTCCCCGCCGCACACACGGAAGCAGATCCAGCTCGTATTCGGGTCGTCGAAGGCGGACTTACAGACCAAGCGGCACTTGAAGCTGCACTCACAGATCCCGCCGCACCTGTTGAAGCCGTTGTGTCATTCTTGGGCGCGTACCCTACGCTCAGTGCGTTCTTGTTGAGGACCAAAACGACGCCTATTGCGGACTCCTTCCCGATATTATTTGCGGCAATGAAGAAGACCAGCGTCAAGAGGATCCTTGCGCTCTCGACGCCAGCGTGGTTGGTGAAAGAGCAGCAAACGGGACCCAAGGGTGCTGAAGGCGAGACGGTCGAGTTCGATAAGTTCCCGTGGTCATGGTGGTTGGCGATGAAGGTTCCTCCACTCCTGATTCCTCAGGGCCACAAGGAGATGGAACAGATCGCCCGGCGGGTTGTAGAAGAGGGTCAGAGCGGAGGGTGGGGACTGAAGTGGACCGTCTTCCGCGTGCCTCATCTCAACGCCGGGGGTGCTGATGAGAGAGTCAGTGCCGGGATATTCGGGCATGGATTCGTGGGCACCCGTGAGCTGAGCCGGAAGAGCATGGTGAACTGGGTATTGGAGGAGGTTGAGGCCGGTGAGTGGATCAACAAGGCTCCCGCTATAGGGAATTATTAGTTCTCAGGAAGTAGTTGGACTCTTGAGACTTGGGCGGCGGTGGAAGACCTGTGAAGGCTCTCTGTTTCCCTATCCTCCCTTTACTTCACTAGGTCATCCTTGAATATTCACTCACAGCCCACAATACTGGCAAAATAAAAGCTACCCCCCCCCAGGCTTGAACCCTCAACTTCTCAAGACGCCAAAAACGGATTTGGCACAGGTGATGATCTAACCCTACAGTCCTCAATAGAAACGAACCCCCCAGATCCCGCTGAAACCTCTCCTATAGATGGGCTGTCCAGAATGTAATAGTACCTTCCCCCACTTAAGGGCTCTCGATTACAACCTTCCCATCCAGGAGGAGGCCCCACCGCCAAACCCGCATACAAGACGCCCGAGAGTAGGGGGATTTTTACACGGTTGCACTACTCTGCCTGAAGCGCTGTATGTTGAGGGGAGTTCCGGGAGAATAAAATATCAAGTCGTGAATGCATCCATGTAGTGAATGGCTTGGAGGGCGTCAGGAGGGTGCCTGTAGGCCTAGAGGACGTGGCATTAAATGAGTCTTGGCACGTCCACATTTGATGAGGATCTCCGTGACGGTGAGGTGGTGGTGCCACTCTATGAGTACGTCTCAATGACACTCGCTGGTTTGCTATACCTGCCAATAGGAACGTATTTGATGTCGTCGAAGCCCATCGAGCCTGGTCCGCCTAGTTCAAGTCCCCGAGGAGTGTCGGTCCATCTGGGCGAGGCGGCGATGGCTATCACAGTCACCCTCAAGCCGTACTTGTACTCCGGTGTTCCCAATCCAGTTCCTGTTTCTGAATCAAGTACCGCAACCAAATCTGGGACAGCGGCTAGGATCGATGCTTTGCCATCTTTTGCCGTGGTCGCCTCGACAAACGCATTCTCATTCTTGAAAGGAATCTTGATGATGGCTTTTGAACCATCCTCCAGCACGCCGTCAATCTCCACGATCCCATATGTATGTCCAGTCTTGAGCACGCGCTCAACACTGGTGATCTTTCCTTCGGCTAGGACCCTTGCGCTCTCAGAACCACCAACTGCTTCGATGATCCGCTTGGCCTTGTCCGTTACATTCTTCTCAAGTGCGATGGAACGACCAACCAGCCAGGCCAACGAGACAGTGTTCAATATGGCCTGTTCCTGGACCATTTTGGCTGATTTAAGCGGCCCTGCTTTTCCGGCTCGACAACCCATCTCTACAACGGCTGCGCGAAGGGCTCGGTCAACTAACCTGTCTGTCCGAGAGCCTGTCATGGTCATGAACGACCCATCGCCACTAGCGATAGTCGCTGGCAGGAGTCCGCCTCCTTGCCCATCCCCATACACATTAGCAGTTGTCTGCCAGTCTGTCGGGTAGGCACGCCCCATGAAATCAGCGTCGACACAAGTCACCCCGTGCGCGGCAGCGACCTCAAGATTGACAATACCATTTGCGCCGCCAATCTCCAGAGCCATGAAAGCATCGGCGGGTGGGTATCCCACGACTCGAGTCAGCTCGTCGTGAGCCTTGTTGCACTCGTTCGATTCCATGCGCTCCACACTCACCTCAGGGCTTCCAAGGCAGCCCGTCCATCCAACCATCGCTGTCTCAGCGAGATCTGTGGGCGATACAACTCTGATACTCTCTGGGGACTTTTCAAGGACTGACTTGATTTTGAGGTATTGTTGATAGGGATCACCACCACCCCCACACCCTAACACCTTGCAGCCTTCCGCAATCCATTTGAGATCTGTAATTGAAATGATCCACTCTCTGTTTTGAACCTTCGGTATGTATGTCTCGATGTCGACTACTTCAGGGGTGCCCGATGGGTTTGATCCAACAGTTGCAGTCTCCTTGACTTTCTGGCGGGGTGTCTCTGGCAAGGGAGACAGTTCCGTTGCTCCCTCTTTATTCTGTTTGACGGCGTCAAGCACCCCAACAGCTCGGATCAGGATTCGTGCCTTGGCGTCGACGTACTGTATTGGGAGTACGGTAATTTCTGCTATTTCGACAGTGTCACGTTGTGCTCCATTCATGACAGCTGCGTCAATGGCTAAGTTGGACACTTCCTTTTGTGCTTCCTTAAGGGGCTTTTGTGACGTATCGACCACCGTATCCACAACCCCCGACACCCTCGATATCGCTGCCCCAACAGCATTGGCGACCTCTCCGCCTTTGACCTTGCGAACAGCGCGAACCCCCGAGAGGGGTCTATCAGTGTCGACGACTATGGCGCCTCCTCCAACAATCAAGACATCGATATCCCCTTTCTGTACCTTAGTCCTATCTACCAGCTCTTCAATAGTCTGGCGCATCCTATTCTTCGCCGCACTAATAGTCTCCGCCGTGAGTTCTCCCAGGAGATCCGGGCTCCCAAGTCCCTCCAAAGGATTGTTACCAGTGGGAGCACGGAGCTCAGATGCAGCTACGATATCAGTTGCTGTCAGAACATCACCCCCGAAGAGACGGGCCCTTCGCAGTAGGTCGAGAGCCACACTATCAGGTCCGATAGTGAGACCCGAGTCGGTTCCTCTGATAATACTTCCCCCGCCGAGTCCAACACTTTCGACCGCTGGTAATGCAAAGTTTGTGCGAACTCCACCCACAAGGCTCATCACAGAACTCATTCTAGGTAGGCCATTGGGTAGGAGCAGCCCACTGTCAGATGTTGTTCCGCCAATATCGATCACCACAAGGGCATCTTCGCGCACAGGCTGGCTCCTGCCTGCTTCGTTGCTGGCAGTACTCCAAAGAAATTCGCCACCACGGATTGAGTTCGTCGGGCCTGAGTTGAAGGTCCTGATGGGTAGGTCAATGGCATCAGGTGCACTTAAAACACTGCCATCGTTCTGGGTCAAATATAATGCGCACGTGTTACCCTGGAAAATCTCTTGCACGGCTTTCTGAAACCCATAGATTGTCCTTTCAGCGAGCCTTCTCAAGGTCGCGTTGAGTATCGCTGCATTTTCCCGCGCAAGGAACCCCAAGGACGATATACGATGCGACAGAGTGACTCTCGGCCGAACCGAGAGATTGCGAGCGGCGCAGAGCTCTTCCATTCTTTCAAGAAGGATCTTTTCGGCTTTGATTTCTTGTTCCGGATTCAAGGCCGAATAAATGCCCGAAACAACAACGTCAAAAATCTCATCATTAACCAACTTTTCTGCAACTTGCCTTATCTCGCTACTTTCGAGTGGCGAGATCTCAGTACCTGATATCTGGTACCCGCCTTGACAAAAGTATGGCGTCGCGGCGATCAAGTGACGCAGATCCTTGGGGAAGTCAACGAACGGCGGCACACCGAGGCCAAAGCCATCTGTGCTACCTCCACAAAGTCGAACGACTCCGACGCGTTGCAGCTCCGACGATCTCTGCACAACAGCGTTCACGAAATGGGTAGTCCCGATAATAACGCAGCTGATAGAGTCTAATGGGACATTGCTTGATTCGATGATAGCGCGGACCGCCTCCGTGATCCCAGTGGTCACATCTAGCGAGGTCGGCGCCTTGTGTGAAGCGATTATCTGCGTTGGCGACAGTGAGATAAGCACGGCGTCGGTGTTGGTACCTAATAGCAGGAAGCGTCAATGGAGAAAATCCGATATAGTTGGCAATGCACAGCGCCGCACCTCCAACATCAACGCCAATGCGAAATTTGTCGGACTGGATTTCAGTCCTGATGCTGCCCATGATGTTATGATAGTCAGATACAATCTGCTTTCCCAAGGTCACAACATGAGATACAAACGGATCGACGCGTGTCTCTTTAAGGCATTTCTACCCTCAATCTCGGTGGAAAACAATCACTAAGAGGGTGTCACAAAGTCACTCCAGTGAGGGGGAGTTGCCCGATATTCCCCTTTGTAACTGTAACTTGGATCTGCGGAGTAGAGCGATTGTGGAGCCGCGGGCGCCTTAGGCAATGATGCTCTGGAACCACCATAATGGAAAGCAAAATCTTGTCTTGGAAGTGTCTCTATGGCAGTATGGTGCGTCTCCTGGTGAGAGCTTGTCGCGTGGAGAGTTCTCTTATCGTTCAATCAGCGACAGAACAACATGGCCATGCGTTGACAGGCGAATTTATTTTAGCTCCACCGTTGGAAGTTTTTCTTGCCGAAAAAGCATCGCGTGGTTAGACGGTGAGGCTGATGCAACTCGCTTTGGGATCGGCGACCCTTGGAAGTCCAGCCGTAAGACGCTTGGCCGAGGTAAGGGTATGAGCAACACCTCCAGGGGTCTTCTATGGTCGGTTAACTGTCACCCACCTGTTCTTCTCACTCACTTAATAAGTAATCAAACTTAACGATAAAGGGCAAATACGTGTTGTGATTCTTGTAGCTCGCGATCGCTAAGAAATGCATGTCCGATATCATTTCTGAAGGAAGCATGTGTGCACTCTGATCGTGGCTAATGGCTGGATCAGGTTTTACGTATCAAGATTAGTCAATGTCTGCACGCATTTATTCTAGCCCGAGAGCCGTATCAATGAGGAAGCAAACTGGGGTTCCCAGATTTAGCCGTCGAAGACTTGTCCTTCGTCCTTCAGCGCACTCCAGCATCTGAGATCCTATCCCACAGATGCGGTTGAGATATTGGCAATCGGGCAACTCACATTCCGCTATCACCAACAGCTAGCCTTGGCAAGTGCTACTAATAAGCCACCCCATGATTAATCCCTTTCTTTGTCTACTGCTGACTTAGCCGATGCGGAGCGGGTTCATGAATTAGCTTGTCGGCCAACTTTGACTTCTGCGATTAGCTAGGGAGGGGCTTCCGCGATAGTTTATCAGTTCAGTTCCTTGAAATTTTAGCGCTGAATTCACCCTCCAACAGGTCTGGAAATCTGAATGTCAGGCAATCTCTATGATTCAGTTGTCCGATCCTGGTCAAGGAAGTTGCAAAGGTTCGGAACACTTAAACGGGAGTACAGCATGAGACTTAAGATCAGATAAGACACTTGACTTGCAAAAGGGTTGTTTTTTTTATTCCGCATATCGTGCCGACTAATTCTAGGAACAACGACTAGGCAATCTAATACGCCATGGCCATCAAACCAGCAGAACTTGCCATCCCTATCATCAATCTTGAGCCTCTCCGGTCAGGGACGCCTGAGCAAGCCCTTGACACCGGAAGGAACGTATACGACGCTTTTCGAGGCGTGGGATTTGCATATATTAAGAACCACGGCCTACCTCAAGAACTCTTAGATCAGGCATTTGAATGGGTAAGATTTCACCCGATCAGCCATCCACACTACATCACAAGCACTCACTCACATTTGATAGAGCGCCAAGTTCTTCGCGCTCTCGCAATCAGACAAAGACAAGGCGCCACATCCTCCATATGGTTGGTGGCACCGAGGATACTCTGGCGTAGGCCGAGAAAAAGTGGTTCAAATGGTCTATGACAAGGAATCCATCGCGGATCTGCGCAAATGTCCTGATTTCAAAGAGTCCTTTGAGCTAGGTCGAGAGGATGACGAGCGCACTCCAAACATCTGGCCACCGGAGGAAGTCCTGCCTGGGTTCCGCGACTTTTTCAACAGGTTCTTCGAAACCTGCTACAAAATCGAGCTGGACCTTCTCCGTGCGATTGCTTTGGGCATGGGTCTTCCGGAGAACTTCTTCCAGGAGTATCACACCAAACGAGACAACCAAATTCGACTGTTGCACTACCCACCCGTCGAGGCAGAGTTGCTTCGTAACGGGAGCATGGAACGGATTGCAGCGCACACGGATTTTGGAACCATGACACTCCTGTTCCAGGACCAAGTCGGTGGATTGGAGGTTGAGGATATCCACGAAAAAGGCAAATTTAATCCTGCACCGTTTATACCTGGAACGATCGTTGTCAACATCGGCGACTTCTTGCAACGATGGAGCAATGACACTCTGAAGTCCACGCTTCATCGTGTCAGAGCGCCTCCGCTGGTCGAAGGGATAACAAAGGCCCGGTTCTCTATCCCTTACTTTGTCACTGCAGATCGTGAAAAAACCATCGACTGTATCCCTGGGTGTGCCAGTGAGGAGAAGCCGAAGAAATACGAGCCAATTAATGCAAGGGAATACATTGAAATGAGATTGAATGCAACTTATTAAGTAATAACTGTTTTATGGAGAACTCCCATTGGTGATGTCAAATCTGCATTGAGTCCTTTCCCTTGGTAGAGCTATATTTTGTCATAATAGCAGTATTTACTTAGTGTCTTGACCGAACAATAAGTTCTTGTGTGATGTATTAGAAATTTCAAACGCTTGGTCCTCGACGGTGTCGTACTAAAACCCACTACATGGACTGCCTTTCTATCTAGGGAGGGGACGAAATATCAGGGATAGATCCATGAGCTACGTATACAATCTCAGTTACTCATCATCTCCAAAGAACACTTTAATGGGCATCCACGAATCATGCACAACCTTGAATCGCGTCCTAATACCGTCCAGAGCCCGCATCTCATCCTCATTCAATTCCCACCCGTCAAGTTGAAAATTTCCCTCGATCCTCTCCAATGTGACACTCTTAGGAATGATGCTGGTGCCTCTCTGGAGGGACCACATGAGCCTATCAATTACGTCAGCATTTTGTCCAGAGAGATGATACGCGCACTTACAAAATTTGGGCAGGACTCCTGCGCGTTGCATGGGCTATCTGAGATAGAACAGGCTCCTTGTACAACGGATTGTCTGAGGCACCGCCGAGGCAGGAGTAAGCCGTGCAGTGAATCCCCTTTGATTTACAGTACTCCATTAATTTAGGGCTATGAAGATCAGTCAACCGAGCTATGCATGAGAGAAGATAAATAGGATCGGAAACTTACGAAGGGTTGCCTGGGTGTAGTTCTATTTGATTCACTGCAGGTATCACCTTACAGGAAGGGTCGGACAGGAGCTTCTCCAGGTGACGGATCTGGAAATTGGATACACCGATATTCCTGACTTTTCCTGTGTTGAGAAGCTTCTGCATTTCTTGCCTTGAGGATTTTGAGTTAGAGATACCTGGCTTCACTAGTCGTGGTTGCAAAAGCTTACCATGTCTTGATGAAATCCCAATCTGAGAGATGCTTCGTTGGATCTTCTGGGTCTGTTGAGCATGGAAAGTGGACCAGGTATAGATCGATATACTCGATCCCTAGGTCCTTCAAGGATTTGTCGAAACCCTCACGGACCCTGTGATGCCACGGGTTATCTAGCTTAGTTGTCACCCAAATCTCATTTCTGGGGACCCCTGAAGCTCGAATTCCTTGTCCAACCTCAACTTCATTCTGATAATTGAGTGCAGTGTCTATGTGTCGGTAGCCTTTTTGAAGAGCGTGACTGACGGCTGTCCGCACCTGGTCCGGTGGTGATTTCCATGTTCCGAGCCCTATGGCTGGCATCTTCGCGCCGGAATTAAGGGTGAAAGTTGAGGAAGTGTGGTTGAGGGCCGCCATTTCTGAAGATGTCTCGATACCGTGTGGCAATTGTAATTCAATAAACTTCCAAATTTGATAATTGCTACCAGGGCTCTCAATTTCTTATACTCGCACCAGGCTAGACGTATTAGCGCTACTCTGATGCTGGAGCTTTTTATGTCACAAGAGTAAGGCTCGGACTAGGTGGGCGCCGCGTCCAAGTTGCTGGGGATGGACAGTTCATAGATCCGCTCGGTCAGGGCTTGATTCGGCGACCTTCGATTCTTATTGGCTTTAGTCTATTCTTCCTGTTACACCAATGGTATTTGGATGACAATCGTGCTGAGGTGGTCGCTTAATCGTCCCTCCCAATCGAGACACTTCGGAAAAGTTTCGGCGGAGACCTATTGTAGATAGAGTTGTTGCGACAACCGAATTTATGTTTGCCACTATTTGAACTTGACCGAGAACACTAACAGCACATTTCAAGGCTTCACCCCTAAGATCCTATTGCATTCCCGTCTTGAGGGGGTGTCGATATACCGTTGTTCAGGGGTCGCTTATCTATCTATCAGCCAACGTCGGCTACGATCGGCCAACATGTGAAGTTCCACAAGATCTCCGCACCAGATCGGCCAACTCACTCGTTCCTTAGCTGCCACATATCACTGCAATCGCTCAACAACCAGCTTGGATCAGCAGCCTCTCCGAAGCCACTGTTAAATATCTCCGAGTCATCTACATATGTTCCGATGGTTCCTGCCCCAGTTTTAGACCCAACCTGACGAGTTTCTGTGACATCAAGTTTTTGTTTGTCTCCTCTAAATCCACGCAGTGAATGCCATCAATATCCCATCGACCTCAGACATGGGCCTCAAATGGACACAACTAAAAGAGAGACTACAGGTGTACGTTTGATCTTTGGGAATGACTTGTTATTGAGGCCAGTTGCTCACATCGACCTACAGGCCCATTGACAAAGATTCTTACTATGAAAACACAACATGGTGCAACCGGGATCTTATCCCGATGCCTTCAGAAAGGCGGACATGGGGTATATGGGGCTACTTCGGTACGTTCGACGTGATGAAATGAAACCGGCTAGCATTGTGTTTAACGATCAATCGAAGGCTATTGGACCGTCTCGGGGTCCTGTATCTCTGCATGGTCGACAGGAAGCACTTTGCTCGCGTTTGGTCTGAGCCCACCGCAGGCTATTGGAGTTGTGGTGAGCAGAAGAATGCAGTCATTGATGTGAAAAAGCTGATGACAGGAAAAGATTGTCGGAGGACTTCTTACAGGCCTTCTTGCCGTGGCATGTGGTTGGATGGGAGAGAATCACCACATTGGCTTCACGGTTTCCTCTCGCTTCTCATGGGGAATGAGAGGGAGCTACTTCCCAGTAGTATTGCGAGTATTTGTTGCTTGCATTTGGTTTGGCCTTCAAGCCTACTGGGGAGGACAAGCGACCAGAGTGCTTTGGGGTGCCATTATCCCCGGTAGTTTGCCCCCCTCTTGAATTCTCCAGATGGAGATCTTGCCGCTAACACAACTGAACAGGTTTTGCACATATGAGGAACTATTTCTCTGAGAGCTCTCATCTGTTAACGAACGATTTCATTGGCTTGATTATCTGGATGTGTGCTTTCATCCCGCTGGTCTTAGTTCCACCTGAGCGACTCCAAGTGCCCTTCGCCATTTCATTCGTCCTCTTTGGAAGCTCTTGTATAGGTATCCTGATATGGTAGGTTCTTGAATACTGTGGTGGCGCTCTGCTTCTTGCTGATATATGTCAGGGCTGTACATAACGCTGGCGGACCTGGAACTATGTTCCACGAGCCTGGAGATACGGAGAATGTTGGTTGGGCATTTATGTTCGGCATCACAGGTTAGTTTTGACTCGCTTCTTACTTCGGCGTCCGCTGTCTCATCATTTTCCAGCGATCCTGGGCGCATGGGGTGCTGGAACTCTTGGTCAATCCGATTGGACTCGTTACGCCAATCGCAAGTTTGCGCCGACTTTGTCACAATTGGTTGCGGCGCCGATCACTATTTCTGTCACTGCAATCATAGGTATCATTGTCACAAGCGCTGCAAAGGATGTCTTAGGTGACATTATCTGGAATCCAATTTACTTGCTCGCAGACCTGCAAGAGGAATACCATTCAAGCCCCCGATCTCGCGCTGGAGTGTTTTTTGCAAGCTTGGGGCTTGTCAGTTCACAGCTCGCTGTAGGTTCACCATATTTACGACTGTCATCAATTGGAATACTAAATGATACAGATATCTGTTGTCCTGAACTCCGTATCAACGGGGATGGATATGGCCGGCCTCTGCCCGAAGTATATCAACATTGTCCGAGGAAGTTATATCATGGCGATCATCGGCATTGCATGCCAGCCTTGGCAGCTGGTCAGTACGGCTGATAGATTTCTCAAAGTCCTCTCAGGTTTTGGCGTATTTATGGCACCAGCAACGTAAGTGTGATGACGCGATCAGACATGAAAGTGTTGAGTTCTAACTTCCTTGGATAGCGGAGTTATGCTAGCCGACTATCATGCCATTCGCAAAGCTAAGTTGAAGTTGAACGACCTTTACACCGGTAATAGTTCTTCTATCTATTGGTTCAACAAGGGTGTGAATTGGCGTGCTATCGTGGCCTTCCTTGCGGGAGTCTGGCCTCTTCTACGTAAGTTTCTACCACAATATCGAGTCGGCAGTCTAACAAACCCTGTCCAGCTGGTCTCGTTGGAACGGTGAACGATATCACAGACCCAAACTTTGTCGGCTGGATTCGTCTATACAATTTGACCTTCATCATCGGTCTTGTAATTAGCTTCTCGGTTTTTTGGACTCTGAACTTTTTCTTTCCACCCCCAGGTCTTGGGGAGGAAGCTCCTTTCGTGGGCGATGGTGTATTGTATGGTGTAGGCGAAGAAGCTTCTGTGAATAGCCAGAAAGAACTCGAGAATGATACTGACAAACATGCCGCAGTGGCGAGCTTGTCTACCTGAGAGCGCGGCGTTCTAGAATCTTAGCTCAAAGAATGATGCATCAAGAGGCAGATCGGACTAGTACTGCTTTGAGTCAAGCTTCCATTCATATTTGAGGGCGATGAATAAGAGCAATCGTTGAGGCCATGGTAGTCAAATAATGCGATTATCAGTGGTGTTGCCCTCATCAGTTGGTTGGTTTCATGGTTAAGCTCCTCTGCGCTGTGCATACCGCATATGCCGCCTAGTGTATCCGCACTCTTGGTCAAAGGTGGGGATGACAAGAACCACTCAGTGGGTGACCGCCAAATGCTAGATAACGAAGGCATTGCCAAGGATCTTTAGCTATCATACCTTCATTGACCTCGGGCCTCCTCTCGTTAGCAACCTCTTCGTATATTTTCATGCTTCTACTCTTAGAGTGGAATGTAGAACTACCTACGTACAGGAATCTTTGGCGCTCAACTTAAAGGCGTCCAATCGTTCCATTTTTATCGCGAGTTTCGCGCTTATGGTCCTGGAAGCGAAAGGTGGCGATCCTCGGGACCGTCGTCGGGATGCCACAGTCCCCTTCAAATAACGAGCCGCATAAGAAACGGCGTTTCAAAATCCAGAGCGAATTTGGAAATGCCCGCCAATGGAGGAGCCGTAAAAGTCGGCCCTGCGACATCTGTCGAAAGCGAAAGACTGCGTGTGTTATCGAAGATCGGCCACCTTGTGAGTAGTTTGCCGCACGAAGCTGACGTAAAGCACTCATTCTGATCCTCAAGGCCTGTTTTGCAAAGGAAGAGGACTGGATTGTACGTCTTCACTCGAGCCTCAGACAGTAGTACAACGATTCTCAAGTCTCCCAAGTTTGGACCAGGATGAGGAGCCTCCCGTTTCACTTCAGACTCCAATAGACGGTCCTCCCCCTGAGAGTCCTGTCTTCCAGGAGCATATCACCCCTAGTAGTGTCGAGGTCGACCACACAATGTTGTCTCCCGCTACTAGTGTCGAACAAATGAGGCGGCGCGACCACTTTGTGAATCTTTATCCCAGTACACCAAGCAGACATGAGGGTAGCCTAGAACCTAAAATTTACACCCTCGAGGACAACAAGAACCAAACAGCACATTCAATGGGCTTATCTGCGGAACAGGACACCAACCTTCTGGCAACGTATCGCTCTGTCATTATCAATGAAAGCAACCGCGTTGCTGGTGACATCATCAAAGTTTACCCAGGCAATGTTAGTGCTGGGGCCCCACCACTGCATTTCTACATCCTCAGCGATCTGTTCATGCCGTATGATAACTGTTTGAAGGAAGAATGTTCACAGCTTATTGAATCTAAGGTCGAATACCATGGCCCGAGCCTTGTGCGTCTCTACTTCAGATATGTTCACCCGGTCTACTGCATTGTCTCTAAAGTGCGGTTCCTTCGGTCGTATAAAGAGGACAGATTTAGCATTCCAGCATCGCTGAGGGGTGCCATATATGGACTTGGTGCAGTCTTTTGGAACCATGACCCCGAGCTGAGCGCAATTACTCGCCCATTTGAACAGTATGAACTGTTTCAAGCCGCTCAAACATCGCTCGAGAGGGAGCTTGAGGCCCCCAACTTATGGAAAATGCAGGCATGCTTACTCATGCTCCATGAAAGAGCTGCTGGTAACGGCGTATTTGAGACACCTCGGACCTGGACACTGTCTGCTCAAGCAGTCGCTTGTGCACAGATGATAGGCCTTCACCGTGACCCATCTGAGTGGAACATCGCATCATGGGAGAAGAGTCTCAGAAAGAAGTTGTGGTGGGCCACCTACATCACTGATACGTGGTCATCAGTTTCGCACGGCAATCCTCCCCACATCCACAAAGACTTCTATGGAACCTCTAATCTTGACATGGAGGACTTGAGATATGACGAAGATGTCCCTGAAGACCTCCAACACATGGTTGATATCTCAAGTACTTGCTTCGAGGTCTCCACGGCTGCTCGGTTTCTGGAGCTAGTAAAACTTACCCAAATTCTTGGAGGTTTGCTGGATGCCTCATTGTGAGCCATAGTTTTAGAACACACCTTTTACTGAGCTAACGAAGAACCAGTTCTGACCACTCATATCACGATGCAGCACAAGATCCTTCTTTACAGGGAGGGAAACTCCTCCAGATCCAATCCCAGCTCAAGTCCTGGCATTCGCTGATCCCACAATGTCTTACCATGACTTATACCACAGACAGAGCCAGCTTTCACAACAATTGTGAGTCCCCGGGCGGCCATGAATTGCACTGGTATTGCTCTTGATCCTAATGAAGGCGTAGGTCCACTGCATCTTGCCTATTTCGCGACCCAGGTCTTGCTTCTTCGGGCTTTAATGTCACCTGGCTCGGCTGCTGCGAAGAATGACCCGCAGTCATCCCTTCGCCGGTACTTTCCGTTAGCGATAGAACAAATGGGCTATTTTCTAACGTTCACAAACGAGATCACACTTGAAGCACTTCAGTCATTCTGGGGTCGACGTGAGTTCTCTTCCAGCACCCTGTCAAGGCGACAAGAGATCTGACTGACTACCATTAGATGGACGTTCCCAATTTATTTTAACTGGCAATTTCTTGATATACTTATTCCTCCTTTCGTCGAATCCATGGCAAGTCCGTGAGACGTACCAAATGCTTGAGCTTTTCCACGAATCGCTTCAACGGATTCGTGGCCTTGTGGATGAGGATTCGGTGCCCTTGATCCGACCAGTTGCGCTAAGAATCGATTCATTCTTCACCCAAGCCGCGCAAAATATGAGAAATTCTGGAACAGGTCCTTATACTGCACATGAAATAGTGGAGACTCCTCCATGAATGGAGGGCTTGGAGATGGAGGTTCATCTTAGACATGTTCGAGGGTTAGCCTCGGTTCGTACAATTCGAGCAAGCGCCATCTTCTGTCAATGGCGTCCCGTGTAGAGACAATTACACAGACTTTGATCAGGCGAATCCATGTGAGGAGCAGACACACAATTTAATACTGAAGAAGAATACACCTAAGACAATATATCAAAATGTAAGCATGATCTAGGGAGCGGACAAAGATCGCTACTACTACTATACAAGTAAGTAGTAGTTCGGTGGTGGTTGCAAAAGCCGCGTGGGTGCTCTAGTTAAAGCCGATCTTGCTTACCGAACCCTGCCAAGTGGTACTTGAATCCTCCGCTTCCCCGGGTTTCGACATAATGATCAGATCTCCCAAACCTGAATGTGCGATGTTGGAATCACAGGTAGTCGTAAAGGAATGTTTCTCCGCCAACTACCCAGTAATTCATTTCAAGAAGGAGACAAGACAGTCATTTAAGAAAACTAGTGTATTGAGACGATCGCAATACGTCAATCAGGCATTGTAAGTCCTGCACACTTGAGTCAACTCTGTCCTTAAGTCCTCTTCTGAAAGTTGGGTAGCGACCGTTGTAAGCGACGGGAGGTCAAATGTGACGGTGACCACCCTTGTCGGAGATGTGCAGGTAAATCCTCCGCCTGTGTCTATCAGGACAAGCCACTCTCGCATTCGTAAGTTCGACATGGGCTTACAAGGGATCTCTTTGACCATGCATAGAATTACCACTTCAAGAACCGAGAGGCGTGTCACTTTGGTCCAACCAGGGATTATGCCGCCACAGAATGTCGCTGCCACTATGGATACCCATCCAAGTCCTGACATAGACTCACCACGACGTACTGAAGGTTCAACTTCAGTCATCAATTCCCTGAGAATTCAATGCGCGCAGGGCATTGATGTGGAATCGCCAAAATTTTGTGGGCCCTCGAGCTCAGAGTACACTTTGAATGTAGTCAGCGGAAATCTCAAGGTGAAGGGTGTCCCAGTGGCCATTCTTGCGAACTCAAATTCAGATCCAACAACGTCGTTTGAGTCCTCGAATTTAGGGCGTCATGGACCTTTGACAAAGATGATATCTTTGGATCCTCTATGGGACTTTACGAAGGACAGCGCCATAAGCCTTGTCCATGACTGGCGCGACAGTGTTGGCCTGCTTTATCCGATTGTAAGCCGTTCTGACATGTTGAGGACTACCGATACAGTGTTTGAGATCATGGAAAGTGCACAGAAGGATGGATTACAATCTAAAACCATTGTTGTCGCGGAAGCTCTTTTCCACGACGAGACGAGTCAACTTAAAATGGTGCCAGCAATAGGTCGCACACTAGCCTACGGAGGGAGAAATGAGCAAGCGCAAAAGCTATATGAAAGTATCTCAGAGGTGATGGAAGGGGTGTTCTTGAGCCCTCCAGATATTCGGGGAACTCAGCTTCTCACCCTTGTGGTATGGCGTGCGGCCCCTCCCTCTTGCCTAGCTTGAATGCTGATATTTGAGCAGGCTCAATATCATTACCACCTTGACGACGAACACAGAAATGGTCGGATCAACAGCCTCGCCGCTAGAATATGTCTGGAAATGGGCTTGCATCGTCGAGAAATGATGGATGGGAGGTTTTCAGATCATGAAAGTCGGCTATTGGCTTTCTCCGAGCCTTCTTTTCTGTCTATATGTTTGAGCAGCGGGTAAGCCTTGGGTTAGGGATCCCATTCTATATCCATGACTCATACCTCGATCCGTCACTGTTCGAAATGGTAGCTTCAGTCCGTTGTCCGTTTGTCTCAAACCCTGCTGATAGCCCCCTGCAGGTGGAAACTGACCTAAGCCTGGTCATTTTTCTTCGCTGGACCAAGCTCTCTGGAAAGACCTGGGAGACACTGGACAGCCACAGTGAAAAGGGATCTGAGATCAGACATGAAGATTTGAACTATCTACGTTACCAGATTAATCAATGGTATGAGCAGGCTGGTGACAATCTCAGATTAAGCCCGATCAGGTCCGAACGGCAGGCACAGTATGCAAATGTTCAATACCTACAAGTCGTCTTGTTCGTTCGCAAGAGCCACCTCCTCAATTTGATTTATCGACCTGTACTACAGTTGTCCTCACGCATTAATCGCAACCTCGATAAGGCCAACGCAGGGGTAAGAATTGCGAAAGAGTCAATACAGGTCGTCTCTGAGCCAAATGAGCATCCTGTTCTGATTCAAAAGCACGCACTATTTTTCTATGGGCTACGATATGGTTTTCGATGTTCCTTCTCTCGGCTGGGAATAGCCTGATTACTTGATATCGAATCTATTCGGTGTATAAATCTCAGTCAGCTGAGTCATTTAGCTGTGATATTCCATTTAATTACAACACAGGCAAACTTAGTCCGGAACTAGTGCCGCGATTTGATTCCGAGGTGGACACAGTAGACTTCTCTCGGGAGGAGTTTCTATGAATAACAATCGAAAATCAGTTCAAGGCTTCTAAGAACCTCTAGCATCTCCCGCGTTTCTATTGCGTTCCACAACCACCCCGGCGAAGTTCCGATGAGCATGAACCGATGAGCTCATCGGCTGAGCATTTGGAATTGGATAGCCGTGGTCCAATTATTCAAAGATCTTCCTAGGGGGGGACTCAATAAAATGAGAGTGAGAGCTTGTCGAGAGAGATACTGTTGTGGCTCCTGAAAATTCACCACAATCTTTCCCAATACAAGCAAAGCAATGGCGACAGCGAGTCTCCAAATGACCGCGAAAACAAGTTCGAAGTTTATGGGCCTTACAAGTACTCTTATTATTGTTCTTCTGTGCTCATGTGTCATATATTATTGCTATTTCCATCCTTCGGCCAAATACCCGGGTCCATTCTTTTCCTCCTTCACCAACTTGTGGAAAGTGCATCAATTATGGTCATTACGCATGCCTGAAAGGTTGAGACAGATGCACGAGACATACGGAGATATAGTCCGAATCAGGAAAAACGATCTATCATTCAGCAACGGAACTGCTGTTTCTGCAATATACAAGCAGGGCGCAGCCTACCAAAGGCAGGGTTCTACGATGGCTTCACCACGTTCAATCCTAATCTGTTCGGGACAAGGGATGATGAGGTAAATATTCCTGAATCTGCCTAATCTGCTATGTTTTTCTCTCCATGATAAGTCTGTGCTATTGCGCACAGATCCATGCCATACGTCGCCGACAGATGGCTAATGGCTTCTCCCTCCAATCTGTCGAGGATATGGACTCCTGTATCGATGGACATCTCACAAAATTGCTTGAAATCTAGCCTATGCGGCTAAGGGCGGGGAAGTCTTTGATTTCAAGGCGCTAATTGCCTTTTATGTCCTCGACGTTCTTGGTGAGCTTGCGTTCAGTCAAAGTTTCCATGCGCAGACAGAGCAGGTTCCAGAAAAACTACCGCCGATTAACGATCACACATTCCTCTCATGTTTGATGGGCATGATGCCAGAAATGTTGCCGTACCTTAAGATGATAGCAGCATGGACGCCTCTTCCATGGCTTCAAAGACTGTTTAAGGCGCGAGCACAGTTGAAAACTCTAACTGCAGATTGCGTTAAACGACGGCTAGTTCATATATCAGCGGGCTCAAGGATTTACTTTCCTGTCTGATCAATGCTGTCGATCCGGTGACGGGTACTAAACTGACTGAACTTGATATCAGTACGGAAGCGTTTGCCACGGTGTAAGTTTTACCGTTGAATGCCGTAAACTTGTGCTCAGCATCCACAGGGTCGCAGGGTCGCACACAACATCTGGGACTTTAACACTCTTGTTTTCTCAACTCCTCCAAAACCCCCCAGTTCTGGGGAAGGTAGTGGCTGAGATCGATTCCGATGCTTCTACTGTGCCTGGGAGACCAGTACAGATTACCGGCCTGGAGCAACGTCTACCATACTCCATGGCATGCATTCAAGAAAACTTCAGGGTTAATGCAGTGTTCACCATGCCTTTTCCCCGTAAACTAGCAGTTACCGGTGGCATTGAGGTTGATGGACATTTGGTACCCGAAAACGTAAGATCTCCTGATTAGCACTCACCTTTCCCGCAGCAGATTGCTAACCACGTTATATTTTCAGGCAACTGTTTTCAGTCTGAACCACGTAGTGCATTATAATTCAGCTATATGGGGCCCTAATACTTCCACGTTTGACCCGTCTCGTTCCCTTGGGCATCAATCAGAAGAGCTCAAGAGAAATTTGAGCCCCTTCAGCATTGGGCACCGAATGTGTATTGGGCGTAACCTGGCTATGACCAACATCTGAAAGTACTTGTAACCGTGCTCAAGAATTATAGCTTGGAACCGGTAGACCCCGGGGAAGAGATCTCAACGATTAGTGTGGGGATTTCGGAAAAGGACGGCCCGTTGCTGTGTCGCACGAAATGTAGATACTAGTCTATCAGCACAAGTTCGTTTTCACAACTCCAGGATGTGATTAATGTGAGAAATTTGAATTTCCGTACCAAGCAGTATTTCTCGTTGTCGAGATTTACTACTACAAAGTCACTCGTGATCAATGATAAAATATGTAGAAAGTAGATGCCAGGCCTTCCAAGCAATACTTTGGCCGTTTGTCAGATTTTTGTCGCGGAGAAACCATGATAAAACCAGATAGACTCGAAGCTGACACCCTCTCTTTCAAGTTGGCGTACCTTCGCGACTCCTACCTGGGTATTGTCTGAGTTCCTGGAAGGCTCGGCCCTGGTTCTTCTGTCGAAAAAGGATACCGAAAGTTGAATACGAAAGCGCCTTCAAAATCAGGGGCCTTGTGTCACATTTCTCGATTCCTTCTGCTTCTGACTGGTTGTCGACAGGTCTGTCCGGTGTCTTCCGGCGAAATAAGAGGCCAAAGGTCAACACGGAAAGCACCTTGAGTAATATCGACCGGTCGTCAGGTTGCTCAGTTGCTAGTACTTCCGTCCTGCCATCTCGTGCCAGATAGACATGATAGTTCTTGGGAAGATAGCGGCCAGGATTCCATATGTTCCACATGATGGAGTTGATGAGCATCAATGTTGCCTCAAAAATGTAGAAGTAGACTTCGAACCTCAAAATCGGGCTCAACTTCTTGAGGGAGTCAAGGTTGTCAAGCTCCACGGCAGTTGCACCTAAGTGCTCCACTAAGCGATAGATGCAACGGACAAAGATCAACGCCATACTGATATAGAGTGTGTTCAGAGGTGTGGAAACGGATCGTACCAAAATGCCTCTTTTGGAGCATCGGCGGTAAAAAACGGTCGCAAGGAGAACAAAAGTGACTATCGCTGCGAGTTGCATCGATATCGCCGCTATCGTCAAGCGGCTTCCTAGCTCTTGCGTGCTATCTGAGGAGGATGGATTTGCTGAGAGTGAGACTCCCAAGGAGTTCAACGCCTCGATAATTGCCATGAGACCACCGAACACCCTGAGGACTTTTCCAGGTGGAAGAGGTGCAGCATGAGGAACGTAATAAAACACTCGACCTAGGACGTGATAGTTGGCGAGTTCAAGCAGTGGCCTTGGTATGATAATGTTAGCACAAGACGACACAGAAGTACCTGGGGCACTAGTGGGCTAAGAGGTAGGGGATCACCTTACGGGGACACATATATGAAAACCTGACTGAGGATGAATACTATCAGATTCGAATCACTGTACAAGTAGTTGAATGCTCCATATTCTCTGAGAGCATAGCCCGCTGTAAACAAAATGGCACAGACTGAGTGTAGCCCAATGACTCGAAAGCATTTATACATGCTGAGTAAAGCATGTCAGTGCCATCGTAGAGAACATGGATGTGAGGGCCTGGGACATACTAGCATTGCCAGATGTGGCCGACCGCAGAGATACCGTACGCGATGGTAAAGATTATTGGTGCAACTTTGTTGGGAGCATAGACAAAGAGGCTCATCAAAACTATTATATATCAGTAAGAGCACAGCTAGCAGAAAACATGGGGGACTTACCAGGTTCGCCGGCTGCCATTGTGGAAAGAGAAAAACTTGAATATGCGACGATGAAAATCCAGTTCACAGATGGAATGATAAACTTTGATGATAACTTCTCAAGTATCCAAGTATCAGGAGGTAATTTTGAAAGGAGTCGCGAGCACATTATGAAGGTTTTTCCAGGAGAAAGACAGCACAGATGTTATACATCCTGTACAGGCAGCAGCCTTAAATGGCAGTCTCGAAACACATGGGTTTTGGCCAAAAATCCCCTGCTTATCGTCTCCTGCTTCATGTTGGTTGCGTGGCCGACGTGGTTGTACCCTTTGTGCATAAGACACTAGCAATATAGGTGCCTCTTCGATTGAGTACTTGAATTTCAGCGTAGTGGCACCAGTGAACAAATGGGAGGCTGGAACAGCGGCCCACGGTGGAGTGCAGCCAGTTGTCCATTATTAGTCTTATGAATTACCAAGCCACTCCGCTCAGAGCGTCATATTCCAGAGCTTGATAGCCAAGTCGCTGTATGATGAATCGCTGATCAGTGAACACACTATCGACATGCATTCTAGGATCGTGGCAGGGGCCCTGGTGGCTATGTGTTCCATGTGGCTAGCCGCTGGCTGATCTTCCAGGCAGCATCCTTTTCAATTGGCATTTGAGAAGCTATGGGGTTCTTAATGCTCTGCACCGACAAATCCAACACATTTTGCGGAATCGCGATACACCCAGCGCCATGGCGCTTAACCCGAATAGGAAAATAAGATAGCCAAGAATCTAAGATCTCGCTAGAGGTCTAGTGGGTTTGGGGCTTAAGGACCTCAGCCTTGTTGCTTTCGGTTAGGGCCTGCAGCTAAGATTGGGATTGAAGCCAGGCAGCAGGCTTAACTTCCTCGATACTTGAACGGCTTTTCCGCAGAGACGCCGGTTAGTTGTTGGATCACAATTTTCATCCCACATCGAGTTACACTTCGCCGATATAGTCAGTTTCCAGCTAGCTACAACCACCCTCGCGTCCCTCAAAGGCAGCCAAGAGACCTTGGGGAGGACAACTTTCCCACAAGGCCTGTCCGTACCGAGTAGTTTAGCACAGCCGGCGGTCCGGCAAATGAGCTGACGTCTCGTATACGTACATGGGAAAATCAAAGGACCACTGCTGGGAATGCCGGCGGCGGCGCTTAGTCTGCGACTCGCAACGTCCGGAATGCCAAAGATGTCTGTCTTCGGGAGCCCCATGCCCTGGGTACAATGGAGTGAAACCTGCAAGACTAAGATGGCTTGCACCTGGGCTGGTGAAATCTCGGAACCAACGGCAGAAGGATGCACCTTCCGGCTCCAGTGACAGCAGCCGAGAGAAAACAAGGACCGAGACACCTGCGCATGTGAACGGAAACATTACTAATGGAACTATTTCTTGCCTTCAGATCGGGACTGAACTATGTGCCTTGGCTGAGGCCTCAGAGTACTGTGAGTGACGCTCATCAGAAGCACATGCCGACGCGTTAGCTGTTAGCTAACCCGTGTACTCTAGATAACACCCGCATATACCAGGATATTTTACCGATGCAGGAGCTCGGACCAAACCCCTACATGCACTTCATCACCCCTAGCGTATTTCAATATGCCGCTGCATTGCCGGATCATGTGCGGCTGAGTTTCGTCTGCATGACTCTTAGCCATCGAATCAACCAAGCGAGCAATAACTTCCAGAGCCGGAGCTTAACGAGGAGGTTCTACCACTGCCGCGGTCTTGTCATCCGCTCTTTGAACGAGGACCTCACGCTGGACCATCGACTTAAAGGCGATGCCATTATTGCTGGTATCGTAGGACTATTGCTTCTTGATGTAAGTCATCATCTCCGAGAAAGCACACGCCATTCTGACCGAGACCGGCCTCACATTAGACCCAGCAGTATGTGACTCCAGATTGGCAATTCCATCTAAATGGGGTCTATCGGTTGATCAACTTGCGTGGCGGCATTCGAGCATTGACCAGCGTAAAGGGATTGGAGCCGTTGCTGCTTTGTTTGACATAGTACGTGGTTGTGGGCCAGGATGCCGATTCTTAAACATGAGGACTTACATGACTTAGTGTTGCAGTTATGCAGAACACGACATCGCCCGCTTCAGACCTGAGAATGACAGGATCTCACCTAGAAGATGTGGAAGCTCTCGTGAAGCGGTATGGGGATCGAAATTTCGCTTTTCAGATGTGCCCCCCCTCCTTATTCACCAAAATTGTGGCGATAAACCACCTACGCTGGCAAGCCACAACCGTTGAGGCAACTGAGTCGCATGGCCTTTCAAAAAGGGCGTATAACACACTAGATTCAGTTGACAAGTTCTCTCCCGAAGAGTGGGCTGCAGCCAAACCAGCGTCGAGTAAAAAGTGGACAATTATTGGAAGAGCTTTCCAAGCAGCTGTGGCCTTATATTGCATATCTTCGCTTCAGAGCGTCTCGATCCTACCCCACAGTCAGTCCCTGAGAGCTCGTTGCACAGCCCATGGCCAACTTTTGTATCTTCTGCTCAAAGATGCGCTCGTGGACCCACCTCTTAAAAGAGCTATGCTTTGGCCACTGGCTTTGCTCGGCATGGAAGCAGTCACAGGAAGCGCAACGATGCGTAATTTCGTTAAGAACCAGCTGACAGAGTTGAGTCGCGAATTCGGCACACATGTCCCATTGACGACGAGGGGTGTGCTTGAGCGGTTCTGGGAGTCAGGCGAGACGCGCTGGGATTCTTGTTTCGACAAACCATACATCTGCGCAGCGCAAATCGCGGTGGACTTCGGCGGGCTGGTGTGAGGTTCATAGTTTATAAAGGTCAGACGGACCTGTCAAGCCCCTGGAGTCGATCTTCCAAAATAGAATACGTAAGCCCCTTCGTGGGAAACGCCACCACTTCATCTCCACCGAGGCGCAGTTGGAGTCCTTTTGGAACCAAGCATCAATAGTCCGGGGAATACGGGGTCAACGCGAGGTTTAGAGTTTTTCCATCAGCTGCCACAATTGACGGGGAAAACATACCGAGGGTGGCTTGCTTTTCGTGACATCTGTCAAAAATTTCACACCTCGACACCTATTCACCCCTGAGCGCTCAGGGTGATGGAACGAAGATCATGGAACATTTTCAGGCACGACCGTGTCTTCCACAAACAACGCGACAAGGCACAATGATGCTCCGGCGACCAATATCTCAAAGATCAGTGTTGTTATTGATTTTTGTTTTCCTGATCGGGCTTTTCAGTGTAAGTGTTTACCGTGTTTCTCGCTTCGCATCGGCTAATTAATCGTCCTACCAGGGCGAATATATCAGCAATGGGTCTTCGTCTCGCTATAAATCGGTGCACGTGGAGAAAGTCGATGCATACTGCGACAAATTCAAATATCCTAATGACCTCGTGATCGTCGTGAAGACGGGTGCGAATGAAGTTTACGACAAAGTGCCGACCCAACTTTTAACGTCACTCAGCTGCTATCGGGATCTGCTCTTCTTTTCCGATCTGGAGCAACAATTTGGCGGCTATCATATCCACGACGCCTTGGAAAATGTCCCCATGACAGTCCAAAGGGGAAATGCGGAATTCAACTATTATTACAAACTACGATATTTCAAAAACCATGGTAAGGATGTCGGTAAACTACGCGAAACGGACGGAACGGCAGCCTGGGAACTCGATAAGTACAAGTTTCTTCACATGATGGAAGACGCGTGGAGATTGCGGCCTGGTCGGAAGTGGTATGTCTTCATAGAGGCCGACACTTATCTCGTTCAAGCCAATTTGTTCCATTGGCTCCGGCGTCTGAATCCAGCCGAATCACTGTACTTTGGATCGCATGCGTATCACAAAGCACCATTCGCACATGGTGGAAGTGGATTTTTACTTTCCGGGGTCGCACTGGCTAAATTTGTCAAGGGCGATCACGGAGTGATCGACATGTACGATGAGACGATGAAGAGCGAACCATTTGGAGACTACGTGCTCTCACAAGCCTTGGTGGCGCAAGGTGTCAATCTCACCAATGCTGCACCCATGCTGTCGGCGGAGAAGCCGACAACTCTTCCATTTGGTCCAGGGCCAGCCGGGGCGGATAGCCACTGGTGCCGACCTATTGTGACCATGCACCACATCACTCCTCAAGAAGCATCCTCACTATGGCAGTTGGAGCAACAGAGAAAAGACCCCACCGTAAGTACCAACCGTCACTCGACGAACCCCTACTTTGCATTAACGAATTGAATCATCAAGGCCCCGCTCCTCTACCAAGATCTATATACATCAATGATCAAGCCCGACATCCCAGCATCGCGAGACGACTGGGACAACCTATCCGAGCACTCATACGTGCGCCCTCCGGGGACGCCCGGCGACCGCCAGAAGCCGCTGGAGGGCATGTCGCCCATCCAGCAAGAAGCGCACCTCTCGTTCGAGAAATGCGGCCGCGCGTGCGAGGAGGACGAGCGATGCTTCCAGTACACGTTCTCGAACCACTCGTGTGGCTTCTCCTGGTTTTTCCGAATGGGCAACAGCCGGCGGCCCGAGGATGGGGTTTCTTTCCAGTCGGGCTGGAATCTAGAGAAGATCGCCAAGTATCAGGCCGAGCATGTCTGTACGGCTGCGTCGGCTAGGTGGGTGGATGCACCGAGCAAGCGGTAGGAGGAAATAGGCATTGGCATTGGCATTTGCGTAGACAGTGATTGGCAGTGGCATTCTTTCTCCGCGGAGAGCGGAGACGAGCGCATGAATGCATATCTAGATAACTACGATTTACATCACTACATAGCATAGGGAGATGAGCGGTAGCAATGTATATAGGCGACTGTAGCTGGGATTGCAGTTTATGACGTTTCCTACGTCGGTCTTGAAATCCAGTAGCTCTGAAACATTTAATCTAGCACGTAGTAAGAAAATATCCGACTCGACGTTACATATCTGATATAATGAAAGGTACCAGGCTTTGGTGCTCGATGCTAATCACGCAGACAGCAGCATGCATCCTCCTTCTCTTCGGCGTTTGTGGGTGGGTGGTCGTTGCGTGTTGAGTCAAGCCGTTGAGATCTCAAGATTACGTTGCATGCCCAGGCAGCTAATAGCGGGATGCCACAAGGAAAGGCCTGGCACCAATTCGTTACCTGAATACGCTGTACGGTGTACTCGGTAACTAATAGTCAGGCACTTAATTGGGCGACCGAGTACTCCAGAGGCTCCCACAGCTTTTGGGTTAAGGCAACCTTGATAGATTACCGAATAGCTTGTTGTTGGTGCTAATTTAGCAAAGAAGTAAACAACAAGTGACTTCCGGCTAAACGTCGATCTAACACTCCAGGTGTCGCAAGTCTACACGTCGGCCATTGACATGAGACAAAAGGATAGGAGTTGCAGAAATTTTTGAACGTCTCCGATGATGGATTAGACCAGGGTGGCAAGAGTTGGGGTGCAAGATACGAAGGTCAAGTGTCATCATATCAATTGCTAATAATTTGGACTATTTGTGAGAAGTGGATAAGACCAAAATGGTGCGTGCTCTAGTCTAGTTGGTAGGCCATATTAATGAATTACAAACCTCTTACTTCGAGCATCCCCCTGGTGCGGTGACTGTGACGGTGACCGTAGCAGGATTTCCATTGCCGCCACCACTCGACATTGAGGCTCTCGTGGTTGTAGAAGTGCTAAATGTAACCGGCTGAATAGTAAACGATCCATCCGATGTCAAGGCGGGCTTGCTGGTGGTGACGGATTCGACCCTCGTTACGGCGGTGGGGGAAGACGTAACCCCAACAGAGACCGACGATGAAGCTGAAGACGAGGCGGGTGCAGCAGGTTCGCCAGCGAAGATGTCTTCCTGAGCTCCTGGTCGGAATCCGTTGCGGGAATTATATGCAGGCGTTTGTCCGCTCTTTGGAAACACGTTGTTGCCGGTCAATTGATTCCAAACGATCATCTGCTTTGCACCAGCAACACATTTTGAGGTGTCGTCCTCACATTGAGCAGGCTGCTGCGCTTTGGCAAGAGGAGTGATGGAGGTTGCGCCAGACACTTGACATTTGAAGCCCTGCATGTAAATGTTGGGCTGGCCACAGCCCCGTGGAACCCACAGCCAAGCACAAGTACAGCCTCCGGGTGGACATGCGGGTAGGCCTTTGGGGACTTGGTAGGTAGCCTCTCGGTGCCAGGGGGTACTAGAAGGATTGGTAAGTATGAGAAGAGAGTAGGCATTGGTCACGACCGATGAAGGAACCTGTACTTACTGTTCGAGAACTGAGAAAACAACAAGATTCTCCAGATTGACCTGATTCAAGTCGCTGTGATATGAGATGGCAAATGCCGTTCCCTGGGCATGCTGTTCGTCCTGCACGTGCATGTAGCCAGCCTCGTCAATGCAGCCTTCGCCCACGCCTCCGCCGTTCCAGTTATCAGGGTGATCACCACCATCTGGCCAGAGAGATGTGAGTTTCCCTTCGTATGACAGGCGGGAGAATGCCTGATTGTTGGCGAGATCGACAGTGAAGGAGCCGCCCGCCGGGACATCGAGGAAGACCCCTTCCGGGGGAGGCACTCTGTCACATCCTCGCTCGCGTTGGAACCACAGTTCCTCCAGCGTGAAGTTGAACAGTGGTGCAACAACTGCATTGTTGTTGTAGTTTGGATTCTTTGGGTCTGTTCCATTTTCACAGTACATCCCTTTGGCGAAAGCGGCAATGTGAGCCTGAGCCACTCCAGTAAAGGCGAGGGTAGCGAGGACGAACGGAACAGCCATGTTGAAAGTCAATTCAGCTTGGGAGATATGCTACCAAGGCTAACGCAAGAGTGTTTAGGCTCCAAAAACGAGTAAGCGAGTGACGTTTTGTTGTAAAAGAATGTACATGCGCACTGCGCAGTGTTGGGGAAGTGAAGGGACGGACTCGGGTGAGTGCCAAATGAAAGAATACGAAACACAAGAGCAGCTGTGTAGACACGACAAACTTCGACCTACAAAGGACCTGGGTAATGGCTATCATTTTATTGCCGTCTCAACGATCTCACCTCGGATCTCAATGACCAGGATGTTCTCAAAGCTAGTCAAGAAATAGGCCTGCGAAATTCAGGTGGATGAACGGATGCCCAAGTAGATGTTAAGTAATCATGACCTGGCACCATTGTCGCACCATCTTCCCTTGCACCATGGCTGTGGGCTCTGTAGACATTCCGTTCTCAATGACGAGTTTGGGGTCGGTAAGCGAGCAACGAGGCTCAGGTTAGACGGCTGGAAGATGTTAACCTCCTGGGAATGATTGTTCGGTTTCAGGTCAACGCTAAATTGGGTATCTTTGGCATGTTGGTGCCCTTCATTGGAGAAGTGGCTGCTGACATAAAGCCACGTGACTGCCCACTTGCCTCTCATGGAGAGAAGGTCATCGCCCCTTTCTTTGGGAGAACCCATCGCCAAGAAGGGCCACGATCCGCCAATCTTGTGAATTTAAGAGCTCTGTCCACATTGTTGTTGAAATGGGGAAAGATGTGTGGCTGTTCCATCCCCTGTGCAGGGTCCAGCCTGACCATTTACTCGATTAGGCCAGCCGCAACAGTCTCCCCATTGGCTCGAAGAACAATCCGCGCAGGGGCCTCAAGGGGTACAGCCTGCTCAAGTTGCACGACAACTCTCACAACGTTTCCTGGTTGAACGATCTTCGGTTTCTTTTTCAGCACAGCACCTGACGACTTGTCGAGTGTACCGATGAGTTGAGTGATCCGGCCCGGAACGTGGAGTCGTCCTTTGTGCACATCCACATTCATCGGTGTCAAATGATCGAAGGCGAGGATCTTAGCCTTGAACTCACTGACATTCTTCATCGGAGATGTGGGGCTGCAGAGCACGTCTCCAGTCTTGAGGTGTATAGGGTCAACATCACTCAAGTGAAGAACCACATTTTGTCCCGCCACTGCCCAATCCTGTGGCTCCTCATCAACTTCCAAGCTTCGAATTTGGGCATTTTCGCCGCTGGGCATGATGATGACTTGTTCTCCGATTTGGACATTTCCGGCCTCTAGACGTCCTGAGACAGATAACGGATTTTGTACGCCACCTCGAAAGACGTCGCTGATTGTCATTCGGAGAGGTTTGTCCAAAGCATAGGTTGATGGTTCTGATGTATCGAGCTCTTGTACTAAAGTTGGCCCGGTGTACCACGAAGCTCTCGAATCGGTGGGTCTGGATAAAATGTTTCCGCCCTCCAGGCCCGAACAGGGAATAAAGGTGACATTCTTCGGCTGAAAGCCAGCAGTGTGAAGGAATGAGGCCATCTGCTGTTGGATTTCCCGAAACCTGTCCTCGGACCAACGCGAAACGTCCATCTTGTTGACAGCGACAATGATTCTCTGCACCCCAATGGACCGGACCAGAAGAGCGTGTTCTTTTGTCTGTCCTTTGAGGCCAGATTCGAAGTTACCAGTAGAAGCATCGATGACCAGGACCGCGAAATCTGCTTGGCTTGCTCCAGCAATCATATTAGGTACGAAATCCCTGTGGCCTGGAGCGTCAAGGATGGTAAAGCTGGTTTTCTCGGTCTCAAAGTTGTTAGTGGCTATGTCGATAGTCACACCCCTAGCTCGTTCCTCGGTTCCCTGATCCAAAACCCAGGCGAAAGCAAATGAGCCTTTACCGATGCGTTCGGCCTCTTTTTGATATTTTTCCATCGTTCGCTGATCGACCGCTTTGAGATCAAACAGCAGTCTTCCCATGAGGGTACTCTTTCCTGCATCAACATGACCTCCAAGATATTAGCTGATATTGTGCAGAATTCGGGTGAATACCCACCAATGACCACAAAATTCGCCGCATTCTTTCGCTTCACCTTATTGTACTCTACAACAACATCGATATTCTTACTTTTGATTTTGGGGAGCTCTTGTATGGACAGTTTCTGTACGCCGTTCGCTAGGGAAGAGTTTGGTCTGATGTTCTCTTTGGCTTTTGATTTCGTGGGTGCGGTGTCTATGGGATAAGGACGTCAGCTCAAGTCCTTGGAAAGTTTAGCCTTAGCTTCGACCTTTCACATTCTGTGCCTTCGTCACAATGTCATCTGGGCTTGGTTCTGTGAAGTCGAACAATTTCGTAAGCAACCCCTCAGACAGAATATCAGATGAAGGCCGGGATTCCGTTTCAGTTTCTTGGCTAGTCATGATGCTTGCAAATGCTGAAGGACGACCTCGAATATTAGGGTCGACGAGAATTGACTGGCCAATTTGATCTTTGGAGGTGTCACATTTCTTTCCCGGGCTTCTAGGATCATCGTCTGCGTCTTTCTTGACCAGCTCCTCGCCGAGGAGACGCTTCTGTATTCCCGGGGCTTCTGGCTCATGTGATGCTTTGGCCGGCTTGCCAATTCTCAATTTGTTCAAGTTTGCTGTATAATCATCGCGGCTAGTAGGAATGCTGGCCGAGACTGACCCGGATGGTTCATTGGCCTGTTGTTTCCTCTTCGCCGCCAAAGCGGCTAATTTGGACATTTTGCTACCCTTTGAAGCACCTCCCAGAAGACCTCGGCGTGGGTATGCAGGTTGTATTGTGATCTCAGCCTTGCGATGTTCCGGGACTCGCAACCACGGAGAATCTTTGAAAAATTCTGCGGCTGAGAAAGGCATTGAGCAGAGAGTAGAGTTTGCTATCTCTTGATGCTCATCAGAAGCATGTTCGAAAAGGCCGTTTGGAAACCACCATGACCACCATGATCTCGCCGGAACTGAGGGCAGGGAATGAAAATGATCGCTGAGAAAGGGAAAGGCTGAAGAAAGGAGACTTACTCTTTGGTGAATTTGACTTTTTGGTTCCTGTTGCAGGAGCAGGCGGCTTTTTGTCTGAATATGATCATTAACCATGGACGAAGATCAAGCTCAAGGAGGCTATGCACACTTTTGATATACGTGACCGATTTGCTGACATCGTAATAATAATGCCATAAAGCCTCTTGGATTTCATTATCCGTTACTGAAAAATTCGGACCGAGCGCCCGACGAATTTCGATAGTGCCTTGTCGCATATGCTCCTTGTCTTCGGCGGAAAGTTCATCGCCAGCGGTATCGGGATCTTCTTGTTCATTGTAATCATCGTAATCATCATAATCATCATCATCATCCACGGCCATGGACTTGACCCGGCGATTAGACATGGTTGCAAAAGGGACAAACAATTCAGTCGGTGGGAAAACAGAGGTTGGTAAGGAGTTTGTCTTGGGTGAGTCAGCCTGTAAAACGGCCTGGGATGCTAGGAGTTCGGTGGCTGAGACCCAACCGCCGTGTTATGAATTTATATGTTGAATGCTGTGGGCGATGGTGTGTGGAACGAGGAACACTAGGGATCAGATAAATATCCCATGCAATTTACGGTTCGGTCTGGAGGCCCTCGTGTGCAAGGCGGGGCAGATAGAGGGATGTGCCTATGACGGGAGGACCACCTTCACACACCCTGCACCGTTTACCTTAACAAGATCGACACATCCACGTCAAGACATTGTTATCTCTCAGGCTGCAAAGTTCCTTATCGAGCTTGAAGTAATATCCATTCATTTACCAACCTTGAATTGATAACCCTCATGCGACCCGTTGATTAATCGGCTTCTCAGCCTGTAGCGTCGGTCTCGAGGTCGATGCCCGGAAAAACTCCTCGGAAAAACCCACGCACGTGAAGGGAACGAGGAACCCGACAACAGAACTGCAGTTCATCGTTTCGACAGCCGCCCAACCCAACGCCCAACGGAGAACCAAGATCGTGCATACTCAGCTCGTATCAAGAGATCCCTCTAGATTGACCGTCACTGATCCGGGACTTGAGTTATTGAGCTCGGTCTTTCTTGTTGAATTGTCTCACAGCTGTTGCGACATGTCACCACCTAGGAGTGCTTTTTTGTCGCGATAGCACGCACGCCCCTCCTCAAATCACACCCCTCCTACTGTCTCAGAATGTCGGCCTCCATCATGGCTTTGCAGCCAGACAGGACTCCCACCTCAAGCAGATCCAGATCCAACTTAACCCAGCAGATCGAACAACATGAGGGCGAGCGGACTCCTCGGTCCCTCAGAACGTCCGACAGTGGTTCTCCCAAACCCAGATCACTTTCCGACGCTCCCAAGCCCATGCTGTCTCCCTCTCCTGCCTTCCGTGAACCATTACGACGAGTTTCAAAAGACGATTCAGTCATTGCAAGCCCCAGTACACCTCTCCGCTCGTCGTTCCACGCCCGCGGTTTGTCTCTGCACATGCCATCTAAAGACAGCGCCGAAGACATGTCTTCTGCCATACCACGTGTTCCTCTGTCTCCGAAGTTGGACTCTTCACAGATCTACGGCTCCCCCGCCTCTATGCTTCCTAGGAGGTCTCGTGGCATGGACTACACAAGAGCCTGTACAAACTTACATCATTCAACACTTGCCGAAGCATCTCCCGACGCCTCCCCAATTACTGGAAGAGGCATTCAGATCCCCAACCGACGCAGTCTGACAAACAACGTGCTTGACTCGCCAAGTAACAATGCCTCAGCTTCCCTATGGTCGCTGTCGAATGAACGAGTGAACCTGTCCAGTTCTGTCAGCAGTGTTAATATGCTGGGGTCGGATTCTGATTCTGACTCTGGCGACTCATCGGACGAAATGGCTATAGACCGAGAGCTGGATGACCCAGTGCTCAACACCCCGGCAGCATCAAGACTGAATGGTGCGATGATTTCGGGTTTGATCAGTAGCCCAGGTATGGACTGGATGAACAATCAACCATCGCCCGCACAAGCAAGTCTTATGAGTTTCCATCCCAATTTGATGAGTTTCAGGAGAGCTCGGATGCGTAAGGGGAAGAGTCAACATAGCTCGAGCAGTGTCAGCATGAATAGTTCCAAGCCCTCGCCTGGACCCCTATCACCCGGAGTGCTCAAGAGTGTAGAAACGACCGGAGGCAGTTATTTTGGAACGGGCTTGACCAAACAGCAGGTACAATCGCGGCGCGAAAGTCTGAGTCTGGGTACAAACGACCTTCATTTGTCTGACAGCGAAGACAATAGCTCAAATGGCAACAACAAATCCCATGCAGGACAATCTCTGTCAGACATGGATGCTGAGGGTCCTCGAGGAGTAATCCGCCGAGCAGTGACACGACGAGGCAATTTACTTCCCAAAACCAAAGGATTTGCTCGCATTCGGGCTGCACTACTCGAGGAAGCGGCTCCCATCGAAAGCGAGGCTCGACGAGAGGCTGAGGTAATTCGACAAGTGCAAGAAAGTGATGCTGTGCCATCACAAGCCACGTCGCCTATCTTGCACTCGAGTAATCCGTTCACAGCCGAGGCGGTTGAGGAATCAATCGAGGAGATGAGCATCGATGCCAGACCCAGCTTGCCAGCTGATAGCTTCAGTCGTCAAGCGGAGAAGAATGGGGCCGGCCTTGGATTCTGGAATGCATTTGATGAGCGATACCGAACTCCGCCTCCTGCATTCCTTCCTCGTGAGAGCTCGTCAGCTATCAGTGATGAGCCAATGGATATACCTGGTTCTTCACTGGACAATCCGGCCCTTCGACACTTCAACAGATCCCGCTCCAGGTCCTCGACTCCACTTGCATCGTTGCCACCCACAGCAAACGACGTTGCACGCAGAGTTACTAAGCGTCGACGGGATGACGATTTCGACCCATATTTTATCAAGCGACGAGCAGTCTCCCCGGGACTCAGTGTGCAAAGCAGCCCCGTCCTTCCGCAGAGCCCCAGTATGACAAACGACAAATCATGGTCCAAATTGCCACCAAAAGCCAATGTTTCAGGGGATCGAAGTAACAGTGGAAGCAATATGAATGGCGGGAAGAAGGTCGGTCTGCAGGGGATGACAGAAACCAATGAAGGCATCATGAGCATGAGCATTGATTGAAATTATTTCTCGGGCTTCTCTTAGCATGAGCAAGGCGCTTGGGGCAATGGATTGATGGATGGACGGATGACTTATTTCACTCTTGATGGTGAAGCTGTATGAATTAAAAAAGGGCCTCTAGCTGGGACCGGGCATCTCCGATGAATGAGATATCAATTGTCAGACACAGAATGAAAATTTCGACCTTGATCGAGCTGAATGATCCAAGAAGCTGGTGAATACCTAGGTGCCTCGAGAAGAGCCTGGGCAGCCGGGGAAGACACTATGTACTCAGCTGCTACCTTGTACTTAGTACATGGTACCTACTTTCGCCTACCAGTCTCTACTAAAATACTTGTATCTGATACTTTTATTCTAGGTACCTGAACAGTGGGCTCCGTGCACGTGTTCACCCCACCATTTTGGCAGCGGGGGGCGGAAACCTGCATCCCAATTTCCATCTCCGCCCAGTTGCAGCTGCATGACCATCTCACTCCTACCAGCCCTCAAAGCCAATCCTTCGCACCATATCCCATTCCCATTCCCTCTCTACCTTTAATATACAATGGGATCTACTGTCGACATCACCTCTTCTTTCATAGAAGGTGCTCCTCCTGGCGAGTTGCAGGACGTGGTCAAGGACATCAAGACTCTCACTTCAGACAACGACCCAGCGCTCATTGCAAAGCTGAAGCCTGCATTTCAGAAATACAACGAAGACCAGCTCATCCCAGTCAAGGTACCGGGAGCAAGTGATTACGTATGCTATGCTATACCCTTCGCCTATGTCAACCAGCTACTGACACTATGAATCAGCTCCTGATAACTGCCTACAACCGCGTGCCCTCGTCCACCAACAAATACTACGACACACAGTCCTCGACATCCTTTGACTTTGACCATATCACCTCCCAAGCCTCAGGCTCACAGTCCTACATCCATGAAACCTCCCACTCATCCCTGGTCCAATCCATTTTAAAATCCATCTCTACCCACTTCGCCGAACACTATCCATCAACACATCAGAGCGCCTCTGCCTCTTCATCCTCAGGCTACACGGTCGCCGCCACGCCGGAAGACGACAAGGTCGCTATCCTATTGTCCACCACACGCTCTTCCCCCAAGAACTTTCTCTCCGGTCGGTGGCGGAGCACTTTCCTGTTCGACCCAGCCAGCGGCACCATCTCTGGTGCCTTGAAGGTCGACATCCATTACTATGAAGACGGAAACGTGGCCCTGTCCACAACGAAGCAAATACAGGATGCAGCGGTTGATGGTGGCGGCGATGGCGCAAGTATAGTGCGCAAGATCGCAGGAATCGAGAAGCAATACCAGGAGGAGGTCAATCGAACATTTGTTGGCATGAACGAGTCGAGTTTCAAAGCCCTACGACGGCAGCTACCCGTGACCAGGCAAAAGATCGAATGGGAGCGGGTCAGGGGCTACGGACTGGGGAGTGATCTGCGGGGAGAGGCGAAGAGGTAAAACCAAAAGACAAGAGGCGTGCGCGCTTGAACAACCTGAGTCGTTCTTCCATTGCGGTATTCAAGCGAGACTTTCCCAAATACATTGACTGTCATCTGAGGACTTTTGCAGGCTGACTGGCTGACTGAATAGGATAGATCGAATTGAATCTATTCTTCAAACAGTGACAGTTGTTTATGGTCAGCGCACTCCCGCGACTCAAGACCGTGCATGACGCTTTCTTATTCTCAATTGTATCTCGTTATGGTTCAGAACCATGCAGTTCATGTTTCAGTTCATTTCCTATTCCTATCGACCGTTTCACCACATCAGGGCAGCCGTCTTCCCTCCCTCGTCGCCCTCGCCACCTCACTCTGCGTAGTATCCTCCGCATACCTGCGGTACGCATTGACATACTGCTCCCTTTCACTCAACGTATCCAAGACGCTCTGCCTGCTCATCACCGCATCCGCCCAACTCCTCCAACGTTTCCAAACTGCCTCGTCCTCCCCACCCTCCCCCTCAGTCAGCACCCCCAGCCCACCCTGCTTATACACGTCGAACAAGAACGACCGACACAGCCACGGTGCAAGCATAACATCGACGATGCTGAACCCCTTCCCGAGAAAAAAAGGGCCCTCGGCGTCCGCCTCGTGGATGAACGTCTTTAAATGGCCGAGAAACTCGTCGCGCGCCTCCGCCAGCGTATACGACTTGGCCTCGGAGTGCTGCATGAAACGGTAGAACGCCGGCACGATCTTGCCGCTGATGTGGTCGAGCCAGATGCGCGCGCGGGCCCGCTCGTACGCATCCGTCGGGTACAACGAGGGGCCGTACCGGCTGGGGTCGGTGTACACTTCGTCGAGATACTCGCAGATGACGCTGCTTTCGTAGAGCGGCTTCTTCTTCTCGTTCTCGTTCTCGTTCTCGTTCTCGTTCTCGTTCTCCTCGCCCTTCTCTGTCCCGTCATCATCACTACTGCTGACAGGGACAGCAAGCGTCGGCACCAAGCCTCTCGGATTCAGCGCCAAGAAGCCGGCCTCTTTCTTGTAAGGGTTGATCTCGACGTACTGGTGCGCGATCTTCTTCTCGTGCAGCACGATCCACGCCCGCTGCACGAACGGGCAGAACCATCCGCCGTACAGGACCAGGCCGCTAGGCGCCTGGTGCGCGGCCGCGTAGCTCGCGGCGCGTCCGGATGTGTGCGCGTGCAGGGAGGTGTCGATGGTGCTCATCTTTTTGCAAGACGAGGGTGGTTGTCTTAAAAGAGTGGCGCGGGGTAGTCGAGGATCCGATAGAGTATATTGGTAGACTGGCGGAGGAGTTGAACTTGCTGGATGGGATCGGAGTGCTATTGCTGATATCAGGAGATGCTGCATAAGCCACCAGGTCCAGGCCACACGTGAAGTGGGTTCAGTGTAGCCTTACAATATCACTATGATATACCTGTCTTAGTACAGCCAACATATTAGAGATGGAGCGTTTCGGGACCTGCGGTTGGCCGGCAGGAGATGAAAATCCCGAAATGCGGAGCAGAAGCGGGCTGTTCGATGACGTCGTTGTTGTATCATCAAAAAAATATCGGTTCCATCAATTCGGCCTTGTGTGATGGCCGGGAGAAACATGAACGGGAATGACAAGGTGAAACGAGAGACAAATTCTATGAAAAGGCCCTGAATCGGCCATTCTAACTAGCCGCAATAGCTTCTTCTCTCCATATAACAATCCATTAATTATTTACAGTTAGGCGCTGGTGTAGAAGGACAAGACGGAATTCAGACCGGTCCTGCTTCTATGTCAAGATTTCTTAGCCACTAGCATGAGAGATCATAGATTGGAGTTGTTGAAGGTGGGTTTCCCGCTCCCGCAACTCCAAATGAGATCTCAGTCTGTGCAGTATTCGCATCTAGAGGTCCGAGGTCAGAGGGGGTTTCGATTTCGCAATGGAATGGACCTTTCCAATCACTTACCAGAGAGCGTGTACCACCATATATTTCTCTGTCCGAATAAACCACATCCGACCGAAGACCAGTAGGTCTGAGCGTTCTCGACAGATGCAACAGCGAGATTCGAGGTTGGTCCAGCTGTTTAAATACTTGGTCAGCGTGTAACGGGGAGCGTCGGCTCATGTGTGTATACTCACAGTGAGGCCACCCAGTCTCGGTGACCCAGACTGGCTTTCCACCACTAACTCCCTCAGTGGCTCCGAGAGCATTGAAGAACACGCTCTCGGCGTCCTCGATCGAGTTTGGAAGAGTATCCTCAAAATACGGGAAGGAATTGTAGCCCAGCCAGTCCACTGCATTTGCAACAGGTGCGTTCTCAGGTAATACCCAAGCGGTCCACGTATCCACATGGCCTATTGACTTTCCCTGCAAAAGTGGTGTTTGGCTGGCAAGATCCTTGACACGATTGATATACCTGACGATGGTTGCAGAGTCCACCCCAACACCTGCTTCGTTTGCGATGCCCTGTGGGCTAGAGCGATAGAGATCCTCTGACCCAACACTGATACCGATAATCCGATCGGTAAATGCTGAGCCATACTGCGCCACCGCACTTGACAGTGCAGCGATCTCATTGTCGAAAATGGTGTCACCTGCGCTAGCCCAGAGGCCCAAAAGCAACGAGGTGTCGGTGTCGATCGCAGCTTGAATTGCCGATATTGGCTCATTCGTCGTGCCACACTGGATGGTCGTGTAGAGCCGTGCAGATGTAAAGCTGCCATCTGTGCCAGCTAGATTGTGAGCGCTATTGAAAGTTCCAACGAAGTCTGATGCTAGACGGCAGGACCCGTCTTCGAACGTTGCTCCATAGTTGAATCCTTGTAGTTGTGCCCTGACCGTTGATGCAGCGCTCGAGAATCCGAGGAGCAGAAGCGCTACAGACCGCATATTTAATGCTCTCACTTCCCAACGTGAGTGAGCAAGCTGATTGACCAAAGGTACCAGACGAAACCAAGGGCCAAAAAAAGAGATGCCAGACTTCACGCAAGAGTCAAGTGAGCCAAAATCGGACTGTGCAGCTATGTTGAAGTAGTCAGGAATAAATATAGCAAGAAAATAGGTCTTGCCACTCAAGTCAAACCTGGTGGTCTGCTCCTGCCACACGTCCTGCAGGGACACCAAGACATAATATGGAGTAAGGGTGTCTAGAGACCTTCTAATGGACAAGAAAATATGCGGATGAACAGAGGAGCGTTCTTGGAAGAAGTCGAGAGCCGAACCCTTTTTGGTTTGGCATGACGCATGCCGAGGCTGCACCTTCGCCGTACCAAGTCTTTGACATAATGACAAGAAGAGAGGGGGGATGGATTGGTGTCATCACCAATTTTAGATTTCGGACGTGCACAAGTATCTTGGCCAAGATGAGTGCGTCTCGGCGATGGCGTTTTCTCCGTCGGTACCTGCATTGACATAGATCTGTACCAGGGCTTTCTGGTCGTTAGATGATGTTCGGCTTGGGGGGAAACGGTGTTGGAAGGATAGGCACTAACTAGGAATATAAATCTAGATTGGCTGAAGGAATCGATATCAACGGCAATAGCTCTCCGTACAACATGTCATCTAACTGTCGCAGGCCTGAGCGTGCCACGTAAGCCAAACAACCGATCAATCCGGGTCTTGTCCACAGTCTCACCTCTCCCATCCCAAACCAATGAGGATCACATCTTATAACTAGCAGAATACCTAGACAACATATGCTCTTCAACAGTGACCTGCTTCCCCTCCGAGCCATCCAAGGGCTTGATAACACAGTCGGCATTCCCATCGAGGAAGAAAGGCACCGAGTACCTATCCGTGCCACTACTGTTGATAACCCGATGCACGCTGCTCTTGTATGCGCCTGCGGTCCAGATATGCAGCATGTCACCGACGTTGACGACATACGCGTCCCTATTGGGCGGCACATCAACCCACTCGTCCGTGTGCTGATCCAACACCTGTAGGCCCGAGTGTCCGTCCTGGAGGAGCAGTGTGATGGCTCCGAAATCCGTGTGCGCGCCGGCGCCCACGAGGTCTGGGTCGTCAGTTGGCGGGTGAGGCGGGTAGTGTAGTAGGCGCACCACCGCGATGGGATCACGGCTGAATTCTTTAAATACACCGGTGTCCATGTCTCGTAGTCCTCGCCCGAGGATCTGCATCAGATGGGCTGAGAGATCGGAGACGGCCTGGTGGTATCTTGTCACGGGATCCTTGAATCGGTCTGGACCGATTCCAGCCTTGTCTGGCCAGATATTTGGGTGGTGGAATGGTCGATAGGGTGGTTTACTGTCTGGTATCTCTCTTCCGATGTAGTACCCCTAGATGCTGGCTTCAGGATGAATGTGTCTGCAATGAGGAGAAGCAATAAGAACAATCGACAACGTGGAAACCCCAAGGTGTTCCACCCATCAAATCAGGGTATAGCCACATACCTCTTTCAAGTCCGCCTTCTTCCCCGGCTCCAGCACCTGGTCGCCAATGGCTTCATAGCCTCGACCAGGGACACCACTGAGCTGGATTTTCTCCTCGTACGGCAGCTCAAAGATGACCTTCGCTGCATTTATTACACCCTCTCTCAGCGATTCCGATATGCCATGACCTGTGACCTGGAAGAAACCACTGGTGGTGCAAGCGGCGTGGATCCTGTTGACCACATCCTCTGCTGCCGTAGAACCTTGGTCGGCAAGATATGGCGAGATGTCTACCGATGGGATCTCAAATGCTGCATGGCCGTTGGGTCCATGTACTGCCATTGTTGGTTCTTCCCGTTATGAATTTTCGCTTCTTTCGAGAGGAGAAAGGATTGAACCCGAGGAGTGTCGTTTCTTCTATCATGGCTTGACCGTACTGTGTCCGCTGCCATTCGAACTCTAGCTCATGTGGCATATAACGAACGGGCTCATCTCCGCACGGGAATATCCGACATAACTAGTCAGGGGTATGGTGACTCTCGTCGCAGAACCTCCCAACTTCTATCATTTGGTAGTGATCCCCAGGGTCGCAGGCGTCGGCACCATAATACTAATCTTTTAGAGATACATCATGCTATGCATCCTGCCTAGGCATCGGTAAGTTGTCAATTCGGGACTGCTGCCTCGGTGGTGCAACAAGGTGTCCTCAAACACCGAGGAAGTCAGGCGAAGGGGGTGCGAAGTTGACATCAGGACACTGCCATCTTTGTGCAACATTTTAATGATGACTGAACAGACTAGGTATTCAGTATCACACAGAACACGTGTTGAAAAACCGAAGGTGTCATGGAAAAGGGTGGGACGGGTGCCTGGCTGTGGCCTTCTAAGTCAGTGGGGGCGGCTTGCTTAGCGACACGAGGCACGCTGCAAGGCTGAGCGCGTGGAAGCCTAAACAACTCCCTTGCACTCCAGACGGAGTCCTACCACTTCCGAGTAAACTGTCTCAAGTCTCCTAAGAATTCGCAACCACTGACCTGGATTATACTCCATTCCCTATAAACTCTCATCCTGCAGTTGCTCAGGCTCGCGGTTGCTCTGCACCTCAGAACGAGCTTGCTGATTCCAATCAGGCCAAGGTATCCTGAAAGACTATTTCATACTCCTTCAATAAACCGAAGCCCTACTTTTGAAATTCAGGGAGAAATTAAATAAGCCATGATGGCGACGTTTACGGTTCCAGCAGACTTCCTCGCGGGTCCTGGACCCGAAGTGAACGTAACACGGGTGGACTTTGCTCAAACGCAATGCCCCGAGTTCGCCGGGTCATATGCAGTGGTGCTCGACAACGTCCTCAGTCCAGACGAATGCACACAACTCGTCAATTTCGCCGAGCAGTCTTCGGGGGGCGAACCGGGCAACGGGAAATGGGAGCGCGCCATGGTCAACATCGGCGGCGGCAAGCAGAAGATCTACACTGATATCCGAAACTGTGACCGCATCATCTGGGATGATCCTGTCCTCGTCGATCGCATCTGGCAGCGTTGCAGACCTCATGTGCCCGAGGTAGAGAAATTGAAGGACAACAAATCCGTCATGGGGCTTCGTCCGGTCCAGAGGGGGGAGAGCTATGTCATGACCAGATTGAATGAAAGGATGCGGTTTTTGAAATATGCCGGTGGCGAGTACTTTAATGGTAAGAGGGCTCACCCCGTTTGGATTTTGATCTTGACTGAGCGGTTAAATCTTCATCATGTCGGAGCTAATGCATTGGTGGTCCCCACAGTCCACTGTGATGGGATGTACATTACTCCAGACAACAGTGAATGCTCCTTCTACACGCTGCATCTGTACCTGAATCAAAGAGATGCGGACAATGATCTTGTCGGCGGCGCAACAAGTTTCCACGGACAAGATATGGAGAGAGAATACAACGTCTTCCCAAAGACTGGCCGTGTCTTGCTTTTCCAGCATAGAGGCCTCTGGCATTCAGGCCAGCAGGTCGAGGCTGGTGTGAAGTATACCTTGCGAACTGATCTGATGTTCAAACGCGATGATCAAGAGAGTGAAGGGAGGAATTAAGGCATAGGATTTCGAGACGAGAAATTGCTATGGATCCGCTATTGTACTGCGTAAAAGAATATTATGGTTGATATTTAGCCCGAAAACTTAACGGTTGAAGTAAATGAAAGGTTTCTCCATCCGGTGTCTGAACGCCTGTTTCCTCCTTGAAGTCTGGTTGTCCGGCGATATCTTGTTTCTGTTGTTGACACGAATGTTAGTTGATTATGTGGAGACAATCGCTACTTGGGGATTAATTCTTACCATCCTGCCGTGATCGAAATCGTCCCCTCTCTCAGGCCCTTCTTGAACTCTTCATCCCATGCATACAATGCATCGGTTGAATCTCCCAGCGAGTTCAGGAAGTCCCAATTATAAGTACTCGCGGGAGCCGTCGATTGCTGAAGTGACGGAGCAGGATGCCTCGGTCCTGAGGAACGCGCAGAGGGCTCCGTATCCCCAGTCTTCGCGGTTGCAGCGGTGGAGTGTAGGATCGAAGCTTGAGCTGATGGCTCATGTGGCTTAGTGGCCCGCTCTGAAGTCGAAGAGTAATTCGGATCTGGTCAGGTGTACTTAGCACCACATTCCACAAGAGAGCAGTGATATCCATGCGCAAACCTTACCTGAAATCATTCTCGCGTCGAAATCTCCAGCCGCCTCTATATTACGACCAATGATAGATAGCCAGATAACACACTTGTCCCGTAACTCCTCGTTCGGGGTGGCTTCTTGGACCCGGTTTTCCTCTTTCAGAAACGTAATATAATGCGACAATGTGCTTCCCGCAATAAATATGGGAAACAATAAATTGCAAGGATATCTTGAAAGATCTGGCACAAGATCTTCAACAATCTCACAAATTTGTGAAGCTGCATTGCGGCAAACTTCACGAGGATGGTTTTCTTTACTTTCAGGATCGTCCTCAAGATCCGTATGGGCCGACCAGTGGTGGTAAAATGGACGATGCAACATGATCGTGACAGTCCAGAACCACTGTACCTGTATTAGCAACGGAGTGAACGTGGGATAATTACGGGACTTACTACCAAGCACGTGACCGACGCGGGCGTTGGAACGGGTTGGCTTGTGCTTTGTTGATTGAGCGAATTCATCCATTCTTTGAACTTTTCATCATAACGCTTGAGATTTTCCCAAACTTGGGTACGCAGGGAACCTGCGTACTCCAAGTTTTCCTTGGTGAATTTCCGACCCCTGAAGGAGTAAACCTTGCGCAAGACTGGCTCGAGTATCTCTGAGAGTTGCATTGTCATCGAGAGCCCACTCACCGTGTAAGCCTTGACAGAGACTAATTCGTCAGAGCCAATTTTCATCTTCAACAATTGATATTCATCAGACTCCATTGGTGAGAATGGATCAGGAAGTGAATAGTCTAGTGGGAGTAGAACAGGTCTTCCAAGCTCACAGGCAAGCATCTTGTCAAGAATGTACATGTTCGACCAAAGTCTGGATCTGACCTGAACTTCAGTCGAATCTGTTTCAAGAGGTGACTGTTTGTGGAGATTTAAGTTGAAAGCCATGGCAGCTGCTCTGCTGAAGATTGTGTACGCATGCGCAGACTCGCCCAAGGCACGTAGCTGAAGAGCCAGAATTGTGAATGTTTGGCAACTGGCTACCGAAGATCGTAATAATTGGAATGGGCGGAGACGGTCCAAGTCATTCTTGTCCGGGGTTCCTTCTATCTGTTGTGCAAGCATCGCCGCTTTGTAAAAGGCCCAAGGTTTTGGTATTAAACCCGGTCTGGAACTTGGCGCCTTCGAATTATCTTCCGTGACGCATGCTGCAAGCGCACAGATTGCATACAACAAAGACTTCGACATCGATTGCACAATGCCATTAAAGTCTGTGCTATCAAATAGCGGTTTGTACAGGATAGGCCAGACCGGGTGGATAACATTGAAGTAGACAGCGAATAAATATGCAGCAACTTCCAAGCTCACATCAAGCTCCGGGGGACGTTGCTGAGGAGATGGCTCGTAAGAGGGTACGGTTCGGTTGATGGTTACGGTCGATGGTGAGCTTCTTGTATTCTCTTCTCCCTGCGAGGTCCTAAACCTAAACAAGGTAGCAGAACGGGTTTGGAGAGTCGTAGGACTGCGAGATTGTTCTGTACTTGAAGGTATCGATACTGTTGTATGGTGATTCGTTGGTGTTTCGGTGGTGGCATCCGGATCTTCGGTCCTTTTCCTTCACGAGGTCAGACGAGGTTCACATCGTAGGATCACCTGGAAGATTCAAGGAGCTCACCTCTTATCGCGTCGTGGACCAGAATAGAAGCATTCGCGACCTCGTGTTACACACACCTTGCAGAAAGGAGTGTTTCCATCGCACTAAGGCGTATAGTCAGCCCATGCCGTCAACGGTTGAGATGCATCACCGGCGGCTACCCGTGCCAAAATGAAGCATTCGGGATGCGTGTATACCTTTGTCTTCCGCATTCCACATGGACCACAGGCTTGAAAAACCCTGGGCTTGGTTGCCGGCACGTCCTGTTCGTTGTCCATGTCGGGATGGATCTTTTGCGGTTGTAGAAAATCAAATTTTCAGAGTACAGATCTGAGGTTGAGGCCGGGTACTCAAAGAAAAAGTAGTCCGTATTGTCGGGCAGCAACTCAGGGGACACACAAAAGATGGACCGAAATATCGGAAATTAAGAGGGCTGAAAAGAGATGGGCTGATGTCGCCGTGCCGACCAAACTCGGCGGTCGGATGTTGTGGCGTCTTGAAATTTACCCGAAGTTTCAGAGGGTCTCGGATCACAACGAAGCCGGGGCTCAAGCCGTTCAGATCAAGGTTAGCAAACGACTACAGGACAATCAGACTGGGAGGCTGCCAGAAAAGTACACCAGATGATGTTCTCGTGGACTCTAATAATATGGGAATCGCCGTTTTTGATGACGTCTGGTACAAATGTCCAAACACAAAGTCCGTAGAGAACTCGAGAGTTGACGAGGCTGATGGTTGGTGATTCGGAATTGCATGGGAAAAACAACCATATTCATCCTTCAATCTTGATTCCCTGGGCCTTTTCGTACACTTTTTCCCGGTACACTCTCGCTCCATGCTTTATTGAAATTGGAATCTTCGTATTCGTAATATCAAAGTATAGGTGTGGGGGTGGATTTGCTTCAAGAGTCGGCGGCTTGACTCCATCAGTGGTCACTGCTTTGCGGCCCAGTAAAATCCTGGTAAGGGGCTCCCTTCTTGAAGAACAACGTAGATTCTTGATGAATTAAAACCCTGACTGAAGCATGGCCTTCACCTGGTGTAGACCAAGCCTCAGTTGCGAATCGGTACTTCCACTCACAACTTTTTTACTTGACAGAACTTAAGCTAGATATCCTGGGTAGTGGAGCTGTTCGGAGAGTTTCCCAGGACATTAGCAAGATGTACCGGAGACGATTGATTCAGGAAGGTGTGCTCTCGCTCGACGGGCAAACAGTTCTGTGAAACGGAAAGTTGTTCGAAATACTGTTTGTCGCCTCAGCCATACTCTCTCGGCTGCCTCGATTCTCCTGAACTTGGCAGATCTATTTTGCGTCATGGAATATATTGCTCAACTGTTTTGGATAGTCGACTAAATCTAGCAGTCCTTTCTTCAGGCATTTTTTACATGCGGCCCTATTTTTCCAGTAGCCCTTCTAACGGGAGAGCCGCGTTGCGTCCCCTTAGCAGACAGAAAAAGGCTCCGAAGACGGCTCCTCCTAGATGAGTTGCGTGTCCGAGCGTTGACGTTGGATCCTCGAGCGGCATGGAAGAGCAGGCAACATACAGTATCATGGCCATATATACTGGTGTTCGGAATGCGCCAGGGCTGAGAATCGAGGCCGTGGGCGCTGCCAGCAAAGTGACAACGCCCAGGCCCATAGCAACGTCCGACAAACCCAGTCCCCTAGTGCATGGGGTAGGTGTGAGAAGCCACCATACAGATTCTTGCTGGGTAACTTGTAGGAGGAACGCAGAATTCCCTAACATCGCGGAGCCCAGGATTAGAAGCCCATAATCGAGAGGTCTAATCCCATGTGCATGCATGTTCGGAAAGGTCCAGAAAGCGACCAGATTTCCGAAGAGGTGAGAAATTTCAAAGTGGCTAAATGCCACAGACACCAGAGTCAACCATCTCTCTTCGAACATCATCCAGACCAACAGTGAAATGTTGGTCCGAGAGATCAAAAATTTGTCTCTGCTCAGGAGTGGTTAAATATTCCCAGGCAACGTTTGTCTTGGATAGTACGCGCATATATTTTCCTTGTTCGCCAACATTCTGATCATGCCAGAAGCGTTGGGCCCATATTCTGAAGAATTGCTGCTGCTCAGGACTTAAGACCTTTTGGAAACAACGCGCGTTAGAATGAACCAATTTGGATCAAAACAAAGAAATGCACATATTATCGCGGTTCTAGGCGAGGTGCTCATAGAAGACCATAATCATCCTAGAAACTAAATGTCCTCGAAATGGACGTTTCGGCACTTGGAAACACTTCGGGTGGTTGGCATATCATTTTCCGGAGTCTGGGGCTGCCCAGTTGTTGACAGTGACGAGTCAGAAGTATAAGTTTTCATAGAGAACTTGCGAATGGAGATTGGGAAAAGTACTGAAGATGTTGTGGTTATTTTATAAAGAATTGTTGGTGTGGATTGTGGGTGTGCTTTAGAAAGAGGAGAGTGGGAGGTTTAATCTTCTCTTATTGCAGGTAGGCTTTGTTACTGATGTTCTATTCGTATCGCTCACCTCACCAGTGATAGAAGCTTGTCCTCTTTGTAGTTTTATTTGGTGGACAATGGGCCAACTTTCAGGCTGGTGCTTTAAATGGATCTTGCCCAAATGACGATGGACGGCTTGATGTAAATTTCTGAGCCAGGTCTGGGAGCCGGGGTCGGACAACTGGAACATGCCATAATGTTTGATATCAGTAGAACAACTTCTACTCTCATCACAACACAGTGAGCCTCTAGGGAAGTTTCGGGTTGCCGCAGGCCGTTTCCAAAGATGGCTGGGCAGGATTATTCTGAGTAGCTTCTCGGTGGTATGATAATGATTCATCCTGCACCGAATGGGCGTGCAGCTTTATTCGACCGTCGCATTAGTGGAGCATGGCAAGGACACTGTGTCTAAATCAAGGTCTCAATGCCTTTGCACACAACAATATCGTTGTTGAACAAGGGACATGAGGCTCTGGAAAGTTCTAGGGGGATGAAAATAAAACGGGAGGGCATAGCGCGTTGGAGGCCAGGCTGTCTCCTGGCAAGAAAAGTCAAGTTTAGCGGAAGCCCGGCGCCCCTTTAAGGCTTTTAAGCTTTCCTCACTAAATCCAGCAGGCCTTGTTAAAACCCGCTTAGTCTGCACTAAATGGCGCTAGTGGCGCTAGGCCTGTCAAGCGCTGACTAACTAAGAAGAGGCCACCTGTAATTTTCTCCCTTTATGATTCCCGAGCCCGCCGCCCTGTAAATAGACCCCTGAGTGAATGGATTGATTCTGAGGCAGTGGCGAGTATGGAGTCGAAAAGGACAGCGTATCGATAACTTGTGCCCTCCCTTTCGTTCCTCCCCATAAATATTCCTGCCCGCCATCACATTCATTCTTGTCCGCTCCTTAATCCAACTCTACCAACAATACTCTCCTTCTTTTCTTTTCCTCTCTCCCCCTCTTCCCTAGTCGGTGCAAAGACTTTCTTCTTTGTGCTCCTTGCTGGGACACCTTCATCATGGCTCGTCGAGGCCACTCCAAATCCTCTGCTTTTCAGTGGACCACCATCTTTTACCTCCTCTTGATCTTTATCTGTCCTCTTGCCTTGATCGGCACTGTCCATGCGGAAGACCAGGCCCCTTTGAATGGTTCCGATACCCATAACTATGGCACTGTCATTGGTATTGATCTGGGAACTACCTACTCCTGCGTCGGTGTGATGCAGAATGGAAAAGTCGAAATCATAGTCAACGACCAAGGAAATCGAATTACCCCCTCATATGTCGCCTTTACCGACGAGGAGCGATTAGTGGGAGACGCGGCCAAAAATCAATATGCGGCCAACCCCACGCGGACGATTTTTGACATTAAGTAAGCTCTATTTCTGCCTCCTCCACCTGCGCTTGATGCTAATCAGTTCTCTAAGGCGCTTAATCGGTCGCAAATTCGCAGACAAGGATGTCCAACGAGACGCAAAGCATTTCCCTTTCAAAGTCGTCAATAAGGAAGACAAGCCTGTGGTCAACGTTGAAGTCAATGGCAAGCCCCGAACCTTCAGTCCCGAGGAAATTTCGGCAATGGTTTTGGGCAAAATGAAGGAAGTAGCAGAAGCCTATTTGGGCAAGAAAGTTACCCACGCAGTTGTCACAGTCCCTGCATACTTCAACGACGCTCAGAGACAAGCCACGAAGGACGCAGGCATTATTGCCGGTTTGAACGTTCTCCGTGTCGTTAATGAGCCTACCGCCGCAGCCATCGCATATGGTTTGGACCAAAAGGGCAAGAAAGAAAGCCAAATCATTGTATACGATCTTGGTGGTGGCACTTTCGATGTCTCTCTCCTGTCCATTGACGATGGTGTCTTCGAAGTTCTAGCAACTGCTGGTGATACCCATCTCGGTGGTGAAGATTTCGATCAGCGAGTCATTGATTACTTCGTTAAACTATACAACAAGAAGAACGATGTGGATATCCGAAAAGATCTCAAGACTATGGGCAAACTGAAGAGAGAGGTTGAGAGAGCCAAGCGAACTCTGTCCTCTCAAATGTCAACTCGAATCGAAATCGAGGCCTTCCACCAGGGGAACGACTTCTCTGAGACTTTGACTCGAGCCAAATTCGAAGAGCTCAACATGGATCTATTCAAGAAGACTTTGAAGCCTGTCGAGCAAGTGCTAAAGGACGCCAAAGTCAAGAAGAGCGAGATTGATGACATCGTCCTGATCGGTGGTTCCACTCGAATTCCAAAGGTTGTATCTCTCATCGAAGAATACTTTGGTGGCAAGCAGGCTAGTAAGGGTATCAATCCTGATGAGGCCGTTGCGTACGGTGCGGCTGTACAGGGAGGCATTCTTACAGGTCAAGCTAACACTGCGGATATTGTCCTCATGGACGTCAATCCATTGACCCTGGGCATTGAGACCACTGGTGGTGTCATGACTAAGCTGATTCCCCGCAACACAATCGTCCCAACAAAGAAGTCTCAAATCTTCTCAACAGCAGCCGATAATCAACCCGTGGTCTTGATCCAAGTCTTTGAAGGCGAACGATCACTGACCAAGGATAACAACTTGCTTGGAAAATTTGAACTCACCGGAATTCCTCCCTCACCTCGAGGTGTACCTCAAATTGAAGTCTCCTTCGAACTGGACGCGAACGGTATTCTAAAGGTTTCAGCTGGTGACAAGGGCACTGGTAAATCGGAGTCCATCACTATCACAAACGACAAGGGTAGACTTTCACCCGAGGAAATCGAACGAATGGTTCAGGAAGCTGAGCAATTTGCTGAAGAAGACAAGATGGTGCGTGACAAGATTGAGGCTAGAAACAAGCTCGAAAACTACGCCGTGTCTCTCAAGAATCAAGCCAACGATGAGGAAGGCCTCGGTGGCAAGATTGATGAAGAGGATAAAGAGACTTTGATCGAAGCTGTCAAGGAAACTCAGGACTGGCTCTCGGAAAATGCCGATACTGCCGACAAGGATGATTTCGATGAGCAGTACGAAAAGTTGTCTCAAGTTGCATACCCCATCAGCAGCAAGCTTTACGGGGGTGGTGCAGGTGGAATGCCAGACTATGGTGATGATGATGAGCCTAACCACGACGAACTGTGAGGGCTGGAATCTCACCCAAGTTTGACACGATACCTTATGATTGAGCTTCACTGCAGCATTTAGAACACTTGACAAAAGGGGGCAGGTCGGGTGTGCTATCAGGCGTTTTGTTTTCCAATGTTTTGCGGCCGGTGAAATGGGCCGTGACTAGATACCACAAATCCAAAAATTATACCATTATAAAACTTATCTGACGACTGAATTGCGTACGAAAAACCCCTCGGGAAGAAGTCTCCTCACCAATACCAAATAACTAGAAAAACTCGGGTTCACATTTGACCACAAAAAAAGCAACAACCTCATAAGGATGCGCTGCTCTCAACTGCTCAACCGCCCTTTTGGCCGCCTTCTTGCCCACAACAACCATCTCGACTTTGTCCTCCTCGAGAACCTCGAGCGTGCCAGGCTTCCCGATATGTGGATTCGCATGTTCGCTGGGTCGGAACTGGCCGGTGCCTCGTGTGATGAATGCCACGTCGACGTATTTTGGCGGCGACGAGGCACCGGGGCCGTCTGTTGGGTTGGGCCATATTCCTGCGGATGTGTTGCCGTGGAGCGCGGATAGAATGGACTGTGTGTGAGTCGGCGGTGTGTAGAATGTTAGTTGGTAGACTGTCTTGGATTCGTCGTCGCTGCTGGTGGTGGTGTTGGTGGTCATTTTGGCGGTGGGCGAGCTTGAGGCGTTTTGTGATATCGATGTCCCGACTGATGTCAAGGGAACTGGTGAGGTTCGTAGGGAGGCATCGGCGGTCGAATGGGAATAAATAGTATACGGGGCTTCTGCTGGTCGTAGGGCGCGCGTTGGGTTGAAGCTAACTTTTTCGACCTGCTTTGCACAGGGCGTAGCACAAAAAATTTAAGATGGATGAATCTGATATTGTTACGTGTCTGGTACGGAGTAGCCCACCAACATTTCATCGGATAGAAACCTTAGGAAATACTGAGCTGCAAAGACAAAAACTGAAAACGAGGGCATTGTTGGTCTCGACCTTCTACCGACCTATCTATCCTTGAGCCTTTCTAACCTAGTTCCCGAGGAAGTGATATATCTGTGGCATTGGCCTCTAGTAAGATTATCGCGAGAAAGAGGATATCAACCACTAAACGAAAGCGACATTATTCCTTCGCTGGATCACAGACCAATATCCATGTACCCATAACCAAAAAAAATTAAAAATTCAATCCTCAACCCTCTCCCCAGCAGCCTTCTCAATGCGATCAATGACTGCGTCCTCGAGATCCCGCTTCATCTGACATTGTGTACCTGCCGCTGTGTTGTCGCCTTCAGCGACGGTGGTTCGCCGAACGGTCTCCGCGAAGATATAGTCGCAGTGGAGATCGTCGAAGAGCCGTAGGACGCCAAAGAGCGATTGTGCGAGCGTCGAGATGTCCTGTCCAAGGTGGACGTCGTATAAGATGACTTTTGCTGTGTCTTCGCACGCAGACTCCATCCTGGCTGTTGAGGTAGATGTGATGGCTGCGTATGCCGATCGTGCTATTGCTGAAGGCACAGCCTCCGAGGACTGTTGATGTGGGATGCCTGCAAATGACGGCCAGTGACATGAGACTGTGCCGATCTTGATGGCCGCCTTTTTTGTCACCCTTGAGCCGAGAGAGCTAGAGAGTTCGTTGAGTTTTTCCTTGACACGATCGTTCTTGACGGCAGTGGGTGAAAAGATAATCATGTGGCCCTTTGGCGCGTAGTGCCTGTACTTCATGCCGGGAGCGCGTGGCGCGCCGGTGATGTCTTCCACGTACATGCTGTCGTTGTTCGTGAGAGATTCCGATGACCCATTTGGCAGCGGCGATGGTGATGACGAAGATGAAGTAGACAATGAAGTCGCTGTATCGTGTCGTTTATATCCGATCGCCGTGCCTGCAAACTTATTACCGAATTCTCGACCATGAGCGATCAATTCGGCCTGCGACACACCTCCAGGGCGAAGGATGAGTGGGGGATCGTGCAGCCCGTCAACCACGGTGCTTTCGACGCCCACTTCGCAGGGCCCACCATCAAGGATGAAGTTGATTTTCCCGTCAAGATCATCGAGGACGTGGCGTGCGGTTGTGGGCGAAGGTTTCCCGGAAGAATTCGCTGATGGTCCGGCAATCGGCTTGTTTGTGGCGGCGATGAAAAAACGGGCATACTTTGACGAAGGAATGCGAAACCCGATCGTCTGTTGTCCCGGATGCACATTTTTGGCGAATCTAGAGTTCTTCCCCACGGGCAGCAGAATCGTCAACGGGCCAGGCCAGAACTTTGCAGCCAGACTTTGGTAGAACTCGGGCAAGGCTGAACCTGCAAGGCTCTCTAGTTGGGATATGGATGACACGTGAACGATGAGGGGATTGTCGCTCGGTCGGCCTTTGGCTGCAAAGATCCCAGATATGGAAGGCCCGTTCGTCGCATCTGCACCAAGACCATATACAGTCTCGGTGGGAAATGCCACAGGCGGAGAGATGCCATATTTGATGGACTCGATAGCATCACGGAGGAGCTCGGCGTTTTTGCTTATCTTGGATCCTTGGGTGTACTGTGCGTATAAACGGCGATATTCCTCGTCAGACGCCGTTTCTGGGATGTCAAGTTCTCTCAGGTCGACTATCCGCGTGTCACAGTTGGTATATGGCTGGGCAGCCCAAGGCTGACTACCCAGGGCGAAGGAATCTATGGCTGCCATGCTGAGACTTCTACACAAATTTTGTTGAAGGGCTGTGATTGTTCTGCACTGAAGGATCGTTCTCAGGGCAAGAAGCATGAATAATATTTCAACCTGGGCGCCAGGAGGTGGTGAAGAAATTCTTCAAGAACAGGTACCGATGTTGGTCGTCCGAAGGAAACTGCATATTGTACGAGGTTGAAGCCTCGTGTTGTTGATTGCTTGACTTTACAGCAGCAGCATCAAACTCAACCTTGTCATTGTCTTGTACTGATAGATCTCTGTCTTCAATGGCGGGCCGGCGAATTTCATTAACGACTCTTGGTGGCCGCGTGAGGATGACTTGAGATGTCATCTCGACTGGGAAGAAAAATAAAAATTTCCGTACTTCGGATTATCATTTCTCCGAGAGCCTACGTAGTATCCATCTCGCCACCGTATGAAGTCCGCCACGTCGATCCCCTTTCCCCTTTTTCCTGAGGGTCACCAGAAGTATGCCTACATCAATACAAATTCATTCCATGCCGTCTATACCTCGCCTGCGCCATACTTCTTCTAGCTCGTACAAAAGCAATAAATCATCATCACAGCGCAAGTTCACTAGTCTCTGCTGCAAGTCATGTCGGACCACCGCAACATCATCAGGGTTATCCACAGCATATCCAAATATTAGTGCTGGCCAAGGTCCCAGATAGCATTTTGACCATTCCTTGCTTGCTTGTGGGCAACTCAATATCCGCAGCGCTCTTCGAAGCTGCCATGTGTTGTTCGTTGGAGGAAGATTCATATAATCTATACGAGCAGAAGTTTCCTGAGATGTCTTTAGCCAGGTTAGAAGAAGCGATGTCGCCAGGACATGAAGGCTGATTGAATGCCCATGGAACACCTCGCTTCTCCCAGTGGGAGTCGAGACATCATGAGATGCAGACTCTGCGTTTGAGCAATCCGTCTCATCGATAATCATCCTCTCCCACTCTTTCACTTCTTTCCCAAGCCTCTTTAACTCTTCTGGGTCTGGCGTGCCTTGAATTCGACTGAGTTGGGACACTCGCATTATGAAATCGAAAAGCTCTATGGGGATTCCAATGACAGGACTGTTGTCTCTGGGTGAGGCTTCAGGAAATGTCAAAGACCCCAGCACCTGGAATGCCGTGTCACAAAACTCAAGGTCAGGCTGGAAATCCCTCCGGAAGGGATGCCTCACTGCCTGCCGGAAGACCTGATACAAAATACTCTCCCATATTATGCGATGTATCGGACGTCTCATGGGGGACCGTGAAGATTGCGCACAACGGAGCTTCATTAACTGAATGGCACCGCGGAGATGCTTGATAATGTCCTTATTCGTGTCAACTGAAAATACCTAGCGACATGTTAATGTTTTAGTGTCCCAGGTGCTCAGCACATGTGGACTGACCCCGTGAATGTACAAGAAGATAACTGCAATCAGGATAGCATCATCAGATTCTTTATTACTCCAGTCGACCTTGACCAGGGCATGATTCACTTGAGTGACGGCGGCTGCATAGAAGCTCAATCCGGCTGCACTCAACTCGGGAACTTCAGACAAGGCGGCGATGCGTGTTGCGCCACAAGCTAGTGCTATGTTCTTCAGACCACCAAAGTCGACCATCATCTCTACCAGCTCCGGTAAATGCTGTGCCTGAAACCCTGCATGAGAGTTTGAAAGAATGACTATCGGTAACATGTCTTTCATGAATTTCTGAAAGCAAGCAAGCTCGAGATCTGATTTGAATACTTGTGCACTAATTGGGTCAGACCAGACTGAAATCTCGCGGCACACAAAGAAAGGGTGCTTCTCCAGCGTCAAGAAGTCATCGCCTTGTGATGGAGTACTTTCTTCATCAGATAAAACATTGGGAGACGCAGCAGCCGAGGACGGCGAACTTGAAGCCCGTCGATTCCGACGATCGATTAGGTCCGCTTCGTTTGGCCACTGGCAAGGCCGCTTCGACTTTGTGCATTTCTGGCACCGAGGCTTTTCCTCAGTACACTTTTTGCGCCGCGCACGACCTGAAATAATGAATGTCGCGAGTCAGCAATCACTAGTCCTCTTCAGATTCGCCCACCGGTCTTTCTACGTACATGTAAAACATCCTGTCTTGGTACGAAGTGTGGCGCTGGATGTGCGACCAGCCATGCTGGAGCAGGACAGGTTCCTAGAAATATGTGCGCATGCGGCAGGACAAAACTATCTGCTCACAAGGCATCTATGGCCATCTGACAAATCACTGTGTACGTCAAATGTTCGTCAGCCGCCGTCTGGTGTCGCTATTCATGCATACAGAAAAGTGAGGACGACCTTATCAGTTGGTAGCTCTCTTATCAGCGCCTCGGCACTAGCTAGGTACGAGATTTGGACGCTTAAACCCCGCATTAGAATTGATAAAGACGAAGCGGCCCCCTCTCAAGCGAAGGGGCATCTGTGGCCCGCTCGAACGGACTGAGTTCTGAACAGACCTCAAAGCCGATGCGACTACTTCACTACAGGCACTGAATCCACACCGAAGCATTCAAAGGATGCCATATTTCGCGAAAGAACTCATCTTTTGTTCAGCTTGTGCTTTGGGTCTTCAATCGAGTAGAAGATCACTTGAAAATTATATATCTGAACATAAATCTGCGTTTGCGAGAATCAGCTTTTCGAATTTTTCTAGCAAGTATAATTTGTTAAGGGATTGAGCTACGCAACACCTGACGAAGAGGGTCTAATGCTATCCCCAATGACAAGTATTCCGCCCGTGGCACGCACGACCAAAATATCGACCACCAAGAAGGTAAAGGCAGCTTGTCAGACACCATTTACATCTTTTCCTGATATCTCTCGGCTTGTCACTCAATCGATAATGTGGAGATAAAACGACGCTGACCTTATTCGAGAGGCTCAATGTGCCAAGGCGAGGACGCCCTGAAAGAACGTGCGGAATCATTTTTAACTGGTTGGTGATTGACCTCGGCCTCGGGAAGGTTGGAATCTTGCGCAATTCCTTCTCATTGGGCCTGAGGCCTCCCGTGGCAGCTATCCAGCTTACAGAGGTATGCGGAGGCTGTGTCATCCGCATGTTCCAAGGCGGGCTTATTGGCAGTTAATCAGTGCGGAATTGCTTAATTTGAAATGCAAGTAAGTGCCCGTCCATACATGTGCATAAGCATACGCGCTCTAGCGGAAGATAAAAGTCCATGTTGCCCATTAAGCCCGCTCTTCTACCCAACTAGAACTCACGGGTCCAGTGAAATCGATCCAGCACGACAAGCATAGCGATTGCAACTTGCAAAACCTTTATAGGATTTCCCGTTTGCTCGAACATAAAATCCATCGCTCGGCCGCAAACCAAGCCTGGTCACTGACCGCCACACATAGACCATGGGTAAAGACTGGAAATCCCTGGTCGCGCAAAAGCGAGCTCAGGTCGATGAGCAATTGCCGCAAGAATGGCGACTTCCGGCAGAGATTCTGAACACTGTCTCCGCCTCTGCGAACATCAATGTCCTGAATATTCCACGAGAGTGTGGAATTTTGACCGCAAAGGAGATAGACATCACCGAGAAACACGATGCTGTTGCCTTGGTCGAGCAGATGGCGAATAAGCGTTTGACGGCGTCTGAGGTGACTCTCGCTTTCTGCAAAAGGGCCGCGATTGCTCATCAAGTGGTATGGCCTGTGTGAACTGCATGAGAAGGCTGTGATTTTAACTCTCAACAGACCAATTGCCTCACTGAAATGTTCTTCGGACAAGCCCAAGAGAGGGCCAGGTTTCTCGATGAGTACCTAGAGAGAGAGGGTAGACCTATGGGCCCATTGCACGGGTTGCCAATCAGCTTAAAGGTAAGCACCCTCCAGCCGGTTGCGACCCTACACCGCAAGCTGACGGGCCCGCTTCCCGCTCAGGACTCCTTTAACCTGAAAGGAATATCTGCGACCATTGGATATGTGTCTTTCATCGAGCACCCACCAGCTGATTTCAATTCACCACTCGTAGAGGTCCTGCTCAAAGCGGGAGCGGTTCTCTACGTTAAGACAAATCTCCCCCAGACGTTGATGACGGCAGACTCCGAAAATAATGTGTTTGGTCGAACATTGGTAGGCATGCCGCATTCCTGCAAGCACCGACACACTCAGCCCTAATTCATTGTTTGCAGAACCCTTATAAATTGAGCCTGACAGCAGGAGGAAGTAGTGGAGGCGAAGGGGCCCTTGTACGTATGCGAGGCTCATTGATAGGCGTTGGAACCGATATTGGAGGCTCAATCAGAATCCCGGCTCTCTGCTGTGGGACGTTTGGCTTCAAGCCGACCACCGATCGTATCCCAATGGGTGGGCAAGTGAATCCTGTGAGAGATGGTAGGTCACCCCACTGCAAGCCACCCACTGCAACGGAGCATTGCTCCTTTCTGGATTCACACTTGTGTTTTGATTAGTGGAGCGACTTATGTCTGATCGCTCTGCCATAGGTTGGACTGGGATAATACCGGTGGCTGGCCCACTAGCTCACAGTCCACGCGATCTTCGTCTCTTCCTCGAGACAGTGATCAAGTCCAAACCATGGGACTTCGACTATAGCGCTGTCGCTATCCCGTGGCACCCTGTGCCAGAACAGAAGTCCCTTAGAATCGGCGTCATCCTCGAATGTCCCAGCTGGCCGGTGGCACCGCCTATTCTGCGCGCCATGGAGACAGCGACCAAGAAGCTTGAACGCGCGGGGCACAAGGTCATCAAAACGGAAAGTTTCCCTTCCTTCAAGGACGCAACGGATCTAGCGTGGAGCTTCTTCGACATCGACAACTCTGGAACCGGAGTGAAATTCATCCAGGACTCGGGAGAACCTGTGGTGAAGTCAGTCGCAGACATGTATACACCACCACCAGAGGGTCGAAAGACCCGGACATTAGATAACTTTATGGATTTGACTGCTGAGCGCTCCAAGTTCCAGGCCGCGTGGCACAAGATTTTCGTCGACAATCAACTGGATGTTCTCGTGGCTCCAGGGTCCCAGAAGACTGCTGTGCCTCATGATACATTTAGACTTCCTCCTTATACGGCGAATTGGAACCTTCTTGCAGTAAGACTTTCTAACTTCCCAGCGGTTGCACAAGATCTCATCTGCATACAACTACTGACATGCGTGACCTGACATCAGTACCCGGGCTGCATTATCCCATACCTCAAAGCCGATAAGTCAATTGACGTGCCTCGCGCCGAATATAGAGAGGACTGTAAGTGGACTGCACAACGGACAGACGCCCCGGACAACCATGCTGATGTGAAGCAGATGACGCAGAAGCCGTTGACGGCGCGCCGTGCAATATCCAGGTGATCGCGCGGCCTGAGCATGATGAGGCGCTCATCGCTGCCGTGGAGGTTATTGCGAAGGACCTTGGCGTATCAATGTGATGGATGATGACATTACGGATTGCGCACATGAGAGTGTAATGAGCAGTTGACCCCTCGACTGCTCCCAACTTTAACAGTATATGCGAGATCGCAACTAAGGTACTAAGGCTACCCATAGGGATCAAATTAATTTTATGGTGGTCTTCAAGATTATCATCCAAAACGTCAATCACGGTCGAGAATAAACTTGAGCGTTTATATATATGTGAATTCTCGATTCATGGCATATCAGTAGTTGAAGTTCTCAAAAACAATACTTCTTCCAGGGAGCCAGTCCTGGACGGTCTTTCTCAAGGCCGGAGCAGTGCACAGATACCATTCATCCACCGATGCATCTGCCTTTGCCAGGTCGTCTTTCTGCAGCCGCCGTCTTTCAATGTGCGAGCCGATCTCGATCAATTTCTGCAGCTTCGGCTTTTCGCTCTCGTGCTTCTCAAGAAGGGCCGTCTCGCCTGTGAGGAACAGGGTCACCGAGTCCTTGAGAGAAGGGTATTGGGTGAACAGGTCCAAAGCGAGGCCGGCGTCCTTTATTCCCAAACTCCATAACACTTGGAGTTTTGAGATGTTGACATTGCCTATCTGGCCCAGAAGTGGTGTGATACCGATGCCTGCGGCGACAAAGCCAATCCTGCTGCCTTGCTGTTGGTTGAATGAGAATTCACCACCGAATCCCCGGATTCCCACCTCCGCCATCCCCACGCGCTGCCACTCCAGCCATTTCGTCACGCTGCCGACCTTGCGCAATGTGATCTCAAACTCTTCGCCGTGCCTGCCGAGCGAGTTCGATACTGAGGAGACGGTAAAGGTTCTTACATAATCGTCGTTCAGACTAGTGGGGTCATCGTCGCGCATGTGGGAGTAGCCCATATCGAGTTCTTTCGAGAAGTCCATGGTGACATATTGGCCTGGCTTCCATGGTCCCAGCACTGTCGCATCAGCGAGTGCGTAGCGATATCTTGTGATGGTGGGAGTCAATTTCGTCTTGTTCAATAGTTGTGCGGTCACAGGTGGTTCATCTCCAGGAGCTTTCCCGAAAGGATCACTCTGTTCACTTGCTAGGTGGCGGACGCGAGGGTTATATGGTGAACGACCCTTTGTGGCATCATCAACTGGCCTGCCTCGGAATGGCAAGCCATTCTGGATAAGCCTGGCTGCCGTGATCTTGATACTAACGGCAAGGTTCGACTTTGCGATTACCCTGCTGGCCTCGGCGCCCACTAAGGTTTTTGTGTTGCCTGTCAGATATAAGACGTCCCCTGTTTCAAAGTCCGGAACGACTAGACCAGCCCTAGGTGTCGCTTCGAGATTGCCTAGCGTTTGGTATAAGTTATTTCCGCTATATTCTGGCCAGACGAGAGTACTCGCTTCCTCGGGATTTTCAGGTTGCTCAATACGAATGAAACCCTGCGGTCCTCCACGATGATTGGCATCCATATCTTCATGCTCGTGCGCAGATGCGATGAAGAACATGTCCGCTTTTTCAATCAAATCAAGAGCTTTCTGTGTCAGATGTGGGGAGTCGGAGACTAATACCGGCTTGGGTTTGGAGGAGGTGATGATTTTCTTGTTGAGGTATTTCGGACAGTTGCCCAGGCTTTGGTCGATCTTAGCAACGAGTTGAATCGAGCCCGACTTACCCAGGTTACCTTGTCTCTTTGATCCTTCATCGGCGGAGAGAGCGCCAGCAATGAGCCTACCGGCAAGCTTAACCCTTCCTCTCTCTTCTAAATTAATACTCAAACCACTGACAAGGCGACCCTTCCCTTCTTCACGCACTATCTCACCATCATCTTTCCCCTTCCAAATCGCCTCAACGACCGGGTCGAAAGTTGCGTCAACATTGCTTTTGACAGCAATCACACTTTGGGCGACCTGCTGTGATAGCGGTGGCTCGCCCGTACCCCATATCGTGCACCAAGGACGGTCATCCTGGTCGAGGGTTCCAATCGCCATAAGTGGCCATCGCGAAACCTGATAAGCAGCCCATGGAGTGAGAAATGGCGATGTTGGGTTGTCCTCCCGAAAATCGAGATGTGCGCGTTTGTGGATGGCTTTCTCGCCCTCGTGCCATTCGCTCGCTTCGAAGTAAGCCATGCTTGCAATAGCCGTTAACGGCAGATGGCCGGACAGCGACAAGAAATCCGCTTTATACACAAGATCTTGATCAATTCTCGTCAAGTACTTGATAGACTGAACAACGCAGGGATACAAGAAGATGTTCAGTGGCAACTTGAAGTTCAACCGCATGGATCAGGGCGAGCACTTGACTTTATATCAGCACTCAGCACTCAGCGATCCTGTGTGACTAGCGCTGCTTGATAATCGCAGACCCCTGAACGAGCAGCTGTGTATAACCTATTCTTCAATATATGGAAGCAGGAAGGTCTTACATGAGGAGGGGAGCGTGCGCACTTTATCAGCTCCGGGGCATTCCCCCCTAATAGCCGGTAAGAGCGGCAGCAGATGTCGAAGAGTCAAGGTACAAATGTAAAAGTAAAGCCGCTGAGATGACCTGCCACTTTAAGGAGATGTAAAGCGGCCAGGAATGAACAGCCAATCGATGGGTGGATTAGTCATGATGCTAAAAGTGCCAAGCGTACTCAATACCCCCTTGGCATGGAGTATGGAGGCCTCTCTACTCTCTACTTAGGTGCCTATCCTCGTATTCGCTCAACCTCCGACAAATCGGGTCATGATCTCTGGCTACCGGAAGTGGAAAACACGTGGAAAATGCAGATGTTGGAACTTGGAACCGTTGGGACCGAGTACATATGCGGTGGCAGGGTGAGGAGAATCGCTCTTCGACTCCACAACTGCGTGCATCCACACGAGGTTATGCTCTCTTGACCGTTGACTGGGTTCGAGGGACCCTAACATTTCAACCGCTTATGTCTCTGTCTCTGTCTATCTACCCTTCTTTGCCCCTCCACCACCACCGCTCTTTCCTTTGCCTTTAGCACCTCCACTGCCGCCTTTGCCCTTCGCATTCCCACTTCCAGACCCAACACCACCGCCAATGCCACCACCTTGAACAATCCGAGCCCCCTTGACAGGAACGTACCCAACGACTTCCTCAACCCGCCAATCCTTTAGCAAATCCAGTTCACGCCTCCACACCTTCTCTTTCTCACAACTGCCCTCGTCCACGACCTTGGGTCCTCTCGTCGCCAAACCTGTCCAGAACCCAAGGATCTCCCGGACGACCTTTCCCTTTTTGACCGCCCCAGGCTGAAGCTTTATCTTGTATTTCTGGCGTGCTAGGGCAGTCCAAGGAGCAACGACAGGGACGGCTGCGATGAGCTCGTCGCCGGGTTCAGGCAGTGCGACAAGTCGGTCGATGTCGAGGAGCTCTTTGCGTTCCTGCTCAAGCTGCTCCTTGCTAAGTTCGTCGTCCTCGTCCAAAGTCGTACCATTTATGCCTTGCCCGGACGGCCCCTGCGCAGCAGCCTTCTCGAGCCTCTCACGCCGCAGCCGTTCTTTCTCCGCGGCCTTCGCGTGTTGAGCCTTGCGACGCTCCTTATCCGCTTGCGCTTTCGCTTCACGGGTTGCTTTGTCAGCCTCTGTGTCTGCCTTGCGCTCTTGAGCACGGTCTGAGCCGAGGAGTTGCATGGCAAGGGCGCGGTCCTCGGCATCCTGCTCAGCGTATTTCTTCTGAGCCCGTTTGGCTTTGGTGCGTTTTCCCCGGGCCAGCGGTTGCTGTTTTGGACCAGGCTTCACGCTGGTGCTGGAAGACACGGGGGTCGATGTGCGGGTCGGAGATTCGCCGGGAGTGGATGAGGGCATGTCTGGTGGTGTCATCTCCTCATCGCTGTCCGGCTCAGATTCGGCTTCAATGTCGACTTCGCCCTTGCCTGAATCAGATGTGGCCGTCCTCTCCACGGTCGTCTGCAGCGGGTTTGAATGATAATTGTCGCCTGCCTCGGAGGCAGCTATTGATGCTTTGTCGTCTCCCTCGTCCTTATTCTGGTCACTGAGCTGAACATCCTCACCATCGCTGGCGGCTAGGTCATCCGCATCCACTTCTTTTTGTGCATCCTCTGCAGCATCCTCGATGTCTGGAACTGCTTCGCCTCGCATCGATAATGTATCTTCTATGTCTTGTGATAGATTGTGAGCATCGATGGACAGTCGGCGTGCGTCATTTGCAAGAATTTCGGCTTCTCCAGACAACATACTTTCAGTCCGCTCTAGTCGATGCTTGCCATGGTTCACTCTGCTCTCTTCGCTGATCAACCACAGTACACCAAATCCCAAGAGAAGCTGAGTAGGTGGCAAGAGATTTTTGTGTCCTCGAATTACGAATCCCCCGGTCGTAAGATACTCACCGGTTGGGGCCGTTTTACTCACTTGTTCTGCATTAACCCACCATGCACCCATGACTGCTTTTGAATCCCAAGCACTGCTCGTGCATACAGTCAAGGCGCCAGCCTGTGATAAAGTAGAAGGGGGTATTGGTGCATCGGGTGTCCTAGGGTTGTTCTTGACGATGACACTGGACGCTCCTTGAAGATCGGCATGAACATAAACGTCGCCCTTCTTCAAATATCGCCGGTAGAGCAACTCGTTCTGCTGCGCGTCTTTGCCTCCAATTACGAGGTAACCATCGCTGGAAATGAAGTACAGGAATTTTTCGAACCAGAACTGCTTCCTGGCAGGTCTTAGTGTCGCTTTCTCCTGCTTGAGTCCCCTTTTCAGGTCAGCCCCAATTTTTTTCTCGGCCGATTGCAGGGCTTTTGTCGAGGCTTCAATAGTCTTCTTTTCTTTCACAGCAGCTGTTTTTTTCTGTTCATAGTACTGTCGAGAGTTTGCCCAAGGTGACAATGCAAGGTCGATGTCAATCGCAAGCCGCTTGTCCGTTGACTTCGCCGCGGATTTGGCAGTGATCGTACTCGCTTCCTTGTCAGAGTCTGCTTCGTCATCAGTCCTATCCTCTTCGTCGCTCTCCTCGTCTTGCTCAGCGCCGGGTTCGTCGAGGAGAAGCGTCACAGTATTCTCTTGCAATTTCAGCGGTAGCTTGACCATTTGGGCGACCACATTCCCGCGCTTCTGTTCATTCTCAATCAGCTTGCCAATGTCCACCCAGTCCATGCCTTGGCCGATCAGCCCATTGACGGCAGCGCAAGCCTCTTTCACTCTGTGAGTATTGGCTTCTATCGCTTGAGCCTTTCGGATATGTAATTCCTGTACTTGTTGGAGGGCTCCCAGTCGCTTCTCGTGGTCGGCTCTTGTGAATTCTAGCTTCTTTCTGGCGGCCTCTTCGCGCTCAGTAAGTTTAGATTCTAGCCTCTGAGATTCAATAGACGAGTAAAATTCGTCCACTGTCCGGTTGAATCCGTCAAACTCGAGAACATGCAGCTCAGGCTTGTTTTCGAACTGGGCTGGTTTAAAGGGATGATAATCATCATAGAGTATCGATTCCCGGCTAGGGTTTAGCGCTTCTGAAGGTCCATTTCCCTCGTCCGAGGCAGCCTTGAATTTTGCAATGATATACCCTTTGGATTGGGTGCTGTCCAAAGCTTTGAAAATGGCGCCAGCTTGTCCCAGTGCTGTTATCACGATATCAAGAATTTCATTGTTTTCAATCGCTGCATCTGCTTTGATAACTGCATCAATCCCCGCCTGTCGAAATACGTGATCTAGGAGGTGAGCAGGAAATTCGGGGAATGCAACACTCAAAGCCTTCTTCAGATCATCTGCACCTTTGGCCCGCTTAGCTTTCTTGCCACCTGCTTCATTGGCAGCCTTGGCCCTTTCGACAGCCTTCTGTAGTGCCTCTTTAACCCTCTCGGCCGTGATGGGAGGCACGCCGGTGTAATTCTGCTTCGGCTCTAGCAGGTATTTCCCACCCAATTTAATATCGACATCGTCGTCTCCCTCAGAGACCTGGCGGAGCAGAACCAAGACATTCAAACTGGCATCAGCAAGGACTATGTTCCCAGCCGCGAAAAACTCGAGGAACAAACGGTATTGGCCATCGCTGAAACTGATCTCAATAACTCGATCAGTTCCTATCTGGGCAACACCGGTAACCCGTCTACTCTTGAGGTATTTCCGGAGTCGACTGACGAAGACAGAGGGCGCAGTAGCTGCGGTGCGGGAGAAGGAGGTCAAGTGGCAACGGAAGCCTGAGTCGACAAGCAACTGCTCTCTTCGACCTGGTTTGGCAAATTTGAGGAGGAATATTCGACTGGAGAGGTCGTAGATGTTCGAAACCCGTAATGTGATGAGTGCCGCTGCAAGTTCATTGGAAATGACCTAAAATAACCAGAAAATTGTCTATATGTCAGTCCCTGTCACTTGGTCGCATGTTCAGTGGGGTGACGGCCGTGGGCATGAATTCGAGGGCGGAAGAGGAATTCCCACCTTGACGTCTAGGGACGAAAATCGCTGTTTCATACTGACCGCTAGTCAAAGGATCAAATGGGCAGAGGAACAAGCCAGGGACCGAATCCTCAAGATCGGGATTCTTGGTCGAAAAGTTGATCAAAGGCTATTTGCTCCTCGTGAGACTTATTCGTGAATCGTGACACTGATGACATGGGGAATGTGGAAATGACGTGAGGGGGTCGTTTTTGGCGCTGGCGGCAGGGGAGCCAGCCGATTAACGCCAGACATCACGTGGATCGGAACGCGACCTTCAAGCGGTGGGGGCAATATCTTGGCGCGCTGCTTTTACAGGGTGTTACGTGGAATACTACTTGGGTAGTTCAGTTCATAAGGAAGTCTACATTCATTGCTCTAGCAGGAAATTCATACAAATAGATTCTCAAAGTATCGACAAGAATGTAAATCTTCACAAAAACCACCCTTAAATCTGGCGACTCTCAGATCGGCTGAGGTTTTTGCTTTCTGCTGCAAGCAGGGATAAAATGAGTTCCACGTTCAAGGCTGGTCTCTTGGATAGGCCAAAGGCGCTCAAAGACTGGCCAGCGAAGCACTGGAAGTAGTATGGGTTCCAGTCCTTGCAGATGAGACCCGATTGGCACTCTGTGGGACCACTGTAATGAATACCACCGCATTGCTGCCAGATGGCTACTGTGACGCCGGATGGAAGCGTTGTGGTCGTTGGAGGAGCAGTGGTGCCTGTGGTCTTTACCGCCGTCTGCAGACTGGTTGGCACGGCGGTACTTGCTGGAGTGACGATGTTGGAGCGAAATTAGTAGGCTCTGGACCAGAGGATGCGCCATCTCAGACTGGTGGTCCGGGATTGGATATGGCTCAGCGCCATTGTACAGATCAAAGAGAATACCAGAGTTGGTAGCAGAGTAATTTCCAGGGATTGAAACGCCTGCGGGAAGGGTGGTGCTTCCGGAGAGGTAATCTTGATCTGAACACATTCCATATAAAACTGAGCTCCACTGACAAAGAAGCCTTCGTGCAGGGCGATGGTCTCACCACGAAGGAGATAGTCACCTGGAGCGATGTACCCCAGAACAGGGCTTTTATGGGATGGGTCAATTATTTGATCTCCTGCGCAGCGGTCCTCGTGGTGCCATTCAAAATCTATCTTCGAAGTCTCAGCCTTGACCTCACACTCACCAAGAGCGCCAACGTACCTTATCACCAGCCTTGACCGATAGTGTCTTCGCTGTGGCAACGTTGTTGATGTTACAAGTCATATCCTTTGAGGTGAAATCACCAGAGGTGCATTGTTTGTGGCAAACTAATATATCCAGAAGCACTGTTGCCCAAGCGTTGATCGACTCTATTGATCCACACACTTTGGAGGGTCCCGTGGGCGGAGACAAGTTTTGCCGCAGCTGCGAGCGCAAGAATTGCAAAAGCTTTCATCTTGTACGGTAGAGAATGCCGTTTTCGAAAGAGTGACTGTCAAGCTAGCTGGCAGTAACGGGTGACTGTAAAAGAATGGATGCCGACCTGCGACGAAAGGGTTTGAAAAGGAAAAGATCAGGTTGGATTCCTGAACGAGGGAAAATACATCTCGGGCATGATGAGTCCATCGCAAGCTCTTATATAGCACGACTTGAATCTTCAGCTCGTGTATTCATTCATGGACAGGCCGAGATTCCCTTCCATCTCCTGAGCTTACCGCCGACGAGACTGGACTTCAACAGGTATTCAATGAGACTGGACTCGCTTAGAATGCTAGGATGTAGATTGCCTGATAGACACCATTTAGCAGTCACATCAAATGGACCATGCGCTCGGATGAATGGGAGCTAGGGCTATATACGTGGGTATCATAAACAGAGTTACCAAGGCCTTCCTCCTGCTAAAGTATTTGGTTTCTCTTGGCGGTTTATTGGCATGTTTCGAATAGTATTGCGAACGAAACTCTCACCTTATTGAGCAGAAGTTACCGTGCGGATCTAGCCGTGTACAGATGGAATGAAGTGGCAACTTCCACGCACTTTTACTAAGTAGGACGGAATCCTAGCCCTCCGCGGTATTTAGTCCCTGTACTTGCAATGAGCACAGATAGCCGAGGTCGCTAAATAGCCATAAAGCTAGCGGTTAACGAATTCTCCGTATATTCAAGGGATATCCCAAGCGTGAGAGGGGATTGCGAGATTGGCCTGCCCCCTTTGCCATTGCACTGTGATGTTCGATCGAATCCGAGCCCAGATCATGAAATGTAAGCAAAGGAGGGCAAAGACTCTGTATCATGAGTATCATCAGTACCAGGCACTCGGTAAGGTGTAGAAATTAGTAGCTATGACCGAGGGCTTTTGAGGCTCCTCTTTTCTGGGACATACGAATAGATACTAGTTACATTTGATGATGAGGTTGGAGGCAAAGGTGGTATTCCGAGCAGCTTGAAGGTAGTGGATGCTAAGGAATGCAGCTACATGAACGCTGAATTTCGCCTGACCTCGGGCACTTTTGGGTGAGACAACTTGTTTGTCTCGTAGGCCAGATCATTTATCTTGTGACTGAGTTGCCAACTTTACTTAAAGACATTTGAACCCGTTTCTCGTTAGGCCGGGACTCGAGGCTGCATGCAACGTTCGGCCAACGTCTTCTCGAAGGCAACTGTAAATGTAGCTTGTAGCGGTCCCCCCTCGCGGATGTTGTACGCCATGATTAGAACACGATATATAGATGACTGAGGCTCGTCATTCGAAACGCAGGAACGACATTAGATGTGCATAGATACCTTGAAGGTAAATGTGAACCCCCGGAAAGTTGATCGTCATACTGGGACAGAGTTTGCCCTTTGCAAATATAACATTTTGGTAGTAGGGGAGCTAGAGCGATCTGATTTCGGAGGCAAACTGATAGCGTTACTCGTCTTCTATTGAGGACCCGCACCACATACATTATCAACAAAACAACAACAGCTCCCTGTAGATGAGATGAATGATTGCCAACCCGGTCAGCGACCCGTCAATTTGGGTTCTGACGGTGGAGAAGGGGTGTGCTCCGATAGTAAAGAAGGTACATCGGTACATTACGGATCAGAATCTGGAAGATCGATGGGAAGTTTCATGCTGCACGTCAGACCTTCGCGATCCAAGTGGTTTTTTACTCTCTTTATCTTTCCAATTAGACTGGGACTATCTGCCCCCTCCATGTGAATCTGGTTCTGTGCATTTCCTTATCTAGATACTGGTTCAAAACCATCACCTCACCACATTGGAATATACGCCCTAGAGCGTATAGCGGAAGCCCTCGATGCCATCGATGGCTGGTCCTCCCTCCTCTACCTTTTTATTCTCATGATGGAAATAGTACACCAGCGCACTGGTCATGAGTATACTGCAGCAAGCAAACGCAATTGACAGATAGAGGCCAAAGAGATACCTTGGTGCATCCTGGGTCCTGAAAATGAGTGCTCCGGCAATACCACCAAATCCGGCAAACCCGCCTTGCAACGGTAGCGCGATTTGGCGCTTGCTTGATGAGGGGAGGTTGTTGATGAGGAAGGCGATCACAGTAGGGATGGTGCAATTGTTTCCGATCGTCATCAGGAAGACACCCACGAGTCTTGAGCCCAGGTTTGTGCCCCATCCAATAAGGACGATGCCAGCGATAACCAAGATCATGTGACCCACAATGAATGGCGATCGAATGTGGACACGGTCCGCCCACAGGCCTGTCCCGACGGAGCAAAAGACGGATAGTATCATCGGAGGGGTGACCAGGATCTGGCTGAGTGCTGTGCTGAATCCGAAACCCCTAAGGATCGATGGGAGGAAGAAGGACAATGAGTACGAGCCGGCAGTCGACCAGAAGAGCAGGAGAGCCAAAGCCCAACATCTCCAGTCACTCAGAGCAGCAAACAGTCGGTGCCTGTCCATTTTCTCCTCAACCTCGCCTCGGTCATGGTGGAGCCGTTCCTGGATATGGCGTAGCTCATGAGGTTTCAACCACTTGGCTCTTTCGGGAAATTCGCTCACGTAGCGGTAGACGGGCAGTGCCAGGACAGCCGTGACGAGACCAGGCATGATGAAAATCCATCGCCATCCGCGAAGTCCCCCAACGCCTTCCATCAAGCTGAGTGCGTAGGAGATGATCCCCTGGAAGCCGTTGAGAAATGCACCGCTCATGTACCAAATGGCAATGCGCTGGTGGGTTTCGTAGCGTTTGTACCAAGACGAAATGAGGTAAGAGCATGTTGGCTTAAGGATGATCAGTCTCTGATCTCGTACGAGAGCCACCTGTATATAGAGCCAACTTACTTGAAATGCACCTTCGAAGGCACCAAGGAGCACTCTGACCGCGATGAGGTCTTTCCAGTCGTTGACGAAGCCACAGCACATGGCGAGGATACCCCAACAAAAGACACAAAATGCGAGGTATTTCCTGACGCTGATCCGGCGAATGAGCATGTTGGATGGAACCTCGAGCAAGATATAAGTCGGGAATAGCATGAGAGAGACAATCGAGTATCGGTTCCCCGTCAGCTCGAGATCTACCTCCATACCGGCAACTTTGGCAGATCCAATGTTGGTACGGTCGAGCAGGGAAAAAGCGTAAAGAGTCGCAAGCCAGGCCACGATATGGAGATCAATACGACGCAGCAGTTTCTTGTCGTTTATAGCCGGGTATTCTGCTCCCAGCGAGTCCTCGTGGCAGGCGATGTCAGGTTTGTCATCCTCGAGTGCTGTGCTGTCGGAGATAGCCTCCGTTTTGGCCCCCGGGATCACCATTGCGGCTGTCAGTATTGAGGGTGAATGCGTCGAGGCGGGGTGCAGATTCACAGACTTAAATCGGTTGTCCAAGCCTTCGAAGCGTGAGCTCTGGGATCTGGAGTCCGGGGTTATGGAGGATTGATATTGATTAAATACTAGCATCTGGGGTCCCCACGTTGTCTGCGACCCACTCATGCCTCGGGGACAACGGGCCAATCGAGACGGCCCCTTGCCGCTCGGCCCGAGGTCTTAGAATAGAATGGACTGGTTCGATAACTCTCATTGATGATCGCGCTGATTATGGTGCACCGTCCACATGGAGACACTCTAATGTGCGTGAGAATTACAATCTCGGTCAAATTGTCGCTAGAGACGGCGTCGTCGTTCGGCAAGCTGGGAAGTCGAGACTATTAGGGCATGGAATGACACAATGCATAGCCCAACTGCCAACCACCCCACTTATGTTTCCAGACTCTACTGCATCACAATAGATTCATGTATTCGCAAATATAGAGAGGCAATCCCACAAATCTATTGAGGCGCAAGTCAAAAAGGATTATCTTGGTGTCCCAGTGCGTGATTCCAAGCATTGGACAGTTCTATTTTCCTCACGTTGAACTCAATCTACTTGGTTGCATCTCGATGGAAAGTGACAGACGGTTGCTTACGATGCTTGCAGAATTACAGACTTCCCATTTTAACAGCCTAAGTCAGTCGGAGCCTGTAGTTCTATCTCTCCAGCTGGCAGCATTCGCCGTCTAGTCTTGTATGATCACAGTCGGCAACCGGTCGATGCCAGTGTCCACTGAAACAGATGGCACGTCAAATTTTAACCCTCGAGGAAGACCATTTTTGAATATCAGGGTGATTGGTGTCGAACAAGTCCTTTTTTATCAGTAGTTTGGGAACCTTTAGACTTGTCGTTTTGGGCAATTCGCGAACAACGCGTAGTAATGTCGGTAGTTTGTAGGAAGAGAGTTTGTCTTTGAGAAACGATCGAAGCTCTGCCAATGACAGGCAATCCGCACCCTGAATGTATGTTAGGGGTTTTAGTGGGAGGATAAATGTCCTTACCTCGCTTAAGACGACTGCGGCCGCAATGCGTTGGCCAAACTCATTGTCATCGACACCAACAACGATCGCCTCAGCAATTATGGGGTGTTCGAGGATCTGCCGCTCCACGTCAAGCGCCGAGATCTTGTATCCGCCAGATTTGAGGACTGCTTGTTAGCTAAGTAGAGGCGCAAGGCGATCGTACATACTGTCAACCGACTTGCGTCCCTTAATGAAGTAGTTTTCACCATACTTCTCGGCCACGTCACCAGTCTTGAAAAACCCATCGGCGGTTAATGACTTTTTGGTAGCTTCGATGTCGTATATGTATCTATGTCTGTCAACATACAGCTCTACAAAGAGCATTTGGGTCAACAAACTTGGAGAAAAGGAATGGGGACCGGATGAAGATCTCGCCCTCGTCTCCCTGCTCAAGGTAGGACTCTATGCCCGGATTCGTCGTGCCCACTGAGCCCTGAATTTTCCGTCAGCGTTCTTCTAAGGGGTTTTGCGTTCAAACTCACTGCCACAACAGGAACTCCAGGACTGTGCGCGAAAGGATTCCCAAACTCCGTACCACCATATCTCTCCGCGATTTGCCGGCCTCTGCATAGTGCCGCCCATTTAGATGCAATGGATGCGGGCAAAGCGGCCGAGCCACAGTGGAATTGTTCAATATTTGAAACTGCCGTTTGATACAGCTCTCTCTCAACCGCGTCAATGCCTGGTGACCACTTCTCCCAATGTTGCAGGAGACGGACGTAGATCGTTGGGACTGCAGAAAACAGATTGATGTCTGCCAACTTGATCCGTTCCCAGATCTTGACGGCGTCAAACTTAGGCTGAGTGAATTCCACGCAGCCCCCACCGACTATAACAGGAAGGATATTGACCAGCAATCCTGTGGCGTGGTGCGTAGGCAGCAAGTTCAAGCTCACGTATCCTGGTCGGATGTTCTGCCTCCAACACTGCAAGCTTGAAATTGCAAACAAGTTATACCGTCGCAAGGCAACCCCTTTAGGAGGACCAGTAGACCCCGAGGTGAAGATAATCAACCCGGGCTTATTCGCATCTGGGATCTTGGATGATGAGAAGGTCAGTGTGCTGGGAGTCACCGGCGTGTTATTGATCACGTCATCCAAAGTTACTACACAGTAATCCTCCTCATTTTCCTTAGCTGGTGACCCAGACTGTGCTATGCAGGAGTATTCTCTAGAGCATATCGTGGCCGAGGCTCTGGATGTGCGCAACACATGGCTGAGTTCGTTTTTGGTGATATGAATACCTGTTTGATCGTCAGTCATCCGAGCCCGAAATGGTCATTTTGTTCGCATATACTTGTCGGGACTGAAATGCCACCTAGTGCCAACATCGCCAGGAATATGACGACGAACTCATAACCACGTGCAATCAACACGAACGAGGCCTCTCGCTCGTCGTAGATCGTGTCGAGTACCTTCGGAGAGATTGCTGCTCGTATGCGATTTCGAGCGGCTACCACATCACTCAACAGTTGCCGATAGTTCACGTCGATGCCGCGGAAGGCATCTCTGACCGCAGACGCGTTGCTGTGCAATGCCAGAAAATGAAGCCTGTGAAAAAGGAGATCGTGCGGCAGCACTAGCGGGCCTACATGGCGAGTGGTCAGGTCGGTGCGATCAAATGTCGCGGGATCAAGTGATTGAGGTGCCATGTGAATAGAATGTCAGCTACCTTTCACCGCTTGAGCTCTCGAGGAGGTTGAAGTTCTTCTAAATCAAATCTCTTGTGCGCTATTACAATCATTGCGAAGTTGACGGATCTAGGACTAGATCAAGGGTTTTGAGCCCGACGCCTTTCCCAGACAGGCTTTGGATGCCGACCAGACCAAGGCCCGCACAAGTCCCGTCAGAATCCCCGGATACGTGCATCTATCTCTTCATCAAATTTACGTGCACCTATCTCTTCATCAAATTTACGCGCACCTATCTCTTCATCAAATCGATTTCACACGTTCCCATGTACACCGCTTCAGGTCTGTGTGTTATGGTGATGATTATGTTGATTACGCATTAATCATTTGCCGCCATTTCAAGAAGCTGACAACACGAGAATCCTGACCATTGAAGGGAAGACTGGCCATCTATCATTGATTACGCTTGCGGGTATGGAGCTAAGCGGCGCACTTTCAAATGAATGTAGCACTGATCTTGAACGTTAATCCAGCAGACCAGAATTTGCTGTCAAACGTACAAAAACCTTGCTAGTCATGCCTGCTCTTTCGCTAGACTAGCCACGTCGAACACAACTTTATGGACTTTTCTAGCGGCAAAATCCTCGTAAGCCTGTGCCGCATCTTCGAGAGACATCTTCACTGAACACAAAAAGGCAAGCTTGTCTTGCTGTTTCACGAGGACATTCAGTGCGTCATCAAAAACGCTCCGGACTGGACATCTGCCGAATCCCATTTTTACGCCTTTGCCGTACAGAGTCAGCCCTTGCAAGGGAATAGTATCCGTGTGTACTCCCACGGAACTGAGTGTCCCGTATGGTCTGACCAATTCTAGCCCAAGCATCAAAGCGTCAGTATGTCCTACAACCTCCATGACAGCATCCGCACCTCGGCCTTCAGTGACGGACTTTATCTTTTCAATGGGGCCTTCGTTGAGGTTGAGTGGGATAGCCCCGACTTTCGCGGCTTCCGCAAGGCGACCGGGCACCGAGTCGATGGCGTAAACATGTTTGACCATTGTGAGGGCGGTTGCGATCGCACATATACCGACTGGGCCACATCCAATCACAACGGCAGTCATCTCATTGCGACGGCTCAGAGGAAGGTCCTTCACGAAACGTGAGGCGGCAAAATATCCAGTCGGCATGATATCTGCCATTAACACAAGCATCTGCTCGGGAATTGCTGAGAAGGTTAGAGCACCACCTCCCCACTGGCTAGGCTCTCACTTACTGTCAGGGGCTTTAACCACACTTGTGTCTGCTAGAGGTACTCTCACGAACTCTGCTTGACCACCCTCAAGCTGCCCCGGCAGGCCGAGCATCAGACCTTTCGTACAGCGGCCCGACTCTCCCAATTGACAGTAGTAGCACGATGAGCATGCTGTACAGAACGGGACAACAACTTTGTCTCCGACCTGTAGGCGCTTCACGTCGGAGCCCCTTTCCTCCACTGTTCCAACAACTTCGTGACCGATTACGAACTCCGATACCACATCGAGACGGCCATGATACCAATGAAGATCAGAACCCTAAATTGAAATGTCAGGTGGCGGTTGCTATATCCGTAGATAGCTTTGACGTACGCAGAGACCCGAGGATGTCACTTTTATGATCACATCCGTATTTTCTTGCAGGCTCGGACGTGGTCGGTCTTCGACGACAACCTAAATCGAGTTCGCTATCAGATTCTGGCTGCAAATCGACCCTGGAGGCCACCTTACCCTGCCAACTCCTTTTAAAACAACGGCGCGCATTGTCTTGGTCGCCATAGCTGGGTTCGAAAATTTTGGGGTTTGCGAGATTCCAATTCCTTTAGCGGCTGAATACAAAGCGGCTGCGAATAGCGTGAAGTTATCCAGGTTGTGTCCTGAAGAAAAATTGTGACTTGAGCAATATTCAAGCTAGTCTAGAGTTGATGTTCAACCTAAATTTCGACACTCCGCGAGTTAAACAAGCTATGGTAGCATCGATCATAGAGCACTAGCTACCTCTTGTTCAACTGATAGTGCATGATCCGTGTAAACATGACCTCCCAAGTAAACCTACAATGCCCGCTCGCGCCGAGGCAAAGACCACGTGGTTGACCTGCCCACCAGGTCGATTCCATTACTTGATTGCCCTGATAACGAGTGCTAGGCTGGCGGTGTTTGGTTGAAGAGAACTCTTGGGATCAACATGAAGGGGCTCGTTTAGTTGTGATACCGAGGGTCTGTAGGAGATCCAGGGTCTACAGCCAAACTACCAGGTGCAGCTCGGCCCGAGGCTAGATTCAGCAGCCACCGTGTCGATTGGCGACATTATTGTCATGGCCGAGTTACTTATTTCTTGTAAGACTAACGAGTGGGAGGCGGACCTCGGGGTTGAGGATCAACAGTTGTGATTTTCAATTCTCTGGCGAAAGCCTGATGGCGTATTGAAATTGGATCTTTCAAACTTCCACAAACTCTGGCAAAACTGCCTATGTGCATTGCCAGAGTACGTTAATGTACAGAAAACTTGCGATTATGAAGAATATTGACCTCCAGGATGGACAAAGCGGGCAAGTGGTAACATCCTTCCTACCAAGATCCCACAATAAGGACCAGACACTACCGGACAACGTTCCTGCGGTAGAGGATGTGACCATCACAGATCAGTTATTTGGTGCTAAACGGGGTCTGAGAGTGATTGTGATCGGGGCTGGCGCATCTGGGCTCAATTTCTTCAAGAGGGCCGAAGAGCAGGCAGAAAACCTGGATATCGTGTGCTACGAAAAGAATGCCGATATTGGGGGCACTTGGCTCGAGAACCGTTATCCCGGTTGTGCTTGTGAGTCTGCAGAAGGTGCCATTACTAGATTCACCACTAATCGTTCGGAAAGGTGACATACCTTCCGTAGTCTACCAGTTCCCGTGGAGACCTGCTCGCTGGTCGCAATTCTGGTCCCATTCAGAGGAGATTTGGAGTTATCTCAAATTGGTAGAACAAGAGAACCGATTCGTCGAAAAGTACGTCAAACTACAGCACCAGGTTGAGGCGTTGTCGTGGAGTGATAAGAACGCGAAATGGAAAGTCAGCGTTCACGATGCTCAACGTGATCTCCGATTTGAAGACCATGCTGATGTGGTAATCAACTGCACTGGAGTGTTAAGTAACTGGAAATGGCCCGCTATCCCAGGCCTGCAGACGTTTCGGGGAACTCTCCTCCATTCTGCGGCCTGGGACTCTTCGATCAGCCTGAAAGGGAAGCGCGTCGCTCTCGTTGGTGCTGGTAGCAGCGCCGTGCAGATCTTACCGAGCATCTACGAAGACGTTGACAAAGTCTACACATGGGTTCGTAGCAAAATCTGGATTACCGGAAATTTCAGCCAGACTTTTACGCGAGCCGACGGGTCTAACTATCAGTATACGGAAGAACAGCAGGAAATCTTTAATGATTCTAGTCACGACGAATATCTGGCGTACCGCAAGATGGTCGAGGAGCCATTTAACCGGCGCTTCGAGTTCATTATCAATGGCAGCGAGGCGCAGCAAAATACGTTTGATTATTGCAACGAACACATGAGGTCCAGCCTCCAAACAAGATCTGACCTCATTGAGAAGATTGTGCCTACCGACTTTTATGTTGGTTGCAGAAGACCCACCCCCGGCTATGGATATCTTCAAAGCCTTTGCGCGTCGAAAACCACCACGTATACAGACAGCTTAAAGACCATCACCGAAAAAGGTTTCATTGACCCCGAAGGCAATGAGCAAGAAGTTGACGTTATCATCTGTGCTACCGGATTCGACACATCCTTCAAACCCCGGATCCCACTTCTCGTCAATGGGGTCGACATGCGCCAGAAATGGGCCCAAGACCAGCATCCGCCCTCATACCTCAGTGTTGCCTTGGGAGGGGTGCCGAACTATCTGACATCTGGGGGTGCATACTTCCCTGTCGCCCACGGATCATTCTTTCCTCTCATCGACTCTTTCTGCAACTATGCCCTCAAGCTCACTGAGAAAATACAGGTTGACAACATTGCATGGGTGGCACCCAATGAAATGAAGACGAAGCAATTTCTGCGGTACGCTAACACCTTCCTTAAGCGAACGGCCTGGAATGGGCCTTGCTCGTCATGGTTTAAAGGTGGGACTGTGGACGGTCAACCGGCGCTGTACCCCGGATCACGGCTGAGCTTCATGAAGCTCATAGAGAATGTCCGGTTCGAGGACTACGACATCGAGTACCTTGATCGAGAGAATCCTTTCGCTTTTCTAGGAAAGGGAAAGCATGTGTGTGAGGAAGATGGCAGCGATGTCACGTGGTATTTAGGGTCGACTAGCGACCAGACCTTGAAAGATACCCTGCGAGAGCGGATGACGGCGCCAAAGTCGGCGTGATTACTACTGGTCCCGTCCGAAGGCGGCACAGGCTTGAGCATCCGCTACTACGCAGAGGCCGGCACGAAACCGAAAGCGCTATTTTTGAGGTGCTTATCCGTAGAAATATTCATAGAGTGTATACAAATCCATTCTCCAAACCGGACGTAACAGTGTAGGAAGCCGCAAGTGACAAGGGGATTGCAGAGAATCCTCGTAGGGTCATAGAAGTCCGGATTGTCCAGTCTCCTGCCACCGATAGATTGTAGGTCCAACCCTTTGGATAGTAAGCCGTAGCGAAATGGATCTTCTTGCCGAGCCTCGATGCGGAAAAGAACCTATAAGTCAGCAACAGGTTTAGTGCTAGTGCTCCCGAGGTAATGTTCAATGCTGGCGGGATGGCGAGGACCCATTTAAAAGAGTGACCGACATTCATGCTCCATCAGGAGGCGGACAATATCTTGAAGATAAAACCTTTTGACAAGATCTCTGGCAGCAGATCAATTACAGTTCAGTAATCTGATCACATCAACCATCGAATTTGCACAATGGGCTCAGTAGATAGTACAGGTTTCGACCTGTCCAAGAACTTCTATAATGTGATCAACGGGGAAAAGCGATCGAGCTCGCGAACAAGTCATGGCACGAATCCATCTACCATGGAACAACTCCCAGAGGCCCCGATTGCATCGTCTCAAGATCTGGACAAGGCTGTCCGCGGTTCCAGGGCGGCATTTGCTGAATGGTCAGAAGTTCCGGTCGAGAAAAGAAAGGCATTAGTGAATGCGTTAGCCGGGGCTTTGGAGGCTCACTCTGAACAATTTGCTCGTTTGCTGACTCTCGAGCAAGGAAAACCGGTCAGTAGAGTCGTAACAGAGCCGTCAAAATGTTTACTGACCGGCCCAGCTGTCCCTCGCCCAGGGAGAGATCAAGATAGGCGTCCTTCGAGCGCGAGAACTATGCAACTTAGACTTACCCGAGACGATCAGGCTCGAAGATGAGAGACGGAGAGCTATCTTGTCATATAGCCCTCTTGGAATTTGTGCTTTGATTGTTCCTTGGAATTTCCCCATTTCCTTGGCTACTCAAAAGATAGCTTCGGCATTGGTGACTGGAAACACGGTCATCTTGAAGCCGTCTCCGTTTACCCCATACTGTGGCTTGAAGCTGGGCGAGCTGGCTCAACAGTTCTTCCCGCCCGGTGTTTTCCAGGTTCTCAACGGCGATGATGAACTGGGTCCTTGGATCACAGCTCACCCTGGGATTGACAAGATCAGTTTCACAGGATCAATTGCGACGGGAAAGAGGGTTATGGAGATTGCGAGCCGGACACTGAAGCGCGTGACGTTGGAGTTGTAAGTTTGTCCCGGAGCTAGAAATATGCGTGGACATTACTTACTGCGACAGAGGTGGCAATGACCCTTGCATTATCTGCGACGATGTCAACATTGAGGAAACGGTGGCCAAGGTAAGTACATCCAGATGCACAAGTTCGGCTAGCCAAAGTTTACCCGCCATACCCCATTTCTGACAACGTTAGGTGGTTACTATATCCTTTCTGAATTCGGGCCAGGTTTGTATTGCGGTCAAGAGAATTTATGTTCAAGAAAATATCTACGATCAGTTCCTCGCCGCCTTCGTGGACCGTGTCAAGACTCTCCAGCTCGGGGATGGGTTGGAGGATGGAGTTTTCCTCGGACCCCTCCAAAACAAGCAACAATACGAAATAGCACAAAGGTTTCTCTCAGATGTTGAAAGCCAGAATCTGAAAGTCGCCCTAGGTGGTTCCGTCGTCCACACTAGACCTGGCCTTTTCATCTCCCCGACGGTGGTGGATCGACCGCCTGACACATCTGATGTGGTGAAAGAAGAGCTTTTTGGTAAGCGTTCTGGTCATGCTCAGGACAGTTCAACACGGACAAGCACTGATATTTTAAGCACCGATTGTACCCTTACTTTCCTGGAAGAATGAAGAGGAGGTCATCTCCCGAGCGAATGAGACTCACACAGGCCTCGGAGGCTCTGTCTGGTCCAAAGACATTGCCCGGGCCACGAGAATTGCGCGAAAATTGCAAGTTGGAACGGCTTGGATTAACGAGCATGGGGCCCTCGACCCTCGTGTGCCATTCTCAGGCTTGAAGGAAAGCGGGTACGGAACAGAGTTAGGTATCGAAGGACTCAAAGCGTTCTGTAACAGCAAGGTGATTTTCGTTCCAAAGTAAAGGATTTTATGGTCTGAAAAAACATGGGTGCTCAGATAATGGCTCATGGGCTTACTTGCTCTGACAATCAGGATGACGAGTCAAACACTAAGAGACTTTAGTCTGCTCATCTCCAGCAATGGATTTGAAGTAGTAGAATTCAGCACACCTTCATTCAGGGTGACATCCTCAATCTTATGAAAGTTTTATGAAAATCATGGCCCTTTAAGCCGCTAAAAATGAACGATCCAGGTGGACTTGTGCTATCTCCGCCGGACGGGCGCCATCAAGCCCTCGGCAATCGGTCGGATCAGGGTGACAGGTGCCTATGGGTGCCTGAATGACCATCTCGTGAAGTAGAGACGTCTTCGCAGGTCAAAGGTTATAAAGGGGCGCATCGCCACGTTCTGTCCTCATGTGTTTGTCCCCGGGTCATTTCGTACCAAGACATGTCTTATAAGACATCGTGGCTGAATTCGGGAGAGGCCTCAGGTGGTCGTTCCACGATTGCCGGGACTTCATCCGAGATCACGGTGAGGAGTCTGGTGTTGAAGGCGTACCTAGCGCTCGATCCCCAGGTGAGTCGATACTGTCAGGATACACGCATGACGAGGTGAAAGGTATTGGATGCAGATTACACCGACCTGCAGAAACAGAGAGGCCCAAGAAGCTTCTAATCATCATATTCTGGGAACATGGTGGCTGGATGCAGTACGACTGTAGCTGAGGATGTTGCCGTTGCCAGATGCGTCGAAGGCTGGCTGGAGCTTATAGGGGGGTCCCGCTATAGAAATGCGAGAAGACCTGGACTATATGTCGATATCATTAACTGAGACTTTTTCGGTGGACAAAAGGTGTCATGGAGAACTGAACGTGACCGCGAGATGAAGAACCGAATCCGCCATCAGACCCATCTGTACTCATAGAGGCGATTCGTCCCAATCAGTAGGCGGCTTTGTGGACTAGGCTCACTATGGTGAACGATCTCATTGAAAACCCAAAAAAATGGACTACTTGCCTCCAAAAGTACGATCTAGCACGAGGAATCCGACGAAGGATGAATATCTAGGACTATACTATTGTCTCCTTCCAGCTTCCACCTTCCTGAATACGACCGAACAGGTATCCGCAACGGGCGTGATCATGTAGTAATCCTTGAAATCCATATTCTCCTTCTGAGGGAGCATGGTTGGTTTTCTTGTCTCAAAGGTCTTGTACAAATGGCTAACCGCAACTTTGATTGTGACCATGGCGATGTTTTGGCCAATACAGCCTCTCGTGCCCTTTCCGAAGGCCATCCAAGCAGTCTTGGCCTTCGCGGTAGGCTCGTCCCAGCGCTCAGGGATGAATTCCAGGCATCGTTCGAAGTACTCCTCTTGCCGATGCATGCTATATGGTTGGGCGGAGATCACGGTGGAAGCTGGGATGAATTTTTCCAGGAGAGTAACTCCGTCTTTGGGCACGATGCGCGGTTCGGAGGCTGGGATGGACGAGTATAGTCGCAGGGTCTCCAGAACGACGCCATGCAGATATGGCAGCTTGTCGACGGCGGTGAAGTTGTCGAGGTCGACTTTCTTGAGCTCGTCGTGCAGCTTCTGCTGTTGCTCAGGGTTTTTGGAGAGGTGGTCAATCATGAACGTGAGCGTTGTACCGGTCGTCTCGTGGCCGGCTCCCATGTGATCCATGACTTCTGCAGAGTATTCTTCGCGCGAAAGACCCGTCTTCATGAGCTTGGTCAGCAGATGCGCTTTCTCGGGGTCACACTTGTCCATCCACTTGTGGGTCATATCATTGATGATTTGTTCCCCTGTCGCTGCATCTTTCCAGCCTGGTATCAGGTTTGCAATGCCAGATGAGTATAGCAGCTTTGTGAATTTCGGGAGCTCAGCAAACCAATGGAAGGTTTGCCTTCGCATATGCCAGGCATCAAACACCTCTGTGTCCTGGCCTTGGAGCAGCTGACTTCCGTTTTGGTTGCCGAAGAAGAAACCCGAGATGACGTCTTGCGCCATATAATTGAATAGGTAGAACACATCAACTGTGCTGTGCTCCGAGACGTTGCTGATCATCTGTCTAACGCGGTCGTAGATGACAATCAAATTCTCGGGTCGCAGCATGTAGGCTTTGGTATATTCACCGCCCAGGTGCTTTCTCCTATAGCTATGGCGCGCACGGTCTGGCGTACTGAACATGTTCTTGGCCCCAAATGCTTCAAAGGCATTGTAAAAATGCGTCTTCTCATAGTTATAGATGGGACCGACCGACGGTGGATGATTGATAGAGATTTCATCTGGAGCTAATCGCACCAGAGGACCATATTTGCAATGCAATTCGTGAATATAACGAGTTCTGTTCAGAGTGATTGTCTGGTACAGAAGAGGGATCTTAGTGAATCTTGTGATGTATGGACCAGGAACCTCTTTCAAAGCCAGTGACTTGAGAAAGACGGACGCAATGATTGCGAGGGCACCCAGTACGGGAAGCAAGAGGAGGATCGAGAACATGACGCCTCACATGAAGCAATGTGCGCGTGTAACAAAGCCGGTGTGTTGGCTGACAAAGTAGGTGAGTTTGTTACTTCCTATATCTCAAGCTTGATTAGTATGCACTCTGAATACCCTGGTGGATGGTGCGCTTCCCACTGAACGCCATTTTGCGGTGCCGAATACACTCCCAGATTTTAGGCAATCTTTTTGACGGCCGATAACAAAAACAGATATGTTCTCGGCTGAAAAAGATGCGGCTGAAGATATGATAGATGCGGTGGTTCGTGGTTGGTCGATTGAAGGATGTGAGCGCCCCGGTAAACCTGGGGCGCGCATGCAGAGCAAAATGCAGATTGCCGCAAGCAGTCAGACATGCCCAAAGTAGGAAATCGGCAAAAACAAGGTTTATTCAAATCTGTTAAGTGCCATAAGTATCCGCCGAGATAACGTCCAGATTAGGCTGGCAATGAATTTGGCCGTGACGGCGGATAACAATCGAGATGTGGAACCAGAAAGCCCCGTAGGTGGGGATGCCCTGATTGGCTATCGCACTGCTCTACGTCGTCCACTCGTTACGAAAGCTAGCAGCAGACATCACTTCAGATAGGAGCATATAGAAGGCATTCAAATTAAATGTTGCATGCATACAAAAAAGGTCTCACACTTTGTCTTCTCACAATTTCTTAATTTCTTCCATTGCATAGATCACCGCTGTTCCAATTCCGGCCAAAATGGGTGATTCTTCCCAAGAGGACTCGGCACAGCAAGTGGTCGTCCAAGATGCTGTTCTGTCCGCCGACGAACTCGAACTTCGAGCTCAAGGCCATAAAGGAGAACTTCCACGACAATTCTCCACGCTCTCAACTCTGGCCATTGCATTCCTCCTGACCAGCGCATGGATCGGATATTCAGCAACCTTCCCCTATCCTTTGCTGGCCGGTGGTGGGCCGTATGTGTTTTGGGGCCTGATCGTCGCCACAATCGCCTGCTCCATTATCAGTAAGATCAAGATTGCGCATCGCGCGCGTGTCATTTCCTAGGTTTAAGCTGACAATGCCCGATAGCTGCAGGACTGGCAGAGCTGGGTTCCGCGTTTCCCTCGACTGGAGGGCAATACCATTTCGCATTCATGGTCTCATCCGAGAAAACTCGGGCTAGCGTTGCCTTCGTTATGGGCTGGCTCTCAGTCATCGCCTATTGTCTCTTTACGGCTAGCGCCACCATCGTTTGTGCCCAGATCACGGCCGCGATCGCAAGTTTCTGGCATGAACACTATGTTGCAACTCAATGGCAGATCTATCTGATGTACATCTTATACCAGGCACTCGCAACAGCCGTCGTTGTCCTCTTCCCCCGGCAGCTGCCGAAGACGGAGATTGCATTCTTCCTGATCAGTGTTTCTGGCTGTGTTGTTTTCTTCATCACTGTCCTTTCGGCCAGTGAGACAAAACAGCCCTCAAAAGTTGTGTTTACCGAAGTTGTCAACGTCACCGGGTGGAGTGACGGTGTTTCTTTTATTTTGGGAGTGGGAACCTGCATGTACGCGTACATTGCCACTGATGGAGCATCCCATATCGCAGAGGTGAGTTTGGCAATGAGAACACGAGCTCCGAGCTCCAAGTTGACCGGACCAGGAGCTCCCCAATCCAGGCAAAGGTGTCCCGAGAACGATGATGCTCAGCCTCTGCATATCAGCCATTAGCGTCATCCCCTGGACTTTGGCATTCCTCTTCTCAACAAACGACCTCGAAGCTGTTGCCTCTTCCACACTTCCCATTCTCGAAGTCTACCAGCAAGCGCTGAACAACCGCTCAGGTGCCACGTTCCTTGCTGTGTGGCTTCTGGTCATCTATTTTGGGTCCGTCGTTAGTGTCGTGGCAGCAACGGGCCGTCTGACCTGGGCTTTTGCTCGTGATAACGGCCTTCCTTTCTCACCTACCTTTGCTAAGATCCATCCCTCTCTCAAAATGCCCGTCAATTCTACGATCGCCGCTAGCGTATTTGTCGTCATCTACGGTGCAATCTACGTAGGATCCACCACAGCCTTCAACAGCTTCATCTCGATGTCGATTCTTTCGCTCAATATTACCTATGCGATTCCGCAAGGCATTGTCTTCTTCCGTGGGCGAGAAAATGTCCTCCCATCAACACGGCAGTTCAATCTGGGTGGAATACTCGGCACTTTCTGCAACATTTTCTGTGTGGTATGGGTCTGCTTGTACACAGTATTGTTCTGTCTCCCAACCTTCTTGCCTACCGAGGTCGAGGACATGAACTATGTTTCCGTTGTTGTCGCCGGCTGTGTCGTGATCATCATTACGATGTGGTTCTCTGGCAAGAGGAAGACATTTGTGGGACCTGTGAGTTATCTAAAGTTGAATATTCCTCTGACTTTGGACTGCGAGAAGTGGTGCTAATGGCCTTTTACCAAGATGATAAATTTTGAAATCCTCGAGGCAGCTAAAGTCCAACAAGTGGACGCCGAGAATCAAGCGTCTTTCATGGCTTCCGAGAAGGATATTGAAGGTAAATGACTGGACAGCGAAGCAGTGGCAGTAATTGAATCGATACGGAAAGATTATTACCGAGCGAGCATGAATTTCAGTATTATGTTCGAATAGCTATCCGCAATATGGTTAGAGACTAGTATTGTGTGAATGTAGGAACATTTCAGATTGGTTAAATTCAAAATCTTCTCCGAATCAGTGTGCCTCTCCAAGATGACCGAACTGACATTATGATGTGTCGTCCTAGTTTTGTCCTTTTCACTTCTAAATCCATACACATAGTACCAGGCTACTCCTGCTTCACCCCGCCTCGCAGAAAACCTAGACGTAGATCTCCAGCCGAAGTCTTTCTTCGCAGTCTCCGTCCAGGTCTTCACGATACAATAGTTCTGTATACTTCGATTCAAGCTAGGTAAGCTACCTTCTGGCCTTTGCTCCCAGTCTCCTCTGGTAAATCATTGATCAAGCATGCTACAGCTCTTCTTTATGCTCCTTCTATGAGCTAGTAATACCCCACTATTTTGAGTGAAAGCTGAGCAGACCCAAGGCCTAGTAAATTACCGCGCAATGAATTCCAAGGGACAGCTCAGCGCATACGGTACTCCACTTGTCAATTGATCGTCCATGCGCATGCTCTCCTCGGTGGCCTCTGCCGTTGCTCGCGTCGTGTAGTGCATGTACACGGCAGCGACGATGAGCTTCATCTCGACCATGGCAAGATTATGTCCCAAGCACATACGGCCGCCAGAGCTGAAGGGCCAGAAGTGCGTGCGCATGGCCGCAAGCTGCGTTGTGTCGTCAGTCATCCACCGCGCCGGGTCGAAGACATGGGGGTTAGGGAAAACTTCTTCCACCCGGTGCAGGCTGTACGCCTGGCATCCGACCGTGGTACTGGGCGGGATGGCGTAGCCCGAGATCACGGCGCCAGTGGGAGGCACGATGCGGAACAGTGTCATGGGTACTGGAGGGCGCCAGCGCATTGCCTCGTGGATCACGGCATCAAGGTATGGTAGTTTATCGAGCGCGTTGATCGGCGCGGTCTGCGTTACAGGGTTGAAGGCGTCCTTAATGCTCGACAGCTCGTCGAAGAGAGCGTCTTGTACATGTGTATACTCCGGTGTCGAGATCCGCCACATCAATATGCACATAGCGTCTCCGGTTGTGTCAACCCCCGCGACTAGGTGATCCATACACTCAGCGGCGATAGCGGGCTCGTTATCAGGGATCTGGCTAAAGAGCTTAGAACATGTTGATATGGTATCTTTAGTGGTCTGGTCGCAACGGAATGACGAGACGCTATCTTTCCCATAGTCGTTTAGGCGGCTGCCGCGGACGTGGAACGCGGTGCTTTTGCCGCTGAGCTTGCGTACAACTAGTTTGAGCTGCGTTGTGAGCCACATCACCCAGCAGAAGTAATGTAGCATATACAGACGTGTGCGATGCTTGACGCCAGAGAGATCGTAGACAATCGGTCTATGTTCGGGGTTCGAGAGGGTTCGGGTCCCGTAGCTACCGTAGAGATGGTTCGTGATAGCGCTAAGATGAGGTTAGATTCGCAGCTTACATAGGTGGGGTTGTTGTACATACTCAAGCGCATAATAATGTAGCCATGTGTAGACATCGAGAACTGGTCCTTGGATTGCTAATTGCTTCATGAATGCAGAAGCATGCTCGCGTACTTTGTCAGCCACGGACGGCTGCATCACATAGCTCTTGGTGTATCGATCTGCGACCAGCCTCTTTTTGGCCGAGTGCTAGATTATCAAGGATGAGTACAGCAATTAGGCTGAATAGATACAGAAGAAAGCGTACGTTTGCCTTGTCCAGACTCGTGAAAGTGTTCCGCTCGTTGTAGTATACGAATAGGTCATAAAATGAGCTCTTGCTGAAAGTCGACTTAATGCCGTAGATCTCTCTTAAACCTTCGTAATTGTTGAAAGAGACTTCATCCGGAGAGACTCGTACCACCGGTCCATAGCATGAATGAAGATTATCGATCTGAATTGTCCTGTCGCCTTTGAATTCGTGGTACATGAGCCATAGATGAGTCACCGCTGTGAGTTTGGGCCCAGGGATTTTTGACAGTGGTGCAAAGAAGAGCCGGTGTATCAGAGCAGCTGCTATGAATATGATTGCACAGAGGGCAAGCAGAATAGGGCGCGCTCCGACGACGAATGTTGCTACTGCCATCCTCGACGAGACGTAGACACCTTTCGAGCTGCTGCAAGCTTCAGACAAGTACCTGTGTCTCTCCAACTGCTCTATACTTTTTTCACACGCCTTTTGAAGGGTCGATCATGAAACTTAGAATACATTAGATGCGCATGCACTGGCTTCACCGACGCTAATCCGAGGGAGTTCAAAGATGTTTGTCGTTGGGCGTTATCAACTTGGCCGACGGTAGAAATCCCTTATCAACGGCCAAACTTGAACCTTGCCTTGGCCTAGTTGATACCTCCGAGCTCCACTCCCAATGACGGCATTCGAGTTTAGTTGGTATCTTTCACAGGCCATCCCTACATTTTGTCTCTCTGTGCGAGGCATAGAAGAGACCAGGCTGTTTTGCTATTTTCGAGCTATGCCTAGCAAGAGATTATGACATTGACTAATGTCAGTTTCTGTGTCCCAAATCTTTCCGATTCTATTGGCGCCAATACTGTACTAGCGTGGACTAACAGCAGAGACATGTGACGCGCTTGCTTTGGATACTAAAATCTGGAGCACCCTCCGTTCGATCGAGAAGAGCGCCAGTGTATCAGCATTTGAGATGCTTTGAAATCTGAGAAAAGGTGCCCCTAGAGATCAATTACCTGGTCAATATGTATATAAACTAGAACAGAGACTATAGAGTGCTAAGAGACAGAGATCTCGATCATCATCAGTGGACCTGCCTCAAGTTGGCAAATTTGGATATCACACAGATTCCATCCTATTAGCCAAGGACGGCTGTTAGGGCACCTGCGCTGCCAAAAGGTTAAGGTTATTTCTGGAATCTCATACACTGTCTGTTTTCGACTCTTGAAGACTAGTAGATGGGATGGTCCATTTTAAGTAAGCATTCCCCTCTCCATTCGCAATCTATCGTACCTCAACACTGCGCCAAGCAGCACCTGCGTACCAAGTGCACAATCCGTAGGACTGCAGTACTCAGTTGGTGTGTGTGACAGACCTTTTCTCGTTGGCGTAAAGATCATACCAGTCGGACACCTTCGACTGGTATGAAAACTGTCGTGCCCCGCGCCACTGACCATATGTTTCCATAACTTCCCGTCTTCAGCAATCTTTGGTAGATCTGCGACAGTCTCTTCGGCGGCATGTTGGATGACGGTAATGCAATCTTGATGGAATTTTACTGCCGGATTTCCAGCCAGTCGTCGCCATTCAATCGATACACCTCGATCACTGTCATCCGCGGCAATAATGCTGAATTTCGTTCGGCAATCCTCTTCGATTTGTGCAAGTACGCTGTCAGAAGGATGCCGCATATCGAGAGTGAAGCGGGCAGTGTGCGCTATGGTATTGATACTCCCCGGCTCTGTCTCGACAAGTCCAGTTGTGATCAGCCCGGAATATGCTTTTGCGATATTGTTCGATTCAACGATCATCTTCGCAGCAGCCAGGACGGAATCTTTTCTTGACGCTATAGGTGTTGTGCCAGCATGACTGTCGCTCCCCCTCACCGCCACTTCGAACCATTTGTGAGCTTGTCCGCCAGTGACGACACCAATTTTGCGTCTCTCATCTTCCAATATAGGACCTTGTTCGATGTGGAGCTCGAAATGTGCTGCGATTGGTTGGGTTTCGTATGATGCGGGAGTGCTGCCCAAGAAGCCAATGCGTTCCAGTTCTTCTTTCACGGTGTATCGGTATCCATCCTGGCTTGGAGTGACTTCCTGGCAGTTCCATGCGCTTTCCAACGGAATGGCACCGGACCATACGCCTGAAGACATAGTTATGATTGGAAAGCGGGCACCTTCCTCACTATACAGGTATAAATGAACGCTCAAGAAGCTTTGTTGTTACACTCACTTCGTCCAGTTGACCACTCCAATATTTCCTTCACTCTGATAGTCGCTTTCATGGAGCGTCCGCAAAACTTCCAGGCCAGCCAATACACCAAGTATTCCGTCGTATCTTCCGCCCGTGGGCTGAGTATCCAAGTGTGAGCCCATCATGACTGGAGGCGCTGCTGAATTCTTCCCAGGCCGGACAGCAAAAAGATTGCCCATTTGGTCGACTGTGATTATACAACCAAGAGATTTTGCTTCTTGCACGAACCACGTTCGAACCGCTTTGTCGGCTGCGTCGAGAGCTAGACGGGCCATCCCTGTTTCTGTCTCGTGTCTGAGAGAACTTCAGCGTGCTGATATGGACCCAATGTATGCTAACTCACGTTCCATAAGGATGTGCCTTCCCGAATTGACACGACTCATGGAGCGAATACATGAGTCTACTGCCATTGATCTTCAGACTAGAGACATCTCCTGCAGGAGCGGTGGCTGACTCTGTGCTTTGGAAGACTTCTTTGCGCTCATCGATAAGCTGCATGGCGAACGATCAGTTTCTTAGTCGTTGCACCAGAGACAGAAGCGCAAACATTTGTAAGGATGCCTGTGCGTGGGAAAGAGGTACAAAATTGACACGAGTCACAAGCAGTCTTCTTTGTATCCCGAATTTTCACGCTAGCGATAGAGACCAAGGACATCACCTATCCAGGATCGGCTTCCAACTGCTTGGACTGACCAGGGCCGGCAGTGATTCTAGATCTGATCGCAGCTCTACGGTCCGCGGCCTCCATTTCAGCGTCCGGACCATGATGGCCGTTACTGCTGTGGGAGGACGGTTGGGATGTTCTTCGTCCGAATCGCCAACAGTCGAACACTAGCGTTGGCCGAATGCGTCATCTGGTATGCTGTGACAGGAAATTACAGTTGGCCGTCGGCCGATTGCACAAGAACGCACCTATCCGGCAAAGTGGTCGGTAATCTCTCGTCTCGGTGGTAATAGTGATTTAGCCCGACAAGTTCAGCCTTGCGAGACGCCGAACTCCACGCCAGTTAATGTACGAGGCGGACTAGCCGTGGCCCCTGTCTTAGTCAGCTTGAGCCTTGGAGTGCCAAGGCACTAATTACTTTAAATGTTGGCCATTAAAAAACTCAAGAAGATGCTCGCCAATTCAAGGCCTTTGATAGGTCCTAATGTGCCAACCCCATTAGGCAACTGAGCCGATGGGTCTGACCCGACCGAGAGAGGCAGAGCGATAATTAAGGAGTGCAAGCATGTTTACTCCGTACGGGTAGTTATCTCCAGCTGATGGAGTCTGTGCTAAACTCAACGTTGACAAGGACTCGCCTTTAATTCAACCACAACGATAACATTTCTTTTCCAATGTCCAAGAACAAATTTGTTTGTTCAGATGTCCAGTCAGCAGCCACTACCCCATATGCGTCCAGACCAGTCAGATTCTGCATATGGGTCTCAAGCCCGAAAGTATCGGTCCAAACTGCAGAGACCATGTGATCTCTGTCGTCAACGAAAGACACAGTGCAAAATTCCGGGCTCTGGTGGGGCTTGTGAACTTTGCCAGAGACTTTCTCGCAGTTGTACATTTATCTTACAACCCTCGAGAAGGCAACGTTGGCGTCCTCCAGAGACTCAATCAAATTCAGCTCAGCATCGTGGAACTCAATCTGATCTTGACACCCACGATGGCGACCCAACGGCAATCGGTGTCGGCATTTTTGAGAACACGGACTTGCAATTCAATGTTGATGTCGATTCGCAGACAATGCCCTGTGTGTCTGACCAGGCGTCGTTTCTGGGCCAGCGGCCTGGGTTACAGGCCGGTGCTAATGATTGGTCTTACCTCAACTTCCCCATCTGTAAGAAGATTGACTGGTCTTCAAATATTCGTGAAGGCCTAATCCTGTGATGTCAGCTCCTTTAGGTAATGACTTTGACTTTCCAAGCCGAATCTCGGTAGCCGACGGCTCACCTCAGGCGTTTCGATACGAACACATCTCGCCAGGCCAAACGAGTCAGCGACATGAGCAACGTCGGGGTGATACCAGTGGCACGGACACGTGTGAGACAGGTCTAGCGTCACTACGAGACGATGTTTCCGGATACCTATCGCCGGAGAAACAGGAACAATCAAGGGACGGAGAGTGGTCCAATGACTTCTCTCTTGACGAGCGGCCTGGCTATTCTTCCCAGCTTATCGGCCTGTCGAGCGATACTGATCCATTTCTTCTGCGACACTATCAGTATGATGCGCGAGACACGTTCCGGATGTTTGGACTTGATTTTCGAAAAGTCACAGACGACATAAACATGCAAGTGCCTGCAGTCTCGTCTCGATCATCACAGATTCCTGCCAGTGACATACCAGTGCAATTCGCAATGACCAACGAGGAAATATGCGAAGAAGATGTCAAAATCATCGACAAGGATTTTTCAGGTTCCAATACTGAGGCTGAAGATCATGCTTTATTGTACAAGCTCGTTCCTACTGACTTCGGCTCAAGACTCCTAAAACTGTAAGTCCGCACGCGGCTCTAAAGCATATAGCTGACTATCCAGCTTCTTCAAATTTATTCAGCCCTCGTATCCTGTTCTCTCATCGCACGATCATAATGGAGAATACCGAAACTGCAATTGTCCAACTGGATTGAGAGCTGCAGTGTACGCGTTAGCCGCGCCGTACTACTTCCTGGACGACTATCTATCCGTGGACAGAGGCTATCAGCAGCCTTCTACCGAAGAACTCTGGGGCATTGCTCATCGCAGCTTGCACCGAGATTCCCGAAAATCTCATTTAGGACTGGTGCAGCTTGGCTTACTTCTTCTGCATCGGCCGCCACAGAACTATGCCGTCGCCGATATCCCGAGTTCGTGGGCTCTGGCGTGTTCCGTTCTTGCTGCAGCGGAAAGTCTTGGGCTGAATCTGGACCCATCGCATTGGAAGCTTCCTTCACATGAAATAAGGCTGCGAAAGAGGCTATGGTGGCTTGTTCATGTTGAGCACATTTGGCGCGCACTGGTTTTAGGACGGCCATCTCATATTGCCGCCTCAAACTGGGATGTCTCTGAATTGACTGCAGATGATTTCGACCTGGATGACATTGCAGATTCGGAAGCTCGCAACTGTATTCGAGCACAGAGTCCTTATTTCATGGCTCTTTGCAGCCTGAGTATGATATGCAGCGAAGCCCTAGAAGCTCTTTAGTGAGTCCCTCTGAGTCTTTTGTCTTGCTGGAATACGACGGCATTCTAATGTCCGGGTGAGTAGTTCTGTCAAGTCCATCCGTCAAACCACCAGCCTAGAGGCTCTTCTAGTCCGTGCACATCCATTGAGGATGTCTATTCAACAATGGCGACAGACACTTCCACCGGATGTCTTGAAGCCCACCAAAGAACTGATGGACGATGATGACCTCCACAACTGCGGCCCACTCCGTCTGACGTATTTGACCCTGGAACTACTAGTCTTCAGAGCACTCCTTCGTCCACTGGCGTTTCAACCTGGAACAAGTGAACAGGAACTCTTAGAACCGCGCGCCACTATCTTCGAAAATAGTCAATCATGTGCCAAGCTAGTTCTAGAGTTGGTTGCAGCTCTCAAGGCGAACCACTTCGTCAATTTCTGGCCTTCGTGTAAGTAGTCACTTTCCTTATTTATCTCAATTCACAGCGAAATATTTGGCCCGATTGGCCCAATTAGGTTCACAAAGATGCTGACTGTATTCACATCTGCAGATACGCGATATCAGCTATCGTACATGACGAATTTTGCCTTACTTCTCTTTGTGCAGTCGCCGTCGATGGCCGTAGCCAAAGACAACAAGATCTTGCTGGACAAATGGCGGAGCACTGTCCGAATGCAGTCACGAGCCTGGCCTGTTCTCAAGCTGGCAGTCATGAGGCTTGACGCTGTATTTTGGAAAGGATTGGATCACCTCGTGAGCTGGGCCGGGAAGGACAGTCCAGCAGAAATGCTGCTGAGGAAACCGTCCATAAGCCCTTGACATCATCCCGGATAGTAAATGGGAAATAGTGGTAGAGCCGTCCTGCTACTGAGTCGTCCCAGTGAGAACAAATATATGTATAAATGAATGAAATGCGAGGCTTTGGGATGAAAGTTTCGATAAGGGGCGCCGAGCCTGTTTTGGGAATGATATGGCGCCCAGCATCGTTGCCGCGTTCGCCAGAATTACAATCTCTGACCAGAAGACAGAGACAGAGCTCTAACCATTAGATTGTCAGCGGTGATTCAAAAGCTGACGATTTCTCGATTTAACCGAAGTACCTGCACTGTTCTGCAGATATACGGGAGTTGACTTGCTTCATGAAACATTTTCACATCCTCGGCCTGCAGCTTTTCGACGGCGTGGATAGGGCGGCATCACCATGTTCCCAAAAGAGTGTCAGTCGACCGTGAATTAACTCGACATCTGAACAAGTAGCAGCTCTCCCAGTCGGCACCTCTCTTAATGAGTACGCAATTCAAGGGAAATTACTAGTTCTCTTATGTCTAGAGTAGCTATGCAAATGCCGGTTTTGCCTCGATTGCGGAAGCTGGAAACCGGTATCCTAGAAGTGATACCCCAGTCGTCACACAGGGCCGATATGATTCTTGAAGAAAAGACAAAAAACCCAACCAAGCGTTTATGGACAGGCAGGATGTTGTGCGTTTTACACAGCAACACCGACCCGCAAGGCTCAATGGTCTGCGGCGAAAGCTTTTTTCATGAACTTCGGCGATTGAGGACGTATCATGTGTTGTCGATGAGCAGCGAAACGAGATCCCGCTTTCGGGACAACTTCTTTTCTTCGAACCTATTATTAGTAGTCTTAGTCTGATTGACTATGGCTCTTTCTACTCTGACAAAACATGATCTGCATAAAAGTCACTCGGTGCTGGAAGGAATCGACTCTTTGATCGAGTCCTCGTAAGTCTAAATAGCCGTCTCTTATTGGCTATCTTTTGACGAAACATGATTATCCCGCTTAGTAGATGTATTATGATTACTAACTAACTAGTAACATCAATTTTTCGAGCATGGCAGTAGTAGTCTGCCCTAATTTAGACTATTATTATAATGTCGCATTGGGAATCAATAATGACAGTTGTGTCTTGCCAGCAATCAAGCATCGACACCCCTGGGGTCCGATGCCCCCAGGGAATCACTTGACAGGATATCGAGTCTTACCAGCACTGTAGTTACCTACCTGAAGCATGCCATAGATGTGCCGAACACTTATCTATCGCCGCCGAACAGCCATCGACCCTCCCGGGCCGAGGCTTCCCAACAGCCCTCCACCCTTCATGTAAGACGCAACGCATCCAAGCCTCTCCGAAGCTGTCTTCTGCGACTGCATGGCCTTCTATCCTGCGTTGAGCAATTAGTAATTTAGTAAAAATACCCGCGAGCGCAATCCGTCGGACAGAGGGTCGCAACAATGTCTGTCACCGTCGAGTATCGAGGACGGATCGCCATCATCACGCTGAATGTCCCGGCAAAGCTCAACGCCCTAACGTCGGAAGGGTACTTCCTACTCGCAGACTACATGCGTAAAGTCGCCAACGACCCAGAAATCGTAGTTACAGTGTTGACCGGCAGTGGGCGACTATTCTCGGCGTAAGTATCATGAGATCTTCAAGCACGTAGTAGCACCAATCCGCCCTCGGATTTGATGCTGCAGTCCCAAAGTGCGGCGATAAGCAGTTTATTGACAGAAGTCCAGTGGCGCGGATGTTCAACGGACAGGCAATAGAAACATCGATGGCCAGCCTTACAAGCCAATGGTACAACAAGAAGCAACACCGATGCAGAGTGCACCATTTCGCCAAACACAGCTACGGAACCTCGCGCACATCATCGAAGTGACTGATGCATTCTATACACACCCGAAGCTACTTGTTACTGCGTTGAATGGTCCGTGCGTTGGCCTTTCAGCCGCCCTGGTCGCATATTCGGACTTCATATACGCCATGCCCCACGTGTACCTCTTCTGTCCCTTTACCAGTCTCGGTATTACCGCGGAAGGTGGCTCAACAGCCCTGTTCAGTCGGCGCATGGGCTTCAAAGTCGCCGCTGAGGCACTGATCATGTCGAAACGCATCCAGTGCGAGGAGTTGGTTCGATGTGGATTCATAAACGAGGTCTTCGACGCTGGAAAAGGCGTGGACCAATTTCTTAACAGAGTTCTTGTGGAAGTTGAGATGCGACTGGTCTCAAAGCTCAATCCTTTCAGCATGCTACATGTGAAAGCTTTGATGAGGAAGCCAGAGATACCCCTATTTGCATCACAAACTGTTGAAGAGACCTTGGGAGTCGTTGACAGTCTCGCAAGGGCAGCGGAAATGGCAGACCGCGCGAAAGGGGGCAAGAAGGGTGCTCGGTTATGAGCATAACAGACCCGTCACCCAAACAACGCAGAGGCGTTGCATGGGATCCAGAGGCAAAGTGGTGCAGAATCATGCATGGTTGAGCATTGTCTGGCATGAGCATCACTGGCGAGATCTCTCCAGTCTGTGTGGTGACAAACAGCGGAGTCAGTACGCTCATGAGTCTCTCATCCTGGTTACTATTGGGGATCAGCTCGAAATGGCCCGAGAAATCACCTCGAAGTGGTAGATGCGGACTCGGGAACACCCTTCGCGTAAGCCAGATTTTGGAGCCGAATAATAGAGGAATGTAGGTTTAGTCCAGGCAATGGCACAATAGTCTGTCCAGTTCCTCTCGAATCATCTGTTGCTTTGTCGTCAGCCTTGCCGGGCAGACCATGACCAAGATGCTCTGACGGCAGCCGATATCGATCTACCATGGCTAATGTTGCATTCATCAAAGCGTGGAAGAAGCCGGCAGGGTCATGGAGGCTCGACAGAGTGCGCGTAACTCTGGAGCACATGGCTAGCTTCTCCAGCATGAGAGGATCATAGTTCGATGTCGTTTTCAGTTGGACGTAGAAGATGGTCATGGGGATCATCACGCAGCAGAGACTAGCTGCCAATTAGTTGGGTCACAATGTGGGAAACATCTTCGCATGTAGCAGATTGGAGGGCGTACCTTCCTGGAGGGAGAAAGGCGGAGAGAGCTTGAGCCTCTAGACTTTCCAAGATAGCGACAGTTGCAGCAACCGACTCACGAAGCGCCATGCGAGAGGCCTCGCGAAGCCTCATTGCCCATGAGGTAAGACCATCCTTATCCACAATCAAGGTTGTTTGGTATAATTCCGATCTAAAATACCTACGTAAATGTCAGGAGCCGCGCCAAGAGGTGTATACCATGAAAGACGGGAGCACTAAGATGTCGGTTAACGTACTCGTAGGAGAGCATCGTGTAAGCATGTGCTATCTTGAAGGCTTTGAAGTCTGTCGAAGAGGATGAGTAGGGCGGCTCATAATCCAGTAGCTGTCTGTTGTCCTGCCTCCACTCATCTATTTTGAGCTCGACGTTTTCAACAGATAAATGCTCGGGTGTAGATGGCGCAGTCTGGCTGTGCGTTTGGTTTGGAGCGTATAGTGCAGTCCGATACACCAGCAACTTGCCAAGTTCAGTAGTGCGCATCTGAAGCTGGAAGATGGCCACGAACAGTCGATAGGTTTGTTGCTTGGTCTCCTTGCTGAGGTACCACGAAAAACTACAGTCTTCCTGGAAATCTTCCACGGATATCTTGGGGCAGGAGGGGTGTGACGAATCGAACATTTCTGGCCTGCTCGTTTTCTTAAGAGCGATCAGTAAACAGACAGCCCGAGATAGAAAACAAATGCACACTCGCTTCCAGGCGAGCTGATCTGGATTTAAAGGACTTGAACTCTGTTGAAAAGCATTGTTTTCGACCAGAAGGTCGTAAGCGGTTGTGACATAGCGTTCATTCTCGTAGTAACGATTTTCGTAAGATCGATAGGTGCTTAGAAGCAAGCATACCTGCACCCTTCTTAGCGGGTCATCTTCGCATCCAAGCTTTAATAGTAGCTTCCGGGCAGTCAGTGTTAAGCTAGATAAATGTGTGGTATTCCTACTCACGGCTGCTCTGGAGTAAAACTCGCATGTTGCGGCAAAGATAGTATTGTACCCAGCTACTTTCTTCCCCTCGGCTGCCAAATACTAATAGATTGTCAGATTTGAGGCTCCTAAGGTGCTTCTCACAATACTTACCGGGGTGGTGACGAAAAGAACGGCATACAAGAGTGCCAAACTGATAGGCTTGGGATCTTCTTCAGTGAGGAGTTGATGAAATTCGCGTTCATTGAGAACCGGGAGCCTGGCTTGCATGTATGTGAAATATAGCATTATCGAGGTTTGAATCTCGTCGGCGCTAGGGAGGGCGAAAGCTCTCTCTCGCACCAGTTTCGTGTGCCTACTATCATCCTGCGCATATGACAGCGACCAGTCTCGAAGCCAGGGATAGGGCGACTTGAAATGGCACTCAGTGTCCACCGGCGACGATGTCGCGACACTAGCACCGCTAGAGAAGTCGCCGTCATTGTTTGGCACATGCTGTGCGGGGTGGAAAGGAGCTGAATCGAGATAGAACGGGTCGCCAACATCAGACACATCCAGGAATTGACTGAAGATATCCTCGTCGTTCACCATTGCCTCAAAAGATAATTCCATGCCATACTCTGGCCCCGCTTGAACGTCGCCGAGGAATGGGGCAGACGATTTTGCATGAGAGCTGAGCGTGGATAATTGTCGTGCCTGAATCTCGTTGTTAACGATGTTTGGATCAGGGTTACGTATGAAATAGCTTACTTCCTGTGTCATGGCAATAGGGGCGTCTTTGGGCATGATTGGAGTGCTGGTATGATGTTGAACATCGGCCATATCACCGGATGGCTTTTGCGACGAGCTTGAGTGACTTGGAGCGCTCGCGGAAAAGTTGCGGCTTGGGAACATCTCGACGGGTCGGCTGGTATGCCTCGACCTGATTGAAGCTTAGGAGTTTGGACCACATACATGCAAATATTACATACACACGAGGGGCAAGAACACAGTGCAATTTATCTAACGTGCAGTTTGTGCATGGTTGAGGTGACCTGGAGGTGATATCGCAGCGCACTTTCCGACCACGACAGCTTAGACAGGCTCTGCTGGCTCTACCACTGCGGGTGTGCGTCCTCTGGGGTGAGTCAGCCATGGTGTACGAGGGAGAGAGATTGATAGAACAAGAAGAGCAGATCTGATAGGAATCGTGGACTGGGGCAACAGTATGAGTCTTCGCCAAGGGCCCCCAGGGGCCCCGGGGGTATGGCGAAGAGGAGGGGAGAGACTGATGACGTCTGATCCTATGGATCAATGGATCGACAAGAGTGGCTTCTTCTCTGTGGTGTGAGAACAGGTTTCAAAAATGCTGTTTGGAAGACTTCTCGTCAAGATGACGGTGGACCGTCGAGCGGATGCGAAAAGCCTGCAAAGGAGCTGGAAGAATCAGTCCCACTTGCTTACAGCCAAAGAACTCTATGGCCACAAGACATTCAAAATTCCACCATCTGCCGGGCGAGCAATACTAGGAGCTGGGTGACAGGAGGCCTCGTCCACCATGGCATTAACCATCACGCCCTAACAAACGTCGAGAAGGGGAATAGGGATACGTCGGGCCGAGGGCCGAGGTCTGGAGGAGCCGCCATGCCTTGGCCGCCCCAGAATTGCCGAGAAACTCTGGGGGAGAAATTCGTCTCGAAAGCGGGGAAGCGCTTCGTACCGCTCACACGCAGCGGAATCCACCGTCTACCATGATGTCGGTTCCGGTCATGTATCGACTCAATGGTGAGGATAGGAACAGAATCACGTCCGCCACCTGCACAAATGTCAGTCACATCAGACTTTTCAAAGTCAAGATCGAGCCACAATCCTCACTTCATCAGGCTGCCCATAACGCGCCAGAGGGACTGTAGCGAGGTATGCCTGCATGCCTGCAGATGGGCCTTCCGGTCCCCTGGTCATCGGTGTCTCAATGAACCTATCATGGTTAGGAGGCAGACGTCCGTCAGCGTGTCCACGGAGGTGTCTCACCCTGGACAGACGGCATTGATGCGTATCCCCTCCTTGCCATAGCTGACCGCGTCCTGTGAATGAGATCAGGATTCAGCGATCAGGCCTAAGGGTTGATGCGGCTCACATTTCGAGTGATTCCCAGCACCGCATGCTTTGCAGTACCGTATGTTATGTTCGATCTCGCACACTTGTGGCCATAGATCGATGACATATTGACGATCGTGCCCCGGCAGGCCCTGTACCAATCACTGGTGTTAGAAACACAATCTGACCAGCGAAGCAGCCGAAATGATAACATGCCCCGGGGTGAGTCCTTCTTGCTTCAGCATGTGTTTAATTTGTTCTCGCTGGCAAAGCCACACTCCAACCATGTTGATGTCTATCCCAAACATGAATTGTTCTCGAGAGGTGTCCATCGACGGCAGGAATGGGCCTGCCACTCCAGCGTTATTGACCGCATAGTCGATCCGGCCAAATCGCTGGATGGTAGCTTCATGAGCATCGATGATGGACTGCTCATTACTCGTATCGATGTAGAGTACCTCCACCTCAACCTGTGGGTGCTCGTCCCTGAGCCGTTGCCCAACTTTCTCCAGCGACGACAAGTTTATATCGCTGATCGCCAAGGAGGCTGCTCCGTGTTTGGCGAATTGAAAAACGGTGGCCTCTCCGATGCCTAAAACCTTGCTTCTGAGACCCTGTTCGGGCATTCGATGCGGACACCAAGCTTACACATACCTTGACTGGCACCTGTAATGAATGCCACGCCTCCATTGAGTAGACCAAGACCAGTTGATAGCATGCCCCTCCTCACTTGGTTGATTAAGTCTTCTTCAAGATCTGCTTTCCAAGCCAGAAATACAAAGCAGTGCTGTGAGGACAACGTTTCGTGGCTCAGATTTCAATCACATACGGCAGAATCGACAGTCTCCAGGGGCATAATTAGAAGGACCACATTATATGGGTGTCTGCCATGGTCATTCCAACGATACGTGGACACGAAGTCTCCGTTAGCCAAACGGGCCGCCGGCATAGACATTGGACCTGCCCGGCCCGGGTTCTTGGGCCACAAAGCCGGCATGTACATAGTGGATACAGATCTCGTCTTACTTTGCTGATCTTACGAGCAGGATATTTTTTGACATGCGACAAGTTACGTTGCTATGTATGACCTACAGAATGCACCTAATGAGAGACAAGACATGCATACCGCATGTATGTAGTAGTTGGGGCCCAGCAGTGGCGAGCTAGGGAACCAATCTCCGGCTTTGTAATCCATCGCAGCCTCGGGTACAAGAGGATGACTATATTCGTGAGGGCAGAGTAACCCCTCATACTCCCTCGAGAGTCCCTTGTTATCAAGGTATTATCTTTGTCACCAGTTTACCGATGTTGGATCCATCGAACAACTTCAACCAGGTCTTCGGTACGTCCTCAAAAGTGGTTGGAACCACGTGTTCAAGCTCGTCGTTGATTGTCAGCTTCCCTTGTTCCAGGGCACGAATGAATATCTCCGTCACCTCTTGGGCTTTGTGCACATAGTCTGCAGCGATAAATCCCCTGATCTGCAATCTCATACTGATAACCTGGAAGTAGTCTGAGGATATTCGATTAGCTGTCAGGGCATCCCAGGCAAGCACAACCAAAGACTGAGGAAGTCATCTTACTCGTCAATAATGTGCCCTGATTGGAATTGTATCCTGAAATTGATCCGCATGCAACAACAACTCCATTTTGCTTGAGTCGGCCCAGCATGGCATCCAATATTGTACCCTGGAAATGTTAGCCCCTGGATCCTTGATACTGTAAACAAGTCAGGCCGAGAAAATCAACTCACCCCCACATTGTCAAAGTAGATATCGACACAGCCCTCGGTGGCTTTTGTAAGATCATCAAAGAAAGACGGACTTCTGTAATTCAGGCACTTATCGGCGCCTAACGTTTCGACCACAAACTTGCACTTGTCATCAGATCCGGCAATACCGATGACCTCGCGGACACCTATGATCTGTCGCGTATTCTTAGCACATCTTGCCATGTGCCACGAGGAAGTCCTAACCTTTTTCGCTATCTGCACTACCATACTACCTGTCGCGCCCGCAGCGCCACTAACAACGAGACGGTGGCTTGATTTCGCCTCGCCAACCACCACGATGCCATAATAGGCAGTGAGCCCAGTCGTTCCAAAGACGCCAAGATAGTGTGAGAAGCTCAGGCCGTTAGGCAGAGGCGATAAAGGAGTGGCATCTTTGGCATCCAGGACAGCATACTCATTCCAGTTCACGCGGGCCAGTACAGTTGTACCCTTGGGCAGAACATCACTCCTTGACTCAATGACTTCGCACAAACCACGCGACTGCATGGGCATGTTGAGGTCGACCGGCTTTACGTAATGACGATCGCTGGGAAGGTCATCACTGGACTTGATCCAGGTCCGCTGAGCAGGATCATTGGAGAGAAAAAGCACCTTGACGAGAATTTCCCCTGGCTGAAGAGGTTGGAGATCTCTCTCTATCAGCGTGAATGTAGGAGCTGGACCGGAATACGTCGGCGTATCCTTGGGGCGATTTGATAAGATCCAAGTCCGCGTCCGTACCATGGTTGCTAGGTCGTAATCGCTGAGGTAAAGAGATACTATGTTCACAGTATCGTGCTGCGGGTGACTTCGTCACGGGAAGACGTCAAATGCTTGCAATAGCGATTTTCCTAGACCAGACAAAAGATGGACCTTTTGGTGATGGCTGTTTTTTCAACATTACAGTTGCAAAAGGAACCATGTCCAGTGTCCATCAACATCAAGATCGCCATTGGATCATTACTGACTGGCTGTGAATGTTCTACCTCGCCAGTATAATACAAATAGCTTGAGCGAAAAGAACAGCAGAGGAAAACACGTAGGTGTGGAAAAGCCACGGGCCGAGGTAATAGAGTATGTCGGCATAAGTTAAACGTAATTCGGCGATAAATATCGTCATCACTGTCACTCGTACTGTTTCGGTGAATTCTAGATCTGAGAACAACAATTGTTTGTAAGGGTGGTTTAGGATTAATTCTACTAGTAGCAGAAGCTCACTATCATGCTTTTGATACCAATGGACTTCAGGTAAGGCTAGGTGGAATAAATCTATATCAGTATCGTGGTCTAGTGAGAACCGAAGCTGGCGCTTTTGTCATAATTGGCCAGCTCACAGATCGCCAGATTCGACCGTGAGCATGGCTGATCCGTAAGGCTCTACTCAAATGAATCCTCGGCCGTGTTGGAAGGCATGTGTGGGCAGGTGGATCCACTATATCGTGGGCATTTCACGTCCACTCACTCAGATCCGCCAACGGTGATCCTGGCCCAACATCGCAACGACGCGACATGACCCCGCAACACTTCGTGCCACGTCACTTTGGCCCATCCAAAGGCTCTGGCCCTTGCAGAGCTGGGATTCATGATAGGAACCGCAAGCACATCGATTCTTCCAGCCCCAGGGATTTGAATTAGCGATGCCGACGAGAGTAGGCCTGCCTGACGAAGTCGCGACCGCCCAGTCGCGGGATATTTGGCACCGATCGCGGTGGTTTCAGTTTCTTGCGACCCAGCTCACCGGTTACCATCAGGTCCCATGTCCCTTGACCCTACATCATGGCTTCATTATGGAAGGCAGCCCCATAAAAAGGAGGTTGTGCCACCCAATATTGAAGATGGATTTGATTCTTGTCTAGCAGTCTCTAAACGCTCACGCGTTAGAAATTGGAGCCCCAGTCTCCGTGTGGTACAGACGAGTTAGTCGCGGTTTGCTGCTGTAGATTACGCCTGTTTTACCAAGTACTGGAACTTGGGATCTCTGTTAGCTTTGGCGATCCCTGCAAGCAATGGAGTCAGGGCCTCGCGGCCCAGTTGCTATGCTGAACGACGAATTTAGTGGCTCCCTCGGGCCTAGAACCTTCAATGCTGCCCGGGGTCATAACAGCACTCATCTACGTACTGTTCCACGATACGTTCCACAAAGCACCTATGAATTCTCACCAAGGCCTAGGGATTCCGACTCTGCATCCGAGACTGGAAACTATGAACTATCTTCTAGGAATGAGGACGAACCAAGAGCTAGCCGCGAGAGATATGGCTCTACTGGTCTGGAATATTGGGAAAAGGAGTTTTCTTCCCCAGTCGGTCCCATAATGCACTCCCCAGGGATATCGAGTGCTGACGAAAACATCCAAAGACGCCTGGCAAGCTCTTGTTTCACTGCTTGACTGTTTCCGGATCGAATCTCCAGCTGCCGGAAAGGCCTCGTCACTGTTGGGTCAGTCAACGACCGTGAAGCAGCATGCTTCAGGTACTTCTACAAAATCAGGCTCTCGTAAAGCAAGTACTGCACCCCAGCGGAAACGTGCAACCGAGAGCCCAAAAGGTAAAGCTACTGGCAATGGACTACCTCCAGATGATGATGAAGACGACGATGACCTTCCTTGGAACGGCCGGAGAGAAAGTGGTGGCAATAACCTACCATCAGCAGGACGAAGAGTATCTTCGAATGAGCATTTTGCCTGTCCCTTCCACAAATCAGATCCTGTGCGGTATGCCGCCTGTCACGGTGCCAAGTTCGAAACCATCGACTCTGTGTTGAGGGTAAGTCAGGGCCATGTTTACTGTGATAATGTTGTGGCTATTGCCCATTCCAGATTCCATGAAGAGCTAAAGATTAGCAGCATCACATTCGCGAAACGCATTATAAGAAAGGCCATCTTACACCGGACATGCGCTCAAGGCCAAAGGAACTTGGCCGGAATGGCCCGGAGTCTAAATGGAGGACGATTTATTTGGCCCTCTTTGGTACTGAAGCAGATGAGAAGATATCTCCCTGTAGGTCCAGCTCCACCGCCGTTATGTCTCTATTGATGTTGTCGCAGATTGGACTCCCGCCAGACATAATCTTGACATCGAGAAGAATATCGAAAACACTGTCAAGGCAGTATTGAAGGTTTCAATGAGTCGACAGCAATGCTTGAACAACTTGAATACTTTGGTACAAAGTTACTGGCTTGAAGAATGCCAACAAGCAGCGACTCGTTGCCAGCTGATGCTGACCCAAGGACTCCAGAAATTGACCGAGGAGCTTGATCAAAGATATTTGCAGGAAAACTCAGACTACAAAAACCCAGCCGACCCTCCATTGGAGGCTCTTCATTGGCAAAATATTCCCACCGTTGGACTGGATCCTTTGGTGGCCGGAGTTGAAATGGAGAACGAGACTCTCCCCGTCGGGTATGCCCAAGCATGTGAAATTAATCCGTGTAGCTTCCCAGAATTGCCTCTCAACATATCAGGGCCAGCCGGGGCACCTGACCCGTTCAGTTGGAACTATCCCCCTCCCGGAAATGTCCAGGACTTCGCTGGCTATGGGTCACAATATCCGGATCCCGGCATGCAAGACGCTGGCCAACCTGATCATTCCTTTACAACACCAAGCCAAAGGCCAGCCTACGGAAGGCGTCACACCCCGGATTCTGGATCTTTTGGCAGTGACTTCTCTTTCTACCCAGGAGGTAGTTATCACTACTGACAGGCAGCGAGGAAGAAAACTATCAGCACTAACCCGTACATTTGCCATCAGCATGGGATTTCACATGCGTACGTCGACGTAGAACTTGGTCTCGCTCCCGTTTCATCGTTACGGCCTTGGATGTCTACGGCCCGACTCCTGATAAGGACCTCTTTTGCTGGATTTACCTTTTGTCGGAGGACTTTTGTATAGTATCTGCAACTCGGTTTGGTGTGGATTTTTTATTAAGAAAAAAAAGGCATATCGTTTAACTATGTCACCTTTACAGCAACGCTCGACAAGTTATATTTGTCCTAATCCATCGGCGATTCGTTTGAACTGGTTGTGGCTCGACGAAGAGAGGTACGGGAAATCTTCCCTCGCACTCAGAAATCAGCAGAGTATTCTGCTGTGGTGAATCTGACATAATTATTGACTTCCAATGTTCTAACATTTGGCAAGTTCCTCGATCTAGAAATCGGTGACGGTCTCGAGGTCGACCGGGAGTACACGCCATGTCATACCACAGGAGCGACACCACCTCATCCAACCTGTCTGTGTAGATATTTCTTGGTCCATTCGTCAGTCGCTTTCCAATAGCGGACGTTTTCGTAATTCTCCTCAGGTGGTAACAGTAGATTTCAGTAATCACGTGCATGGGTCTCAGACAAAGCTGGGGTTTCTCGGTGGTCACGCTGGATGTAGGTAGCTCGCCAATCGCCGTACGTCTGACAGCAACAAGGCGTACAATTTCAATGACCCGCGGTGGCCATTTGAATGGCATTTTTGCATTGCTTCATAATTCTCATAAGCTGCTTCTATGTCATAACGCCAGAAACATTCCGCATATCATGCAGGTATGGTAGGTAATCACACACCGTGTTCGGTATCTGGCCGGCCTGCCTGCCATGTAGTGGCGTGCAAGATCATAAATTCCTCCTCACAAACTCAATACCCTGCTTCTTTCCGAATTCCCACAGGTTCTGTATGCCTTGTTCGCTGAGGTCGAGGTTCTTCATGTTAGGTGCATCCTGTGCCGGTGCTTTCGAGACCCTGGAAGCAACCATAACGGGGTCTGTCTCCAACACGATACCGTCGTCGACAATCTCGTCGATCGCTAAGGTGACCAGATCATAGTTTTCCATGATTGTGCGTTTGTCCGTGGAGTTTCTGTGAGTTGAGTAGGATACGTGTCAGCCTTGGTTCAAACCCGCAGGGACAGGCATCTCGACGGAAAGAACAATACTTTAATAGTATGCTGAGCGTATCTCTCAGCGCCAGAATAACATTGTAGAGCAGGATCTCATTCTCTTCTGGGCCGCCAAGCACATACAACATGACGTCGCTCTCGTTCTTGAACACGACCACCTTGTTGTCGTAGAGGATCACATCGGACGTCTGTTTCGAGGTCTTCTCCAATAGACCCTTCTCGAACGCTTTTTGCTCCTTCAGACTCGCGTATGGCTGCGCAGGGGTCGGCTGTGTAGCAGACTGGTGAGGAGCGGAATAGTATTTCGCAAACAAGCGGTGGGAGTCCGCACTTGCGTCGGTGGACAGGATCAAAATCCCTATGACGGAATAGAGGGACATCGAAGAGGCCATGCTTATGGCGCAGTCTCTTGACCTGTCTGTCTCTGATGGTGTGTTGCTGTCGAAGGTTGTCTCTGCGGTATTTGTTTGCGGCCCGCGTCAAAAGTCACGGTGTCCAAATGCGGAGGGGAAAATACCTGGTCTCTAAGTTCTGCCGTACAGGCTTGGCAGGACGAGGCTGAACACAACGCTTGCCATGGAATCCCATATTTTTGCTATTCTGCATACTTTCATGTAGTGCAGCCTCTGCGATTTGCCTAGGTGCAAAAGGTCATCCAGAAGGTAAATAGAACCGGACCGAGGAAGGTTCCATAATGGGGAAATCGTCCAAGGACAAGAGAGATGCTTATTACCGCCTCGCCAAAGAACAAAATTGGCGAGCGCGGTCCGCGTTTAAACTTATTCAGATCGATGAACAATTTGATCTCTTTTCCTACAGCGACACCTCAAAATGCACCAGAGTCGTCGATCTATGCGCGGCACCGGGTAGTTGGAGTCAAGTCCTCTCTCGGGTGCTGATCAAAGGTGAGAGCTTCGGTCGTCGAGCGTGGGTTGAGAAGATGGAGAGACTGAAGTCGCAAAATCCGGTCTTGCGGGATTCAAATCCTACAGATGCTACTCTGACTGATGGAATTGGCTCTATTGACATCAATAACACGAAACCCACCCTCAAGCCCCGGGAGAATGTAAAAATTGTGGCTATCGACCTACAGCCAATGGCACCGCTAGAAGGAATTATCCAGCTGAAAGCAGACATCACGCATCCGTCCACCGTCCCCCTTCTCTTGAAGGCTATCGACCCGGACTTCGATGAACAGAACGAAACTCATAGAGTAGATCTAGTCATCAGCGATGGCGCGCCGGATGTGACAGGAATGCACGACTTGGACATCTACGTGCAGTCGCAACTTCTCTATTCCGCTCTCGTACTGGCCATGAAGGTTTTGAAACCAGGTGGGAAGTTCGTGGCGAAGATATTTCGTGGTCGCGATGTTGATCTCATTTACGCACAACTCAGGCTGGTTTTTGAAAGGGTGCATGTGGCGAAACCGCGCTCAAGCCGCGCCAGCAGCATTGAGGCTTTTGTTGTCTGTGAGGGCTACAAACATATCAAAAACTGGACACCTGAGATTGGATCTGTCTTGCAAACCCCTGTGCCGACACCGTCAAACTCATCGGAGATCGAAAGGCCGGTACAGGGGACAGGCAGGCAGACGAGGCACCCGCGCGAAGATGGGGTAGTAGTGGTTCATTTCGAGGATGAAGAGACTGATCCTAAACGCTGGATCGCACCCTTTCTGTCTTGTGGTGACCTTTCGGCCTGGGATGCAGATGCTACATATAAACTACCGGCCGGCCACACGAGCCTTCCACCAGTGCAGCCACCAACAGCACCACCTTACAAAGAAGCGATTGAGCGGAAGCGAGCAGAGGGAGGCGCATATGGAAAGACAAAAGATCCCTCAAGGATTGTGATAAAGCCTTGACTGGCGGCTTCCCAACAGCTGAAAGGGACTTTCATGCTATAAGGGCTGGGGCAGTACTTAAGCCCAAACACAATTGTCGATGCCTTTGATGGACTCCCCAGTTTCATGCTGAGAGAGAGCACGGCCTCCCCGATGGAATCAGTCCAAGGAGATGGTAGTGGATGAACGTTCACTTCACGTGATTCGACAATTGCGCTAGTTCATATTAGTCGATAATATTCAGGTTCAGGGAACTTTCAGGCTACAGCCTCGAGTCAGCCTTGATCAACATGACCCCCCCACACCTCAATAAGTGGACTGTTTGAGAAATGCTTGACCTGCAGGTATCTTATCATCTGTACAAGCAAAGTGATATTGGGCCCCAACTGAATGGCCCGATTCGGGTGAATTGCCTGACTCATTGTCTTGGTGATACCACCTGCGCCTCACCAGTAAGGGCGTCCTCCAGGCAGAACCCGCTAAACGGCGGCCTGGCTGATTGATGCACCACGCTTAGTTGTATCACCATGGATAACAGGCTGATCTTCGAGTTATGACTTGATGCCCTATGCATCTAAGAGGTGTGTTGGCCAGGTAGCTGCCTATCTCTAGGCAGGAGATACATACAAGGTTGTCGCACCCCGCTATCAAGCTACCAATTGCTACCGCCCCACAGACTTCATATTCCAGCACTGATATCACAAGAAGTATAACTTCACCTGTGAAGAGAGTTTGGTCGGGATTTCTTTTTCGCTATTTAACCATCTTCCTGAGAATTCATTCTGCTCGATTGTTCCTTTAGAAGAGTCCTCTCATTTTCAAATCCTTCTTCATCCCGTTGCCTGACAAGATGGTTTCCATGATTGACCACCAAGCCAATACTGAACAGTCTGTTGAAGAGAAGGGTGCCGTTCTAGCCAACCCGGAAGAGACGGCTGGAGATAATGAGGAGAAGACCCAGCAGCAGGAAGAAGAGCAAAAGGAATCCGACGTTCCTCAAGGCAGCATCACCGAGGCCAAATCACTCTTCCAGAAGAAAGATTCGGAAGGGAAGTTCCAATGGGTCGTCGATGAGCCACAAGATGCCGTCGAAGCAGCAGAAACGAAGGAAACTGCTCGTTTCGCCTTTCTTGTCCGCAAGAAGAAAAGTTACGATAGTCGGAAGAAGTATGACATCGACTCGATAATCGTCCAAAGTCCGTGGCTCAAGAAGTCGTTGGGTGCCATGCTAAAGGACTATCCTGGAGTTACTACAAACCTTGAACGTCTTGTCTTCAAAGCACCCTTCCATCCATTTGTTCACCGTTGGGCCATACTCACATCACTACTCGAAAATGACGACTTCGAGGAACCAGTTGCCAAAGAGCACCTCCAGTTGTTCCACGACGTCATATTTGAGGAACTCAAGAACGCCATCGCAGCAAAGATTGATCTCGTGAAGAACGGAGTCATCACGTTTGATTACTTATGGACCATTTTTGAACCTCAAACAATGGTGTACAGTATCTCTGATGGCAAAGAATGTGTCTTCAAGCTCAACTCCACGCAGAACTGCACGGATTCAAGACGAGGAATGCAATTTCTGCGTCTCGATGTTTGGTCTTGTGATTGGGATGGAACCAAATTTGGACAGAATCATAGCTCTTTGGACAACTATGAGTTCCAAGGGACCACCCCAATCATCAATCTCTCGGCCTATCCTCTCGACTTCCATCCTCAAAAGGAGGCTTTGATTCAACGGTTGGTGTTGAGAGGTAAATTATTTGAGCGATATGCAGGCTACCACTACATGGCGTACCGCGGTGTATGCCTTGGATATGGAAGATGCGGGATGATTCGCCATAATGTTGAAACTCGGATCATCATCGACTGCGATGCTCACAATAGGTTCATGCCTAATTATGCTGTGTATTTCACCTCACTTGGCAGGGCCACAGACAGTACTCTACTCCGACTCGGTGCGGAGTCGCATGATAGTGATGATGAAGACGAAGAGGTTTCTGACTCCGAAGACTACTTCGACGATGCAGAGGATGTTGTCTCGGAGGGTGCAATGTCCAACGATGCCCGCAAGCCAAAGCATCGCCCACTAACAACCGAAGAGCTTCTCCTCTGTGTTCCCTATGTCCGAGGTTATGCGATCAAGACTAAGAAGTGGTTGTGGTTTTACGTCGACCAGATCGCTCCAATCAAATTCGCCGAAAATGCGTTTTCGTCCTTGGTTTTACCATCGGAGCAAAAGTCGCTCATTAGAGCCTTTGTGGAGTCTCAAGTCAAGTACAAGGATGACTTTGACGATGTCATTGCTGGAAAGGGACGCGGAATGTAAGTTAATTACCCAGCCTGCTTATTATTGTCAGTGACGGGCAACTCAACCCACCGAGAGATGATGTATCGTTGTCGATTACGGGCGCCCATAGCCCATCGAAGAGAGAAAAGTATATCTTCTAGCCCTAGGTATACTGTTCGCGACTCTCGGCAACAATTATTTAAAAGGCTTCATAATCCATCTGAGATGAGATTGGAGCAACATTAGTCCCCAGCACCGATGTGAAACCAGCCAATATTTTCATGTGCTTTTCGAATGGCTGGGACATTAAGCTAATTGTGATTGTTCAACAGGATTATGCTGCTTTCTGGCCCACCCGGAGTGGGTAAGACGTTGACCAGTGAGTCGGTTGCTGAGGATGTGAGTGATCCATTTCGATTTACATACCCACCCTTCTCGATTACCAAATGCCTGGTACTATGTACAGAGCCATCTGTATCATACGGTAAGGATGTAGGCGAACAGTCTGCTGACCACACAACAATTCAGATGCGTGTTCCCTTATATATGTTGTCAGCTGGTGATTTAGGCCTCGACCCCACCGGTATCGAGGAGTCCTTGAATCTGGTGCTTGATATGGTCAGCAAATGGAACGCCGTGTTGCTGCTTGATGAGGCAGATGTATTCCTGGAGGCCCGAAGTTCCAACGATCTCGAGCGGAATAAGATGGTGTCTATTTTCTTGAGAGTATTGGTAAGTTCACTATTTCCGCCCCCCTCCCCCCCAAAACTCACCTGTGACCTGAAGTCCTCCACATGGCTAAAAATCATGTGAAGGAGTACTATGAAGGTGTGCTTTTCCTCACGACGAATCGGATGAAGAACATCGACGAAGCGTTCCACTCTCGAATTCACGTCACCATCAACTACCCAAATCTGTCCGTCGAATCCCGCAGACACATTTGGCAGCAGTTCCTAGGATCGGCTACTGGAGTCACAGGAAAAGACCTGGACCGGCTTGCTCGTGTCAACATCAATGGACGGCAGATCAAGAACATGCTAAAGACGGCACAGATGCTCGCCCGCAGTCAAGAAAAGGGCAAGGATGGGCAACGTGAAAAAGTGGGGATGCAGCATATTGAGACGATCCTAGCAATTGAAAGAGGCACATCATGGGAGTAAGGGTGGTGGGGGAGACACTGAGCCGCCACCTGCCATGAACCTGCCGTGAAAGGTTGATGTGGGAAGTTTACTGGGAGCTTGACATAGATTGCCACCATGGTTTCGGCTGTAGTTTCCCAGTGTTTGGGTTGGAATTGTGCCTTTTCCCAGCGGTGAGGATATTAGCTGAAATGCGAGCACATAAATATGTGCATTGTCGTGCAAAGAACACTGCAGCACTCATTCGTCGTAGCACCAGAACCGTCACGCTGCCAAGAGGCGACAGAAGCTGTTGCGTACGGCAGTGATTCCGCGGGCAACAACGTGATCAAGTCGGTGGCGAGGTCCCACTTTCATGCGGCGTCCGGATATGTACTGTAGGCACACAGCTGACTGCAAAAATCTAGTGAGGAAAAGGCAAGGCCAGCTTTGCCACGAGTTCCTAGGATAGGTTGGTGACAAAACCGGCCTGTAATTATTTTTGTGCCTTGGAACTGCCTCGTAACGCAGAAGTCACAGTGGATAGGCCACACTTATTGGTCACGGATCGCCATGCCCAAGTTGAGCTCCCGGCGACCGCTGTGCTCCGCAGTCTCGACAGCTGGTTATGTACGGAGGACTCGTAGATCGTAAGTGTTATCCACCGTACGGAGCATAGAGTACAGAGGAGAGGGGCGTTGGGCCTGGGAGGCTTGGATTGTCCAGAACCGGATTCTTCCCATGGGAAAGTGTGTTGGCCTGTCTTCCAGGTGGCAGTCGGGCGTGGGCCACAGGTACGAAAAGGTGAGCCTTAACCGAAACCTATCCATACAAGAGCGGCTGAGCAAACCCAGGGATGTCAGACCTAAGACATAGCCAGGACCACACTAAGGTATTCTTTGACGAATGGCTCGTGCTCCTTGAAAGCTTCGAGCCACTCTAGTACCCGTTATGGTTACGCCCGAGCTATTATTGACTTGTCGCCAAGCTCTCGCCAAGCCCGGGAAGCTTAGCCCGACTCCATATGACCTTGCAAGGTCGTGTTTGTCGTGTCCCTCTTTTGCTCATACGGCTGGACCAGCATGCCAGCCAGCATATTCGGCGGAGCTCTCAGGCTGCTTGACCTGCATGCCGTTGAACTTTCCATGCAATGTCGCCAACGCTTGCCGAGTGGCTTGGTGATCACCCCCAGTGCCATCCTTTTCCTGCCGCACGGTTGTTCTGGTTGGAGGGGACGTCAGCTGAGGGCCACAACCCGTGAACTAGATTCCAGAAACAGAGAGTATTGCTGGGCGAAGAGGGCTGGGAAGCACTTGTCCAGCGAAACCTTCGCCTCTCCAGTAAGGTCCCGGGCGGGTCAGCGAAAAGATTCGGAAAGAGGTAAGTCTGTTTGGCGAAGAGGGCTGTGGAGCACCTTTCCATCTGGGTGTACGCCCTTCAAAACCCAGCTCTGAGAGGAGGGGAACCTATATAGAGAGAGCATGGTAAGGTGCATTCTGTGAGGACTTCCTTCATCAGTCTCACAACAATCCTATTGCTACTCAACATAAGAAGTCTACCTTCGTTCAACCAACCCTCTCCCAGTCCTTCGTTCATACTCGCCTCGGACTTCATCACCCGTTCGCTTACCCCACTATCAACCATCAGTATGCAGATTCTCTCTGTCCTTCTCCTCGCTGCCTCGGCCAGTGCTGCCGCTCTGAAGGCTCGCACTGATGGCTGGAACGACTGGAAGGGCTCGACCGTTACTGTCACCTATACTCTTGCACCCCAGGTCCAGTACAGTACCGTAACAATTCCCACGACAGTTGTCAACACCGTCCCAGTTACCGTTCCTGTGACTGTACCCACGACAGTTGTCAAGACCGTCCCAGTTACTGTGCCAGTTACCGTTCCTGTCACCATTCCAACGACAGTTGTTAAGACTGTCCCAGTTACTGTTCCTGTGACAGTTCCCACGACTGTTGTCAACACCGTTCCTGTCACAGTACCTACAACTATTGTCAAGACCGTGCCGGTCACCGTTCCTGTCACAGTTCCCACTACCGTGACCGTTCCCACAACTGTTGTCAAGACCGTCCCAGTTACTGTGCCAGTTACCGTTCCTGTCACCGTTCCAACGACAGTTGTCAAGACTGTCCCAGTTACTGTTCCTGTGACAGTTCCCACCACCGTGACAGTCCCTACCACCGTTACCTCTGTTGTGACCTCTCTGATCACTGCTGCTCCTCAGAAGGAATACATCACCGTTACAGTTACAGTTCAGGCAGCACAGACCTGGGGTGACTGGCACTAAAATGCTTACCACCACAACGCGAGACTGATCAAAACCGAAGCGAGCAACGAATTTTCTACTCAAAATAATCAATCATTCAGCAGAGACGACAATCACGACCGCGCATGATGAAAACAAAATCATCTGCATCAAACTAATCATTACCTACGGGGGAGCTAAAAGTACATGGAGAAATATCATTGACTGGGGGTATCATGTGCAACACAACCACGCCGGATCTACGGCAGCATCTACGCGGACATAATCATGGAGGACGCTCAAGTTACATACAGAGGGACACGAAAGCTCTAGCCATGCGGGGGCCAAGGGGATACTCGACATAGTTCATAATATTCATTTTATATCAATACATGACGCTCAGACATCGTCACTGTTTGCTCTCCCAGTAGTGGATGCCCCAACTTCCCAGGACTTGGTTTGTTCATGTGCTCGGAGAGAGAAAATTCCAGTCAGCAACCTAGCAGACTGAAACCCCGGCCACTCTTTCGCTTGACTCACCTGAGACAAAAGCGACTAAGCAAGGCGGTGGGCCCTAAAGGAAAAGCCATGGAACCTAGTAAACGGTGGACGCAACACCCGTCGTACCAGTCACGGAGTACATACTGTAGGTTAAGCCAAAGGTCGGGGCAAGCCGAATGTGGAGAAATACTGGTGCTTGTGCCATGATTCTTTTGGCGTTGGGGATGACGCCAGAATAGAGTTTCCCAGCAACACAGACGCCGCCAAGCCCGCATGTGGCGTGTTTGGCCAAAACCCCGCTTCCGCCCCTGCCTTCAAGTCCCAATGGGCCCGAGGGGGCCGCCTTTGCTCCAGCGCTCAACACTGCAGGTGCAAGTGCCATTTCTCGGGCTGCCTTCCGGCTGTGCCTTAACTAGCTGAGGAGTTGACCGGCACCAAGGCAGGTACGGACGACAGTCGCCTCGAGACTCCAGCCCTCCGTGTGCAATAAGTCACGCTGAAATTGTTGGTTGGTGGTTTTATGACCACCGAGACACCCGCACGTTTTGGAGGGCCGATGGTCGATTACTCGTAGAGCGCTCACAGACTAGGCTTCGCTGGCCGCCGCACCCCCACCAAGCCAGCCGTTCTTCCGTCGACCTTGGACCAGGCGTACTTCTGGGACGGAACAGCAATACTAGTACTACTGTAGATTACTACTGAGTCCTAACCACAGCTGGATTGGCTTCACTTTCTTGGTTGAGACATTGTAAGATCGTCCCAAGTATTGGCAAGTAGAACTGTCTGCTGGGGATCCTCGAGGAAGCACCACTTGATCCATGTCCCTCCCACTTCTCCAACATCGCCACCTCTAATTATGGGCCCAGCCAAATCTCCATTGACAATGACCTCAGAAATGCAGACCCCAGAGGTAAACGCACAGCTTGTCACAATACGTACAGAAAGCATGCGTGAGGTAGTAATGTCAGTGATGAGCTCCTCCCCACATATTCACTCGAGCCCGAAGCGAGGCACGATCAATCATGCTTCCGAGCCGCTTCCCAGCCTTTCCTGGGCATCCAAACCTACTCGTAACCAACCTATCTGAATTTACGCAGCCATGTCCAGGTGGAGCTGGCCTGCCTGTGTTCACCAGCTCTTCGGTACTCAGTACTCCGTGCTTTGAACGGGTAACCGGATAAGTATAATCATTGTCAGCTTCTGCTTGCTGAGAAGCCCTCGAATGACCGAAAAATCCATCCACGTTTATGCACTACGAGCACTACTGAAGTATCACACTGCGCCTTTCTGTTTAGCGGCTGGAGCACGCCGATATTCTCATATTTCCAAACCGGGAAGGCATTTCTCGTGTTTGACCACAGCTACATGACTCGACTTGCCTGGCCGAGTAATGCTACGGACTTTTTATCCAATGCCCGATACCTCTTTCTTGGTCAACAGAATTTATTTGTGCTAGTCCAGTTTTGGAACTTGTTTGTCATTGCAATTAATGCTCGAGAGCTGTTTAGTCTACTTCACCGACGAGTACTAGGTCGATCATCGAAGACAGAGAGCACAGCAGGGCGCACAGTTCATTAGGCTGATGGCCCAAAATAACCGACTTCCGGCCATTTCGTGGTCACCTGGAAGGACAAGGGATCTACTCATCAAGGCAGGGATCAGATCGAAGTTGATCGATCGGCTGGGGAAAGGGCTTTGCTCGTGCCGCCACGAAGTCTACTGAGTCTTCGCTTTCATTTCTTGAGAGCTTCTCCGTCATTTAAAACGGAGCTATGCAACCGATGCGAGTTCGTATCCGAGCTGGCCGCTGCCGACCACATGGCATACATGATTGGACATCGTCAAAGTTTTCGTTATTAATCGATTAAGCTTCGACTATCACACACGATTAGTACCTGAGCTTCACTTTTCCGAATAACAGCTCGTGAGAGCTCGCCGTGCACAACGAGCTCTCTCGACCCATGCCGAGGGAATTCCTCAGAATGTCCTCGTGAGGTCCATCCACTCCACACCCCACCAAGCAACGGAAAACGATTCCTCTTTTTGCTGCTCCATGGCGTCACTTTTGTTGAATATCATGCAAGTCTTTGCATCAGAGCAGCACTAGCCGTACCTGTTCCTTGCTGCCATCACTGCTAAAAAGCTGCCGGGAGATGCCCAAAACTTGCTCGATTCAAGGGGTTGCCGGAGCTTCTCAGCTTCACTTTCTGAGGGTTTTTCTGTTGACTGAAACTAGAATAAGCCGTGGTCAGAGCTTCCAGAATGGGAGAGTTGCCCTCAGACTTCGCTAAGGTCAATGCATCCATCATATTGGAAATGACGTATGTCGGCATTGGCCCAACATTGCGAATTATCGCTTCTACGGCGCGAGCTCGAGCCCGAAGCTCACAACCCTTGTTTCGAAAAATTTATTAGAGCTCGGACGGCTTCTGCCTGCTCGCTTCGCCTTGCCAATGTTCGTTTCCTCTTTTTATTCTTCGACTCATAGTTCGCGTCTGATAGTCTTTTGCTCTCAAGGAACCTCGCATGCTGTCCCATCTGACATATCCACGGGTTTCTTTACTTCGAGGGCTTAGGCATAGCTCTGTTTGACTGTGTATGATCTACCCGAAGCGATCGAGCCCTCTCTCGGCTTGAAGCTCAGGAGTCCATCAGACGCATTGACAGCTGTGCTCGGGCTTGAGCACTGACCCGACCTTAATAGCGCAAAAGTCCTTCTTAACCGTTAAGTTCCGTGCGTTCGTATATGGATGGAAATCTCCGATTGGACCCAAAGGAATCTAGGGTTGCGATATTGAGTCCAGTCAATCGATAGGTTGCGCACGGCTTCCATACGCATCCCTCTTACGAATGTGTTACTCGTTCCACGCACGGACCACCTTCGATATCAAGTTTACGGTAGGTAGGTGAGAGGGTTGGTCTATTTTTCGTATGTCGGTACCCTCTATGTCAAGTGTGCAGTATGTCGCTAGTGTCCATGTTGAGTAGATCGTACAGCGGTAGTCCCTCATGCAATCATATTGTCCTGACCGTGGAGTATGTCACGTGACAACTCGGCCTGATGGAGTATTCTAAGCCTGTACCAGCGAGCACACAAGGACTAGATACCTGCGCACCGATAAACGACCTCGACTTTTTTCGCTGAAATACGCATGCAGTCTTGTTTGTTGTGCTGATGGGGAGCCAGCTTCTTGTTTCCCCGGAGAATCTTTCGCTCTTACTTTCTGATTTGTTCTCCCAGTCTGTGTACCGCTATTGCTATTTCCTCCTTTTGCCCTTAAAAGGTCGGAGAAGGCATGCCTAACCCAGTCCATGGTGCCTTTGGATGAAGAGACAAAGCTTTCACATCTACTTCTTTTTTTACTCACAGTGCTCAGAAGTAGGTATGCTAGTCAAGTCAGGTAGAGGGTCTGCCAGGACACTAACAACATCTACACTGGTTTGACAAAGGGGGCCTCCTCGCGATCAAAAAGTGTTTTGAGTTGAACAAGTGGTTAGGTGAGATACTGCTAGCGCATGCGACCAGAGTTGACTAGAACTCAAGTGAAATGCTGGGCTGTCTTCGCGCATCTGGCCGAGTATTTACCATCTTGAAGTTGGTGGTGGGATCTGTGGCGGTGATCTTTGGTCTTGGATTGTTCTGTTTGACTGCTGCCGGGCCTTGTCAAACTCGCGGACCGTTATTTCGCATCTCACTTCACCACACAGTCGTTTCCTTCTCTCGATCGGGAGTTTGTCCGCGAATAATAGACCACTAGCTCTTTCGACGGCTTCTATGGGGACCTCAAAATCACTCAAGCTTTTCGCGTTTGGAATCTCGGCATTCGGAAGAACAAATGCTCCAAGTGCAACCTTTCCAATTGGGCTGTTATGTGCTTCCTCAGCATAGATGATTTTGTAGAAATGTGTTGGTACAGCAACATTAGGAGGGTTCCCGATGACTTCATATGAGACCCGCCACTTCCCATCTCTTTCATCTCTTTTCGGCAGGTACAACGGGCCAGTGACTACCCTAACGCTTGGATATCTCTTGGCCAAATTTCGACAGAAATCTTCGAAATGTGCCCAGTAATCCCGATTGAAGCCCTCGCCAACCTGCGGACACATATTGCTCAAGACAAAGGTTGAGTCCATGGCTTCTTGTGACCATTTTGCGTCAGCTGCGGGGACTTGATGGCCCCGATCGTAGCCGCTTCGTGCATAGTCTGACAATTTTGCTCTGAAGATGGCAGGAACCGACAGATCTTCGTAGAAGACACTATGTCTCCGGGAAGCATTGTTCAAGAGTAATGATTGTGGTGTGAAATGCTCAGCAACCCAATGGGGATTGCGGGTGGCTCGATTGAAGGATGAGAGATGAGAGGGAGTGGATAAAGTGTCAATCACTGGACCGGGGAAGCCATATCTCAGGATGCCTGCAGGATCAACAGGAGAAATGACTGATGATGCTGGATGAGTGGCAGCGGAGACAGGAACCGGGATTGGCACAGGCGTTGACGCTGGTGGGAGTACTGGAGCAGCAGGAAGAGGAGACTCCTTCAGGCTGGGAGTAGCCGTAGGTTGTGCGGCATTCTTGGGAGTTTTCGAGAAAAGTAACGCGGTGAGGGACGCGCCTGTTGCTGCCGAGGTGGCAGCTATAATGAGAAGAGTGGCCTTGGACATGAGGGACGTAGTTAAAGGAGCGGAAATGGTGGATGGACGTCCAGCCCTTGTATTAGATATTAGAACTTGGAAGTGAGGATGAAGGGACGATCGGAGAAAATCCAAGTCACAAGGCTACAAAATCTCGCGTTTAGTGAGCGAAGCTCGGCAATACCCGTAGCCTGACTCGGACGGTTGCATTATCCAATCGGAAAATCTCCATTGCCAAGTTCTCACATTTAGCGTCATGCAGCTCGCTAGAGATTTCAGCCTTGTCAAAGGCAGCTGTTGATTGGATGCCTTGTGGACATTGAAGCTAGTCTCTTTTTGTTCACGAGTATGCCCTTGTTTCCTAAGGTCCTCAATCATAAGTTATACTTTTGATCATCACGTCCTGCTACATTTTGCCACCAAAACCCTAAGCCCGATCGTCCTTTAGTGTAAATATGCTGTTGCTCTTTTGTTGATTTGATATCACACTTCCTGATCGCAGTATCGTACCAATTTTATCTTCCCATGATCCCCGGCGTAACAGCGAATTCTTGCTCAATATGCCTGTCGACAACGACACTCGAGGATGGATCATGACTTGTATCAGCGGCGTGGGTATGTATAGTCAACGAGCACGTAACTGTTGATCCTTTTTGCTAACTTCCTTCAGCATGTATCCTCGGCGCTGCAATCATCTGTGTTGACATTCCACTGCGCCGAATCCCATCCTACCGAGATTTCTCCATCACAGAAAGCGATGCCTTTCTCTCTGCCTCGCTCAGTCTGAGCTTCGGCGTTATGGTTTGTTGCAATCGTCACTTCACGAATGAGACTCCGGCTGACAATCCTTCTAGCTTTTTTCCTCTCTCTACTCCATGCTACCCCAAGCAAGGACCTACCTCAAGGACGCGGGCTATTCTCCTCGAGCCGCCTCATATCTGCTGATCGGTCTCTTCCTGGCTGGTGTCGTAGGTATCCAGCTCGGCTCCCGCATTATACATCACTATATTCCCTCGCATGTCGTGGACTGCGATCATAACCACGACGATGAAGAGGTCGCTGCGAAGGATCATGAAGAGATGTCGGAACATGCGCACGATGACGAACATACCAACGGCTTACCCGTGACGACACATTGCTCGGGTCCACCTCCAGATGATGAAGATACTCCACTACTCGCCAGGACAGCCAGCTTTAGCCCTAGAAAGGCCACCAATCACCGCCACCGCGAGCCAAGTGATGAAGAACAAAATTTTCGGCTTGACCAGGCCTTTCATACAGCACCCACATCCAGAAGACCTTCGATGATGCCTAGGAATCTGACCCGGACATTGTCAAGATATGTCGGCGGCACAAAAGAGAATTGTGATGCATCTGGCCCCTGCATGGGGTTCTCCAATCCGTGTGGGCAGGATTGCTTCAAAGTAGTCCAAAGACGTGGTTCAGTGCTGCCAGGTCTTGGTGGCCCATTTGCACGTGCACCAACTTGGCGGAGTCAAGTTGATGCGGTAGATGAAGCAGTGGAGGAGGAGGAGTCCCTGGGTAATGCTACTCCACTGCCACAGTCCCACGATCGCCTCCCTAAATGTGCCACCCGATCACGAGCCGCCACTCATCATTATCATCACGCTGAACATCAGCATCTGGACTCTGTACCACCTTGCAGAAGGGCATCTGAACACTCACAGTCTGTTGTCAAGGAACATCACCATCATGTGCCTACCAACGCTTTTATGTCCATTGGGCTCCAGACTTCTTTGGCAATCGCTCTGCACAAGGCCCCAGAAGGATTCATTACATACGCAACCAACCATGCAAACCCAACTTTAGGGTTCGCCGTTTTCATGGCCTTGTTTATCCACAATATAACCGAGGGGTTCGCCATGTCACTTCCTCTCTATCTAGCTCTTGGGTCAAGATTTAAGGCAATGGCCTGGTCGTCCTTCCTAGGAGGTGCCTCGCAGCCGATAGGTGCTGGTATAGCAGCCGCATGGTTCAAGCTTGCCAAAGGCAGTAGCTTCGGTGCCCCTACTGAAGGCGTCTATGGCGGCCTCTTCAGTATCACCGCGGGAATTATGGCCTCTGTGGCCCTAAGTCTCTTTGCAGAGAGTCTTCAGCTAAGTCACAACAAGAGTACGTGCATAGCATTCGCGTTCTTGGGTATGGGCATTCTGGGTGTGAGTTTCGCACTGACGGCAAAATAAGGGGAAAGACTCAGGAGTTGGAATATTGATGAATACCTGTATGCTTGTACTTCCTCTGACCCTAACGTTATGACCGACATGAATAAAATAGCAGGCGTAGGAGACCTGCAAGATAGCCTCGATACCCCTTAGCAAATTCGCTACCACATTCTTTTGCTCAAAATTGAAGTAACGGCCATCAACCACCTGCTTTCCGACATTCTGACGATGGGTTCTCTCTTCGTACCACTTTCTCAAGCCGAGGGATTTCAGAACCGTCCCATGTAGTATATAGAAATTTTATGTCGAGTACATAAATCTCTAGTCGCCTCAATAATCCGCGCACCTACAGCGATCAACATATTTCCCACCCTCCTAGAGGTGGTCAATAGCTCGAATGCCCTTATACCAGTGACGGCAGGGGATTCTCGTGGAAGTGGATGCTGTAGCCATTAGCGTTTAACATTACTGACGCCCCGGAAACCCACCTGCCTATTCTCTCGATAGCCAAGGCGTCCACCTCTCCGAAACTTACCAGTATGTAGCTACTATCAATGGGACATTTAGGGGGCGGCAACCTAGTGGGGCTTCGTGTGGAGGACGCTTTCCTGACTATATGGATGGTGACTAACAGCGCCGTGCCACAATTGAAGCCATTCCATCCATGATGTATCGGATGTTGCATGTACAATTAATCCGGCATCGCACCTGACGAGATGAGACGGCAACTCGCTGCTCAAAAAATAGTAAATTATCCAGAAATGAACCAGGGCGAAGCCCGGCAAACGATCTGCAAGAGCCGACTCACAGGCGGGGTGCAAAGGAGAGTCTTCTGTGAATCAAGAGACTACACCGAAGCCGAACCAGGGATCACATTATGCGTCTCGATACGCTGGTAGACAAGCTTCTTAAATTTTCGGCAAATGAAGCCATTGCTAGCCTCGTAGCCTTGCTTGATGACGCCCAGCGGGAAAACCAACGTCTATCCTTGCAGCCACGTGTGGGCTATCCTGAAAATCGTCCCCAATAAAGAATGGACTTACATCAATTCTGCAGGGCCTGACGACACAGGCGACAAAGAATCTCCAGGAACAGAGGCCAGCTTCGAACCTGAACAGCCATACGCCTTCGTCGTAGGAAAATCACTTCAGGCAGCCGCACCGCCGATCATTCAGCAAGAACTTACATAGCCCTCCGCAGATAGATGTCCTGGCAACACTCAGTGGCCTGCCTCAGAGCTCTGCAAAGCGAACACAGACACTCGTGGAATCCGCTTCTCCTTCGCAGATCAGCACGACCCTCGATAGTGAGACCGATGCTGCAACTAGCAACTTGCTTTCACCCCAAAGAGCATTGCTCGCAAGAGTCAAAGCCTCGGACCAAATACTGCACACGAAGACGCCCTTTCTCATTTCGTCCGAGCAGTGCTGGTCGGCGTGTGCTGAATGACTCAAGGGGCAGTAACGTCAACACGCGATGAAGATGAGGATATCGGTATTCGAGCGGTGTCTCCTGGACGGAGCAACGTTTCGCCTAAGGTGCCACGTTGACGATCGTTGGGGAAGTTATCCGCCAGGTGGATGAGGCAACTTTCTCCTCTTGTGAGCCCATTTCAGGATTGGCCATGCTGTTTACAATGAGGTAGAATTTGCGGGTAATCTCCCTTTACTCAGTCTGTAACAACTAGCAAGGTATGTTCGCTGAATATCCCCAGTACCAGAGATTACCCCCAACGAATTATATGGACTCTGGTGAGTGCTCATAGCGAGAATTGGCTCCTAGCGAATGTTAGTATGCGCTAGCGGTGTCTTGTCGCCAACAGATATAGTGATCAACTTTTGTGTTCTGCTGGACATGTCAGTCTCTCGTTGATTGGCTTCTTCAAAACCGCAGATCGAGAATACAAGAAATTTCGTAGGTGACAAAGGGATTCTGTGTCACTGCTTCCATGTGCAGGACTCCTGACAGTGTGAGGATGGTCCACAACTATTTGCTGTGGAAATTGTTACGGATCTGCTTATAATCGTCAAAGCTGGGGATACGATCTTTGATCGAGGGTCAGCCCGGTACATGGCATTGTAGCCACAGGCAGGCATGAGAAGAGTTGAGACTGACGTCGAACCACTGCCTATCAAGTTCTTTAGCCTCTAAATATAGAACTCTAGCTGAAGGCAGTACGCCCGCCCATTGGAAATCATGTTTCGGCTCAACTTTCAACAAAGGCATGACCGATGTGGCCGTGGTACAAAATCCCATGAGTGAGCATGTTACCACCATGCCTATCGATGTCCTAAGACCCATAAAAGTGATATTCCTAGGTACAAGAATGCCTGAGATGGTTACTATTCACAAGGCACAATGCATGACATATACTTGGAGTCTTGGACACGAGTTTAAACACGCTTTAGTGGCCGCAAAGGTTGTTGTGAACGTTTGAGCATGGCTTTTATGGCATTTTTCGATCTTTGACTCAGCGACCATTGACAACTTTTAACTCCTGAGATCATTGAAAGAACTGAAACAATAGAACGGGAACTATAAGGGCTCAACGGAGCTCAGAGCTTGGTTTTGTGCTTTGGAGTCAACGGGATTGCCAAATGCGTCCAAGGCCGCCCTTCTGGTATCTCCTGGATCCTTCGCTGAATGTGATAGCTGTGAAGTTAGCAACCGGCACTCAGGAGCAGATAGGTGTGCATCATACCCAGGTGACTGGGATTTGACAGAAGCATGTTGCCCGGCATCGAGTCGTGATATGATATGAGGATTCTCCGCTGAGCCTTTCATTAGCTTGGTAACCCTTATGAAAGGTATATGCTATTACTTACTCGCTTTAGCGTCTCGATTTTGTGGCATCGTTGGAAGGGCAAGTCAAAAGGACCATAGAACTTGTCGAAGTAGAAAGGGAGTAAAGAGGATGCTCCTTGGGGATGTAGGAGACTTTATAGCTCGGGGCATCAAACTAAGCAACAAGATGTTTGATGGGATCAAAGGTGCTCATAGCACGAGGCCCTCATTTTATGTCCAGCGGAGGATAGAATGTGTACGATGTAGGCCGCCTCGCCGTCAACATAGCCAAACCCGAGTTGTTTACAAGGGTCACACCTTGCTAACCATGTCACAGAAGGTAGACTAGATGCTGATCCCCCCTAGTCGATTTGCTGGAAATGCCTCGCCAGGTCAACGTAAGGGACCTCCGCTGCAGAGGTGCTCAGACACAGTGGAACAGGAAAATAAGGCAACATGACCACATTGTTGCATGACTGAAATGTTACGGACAACACGTCCCACCCTGATGGCAACTTGGTAACGCACTTTTGCATTCCTGGTGTGATTGGCTAGTCTGGATTCGCGGATAACAATTATATAATCAAGAAAAAGTATTAGCGTGGATGCGGTGACCGCTCGTTTGCACCTTTCGCCTGCGCCGCAGTTGTGAGCATGACCTTGGGCTGGACATCCAAAATTGGCTGATCCACAATGTGTAATGGACTCCACCTGATGTTCAATTGCACTTTTGTTGGCCAATTAGAAGGACGGATGGGACAGATATTGGCAAGGCTGCGGAGAGGAATCCAGGCAGACTCTGTCAGTCTAACGAATTGGATGAGTACGGCTTTCTTAAGCGGCCCCACAAACTCGAAGGTTTGAATGACATGCACGATTAAAAAACATGCACTAGTCGTGATGGCTCACCAGCCATGAAAGCGCACCTTCGTCGAGCATAATATTTTGATCTGGGGCATGTCCGGCATTGCAACTTGGCGTTTGGCCCCAACCGAATTTCCGACAGCTACTTTGCCTGACAGCATCCATGGCCTTGGTAGATACTGGCATTGAAGAATGTGCATGAGGATCAGCAGAGAGCTGGTCGATGATGAGCAACCCCCAGCCAGGTCTCGTGGAAGGGGGAAGGCTTCCATTTATGGCTCAGATAAGCAAGAGGTCCCAGTCAGGCTGGTGTTGCTATCCTGGGGCTGAGGACACACGCATGACTCGTTCTTAAGAATGTCATTGTTTCAATGTCGAAGATCTGGGGACCTCCCTATGCGAAACCTTGAGTTTTGACTCGGCAGCTGCCAGCCACTGCAAATGGGATTTGTCTGTGATCGTGCTGGGTCAGAGGGAGCTCTTGTCCTCGATTTTTGGGGGCCGGGCAGAGCCATGCAGGCGCCGTTGGGTATTAGTTTGGTAACGACATGGATGCCTGGTATCGTAGATGCCACCGTGACAAAGATTCTTGGAGCGCAATCGATTGGCTGTGGTTCAATCACCGCTTCCAACGCACTTTTGTTTCGGCAAGTTTAGCCAAAGCACTTTGGTTTTGGCAAAAATACACGACCTCCTTCGACTCTGTCTCGCTCATTCTCATGCTTGCTCGCAGGGCAGAATAAGCAGCCACTGGGCCGAGAACGCTCTGTCGCCATGGAGCTGAAATCATGCGCCATTTCATATGCAGTCCAGTCTCTGGAGGCTAATCTAATGCACTTTTGCTTTGCTCGCGGAGATCGACTCCCCAGGCCGTATTCTTAAACTGCTAAAGCCCCAGCCTGAGCATGCTTTGAATACTCAATCTGCATTGACTACTCTCCCACAGTTTTACCCTCTGCTATGAGCCCAAATTCTGTCAACTGAGTATAGAACACTGATCTCCCCTCGATTATGGCTCCAGGTTCCATGATGGACACTTCAAGCAGTTCTGCAATCGTGAAGAAACGACACGCCAAGAATCGCCACTCTCCAGAAGAATGGAACCAGCATAAGGCGCTCATTGAGAAACTGTACATGAGCGAAGATAGGACTGTGGAAGACACCATTCAAGTCTTGAAGGATCAAGAGGGTTTCGTGACTGGCGAGAGAAAATTCAAAATGCAGCTTAAAGAGTGGGGTTTCGAGAAGAACATTCGATCATCTATCATGCAACTCATGCTCGCAAAGGCAACGAAGCGTAAATTTGATGAAGACAAAGACACCAGGTTCAGATACAAGGGCCGAGACATATTGCCGGACAGACTTGACCACTATGCGAAGAGAAGCCACGTCAAAGATGGCAAAAGAGTCTCTCCCACTGCTTGTAAGTTCAAGGTCCTGTGGCTATCATCTCAAGAACTTAAAGTTGACAACATTGCTAGCAACTCCTTCTCTTCTCAGCTACTGTACCATGAGGAGTAACAGGTCCTCTTTCTCTGCTTCACTGGTTCGGGCGGTCAACTTGAATACATCGAACGCTAGCATTGCATCCACCGTTTCGTCGCTTCACCATCGTGGTCGCGCACTGCGAAGATCGCTGAGCAATTTATCGGGTCGAAAATTCTCGTCATCCAAGAGAGGAAATAGTCATGGTTCTGACCATCGCTCCATATCTCCAACAGATTTCGAGGATATGCCTTCGTTGTCACCTTCCTCCAAACAGTACCGTGACTACGAGCCGAATCTTCGGAAATACGACAAGTACGCAAGAGTAGTTGAAGGTTGTCCATCCTGCAAAACGTTATTTGCCAATACGTTAAAGAAGCACTTCACTGCCCTTCGTTATCATATCCTTCACCTGGACCATCCTAAAGTCTGGGAGGCTGCGGAAGAGATCATTCCAAAACTCTCACCTTTATGCAGATCGTGTCGTGGTATTTCCTACGAATTTATTTTCAGAGTGCTCAGGCAAGCCATGAAAGGCTACCTTCCACAAGGTGGCATCCCTTGGGTGACGGATCTCTTTGAGAAGCTTTTGCAATTCTGTGTGGAAGATGACCTCTACGAATGCAGCTACATTGCGTTCGACGTCGTCAACAATCTTACCAATTTGTATCTTGACCAAGGGTTACTTTACGAAATGGAGCAGAAGCTACTTTTATTCGGCACCAGCATCGAGACAGAGGGATTCTCAGACCTAGCATGGTTCTGCAATCATCTTATGCTTGCTAGAATCTATACTCTCCAGGAACGTCATCACGACGCTCTTAGAGAGTATGGGAAGTTATCGACGTCTGGCATAGAAGTTTATGGCGTCCACTCTTGTTTCATGCACATGATGGTTTTTTGCTGTGCGGACGCAAGCGAGAAGCTCCATGACTATAAGACTAGTACAGACCTCTATCGGAGGCTACTCATGGAGTCGGATCCCACTGACTATATCATACGAAATAGGACTCCTTTGGCTCTTCTCGGGTTGTCAAATAATTGTCGATATACTCAGTCAAATCAAGACTGCAAGAAGTATGCATATAAAGTTGCTGAGGTCTTACGGCGTGAGAACGAGCCATCCACATCTCAGTCCTGGTGGATGCTACGTGATCAGACGTGGTGTCACTTGAATCTAGCGGTAACATTTGACAGAGAGAACAATTTTGAGCAGGCTGAGAGTTATTTCTCCCAAGTGGTTTCTGGATATGAAAAATTGGAGAGGCAAGGGTATTCATATGGTGCGTTGGCGATCAAGCTGGACCTGCAGAGACATTATTTCGGCAGACCTCGCAGAATTGATGTGTTCGAGGCCGCGATGCCTTCCAGTCATGATCTTCGATTTTCTGATGCTGATTCTCATCACCCATCCACTTTACAGAGTATTCTCGTCAGGGTTATCCAGGAGGCGGACGGTCTTTCCAGATTTCAAAACTACCAACGAGCTGAGCATCTCTTCAATGAGGCAAGGGGCTTGCTCAACTTTTGCAAGCCACGTCTGAAAATCTTCTTTGCTATTCAGACGGCCCAGCACCATCGCCGCAAAGAAGAATGGAAGCATGTCCGTCGCTGTCTGGACCAAGCAGTCATACTTTCAGAGGAGATATACGGTCCCACAGACGTCTGCACGGCCGCGTTCAAAGGCAAGCTTGCAGCATTCAGTGAAGAGATGGAAAAGGAAGGCCTTTCGATCGTTGCGAGCTCGAAGTCAATGTCACTCCTCACCATCTCGTCGATGAGCAGCAACAGCACAGGGTCTGACGAGTTTGACGAGTTGGAGTTTCTGGAGGATGGGATGGTCTGGGGCCAGCCTCCAGCGTCGTTGTTGAGGTTTGCGTAAGGGGTCAATATAGCAGGTATGAAATCGGTCCTGCAAAAGGGGCCCAACCCGGCAGCTCGTGGATGCAGAGGACTCTCATTAGAACTTTGAGGCACCTCGTACACTTCCACTCTTGCAGCAAAGGGAATAAGTTCGAAATGGTTGTGTCGGGACTCAGGATGCACGACCTGCTTCTGTGCTTTGCATTCAATACCTAGCATGTGGGATATGCAGAATTTATAAATCTATCTCTTCCACCTCGAGGCCACATATCAGGCATTTCTTGACTGGTATGCCCGTTTCGGGATTATCAACGGGACGGCCAAAGTCATGAGCATGCTTGCCGTCACCTAGATCATCTCCAAAATTCCCTCCTCCGCCCTTTCGACTTCTCTGGTGAGCCTCAACCCTGGTTCGCTTCTTGAGGTCTGCCAGCTTCGACTTGAATTTGTTTTCCTTGCGTTTCTTCTTTTCTGTTTCTCGTCTCTCAAATTCCGCATCCAGTGCCTCAGCTGAGCCCCATCTCTTGTCGGAGAAGGCATACTCTTCGACTTGACACCGAAGGTAGAGAAACATGTTATGCCACGTTGATTTGTGAGGATTGGGCCTCTCGAGATGTGGAAGTAATGCTTCATCCTTCAGCTCGGGGTCGGTCAAGAGGTAGTCTTCTCTGGCTTCGGTTTTGGTAAGCAAACTGTACTTTTCGGGGAATTTCTCTTTGCACGCGTTGCAGACACCCAGCCCGAAGATTTCAAGCCATTTCCAGTCGACTTCCAGAGTGGCACATTCTCGGCACGACTGGGTTTTGGGATCCGTGCCAGCACTGATACCAGGCTCGAACGGACCAGCCTTTTCGTTGCGCAAGGATCGTACTAGCTGTTGTCTTTCCCACTCCTTCTGAGTCATGTGAGAGGGCTTATTGTCTCGCTCAGGCGCATGGAGGGCCCTGTTGTGAGGATCATCATCTGCAGTCAAGAACCCACCCTTTGTGTCTGTCATCTTGCTAAAGTCGTACTCGACATATTTGGCAAAATTGCGAGCAGGCTGAATGGTCTCCAGAGGTCGATTGGCATTCACATCGATAGTTGCATCGCGACGATTAGAGACAGTAGAAACAGGAGCATCGGAGAAGGCTGCATAGTTACGCTTCTGGCCAGCCATCGAAGAGTCTGTCCTCTGTAGACTTGCTGCTTTGGAGGCTTCATTCTCGCGTTGCTCTCGAAGTGCCTTGGCTTTGAGACGATTTATCTCGATCCTGCGCACCTGCTCTGGCGTGAGAGGCGACTTGGACTTGGCCTCTGGAACCCGAGACGGTGGTGTCGAGGGCCTTGCCGACATGTCTACGGAGATTGGTGGGGCAGCAAGGGGGATACTGTCGGATATGATGTTGATGGCATGCGAAAGAGGACTTTATCTTGCGGTACGGAATAAATAAACGGTGGCGATTGCGGAGTGCTGTTTAACAGGCACAAGCAGAACCCCACCGGCGGACTGGAGCCTGTAGGCTGTAGCTAGCGCACATTGGTACTAGTTGGCATCTTAACTTTTAGTTAGTACGTAGTCATAACTCCCAGCAGAAGCTAGGCCGTTGGGGGTTAAATATCAGGTACAGCCGCAAGACACACGTGACACCACTCGGAAAGGGCAGTGGCATTCGCCCGTGCCTGAGGCTTCGCCATGGAGAAATTGTGTGCTACTTTTATGTGCTGCCGCCGCTAACTAAATTGTTAGTAACTAGGAGTACCCCTCCAGTCGGTTTCTTGATTGTTTTTGTCGGTCAACATTTTTACCTGTGCAGCTGGCCTTTCATACACCAACCATGGCCAACAAAACAGCTCGCGCCGACTTTGAAAAGGTCTTTCCGGAGTTGGTGCAGGATCTACTAGGTGAAGCTCAGAAGTATAATCTCCCCGAAAATGCTCTGAAATGGTTCGAACAGGTAGGTGCTCCTCCAATCCTGGCCACGCTACACCTGTCGCAATTTGAGGTTGACCGTCTGTTCTGCGCCACAGTCTCTCAATGCGAACACACCCGGCGGAAAGTTGAACAGAGGCATCTCAGTACCGGATACGGCCCTGCAACTCCTCGAGCGACCCTTGAGCCCCGAAGAGTTCAAAGACCTTGCCACGCTAGGATGGCTCACCGAACTCCTACAAGCCTTCTTTCTCGTGTCTGACGACATCATGGACTCCAGCATCACCCGACGAGGTGAGCCATGCTGGTACCGTCAAAAAGGAGTGGGAATGATAGCGATCAATGATGCTTTCATGCTTGAATCGTCCATATACCTGATCCTCAAGAAGCGTTTCCGCACGCACCCTGGATATCTGGATCTGGTCGAAATGTTCCACGAGGTGTCATGGCAGACGGAGCTGGGACAGCTCTGTGATCTGATCACGGCCCCTGAAGATCATGTTGACCTGAACAATTTCAGCATGGACAAATACACCTTCATTGTCATATACAAAACCGCCTACTACTCCTTCTATTTGCCTGTGGCGCTCGCCTTGCACTATCTCCAACTGGCGTCTCCGGAGAATTTGAAGCAGGCGCATGACATCCTGATCCCTCTTGGTGAATATTTCCAAATCCAGGACGACTATCTCGATGCGTTCGGCGATCCTGCATTTATTGGAAAGATTGGAACGGACATCAAAGACAACAAGTGCGGATGGTTGATCAACCAAGCATTGTTGATCACTACACCCGAACAAAGGCAATTGCTGGAGGAGAACTATGGCCAGAAGGATGACGAGAAGGAAGCCAAAGTCAAGCAATTGTACCACGAGCTGCAGTTGGAGAAGAGGTACCAGGATTACGAGGAGAAAAAAGTGGGTGAGTTGCGCAGGCTGATTGACGCAATCGATGAGAGCAAAGGCCTGAGGAAGGGTGCATTCGAGGTGTTTTTGGCCAAGATTTACAAGAGAACCAAGTAGGGAATGGATGGTCGGTATGCCCTTGGTGGCTTTGATGTTGCGCATAGCAAGAATGGAATGCGGGCGGAGGGAGAGTTGGACGGGGCCGGAAGGTCATACCATAGCTAAGCGTACGCTGGAGCTGCCAGGCATCTAGAGGCTAGGTAGGATTAGGCGTGGACGCTCCCCGACAGAATTATGGTTGGGCGTGGGCTTCGCAATTACCTGCTGTCCACGGGGTTTTCTGGGGGTTAGGGGCGTTGCGATCCGCCTAACAGGCCGTTAGCTATAGGCAGCTCCGTGCCCCTAGCTCCCAGAAATGACGTCTGCTTTGTTTTGCCGAGTGCCAGAGCACAGGACGTCAGAGGTCAGCGGATGCGCAACACGGCGTCTGGCATGCATGCATACTTGCATTCTATCTTTCAATCTCCTTGTCTGGCCGTGTTTGGGCTTCCTCACTTCCGAGTCCGCAGCCTTGCATAGCTTGACGGCATTGAGCAAGAGCCAGAGCGCTTTAAAGTTTCCGGGCGTCTTTTGTTGTTGGTTCTTTTTAAATCCAGATCGCAAAATCTGGACCAGCTCTGCCCTTGGTTGTGGTGGTTCTCGTTGGTGGCTACTGAGTCCTAGTGCTGGGTGTACTACTGGTGGACCCCAAGGGCCCCTTCGCTCGCTCGCTCAAAACGCCCACATCCTCGCTCGCGCGTTCCCACCCAACTCCAAAAAATAGTCAAATACCTCATCGGCCCAGCCTGCCCCAATTTCTTTTGTACTCGGTACCAAAAGCTGAGAAAAGGCTGAGAAAAAGCTCATGTCGACAGAGAAAAGCAAGACGGCTGCCACCCAACGAGTACTGTTCTTCCTTTCTGGCAGTTCGGACTGTTACTGCTTCCACCGAATTTGAATGGTCCCCCGGTTGTCTCACCAACCAACCATACCTAGCAATTGGATCCCTAGATCAAGGTTGTACTGCAAGCTATCCACCTTTACTGTGGGGTAAAAAGCTTCCTGCGAGATTCACCTTGTCCTGTTGCTGCCACCCAGAGCTCTTCCTCCTCTCGACTCTCCTCCTCTCAAAGCTCATATTCAAGAGCCGTAGGTAGTCAAGATGAACGGAAATTCGGGAAAACGCGATATCAAAAACCACCTCTTGTTCGAGATCGCAACAGAGGTTGCGAATCGAGGTATGTTCATTCTAGTTGGGAACCGCTTTTCCCATGTGCTAATTTACGTCAGTTGGTGGTATTTACTCGGTCCTCAAATCCAAAGCTCCTGTCACTACGGCAGAATATGGCGACCGATATACACTTATTGGACCACTCAACAAGAACTCGGTAGGTTCTACCAAACGCCCTATCTCTACACAGGACCCAATTGACCGTCTTTCAGGCTGCGGTCGAAGTCGAGCCTCTCGAACCCCCGGCCGGTCCTCTGCGAGACACAATCTCCTCCATGCAAGAGCGTGGTATTGAGGTCATGTATGGTCGATGGCTGATCGAAGGTGCACCAAGAGTCCTCCTCATCAACACCGGCACTGGTTACCGATGGCTCGATGAATGGAAGGGTGATTTATGGGCTGCTGCTGGTATTCCATCGCCAGACAGTGACTCTGAGACCAATGAAGCAATCGTTTTCGGTTACTTGGTGGCCTGGTTTCTGGGCGAGGTAATGCTGTTCGTGGTCGATTATGCGGCCAACCTGCTGACAGCTGGTAGTTCATCGCCCGCGAAACGGATCGGGCAGTCATCGCACACTTCCATGAATGGCTTGCTGGAGTGGCACTGCCTCTGACAAAGAAGCGCCAAATGGACCTGACCACCATTTTCACCACCCACGCTACTCTGCTCGGTCGATACCTCTGCGCGGGTTCCGTGGATTTCTACAACAATCTACAATACTTTGACGTCGATGCAGAGGCCGGAAAACGCGGCATCTATCACAGGTACTGCATCGAGAGAGCAGCCGCTCACTCATCAGATGTCTTCACTACCGTTTCTCACATCACCGCGTTTGAGAGTGAGCATCTGCTAAAGCGGAAGCCCGACGGTGTCCTGCCTAATGGACTGAATGTCAAAAAGTTCTCGGCCGTCCACGAGTTCCAGAATCTTCATTCCGTCCAGAAAGAAAAGATCCACGAATTCGTCCGAGGTCACTTCTACGGTCACCTGGACTTCGACCTTGAAAATACCCTGTATATCTTCACCGCAGGGCGATACGAATACAGAAACAAAGGCGTGGATATGTTCATTGAATCCCTTGCTCGGTTGAATCACCGAATGAAAACAACCGGGTCCAAAACGACCATCGTGGCTTTCATGATCATGCCTGCTCAAACCACCTCGCTTTCAGTAGAATCTCTCAAGGGGCAGGCTGTGACCAAGTCCTTGGCTGATACAGTCGCCAACATTGAGCATGGAATTGGACGAAGACTATTTGAACGATCCGTCCACTGGAAAGAAGGGGACCCACTTCCGGATGAGAAGGAGCTCATCACTCCGGCAGACCGCGTGCTGCTTCGCCGCCGGCTTTTCGCCATGAAACGGCACGGCCTTCCCCCTATCGTTACTCACAACATGGTCAATGACTCCGAAGATCCAGTTCTCAGCCAGCTCAGACGAGTACAGCTGTTCAATCATCCATCTGACCGTGTCAAGGTCATCTTCCACCCCGAGTTCCTCAATTCTGCCAACCCGGTTTTGTCTCTGGATTATGACGATTTCGTACGTGGAACGCATCTGGGAGTCTTCGCATCTTACTATGAGCCCTGGGGCTATACTCCAGCAGAATGCACGGTGATGGGTGTCCCATCCATTACTACCAATCTGTCAGGATTCGGTTGCTATATGGAAGAGCTCATCGAAAACTCCTCCGACTATGGTATCTACATTGTCGACCGTCGTACAAAGGGTGTGGATGACTCAGTCAACCAATTGACCGACTACATGTTTGATTTTGCCAACAAGAGTCGGAGACAACGAATCAATCAGAGAAATCGTACCGAGAGACTGAGTGATCTTCTCGATTGGAAGCGTATGGGCATGGAGTATGTCAAAGCCCGCCAACTAGCCCTTCGACGTGCGTACCCCGACTCTTTCACCGATACCGACGAATTCGACGATATCATTGGTGGCACTGAGCAGAAAATTTCGAGACCCTTGTCTGTTCCAGGATCCCCTCGTGACCGATCTGGAATGATGACCCCAGGCGACTTTGCATCTTTACAGGAAGGTAAAGAAGGTCTAAGCACAGAGGATTATATTGCATGGAGACTGCCGTAAGTGATTCGAGTTTTGTTCCTTCAGACCGTGGCTGACCAAAGTACAGGGAGGAAGAAGAGCCTGATGACTACCCCTTCCCTCTGACTCTCAAGACCAAGAAAGGCTCAGGTCCAAACTCACCAGCACCTCTTGTCGGTGGCTTGAATGGATCGTGATAGGTGACGCTGACGTGGAAGAGAGGCGACTGGACGGCCAGGGTTGGATTTATTTGAAGCAGGAATCCAGATCGGCCTATTGAAAATGGACCACACGCCAGAGATATCAAGTGCCAGCCACTCCCAGCATTTTGCTAGCGCCTTCCGAGGTCTTAATATGTCTCTTGATCTATTCAGACGCAGCATTCATTTTATTTATCTGTATGCGTAGTAACTTTTCATCATTAGTCATCAGCACCTACCTCATTAAGTACGAGATGTCGACGTGAATTTTTCATAGATGGGCTCTATTGGGGCTGGGTAGCCGACCTGTTGAGTCAAATACCACGTGACTGTCGGCATCAAAGAGTATTTGCCAAGCCTGGGGCTGGGTAGGCTGAGCCGAGAAAGCGGGCCACTTCAATCCCGGGAAAAATTGCCCCGTCAAGCACAACGGAGAGAAAAGTCTCTGGAATTTTTTGGGGGATTCAAGATTCACAATCCGCCCGCAAGCACAACCCTCCAAGGTATCTCCCTGCGAACGACCCATTCATACCACATTAATCATGGGTCCCGGTCGGCGCATGAAGAAGCAAGGTCCTCCAGCCACTCTTGAAGAGCTCGGCCTCAACCTGAAAAGAAAGTCTGGCAATCCTGCGACTAAAGAGCCCGCCGCAAAGAAGCGGAGAAAGTCTTCCGACGATGTTCAAGAGCCGGTGAAGAAGCTGGTCAAGCTAGACCGCGCCTTGAGACAAGATCATAAATCGAGTGCCCCAGCGGAGTCAGTACAAGAGAAGACCAAGACTAAGACCAAGAGTAAGAAGAAGGCCAAGATCACTAACAGCGACGCTCAAATAACCGTTCCCCCTCGCATTGCCTTCGACCCAGAACTCGAGGTGGATGATGACGACGAAGACGGCTCTGTTGCAGGTATACCCCTGGACGAGGCTTCCCTGTCAGAGATCGATGATGACGAGCTTGAAGCCGAGCTGGAAAAGGAAGAAGTTTCAGATGATTCGGTCTTTGACTCGGATCCGGACGAGCAACCACGACGAATGTTCTCGGATGATGAAGATGAATCCGACGCCGAGGCCAAGCTGACTGCGGCAAACATTGAAGGGTTGTCGAGGAAGCTCGATGCTCAACAGGCCCTGGTGGAGGAGGAAGCCCGACAAGAACTGGAGGACGCGGCCTTGCAGACAAACATAGCCAAGGACGACGGTGTTCTTGACTCTGCCGCTGCACAGGGTCTCGCCCCAGATCTGGCGGTGGTCCGGTCTCGAATGACAGAGACAATCCGCATCCTGGGCGACTTCACCAAGTTGGCAGACAAGGACAAATCCCGGACTGATTATACGACGCAACTCCTTTCCGACATTTGCACCTACTACGGCTACACACCCTACCTGGCCGAAAAACTGTTCTCACTGTTTACCCCCGCTGAAGCATTCGCCTTTTTCGAAGCCAATGAAACCCCTCGTCCTGTCGTGCTACGAACAAACACCCTCCGAACAAATCGTCGGACGCTCGCACAGGCACTGATCAACCGAGGTGTCGTGCTGGAACCCGTCGGGAAATGGTCCAAAGTTGGATTGCAAGTATTTGAAGCACCAGTCCCTCTCGGAGCTACTCCTGAGTACCTCGCTGGTCACTACATTCTGCAAGCAGCATCCTCTTTCCTCCCAGTCATGGCGCTTGCCCCGCAACCGAACGAGCGTGTGCTCGACATGGCCGCCGCTCCCGGCGGGAAGACCACTTATATCTCGGCGCTGATGCGCAATACCGGGGCCGTATTCGCCAACGACGCCAACCGCCAGCGTGCAAAGGGTTTGATCGGCAACATTCATCGCCTCGGGTGTAAGAACACGATCGTCTGCCACTACGATGCGCAGAAAGCGTTCCCCAAGATCTTGGGCGGGTTCGACCGTGTTCTTCTGGACGCGCCCTGCTCAGGCACGGGCGTCATCGGAAAAGATCCCAGCGTCAAGACATCGAAGAACGAGCGTGACTTCCTCGCCCTCCCGCACATGCAGAAGCAACTGCTTCTCGCGGCGATCGATTCGACCGACCACACCAGCAAGAGCGGCGGCTACATTGTCTACTCGACGTGTTCAGTGACGGTCGAGGAGAACGAGGGCGTCGTCAACTACGTCCTGCGAAAACGACCGAACGTCAAACTCGTCGACACGGGTCTCGGGACGTTCGGCACCCCCGGTTTCAAGAGCTACATGAACAAGAGGTTCGACAACAAGATGGAGCTCACGAGGCGATATTTCCCGCACCGGGAGAACGTCGACGGCTTCTTTGTTTGCAAGTTGAAGAAGACGGGCCCGACGCCCAAGCAGACAGGCCAGGTCAACGGTACGGCACCCACTTCGCAGCCTGAGACCCCGGTGGCCAACGGTGAGATGAAGTCGATGGCTGCTGGCGGCGACACAGACAAGGAGAGCAGCGCCGTGGCCTCGGCCTTGAGCGATGACTTTGGGGGCTTTGACGACGGGGAAGATGCCGAGTTCATTCAGCGCGCCGAGAAGAAGTGGAGGAAGGCCAAAGGGCTGGATCCGCGTGTGAGCGGTAGGCACGAAGGGTCGAAGGGAGGGCGAGCGAAGCAGGGAGAGGAAGCAAATGGGTCAGGGAAAGGAAACCGAATCGGGGAAGGGTCAAAGCCACTGCTCAAAGGGGCAGAGAAATCGAAGAAGAAATGATGAATGGAACGGATGGCGCCGCATAGTATTGGACCAGGTTTGAATTAGAACTCGGGAGATGTCAAGAACGTCGTCCCGAAAGGAATACAAGTAAGAAAGCGAGCATGAACAAGACGGTCCATGTGGATGCTTCTAGATTTCCCAGCAATTATTTAGAGTGATCGCAGATCGTCTTTACATCGATCCCACTTGCTCTTCCAAACATAGAAATGAAGGGTTGGGCTGTAAATACACTCCATCCTGGCTGTACGCTGCACTGCATCGTGTCCCAATGGGCGTGGCCATTACAATTAGGATCGGAATGTCAGGTAGTCAGCTGCCTAAATCATTGTCAGGACCCGTGAACTCGGATTTCAAAAGTATACACCACTTACTTTGTCAATGTTATAATCGAACTGCTCCAAAGCCTTCAAGCTCTCATCACGGCTCCATCCCATCGCTGTCAGTCTCTTGAGAATTGGATCATCATGTTCGGTCCCAGTGCTCAAAGCACGCCCAGGCTGAGGGCGGTTAAGCTTGTTACTCGGACTTGCCGGCGTCGCAGCAGAAGCGGGAGACGTGGGAGCATGGGGCGACGACGGCTCCGCTACTGTAACAGAAGGAGTAGCTGCAGCTGCAGCTGCTTCTGGAGGCGTATTTAGTGCATCGAACCCTGATGTCGTGGGTCCAGTCGCTTCGCCGCCAGTCGTATTCAAAGGTGCAAACAGTGCGTCCCAATCATGCGAACCGGTGACAGGAGCAGGTTGGGAACCAAATGCTGAAGCTGTCCCATTTGCTTTGAAAGGGTCACTTGTAGTAGCTTTTGATGAGCTGGTTCCATTGGCCACCGAATCATTTGCAGAGTGCTGTGGTGCGGCCGAGGAGCGGGATTGAGGTGGCGAGTCGAAGGTTGGATCGAAGTCGGCCAGATTTCTAACAGGGCCAAAGACCTGTGCATCGTCCTCAGAATCATCGTCATCATCAACTATAGGGGCCGCCCCAACATCGGCGAAGGCTGAATCAAAATCAAATGGAGCTGTCTTGGGTGGTGGGAAAGGAGCAGGAGCGGAAGGCCCAGAAGGGCTTCTAGGGTGTGCTTCCGGTCCATATGAAGGTGGCTCTCCATTCCCCGCTGGTGGGGCAGTCACAATGGTCTCCCCGCCGGCTGGTGGAGAAGTTGGATCCTCTCTTTCTGGGAGTAAGCCTTTGTATTCGCGAGGAAAGTGAGTAGGATTGTCTTCTGAGACAGTATCACCATAGGTCGGTGGTGACTTTTGCTGGTCGGCTCCGGGCAACGAGCTTGCTGCAGAAGCCGTAGTATCCAAAGGAGGGCGTGGTAGAGAGAGGTTAGCGGGAACCGTTTGTCCCTCTGGTTGCTTGCCTAGACTTTTGGACTCGGATGGCAAATCACGCGGCGGGGACTTCTGGTTGAAGTCATCGTCGAACTTTAGGGGCTCGTCGCTGTAGTCGCTATCCGAATCATCGTCCCCAGCAACCTCTTGGATATCGGGGAACTCTTTAGCTGCAGCATCTTGAGTGCCATTCGTCGATCGTGGTTTTCCAAAATCCGCAAATGCCGAGTCGAAGTCTGCAACTTGTTGGGAGGTAGTCCGTTGATGAGGAGGGCCTCCGAAGAAATCATCAAAGTTTGATTCCGCAGCTTTTCCTTTTCCTGGAGAATCTTTGTCTGCCTGTTCCGATCCATTTGTCGTGGCTGCAGCAAGCCCAGTACCGGCCGCCAGAGTAGCAGCACTAGCAACAGCACCAGAACCAGCAATGACCGCGGCATTGGGAACTCCCTGCGATGGAGTGTCTGAACGTGAACCCGCTGGGAATGCACCAGGGATGCCACCGACTGGCGCTGAAGGTTTTCCGAAGCTGCCCTCCAAGGATTCCCTGGAAGCTGATGCCTGAGGCAAGGTTCTCCTAATAGATTCCTGCTCTTCATCCGGGCCTGCAGCCGTTGCAAAGGGATCGGTGGAGCTACGTGGTGCAGGAGGACTTGGGGTACTTGTCCCCGGAGTAAGAGCACGTGGTGTGTCCGCTGGGCTCAATCGACTGACAGGTGCTGCAACCTTCACGGATGAGCTGATGGAGTCTTCTCTTTCCAGGGGTAAGCGGAAGGGAAGGGATGCCGAGGTGATCTGACGAGATTGTGGAGGTGCGGGCGGTTCAGCCGAAGTGCTAGACGTAGAAAGACCAGGAGATTCAATGCGAGGCAAACTGGGAGAACTACTAGATGGAGGTGTGCTTGAGAAAGACGTTTCAGGCGCTGGCCCTCCCGTGGCGAATGATGGGCCAAAGATACTATCAAAGGCGCTTTGGTTGTTGCTCGGCTCTGGAGAAGCTGCTGGTGGGGAAAAAGTGGTATCTGTTGTCCTGCGGAAAAAGGGGTTTGAACTGGCCGAAGGAGCAGGGCTTACGACAGCGGGAGGGCTTTTAACCACCGGGACAGGAATGCTTCGTGCCTCTTCGAGCTCCTTTTTCGATGTCTCGACTTCGCGAGCTGACTCTTCTGCTTCGCGTGCTGCATCTTCCACTTGTTTTTGTGCAGCCGCGATTTCCGCCTTTATTCTATCTCGCTCCGTTTCATTAGTAGCTAATTGCTTCTTGTTGATGGCCACTAAACCTTTTTGTTGTCTTGCATCGGACTTTAGTTTCTCCAACTGCGGCCTGAGCTGGTCAATTTCCTGATTCGACTGCCGGATGCGCTCCTTCAGTGCAGCATTTTCCCTTTGGTCGGCTTCCAATGCGGCTCGTAGTTGCTGGTGCTGTGTGGAAAGGTCTTGGTGAGTGCCATCGATCATAGCCATATCTGCTTGCAGTCTCTTAGTCTCAGTCTTCGACGCCGTAAGCTGTTCTTGTAAAGCTCTGACTTCTTTGACTTCTTTCTCATAAAGTGCTCTTAGTTGAGCCAAGCGTCCTTCGAAGGCCCGTTTCTGGTTGATGGTGTGGGAAAGCTCTTGATCAGTTTGCTTCCTTGTGCCCTGAAATTCTGTCATCTGCTTCGACAGGCTGCCAATCTGATTCGAGAGATTCCCTAATTCACTGGTTTCGTTGGTGAGCTTGGAATTAATCTCAGGATCAGCATCTCCAAGTAGATCATCTGCCGGAGGAGGTGGTCGGGCTTGGGAGGGGCCAGGTGATCCTGTTGACTGGGGAATCATGCTCTGGCCAAATGAACTTGAAGGTATGAATGGCTTGAAGGTCGTCGAGGTTGTCTGCGGTGAGATAGCTGAAGGAGGGTTGGCAAAAGGGCCAGCATCGGTCCCTCCTGTCGACTGAGGGACCTGGGGAGCAGTGGTCGGAGGAGTACCAAATGCATCGAGGCCAAATAGATCATCAGCAGCAGAACGAGGTTTAGTGATGGGCGCATTCTCAAAGGCTGGAGCCGTTGGCTGAGAGGGGGGAAGAACTTGTTTCCGCATGCTTGGAGGGATGAGAGCCAGGGGTAATGTGTTTGGAAGAACACCTCGGCCATCCTTGGTTCCTCTTTGCTGCCGAATCAAGTACATAGCAACCGCAAATTCATCCTTGTTCAATTGTCCTTCCGAATTCATGTCGGCCAAATCCCAGATTTGAGCGAGCACTTCTTCTGGCAATCGTGCGTTCCCGAAAAACTCGACAGCCTGCTCACCTGTGATAAATCCTCGGCCTTGGCGATCGATCGTGGCAAATATCGAGTCGAAACGGGCCTTATCGGCTGGAGAAACCAGCCACGATTCTCCCGTTGATTGTGCGGAAAGTGGAGTGCTAACTTGTTGCCTAGTAATGGGACTTTGGGGTCTGTGATTGAATCCCGTAAATTGAGGAGGAAGGTTGGGAACAGCACTCGAGCCCGGTCGCGAGCCACTTCCGGCTCGAACTGGAGGTCGCCGAGTCGCAGCCTCATATAGGCCAGGAGGTAATGTGCTTGGGACACCACGCATTTGGCCGGACTTGTAAGACGCGAGCAAATGCATAGCAATCACGAATTCGGTTACGTCCAGCATACCTCTGCCTTGTGTATCTGAAAGCCCCCAGATTCGTCCAAGCACGTCATTAGGCAAACCTGCCCGCTCAAATATCTGCTTTGCAGTCAAACCCGACAAGAAGCCATTTTCAGCTCCTGACTTCTCGAAGAGCGAGGAGTAAGTGGTGACTTTGTCGGGGTTGAGTGCGGGTACTCGAATGGGAGGAGGTCCTGCTGGAGAAGGGCTTGCTGGAGGCCCAGTTGACTGCTGAGCGATCGGTGGGGGAGCCGCCGGAAGTTGGGACTGTGGTTGTATTTCGCCGGGGATAGGATCAAAACGAGGCAACGGGGCAGCTATTGACAGGTCAGTGTGGACCACGTAATCCTGCATGGGGAATCATACGCTGGGTCGCAATACTGGCTGAAGGAGGCCTTCCATTTTGAGCGTGGCCTATAAGTCGCAGGACAACACCGAAACCGGCCGGGGTCAAAAAGCCTCGATTCTCTGTGTCGGCAATTTGCCAGATCTATTATGGTGTGTCAATGATGGCAGCCTGCGCATTGAGGGGAATCGTGACGAACTTGGCCAAGGACATCGGGAGGAAGCTTCGTCCGCTCGAAGAATTTTACGGCGACATCGCCAGAGACAGCTCCAAACCCATCAGGATCAGCTTCTTTCAGAAGCTGCGCATAGACTCGCTTCTCTTCGGGGGTCAGATTGAGGTTCGGATGACCTGGACAAACACAGTCAGTCTCGGTGATGAACGAAGCGTGAATAGATAGAGAGGATAGCGAACCCGAAGCTTGCGATCCAATGATCTCAGACATTACCAAGAGCGAGAAAGGTGATGTTTAGATGATGCGCCTCAGAGACGCAGCCGAAGACGGGGGAGAGAGTCAAATCAGAGGCAGGGCCAACAGGAGGATGACATGAAGGAAGAACCAAACGCTGAAGGAGACAGACAAGACGCCCAGGGCCTGAGCGGGTTCTGTTGAAGCCAAAGATTAAACGGAAAGAAACGAGGTAGGGAGTGTTCTGCGTACGAGTGATATGGAGTAATGTGCAGTCGGGATGGCTGGAAAGGTGTCAAAGGTCAGAGTGGTCGAAGGTTGTCCCAATCGAACCGAACCGTGATGACGAAGCGTAATTATTCCGTCCGCCATAACAAGCAGCTACAGATAGCACCCAGGCAGTTCGTAGGCACACACAATACCGAGTTGTGGGCTTCGTCCGCTCCACCTAATCACCAAGACAGTCCATACTCGTAGCTTTGAGTACAGCCTAATTAACAACTTAGTGGCCCCTCGGGCGCTTTGGGTCCAATTACATAGTGAAGCAACTGCCACCTAGCTTCACCCCGGCCCTCAACCACTTTGCAAGTACTCGTAGTACGGGGTACTTCGGTTCGAACTTTAGGTGGCCCACCTGAGGACGGTGGGCTCTGCTATTATGCAAGAAACTCGTAGGGAATCAAGGCTCTGTACTCTGTACTCCGTACACAGTACACCTTCAATGAATGATAATGAATTGATTCCCAGTTCAATTACTAATCGTCTGGATCGCGACTACCTGCAATGTGCAATTCTATGGACGTTTGTGCAGTCTCACAGAGACCGGCATTCAAACGCCATTTGACTTGAAGCGGGTTGCCCAACAAACCAGCGCTGTAGGACAATTGGCAAAGCTTTGCAGGCGAAACAATCAATGGCTCCTGCACTCCTCGCAATGCTCTTCCAAAGAGCGAGATTTATGCAATCAGAAGTGCAATACCACCTAATGCTCAATCTCAGAGCCGTCTCCCTCTTCGATCGAATCACTGGCAACTTCCTCGTAGTCTCTCTCTAAGGCTGCAAGATCCTCACGTGCTTCGGAGAACTCGCCCTCTTCCATGCCCTCGCCGACATACCAGTGCACGAATGCTCGTTTCGAGTACATGAGATCGAACTTGTGAGACAATGCCGACCATGCCTCAGCAATTGCAGTGGTGTTGGAAAGCATACAACTATCTAGATTAGCTTCAACTCATCCATTGGGATACTCGGAACTTACACTGCACGGTTAACTTTGGCAAGGTCACCATTCGGCACCATCTGAGGAGGTTGGAAGCAGATGCCAATCTTGAATCCAGTAGGGCACCAGTCCACAAATTGAATGGTTCGCTTGGTCTTGAGGGTGGCGACTGCGGTATGCACATCGTTGGGAACCACATCTCCGCGATACAACAGGCAAGTTGCCATGTACTTGCCATTGCGTGGGTCGCATTTGACCATCTGGTTGTTGGGCTCAAAGCAGGACATTGAGATCTCTTGCACTGAGTTGGCCTCATGCTGAGCCTTCGCAGCCGAGATCACGGGGGCGTAGGCCACGAGAGGGAAGTGGATACGGGGATATGGCACCAGATTGGTCTGGAACTCGGCCAAGTCGACATTGAGAGAGCCATCGAATCGTAGAGAGGCGGTGATGGAAGAGACAACTATTGTTGTTAGTCGCGAAATTCAACACTCTCCCCCTTTATGATGATCACATACCTTGCGCAATCAAGCGGTTGAGATTCTCGAAGTTAGGTCTCTCAATCCCAAGGTTACGTCGGCAGATATCATAGATTGCCTCATTGTCAACCATGAAACTACAATCAGAGTGCTCCAACGTAGTGTGCGTAGTGAGGATCGAGTTGTATGGTTCAACGACTGAGGTGGCGTTCTGTGGTGCAGGGTAGACGACGAATTCGAGCTTGCATTTCTTGCCATAGTCAACGGAGAGACGTTCCATCAAGAGAGCGCCAAAGCCAGAGCCAGTACCACCGCCAAAAGAGTGGAAGACAAGGAAGCCTTGAAGACCGGTACAGTTATCAGCAACTCGTCGAACCTTGTCCAACACTTGATCGATCAACTCCTTTCCCACGGTGTAGTGGCCACGAGCATAGTTGTTTGAGGCATCCTCTTTTCCAGTGATCATCTGCTCGGGATGGAACAGGCTTCGGTAGGTGCCGGTGCGGACCTCGTCAACGACATTGGGCTCTAGATCCGCGTAGATGGTGCGAGGGACATATTTGCCATTACCTTGAGGAGAGTCGTCAGCCAACTGCTCGTTTCTGGGGGCTTCTCAATGCTTACCGGTCTCGGAGAAGAAGGTGCTGAAACCTTGATCAGGATCGGCAGCTTTGCGTTCTTCCGTCAGGTAACCATCGGGCTGGTAATGAAATTTAGCGGCATAGCCAGTAGGAAGAGGAATCACGTACTTGGATCCCGTGCTCTAAGCAGTACAGCTGGTAAAGTCAATTAATACTGGAACCTCAGATGGTGAGAATTGACATACCTCCCAGCATGAGTTGGCAATCTGACAGCCAGCCTGGCCGACTGTCGACGAAAGTTAGCCTCATTGTCACGTCTTGATTGTGGGTTGACCAGGGGCTACATTGGTCCGGGCAGGGCAAATCACAACGCGTTGAGACTTACCGTTCAAGCTGATGACTTCTCTCATGGCGACGAGGTGATGGAAATGTTCGAGGCTAGCGATGAATGGACTGCAGAAAGGAATGCGTTTGGGATAAGAGAACCAGCAACCTCGACAAAAGTTGAGTGGACAACCAGGAGAATCGAGGTAGCGTTGTTGGTGGTGGTGATTGTTGATTGTGGGGTGGTACAATGGTGATAGGCGCAGTTTAGTTTGCTTTGGTTTCTCTTTCCGTGCGCGCTTTCTTCACCGCCTGTCTGTTGCCCCTACCCTCCCACCCGAGTCAAGCGCGTTCACGCTTGATCACGTGTATGTCAAAGTTCAACACTCGTGACTTACTCGTAACACGTGCCAAACTACGGGCTGGCAATATCCACACATGGTGCATCACTGGCATTCATGGAGCAATCTTTGTTCTTGAGGATGTCAAGCAAAGCACATAAGACAACATGTCTAAATCCATGCTGTTAGCTTTCATTATATGGTGCATAAATGTTTCTGCAAATGTAGAAAAGGTGATTTTCATCGCTCCAGACACACAGCCAAAGCCACAGGACACAAGTATCGACAATCTCCTCCTGACGCCACTGTCCGAATCCTATCCCGCTGTTCGAACATACATTAACGCAAGTTTCCCAACCAATACATCGCTCAAGGGAACCGAATCCTGGTTCCTCCTGGACGGACTCAAACCTCGTCGACGCTATGAAGTCAGAGTTTGCTGGCTAGCAACCGTAAGTTCCGTTCCTCCTTCGTCCGGTCAAAATCCTCCCTAACTATCCCTCCCAAGCAACCAACGTCCTTTTGGCTCTACTCCCATCAGGTTGACGCCGTCTTCTCTGAACCCACTCTCATCTCGTCTTTAAGCACTTATTCATATGCGAGACATGATCAACTCAATTCGAACGATTTGGAGCTCGTGAAGAACCGCAAGGCAAAACACGATTCCAAACAAGAGTCGACATTTCTCTTCCTGCAGGTCTTTGCAGCTGCGGACTATTTCAGCCTGAACCAAACTCTCATGGATGATGTGCCTCCAGTGGCGGTTGATCTTATATTAGATCCATATGTCTTGGACATTCTTCCAAAGTCCCTGCTGCCGACTGGTCTGTATCTTGGCGTCATTGGATTCATTGCTTGGCAGGCCTCCAGTTGGATTCTGCGGTGTCTTCCCTCAAGCAATGCTGTCTCGAACAGAATACCCTCGGATAAATCCGATTAGCATTGTCAACCCCCAGCCATCGAAAACGGATCTCCCAATTGATCAAATTCTGTCATCAACGAGAATAAGGGAAACTCCTCTGCATAGGATGGAAGACTCGGGATCCCAGATCCGTTAGGTGATAGATAGTCGTTATCAGGAAGCTGGTTAAAGTCATGTCGTTGCAACGCTGGCGGGTAATATTGGTTGGAGGCGTCGTCGCCATTGTTTGCCAGTGCTCCAGATGTGGTTAGAACAGGTCCTCGACCTTCAGAAGGCATCTCGAATCCCAACTGCCATGGCAGCTGATTATCAATGGTCTCTGTCATATCAAAGTTGAATGTCCCATTATTTAAGGCAGATTCGGTCGCTGGTGTCTGATTGGGAGTTGGATTGCCCCTTGATGTGGGCAATGCAGGGTTGCCGTTCTTGTTGATAACATCGCCGAAAATGTTGTGAATGTCCTGCCTCCTCTTCTGCATCTGGACCTTATCACGTCTCTGAATGTGCTCGAGAGCGGCAAGACGCAAGTACGACGTTATGCTGTACAATCGACGAGCCGACATATCGTCCTTGGCCATAATGGTCAAGATTGCTTCAGCCTGAGTCATGCTGCTCAGCAGCGGAAATGACTTGTCAAAGTCCCCAAATATTGCCAAACCAATCACTAGAGCCGAAATAAACACACTGTTTGTGATCATGAACAGCCGCCGAGGAACTCCGGGGGTGTGGACCAGATCAGTGGCAATCTCAATGTTCCTTAAAGCAGCATCAATGCAGGCTTCACTCAAGGTCATTGTCACATTACTGTCCGCCCCGTTCCCCCCTTCGTCACGATTCTTGACTTTAGATGACACTTTGAAAATCAAGAACGGTCTGGTCAACAAAATAATAGACCAGTAATACAATCCCTTTAAATGAGCAATACCGATCGACTGCCGCAGGGATGGCGCCATCGTCCCAGGTTTCTGATCGAGGGAATCAGCCTGCAACCCCGACGGGAGCTGCATGGTCCAATCCCTGTATTGCCGTGAAATACTCTCGACCAGCTGCACAGAGACCTCGCGCCGACAATAGACTTCGTTCAGAATTCGTTCAAAGATAAAACAGATCCTCAAAGTAGCCGATGTATTCCGCCCGTTCATTTGAATGTCTTCATAATCTCGACTGGATCGGTGCCACGAGACGCTGCCACCGTCAACCTCGGATGTCGCGGGTGGACGGCCAAGTGAACCACTCATGAACAGGTCCAGCACACGCAAGCTCTTCCACACCCTCTCTCGCGCCACTCTTTCTCTCGGCTCGAACAAGCTCGATATGTCGCTTCGGTGGAGGCCAAGCGCATAGGCGGCGCGGACGGCGATGCCCATCAACATGAACGCACCGTTTCGTCTCGTAGCGGACAGCATGTAGAATGATATTAGCGCATAAGCCTGGACAGTCAGGACACTCGGGTCTTCGAGAAAGCTCGAGACCCCGATTTCCCTGCCCCGACTAAAATAGAATTCCGCCTGATCTGGATCGCCAGAATCCCGGGTCAAGGCACCAATCGCCATGACGAGATAGTAAATCGAGCTGTTGAAATCCGTTTCCGCCGTGGAATCCTTTGTCCACGTACACAGATGGTCCGTAATGTCGTCCGGGTCGAACAGATCGATAATGCCGCTGGAAGCGAGCAAGTAGTGCTTGATTAGATCCTGCGCCTCGGCCAGCGTCGGCTTGGGGTGCTGTGCCTGCTGAGGAGTTGGAGCTTTGTGCGGCGGGATCACTTCACACATGGCATGCCTCAGGGGATCAGAAGTCAAGTGACACTCGCCGATGTCGATCTTGACCAGGCGGCGGATGTTCTGCACAAACGCCAGATTGCTCGAGTCGCCCACGAAAATGAACTTCCCACGGCCATCGCGCAAGAGTCTTGCAAGTTTAGGCACGGGGGCGCGCGAGACGAGATGATCCGGGTCCCTTTCGTACTGCGGAGACTTTGGCTGCGCGCTTCTGGAACCCGAGAGCGTCAAGAGCGACTCGATGGCGATTTCGGCGTCGTTGGAATCGTTCAGCGCGTCCTTGAGAGTGATGGACTGGGCGGGCGACGCTTCATCCGGTCGGTTTGAGACTGAACCTGAACCTGAACCTGAGCCCGAGCCACTCCGCTTGGGTAATCCATCAGAGAAGACACATTCTGGCTCGCGTCCGCGTCGCTTGCAGAGGAGACATGGATGCTGGCCGTCACATTTTTCCTTTCGGCGTTTGCAGGTGTCACACGCGCGGGCGACCCTCTTCCGGTCCTCGTCTTTCACACGAGGGCGAGGCATCACATTACCAAAAGGGTTAAATTGAAGATAGCCTGATAGTTAGTCGTTCGAAGCAAAGCATGCGGCTACTCGCAGGATCAATTATCCGAAAATGCACGGAGGGGTGGAATTGTGGGATGGCCGGATATAGCACCTTGGTGGTAAGCAAAAGCTGGAGAAGGGAGGATTTGTGAGGATGGGTTCGGAAGTGGGCGAATCTAAAAGAGTGAGTTGTGGGGACTGGGGGAGAGGGGGGTTCATCGTTGCTCAGCCTCTCTCTGCAGCCCCCAAAGGCTTAAAGCGGCCTCTGCCAGGATCAAAGCGGCAGCAGGAAACGAGGTGGCTTGGTTAGCGCACTTAAGCACAACAAAATGCATATGCGGGGCCAACCAATCACAGAATCCGCGTTTGACCCTGCTGACCTAACAAAGAGCCGAGGCTTAGAGAGGCATGTGTGAAGCCATCCGAGAGTTGAATAGGATGAGCGACTGGTACGAGGTACTGAACAATCTGCTGATGGTACCGCAGAGATAGAAATTTTTATTATAGACAAGGATATCAAAACAGACCTCTTACAGACGCTCCAAAGCCCCCCACGAGCCAGGCTCTCTCGCTACACCTGAGTAGCCAAGCCATCCGGGGGCCCTGACTCGCCTTTCGAATCCAAAGGAGCCATGTTGACATCATACTTCAATTCCAGAGCTGCCTGGGGGTCCCCTTTTCGCGGCACGAACTCAACCACCAGGGAGTCTTTCACGGCGAACACCGAGTCATCGTCGAGATACTTGCTGGCCTTGTCGAAGATCTGTGTCGTGATTGGCTTGTAGCCTTCCACCAAGACCTGATATCTGTTGTCAGCACGAAGACTGGAGGGTCTCGGATCCTTGTTAAGACTTACGATCAAGTGGATATGTGCTGGGCGGTATGGATGTCGGTCCAGAAGTTGCAGAAGTTTACCGGCTGGGCCATCGAATGGGATGGGATAGGGTGTCGGTCGGAGGGCGTAGAAGGCATATTCACCATTGGTATCGGTGATGAACTTCCCCCGCAGGTTGCAGTCGACTTGATTGTCGTCTTGTTGCTCATACAGACCTGATTGATTACCAGTTAGCGGACCCTCGTCATGGTACGAAAGCGAAACACGACTCACCATTTGTGGATGCCTCCCATACATCGATACTGGCATTGGCTAGTGGTTTCTGTGTGGTTGCATCAAGAACTTGGCCGTGCATATATACGACCTCGGCGTCCTTGGGGGTGTTGAATGAGATCGTAGCGCCCTTTTCGCGGATTGGATGGTCATGTCTGAAGAAAGGGCCCAAGATGGCGCTTTGGGTGGCGACAGTGGTGGCTTCGGATGCCTTCTTGTAGGTGATCTCGTCGACGAGACTGACAATACATCAACAATGGGCAGAAGGGAGAGGAAAGAGGGATTGCCTTACGATTCAAGACCGACAACATCACAGACCAGTTGACCCTCATTTCGTTTGTCGTTGCTCATTTGACCGGCCCAGTTGATCAGCGCAACACCTTCCGTCCATTCATCCACGGTTAATTCGACTTCACGGGCAAAATCGTGCAGGTGTTGGATCAAACTGGTCATGACTACTTTCATCCTGGGTGAAGTCTTTGGACCCATAGCGTCGATGACATGTTGCGTGAAATTGGGGTCAAACCGATGTGGTGCTGACTTGACGCCGTTGGTTGTCATTTTGAGGCGAATCTAGAATACTTGGTACGTGTACTAGGGGCTCGTATTATATTGGACACTGAGTTCACGACACGTCTCCTCCAGAGGATTAAGCAGCTTTGCGTAATCGTAGGACACTCTCGAGGTATTGATGAACTTGGGTAGAGGCAGTACAACGCAGTGGTAATGACTTTCAGCTGGTTGGTAGAAAAGGAGTCGTTGATGGATGTTCTAAATACCCCGCCTTGATGGGACAGTCAAAGACTTCATATGGGAATCTGGATACCCGCTCCCCTTGTCGGCCTTGCATCGGATCCTGGAGAGTCCCTTTATTATTATTGCTGAACCAGACTGTTCCCGGTTAAGCGGGACCCCGACCTTCCTCCTCCCCTCAGTTCCTCAGCCCACCAAAGCCCACAGGTCCACTTCCATCCCGACGGCCACATCATTTCTGCTTGTCGTCGGCTCGAGCCCCTTCGGGTTGATTGTTCAATATCCACCACAACATGTTTCCAGGTTGGCCATCCATACTACTTGTGGCCTGATATCATTGAGAGTCTACTTATTGTCGCCTCGCCGTCTCTTCCAACCCGACAGACCGACGGATGGTGTATTCAAGATTAGAAATGTGTGCGGAATCAATCCTTTCTTTCAGATCACTCCACCCTGGTAAAGTCGTAACTGAGGCAAAGACTCGAGTCGGCTTGCGTCTCAGGTGAGCAGCTCTGTAACTAAGCATAAGGCTGCGGGCCCCAATTCAAACCCGGTTGTACCAACTGCAAGAGACATGGCTTGCACCATTCCACCAGGTTCAATTCAAGATCACAGCTGTCGTATATTATTCTGTAGCCATTGAGAAGCAGTCATGCTCTATCTTAGGTCCCTTGGTGCATCCACAACAACTCTGGGGATGGGGACGAGGGTCAGCGAGGGACCTTTGGGTGACATGCCCGCTTCCCTCTTCCGACGCTGCGGCCCGCCAACGTCTGATGCCTCGAACAGACCAAACTCTCCCAAACGAAGATCAACTCCATACTTGTTCCACAGAAGACCCCTTGTGGTGCCCAGGCACTGTGTTGATTGTCATCCCCTGCGCACTCATAATCTAGAGGTGAGTATTATCCAGCGCATCCCCCCTTGCCAGCAATGAGGATTTGACTTCTCAACCAACTAGCAATACAGGTCATTAGCGTGTATTCAATACCCAGGCTTCCAGTTAGAACAGCTGAAGGAAATGGAAACCACTCTTCACAGCCATAAATTAACCTACCAGTTGTCAATTTCCAAATGAGGGCAGTGATAATTGCGCCAGAAGCCACGAGAACGAACAACGTTGTTCCAAACATCCAGAGAGCTCGTCGATACCTTGAGGACCAGACTCGCAATGATATGAGAACAGTATTTCCCATGTTGTGTTCACTCCTTGGAATGGCTTCATCAGGTGAGGTTCGGCTTGTATTGGCGAACGTCGACTGGGAAAAATCCAACTGCTTGTGCTCCTGGCAATAGGAGGTCAAGCTTGTTCCAAGACAGCTGCTACTTGCGTATGGGGAATCAACTACCACAGCGGGGTCACGGTTACCATGCAGTCGCTGCATATATCCGTGGCCAAGTTGTACTTGCGTTGGGATCTTGTTATATCTTGAGGCATATGACACTTCGGTCTTGAACCCTTCCCGAACGTGTTGCGACCTAATATCCTGTGCTTCCGCGCCAGCATGAGAATGATGCTGCCCGAAACAATCTGGCAAAGCTGCAAATACGTCGTCGGAGAATGAGACATGTTTCCTCGGATTCAGACGGTAAGCAGAAGAAGGTATGTACGCTGTGGAGGGCATAGCAATAGGTAATAGAATGACAGTTTGGCGTAAGTTCGTCAAAGATGTCATAGGACGCGGTGGTCGTGGAGGAGCTGGAAGCGAAGGTAATTTGCAAGGCTCTCGGCTCTCAGGGGATGCGATGATATCGGGTGAGGCGGATGAATGTTGTAACGACTTTAGGCGTGGTTGCCAGGACGGAAGCCGAAGTTTCCACCATGGGACCCTCTTTGGCGATTCTTGCGGCGAATCTGTTCCTGTCAACGAGCATTCCCTCATTCCGCATTCTGGTCTAGACGGCGCTAAGTCGTGAAGCAATCTCGAAGCCTTCGACCGAAGTCGTTCCATTCCTAAGACAGAACAGCAAGATTAACAATGAGACTATCGACACCCTCACTGTGGTTATGCAAACGAAGACGACGATTTCGGATTTTTCGTCATCAGTCCTGGATAAATGAGCGAGAATGGTGGCGAAAGACGATACAAGCAGAGTCAGAGGTCAGCCCAATGATACTCGCACGAGGGATCTGCGGAACGACATGATTCCCTCCCTCTTCTCCTTTCTCGCGCAACATGGACACAAAACTGACCAGCCGAAAGGAAGACAGGATCAGGGAGGAAGCGAGTGTGTGTGAGGTGGACTCAGGAACAGAGGAAGCCAGTTCAATCACTCTGTCACACTGCATCTCATGTCCTGGTCTTTCGAACTGTTCTCGTACGACGGTAATCTGCGTTGCCACAATCAGCCTATCCCTCACTGCATTTCACGATACGGGGAGCCTTATCCCAGGATATTCTTGTGAGATGGTTCTCTCTAATCCATTATATTCGTCTCCTTCAAGTCTGCTGGTATCTTGTGTTCCTTCTGCAGAACCCAATGTTAAAAGGCATGATCATTATAACGGTCAGCGGGTGGCAAACGGGGAACATGAATATTAAGAAATGATTGCTCTCTCCATTCTGCTGCAACGTGCGCCACGATGGGAAGATATTTGAGAAGCTTGAAAGGCAACATAGCCCTCTTTCTACTCATTATCGACGCTTGGGGACATCAAAACTCCAACATCGATCATACCGAAAATTGCAGCGTGCAAACGTGAGCATAAGATATGAGTATTTTTTCCAGACCGTAGGAACTGCTTCATCTAGATCTTCTCTCTGTTCTTACCAGTATGTAATTAATCAAACCCGGTAATTAGAGGAAGAGCACCTGAAAGAGCATCAGGCTGTTGCTGGGTTTGGCAGTTAGGCTGAATAATCACCGAAGGAGTTCTGTGAAAAGGGGGGTTTGTCACTCATTAGGAAGCCTTTTTGCACTTCACACTACTATCAGAAAGATCATCAGAGCCGCACGGTATGTTATACGTTTATGGGCACGACTTGCGTAAATACAAACGGAATGATCGTCAAGGCAAGTGTGGATTCGAAAGCAGGAAATAGTGGCTGCTAGCTCTACGCGTCCTCTTTCAGGACTTCCAGAGGCTGCGACATTGAGTATGCATCGCCGGCGCGGCCAACACTGAATTGTCGCCAAATCTCCATACTGTGTCACAACCAGTTGAGCCTGGATATAACTCAAGGAGATGACAACTGCCTTCCAGAATGTGAGCGCAAGCTCGCTACTGTGGTGCCTAGGTATATAACTAGCTAGGCACTCGGGTGTGCAACTGAAGAGCTTGGTTTCCAATCAAGCCACATTTAGGCCCTTTTTCCAATTCGAATGCAATCCCAAAGGGCGGGGCTCTACTTCCAATTTGTGGCCAGGAATTCAGATCTCTTCACATCACCTGCAACTGCCAGTACCGTTCGCTGTGTATCAGGTGCAACTACTATTTCCGACGGCCGTTTGCTTGATATTCTGGATTCAACCAATGATAAGTATCAGCAACCGAGAGGCTTTGCCAGGGCCGCCCGCCCATGCGTGAGGACTCGCGGTGATGCCGTGCCTGGTACTGGTGGTTGAGATGGATCCGAACCTATGGCTTTAGCTTTGACTCACTAGCCTGTTCGCGGCCCCGGCCTCCGTTGTGACTTGTTCGCCTCGACGAACCGAGTACGAGGTACAGCACTTGTTCCTCGATCTTTGACAGCAGCCACATGGAACCCATCGCTACCACGAGCAACCAGGAAAGCCAAATGGGTCAGCCGTGGCCACACTAAAGAAGCTGGCTTACCACTCCCGCACCCCAGGCCCAGGCCTGTCACTCGTCATAATTCACAGGGACCGCAGGTTACAAAGCTTCTGGAATATGCATCACTTCAAGTCACACTCACGGTGAATCATGTCGCGTCGCCCCCAATCCCTCTTCTCCAGCAATGAACGATCGGCACGGCGAATTGACAAGGCGCCGTGACCGACGGGCCTCTACACTATCGCGGCGCACGTCGCATCTGAATCAAACGAGCGACGACGATTCGGAATTCAGTCGGCGTCCTTCGCCACTTCTCGCTGTGGATAGTGGCTATCGTGTGGATCCTTTCACACCTTATCCTGTCACCAATCCCTCTCGCGGAGTCCGGTATATGGTAGACTATTGTGGGTTGAGCCTCAAACTGGTCGGAAAAAAGTACTTATGTCAGTTTGCAGACACGCAAATTTGGGCGCCTCAGCAAGCCTCAGCGTCTTCGCTTATCAGTGGAAGAAATACGCTCGTCACATTGGTCTTACCGCTAGCACTGCAGAATGCAATGCTCTTTGAGGCGACCATAGCCATGACCAGAGCAGCTTGGGTGATTAGACGAGGTTCAGAACCTTTCAACGACAAGATGTTGCTTCGTCACCGAGGATATGCTATGGAAGAACTTCGCAATAGCCTCAGTGGCTCCGGTCAATCTGTCTCTGCATATGTATTGCTCACGATGTCTACTCTCTTGACAATGAATGTGAGTGGGAGTGTTCCACTTGTACAAACCATGCTCAATGGTGTGCTAGTACATGATCAATGATACTGTGTCATTCCGGGTGCATCTGCAGGCACTAGAGAAGATGCTGGAATCACTGAAATCTGAAGAGACTGAGATTCTACATTTTGTACGAGGTCGTGTCCTTGCGTAAGGGAGCCCAGTCCTCACGCCTGGGCCATTCAGCATAACTAATGTGGCTAGATTCGGTGTGCTTGCATCATTCCTTCAGGCACACCAGCCAAGATATGCAACCAGAATCAACGAGCTTGGACATCGAATTAGCACATTGACGTATCCAGGTCATCCTTTCCCTTCGGACCTCTGCGAAGTCGCGTCTAAATTACCAGAAGGCTTCTCAGAGGTTGCGTTGAGCCGTAGCATCGCCACCGAATTCATCAGCTTTCTGGCGAAGTTGACCGAGTTAGTCAAATGGATGCCCTTAACTCAAGCCCGGCGGGTGAATGGTCCTCAACCGGGGCTGACGATGCAACGAGCCATCTATGATCTTCAATGCCTGTCCGCACTGTCCCTCACATCTGTCGAGGGACAGATTGTACGAGCCACTTTGGCATTTTGTTTACATGTGTACAATGAGTTGTCTTTTAGAATCCCCTTGGCTCGACCGCTAAAACCGCTCTTGGAATCTTTCAACGAGCACAATGAGATTCCTCGACAACCTTGGCTCCAAAGATGTCTGCTCTGGTCTGCGATCGTCACTGCGAGCGCCTGGGATACTCAAGTTGATGCGCAGCCGCGAACACATGTTGTGCTCGATAAGATGATGAGACTCTTGCCTGAAGCAAACTACTGGGAAGAAACCAAAGAATTGATGCAGAAGTTCTTTTGGTTGGATAGCCTCCAAGATCAATGGGAGATTTGCTGGCGTGCGGCCTACTTCAGGAAGACCCGACAGCGACGAGGAGCATCACAAGTGGACTCAATTTCGCAGCTGCTACAAGACAGTGCACAAATCTCGAAGCATCCCTCATCGGAAGTTAGGATCAAAACAGAGTTCTGATCGAATCGAATCGGAAAGAGCGCGTATCGTCTCATCAGACCATTGCCACTAGCATTTCAACGAATGTCCGCGGCTATTCAATTCTGCGTGGATATTCTAACATGTTTTATTTCGTGGCGATTTCAGCTGATATCCTCCAGCCAACTTCGGACATTCACGACAGGGATTAATCGCGCAGGCTGTCGACCAAATCATCATCAGCGTTAGGCGCACTGACACGCGAGCATCAATGACGACGTCCGCTAGGCGAGCAACACGCCGAGCACGAGTTGTCCCAGCCTTGTGCGATATCATATTTCGACCTCTTATGTACATGGTAATATGCAACAAGGCTCTGGTGCTTCAGACAACTTCAGCGCCAAGCCAGGAGCGGTGTGCCTGAGGCTTCTCGGTAGCAACCTTCTCCCCCGAGAAGCGGCCACCAAGGAAAACATGGGAATATGCGAAAAAGCTTGTGACAGCGAAGAGCACACTAGGGGCCATAGTTGTCAGGTACCAGAAAAAAGAACCACAACAATAAAAACTTACAACTCGAAGACTCCGACGACCACACAACCACGTGCCGCAGGTCGGCCCGCCGCAACAGCGATCTCGTTTTTCCTCAAAAGGTCTGCAACTGCAGCAAATCCACCCAACCACAAGATAGAAGTTGTAGCCTCCGCACTGAGCATCGCCATGGGATGCGCCAGGACGGGAAAATAGCGTGGGGTGATGATGGTGTATGGAACCGTGAGAAGCATGGTGAAGACCGACGTGAAGGTGAAGAAGGCGAGTGCGGCTGGGGCGTCAATGTCAGATCTGGCGGTATTGAAAGCATTGACGACCGTAGCTCCAAGCGCCATGGCGACGAATGCTAAAGCTCCTTGCAGGACGCGGAGAATGAGCACCGGGTTGATGTACTTCATCTTCATTTCCATCATCGTCATGTGTGGCTTGGCCGGGAGAGAGCAAAGTGATGTGTTCTTCTGGATGGATCTGGGAGTCCGAGGAGGTGCCACGCGTGTCGGATAGGTTCGTAATCTTGATACTGCACTTGTCCAACAAGGTTTTGAAGGACTTCATCGAGGTTGAAAATCGGCTGGAGAATCGTTGTTATATGAATGCGAAAAAACCGAGTGAAGGAGGAAAATTAAAGTAGCAGGACTTGCGCCAGCGCAAAAACAGTACGAACTCAACGATTCAAAACAACGTTTGCAATATTACGCTGATGCTGATGCAATTGAGACAGGATGCAGATTTGGAAAAGGGGGGGAATGACAACACGAAAGGACAATGAAACGGGCGCACCGAAGCGTTCATAAATACATATTCCATCATCGACCATCTCACCTACATGTCGGTGCGTGAGCTAGCTAGCTATTTGTTGTCGCATCAAAGCCTGAAACAACGCGGAACGCGAGTTTGAGATGTGGTGGTCGACAATGCGGTCCTCTAGCGGAGACATCACGCCCGCTTGTCTGGGAAAGAGTCGACCTCATCTTGTGGTTGAGAGATGGAGGCAATGAGCGATGAAACCGGCTGCAGGTTGGTTGCACAGTCAAAGAATTGAGGTGGTGTTGTGGCTCAGCCTTGTTTCATCGCGTCGGGCTCCTTGGGGAATTGATTGGCTGCTGCGGAATCTGGCAACACCGCACAGGAACGGAGGATTATTAAGGGTTCTCAACTCACAAGTGAAGCAGATCACCACCACCAGTCTTCGCGACATGTTCTGGGCACTAATGGCACTGGTACTGACAACCAAGATATGTGTGCAACAGATGTGGTTATTATTCACTAGATCGAGTGAGCACTGATGCTAGCATTATCTACGATTCGCACGATGCTACGCAACATGAACCTCGGTGGAGGGAGATGACGTTTCAGCCGGACTAGACCGCCGCTTGTTCCTGGTGATCATGCCGCCGGAATAAAGCAGGGCGGGCAAGACACCCACTGCGCTAAACAGGGCCATGCTCCAGGTCATCGTCTTCCAGCCTGCGGCGTCGATAATCCCAGCAGCCACGAGAGGGCCGATCAAGGAACCCAGTGCCCAGGCCACGTTGAAGATGCCGAAACTCTGTGCGTAGGCCGACTTTTCTGCGAACAAGTCCGGCTGCTGTCTCACCTTCGCGTCGCACACTTTGCTGAATTCCGCGAGTAGGGGCGTCATGATGAATGCGCATGCGATGCCCAGTAACAGAAGGAGACCGCAGAGAAGTACCTGCTGCCGGATTCCATCATGATCGACCAGGCGCAGGAGCACCCAGAATGGGATGGAGAATAAGAGCCCACCGGCGGATATCCATCTGGGTCCGTACTTGTCGGTCCAATGCCCTATCAGCGGACCAGCGAGGTTGGGTGCCAGGAGTGCGAGGAATACCAGTCCCGCGCCGAGAGATCCCCACCCGAATATCTGGTTGACGTATAAGGGGATAGTGGTATCTAGTGCTGTCATCGTAATGGATGTTGCCAGGCTTCCCCAGAATGCGGCCAGGAGGCGGCGAGATTTCAAAAGTATCAACATTGAAGGCAGCCTCCGTTTGGGGCGGCTGTTGGCAGCAGCAGCCCGCGTGGCTGCAATAGTGGTGTTCTTCTCACTGACGGCGGATGAGGCTTCAAGTTGCCCAGGAGCAATGCGGTCGTTTATTGACGGAGCTGATTGGATTTGGATTGGTATTGGAGCGGGCTCGATCCACTTGGCTGCAATTTTCTTCTCCACCAACAGGAGGCGCAGAAGAATATCAAGGCCGATGACCCCGAAGGTGACAGCGAAGACTGGATAATAGCCCAACCTCTCGTAGACGATTCCGCCGATCATAGGACCAAAAAGCACTCCCAAAGTCATGGCGACAGAGACGTAACCAAGGGCCTTACCGACTTCGTCCTGCTTCACTGTGTCGGCAAGGAGGGCCAGAGCGACCGTCCATACCACAGCGGCTGAAGCTCCCTGTAACAACCGAGCCGCCACCAGGATGGCTATGGTCCTTCCCAGACAAAACATTAAAGTTGATGCGAATAGAACGATCAGGCCTAGGAGCAAAGGACCGCGTCGTGATGTTGTTCGATCAGCGATGACACCGCAGATAGGAGAAACGACCAGCAGAGCAGCGGCATATACCGAAAGTAGCACCGAAACCCAATGCTGGGTATCTTCATGGGAGACATGAACGCGGTCTTGCAGCGCAAATGGAACCACGGGGACGATGATCCCATAAAGGAAAACATCCTAACCAGGAGTAAGCGCCTTGTTTCAAAGTTGAGGGGAATAAAAGTATGGAGGCTCACGGTGAAAACAGACCAACACACTGCAGTGAGGATGAAAGCTTCTGAAGAGCGAACTCCAAGGAAGACTGGCTTCCCGCTGGTAAAAGGAACAAATCGACTGAGGGAAGTTCCTTTGTCATCCTGTGCAGGACTCATGACTTGGATGAGGACCGGAACTTAGCAGAGCAAAGAGTGGCGGTTGCTCAAAACGACAGCAAATACAAACCTGGACCCAGTAGGGTCAGACTGAGAAAGATGGAGATGTCATTTATAGCACTGACTCGTGAGAAGCGGTCAAAGCCGATTTCCCACGCGAGCTGCTCGCTCCTCCATACGAGTTAGAGTCAAAGTGCATGAATCGATCAGTCATCATTTTTATCGACGCGGCACCCAAGTGGCCAGCACCTGGATAAGAATATTCGGAGCCGATACACAGCCGGAGAAGGGAAGGCGACTAGGGGCGATAAGATAAGATCGCGGGGTCGCTCACACGTGATATTGGGTGGCTGAACGACAGCCACACAGCTGTGGCGGTAGCCGTGCTCTCCTCCTGGATCTGAGGCACCCCAAACAAGAGTACATAAGCCAACGTCTTTGCCTCGGCAGCCGTAGGGCCCAGCACACAATGATAGATAGTTCGAAGCGCTCCATTGAACATGGCTTTTCTTTTCCCTCATGCATCTCGTGTCTGAGTCAGCATCCAGGAACTTCGCCTGCTCCATCACGAGCATAGCCCTGAACTATACAACCAAAACATCAGCAGTACGAACTTTATGGCCCCCCCGCGAGAAGTAAATACTACCTCGTACGGGGTCCACGTATTCCCTCGTGAATAGCATGCCTCCCAGGCTATCGTGTTTCCTTCCCCTCTGGGCCTTGTCGTTTAGCCTAGGATTCTGGTCCCCGAGAGGAGAGAGGGACGATCGTGTCTTGACTTGTGTTGCGATGGCGGGACGTCTGATCACGCAATTCTGACCAAAAAAAGCGTCTCAAATGCGGGGGAGCTTTTGTTGAATTCAAGTTGCTGGATGCTTCAAATAATCTCGCTGGTCCCTCCCCTGGTCCCTGCTATTACCCCCCTCCCGTCCCTCGTCATTGCTCATGCTCTTTTATTTCAAAGAAAGTGTGGCCGTGTAATTTGCTGCGAAAGCACCGTTTCGAGGTCGAGACAAAAGCAATTCGTTTCTATAAAGAGCTTCCTCCAGCGCCCCTTTCCAGGCCATAGCATCCAAAAGCCTTCAGCAGCTGACACTCGACCAGTGCGCACCCACCATGGCTTCAGAAGAACACGTACAGAGGTTTGAGACCCTCCAGGTCCATGCAGGACAAGCCCCAGATCCCAATACAAAGTCTCGCGCTGTTCCTATCTATCAGTCCACCTCCTTCACCTTCAATGACTCGGCCCACGGCGCGAGGCTGTTTGGTCTCAAAGAATTCGGGAACATCTACAGCCGAATCATGAACCCTACAGTCGAAGTGTTTGAAAAGCGAGTCGCAGCTCTCGAAGGTGGCGTCGCTGCTGTGGCTACCTCGTCTGGTCAAGCTGCTCAGTTCCTTGCTATCAGTGCCCTTGCCCATGCCGGAGACAACATTGTCTCAACTTCCAACCTCTACGGTGGCACCTATAATCAGTTCAAGGTCTTCTTCCCTCGACTGGGCATCAATACCAAATTTGTCACCTCCGAAACCCCTGAAGCTATCGCAGCCGCCATCGATGGCAAGACTAAAGCTGTCTATGTCGAGACCATCGGAAACCCTAGGTATAATGTACCGGACTTTGAAGCCATCGCCAAAGTTGCTCATGAGAAGGGCGTGCCTGTGGTGGTAGACAACACATTTGGTGCAGGTGGCTACTTTGCTCAGCCCTTCAAGCATGGTGCCGACATTATCGTACACAGTGCAACGAAATGGATTGGCGGCCACGGCACCTCAATCGGTGGTGTCATCGTTGATTCGGGTAAATTTGACTGGGCCGCCAATGCAAAGAGATTCCCCCAATTCAACGACCCTGCACCTGGCTATCACGGTCTGAAATTTGTCGATACATTTGGTCCGATAGCCTTTATCATCCGAGTCCGAGTGGAAATCTTGCGCGATGTTGGAGCATGCCTCTCACCCTTCAATGCCCAACAGTTCATTCTTGGCCTCGAGACATTGAGCTTGAGATGTGAACGACATGGCGAGAATGCTCTGAAACTGGCCAAATGGCTAGAGACACGGCCAGAAGTTGCATGGGTGTCATACCCTGGACTTGAAAACCACCCAAGCCACCAGCTTGCGAAGAAATACCTTCCCCGCGGCTTCGGAGGTGTTTTGTCATTCGGTGTGAAGGGGGGAGCTGAAGCTGGTTCACAGGTGGTGGATGGATTCAAGTTGGTCTCAAACCTTGCAAAGTAAGTCATATTGGTACCGGGGGTTCGTCAGTGATGGAGACTAATCTAAATCGTAGTGTGGGAGATGCAAAGACACTCGCAATCCATCCTTGGTCGACGACACACGAACAGCTTGAAGAGCAGGAGCGATTAGACTCGGGAGTGACTCCAGATGCTATCCGTATCTCGGTGGGAATCGAACACATTGATGACATTATTCAAGATTTCACTCAGAGCTTTGAAGCAAGTTCAGCTGCTGGCAAGGAGGGAGGAGCAGATAAGGGCAATGCCACGATTCAGCCGAAGCCATCGACTGAAGGAACACTCAGTGGGGCTACCTGATCTCCATTTATTGCTTTGTCTACCGTGTCTATCTTCTGAAAGAATTAGTCCTGATGATGGGTGGTGACACAGGATCGAATCTCTAGACCATTGTCAGTGTCGACAGCAGATGTAGTGGCGCCAAAGAACCTGGCTACGGCAAGAGCTTGTCTGACCCAATAACTAAGCTGGAATCTATTCAAGATTGACTCTGACGGATGATGCATGATGCATGATGCACGTGTTTGAGTTATACCTGGGTATCCGGTAAACATCAAATAGGTCTTTTAAGTGAACTTGAGGAGGAGAGAAATCCTTTGAAGATCGATTGTCGCTCCTTCCCCGCATTCTCGTCTGCACCTTCCCCCCAGACGGCACCTGCACCCACGCTGCACCTCCAGCAGCAGCTTATCTTGTGAGTAGATCCGTTGTCCTTCTCCATACTCTCTTGCGGTCCTGCGCGGACGTCCTTTGTATCAACTGAACCCCTGTCTTCCTTCTCTCCTCAATCAATGCTCGCACGACTTCTCAGTGCCATTCTGTAATCAACATGGACACTCGCAAACGCAAAAAGAAGGTCCTGTTGATGGGCAAGAGCGGCTCAGGCAAGTCCTCGATGCGCAGCATCATCTTCAGCAACTACGTCGCAAAAGACGTCCGCCGCCTTGGAGCCACTATAGATGTCGAGCATAGCCATGCTAAGTTCATGGGTAACTTGACACTGAATCTGTGGGACTGTGGAGGGTGAGTTCACATGCTACTCTACGCAGCCTTCTGTCTTCAACTGACCAGACTTCTAGCCAGGATGCTTTTATGGATTCATATCTCAATGCACAACGTGAGAATGTATTCTCCGATGCTGAAGTCCTCATCTATGTCTTTGACATTGAATCCCGCGCCGTCGATCAGGATCTCGAAACCTATGGTCAGGTCGTCAAGGCTCTGAAGGAATACAGTCCGCACGCCCACGTTTTCTGCCTCATTCACAAGATGGACTTGGTTCAGAATGAACATCGAGAAAGGATATATGAGGAACGCTGCCGCTTGATCATTGCCCGATCTGAAGGCCTCAGTCTTGAGACTTTTGCCAGCAGTATCTGGGACCAAACCCTTTATAAAGCCTGGGCCGGCATTGTCCACAAGATGATACCAAATCTTGTCGTTATTGAGAAGTTCCTCAATGCATTTTCAAAACAGCTCTCCGCTGAAGAAATCGTCCTTTTTGAAAGGTCCACTTTCCTCACCGTTACTAACGTTGTGAATGAATATGGCCAAGAGAATCCCAGCCACGATCGGCACGAACGCATCTCCAACATCATGAAGACCTACAAGCATACTGTTGCTAGAAACACTAGAACCACTGCCGCCAGCGCCGGCTTTTTGCTATTCAAGGTCCAAACACCCAGCTTCAACTGCTTTCTCGCCCGCTTCACGGAGAACACCTACATCTTCGTTGTTGTTCCACCAGGTGAAGCCGCTTTCAATTGCGCCGTGCTCAATACCATCATGGCAAGAGACGTCTTTAGCAAGAAAACTGGTGTCGAGGGCTGAAAATGAAGTGGACGACCAGAATCTATATGAGCTTCCAAGAGACACATAGTGGTATTCACGATCAAGAGATTTTACAGCTATCCACCCGCCCACAGCAAAAGAATGCCCCAGCAGAAACGTCCATATCGACAACGACAACAGCTAAGATCCATCAACTGAGCACCGCGCCACTCACTTGATGACCTTTTTTAAGAGCCGGACAACAGCGCGACATCAGATCATGTCGCAAGCTCGGACACTACCTTACCGTTCTCAAGCTTTGCAGTCGCCAAATCTTCTTTCTTCGCCATCTCCAGGGCTTCCTTTCGCCTCTTCTCTTCCAAAGCCTGGAAATTGCGCATCATCGCATTCCTTGTAAATTCTTCACCCGTGACCAACGGGTATTTCTTCTGTGGACCCTGGATCAGTGTATCGCGACACGGCTGGTTGAAGAAAGCGATGCTGTATCTCTCGCCATAATAGTCGTCAGGTTCAGTCGGAGCTTTGACGCGGTGAAAGGTTGATTTGAACAGGTCGTCGGACCATGACATTAGCAGGTCTCCGATATTGCAGATAATTGCATTCGTGCTGGAGGGTGCCACTCGTGTCCACGTATCACCGTGACCAAATGAAGTCGAGACTTCGCGGCCCGGGCAGATCTAGGAAGGGTTCAACGCGTTGGTAAATAGAGTACCAAATGGCTCATGGATAATAGTCAGCCACACTCACCTCAAGACCTGACTGTCCCGCCTTCTGAAACAGTAACGTGAGAAGATCCCAATCTGTGTGCGCACCGGCACGATGCCATACCTCACCATTTGTGTTCTGCGGCGTCTCGAAATAATGCAACAGCCTCGCGACAGTCTGACTCTCGGGCCTGCGTATGTCATGCGCTTTGACAAAGTAATCATCGGGAAACCGCAATCCTCTCGCAAGACACACCATCAACTTCTCCGAAACATGCTGCACCTTATGCATGAACTCGAGACTGCTGGCCTGAAACCCCGGGAGAAGCTGTTCTCCCAACCACTTTCCTTTCATGTTGTCGCCGAACTGCATCTGATAAGACTCCTTGTGGTCCGCCACGCCCGTCGACGGCCGCACCTGCGAGTTCTTCTCCCACCCGGCATTGTGCGCGGAAGAGAACGGGACCTGGGCCTTAATGTCGTCCGGCAGCGAGAAGAACCGTTCTGACTCGGCGAACATGCCTGAGATTTCGGACGGTGTTATCCCGTGGTCGACGATGCAGAAGAAGCCGACGTCGGACGCGGCGGAGACGAGCTCAGCTGTGATCACGTCGATACGTGACTCGTAGTTGGCGAGGGAGATGCTGGGGATGCCGCGGTCTCTGTACTTGGTTTGTGTGGTGGATGCCATGGTGATGGTTGGTGCGCAAGGCCGTTGTGGTGTTCCAGTACGTCGCTGGCAACGCTCAGTGTGGGCGGCGTCAATAAGCTATTTTGTTGGTCGCGTGGTCCTTTGGCTACGTCCACTGCTACATATGCTGGCGAGAAGCCTCAAATGAATTAGTGAGAGTGGGTGCTTGATGATTCAAGATTTACTGGGCTCGGGCGACAAAAAAGAGTTGTTCAGGGCCTATTTACCCTCTGGCTCTAGAAGGCCCGTTGTCATCGAATATTACTTTACCTGTCTCTCATCTATGAACACTTGCGAATTAAGTATTACTCCCGCAAGGTTGCACTGATTTGTTTGGCATGTCGTTACACGTTGGACTGGATGGGGAAGATAAGGCTGGCGGATTCCGCCGCCACGGTTATCGGTCCAATCGGAGCGGCGGGATGTTCGTACAAAGCCGATTTGTGCCCCGGCACACTCTTGCACAGCCTTGCGCTTGCCAAGTATCCATTTGTTTTTCAGGCAGCAATGGGCCTTCTTCCTCGTTCATATGTCAAAATTCAAGAGATCCTCAAAGAGAAAATTATTGCTAATGCCGGTTTGCGGAGGGAAAAGCTGCTCGAAGGTTTCGTACCCCAGATCCGACGTGATGAATGGGTCCTGCGCTGCAGGTGTAAGGGCGTCTGAGTAAGGCTCATGCAGGTCCAATGAAGGCTCCGCACCGCGATGAGGTGTCCTTAGTGAATTGGTGAAAGAGTCGTTGCCGACAAACGACTCGACAAATTTCGGGACGTTGAACTTTTGTCGTTTTGGACCGCCGTGTTCACCGGCGGTGGAGTCGAATGTTCGCTTGCGGTAGTTCTCTAGGGTCTGGTCGGCGCAGAGTCGAGCCTGTTCGGCGAGTAGAGACGACAGTAGCCGGATGCCTCGTAGCGCGATCATGCTGAATTCGAATTTCGACAACATGCTGATGGTGTTCTCGACCAGTTTGCGGTGTTCGTCGTGCTCGGGCTCGCTTTTGGTACGGTGAAACGTATCGAGTGCCAAAGTGATTCCCGCGGCGACCATGAAGGCTTGGTCGATCCACAGCAGTGGGCCTTCTTCGTCGTACGCCTGGACGGCTTCCTTTAAGATAGCCTTGGCGGCCGCCATGCAGGTACGACGGGTGAAGTCGAATGCTGGCTCGGTGAAGCTTCTTCCGAGAAAGGCTCGATGGATCATGATGATCTTGTGAGCGAAACATATCGTCAGCCCCCGTCTCGCCCAGGGGATAAATTGTGGCCATTCACTCGATATGGGTTCCGATACGGAGAAGAACTTAGGTAATCCTTCCGTCGCCATGGTTCGCATTTTGGCATCGTAGTCAAGGACTTGTTCATATTTAGTATACAGCGTATTCGATGAGACAATGGCGTCGTGTATTTGAGGCATCAACTCCGCAAAGGAATATAAAAAGTTAGGAAAGCTGGTCATACTCGGGACATCTTCCGAGAGAGGTTGCATCATGTGCTCGTCACAGTGCATCGGCTTGAGGGTGGTAAAGTGGATTTTTTGAATGGAATACATTTCAGAAAAGGGTATCGAGAACCAATCCTGGATGCAAAGTTGAGCCCACAGTCGCCTTCCTACTTCTCTTTTGATAGTCTTCTCGCGTAAGGGATGCGTCGTGACGATCGCTGCCCCTGTCAGGCTGTTGACATCGTCTTCTGGACCTAGGCGTTGAAGACCGAGCCCTTGAGCAATCTTCAACGCAGCCCCGAGTAAGGTACTCTGTGTGTTGCTGAAACCGAGTACATGGGCCGACATAGTGAGTGTTAGGATAGCCTCTACCGAATATACATGATGCCGCCACATATAATCCGACAAGTTCAGGCAGGTCACTGTTGCCTTGTACCACTGTCTTGTGAGTTTTGCGCGCTCACCTTTCTTGAAACCCCACGAGAGCGCCAATTGTTCATTTGCACAAGTCATGCTTCCAGCCATGATTGAGAAAAGAAGGCCAGTCCACCGCATATCCGAGTCTCTGATTTGAAGACCAGCTGAAGTTTTGTAAGCTTCGTTGAGCTCATCGTATAAAGTGGGTCCATGGAAACATCCATGATACCACAAAATCGAGCTGAGGTGATATTCAACGAGCTGGTAAACTTGCCGGCGTGAAGGGAGGAGCATTTGCAGAAAGGATACCTGTGCTACTCCAGTTCCTCCGAGACAGTTGGCCACATCCCAATCTGGAACATGGTCTTTGATACGATCAGCAACACCGCCAGACTGGTGAGGTTCTTTCAGCAACTCCAATGCCTTGAGATCGTAATCCGATAATTTAGGCCGCCCCCATGTTATAAAATCTAATACAGCAGTAGTGTCGCTATCGTTATTGGTGGGAGTGTCTGTTTGCTGGGGTCCGGGGGTGTTAGTATGCTTAGAGGTATTTGGTTGGGTCCGAGGCTTAGGCAGAGAGTGTACTTGAGGACTGGGTCCTGAGGAAGAGGTGGATGCTGGGGTTCGTAGTGAGGGGTGGATTCCAGCCTCTGCATCATTATTGATTTCTGTAGGGGAATGCTCTTTGCCGTCTGGGCTGTGAGCGGCCCCTGTTGATGATCGAGGATAGGTACGATGGACTTTGGGATTGTAGCCACCGCCGGGCCACTCTCGGGAGCATTTGTCGGCGTCACCTCGCTTGACACAGCGACCGCATGGGATATTGCGATCACACTTCTGACGGCGCATAGAGCACTCGGTGCATGTCTGGCGGTCCTTTGGCATGATTCGATGGGACTGTTCAACGCCGTTTCGTACCACGATGTCACTTTGTACGGGGACCTTGATGAGATGGAGATGGCTGGTACGAGTACGAAGCGGAGATGATGCAAGCAAAAAATTGAGAATCGTGCGACACAGGAAACGGACCTCGGCCGAGCCAAGACTCGTACATCACATGATATCGGAGATTCGGAGGATCTCTCAACAACAAGTCAACTATACAGCGTCCGACTTTCAGTTCTTTGGTCTCCTGTTCTTTTCAGCAATAAAACTCCATAGCACTTTTGGCCCCGTGCACGTTCACATTGCAGGTGTAAATATTTGTTCATTCACTTGCGAACTTTGCAGATCCTGATCGGTGATTGCCTGCCAGTATATTGTCCCTGTTCGACGCTTTCATCCACATCGGAACAAGTAGAGTGAATAGAAAAGTATTCTTGATTCCACCCGGCAGAATGGTCCCGTGAAATTCGAGGATAGATGAAACGTGTCGAGTGTATTGCTTCCGAAGATCGCTGAATCTAGAAAGAGGGAAGTGGAAAGGTGCGATCAAAATCGGGGATTTAGCTATATTTTAGATCATGTCGGTGCACAAATGTATTCGAACACGCTGATTGCAGACGGTGAGCGTCAAGTCTACATGCAGGTATATATGTCTAGCTGAAATGGCACGTAGCCTATTGAATTATCGCTGGCTACTCTTCCTTCTCCTCCAGTAGGTGGGTTGGCGTGGGCTCTAGAGCCTCACCCGTCGATTCATTGACAACTGGTTCGGACGGGACGAGGACAAAGAGGATACGTGCATTCTCCTTGCTGACATTCTTCCATGCCTGCCGCGAGAAGTCAGTACACTCTCAGGATGGATGGACATCAGGAGGACTTGCGTGATTGGTAGCTCTCTGCACAACAACATCACCTTCGCTCATCGTCTTCTCCACGCCATCATCGAGGATGAGCTTAATAGTTCCCTTTAAGACCACTCCGAAATCGACACTTTGAGTTCGGTGCATGATGTTGACACTATCTTCCGCATCTCTCGTGGGGGGGAAGTCTACGATGCGGCTGTAGACCCCTGCCGGACTTACTAGACCGATCTTTTTCCCATGTACATCTGTCCAGGGGCCTTGCGCTTTTGCAGGAACTCCATCCGTTCTGAAGAGATTGGTGAATCCTGGGATGATTCCTGTTGGTGGGTTGCCTTCCGGGTCAAGGGGGTTTGCTGGTGTCAAGACCTGGTCGCTATCAAAGATGGCCTTTCCATTGTGGTCATGCCCTAGTTGGTATTAGACCAGGACCACAGCACATCCGTAAGTCACAAACCTGTCACTATCCGTCTGGTGGTAGGGAGTGCCATTCGAGCGACTGAAGACAGATATCAGATTTGATATAGGGGGGAATAATGGCGGAAAAGGGCGAGTCTTTCGAGACGTTTCTTCGAGATTGAATGTTTCGGTCAAGGAGGTTCATGTGCACTCTAAACTTAAATAGATGTGATGAATCGTAAGCTGACCTTGCAATTTTGGAGGTCAGGGACAGGGTGTAACCATTTCGGGTAGTTTTATCGTTAGTTCTATGGAAGGAATGAGTTATTTCAGGGCATTTCATTTACCTAGGTTATTAGTAAGCTCGACCGCCAGACCGATGGATGACAGATTGAGCACGGGCAGGCTTCAAGTCTGTGCTAGGTAGCAATGAAATATGGTCTGATTCGTTATGACACTCACAAACCTCAACGTCGAGACGTGACAGACAGGACGCAGCACCAGATCAATATCGTTTTACTAACATGAGATGGAAAATACGTCAAATATTTCTGAGAGTTGTCTCGAGGGAAAAGAATTCTTTTGACGACATTTCATAGAATGGAACCCAATATCTCATTAAGCAATGGATATTGAACTCCCCATCGTCCTAAAGTTGACGATAGTAAATATTGATGTTCACAAGTAGAACGCCCAGCATCTCTGGTCATTTTTGTATTGACTTAGCGCCATAATTTACAACAATGCAGCAAGACCAAGAAGACCAGCACCAACAGCACCACTCAGGCCGGTGGGGAGAGCTGCACCCGCGTTGCCAGATGAGCTTCCACTTCCAGTGGCGGAATCCACAGCTGAATCCACAGCGGAAGAAATGCTCGATGCGACAGAGCCTACTTCGCTGGTGGCGCTGTTGAGAACAGAACCAGCATCGCTGGTGACGCTAGCGAGAATGGAACTAGCGGCGGTGCTCAAAGAGTCGAGGGATGACTGAGCCCCTGAGGCACCTGTTGCTGCCGCGGAAGACAGACTCGATAGACTGTTCGAAAGGTCGGATTCGACTGAGCTGAGACTGGCGCCAACTGAGGATTGAGCGGATTCGAGAGATGATTGAGCACCGCCACCCGCGGAATCTGCAGAACCGGTGATGGAGCTAAGCACAGTGCCGGCGGCCGAGGTGATAGACGAGATCTCAGTCTGCGCAAGAGCAGGGACTGCAGCCAGGAGGGTGTAGAGGACGACGTTGGTGAGTTGCATGATGATGATGATTGTAGGTGAGGTAGAATTGGAAGAAGAAATATGCGAGATTTGATATGCTTAAGATGGTAAGTTGAAGTGACGAGTAGGAGACAGAGAGGATTCTTTAATTAAACAGTTGACAGGGGAGGTCAATTATATACCTTCAGAAGACATCGTCCACCGGGCGTCCCTGGAGCTTCGAAGCACACGGGAAGGCAAACCGGGGTTGTGCCTGCGTGGCTGGGCCAAATCCAACTCACATTTCCACCCCCGTCCCGCTCACATAGTGATGGCCACGCAGGTTGCGTCATATCAACCCCAGATAGAGTGAAACAAGATACGAGGAGGGTTGAGTGACGGTTGCCTTGATTTTCCTGGCATTCAGCTGTCCGGATCGGTGTATCCATGGATTGATCTAATGTGGGGATTGGACGAGTGACAGGAGGCTCGGTGGATAGATTCTACGATGGTGTCTCGTCGTCTCGACTGACGCCACGTCTTGAAGCTTTCTGATGAAGCAGGGGATAAGCGGGATGCGGTCATTGAGGCTGCAGATAGACTTGGCAAGCCTGAATTGATCGAATTCAAAGAAGACTTCCAAGGCAGACCAGCCCCTTTCAAGGCGTGGTGCGCCACAATGATCGACCATTATGGACTTGGCTATGGAGTACTCGGTACATGGGAGGTGGGAATTGCATGTCACTTTGCCATAGGAAGTGGTGAACTTATGACGCGGCACCTCTGATCTCATATATAGCCGACTCTTCCGGAGCACAGAGAGTTTCACGAAGTTCTCGCCAAGGGACGGGGGGCACGGGGAGAATCGGAGATGGCTCTTAGTCACGTGCCGCACTGGCTATCGGTCACGTGCATAGGGGACATCTTTCTCAGTCGGCAGACTCGGTACCGGTTTTAGCACGCTCCCGATTTCGACGCGCTCAATACCTCTCGTCAGTGTTCATCTGCCGCGTACTTGGAGATTATCAGGAAATGTCTGCCAAAAGACACTGATCCCACCACGTGGGCAATTTGTGCCATGATTTTGGGTCGAAAAAGAAGTGGTAGGACCTAGGTCTGGCGTTAGCTGTGTTAGTTATTCGAGCTATGCTAGCAATGCAACATGCCCTAGGCAAGAGATGTCGTTATAAGCAGAGCGAGTCCAGTAGAGGTAGCTACATACACCTCATGCAAGCTGACAGCTTCTTCCCGTATGCTGATTGAATTGAGGAGGGTTGTACACGTGTGTAGCCCCATCAGGTTCCATTGGACCGTTCAAATAATGCGAATCCTTGTCATGCAGGAACGAGAGCTATTGTAGCCTCTCAGAGCGCGAGAAAAGATGATACGAGTGCAAAAGTGGCTCTATTCCACTATTCTCCGAGGTCACTTTTACATTAATAAGGCTCGACGTTTTGTCTCAAAGTCGAAAGGACCACTCGAGGACTCCGTCTTGCCATTCTATGTATCACCCGCGTTCCAATTAAGACTACCACATAGCTAGTGATACCGGAGGTTAGAATGATCACGCCAATTCTCGCTCTTGCCCTGCCGTTAGCACTGCACGTCAATGGTGCGGCGATCCCCTCATCGGCAACTGCGGAAGGCCTCGACATCTCCGAGACCCTTCAGAACATCCTGTCGAACAACCACAACAGCGATGCATACTCGTACCCAACTGATCTGACCCGAGGAATCATTCCTGTAAGTCTGCGCCTGAGTAGAATCAGACATCATGTCGTTACAGATCAGCTCCACCGCCCACTACTACCTCGCGCTCCGCTGATCCAATTTCCAGAAGCCGATTCACTCCCACAACGACTACTGGCGGGACATCCCGTTCTACTCGGCACTATCAGTGGGCGCCGTCTCCGTGGAAGCAGACGTCTCCCTGATCAACGGGACACTGTACGTTGGCCACGAGCAGTCCGCACTGACAGAATCCCGCACCCTCGTGTCCCTCTACATCAACCCCATCCTCAATGTTCTCCAGCGAGAAAACCCCATCACTCGGTTCGTGACGAGTCCCACGCGGAATGGCGTCTTCGACACATCCTCTGGCCAAACGTTATATCTGTTCATCGACCTCAAAACCAACGGAACAGCCACCTGGCCCGCCGTGGTCGAGGCACTCCAACCTCTCCGCGATGCCAAGTACCTGACCACGTGGAATGGCACGGCCGTCACGCCGGGACCCGTGACTGTGATAGGCACGGGAAACACTCCCTTGGACCAGATCGCTCCCTTGTCGCAGCGAGACTACTTCTTTGACGCCAACCTGGCGCTCTTGAACAGCTCGCAGGCCAACATCACCAGCGGCATCTCGCCCATTGCATCCACCCAGTTCAGTCGCTACATTGGGGAGATCGAGGGCTCCGAATTCAACGACACGCAACTTGCCACCCTGCGCTCGCACATCAAAGTCGCTGCGGATAAGGGCATCCTTGGCCGGTACTGGGACACCCCGGCGTTCCCGATCAGCAAGAGGAATGCAGTGTGGAAGACCCTGATTCGAGAAGGTGTCGGCCTCTTGAATGCGGATGACTTGCCAGAGGCCGCTGGCTTCGGCGGTATTAACGGGTATTGGTGAGCTGGCGAAAGTGAGGTGACGATAGAACAACAAAGAGAAGAAAAAGCATCTAAATCAGAGACAGTCTTAATGAACTAGAAGAACCCCTAATATGGCTAAGCAGGCGTAATGATCCAATTGCTGGTTCTTTTGCCAGGCAGGCATTTCATGTGTCCATTATCCGGTCGGTTGTTTAAGAGGCAAACACCATTATAGTTTACTCTTGTCTTTCTTGACCAAAAATTGCACTTGTCCACCCTGGACATCATAGTCCCGCCCCTTTTTCCACCCGAGCCAATTCCTTAAACTCTCCTCTCCACCTGCACCAGCTGCGAGGGCTTTGCCTTGCCATGGAATATCAACCGGCAACGCAGGAGACGCAGTTAATTCCACGATGGGGCGTAGGTCAAAGTTTGCTGCTTCCATTTCCTTGTGTTCAAGCACTGGGGCAGCGCAAGCATCCGTGCCGTCAAAAATCGCCTCCCACTCTTTTCGTGTCTTGGTCTTGAATCTCTGTGTGAACAGTTCCCGCATGTAGGGCCACGCTCTTGGGTCATCTCTCCGGAGATCTTTTCCAGAGAGGACCTCCTCAGGCTTAAACCCTAGGCCTTTCAGCAATTCCGTGTAGAACTGCGGCTCAAGCGCGCCGACCGACATGTATTTCCCAGCGTCTTTGGTCTCGTAGGTGCCATAATAAGGACACCCACCATCAAGAGTATTGGTGCCCCGCTCACCGTTCCACATGGGGTGTTTGGTCAGCAAACGGGGGAACGTTCCCAAGTAGCTGACGCCATCAACCATATTGGAATTGACCACTTGACCTTTTCCGGAGACGGAACGGTGGATCAGAGCCAGGAGGACACCAGTGAACGCAACATGACCACCACCGGCAAAATCGGCAAGAATATTCGCGGGCGGCAGGGGAGGAGTGTTTCTGGCGCCTAACATCGACAGCACACCGGATACTGCGAGGTAGTTGATATCATGACCAGCCATTGCTGAGTACTTTCCATCTCGCCTGAACCCAGTCAATCGGACGATAATGAGGCGAGGATTTTTCTTTAAGAGGACCTTTTCCGGATCAAGGCCAATTTTTTCAAGGACGCCAGGTCTGAATGGGTCAATCAGGACATCGGCCTTTTCGACGAGGGTGAGGAGGATAGCAATGGACGAAGGATTCTTCAAATCAAGGGCTACTGAAGATTTACGTGAGGTGAGAAGGTCGTTGGAGGGTAGAGCGTTGGGAGCGGCTGGACGGTCGATGCGAAGTACGCCAGCGCCGTAGCTAGAAAGCAACTGGCCGCAGAAGGGGCCTGTCTCGGTTTCTGTTAGATCATCGCTGATTCCACGACGCGGTGCGATGGTATTGTGTTTACCTGGAGCCAAACCGGCAAGTTCCAACACCCGAATGCCTGAGAGCGGTGGGTTTGTAGACATGATTGTGTGTAGAAGTACTTGGGTTGGGGCAATATTCAAGTTGTGAACGTGTAAAATTGGCACGATTGACGAACATCACCAAGCACAACCTACCTTCATATCCATCAAATGTTGTAAAAGCTCTCGCCGAAGTGCAATCGGCAAAACAGTAATGAGCCGAAGCCAGTGACCGATGGCCGAGGTTAGATATTGGAGGTGAAGTTTACAGTGGGAGGCCGAAGGCTTGGAGAAGGCAGGAACCTTCCAACAAACAATAATTGGGGGGTCAGGGACGACTCGGAGCCAACCAGGCTGAGCCCCTTCCTGACAAGCACAATCACGTGTGAGATCTGAGCTACGTACAGCACATCCAAGAGGTAGGTGCGATGAACATTAGGCGTGGACTCGGGACTTAGAGCTAAGGGTAAGAGCGCCTGGGGGAATTCCTACTCTTGCTTCAATTCATGACTCCTTCGGTGCCGCTGAAGCCTTGGGGTGCCGATAGAATTGATAGTACGGAGTATGTACCTAGGTAGCTTAGAAGTACTACGTCCCGCGGGCTCCGTACTTCGTAGGCATTTCTTTAAGGGTTCCTCGAGCATAACCATCTCCAATGGGATGCTGATGTCTCCTATGGCGGATTGAGTTCAGACACAAGCGCATCCTGCGTGACAGCGCATCGCTCTAGGATCTCAATGCCTTTGAGATGTTTAGGAGGGCTTGAACAGTTTGCCTGATTAGAACTTACATAGTCACACCAGTCACGACACTCTGAAACCATGCAAGCATGCTGCATCGATGGCTTCTAGCACCCACCTCACAGGATGCCCTGAATTGAGACAAAAGGCGGTCAGGTTCAACCCGATCAATCCTCCAGCCTCATATGAGGTATCCTGCATCGCTACCGAACTAACGCGTCACACTGGTGGTGCTTGCGCCATGCGCTCCAGCATCTTGTACAAATAGCACTCTTACAATACCAATCGTCAAGACTAGAGGTTGCAGATAAGTGTGATCTGCATTGGGGCGGAGAGCCGGACTCTGTGTGGGTCGTTTACCTCAAGTAGGTGTGGGGGAGATCCATCTGTTTACAGGCTCACAGCTCCTGTATTCACACTCGGTAAGAGTACGAGGTAAATACGAGCAGTTGCTAGGTACGGAGTAAAGTGAGCTCGTACAGGAATCCCCATGGGATAGCTTCAGGTCCTCCATTTCACGGGTCTTCCAAAGGCTCTAATGTCTGTCGTACGTAAGCTGTACCCGTTCATATGTGCTTGTAAGAGGGAGAAGCTTCACTCCTCCATCCGCTGACTGCCGAGTTTGACGATTGTCGATGATAAATGGAATGACAACGCCGCTATATTATGGAAGCTCTACGAGGAGCAATCAGATTGCCCACCTCTGACATATCGTGAGGTCTAGTACGAGGTACGGAGTGCTGTTTACCTTGGCCCGTGATCGATATACCCTAGCTAAATCCGGGGACATCCTTGTGTATATATCTCCTCGCGCAACTCAAACAAGTTTGTCAAAAACGTGCTGTGCCTGGAGACATTGTACTACTGTACAAGGACGGAGCAACGACCAGGCTAGGATAAACGACGAATTAGTGTATTTTCTTAGCCTGGCCGCAAGTGAGTCGACCAGGGACCAGCACCAGCAGTTTCGCCTGGGGGCATTCCCTGATCGACCCGAAGGCCCAAAGCGGTCAACGAGCCCCCTGCTGGCTGCGTCATACAAGCCTGCCTCGTTTCCCAAGCTAAACCAACTTCTCTACGAGTGTGCCATACGAAGTCCATGTCAATCCGATAAACATGGGTTAGGACCATCGGTTCGACGAATCGACAAGGGCCTCGCAAAGAGAAATGCAGTCGACCTCTTCGCCCAAGCCTGACGGTAGCTGCAGTCTCTACGGAATGCGTGGGCTCGGTTAGACATTCAATGAACACCTGGAAACTGGGCGATATGAAAGGGAAATTGACGTTGATCGATGAGCATCTTGGCCTCAACTCGGCAGATGGTGTGTGTATTATCCATTACCAAGTACCCCGGTATAGGTGCTCGGCTTAGAATGGCCCAGGTGACCATGTCATACTGGCCATGGCTATGGTCATGCTATTTAAGAACTCAAGCTCGCTCCCATGAAAATTGCCGTCATTGACGCCCAGAGCGTGCATAGTTCCATCCATTCCGCCCTTGCCCTTTGTGCAGGATGAATGGTGATCATCCCCTATATAACGCCGTATGAGATCATGCATCGTTTGTCTCAATTGCTTCACCGACCATAGAAGGATGATCCATTACTGGTGAACGCCCGCAGGAAAGAAAAATAGGTGACGTGATCGGTGGTCCAGCATCAATCATTGTCCAAATCCGGGTTGGCCACAAACAATCGTACCCCAGAGCCCATACTCATCGCTCGTTCATCCACGCTTCCCCTTCGTCGTAAATCGTCGTTTTTCTTGGCTTGGGCCAGCGCTTGTTGTACAGCACTTGGGCCGGTCATGTCTTTCAACTCCCCGAAAGAGTCCTCACTCTCTGCCGGCGTGGCATCTCCGTCCTCGTTATTAATAAAGTACTCTTTCTTCCCACTGGCTGTAGCGTTTCTCGTTTCGGGCTGCTCGGGGATGCTCTGACTGGGTGAGCCTTCTCCACTTGGAGGTGTGCTTGTCGTGCTAAATCGTCCACCTTCCGGCCTGGGATATCCACTGCGATATTTTGCGCTATTTGTGCTGCTTCGGCCACTTCCACTGCGACCATGTACCATACTGTTCTCGCCTAGACTTAAGCCTCCGTCTTCGTCCCCAATCATCTCGTTCGCACTCAAACGCAGAGGAACGGTAGCACCATTCAGGTTGGCCGGTACATATGGAGCTTTGGGTACGCCGCCGTGTCTGATTTTCCCCACGACCCCACCAGAGTTAATTGTGTTTGTCCGTCCAGCGGAGGCCACACCTGCAACTTCGAGAGCGGCCCGATGTCTGGCGGCTTTCTGGGCAGCCGCTAATCGAGGATCGATGTTTTGAGATCGGTCGCACCAGACAGTTGCTTTCTGCCGTCGCATTAAGGCGACATAGGAAGTGGGACTGTTGGTGGCTATTGATCGACCTGATGTTGACCGTCGGGGGACGCTTGTCGACGAAGCAGACGTTCCCTGTCGATGTACGCTCATGGTGTTGGTAGTTGAGGATTGGCGCGAGTGTGAATTGGAAGGAATATAAGGTGGTCGATTTTTGGAATGATTTGAGGGTGAGGAGGCTGGACTCTGAAAGGGAGGAGGGAGGATGGTGGAGGAGATGGTTCTCGAGTGGTGGTGATTGCTTATAGATTGGGGCGGCGGTATTGACCCAACTGTTGTTTGCACGGCATAAGTTGATTTTCGTTCTGGTCGAGTGAAGACGCCCGCGGGTATCGGAGTGGTGGGGACGCGAGCAGAGCGTGAGTAGTCGTATGATACCGTGGGATCTGGGATAGAGGTCCCAGTCACTGCCAACACACTCATCGAAGAGGGTGCAAGTGGATGAGGTTGTAGTCAGAGGACCGAGCTGGTTAAGGGTTGAGAAATTAGAGTTGGAGTTAGGAGTTGAGGGTCGAGAGGAGAGGATGTAGACAAGAAAGACGATCGAATGAGGCAGGCTTTGCCTGAGCGGAGTGCAGGTTGGTTTTGTTCGGTTCACACTAGCCTAGCGGCTCAGGCTGTGAGGGAAACCCCAACGCTAATGGGCTGTTCTAGTCAATTAATGACGAAGATTGTCGATGTCGAGATTGAGGGAGGTCGATCTCCTGCGATGTTGGAGACGATGGAGAGAGGTAGTATTAGCTGAGAATTAGAAAAGGGAGAGTTGGGACAGCTGACTGAGGCAGCGAGCGAGGGAGCGAGGGAGCGAGAGGGAGTATTGAAAAATATTAGGAAATCGAGCTGTTCAGCCGGATGCCAGTGTTGGTATGTTCGTTCGTATCTCCAGTTGCAACGTATGTACAGCCCCTCCCAAGCCCGGACCAGAGCTGAGTGCGACTCTTGAGTCTTCAGTCGTGAATTTGCAGGCCAATGACGAAAATGCCAGGCGGAAAAGCGTCCGGGCGGGGAAAACGGCTGGATAAGAGAAGAGATGCCTTGCTGTTCGAAGGTCCAATTTGCAAGGGTTTGGGGTTTGAATTTCAAAGAAGGTCACAAACTCCTTCTGGCCCTGGCCGCGGTCACCTTCAGGCTTCGACTTCTGGAGTTTCGCGAGCTGAGCTGGCCAGGGATCTGGGGACGGGTCTGCGGTGTTAGGTTTAGAGTCATTCCTTCGGAGTACAAACTAATTAAATATAGGTAGTTAGGTACCTAGGTACATTAGTTACCACTAGCTACCCAGGTACTACGAGGAAGAATCGATCACTTGGTTCGGGATTATGTATCGTCAGTTGGATTCGTTCGTTCGATTGCCTTACAAGGTACAGAGTACGGAGTACATAGGTTAGAATACCTAGCGGGTAAGGTAGGTACTGATGTAGAGGACCGTGGGTGCCCATATTGGGAAGAAGGAGACCCGAGGAGTCCGAGACGGGGGTGGATGAACGCAAGTAAGAAAAGGAATCTCCGCCATCGGCTAAGGCCCCAATGCGCTGTCTTGCTCCCTTGACGAGATCCTGAAGGGCATGTTTTAAAGCTAAAAACAGGTACTGGACTCCCGGGGCCAAGAGGGTTGGGTGCCCCGACTCCCCGAGTGGTTGAGCAAGTGCCGCATTTATCCCCATCGCGCACCCCAATCGGGCACCCCTGGGTCCTGAGCCCGGGCACCAAAGAACTATCAAAACTCTCGTCACTACATACTCGCTCGGGGTTCTAGGGCTACCTAGCTTAAGTAGATGAGGCCTTTGACTTTCGAGTAATACTCGTGGGTGGGGACTTCGTGTTTGCCGACAACTCCGGACAGTACCTCTCTTGTCAAGGGCAGCTGAACCTGTAACAACGCCTGCCGTCGCCTCCGCCTTCCTCACATCCACCTCCATGGGCAAGCTCACACACGAGACCTGAGATGAAACCTTGGCTCGGCCTGCTCAATACGGGACTCGTTATGCGCCTGTCCTCGCTTTCGCGCCAGCTCTTGGCTACTCCTACTGGGGAGTATATACGAGCATTACTTCAGTGTCTCAAGATCTTTGGCATTGCTAAAAAGTCCCTTCCAAGTACGGAGTCATGAAACTAGGGCTACATTACTCCCAGATAGTCACAATCCCACCACAACCGCTGCTGGTAAGTGGTGACCTGCAATCATCGCATGATTGTGGAGCCTTGCTACCTCTAACTGTACATTTCCCCAGGGATCGACTCAGACTGGCAAATCCTTGGACAAATCCCGACCCTAGATACCTCGACAATCCTCAATACTCATGTGAAGATCCAACAGCTAGCAGAGGCAATGCTCAACCGATGAAAACGATGGATCCAATTGAAACTAACTACGGAATACGTGTATTTGCCATAGTGCTCGATCTAACCAAAGTGGTTCCGCAAGGCTTGTGCGTGCGTCATCTCGTTTCATCTTTGGAGCATTCTGTCCACCAAACCTAGACCTTGTCATCCACATTGAGAGCCCACCAGCCCACCATGCTGTACGAGTACGAAATCCCATCTCTTCAAGAATTCCCGTCTGGCCCCAGCCCGCCAGCAAACCCGAACGTCATCTGACTTTCGGCACCAACAAATTCTGCTCCGTAACAAGGTTCAGGCCCTGTAATCGAAGCAGAATCTTCTGGCTCTTGAGCGACCGAAATGTCAAAATGGAAGTCTCCTTGAGAGATGCTTCCGGACAGACAGCTATGGAGAAGTGATGTCATGTCACAATGTAATTTGACTTCTCGTCGTCGTCAAGTGTTGGCATCAGGACGGAAGTTCCTCATCTTCACGTGGGATCAATCTTCAAACCACGCTTCATTACTGATTAGAATATTCTATGGATATCTACCTAGGTCAGTATGAGGTCCTGGGCAAAAGGACAGAACGCTTGACGCGCCACTGCATTGGCATAAATTCCTGGTGAGCCACATGTGTTTCTGTCAACGTTCCATTTCTCGTGGAGCTGACACTCCCTTTAGTTGGACCAGCGGATCATGTCTTAGTTCAGCACAGAGTACTTCGTACTCAGCCTGCCATTAAAATTTTAAACCAAGCAGCTGTCAATTAGCTCAACCTTGTTTTCCAGCATGGAAAACCCGGAATAATTGCGACATCGGGAATAAATCGAGGCAATTCCGTTATTGTTAACGATACGTAAGGTTCGTCGCGCAGGTTCGATGAGCCTAGGTGAAGCTTGGTCCACCGTTAGCCTCCGGGGGAAATATGTAGCTTTGGGACGACCGATGTTTCAATGCTGAGCCCCTGTACTCCATGTACAGAGACAAGATTGAGAACACAAATATATGTCTCTGATAAATGGGTGCAACCTTGCCTCTGAACCACTGGGATCACCATCAAATTCGACCGACGGATCAACCTGTCATGCTGGTGTCGCTTTGGTTGTGCGCAGCCACGACATCGTCGGCTTCGAATGCTCCACTTAACTTCATCCACAGCGAGGATAAAAGGAGCGAACCAGCGATGTGATACATAACACCCTATTAAGAAATTTCAATATGTTAAGCGAAAGTCAAGCAACGGTACAAGGACTCGTGGGATGACACGTTGTTCCCTTCCCTGTCCGTTTCCTGTGATCTAGTGGACGGTGCTGTGGCTGAGCGAGAATTTCACCAACTTCAAAACTGTCACTGAAGAGGTTTGCTCTGGGGGATCAATCAAGTTGCAAGCACCCGGGGTATGGCCAGCTGTTGTCAAGAAAATACCAGGAGCCGTGTGGGAGTTGTATGTTGTGAACAAAGGACGTGCCTATATTCGACGAGTGCTGTCGTCGGCTGAAGGAAGGCTTGGCTCATATCAACTATTGCCCATTGGCATCGCGAACAGGCTTCATCAGAGAGCCAGGGCGATGGTAACAGGCGACCAGTGAATGCTCATCTCGTGCGCGCCACTTGGTTTTGTCCAGCTGTCAGCTCCTGATTTCTCCTTACCTCCTAGCTTTCCCTCAAGATGAGCTCAAGGAGGCCAAAAGCAACATGCGGCCCGAACAGCTGGGTGCGGAACGGGAGACAATGGTGAGTCAGTGGGAAGTTCAGCGCTTATAGGATTTCGCAGAAAGAAGGGAGCAGTTTGTTGCCCCATACGCATTCAATAATTGGACCAGCTGAACTAAACAACTGGCCTCGGTGGCGATCGAGTAGCATTACTCGTAGTTGGACTATGAGATATCGGTACCTGCACGACAGTTTGCTGCACAGGCATGTTTCAGAATGTGGTCGTGAGCGGAACCAGGGTTCTCGGAAGTCTGATGCAGTGCCAACGCATCACCCGCGTGTCGTGGGCCCAAGGAGATGCAGCGATACAAAGGGTGGCGTGTCGGTGAGGTTGCAAGCGACACATGGTTCGATGATTGTCGACTTTGGAGATCGTTTAGCACTTGAGCAATCGTCTACGCATCTCCGCACCAGTCTTTTTCTGGTTCCAAGGCTTGACGTGGCCTCTTCTCCGAGGCCCATGGAGTACCAACCAAGATGCATGTCCTGCATAGTCCTGCAGCGCTACTTGCGAAGGTCGAGGGAAAGACAATATAGAGTGCGATTGGATAGGACCCCTGGGTAGCAGATGATCCTCTAATTGTGATCGATGGCTGTTTTCGACCAAGTTCCCAGTAGTCGGTACAGAGGGCGAGGCAGAGTGGCAGAGTGGTAGAGGGGCAGAGGGGCAGAAATGCCCTTTTCCAGCCAGTCCACCGTTCAGCCAGTCATTTCCGCGTTTGCACACCAGACGCGTCTAATGCCTTCCTCCCTCAGGTAGAAATGAGAGGCGTTTCAGCGGCGAAGTGGCCAACCCCGTCGACCGCGTCCTTCTCAAACCGCGCGCGGAGACTTGATATGGCAGGTGAGCATTCCAGGAGACAAGTCAAGCAAGCACAACGCAACACACGATTTGCTGGCGCTGCTGTACCACCCACGGCGGCCGATGCTGCTGTCGCCACCCATCTGGATGACCTGGGGACTGAAAGCCGTGGACAACGACCACAGATCGAAATGCAATGGCACCGCCATTTCTCTCACAGCAACCGCAGAGGATTGGCGGGCGCTGGCACTTCGTGGACTGAGAAATTGCGGCTTGACACCGCCTCTCGCACGCAGTGAGTGGCTGTCGGGCAGGCTGAGCTTATGTCAAAGGGCCCTTCGGCCTGGATTAGCCTCGACTAATGCAGCTGTATATGCATTCGTTGGCAGCAGCCGTCAGGGAGCCTGCAAGTCATCGATGTGCTGTGCTTTCTCTGTGTTCCACCCCTTCCACCCCTTCCACCACCCGCTGTCTGCCGTTACCTACCCTTTCTAATAGCAGCAGCAGCAGCAGCAGCAGCATCCGCATCCATAGCAGTACAAGTCCCAGTGCCAATACCTAGGGTTTAAGGTGGTTAGTTGACCTGGCCCCGTCTAGTGTAGAAAAAGGAAGACTCCATTTGCTTCATCTTTTATTTTCCCTTTACGCGCCCCGTGATGAAGGCGTTTCACAGTCCCAGTCGACGAACCCAAGCCACACCTAAACATTGTCGAGGGTGCAGCCGCAACTGAATGAAACATCCCCTCTCCTCGATGCTGTGAGCTGCATTGCCACAATATAGCTAATAGCTAGTCGGTCTCCGGTCCTCGAATGAAGGTTGAAGTTGGAACATCGAACGCCTTCTTCCGCTTCCAACTCCCCCGCATTCTGGATCTGGTGATTTTCGGTGACTCCCCCTACCACCAGCCCAGCGACTTGCGGTGGCTCACCTACTTATCGATTGTCACCGGTTTTCCAGAGATCCAGAACAACTGCTTAGTGCCCACTGCTTGTCTCCTCGCTCTTCGGCTTGCGCTTGACTGTTTGAGTCTTGCCCCTGCCGACTCCGCTATTCACTACCTCTACGGCGACGAAAGGCATTACCCGCCACGACATCAGCAACAACCTCACCTGCGCTGGATCAGGATCAATACCTGCTCCTGCGACCGACCTCCTGCATCCCATAGAGCATTCCCGCTCTCAATCTTCGACCCTCAACCATCGACTCCTCGTCCCTGATATCTGACTCTTGGAACTTGCTAGCACCCAAACGCCGCCGTTGCTCCTCCTACATTTCGGGACTGCGCCGTGCTCCAGTGCCCGAGCTTATACAGGCGCCAATGTGAACAACCCTGTCTCTCGCCTCACTTTCTTTCAACACCACTCTGGCAGTCTATGAATCGACAACGATTTCTCCTTGGAATGGACCTGGCCAGCGTATGACACAATTAATTGGGGCTATTGGCGTCGTGGATGGTCAAGGTACGTCGGCCCTCAACTGCAATACCCCACTCAGCTTCTTCCCTTCTCGTTCATCTCTGATTAGCAGCAGCGTCCTTTCCCTCTCATCCGACCTGGCCCGAACACGATGCGAAGGACAATGCAGAACCTATGTCAGGCCCTGGATCTTTAGAAAGAGTCTCACAGCCTCCACAACCTCCTCTGCAGGCCATTTCTTCCGTCGGCGATGCCTCGCACCACTATGCTCCCTTTTCAAACCACTTAACAGATCGGCAACGCAGGAACTTAGGGTCTAGGCTTTCGCAGCAGCTAGAGCACAGAGCGGACAATTTGAATATTCCCTTCGATGAACCGATTCGAGAGCTACCGTTCGCACATATGCGCGTTCATTTCGAGGAGTTCGCTGCACAGTTGCGACTGCGTCGACACCACGAACATCGAAAGCGAATACTATCAAGTAGGAAGAGGCATCTTCAGAATGCAGTGGCACTATCTGCCCGCTTGCACCGCGTGGGGTCATGGGTGCATGTAGGACTAGTGCAGATATCAACGCAAGGCGATGCTGCTGGCTTCTCCCGAGTACATCAGCATATGCAGGACTTGATTGACCTGTGTCTGTCTCAATGGTCCCACGAAATTCAGGCTTTGGATGTGCAACCTTCATCGAAATCGGCCGACAATGAGTCTTTTCTTAACCAGCTACAACCCGCCATCCGAGCCGATTGTCTTGATTTGATCCATACCTTGAGGGCCAAACCAAGTTTTCTGGTCGAGAAGTTCAAGGCCATGTCTGCCGCTCAGATCTCTGCACTGTCAACTTTCCCTAGGTTCTCAAAACTATCTGATTCTGTCCTGTCGTCGCTTTCGCAGAACCGAGGGCGAAATTCTCAGAGAAAGCGAATCAAAGCCTACTCAAAAGAGCTTGAAGAGTATGCCTCGTCCTTCGAGAGATCCAATCCCCTTTCGTTCCTTCTTCACAACGTCTACGGCACATCTGATGATCTCAGAAGTCATGAAAGTCGGTTGCGGATATCAACATGGTCTTCCATTTGTGCCAGTCTGATGATGGAGTCCGAACCAGCGTACGATGAGATCATTGGCCATGTACTGTTTGCCTTTGCTTCTCTATATCAGTGGCAAATTAAGGATCGGTTGGAGTTGTTTTTGATGAAGATTTTACAGGAGGGAGCGTTTCTTTTGGATCGTCCAGAGACTTCCGCTTCAGCATCTCAATTCGAATTTGTTGGCAACTTCGATGCATTCGGTACACCACAAGCCCAAGAGTTCTTCAATGAGGCGGTTAAGGATCTTCTACAATTGCTAGCTTGTGACGATGGCATTCCTCCGGGCGCCCTCCATCTCAGTCGTGCGATAATGGCCAAGCTTCCATCCGTGGAAGATCAATTGAAATTCAGGGGTGACTTCATTTTCAAGTGGTTTATGAGAGATTTCTTGCGAATCGCCCTAGAGTTTCCAGAGGTAAGACCGTTTCCTGGTGCATACACCCTTTTCACGGCTGATTGCAGAAAAGGACGAGGGAATGCTTCTCCAATTCCACATTAGCGACAAAAAACGAGGCTTGCTCCTGCATCACCTCTACGATCGTACCTCTAGCCGTGCAGGTGATGTCTATAGTTCAGTGTAAGCCAATGCACCCATCATGATATTTAGGAGCCTCTGACAATCGCTACAGACGATCTCAACCAGTTGACCCAGCGGTTCATTGCTATGTAGATCTGCTTATCGACCAAGTCCAACCGTACGGCCAGTATTTCGATCCGTACGATGCTAGCAGCCCATCACAGCCTCGGGGCACACTCTATTCTCCATCATACGTGTCCATATGCGCAGCAGATATCACGCATATTTTGGACAGCCTCAGCCCGCAATTTATCCACACCTCCAGTACCTGGGATTCCTTCATGAGCTCATCACATTCCGCTTTTAGCATGCAATATCCAATCTCTCGTACCAGTGGCCGATTTGATAAGCTCCGTCAGGCTGTTCTCGCTACGATTGAGCCAGGACACTCATCCAAAAATGTCCACCCATGCCAAGAACACTGGGCAACACTGATAGTTTCGGCGACAGGACAGCTTCAAGAGCTTCCAGATCTGCACAGCACGCACCAAAAGACCACACATCTTGTCAAAAACCTTGATACAGCCCAGGACGCGGCCGTACATTTAGTGGAGGGATTGTCCACTTCCGATCAACAACATCCAGGCACACCCACGATCAGAATGGGACAGTCTCTGTCTGAAATGTTCACCAAGGAAAGAATTATTGCCCAAGTCCAGACCGACAGTGTCGCAGCCCTGTATTGGCACACGGCCCACGAATTCCTGCGACTACAGTATCCTGTTACTTTTCTGACTGGAGACGACACAAAAGTCCTTGCACCTATCATTGCAGCCTTGAGGGACTCTGACCATGGAATCTCAGATGGTATTACCCAGCTCGAAGAGCAGGTCGCTGACTTGGAGTCTTCATTTACTGCAGCTAGAGCTAGATTGACAAGATTGATGACTGCAGTGGAAAAGCTTCGACTCAAGGTATGGTACGCCATGAATGTTGTGATATCAATTGAATACGAAGGGGCCAAGAATATCTCGACAGCTTTAAACAATATGGCATCCTCGACTCCCTGGTCTCCGGAATTTGTCCAAGATGGGAGAGAAGCATCAGGGTCCAGCCGCCCGAGTACATCTGGCACTTCAACATCGTCGTTCTTTGATCAGCCACGAATCGACACAATGACTATTCTCAAAGCACCAAAAGAATATGGTGGCCCAAGAAAACTATCAGACCCACAGATTGACATGACGAGGAAATGGCTCAAAAGGGTAGACAATTTCTGCAAAGGTGAGGAGAGAATCCACCGGTTTTGCATGGAGGTCAAGCTCGCCACCAAAAAGCTTGTGGGTGAAACAATGAGCGACAGCCCCGTTCTTTGGTCAAGTGAACTTTTCGCACGCGAGAAAGTACTCTATGATGAACAGGCGAGTGCAGTGTATAGCGCTCAACCAAGTACGAGAGCTCCCAGTGTCATGAGCGAGCCCCTCTCATCTAGTCCTTTCCCGAATCGATTTGGACTCCTTGGGTTTCGATCATCATTCTACAGCCAATCGTCAAGCCGAGCAGGGAGCGATCTGGCCTCGTTGATCAGTTCACCAGGACGTGCACCCACAGTCACCACGCTTGACACCGGAAACACCATTTTTACGCCTCCGCAATCAAACCCGCGATCAGCAACTTCGATCTCCTCTCGATCGCGCCCTGCATCAACCTTCGAAGGAACTAATCTGGGTCGTCCAATGGATCACAGTGCGGAAAAGGCGCGCTTTCTCGAAAACCTTCAACAGGGACTAACGTGTATGTTGCTGTCGGACCTTGGCTGTCTCGTTTGGAGCCTTGGAAGCGAGACAGACACGTGGATGAGCACGGTGAGGGCTACACAGAGTGTCAGTGATCGACTTCGGCAGAGAGCATTGATGGCTCGCCTCATGGCCGAGTCCGAAACTTCAATTAATGCCAATCATCTGCAGGGCAGAAATCCCGGACACGCAAGAAAAAGAAGTCAAAGTTCCGGAGCGGCCGCTGATGCCTCCCCCATAATTACACGTGCGAGTGTTCTTGATACGATTGAGACAGTCTTGAATGATCCCACCGAGGATGGAGACCCGAGCAAATTTACATTTCGGAGGGCATTTGAAGACATACTGGCTCGAGTCAGTCAGCACGTGGATCCTAATTTGAAATTGAAAGCAATTGGGGATTTCAGACACCTCTCGTTGCTCCTTCGGAAATCGCTGATGGCAAGGTCAGGCACTGATGCAGAGCGAGGAGAAACAACACGTCGTCGCAGTCTCAATCCCAGCCTCCTAACCGCAAATATGGAGCGCATATACACGAAGGAAAATCGAACGAGACTGCTTGACGCCGGCCCTGATAACACTGAGGAGTCCGATACCGTCCAACTTTTGAAGCGACTTCTCTTTGTCTTGTGCCCCAGGACTATATTTCGAGATCTACAATATATCTCAGCGTTTGTGTCTTCGCATACACTAGACAATACTGAAACGGGGCGAGCATTCCTGCATGTTGGACTGGCAACGTTGGCGTGGAAAGACGAGGTCTGTCGTGGAATGGTCGATGTGGCGGATCGCATCGTGGTGAAAGACTCGACCAAGAGACAGAACAGTGGGGACAGAGAGAAAGAGGTATCGATCGCCAAAGCAGCGGAGTACTGGATGATTGCGGCACGGGAAGGGAACGCTATCGCACAACGAGAACTGGCAAGCTTGTATCTGACACATCCTGAGAGCACGCCCGTCATTAGTATGCCATTAGCACTTGGATCGGATATCTTCAAGAGTGAAATGATGTGGACAGAAAAAGGGGAAAGAGCGACACGGCATAGCAGTCAAGCTCTATGTCTTGCGTTGCACTGGATGCAACACGCAGCCAACAACGGCGACGCAGTTGCGCGGACGAAACTAAGTGAGCGACAAGCAGGTCGTTCGATTCGATGAGACAGCTGGGGATGGCTGTGTATGTATAACGAGACTGGCGAGCACAGTGCCCTGTACTGGGGCTTAGCATTGCTCATGCCGCCTCTTCGAGCGGCGAATCGTGCATCTCTTGGTGCCATTGTTGGAATTGGGATCAGGACCGGGAATTGGGCACTGGGAACTGGAATGGGGTTATCAGGTATACGGAGTCGGGAGTCTCGCATGTGTGATATATGTAAGAGTGTGTCTCATGTGGATTGTAAATTGAGCGATACACGTGTACCTGGTACCATAGTCAGGGAGGCATGCTGCTTTTCAAACGCGATGCACGATACTTGGGCAGGGAGATGTGAGGAGCGACCGATACCAATGACCAAAGTCAGAGGCGATTAATTCTCGATGCATATGCAAATGCACTAGTCAACTAGAAAATTGGTGGCAAATTGCAAGAAGAAATACATTATTCGAAGGCATATATGGAGTCTATGATGGGCATCTTTGACGTTGTTTCTCGTGGACACCCGGCCTGACTGTGGTAGTCGTGAAAGTCACGACTACTGCTGCCACCGCAGTACTCGTAGGTGTTGCCATGTGTTGAGCACAGAGTGGCTCACTAGTAGGTTACGTTTTCCGAGAAGGGAACTACATTGGATTTTGATAGGTACCTACATACAAAGGTGCTCTTTTGACTATCAGAGGTCGGTTCTGCTTTATCAGAGGGCATCGTCCGATCAGGTAGAACTGCATGTGGCAGGTCAGCCAGTCAGCGGCAGCAATACACTCAAGTCGGGCCGGCAAAGCAGACCTTTTCTTGCAGGGATGCCGACTGCACCGATGCGTTGGTTCTGATCTGGTGTCACATGTGGCACCACAGCTTGCATTAATACGAGCCATACAGCTTACATACAGCAGACGACTTAGATCAATAGTGGGAGGGAAGAGCGTAGGAAGGAAAAAAGAAAAGAAACGAAAAGACGGGCGACGCGAGGGGACTGCTCAGACGTGTCTTCTCCCAACTAGTCCCGACTCCTCCATGCTTAGTTATCCAAGGCAAATTACAGTAGAGCCCAATATGACTAGGTAGGCTGGTCAACCATCGGCGCTTTGTTGTTGATTCCCTGACGCTCTATGGAGGGTTTAAATAATCAGAGACAATGCTAGGGCTAAAGTCGAGTGATTTCCCGTCAATGAGGATTATTGGTACGCAGTGCGACTGGCCGGCGATGGTGATGATGGTGGTGAGAATGATGATTGATGGTGATGAACGGACGACCTTCGTACCGAGTGCTCTTAGGACTGATGGATGAAGAGATAAGTTATTTGTCCCTTTTAGCCAATATGGCAGGTGGGTGGTCATTGGCGGGCCGACAGCAAGTGACGTCGCTTGACGCGCCAAGCCTGTACCGAAGACGACCTGGTGGACAAAGGACGGACCTTGAAGGAGGCGGCGCAGGCTCGGGTGCAGGGCAGGTGCATGTGGTCACTGGTCACTGGTGGGGCCCCTGGCATCAGCTGGTCGTGTAGGAGCTTCTGTTTTGATGCCTTGGAGGGGCTACAAGGGGCTCGAGCTGCACGTTATGGGCGACTGGGCGATGGGCAGCGGTAGACGAGAGCAACAACAACAACGTGCTCCGTCCATCCTCGCAGATAGTTAGTAGTTACAGAGGTGCCAGGCTACCCAATGACCACCCCCCTCCCTCCCCCCGGCCCCTAACTTTGGTGCTGGCCACAACAATAATCAGTACCTGTAGCCCCTTGTTGCCCCCATACATGCCTGTCTAATGCCAGTCACGCACTCACGAGGGGCAACACACCTGAGATCACCATTACTCTAATATTCCTACCACTTCCTCTGGATCTATCTCCAAACTGACCACCACCAACGTCATCTGCCTCGACTCGAAATATGGAGCATTAACCCTCTCCCGTACCCAGGACTCGTAACACAATAGCCTTTTCCTTTGCACATGCTTCATTCTTGGAGCCATCGTTAGGCCCAGGGAACCACACATCTCTGCTACCGACACTACAGCTTCTTCTCTCCGCACACTCTCCATCGGCCTGGTTACCAACTATCCGCCCCTCCACTTTGCTCAACCTCAAACACAGTCTTCACAGATACTCTTCCATAGATCCACTCTCCCGTGACGGCCGACGTGATCGACATCATCTCTCTTTCCACTGCAACCTTTTAAGATCCTTGCGTTGGACCCATAATCTCACTGCCAACCATTCCACTTGATTCCTCAAACGGCTTTCAAGCGGTCCATATCGCTCGCATCGTTCCCACGTTTGCTGTCCTCTTGGTTTCTTCAACACACCACCTTCATCACCTGTCATCTCATTGTCTTGATCACCACATCACAGAACATCCTGTCAACATGGCCGTCGAGGTTCACCATTCACCCCCTCCTTTGCACCACCCGACCTCAGGTGGCCCTCGACCGAAAGGTATGTTTTAGCCCCTTACAACAGCCACGATTCCTTTTTCTAACCGACATTCCAGGTATTCTGAAGAACCCTTCCTTTTCAGGTCCAAGCGGGAATGATCCAGCATCCCCTACCAAAGAGGAATTGCCTCATCCGCCATCCGCCAGCCTCAATCCCCAGGAAGAAAGAGAACTGGTTCTCCAAAACACTCTGCAGAATGCTGGGCACCGCCGTTCTTCGTCTGCGGCTCGAAGAGCTTCCGCTTCTCGGCGCCATTCTTCTGTTGCTGTTGTTAACCATGACGAAGACCCGGACAAGATGCGCTTGAAGTGGGATGAGGCAAATCTTTACCTGGCCGAACAAGAATCAGGAGGTCGCATGAAAATCACAGAACCCAAGACTCCCTTTCAATACGGCGATGCCATGGAAGAAGACGAAGAAGACGTGGCAATTGACCCCCGTTATGTTAATGTCGACGAGGTTGATCTTGCCAGGAACAAGTCCGAGAAGAAGGCTCGTGAATCCGACATTCCTGGCCTGGAACTCGGTGAACCTGAGGAAGACTTCGGCACTGGTGCAGGCCCTGAAGACAATCGAATTGTCCGAAGCACCAGTCTCTCTCGGGAAAACAGTAAGGAGAAACATGTGAGTGTCAGTGAGGGCGGTCCGGGCGCCGAATTCGGTGAGCAGGTTGGCATGCCCACCAACGAGGAGCAACAAAAACACCGTGAGTTTGAAGAGCATCGAAAGAAGCATTATGAGATGAAGGACATCAAGAGTCTTCTTGGGTAAGTCATTCGTCCACAAGACGGTATCATCGGTCGTTATTCAATTGCTGATGGGCGAGCTAGTCATCCTGAACAAATGGACCTTGAAGAGGAAGATGACGAGCCTCCTGTTCCCGCCACCGTTCCAACGAACTTGCCTGAACGATCTGTTAATGGCACGCGCTAATTCAACCCCCTCTCATCGAGCTGCTTCTGCTTATATGCCCTTCTAGCTTGACTGGAGAGCATTGGTCAAAGCTGGTGTGAAAGACTTTGTCACATGATCTCCTCCGTTGAGATCTCATTTCTTTTGTCGAGAATTTCAAGCATTTTATATTAACCCACGAATTGAAACGAAGGCCAGTATACTCTGGTCCTACAATAGCATGATATCACGGTCGTTCTAACGAAATGGGGCTATTCATGACCATTCATCCATTCAAACGGTTTGCATGATACAGTATGACGGTACATTGGTTCTTGAGAATAGTAAGAGTGGCGGGCAAGAGCCGACCGAGTCAACGCCCGATCCCTGTTATACTTTGGAGCGGAACGCTGGTGTAAACTGGCAGATGGGCAGGGGTGGAGAGCGGAAGATTGATTGTGATTCCATTCTTCCCGGTTGACATCTGTGCTACCACCAGTCCAGAATGACGATCGAGATTCACCTTGCAAAGTACTGGCTTAGGAATGCATAGCTCAAAGTGTTGATTACATTCAACTTGCCTGCAGCTTATGTCTCTATACTGATGGGCGTTTCTCGTGTACAGTTCCCAATTCGCTTTCCCAATTCGCTTTATCCATCCCATCGCACATACTTGCAAGTGGATTGCCAGTATTGCACAGTGTCGGTTTCAAATTTAGGAAGTATATCAAGACCACCCACCTAACTTGCTCGAAATCGAAATCGTGTACAATACGGGGCACCGAGTGCGAGTGGAATGTGAAAATGGATGCAGGTCAATGAGGGCTCGGGGGGGAAGGGGGAAGATAAGTCTAGGCACAATGTAATGAGACAACCGTGTAATGGGACAGTTGTCCTTCTTGGCCACCACAGATATACATTATTACCTCATATAGACTCATTGGATGAAATCTGCCTCCCAAGTTGAGCGTTGAAGTCTTCAGCGTGATGACACTACAATATAAGCTGTTTAGAGATTGTTGAGAGACGAGGTAGAGCAGTATAGCAGTAGAGGAAGAGAGAGTCAGAGAGGAGAGATTGAAGACGTCTAATCCGCTATGTCTGGTATAATTGTCGAGCCCATTTATTAACTCTGTCACCCGAGCTCAAGTCAAACGAACTTATCTTCATTCCACCCATGTAGCTCGGCTTCCGTGTATGGATGTCCAATTGCATTGTGAGAGAATGACTTCCAAAAAGCTGGAAATCCACCTCAAAGGTTCTGAGCTTTGCCATCTATGCTCCTATTGAATAATTTACTTGCTGAGTTTGTCTCGAACCTCATTGATTCCTTAAGTCGGATTTTTCAGAGATTGAAAGTCCGTTCATTTCAATTGAGGCTTCCTGTGCCCCATAGCCAGTCGTCTAATACTTCTTGAACTGCCACACAGGCACCCTTTTTTGAAACAGCTCATTAAGCTCTTCCAAGCTGTGAAAGCTTATTTCAGGCAGGAAGAAAAGAGCCCAAATTCCAACAATCACTGAAACACCGCCCCAGACAAAGGCAATGCCTGACCCAAGGTTGCCATGCCGGGGCCGGGGTCCTGAATGAATGGGCTCACGAATGTGATTAGAGTGGACGCACAGAATCCCAAGCCAGTAGCAAGCATGACAATTTTTTCTCTGGGTCGTAAGCTTGATACTTCGGCTGTGACAATCCATACACTGAGCTAGCGGATTAGCAATCTCGTCTTTCTTATGGGGATCTAGAAAGACCCACCAGCTGGACCAGGCAACGGAAAGAGCGATATTCTAGATGAACAGGCACGCCAATGTTCCCTGCTTAATATTGTCGTTGTTGGTTGCGAGGGCTGCAAGGCCGCCGATAATGAACATCTAAGCGGCGAGAACTAGCGTAGACCCAACCATAATCCATCGACGACCAAAACGGTCAGGCAAGTAGAAGCCAAATGCACTCGATATACACATGGTGAACAAGAAAAGGACCATGATCCTGTAGACGTCACTGATGCCCATGTCCTGGATAAATAGTACGATGTACGAGGATGCGAATGAGTTCCCCTGTGATTGTTGAAAGCACTGAACCCTATTGGCCATTAAGGTTCGGCGGAGATTGGAACCCCTAAAATCTCAGCAAGCAAAGGAGCACTGAATTATAGGTAGAGAGAAGTTTACTTGAAACACTCTGACCAACTACTGTCAAAGCGCGCCTTGTTTTCCTCTAGTAATCCCACCTCTCTTTCGATGATGTCTTGCTCTGTATGTGGTCGAAAAAGCTCGAATGCCTTACGCGCCTCGTCATTGCGGGATTTACCTACGAGCCGTCGAGGGTATCTACATAAAGAGCACTAGTCGGTAAGCCCACTAATTTAGCACAGTATTTCTGCCCTAGTTAATAGTACAGGGGGGTCTCCTGTGCGGGCTGCGCCCCCCCCCCCCCTTGTTACACTAGTTGCACTACTAAACCGCCTATATAAACCTCGCTGTCGCTCTTAATGATATATACAATTCACTATTTAGTATGGCCACCTTGCGCGGCGATAACTGCCCTACAGCGCTCCGGCATTATCTCTATATACTTTATAAAGTCTTCCGGCTGTAGTTTATCCCACTCTTCTAGTAAATATTACCGTACTTCGGTATCTATTCTAGGAAATCGTTTCCCAATATAATATTTTAGTAATCGCTAAACATTCTTAATAGGATTGAGATCTAGTGAATGCGCTAGCTAAACTATTCGATTAATCTAATGCCTTCTATAATAGGCCCTTATTTACTAGTATAAATAGATACGCCATCTTCTATTAAAATACTTCGTATAAAGCCGATATAGCATTAAATATCACGAAGATATTAATAAAATTAAGGTAATACTCTTTCTATATAGACCTACTGTCCGGGGGACAAGGTTTAGGATCTATTATGGAAGTAGCTAAAGACCGTAGAAAGAAGGAGTAGAATATATAGTCGCTTCCTATCTTATTGAATGACTTAAGATATATCTAAGTAAAGGAGTATAGGCCTGTTTTATATAGGCGTAGGCTCCGTCATAATATCTCGTAAGTACGAGAGTAATTACCGAGTATTCGT